TAGAGCGATCGGAGGGCCCGTATATGGCCATATATTCCTTGGAGCACGTATTGACCCGACGATCGCTTTGGGTTCTGGACTGCTCGGATCGCAGCCTGGTAATCGGAGAAGATGACTATCTTCGTGTACCTGGGGTCATCTATTGAATCTTTCTGGAGTTTGGTGAAGTGGGCGATCGCCATCTCTATCCCGTTCAGCTCCGCAACGTGGACTATTAAGTCATCCTTGGTTCCGAGGTGTCTTCTCAGGACCACCCCTTCGTGAAGGGCAACAGCCGCAGCGCCAATTTGCCTCTTTTTCCCGCTTCCGTCCGAATAGTAGACTAGTGTGTGTTGCTGTTCACACTCCATATCGTACACCGAGGCCTGGGCTACCTCTGGGTCTGATTGGATGATGTATGGGATCCGTGCCTCCTATGGCGCTAGAATAAATGATTTTCGGGTCTCCTATTTGTTTATCGATGACCTAATTTCTGTTAGTGCTTCCTTTAGGACACCTCCCTTCCTAAACCAAAGCGCCTCTAGCGGGCTCCACCCGCTTCTTCTTCTTTCGTCGTTGTTCCTTGCTCGGTCCCGGAGGCTTTCTGGGCGAGCCCATTCTGGCCCTATTTGGATTCGTAATGCTGCTTCCTAGATCCTCTGGTCCACTAAGAGCTTGACTAGGAGCAGATGTAGTTCTATGTTAAGTGCAGCCGCACTTGTTGATTTAAAAGCACCGCTGATCATGATTGCTGAACGTCGTTGAATCTTGGTGAATTCGTTGCTGATTCGTCAAAGCTCTCCTGCTGGAAGCGCTTTAGCTAGTGGGCAGTACCAAGCTGAGAGCCCGTAGAGCATTTGCGGGATGACCACTGCTTGGTAAATCTTGCGCATTACTAGTAAAGGCATGCCCCGGGTGGATCCTGCTAGACCATGTAGCGCCTCGAAGCTTCCGTTGGCTTTCGCGAGGAGCTTCTGTCGGTGCATGTTGAATTTAAGGTGTTTGTCGACATAGATACCGAGATATTTAGCCGACTCTGATGGTTGTATTACCAGGTTGTCGAGCTGGAGTGGCATCTTGGCGTGGCCCTCCTGGAGTATTTTCGCGACGTCCCAGATATCGTCGTTTTGTTGTGCGGTTTCGTCTTCGTTTTCATTCTGTTGTCCTTTCCTCGGGTTTACGAAGTGGATTAATTCAAATTTCTCTGGAGCAAATTTTGCTGCATGTTGGCGTGCCCATTTGTCGGCCTTTTTCATCGCTTGTTTCAAGGCATCGATATTGTCATGAAATGACTCTGATACCGCGATTGTCGCCGCATCGTCTACCCATCCTGATGCTTCTGTTTCTGCGAGAGGTGTGTAGACACAGAGGTCCTGAATCAGTGGCGAATTAAATAGCAGGAATAGGATTGGCGATAGTGAGGCCCGATTCCATTTAGTTAGTCTACTTTAGTCAGCATTGGAATCCCATAATGGGATTCCTTCATTCTATAATCAACACACATATTTTTTCGTTCGCATACTGCGTTCTCATTTGCCCACCAGAATCTAAGGTGGAATCATCTGTCGGTGGATCGGGTCGATCCGCTCCTAGGCACGACCCTGCCCCATGTGGAGATATGACCCACATACTACCACTTGCCGTTGAAGAACATTTCAGTTTGTGGCTGAAAGCGTTTCGGGATGGTGACTTTATACGCGGAATGAAAACAGAGGCTTCGCGATTTTTCCAAGGCTTCTATTGGTGTCTTTAAAAGGAGCACCTTAAAACTACATCAAATAGGCGATCGATTTTCTGGTAAGTTCGATTGATTAACCACTTTAGAAGAAGTTGAGGAGGTGACCAGGTCCCAGATTTCGGCAACGCGATGTCAACATGCGAATGAAATCGACGCCAGCTGATTATGACGCTAAACCCAGACCAGGACAGTCGACGAGTCGCTATCCCAAATTCTCCATATATGAGATTTCATATATCCAACAAGGAAACCAATTTCTACGCGTCGATGCATCTTATCCTTCTTCGCAATCTTTTCTATATGGCAGTATGCGAGACTACCATATAGTCGCAGATTTGAGAGGTTCGTCTTCGGCATCTTGTCTCCTGCGAATGGACGAGCTTCTTCCCAAGGGATTATCCATTTCCCATCCACTTTGGTGGGTGTACGGTTCAGAATATAAACAGCAGCTCTTACTGATTCAGGCCATAATTCCGCTGAGAGCTTCCCTTCTTCAAGAAGAGCTCTTGAGCGTAGTATAATAACTCCGCCTGCTCGTTCCACTGGCCCATTTTGCTCAGGATGTCCAGGGATGATATGACTCACAGTAATCCCTTCTTGTCCAAGAAATCTCTCTGCTGTGATGTTTGCAGCTTTCTCATTATCGTAGTGGAAAGTTTTGATCGGCAGCTTCCACCAGTTTTGGACTATGGCGATAAACATTCTGATAGATTCGTTTGTCTGCCATTTGCCTTTAAAAGTGGTCAGCCAATGCATGTGGATACCATCAACGTAAAAATGAGATATCTATTGCTCTTCGTTGTACGCAATTGACATATGAATCAAATCCCATGAGATTTATCCAAATCGTCCGAAGTTTCGGCCAAGTGGGCGTCGAGGTGCTCGTATAAGATGACAGGTTTCGCAAAGAGATTCTGGTTCGTCTTATCGCTCTATTTCGATGCCTTCTACTAGATTTGGAAGCTGTAGAATTGGTTCTTGATAGACATGTCCAAGGCGTCGATGCCAAAGCTCTTGGCTGGCCTTAGACGTGCGCGGCTTCATCGAACGTCGCGTTGATAAGGTAATTTGGTTTGATGTAACCAGAGCAGTTTGTTTAGCTGGAGGCTTAATCTGAATGAGTCTGTCCTTCTTCAATCTGACGGTCATCATCAGAGGTTTCGAATCTCTCCCTATCAATCATTCCTTGTCCGGCCTCCATTCCCCTCCTTTGTCCGTAAATGCGTAGTAGGAGAAGAGGTTAAGAACAAAATCTGGAGCGTATACTACATCTGAGATAGTAATATCCACTCTTTGATCGGTCACTGGGTGAATTCCGGAAATGACACAGGTTCCTTGTCCAAAAGTCTTTATAGAGCCTTTCCCCATATTTAATCGACCATTCATCGCTTTAAAGTCGATGAAGCTTTCTCTATTATTACACACATGTGTAGTTGCTCCTGTGTCCAGGATCCAAGAGCCTTTTAAGCCTTGGGAGCTGGGTCCAGTCAGGAGTGTGATCTTAAAGGCCTTTGGATCGAAGTTAGAATCATTATATAACTGTCGACGAAAATGGACGACTCTAATTCAGAAAACGATTATGGGTCCCAAATTCAGAACCACTTAGAACCCAGCTCACCCAGATCACTCATGATTCCCTGATGACAGGCCACCCAGGGCGAGACGCGGCATTCGCACTGATCGCACGAGAATTCTACTGGCCTAAAATGTCCGCAGACATACAGCGATTCCTTCGAAATTGCGATATTTGCGGACGCGTCACAGTTTGGAGAACTGCGAAACAGGGCCTACTAAAGCCACTTCCAATCCCAGAGAGGATATGGGCGGAGATTTCAATGGATTTAATCACAGACCTCCCTACCTCCAACTCTAGCGCAACGAACATACTAGTGGTGACAGACAGACTCTCAAAAAGCATCATCCTCGTCCCAATGACCACTATAACCGCTGAAGCAGTTATAGACACCTTCTTTCGATACTTCTACATGTACCATGGTCTACCAACAGCAATAGTCAGCGATAGAGGACCCCAATTTACAAGCAGCTTTTGGGAGCTAGTTTGCAGCAGACTCAAGATTCAACGACGCCTCTCTACAGCCTTTCACCAGCAGACAGATGGCGCAACAGAGCGAGCCAACCAGGAAGTTGAGAAGATCCTACGTGCATTTACAGCATACGCCCAGAACGATTGGGAAATGTTACTACCTATTGTCGCCAACGCCATCAACAACAGAGACGCGACATCCACAGGCATCTCCCCATTCTTTTTCACCCACGGATATCATTGCGCACCCATCCAGCTCGCGAACGAAGAAGACCTCGACGGAAGAGATCTACTCAATGCCTTAGCCCCGCGAAAGGCTGGAGAACACTTTATACATCGACTAGAACGCGCGACAGAATGGGCGCAAGCAGCAATGGCGGCGGCACAAGACTCCCAACAATACCAGGCGAATAAACGACGACGCGCAGCTCCCGTTTACAAGGAAGGAGACATGGTATGGCTAAATTTGAAAAACATAGCCACCCGCCGACCATGCAAGAAGCTCGACTGGCTCCATGCAAAATACAAGGTCCTCAAAGTGCCAACACCACACACTGTGCATCTGCAGCTACCAACCGGCATCCACCCAGTATTCCATGTCGATTTAATCAGACCCGCAGCCTCAGACCTACTACACTCCCAAATGAGCGACGATACACAACCACCACCTATACTGGTCCAAGGAGAAGAAGAATACGAAGTCGAGGAATTACTAGCGATGCGATGGAAGAAAAGAAGGGGCAGAGGAGGCAAGACGCGAGAAGCCCTAGTCAAATAGGTAGGATTCGCAGAAACCATATGGGAGAAACTCTCCAACTTGGCCAATTGCAAAGCCCTCGAAGACTTCGAGGCAAAATATGGGGACGCCGAGCTCAACGATGGGCCAGAACCAGTGAAACTCATCCCAGTCAAGACGAAAAAAAAACGGGAGAAAAGGGATATGTTAGCGGGTTTTACCCGCAGTAGTTTTCCCGCAGGGAAACTTACAAACGCCAAGATAAGAGGAAGACATACAAACGGCGAGACAGGAGAAGATGGAACATAAAAACGAAGGGAGGGGGAAGGGGGATCTATTAGAACGAAGGACTTCCCACATAGAATGTCCCTCCTCAAGTTGATTAATGATATTCATCGATACCTGCCCTCTTTCAGTAGAAGCGCACCAGTACCCTTACATTACGTACATATGTTCCGAAGGTGGAAAGGACCTCGAGAGCCCAAGCCCTGGAGATTTATTCCCTATAGCTCCTCCTTGAAAGGCAAGGGAAGATTCAATCGCTCAAGGTTCCTTCTCACTTCACATTCTGGGCGCTCAGTACAGTCACCCGGTACTTCTTGTCGCCTTCGGGCATATAGGGCTGCACCTCGAGAGGCTGCGAATGTTGGATCAGTAATTTTAGATATGGTGCTATAATCCAGAATATTCGTGTCAAAATTTATATGCGTAGGCGGCGATATAGGCATGAGCTCAGGTAGGATATCTTTTAATAAAGCTAGAAAGCGCGGATGGGTCACACTCTCACCAGCTAGAAAAATATGGGTAAGATGATATGGGTACTTTCGAGGAAGGACCAAGAGTTGTGAACGGATGCGGGACCATAGTGAATCCTGGGACCCATTTGTCTGGAGAAAATGGTCTAGCCCAACCTCGAAATCGAAAAGTTGTGCTTCATCGGAATTCAAAGAATCGAAAGCCATGCCACTAAAAGAGGCTGTAATGCTGGTGTAAAGAACATGCCGACTATAGAATATGGTGAAAACCTGGCTATTAGGTAGATCCTCAAACTCCGTTTTGCAATCCCAAAGATCTTGATAGTATGTGCATATTCCATATCCATTTGCTGCATAGACAGCATCGGCTTCTGTTAATGAATGAGTGTAATAGCGACTATCACCCACCCATGTGCGTAGATTCAAGTCCTCAAGTGCAGCATTAACTATTCGATTCATAGAAATATCGGGGGTCGTAACAGCAACCCTATCAATTTGCTGAGATATTTCTTTTTCAGTGGAAGCTTTGAGTTCTTGGAGTAAATCGCTGATGATTTCAACGTCGTTACGCGCTTTAATTGGTCGACCAAGCTTCTTGTTCAGGCGACGCCATCGAGCGCCCCATGAAGTCGTATCGGATAGAGATAATCGGGAAAGAAAAGTGGCATAGAGAGATTTATCATCGTACCATGGCTTTGGCTTATGTTCGCCTTTAAGGCGCATCATGAGTTGAAGATATTCAGGATGTGCCTGAATCTTGGCTACCTCGGCGATAGTTCCGTTATAGTAATGCACTGAGGCTGTTCTATTATTAAACATTAGAGCAGTGTGATGATGAATAATTATTTCTAAGGTTGCTTACCCATATGAGAAGGTCAAGTCAAAGCCGATCCCGGGAGCATCGTGGATCTGCGTAGGGAGGCATTCTTCACACAACTCCCATACACAGGACCTCCAAGAATCGATGGAAGGTATGAGGTGAAAGCATAGAAGGACTAACAAAAACCTTTTCATTTTAAACAGTGATTTCGATGTCATGGCGTTCAGCACCGACAAAGCATATCACCCAAGGTTCAATCTGGTGAAACGGGAAAATGGAACAAGGTAACTTCAACTAACTTAGCTTGCTTAGTAATGTTAGCACACTCGGATTTCACGAATCAGACCACTGCTCCCTGAGTGTCACCTGATATTCAGTGAGCGTCAAATGGAGGTAGCTGTGCCACACCACATTGTCCCAAATCACCGGAATGTCCAAAAGAAATGTAATCTAACTCTCTCTTATTCAATTCTGTTTTAAATACACTTCTGTCGCATCTGTTCAAACCATTCCGTATCCCTGTCTATTTGAGCCATAACTGACGTGTTTTCTGGTTGAATTGGCTCCTAAATTTGCTCCCGAACTTGCTCTTGGACCTGCTCCGGGAGTAGACATGGGCATTGGTTTGGTTCAGAACACAGGTGAGCTGACCCAGACCTAGTGGGCCTGGGTCACGCACCCTCTAGACCTTGACATTTCCCATGGGACTAACCTAAATTCAGTCCCATAGGAATTCCCACCGGGGGTCTAGTCCCACCAGACCCACTCCATGGGACCAAAGTTTAGTCCCATGGGAGTCCCACGGGAAATGGCAAGGTCTAGTATAGAGTATAGAGTGGGTCTCAAGTGTCAAGGGTAAGGAAATACTATTGTAATAGGTCTATGTATGTTGACACAACTGCTACTTCACTTATGCTACTTATGCTGTGTTTATACCTTAGCATAATTAACATAATGTTAGTGTGACAGACCAAGAGCTACTACGAGTTGTACGTAATAACTGTGTCAATGAAGTCGAATTTTAAGTTGAAGAAGAAAGAAAGAAGAGAAGTGTGACGAATACGGGCACAGGTCGGGCGAAAGACAGAAAGGTCAGCAACGGCTGACCGCCCAACGGCAGGATAGTTAGTTGCATTACGAAGAGGAGAGAAGCTCCTCTTCTTTCTTTCTTTTTTCAACTTAGAATTCGATCTCGTTGACGCAGTTATTTACATACATCACGTAGTAACTCTTGGTCCGTTACAAGAAGAGTGAAGCTCTCCTCATTGTAATCTACGCGGAGTCGCCGCCCGACCTGCCTTTCGCCTCTTCTCATTCGTCACAGTTAGCGGGTTTTACCCGCAGTAGTTTTCCTGCAGGAAAACTTACAAACGCCAAGATGAGAGAAAGACATACAAACGGCGAGACGGGAGTGGATGGAACATACAAACGAAGGGGGATTCATTAAAACGAAGGATATCCCACATAGAACGTCCCTCCTCAAGTTGATTTATGATATTCATCGATACCTGCCCTCTTTCATTAGAAGCGTACCAACCCTTACACATAAGGTTACAAACACAGCAACAGAAGCAGAGACTGACCCGAAGCTAAAGTAATTTCACTAGATGGAAAACAGTTAGCCAAAGGAAGATCGGAACAATTCTTTATCAGCCGATAGGCATGGCCTCGTTTCTCGGGGGAGCTAATTTGTCGGATACTGGACTGGAATAAATTCAACAGGATTCAATCTCAAGTTGACCACACGATGTTTGAGTCTAATGACAACGTTTTCATTCGTGCACCCACTGGAAGCGGCCCCAGATTCTCTGCAGTAATGAGACCGAAGAATCAAAGGGGCACTGTTGACAGATTGCCCGTTTAACGGCGGCTGCTATGTTTGCGGGGTTTGCATGGAATCTTCCAGCCTGGAAGATGTGGATCAATGACTGTACTCCGTATATTCATACTTGTATTTTAGGATTGTGGTATAAATTACCTGGTAAGCTGCAAAACGGATTAATTACAGCTACCCATATCTGGATTAGCGAATCACATGATTAGGGTTTGAAACAACTTCTCTATGTTTTCGACATGGAAGGTGAAAGCAGTCACCACTGTATTGAATTATGGAGACTTAACCAGGAACCGAGCATATTTTCTCACACAGCTACGCACGAGCCACAACTGGTTATCTACTCACGCGAAGAAATTCGGCTTCCAAGACGATGATCAATGCGAGTGCGGTGCGCGGGAGACAGTCGGCCACGTGCTGTTGGAATGTCGAAATCTACAAGATCTGAGGGTGGAATTAAGAAGAAATGTCGGGGACGCGTTTTACAGCGTGTCGAGTCTGCTGGGAGGCTCAAAGGAAGGTGAGAGAGGTAAACCAGACATCGTCTCGCGAACCAAAACAGTCCAGGCTGTGTTGGACTTTGCTGAGGCGTCACAGCGGTTTCGCAGTCGTGCGCCATAAGGGCAGCCTAACAATGGGAGCGGCAAACTGGCAACGATAGGCCGTGGCGAGGCTCGAAGTTCGTTTCAAGAAGTGGATCATTCTAAATGTACATACTCGGATCTATAGTTGTTGTAGACTGCATATCGCGTTGGCGAGGGGTCAGTGTAAATGAATACTACTACTACTACTACTACTACTACTACTACTATCACTGTATTGAATTAGATCAATCACACTCAAGCTAGAGTCGCTTCATTACCGTTCTCATTTTGTCAAATCGCCGCTGAGGCTTAGCAAGATGCCACAGTCACTCCTTTTTTTCTGTGTAGGAGTTAGTACTATATAGTGACAATACTAGCTCACTAGGAACATGATCCCGAATTCCGCGGTGGATTTTTGATGTCACAGAACTGTAATAATGGTGGATAACTTCTGTCTGATGGTGGAGACAGCTTTAGTAAAAACCGTCAATGATCAAGCTCTGCAGACTAGTTTGTTATTTGAACCATATGATATGAAAATATGCGCACGCTCGTAGATGCTCAAGACATAGGAGGATGATCTGAAGTACTTAAGCACCGTCGTGCCAGGTATATAATATCAACTTAGACCAACCAAATCAACAGTCATGGCTTTTTGGAAAACACGAAAGATCAAAATGAAGTTCTTACCACTTCTTCTTCTACCTCAGCTCATCTGCCAGGCTCAATCTAAGGCTGTCTTTGCACATTTCATGGTATGTTGAATTTTGATATTCATTAACCGTAAAAAATTCTAGCGCTGATAGGATATAGGTTACTAATTCGGCAAATTATAGTCTTTCAGACTGGAAAAAAGATATGAACCTTGCTAAAGATGCCCATATTGATGCATTCGCACTAAATATGGCATACTTAGACGAAACCAATGATGCTTCAGTGAAAATGGCATTTTCCGCGGCAGCTTCTGTGGGATTTAAGCTATTCTTCTCTTTTGACTATGCTGGCAATGGAGCATGGGATAAAGAGATTGTGACTGAGATGATCGAGAACTATTCATCAAACAATGCGTATTTCTTATACAACTCACAGCCATTTGTTTCCACATTTGAGGGACCTGATAGTGCATCAGACTGGACCACTATTAAGGAGATTACAAACTGTTTCTTTATGCCTGACTGGTCCTCTGTGGGCGCAAAACCTGCACTTGCCCTAGCCGATGGTGTAGCCGACGGCCTCTTTAGCTGGGCTGCCTGGCCATGGGGAAATTGGACTATGAATACCTACACCGATGCTTCATACCTCCAATACCTTGATGATAAGCCATACATGTTTGCACTATCCCCGTGGTTTTACACGAATCTTCAAGGTTACGACAAGAATTGGCTTTGGCCATCTGATAGTCTATGGTTTGACCGATGGCAAGAGCTCCTTGCGCTTGATTCAACCCCAGAGTTCGTGGAAATAATCTCTTGGAATGATTACGGGGAGTCTCATTATATTGGTCCTTTATACGACACATCTATGGCTGCATTTGAGATCGGCGAGGCAAACTACAACTATGCACTTGACTATCCGCATGACGCTTGGCGTGATGTTCTGCCCTTTCTTATTGATCTTTATAAATATGGCACAGCAACAATGGGTAAAGACAAAGTTGTTTTCTGGTATCGGCCGAATCCAGTTTCTGCTTGCTCAACTGATTACACTACTGTCAACACAGCCTCCCAGCTACAGATTGAGTTCAGTCCAAAGAAAGTGTTAGAGAATAGGATCAATGTTCTAGCTCTACTTCATGACGCAAATTATGGCGTTCAAGTGACTACTGGAAGCTCTTTGTTGGATGTCAAATGGGACTTTAGCCCTGACTCTGGTGTTGGCCCTGGAATTTATTTCGGCAGCGTACCATTTTCTGTGGGCGATGTCGAAGTCACGCTTATTAGAGACGACTTTGAAATTGGATCAGCTACAGGATTGGCAATATCGAGTAGCTGCGAAAATGACGTTGCCAATTACAATGCCTGGGTTGGCAGTCTCACAGGCACCTATGATATAGATGCAAGTACCTTGATTCCTCTGTCAAATCAGACATGTATTAAAGGAAAGGGTGCCTATGACTTTGATGACCTTTGCAGTTTTACATGCAGATATGGGTATTGCCCTGTTGGTGCTTGTACATGTGAGGCCATGGGAGTTGCACGCACGAAGCCTAAGGCTACAGGTGTGACAGGATATCCTGCAGAGGGCAAAGATGCTAACTATGAGGGCTTATGCAGCTTTGCCTGTAACTATGGCTACTGTCCGACCAAAACTTGCGATTCGACAGAGCATACGATGCCTGTCCCTACAGTATCAGACTTTCTTCCTCCAGCCTGTGTTGCAGGAAGTGGAGATGGAAATTATGCTGGACTATGCTCTTATGCCTGTAACTATGGCTACTGTCCAATTCGATTCTGTAAATGTACTGAGACAGGGGCCCTGGTGACTACACCTTCGCAAACAAACGGTAATGGAGAATCAGCTGATGGGGTTACTTCATCCCTTGATGATCTCTGTGATTTCGCTTGCAGCCGTGGATACTGCCCAAATGCAGCTTGTAAATACAAGTCTTCGGGTTCGTCAACCGCATCAGCCACATCATCAACTGCAACTCCCACCGCTGGCAGCACTCAAGTTAGAATGAATCCATATCTCTACTCTTGTACCGCGCGTCAAGAGAAATTGGTTTTGGAAGCATGGGATGAGGCTGGAACCCTTGCTGAAGGACACTATCAATGGTGGCCAAATAACAAATGGCAGCCCGCCATGGACCTATACCTAGGGGTTAAAACCAGGAAAGACTTGTAAGTTTCAGCTCCGTGTTAAGATGAATTGGTTATTATTATTATACTGAATCCTACTATAGCAGCTGGTTGACTGGGAAAGGAAAAGTGATGGGTATGTGTCATACTAACGGATCGATTGATAATTTAACTAACTTGGGTACCTTTTAGATAATATCCAACGAGAGTACTTTATTCATACTTCATCATTAAGCATCGAGCCCCCACGCACGGCGCACGCCTATTTCTACTGTGATGAAAGCCTAGTTCCTGGATACAAGCTTCCTACAAACGGCGTAAGCTGCTCAAAGAAAGGTACAATTGCATATTCGTGGGACGACCGTGGAAATGGCTGGATGACGCACTATGTGGTATTTTGTCCGGTCTTTTTCACTACCAAATTTACTTCCCTTGCGACGGCGGTGATATTGTCTGAGGGCGACTTGGAAAGGCAGCGCACGATTGACGATTGGAGATTAATTCGAGCAGAATCTCTGCTCCATGAAACCTACCATTGGAGAAACACCGTCTCGGTTCCAAGATGCGTTGATTGGGCATATACTCCTCTCGGAGTGACTGGTATTGCAGCGGGCGATGAAAATGATCAAGAAAATGCACTCATGAATGCAGAATCCTACGCCATGGCAGCTATGGCGATCTACGTACAGCAAACCTTTCATTTAGACAGTCCTCCCACCCCTATATCGGCTCCTAAGGCTGCATCGGACAACGACACAATGTATTCCACCTATCTGGAATCGCCTCCAACCTGGTGGATTCCGCCTGTGGCTAATACTTCGTCAACCTTTGCGCCAAACATGACGGATACTGTATTGCTGTCCAGTGTTGGTGCACTGAATAGTGCAACTTCACCTTTCGATACTTGCATGGAGGGTCTCTGGGGGGATATGGATCAGTGCACAACATTTTGTGTCGGAGAGGAGAGTTCATGCACTCAAAGTCCCACAAATGCAAGCGTCGTTTGTGGTGGTTGTTGATAACATTCCGCTCCAGTCTGGTAGGCAACTTCATTTAAGGATTCCAAGGTTCAGATATACCCTTGGATGTGAAACTTGTCACTCTTGCTTTCTATTAGCGGAGAGTTCTAGTGAATAGGTTATAAAGGTGGAAATACAGAAAATTGATCACGGAGGGGCCTGTAGACATTGAATTAACACTGGTCGAAGTCGAGTTTTTTAAGCTAATTGAGATGGATATGATTCGATAGAGGATCAATGACGAGTACTGTACGGTATATAAATGTATTGACAAAGGAATCCTTCAAAATATTTCATGATTGGAACTCACATGCAGGTATCTAAATATAATGAGTAGACACAGAGTCAGACCCATCACACCTCGGATTCCTCGATGCTTTGTTCCGAACGAACACTAGCTTCTCCAATTCAGGCGGTGGTATTCCTGAATCTGAATGATCATCAGTAACCGGCACGCAGTTCAGCACTTCTTTTGTTTCGAATAATTGATCAAAGGAGTAGGAAAGAATTGTACGGCATTGCGATGCTCATGCTGTTACAATTACTTTTAACGATCTAAAGTAAAAAAAAGGAGACTATTAGACAAACTCCCCCCTACGGCATCAAATAGTGGCGCGAAACGCAAATGTAATTAAAGCCAATTTTACTGTATTAGCTATATATGGTGTGTATTTTATATGGCAGAAAATAAAATCGGATTTCTGCTTACCTATTCAAATACCATATTATACCGTATTTTTTCTTGGTGCGTTTTAAGTAATGTCGGAATATAGAAGCACATGTGCTTTGCACTCGGAAGGGACTAGACATGTGCATGGGTTGGGTATGGGTCGAAATTCATACCCATACCCAACCCATCAGGGGTAAGGTAAACCCATACCTATACCCAACCCAACCCATATGGGTATGGGTTAGGTATGGGTCCCATATGGGTATTTTAGTTGCCTTCATGCCTTAATAATGCCTTACGCTAGTCTGAAATAGAGCTAGTTTACTTAGCTAATTATACATTATAATGCATGTAATTTTTGTTGTTTTAATCAATACCATCTATAATTAAAATTCAAACATTCAAAATTTGATACTAATAACTTAACATTAACTAGAACTACCTTCACCAGCATCACCACCACCACCACCACCATCGCTAGGTGGAAGGGCGCCATCATCACCACCACCACCACTATCGCTGGGTAGAAGGGCGCCGTCATCACCACTACCACCACCACCATTACTAGGTAGAAGGGCGCCATCTGTCACGGAGTTGATAATCTGTCAATGGTTAGAATACCGCCTACCATTTGTAGCTTAGCTTACTGCATACTGCCCATTTATTACTGCCGGATTGATGCCTTACGCACTTTCCAACTAACAACAATACTCTCGTCTTTACCATTCCAGACCGCTTGTCACAGGGCGGGCAGGTGAATAGAATTATACTAGGACTGGACAGACAGTATTGCATTAACTGGCAGGCTAAGACGAAGACGTAGCTTGAAGAGCTACATTCAGACAAGGTTCTGAGTTTACATGAGGTTGCGGGTCACGTGGCCCGCACTATCTGTCAAATGGAGGTCGACTACCAAGGAATAGTGGATTCTAGTGGGCAAATGAGAACGCAGTATGCGTACCAAAGAGTGTATGTGTATAGATTGTAGAATGGAGGAATCCCATTGTGGGATTCCAATGCTGACTAAAATAGACTAACTGTAAATGGAATCGGGCCTTTGACAGTAAACATAAGTCAGGTGATCGAGCAAACAGATAATAGCCGTATCACATGAACACCCGACACGTTTTAAGTGTCGGGTGTTCATGCGTGGCTCAACGAGGTCGCCTTGTAGCTTTTTAGATTCATAGGCCGTTTGAAGTATTAATTTGGTCTTCGTAAAACCTCTTGGTCATTTTGAAAGGATAGAGTATCATTGTTTTCTCAGATGAATTTGAGCGGACTTAGATCAACTACCAAACCTGGCGAGCGGCGAAGACAGCCTGATCGATCTAATAGACTGAGTAGTCCGATCTCCGCCTTTCTCGGTTTTTATATCGTGCAAGTGTAGTAAGTAAAGACTGATAAGGTTGTCGTTCAGCTTTTACGCTCTAAGGCAGATTTGAAGTCCCGCTGTAGAAGGAAGATTATCCTGAAGGTATAGGAAATGAACCTACATGCGCGGAGATTCGACTAAGAACCAGCTGATTATGACGCGTGCTGTGACTATTTTGCAGGTCGGCATCACAAGCCAAGGAAAACACTACCTCTTGTTGAGAGGAAATTTCAGAGCGGAGGCCAGATCCATTCGAGGGACCGCCGAGGAGCTGACGAGTCGCGCCCGTGATGCAGGGGAATTCGGAGCTCGGTGATCCAATCCAACGGCAAAAATGCCTCAAAACATAGTGGAGGGAAATTGGGAGGGGAAATGAAAAGCAAAAAGTTGGAGGGGGAGGGACTTTAATAGAACCACGCACGGGGAGCTATAGAGACATGTGGCGCTAAACTAGAATACTTAAAACTAAACCCGAAACGATTTCTACCGTAGCAGTCCGATATGGTGTAGTGGCTAACATCGCCGTCTCTCACACGGCAGCCGGGGGTTCGATTCCCCCTATCGGAGAACTATTTTTTCGACTTTTTTTGCGAACTGTCAACTCATTCAATAATTTTAGCAAGCTAACTAATTCACATGCGAACAGAACACATAGGCGAGTGGGACACCCAGAACACCATAGTAAAGTCCAGAAATCGAGTGTCATATCTCAACAACCATGACTCCGATAATATTTAAATATTCGGTGATATATCACGAAAAGAGACCTCATAAAGAATAAATTCATTTCAAGTAAAGTAGATAGATGGATTATAGTGGTACCATAAATTACATAAATTATAATGTAATTTATCTATTTTAGCTTTAACTACACTTTACTTGATGATTTCTAAATATTTCTTTACATATACATATATTTTCAACTAGAAACAATTCAAATTCAAGATTTAAAATCATTACTACTTGTGGCTGTTGAGATATGACATTCAATTTTTTCTAGTTTACTATGGTGTTCTGGGTGTCCCACTCGCCTATGTGTCCCGTTCGATGTGTTTTACTTTAGCAGGTTACAAGTAAGCCGAACTCTCCGAGAGTGCCAAGCCGAACCTTTCTCCAAAGCGGTAAAAAACTCAGCCGAACCTATCTAGCCTAAATAGGAAGGACATCACATGACAGTTGTGTAAATACCATAAATTAAACCTTGTGTTATAAAATCATGGTCGCATACTGTTGCGACAGCCGAGAAGCAAGGCCATCAACATACGGGAAGTAGTTCGGCCGAAAAGCTTCTGCCAAGACAGTGACTCTGGAACTAGATTAGTATATCACGGCATCCTTGAACGATATGCATTCATCGCAAACGACACTCTTGAGCGATGTGCATTCGCGACAGTAATGTCCCGTCTTCACCGTCTCTTCTGTCTCGGACAAATGTCAACATTCGTCCAGGACAGAGGAGCACCCATATACTATAAGTAGTGAAATGGGGAACGCTCTAGGCAGCACGGTCGGAACGTGCAGGTCGATTCAGCTAGGAAAAACCAACCACAATCACAAGGGAAGGCTCAGTAAGCGTAGGGAGTCAAAAAGTGAAGAGGTGTGTAAAGGTGGACATTCTGTAACTATCACAACTTCTAGATGAATGGTATCAGATGGTTCTGCCGTCTCAGACCGCTTTTTCCTTCATACTGTTTAGGGCTCCCCACTACAGTAGCTAGTTCTTTCATCGATGATAAAGCAGACTTCACAACAATCGCAGCATTCAGTATCGTAGCATCCACTACACTCGGTGGATTTTCTACGGTGTTGAGTAGCGGTTCGTTGAAGCTCACCAATTCTTATTTACTGCAATAAACTCCATATTATCTTACTGCAGTAAAGCCCCGTTCTCAGATATCGGCGACTAGCTAGCTACGCCCGCTAAAGCGAGCGACAGATACTCATTAGCTGCTTTTTAGCCGGCTAAAAGCAGGCTAAAAACTAGCTAATTCCATAATTTTTGAATAATGCTACTTAATCAATGGTTATTGCCAAGTTTAAATGAATGCTATAATAAGTGTAGTGAGGTTATTGGATGATAGTGCCATCTTATTGAGATTCATCGATATTCTATTTGATTCCATTTTTTTCTTTGATGAAATGTGGGGAAATATATATTGTTTTTTCAAAGCAATCACGCGATATCTATCAACAAAAAAATCAATATGTTCTAGAATCTAATAGATTATATAGATTATAGCATAGAAGAGCTGCAAATCCCAAGAGAAATTTCATTCAAACTTCAATTACTATCCATTCCATCAGACGTCTAATCATTTTCTTGACCTACAACTAAGCCTCTATAACTAGCTATTAACTAGTTATTAGCCGCCTAATATGTCGAAAGTGTATATACACTCAGCATATAAGTGGTATCAGGGCGCTGCATATGCTGAAATTGAAGCCCATCTCCCACCTCTGGCACCTGAGTTTTCGCTCGCGAGGGTAATATTCGAATACTATGACTGAGAATATTGTTCAATTTTTACTGCGGTAAAACTGTCGTGGAGTTTACTGCAGTAGAATCAAAGAGTTGGTGAGCTCCAACTAACTGCTACTCAACACCGTAGACAATCCACCGATCTGGTAGTAGATTCCTACTAGTTGAATATTGCAGTTGTTGTGAAGTTTGCTTTTTCATTGATGAAAGAACTAGCTACTTATAGTATATGGGTGGTCCTCTGTCCTGATCGAATATTGACATTCATCCGAGACAGAAGAGACGGTGAAGACGGGACATTACTGTCGCGAATGCACATCGCTCAAGGGTGTCGTTTGCGATGAATGTATATCGTTCAAGGATGCCGTGATATACTAATCTAGTTCCAGAGTCACTGTCTTGGCAGAAGCTTTTCGGCCGAAATACTTCCCGTATGTTGACAGCCTTGTTTCTCGGGTCGCAACAGATACTTTTCTACTTGTACGAATCTTACTACCTTGGAAAATAGCAGAATCCATGGATTTGTTGAAGCTGCTAGTTCGTGCGAAGTACGTAATGGTTTAGGATTCTGTTGCGACAGCCGAGAAACAAGGCCATCAACAGACGGAAAGTATTTCGGCCGAAAAAGCTTCTGCCGAGACAGCGACTCCGGAACTGGATTAGTATATCACGGCATCCTTGAACGATATGCATTCATCGCAAACGACACCCTTGAGCGATGTGCATTCGCGACAGTAATGTCTCGTCTTCACCGTCTCTCTTGTCTCGGACGAATGTTGACATTCGTCCAGGGCAGAGGGGCACCCATATACTATAAGTAGCTAGTTCTTTCATCAATGAAAATGCAGACTTCACAACAACTGCAATATTCAACTAGTAGGAATCCACTACCAGATCGGTGGATTGTCTACGGTGTTGAGTAGCGGTTCGTTGGAGCTCACTGTTCTCAGTAACGAGCGACTAGCTAGCTACGCTCGCTAAGCGAGCGACAGATTCCGTTTCTATTGTCCAGTTCTATAGAGTCAAGAGTTATGTTGTCTTAGTGGTGCCAACAGTAGTTCTGGAACTGTTAGCGGCTTCGGAACTTAAGATAACCAAAGGAATTTTGTAAAGAAAAGGAGTGAAGCTCTAGTTTCCACTTAAGTCTGTACTAAGCGTTTAGAGCACATGGGACACTTCACTGTCACTGTCTCAACATAATAGATTATCCACTGATAATTTGAATAGTGTCGCAGTCTAATTCACTCGAGTAGACATGTTCATTGGGTTGGGTATGGGTCAGAAATTTTACCCAAAACCCATATGGGTTGGGTATGGGTTTGAAGTAAAACCCACACCCAGCCCATAAACCCATCTTTTTGCCAAGACTTTTATTTCACGTGATATTTGTCACCTAGTTAGTACTAGATTGAGGCAAAAATTAGGCACTAAGGCACTAATTACCCTAATTTAGTTTAGGGTGAGGCGAAAATCAGGCATTAAGGCATCAAAAATACCCATATGGGTATGGGTTTACCTTACCCCTGATGGGTTGGGTATGGGTATGAATTTTGACCCATACCCAACCCATGCACATGTCTACACTCGAGGGACTGCTGAAGAGCTAACAACCCGCGTCAAAGATGCGGGGGTTCGGACCTCGGTGATTCGGTTCAGTAGTGTGACGAATACGCCCCGGTGATCATGCGAACCGTATTCTGCCAAGACTCACCGCCTTTGGCGCGTGTTAGTTTTACTGCAGTAGAAGAGAGCTTACCTCTCTTCTTCCCTTCTCTAACTTAGAATCTGTCGCTCGCTTAGCGAGCGTAGCTAGCTAGTCGCTCGTTACTGAGAACGGTGCTTGAGTTCTTACTGCAGTAAAAGGGAATTGGAGTTCACTGCAGTAGAAAGGAGTTGGTGAGCTTCAACAAACCACTACTCAACACCGTAGACAAACCACCAAGTGTAGTGGTCTCTACAGTACTGAATATTGTGGTTGTTGTGAAGTCTGCTTTTTTATTGATGAAAGAACTAGCTACTTATAGTATATGGGCGCCCCTCTGCCCTGTACGAATGTCAGCATTCGTCCGAGACAGAAGAGACGGTGAAGACGGGACATTACTGTCGCGAATGCACATCGCTCAAGGGTGTCGTTTGCGATGAATGCATATCGTTCAAGGATGCCGTGATATACTAATCTAGTTCCAGAGTCACTGTCTCGGCAGAAGCTTTTTCGGCCGAAATACTTTCCGTTTGTTGATGGCCTTGTTTCTCGGCTGTCGCAACAGAATCCGACTTCGTTGACACAACTCCTTGCGTAACAATCCGTAGAGTTTAGGTCCGTTACAAGTAGCAAAAATTTCTCAAAAAATGAGGCGTAAGAAGGACATAAATTTGGAGGGGAAAACTTAAACGAGGGGAAATGAGGGGCTTCCAATTTATAGGACCACGCATATATACATGATTGGTAGAAGATAAATTATTTTTAGCGAGCTAAGCGTTGATACGCTGCAACTAGTCCTCTAGTTTTTAAGGCGAAATAGAGAGGCTATTTATAAAGGAGGCGTCACTATAAAATTGATTCATAGCCTTTATCGCATGGATGGGAATAGTGGAGGTAGCTGGAAATCAGTAAATTGATCATTAATCGTAGTTCTAAAATATGGACATTCTTGTAGTCTGAAAGCTGAGTCAGTATGAGTCAGTTAGTATGAGTCAAGGAAGGGGCCTGATTTTCCGTACTTAAAACCCTTATTTCTACCCCATATCAAGCCTTATCTTAAGCCGCATGTCACACAATTTGTGCAATACCCCACTAACCATGTTAAACCCTCCGTGTTCCATTGATGTGGAGAACGTTTTCGGCCCCACTGTCGCGTCTTCTTGTTTACATGGTTTTGACTTCACTCTCTTGTTCGAAGAATACATCTTCACACTAGCACCCCTAGGCCTTGTTTGTTTCACGGCATTTCTTCGGATTTGGAAGTTACAGGGCGCCTCTGAAAAGGTCAATTGGTCATGGTCTTATGCCGCAAAGGGGGTACGTGACCAAGACAATACTGAACGTTGTTCCCGCTAACTTACAACTTACACAGCTATCTTGGCTACTCTGCATATTATGCCATAGTGTGCTGCTAGCTCTATGGACTCGAGAAAACACTCCCAAAACCAAGGCGACACTAAGCACAATATGTATTACGATCGGCACGTCGTTGGTTTTGATGTACTTGTCTCATCTGGAGCATTTTCGCTCAATAAGCCCATCCACAGTTATCAGTGTTTTTCTCGGCACTACGCTTCTATTTGACCTCACTCGCCTACGGACCTTGTATTCCATGCCGGATTCTCGCTCCATGACTACTTGGTTTGCCATATCGTGGGTCATCAAAATGATCACCCTCATCCTAGAGGCGAGAGAGAAGCAACCTCTGCTCAAAAGAAAATATGAAAACAGCCCGATTGAAGCAACAAGTGGAGTACTAAATCGTGCTTTTTTCTGGTGGCTGAATAAATTGCTTTGGCGTGGATCTAAGGCCCAGCTAACAGTGGACAGTCTTCCAGCACTTGACGACAACATCAAAGCTGCCTCTGATCCTCGCTTGCTCTTCGAAAAATGGAACAAGGGTATGCCCGGAATCTTCATCTTTTCTTATTGAACTATCAATTGATATACTATCCTAGTCAACACTTATCATTCGAACGCACTTCTGTGGACTATAGTGTCTCACTACAAATTAGATTTCCTAAAAGGTGTTCTTCCCCGATTGGCATTTACTGGCTTTTGTTTCGCGCAGCCATTTCTAGTGGAACGTGTGATCAACTTCATGACAGAGCCAGAACATGTCAATTCGGTTAACTATACCTACGGCCTTATTGCTGCCTATGCTTTCGTGTATATTGGTATCGCCGTATGTTATCTGTCGCGGTCGATGAAGGCATTGCTAACAAATTTAGATCTCCTTTGCTGCATACGAGCATCAGACAAATCGTATTATTACCATGGTTCGGGGAAGTTTAGTGACCCTCATTTTCGATAAGACATTGCGTATGAGTACCTCCGTTGTTTCTGATTCCACTGCAAGCACGTTAATGAGTAACGACATCGAACGCATTGCAAGTGGTCTTAGGGAGACTCACGAAGTGTACGCCAGCATCATTGAGGTTACACTAGCTCTGTGGCTGCTAGCACGACTTTTGAATATGGCAATGATTGCGTCTACTATATTTGTTTTCTGTAAGCCTTAACAAACCTAGTTATTGATCTATAGCTGACTTGAGCATTAATAGTATGCTTGTTGGCGGGAGTTCCGCTAGGAGTTGCATGTGGAGACTCGCAAGGAGTATGGTTAGAAGCCGTTGAAGACAGAGTTGCTGTAATAGCAAAAGTTCTCGGGGTGATGAAAAATGTCAAAATGACAGGTTTGACAGAAACCATTTCCACCAGTCTTCGGAACCTGCGATCCGCGGAAATTGAAGCTTCGTTCCAATTCCGCCTCTATGAAACCCTAGGAGTCACCCTATGTAAGTAACTAAATTTGATAATAAGATCTTGGCTAATTTCATAGCGTATGCCTCCTCAACTCTTGGACCAGTTTTTGGATTTGGTGCCTACATCATAATTGCGCGCGTGCACGATTCAGCTACACTTACGAATGGGGTTGCATTTTCGGCACTTGCACTTTTCTCATTGTTGGATCAACCACTGGGAGCTATTGTAAATGGCGTTGAAGATTACATGGCGGTTGTTAACTGCTTCCAACGGATTCAAAAACATTTGTTGGCGAGGGAAAGAATCGATTATCGACTGAAACATGACTCCCAAAGTTCTCTATCATACTCTCTTATTGAGACTGAATTTTCAACTGAACCCCAGGATACTAAGCCATGTGCTATAATTCGAAGCCTCTCCGCATCGTGGGCGGTTGATAATGAGCCTGTTCTAAAGGATCTAAATCTTGACATTCCATCGTCCAAGATCACAATGATCGTTGGACCTGTGGGAAGTGGAAAATCTTCTTTCCTGAAGCTACTACTTGGTGAGATTCCTGAATGTTCCGGTACAATTTCTACCAGCTTTACCCATGCCGCGTATTGCAGTCAGTCGCCATGGATTACATTTGGAACGATACAAGAAAACATAATTGGATCATTATCATGGAACCAAACCTGGTATAACCAGGTGATCAAAATATGTGCTTTAAAATCTGATTTCCAACAACTTTCCGCCGGCGATCTAACCAAGGTCGGTGTTCTTGGATCTAGGCTCAGCGGTGGACAGAAAATGCGGGTGGTATGTTGCTCTAAATTTATATTTACTGGTCTGTGAGCTAATTCATCTCTAGGCGCTTGCGCGGGCTCTTTATTCAAGAGAGTCAGTTCTTGTCTTGGATGACGTTCTGACAAGTCTGGATCGTGAGACAGAGAAAATCATCCTGGAGAATTTATTTTCGGCCCACGGCATTATAAAGCGCTCTGGGCAAACAGTGGTTATGGCAACAAATTCAGGTTCGTGTATCTGAGATTCTCAATATCTCTCTAATTCATCTTCATATACACATCCCATATCCTATGGATGCAAATCTTTTGTCTTTTTTCCCCATTCTTTTTAAGATGAGCTATAATATTGAACTGATACGTCACTTTTGTAGTGCATCATCTACCCTTTGCAGATCACATCATTGCATTCAATGAGAATGGAAGAGTCATTGAAAACGCCTCTTACCAGCATCTCATGAACGCCAATAGTCATATTAGCACCACTTCCGAAAGCTCACGGCCACTGAATACCACACGAGCCTCTGACTTCGTGTTAGATGACGAAACACTCCAGGGATTGAACATAGATGAAGAGCAGACAGATGACCTAAGTCGGCGGACCGGAGATTTGACAGTTTATTTTTTCTATTTCCAAACTATTGGCTGGCCCCTATTGATAATCTTTCTCCTATGCTGTGTTCTGTTCATTCTGAGTCTCAGCTTTCCACGTGAGTTTGCAAGTGTTGGAAAACTATGTTTAATTGATACTGACCTACCCTGAAGAAATATGGCTACAGTGGTGGACCCGTGCCAATGAGCAGCATTCTAACCAACGTATCTGGTATTGGTTAGGTATTTATGCCGCACTTGGACTCTTTTCTCTTCTGATGACCTTTCTTGGCTCATGGTTCGTTGATGTCTTGATTAAGCTAAGTCTTCCCCGTTAACTTTCTATAGGATCATCATAATGATTGTACAACCCAGAACGTCTCGCTGCTTTCACGAGATTCTTTTGAAGACTACTATGAGGTAGGATAATAAAGCCGGTTTTGAGTTTGACCTCTATGGTACTAACTTCCAATCTAGTGCGACAACTTCGTTCTTGACTTCAACAGATATCGGCAAAACCACAAACAGGTGGGCACATACTTCTTCCTCCATTTTTCTCTTCTTTTTAATTAACACATTTTATTATAGGTTTAGTCAAGACCTAGAGCTAATCGACAGCGAGCTCCCTGAAACGCTTGAACGAACTGTCAATGCTGTGTTGAGTTGCATCATTGAAGGATTTCTGGTGTTTATCGGCTCTTCCTACATTACAGTAGCAGTGATCCCATTCTGCGTTCTAGCAGTATATTATTTGGCAAACTTCTACGTCAAAACCTCTCGTCAAATGCGTCTCTTGGACATAGAGGCCAAAGCACCCCTATTTTCCCAATTCCTGGAAGCCCAGGATGGTCTCTCCAGCATTCGCGCCTATGGCTGGGTAGAAGATTACCAGTGTCGCAATCGAGCTGCATTGGACGCCTCTCAGCGCCCTTTCTATCTGCTTTATTGCATTCAGCGCTGGCTGACCCTTGTTTTAGATTTGATGGTAGCAGCTATTGCTGTTATCGTCATATATGTTGCATTATACATGAAGGGCAGTCCCTCTATGAACTTGTTGGGGATTACGCTTTTCAATATTGTCAATTTTAGTTCCACTCTTCAGTCGCTTGTGAGCAACTGGATTCAACTGGAAACTTCTATTGGTGCGGTTGCTAGGATTCGCTCCTATACGCAGCAAACAGTTACCGAGAACCTGGATTGCGAGACAGAGGTTGTTGCTAGAAGCTGGCCTCAACGGGGTTGTGTTGAGATTTCCGGTCTCTCTGCGTCTTATGAGTAGGTTTTCAGATATGTGTTAAGCTAGAATTGCTCTGACTTCCCGGCTTTTTAGAGTTACGTCAGATCCCGTTCTCAGAAATATTGACCTGCAAATACATTCCGGTGAAAAGATCGCTCTATGTGGCAGGACTGGCAGGTTTGTATTCCCTCTTAATGATTTGCAAAAAAGGTACTAAAGAAAAGCTTAGTGGGAAATCATCCCTTTTTTCAGCGCTTTTACGAATTCTGGAACCAACCAGTGGCACCATTTCCATTGATGGTATGGACATCTCAAAGGTCTCCAGAGCACATGTTCGATCTCAAATCAATACCATCCCCCAGCAGCCGTTCTTCTTAAGAGGTTCAATACGACTAAATGCCAACCCAGAGAGTAATGCCACTGACGAAACAATCATATATTCCCTTCGAGTAGTCAATCTATGGTCCGATATTGAATCCAAAGGTGGACTTGATATTGACTGGTCAGACGAACTTTTGTCCTATGGCCAACAACAGCTTTTTTGTCTTGCACGAGCAATGTGCAAGCCCAGCAATCTTGTCATTATGGATGAGGCGACTAGCAGGTGAGTAACGAAGACTCGATCTACACGGCAGCGCTGACATGTTATCAAGTGTGGATTCCGAAACAGATATGCTTATGCAAACTGTGATTCGGGATCATTTCAAGAACCAAACTATCATTGCTATTGTGCACAAACTGCATACAATTCTTGACTTTGATAAAGTTGCGCTTATGGATAATGGGCAGATTGTGGAATTCGATACACCGAAGGCGCTCCTGTCAAGGGAAGGATCTGCTTTCAAGATATTGTTTGACACATTTCACGGCAAACCGGAGTAATGAGAAGATTTTAGAAGATTAGATGTAGAAGAAAATGCAATTTCCCAATGTGGAAGCCGGAAGGTATTTGCAACAACTGAAAGTGATATAAGCAGCAAGACATGGATCGTACATTTAAAAATGACTTTGCCCTTCTTGAAAATCCACATTTACTTCTAGTTTATACTTCGCAGTGCCTGTGCCACCCTGGTACCATGCGCTCAAAAGTCCTCCCCGATCGGTTAGCTCAATCTAGTGATACCTGGGCTACTATCGCTGCAAACGTCTCTCCGTTCATGGCCCTAATCGGCAAACGGAATTCCAAAGAATCTATGCGCAACACCGCATTATGGTATCAGTTTCTGCCACTGGCAGCCGCAGCATTGGGGATCTTGTCCATCCTGGTCAGCGCAATCCGTCTCAGTGGGTCTGGTTTCTTTAGTTGGCTGGTCAGTTGAAAGTCCGAGCCTAGGAGCGAAGCGCTTGTGGAGCTGGCGCCATTGAGTGTGAAACCCGCGAGGTCAATGTGGACACATAGAGTATGGAGATACTACCGCAGTATGACTTGGATCGTGCGGCGATGGTGCGCGGCTAATGAGAAAGATCTGTGGAACAGAGATAGTTCGGGAATTAGGTGAGATGGTTAGATTGCTGGAAAAGCAGCTCATGGATGACCGAGGTAAGCACAATGCAGACAACCTCCACGGCAGCCATCAATATTTCGCTTGCGCAAAGAATTTACTAATGGGATTGAGCTTCGCTGCTCTGATGGTCGGCATTCAGGGCTATTGAAAGGTGGCAGCATAGTGCAAACACTCGCAATAGGACTCGCTGGCACGCTGGGATCTTTCTCTACACAATCGGTCTACTGGCGATAGTTAAGAGCGAAGTTGATGTGGTGTCAAAGTCCATGCCTGAGTGCTTCATTGATGCGATCTGGACATTGAGCAATGCTAGACTTGCGAAGCATCGGCTGACTTACAGACTGACGCTCAATACTTTGGCTGTAGCTCGACCATCCTTGGTGTCTTCAATTAATAAACGAAGAGAGACACTGACTACGATACTGACTGCTGTCTTCTGTGGATTTTACATTGCTTTCTACCTTGGCTTGCGGGTTGCTTCGTGGTGGCTTCCATCCAGTGTGCTTTTCATCATTTGACTCGGTTCTGTATATCAGGGTATGACCCCTCGCAACTTCCTATGGCAACGCCAGAAAGCGAAGTAGATACTGCTGAGCATTATATTGGTATGTTCCGTAATAGATTGTCTGAATCCATACTTGTCACGCTGGGATGTGCTGATATCCGGCCAAGTCAAGTGAATGAAGGACTCAGTACTGCGAGCGGTGAAACTACCCCGGGGTTAGTATGGACGAGTCACCGATGCGTCGATTTTGCTTTATGGAAGGAATTTAACTCCAGCAGTCTCATGCGATATGTGATGAAGATAATTCACGTGTGTTTGGATCATGAGGGCGAGCTCACAACCCATAAGTTTTATATGGATATCGCGGCCAAATTGTTGCATTTAGGCAGGTCAGAATGAATGTCCATACTAACGAGGATAATTGCAGATTGGATGTTGATCAAGAAAGGGTGGGGTTTTGAGGGAGTTAATCGAGCAAAGACAGAAATGGTTAGCTACGAAGTAACGGCGGAGTAATAAAGTCTGACTACATTATTCAGAAAAGAATTCGGAGCCATATGACACTTGTGCTGCGGCAGCTACTAGATTGTTTCTTCTCGGGCTTGATAGCCGTAGAACCCTTTCCCAGGGTCAGATTCATTGGAATTGAGTTAATCATTCACATTAATAGCACTACCGAGGGCAGATAACGTTGCTATTTGGTAGCTTTGATATTGCGGAAATATATCATCAAAATCCTTTGAGGCTTTCAAATTGACGAAACAATTCTCTCTCTCTTGTTGGACTCGATAGCACTTATTCGTCAACTGGATGTAATGTGGCAGGGTAATTGCATTTTTCAATTGGAGATCCACTCAATCTCCTCCAATTTCGATCCCGGTCGAAATAATTTTCGTATTGCTTTAGTGCACCCTCGCGAGCCGTTATCTCATTTTTCGTGTCGGATATGTTGTCTTCAATGATGGGAACTTCCGTAGAAAATATTATCAAATGTTCTGACGATTTCGACGTGATAGTCAGTCGAGTCGGTGGAAATTTCATCTCGAAAAATGAAGATGAAGATGTAGATGTAGATGTAGGGGTTCTGCTTGCTTCGACGTGATCGTGATCGAGAGTGTGGGATGATGATAGGGAAGAACGACAGGAGTTGGAGCAGAAGAGGTTTCCTGACGTCTTCCTACCGCAAGTTGGACACTTTTCATAGAGCGTCGACATTGTTTGTTTTTGTCCTTTTTCTAGTCGAGCGTGGATACTGTATTTAATGTAGACGGTTTCCTGTTGAGATGACGGATGACATTATTTGTAGATCTCGATCCGCCAGTAATCAGTCAGCTCGTATAAAGACCCGACGACCCATACTGAGATTTAGAAACGGCCGTGGGTGGCTTATGCTTCCTGGTCGGTTACTTGCTTTTGGGTGGCCTTAAGTTTGGCAATCCATGGTTGATAATAACTTCACGACGCATTTAGATTTGATGTGGGGAAATTTCCCAAAGGATATGTGATTGTGAGGGAACAAGAATAATGAACAAACTTCAAACTGACAATAATTTGGCCAAGTCAATAGAAATATAATCAATAGAATGACTAAATGGTACGATAACCCGCCAATAGAATTACGGCCTTTTCAAGAAGGTAGCTCGAGTGACTTTGACAGCTCCGCTGGTAGCTATGTATCACACCAAAGATAGCCTCGGCCAAATATGCGTCAAGCTCGGCCCACTCGAAATGATGCCTAACACTGGAGTACATGACTGGAGAAGTATTCATCCAATTCCTGTTCGATGGAATCGCCTTCAAGGATCCCAGCGATATAGTGGTCCGGACGAAGCAAATACCCAAAGTCTTTCTTCAGTCCAACCAAACCACAATTGGAGTTCCACTTGAATCCAAAGAACTGCACATTCATCTTGCAGCACCATTCCACCAACTCTGGTCGCTGGTCACCGTATACATGAAGCTGCCAGCTAATGTCGTGTAATGTCGAGAAATTGTCGGCCGATTCGGTTCTAGTCCATGGCAAGCGGTCACCTGGCTGTACTATTCCCGGGCTATGATTTCTTAGGTTCAAGGGACTTCCCCTATAGGTACAGACAAGCTGAGACGCACGTCGAAAAATTTCCATGCGCGCAGACCGAAACGGTGTGATTAGTGGTGCGGCGTATGGGATGATCCAGGAGCGAAGCATATGCGGGAGGAATCCTGGTGCAGTGAGAGCAGTAAAACCTCGGTCTGTGGCACCAACTATTGTAAGCGCGAAGGCTCGGCGCTCGGTTTCGTATGAATCGAGAAGATTGTTTTTAGACTCTTCTGACATGTTAGGCTTTTTGATTGCCGTAGCGAGCTTCCATGCTAAATTTATGGCATCCATGATGCCGGTGTTCATGCCCTGGCCACCTACTGGACTGTGTATGTGGGCAGCATCTCCGACAAGAAATGCGCGATTGCTGCGGAACTTTTCGGAGACCCTGTGGTGGCTGCGGTATGGTGAGAACCACTTGACATCTTTGATGGCAACTCTTAATGTCTTTTCAATGTCGGGCAGCACATTTTCAAATGTGAGCTCCGGGGTATTTGCTGACATGCTGAGTTGCTGCCCATCATTGCTATTGTCTTTGTCAACTTTAGTACCAATCAGCCGTACACGTCCTCCCTGTTCATATGGAAGGATGAGGTTGAATGTCTCTTCCACAAATGCCAGATGTGCTTCGCCATTAAAAAAGGGGCTCTCATTTCCTTTGGCATTGATATCGGCAATGTAGAACAGCGGAATGTACGTATCGCCTTCAAATTTAGCCCCGATAATATGCCGAACTGTAGAGTGTGCACCATCACAGCCAACAATGTAAGCAGCGCCGCATGTGGTCTCGTTATTGTCTTGGAGTAGTGTTGCAGTTATGGATGACGCGCGATCCACGAAATTCTGTAGTTTTGTGCATCGCTCAACAAAGATGCCCAAAGTGTTCAGTCTTTTCTCGAGAAGGCGCTCGTGGTCATCTTGTGGTATCGCCAGCATATAAGGATATGGAGTCAACTCATTGCCAAAGTCCTTCAATGAGATATGCGCGCGGTGCTGGCCATCAACCCATATATTTGTTGCTGGGATCTTGTATCCGGCAGCTAAAATATCTTCTGCGAGGTTTAGTTGACGGTACAATTCCAGGATCCGCGCATGGACGACCAGCGCACGAGAGTTTGGGGCTGGCGCTTCTGCTTCGTCAATAATTCGAAAACTCAAGCCTTGCTTATAAAGCCATAGAGCTAATACAAGGCCTGTAGGCCCTGCGCCGACAATAAGGACGTCTGTCTGGGGCATGCTGGAGCACAGAAAGACGAGAGCTTACATAGGATAAATAAAAATCACACTCAGGTGCGATTGCGCTTTACGCATCTTTTCAAGTAGAGAGATTGGTTCTCGATGGCCTTTAATCGCTACTTTCCTTCGTGGAACGGAAGACAACTCTCTTTAGTATGATCCTAACACAAAGGTATTGCAGTACGACACGAATAAAAGCTTATGGGCTCCCCAAGTCATCATTATTCCTATCGTTTCACGATATTGTCCCGTTTATTCCATTCCATTAGACCATTATTCAACAAGAAGCTGATCTTCGATATATAGACCAAAGTTTGCAATGCAGTGGATTGGGTTGGGAAGAAAGCTACATGCTGAGCGACTTGCAAGTTTTCCTTCTGCTGTAATCTTTCACAATTTTGGAACTAGTCAGTAGGAAACATTCGTAGCACAAGTTGCTAGGGTAAGATGTTTGATGTTTCAATGCATTTTCAATCATATTGAGGCCTGATATTTCAGGCATACTAGTACCCGATCAATCAGGCGCACATGAAGATCTGATTAATCGGTTGCCTGTTTCAGATTAAAACCGTAAACCCTTTCATCTTATCAAACTTTGCATGAAATTGAAGAAAGGGGAAGGAAATTCAAAGAATTCTTCACACTACGTGTAGAGCTGAGAGCGAGGGCATTTGTGACTTGTCTCGAGGTTCAAGGATCACTGCCGCATACCTCCAGCTTGTCCCTCTCGCTCCGCTATCATGATCATCGATATCAACATAACATGACACCTTTTTTTTCCCGATTTCGTGATGCTGTTTCTCGGAGGGTAAAACCTCCTCCAAAACCAACTGCTTATAAACATTCTCCATGGGAAAGACTTCCCGACAATGTCCTGGTCTCGTTGCTTACATTTTGTAAGTTGAAGGATATTGCATCCTTGGCGTTGACGTGTCACTCGGTGTATTCCAGGCTTGTGAAGAACGAAAGTGCTATCGCTCGTTCATGGCTCAATTTCCGTATAAACATTTGCGCGCCGCCTTACAACGATCATGATTTTGAAAATGATATTGGTCTGTCGCCAAGTGATGACCTTACATTTATCGCCTCGCTCTTCCCTCCACCGCCACCGTTGTATGCGATTGGTGACGGTCATGAGGATGCTGACTATTCTATCGCGTACTTGGCCGACTTGGAATCATGCTGGACGACATGTATTCGACTATGCTATCATTTGGCCGATCACACAGTCCGACACCATTTGGACACAGACCCAGTCATATGGCAACTTTGGAACTCTTCCAAGACTGAGACAGAATATGTCTACACCAAAGCGGTTGAAACCCTCCAGAAAAAGCTACTTCCTTCAATGTAAGGAATCTAGTCGTAATATCTTTATTTCAGGAACCAAATATGGCTAACATATACTTTGTCAGGGCTTATTGCATATTTTTCCTTGAATCTGCTGCATCAGATGGTTTAGACTTGAATTGTTCTGGTCAAGCCATCTATCTTTCAACATCAATCAGGAGACAACAGGCAATATTGCAAAAGCCGCCCTTTACTGACACCCAAGTTCTGATTTCCACCCAGCACTGTATGCAGCTCATGTGCTCAACGGTCCGTCAGCTTATGAGCCCCAATATACCTCACTCGTCTTCAGAAAACTGGGTCGCTCTACTCCTTTCAACCTGCACACTTAAGAAAATTGTTGAATTCTTCGCTGCAATTGCGAAGGACGAGGAAATGAATGCTTCTCGATCGCATCATCGTTCGTGGAGTCATCGAAAGCAGTACTTGTTGGAGATGCGAGAGACTCTAGGCCAATATATTCCATCGGCCAAGCAAACTCGCCATACAGCATCAAAGAGTAAAAGTGTGCTTCCTACCCTTGATCAAGTATGGTTTGGAGCCGCGTATCGCGAATTACGTCAGCGCGAGGCAATCCCGCATCCGGCTGAGTATCCAATTCATATTCTACACGGCTCCGAGATGATATTAGGCTGCAAATACTGTGACAGATGATAATGCGACCTCGGGCAGCGAGACATATTCAGGTTTTACCGATGTGCGACTAGATTAACTCATTTCAAATATTTGATGAAGCTTTGTTTTTCAACGTTGAAATAGACAGTTATAGTTTAGCCTGAACAATACCATCGATATCTAGTTGGCTGGAACTTTGGAACCTTGCCTAATCGGGGATAACCTCGTTCGGACTTCGGGTTTTCGGACTCCCGACCACTACAAATATCAATATTCAGTCACTCCCTATCGAGTAAGGCCATTTGGAAACGAATACGTGAAGTATAGAAGTTTAAGGTATCAAGATATCTTCAATCTTCGCTTTTAGAGTTACAACTACATGAGGACTGGTGCAATGTCAGCCGTAAGTATCCCCCAAATCCAGGTTCAATAAGTATCGGCCTTCCTGTGTTACCTAGGAACCAATGTGTATGTGTCTTGCTACTTATGTATAGAAGCTAATAGTCTAGTAGTGCGATTTGTGTCACTCAAGAAAGGTGAGATGCCGTCTATCATCTGAGTGGTTGCAAGTCGTTCATACTAAACTAGAAAACCAGGTCAAATGTGATCGTCAAGATCCTTGTTTGAACTGCACGGAAGCTCACGCCGTGTGTTCTCGCACCCGTCAAGCCAGAATCCACAGGCCTCGAGTTTCTCGGTATGTGTATCCTGGAAATGTGATCTGTCAATGAGATAGCTGACCGGGATTAGTCTCGATGCATTGGCCGAGAGATTGGCAAAACTGGAAAACTCCACTGAAGAGAATTTTGTTTTTTCTTCAGCTTCACCAGCTACTGCAATCAGTGAGCCCCGAAATTTACCTCCGTCGCCCCAGGTAAAGTCCACAGACTTCGACCGTGTTTTCAAGAAAAGAAAGCAGCAGCCATTTGGAACACGCTCTGCTAGCGAATCGAGTCGAAATAACTCTGACGGAAAACGGAAAATCCCTCAAATCTCCCAGAGCATCGAATCGGTCACTCATAGAGAGTACCCTTCTCTAGGCGAGACACACGATGCCAGTGAAGCACGCGAGTACATCGAGCATGAGCTTCAATGGAACCCAGCCCTTTCACATGATAGGCGTACTGCCCTAGAGGTCGCGCTTAAATTCGTTAGCCAGCTATCAAATCCAGGGCTTTATCAACAGCAGAATAGTACAGTGGAGCAGTACGTCGAAGTCGAAGATCGCTTGGAACATCCCATTCTCACTCCAGAGTTGTTGTATACGATGCTACCAGGTAAGCACCAGGGCTCTCTTTGAACTTAAATTTCTCAACTACGACCAGCTATTAACTGTACAAGGGCCCGATAAAAAAACCAACTCCCAAGGCATAATTCTCTGGCCAGACCACATATCTAATAAATGCCTAGAACGAATGGGGCTCGCTATTATCGAAGCCAGTGAGAATGAGCAATTACTCCATTTGTATCGGATTATCGTGGCCATGAAAGCTATTCAATGCATCTCGAAGCTGTTACCCCTGGTATCGAGTGAGCGCTTGAAGATTCATTTTCGAACACTGAAGAAACAGTATGAAATGGCTGCGCTTGAGGACTTGAACTCGATTCCCCTCATGACTCCCCCTAGTCTTGTTCTACTGCAAGCCCTCTTATCGGGTGTAGGTTCTCGGCTCCTGTTTCTTGATAGTGTCTTGCTGATCTCTCTCCAGAAAGCCTTGTTCCAGATCTTGGGCGATATGGAGCGCTGTTGGATGGTCACTGCATCTGCCTGTAGAGTCCTCGTTGCACTCAACTACCACAACATCATTAGTACTGTGCCCCAGAATGATGTAGAAGATGATATTCACGCTTGTATATATACATGCTACCATTACGATAAGACACTGAGCTTACTTCTGCTTCGACCACCTTGTCTGCCGGAGCTGAGGGTTAACCCTACGCAGCTGGTACATTTGGATCCCGAGCTACCCACTACGGAAGTAATGATTGAAATAGTGCAACTCGCCGAACTTAAGAGCATCTTCGTTAACACGATTCTCGATACGAAGAATATGGGCGCTATGGAAAAGGCCGGTATCTTGTCTGATATCGTTTTACGAGCGAAGAGCATCTACTCAAATGCTCAAATTGTAAGTCCTTAATAGCTGTAAATTCTTTCTTGAGCAGGCTAATAGATTATTAGTATCGGAGCCGTCAAGAGCATGATTTTCCTGAATTATGGACGCGTTTACGGCGGAATTGGCTTTCGATAGATTTCAACTACTACTCTGCGCTGACCACATTCATCCAAGCCCGCTCCTCGGCTCTGAAATCTCGACTGGTCTGCGAAGATTGTCTCTTCGCAGCCCGAAAGACACTGACTACACTTCAAGATTTGTTGGGGGCAGTTGACGATACGGATTCAGTGGACTCATATCCTTATTTTCTCACATGGTATGCATGCTTTTAGATCTGATTGCATATTGAATATGAAGGTAACAGCAATGCTAACTACCTCGTGATACACGGTATAGGACTATGCTTCTCTTCCCTCTGACACCTTTCTATGTGTTATTTTGCAACGTCGTCGCAACGTCCAACCTCCGAGATTTTGAAATGATCAAAAAGATCACAGATGACTTGCGCCAGTTCACCAAAGCGAATGCCTCCATTGGTAAACTTTACAGACTATTTTCCAAGTTTCTAGACCTCAGTGCTCCATTGATTAAAACGAATCCCGGTGGTTCGTTTGAACAACCCTCTGATGCCACTGATCGGCAAGGACACTCGGAATTTCTTGGTCCTGGTGCGGACGCAATACTGATCTCACCACCAAGTCCAGCCCCTAATCAGATGCCACAATCAGTAGAGGGGTGGAATGACAGTCTGATGTGGGAGCTGTTTGATAATCAGCCATCCCTAGGATGGACAGAGTCGGAGTTATGGGATGCAATGACACAGCTATAGTCTATATGAGCTTATTATAACAATATCTTTTTTTACTTTGATATCCTATGCAATTTTCCCAGTAACGTAATCGGGTGAATCAGATTAGTATGTGAAGGCTATTTACTCATGTAACTCCTCAAAGGACACAGTCCCAATAAAAGAGACAAGCAAGACAAAAGAAAAAGTAGAAGTAAATCAGACGTGCATCCGGGATTTTAGCCAAAAGGAACTAAAGGAGAAAATGCTCGACGTGTGCATGGGCATGCAGAAGGTGGCTGTGGTCTATATAAAACGCGCAGTCCAAGTATTATAATACAGTATTAAAGCAAACGGCTTGAAAATCATGTCTATCATGAGATCAAGACCCAGAGAAGGAAGAAAATCTATAATAGATGTTAGAATGCGGTACTGAGCAGTAATAAAACGGATACTCACCATAAGAATACCAAACATCTTAGCAATAAGCCATCTGTTCCCGGAAACACGAGTCCAATACTTCATCAATTCACGTTGGGCACCTTGCACATTGTCCACAACGTCTTCTGTATTAGCGTCAATGCGCTGAACCATCTCAGCCTGTTCGCTAACCATCTGAGCCAATTGACCGAAGATACCACCGAGTTCATTAATGGTCCTTTCAATGGCTTCAATGGCTTCGCCACGGGCCTGAATGTAAGTGTTACTCGTCTGGCCTTCTTCCATTACCAGTAACTGTTGGTCTGATTGCATTGATGAGCGTCCGAGAGGCGAAGGGTTTGAGGGATCGAGTGTCAAAAGATCGGACGAGTTTCCTTGGTATCCGGGTTGAGGAGTTCGTCGTCCCGATGGATTGTATAAAGGCGAATCGGAGCGCTGCGAGTCCAGGGCAGTGTGCGACTTGGATGAAACGGAAGATACAAAGTTCTCTGTTCTTGTCCGAGACGCTTGAATATTCTTCGTGCGCACTTCCAGGACTTCCTTGAAGCTAGCCCCAACATCTGCGAGCTTTCCTTGCAGCATCACAACAACCTGATAGGAATCAGTAATGTCCATACACTTCGCATCATCTTACTCACGTTGTCATTGTGCTCTCCCTCCTGATCCGTTTTTGAACGGTTCACCTTCGGGTGTTGCGCTTGTGTCAAAGCCTGTAGGCCAGCAATTTGCTGGTTCAGCGAAGCCAAGTCTTGCTTGATAACGTATGTTAATTCAGATATCTCAACGGGTCGGTCATCGAATAAAGTTTTGCGCTTCGCCACTAATTTCCGTGTTAACTCAAGATATCCTTTATGTCTTTGAGATCGCAGACCTACACTCCGCTAGTCGCTGGAGCTTCGCCGTGGTTCCGGCGATTCCTCTTCCAATGTCTCGCGCATGACGGGCGAACTCTGACCGCGCACCCTTTGCATCATGTGCGCCTGATGGAGAAGAATTGGCTTGTCTCCTTTGTGTATCTGTCAACAGTGCCTGGCGCTGTGAGCCAACTTTCGAGGTGCCAAGACGTTTCTGGGTTTGTCCTAAGATAGCGCTGAACTCGCTCGTGCGATCTTGAATCGATGGACCAGTCATTGCGGGAGGTATGACGGAAAGAGAAAGTGAAACTGATATGACGGGTGGGCTCAAGTCAAAGGAAGTGGGGGTCAAGGCGCTGGAACTAGGGTGGTGTTTCGAGTCGTTGGTTGAAATGCTAATCCGTAATCGATAAGGGGGAATGAACGGTAATATGATCGATTGCAGTGGAGGCGTTCAAAGTTTAATATTAGATGAAAGAAGCGAACATAGAAAAGAACTGGGACTCGTAGTGAAAACAGCCTCAGATCTGGAAGAGATTACAGCACAGCGCAATCCGGATTCCCTTCTTCAACCGAAATGAAACACGTCGATCGCGGCAAAGTCAGGTGATGCTTGGCGTACAGCCACTGCTTACTTCAGCGAGTAGATGCACATATGCAGGGGAAACTCGCAGTTGAAACACATTGTTTTCGTACTTTTCTTTTTTAATCTTACATATATTTTCAAACTCGAAAATCTCTTCACTGATATACTAATAGGCTAAAAATTCAAGCAGGTTTAGTGGAAGAACAATTCATCGATCTTTGGAATTTCCTGGGGCGGTTTCAAGCTAGCCGATCGATCGGCGTGCCCGCATAGGCTTCCCACGTCACTCTAGGCGACCTTCAAATACTTAACTGGCCCCCTCGAGTGAGGCAAATATCTCAGGTTTGGGAACATTCAATCTTTAACATCTTCAAACAACCTTCGTTTCGCCGGCACTTTGTGAGGTCATATCGAATGATTATAGTTCTCTAAACCAACAGTACAACTATTTGACGCTTCCATATAATGACAGCTCCCAACTTGCCGTGGCAGGGCCGCGCGGCTCATAACATGTATGTGCAACCTAATACTCTTCGATTGCTATCTCATTGTCCCGCACAACCTTCTAATACGTCATACTAGCTCGTCACCCAGTGTGGACAGCCCTCTCTCTCCCTCAAATGGTAGCGCCACTCCGATCTCCTTTCAAACGAATGTGAATCGCTCAAAGACAAAGCGCTGGGTCGAAGCAAAGCAAGTATCATATGATGGCGGAGACTGGGGTGATGACGACGACGATGAGGAGGATGAGGAGGAAGAGCTCCCCATTCCTGTGCCTGCGCCCCGGCATCCATACGCAACCCACCATACGACCAGCAGCTCGTCGGAGATAAGCTCCAGACGGTTGTCTGGGATTTTATATGGCGCAGGAGAGTCTCGAAGAAGCCCATCCACTGAGCGCAAAGGAAGCGGGGATCAGAGCAGCCATTTTGTCAGACCTGTCGACCACTATAAACGCATGCCTTCGTCGCATGAAGTATCTGAATCACCTTCTCAATATGGAGCTCCACCACTCTCTTTGGTGTCTGGCAACGTTCCCACGCTGGATACCCCCACCGCTTCTTCGAGGACGACACAGGATGTTGCCGCAATACTGCCTGAGGTGAAGCCAATGGCCGGGTTCGGTACCGATTTCTTCGGTGCAGTCAATTCAAATATCCATCAGAATACTCCCACACCACCTCACGGCGCCTCCTTGAGCCACCAGGCCTCTGAGACCTCTCTCCCAGGGCCATCTCCAGGTTTTACCTCCGTAGTTCATCAAGCTTTTGATGTTCCAGAGACTCCGGATTCTACTGCCGAGAGCTTGGCACGATCTGACAGCGATGGAACATCTGTCATCAGTCCGATTATCCCTACTCGTGGGACATACGATGTTAGAACCCCAACCATACATGAAGAAACTGTGGAATTGGGTGGCACGCCTGGCCCTACTGCGAAAGCTGAACCATTGTTTACGCCGGGCCATCGACGCGATATGAGCCTGCCCAGTCCAGATAATGACCCTTCGAAAAAGCCTGCCGTTACTGAAAACTTCCCACCTCCAGCAGGCCAAGCAGAAATCTCACCTGGCTCTCTGTCAAGTCCGATATCCGATGCCACTGTCGACAAGAATTTCATTGCACCTCTCAAAATTGGCAGCAATCTACCGGCTGACGGCTACCGTGGTGAAATCCCTACCATCGTCTCTGCTATGGGCCCAGGAATGTCACCAGACGGCACTGACAATGACCGGCTTAGAGAAGAGATCATGCGGTCCCTGAGCAGAGAGAATTCCCACGAACCGGAACAGCAACCTCAAGCAGAGGAACCTAAGCAACCAGAATCCATTCCGCAGCAGTATGAAAAGTACTGGGACCACCAAACCGGACCCAGTCCTGACCAAGCTCCTAGACCTCTAATCTCAACATCTCATCCTGAGTGGACTGGCAATCATCCTCTGGGATCTCAAGATCCATATGCGCCAATCCAGGTTCCCGGTGTTGGATCTTCTTCAGGGTCATCAGATGCACCAAAAAAACTCAAACTAGCAAGGCGATTCTCATGGGAGTCAACGAACTCTGTGGAAGCGGAAGAATCTAAACCTCAAGTTCCTGACAGCTACTCTTTGCCTCCAGAGGCCGTATCACCAGCCCTTGAGGAGGTTGAACCTATCCCCGAGGACCATATTGCATCAGATCTCTCCAGGGATGCACCGTCAATTGTTGGGGGGATGTCTGACAGCCAGTTTCCAGTTGATAAACCTAGGTTATCACTTATTCTACCGGTTTCGGAAAACAGCTCACTACCAGAGCAAATTTTGGAGTCTGATCATCAGTCACCTCACAGAGACGCCCCTGTAGCCCCTGTTATTGGATCTTTGTCTGTTGATGAGACTAAACTTCAACGTTTCCGTGATATTCTCAAGCTGACAACCCCAGCTGAACGCATTCGCGCCTTCGAACAAACTCGAGATCAGTTTGCCGCTGTTGATACTGGTTTGAACCACTGGCTTCAATTCACGACCCATGCGCATCCAGAGTATGCGGACCTGGTTCAGAGCCAGGGCGTTTCAGCACTCACACGACAATCTCCCACTAGAAGCAAATTCCCCAAACTTTCCCTTGGCATTTCTTCGTCTCGAGAGGATGCTACTCCAGCCAATACAGGTCACTTGAGACGTGGATCTGGTCATATTGGAACTATTGTCAATAAAGACGTCGAGCGGCGCGGTAAGGACTTCCTTCATACCGCAGGAACGCTAGGCGGCAAGGCCGGCGATGTTGCGAAGGGCTTTTTTGCTAAAGGCAGGAGCAAGTTTCGACCGGGAGACAAGGTAGATTCATAATTTTTTTTTCTTTGTTACTCCTTCGTCCTTTTCACGGCGGGTTGTCTTTGGAATGGCTAGCGCAGCGGTGTCTCCCGTCGCTTCGGTTCTACTTATTTCCCCTTACAACCTATTTTTCTTCGATACCACCATGTAATTCCTTTCAATTTGGCATTTGATTCTAGAATGCGACATGATTGATGCATCTAATTTTCCATTCAACCCACTTGCCCCGTTCTTTTTTATGCTCATTTCTGATGGTAACATTGTAGGGTCAATCGACGAGTACTCGCCGAAGTATGATCTTCTCCTTTCCAGCCCATGATAGTGGCTCCAAGGTTAATGCTCTCACACGAAACAACTCTGTCAACCTGGGGAGTCTTCCCATTTTCAATTTTGGTCGAGCTGAGGCCAAAGCCACTGCTGTCGACGGGGGCGATGATCAGCGTGAGGGAGAACGTTCAAGAAAACGTACCAAGTCTACGGGGTCTACGGATTTCCTACGATTCTCCGCCAAAATTCCAAAGGGTACTGCTCACAATACAGAGCGGTCACCCAATGCAAACCAGTCTAATAAAAGTGCCGGTGACGATACCGATGTTGCCAGAAATTTTGAGCAAGAGATGATCGATGCCCTGGGCCTTTCTCCAAAGAAATCCAGCAAAAAACTAGTCAATCCTGAGTTTGATCAGCTTTCACGGATCTCACCTCCAGTGTTCAAAAACGATGATAATCGACTGGGCCCCAAAAAGAGTATGCCGGTGTTAACCGTCCAGCCCTCTAACGGCCTCGGCCTTTCTCACTCAGACCGACCAGCTGTAACTTCTTCTACCCTCACAATTCCCTCCATCCGTGCGGTAGTTCAGGAGAGTAATCCTTCTTCTCCCCAGGACTCAGTCCCGAAAGTACTTACTTCAAAGGTTGCACCTTCACAAGAAGCAAGTCTCCAACCACAACAACCATCAGTCCCAGCACTTGGGGCTGATGATAAAGAGAAGATCCATCTGCCTAGTAGAGAAGTCGACAGACCACCCTCTCCGCCGCAACAAGATAAAACTGTTGATGAAGATCCTATATACAGCCCTCCTCTCTCTAAATCGAAGACCAATGAACCCTTCACATGGTCTGCAACTTCGGGAGAGGACCTTGAGGTAAAGCGGAGGTCCATCGGCGGCGGTCTCCCCAGCATGCATAGTCCCTTGAAGAATGAGGTGAAAAATTCGAACAAAAGTAGCGTGTTAAGCTTTGCCAGCTTCGGTCGATTGAGCGCCAATAGCAAAAGGACCCGATCTTCCAGTCCTGCGAATGAACTTTCGCAAAATGCCGAAACACCTATGAAGGGCAGAAGACACCGACGGTCGTCGGTAGGTGATCTTCTTGCTAGCATCCAGGGGGGATTGCAGGGGCTTCACGAAAAGATTCGACCGGAAGAGTCCAAGGCAGAATCCAAGGCAGAGTCCAAGGCAGAGCCCAAGGATCAAAGTCGTTCACTCAAGCGCACGTTCAGCAGGATGGGTGTAGGTTTCCCTTTCCTCCGTAACAGCTCCAAGTAATACCTTGTTAACAAAATAAAATAGGGCTTTTTCGTGCGTCAACCCAGTTCTGAAAGCTCTGAGCCCCAGAAGAAGGATCATGTCAAGGCTTTGCGAAAGAAGCCCATGCCAGCGTCTCCTCTGAGTCGTCCATCTTTGCAAAATGGATATTCTGTCGAAATTTCTTCCGCTGGAAACGCCCTCCCAAATACCGAAGCGGTTGGGGCCGTTTCCGAGTCACTCCTTCCTACCGACGGTCCCCGCCGTGCAAGTATGCCTTTTCCTTCCAATACACCCGCTGCCTCTGTGACAGCAGGTCGCTTCTACTCGAAAACCGAGTCACCCGAAGTTTCCACCCATGTTGGACGTGCTCGGCAAAAGAGCTTGCCTCTTCTAGACCAGTCTGGGTCTAGTGGCTGGCATCTCCCGCCGCCCGGGTCCTATGTACGTAAACTCGAAAAATGGTTGACCCAGAAAGAGCGGGACGAGCAAGCGCAACGCGAATATTTGTCACCGAACCCACGGGATGTGGAAGAGTCCAGAGAGTCAACCCTCCCAAAACTCGATGTGGCCCGGAAGCCCGACGGGCCTCAGCCTGAGCAGACGCCGATAATCGGTGAACGTAAAGAGCTTAGTGGGTCTGGAGCCCCATCTGCCCCTGATGTCCACCACAACGGGGCCAAGACGGTCAATGAAACTGAACCTGTCGAGCTCGGCGTTCCGAAAATCGATTCTAGCGAAAATATCGTTATGTCGGCGACAGCGTACCCCGAACCAGATTGGATGCCGGTTTTTTGGAAAGATGACTGAGGAACTCAATGATCATCAGACGAAGCCGTGATCTTTCGTCTCAAACTATATACCAGTCCTTTATTCATGGATGATTGGATATCTTGTTGCTTTATTTGCCCTGGTATCCGACATTCTCCAGGGCGGCTGCCTCTTGCACCTAAAAGTTTTACAAAATAGGCTCGATCTCTGTTTCAATTTCGGTTTCTTTCTGCGTATAAATTGCATTTGATTTCTCTTTCTCAGATTCGGTTTTGTCTGTATACTGCCATTCTCTTTCTCCGTCGAGCCTTCTATATTGATCAACCTTGCATACGAATACAAAGCGCACATTCCAAGCTTCCAATAGTGTTAGCGAAGAGGACAGAGCTATCCTTTGTTAGCGACTCAGATCACCTCAAGCTTCCCAAAACACTAGCTGGGACTTACCTAAACAGCTCCAGGTCAAATAGCACGGATGGTACAGCTACTATTTATCTAGGTAGGACGGACTCGAACGGAGTTGGAATATCTTGTGGAGCTGGCGTTTCTCGTGGAGTTTTATACCCCTCACCAGACACGACAGTTTCATCTTTTCCAAGCGTGCTGTCACTGCCACTCTTCCAGCGATCCAGCGAGGTATCAGCAGGCTTCTTCGTGGAGGGCGTTTTGTTGTCAACAACATCACTCGATCGCACGTCACCCAGCTCCAGGTCAGGAAGTCGGCTTGGGCCTTTGTTCCTTTTCTTTCGTCTTTTATTGTCTTGAGGTATCTTGAACAGCCCAGAAATCATCTTATAGATCCATATGATAAGAACCAAGCCAACGGCCACAGCAACCCCTACTATTATGCAAACCCCAGCCCAAGAAGCTATGGTGTCAGGATCAGTCATGGCAGGATCGTCGGCTTCTGAACGCAACCTTCAAAGGTTGGAAGTATAACTGCTTCGTGGGTATTTTTCTAATATTGACGATAACTACAGAAAAGGAGCAGCATTTGACTATTTCTAGACCCTAGCAATCAGGCCCTCTCGAAGTCAGAATGATATAATTCAAGATCCACGGCGTCTACAAAACTTTATGTACACGAATACAAATTCCAGGCCAGGTACAACCTTGGAGCATCCAGGGCATCAAGTAATTGAACCGTGCCCAGGTAGACCATGGAAACTCAAGTGCTAGGTACACGTTGATAAATTACTCGCCTGGTAGGCATAACCAGTGAAACTGTGTTTTCATCTACTCAAGTAGCTTCGCATTTTAGCCCTGGATGTTCCAAGGTTATCGACAAACACTAACATTGAATATACTCATACAACATACGTCCAAGGATATTTCCAGAGCTAGCCCTGGAAATCAACTGGAGTTCTACAATTCTTATGGATTATTTGTTTCTTCCCAGCTTTACCTAGCCTGTAGCATGCCAGTTCTTGGCGCTCCCTTTCCGAATGCCTATCGCTGCTTTTTCTCACTCAAAAGAACTGAGTAACTACTCCTCTGAGTATTATATAAGCTCACTGATCTGCTCATTACTTAAGTATTTGGTAACAGGAGGCAGGACTCAGTGAGCGGTCTGATTCACTCGCTGAGCAAAGCAGGGATTGTCTGGATCGAAAAACACGAACAAAGCCACGTACCTTGGGACCTCAGTAATAGTCCTGAGGTCTGGACAACCTTGGAAGCTACTCAGCCAACTGTAATGGGCCACGGACCTCTCTTCCTTCTCTTGGCGCTAGGGTCGAGGTCCAGCCTGATCCTTGATCTCAAAAGGCAAATTACTCTTTATATTTACGTATTTTTGTTTTCTGCCTGTGACCATGAAATCATCAGTTTCTGCTGGCCTGTCACATCATGAAATAATATTTACATGGACATCACGTGATCAGCCATTAACGAACACAGAAGAAGACCGGACAAGGCTGGAATGGTGATGAAACAAATCTATACTCAAAATTCAGGTCGCTTCGCTATGTATATGTCCCAAGATTTCACTGCTTCGGGCTCTAGGAGCCAGGTATTGTGTTTTGTCCGACCCCGCTGAATGGCAATTTATCAACATATGTGGGGTAATAATACGTATAAAACTGCTAGACACCACCTCAGTTTACAACAACCATCTGGGCACAGTCTCCCCCTATTACCTCCCTAGGTTCAATATGAATTCTCTCAATTTACAAGAAGTGGACTCACTAGAAGCCATTGTAATTATTGACAATGAGCTGGATCCGCTCTCTCCCCGCAGCACCTGATACAGTGCAGATTGAAGGGACCCTAGGAAGTATCGCGATGAAATCAACCCATACGCTAACTGATCGAGGCGGTGCACGCAAAGAGCTGCGAATGGAAGATATCTGCTGTTCAGCGCATGGCCTGTCTATTCTCGTGGTAAGTTAGGCGCGTCAATACACTCTAGGAACATGTGGCTTATTTGCTGTCCATGTCAGACAGCGACAAAAGGAGATAAGAAGCATGCCATTCTCTTCGATGCCGGCCCTGAAGAGGATATCTGGGAGAAGAATGTCAAGAGGCTGCGGCCTGATCTTGCTTCTGTGGAGGTCATTCAGCTGTCGCACTGGCATCGAGATCATTCTGGTTTGTGCCTCATCGTTGGATACAATTGGGCAGGGTATTGATTTCCATGTAACAGGTGGACTATGTCGGGCCATTCGTATGATTAAGGATGCCAAAAAGGCCAAATCTGACTCTGGTGACCTTGTCGTGGACGTTCATCCTGACCGACCAGCCTATCGGGGCATTGCTTTACCTGAAGATATCATCTCTCTCGAGGCAGATCCAACATTTGATGAAATCACCAGTGCTGGTGCTGTACTGGACAAGTGGAGCGAGGCTCACACCGTCCTCGACAACATGTTCCTCATCTCTGGAGAGATTCCACGAATGACACCCTATGAGACCGGCCTCAAAAACGCTGTGCGTTATGACCCGGACGAAAAGGATTGGTTCTCAGATGAAGTCATAGCCGATGAACGCTTCCTCGCATGCAATCTCAAAGGTAACAAAAGCACTTTACCAACGGTGCATAGTTTGGGAGAAACGCTCTGATTATTTCATAGGCAAGGGAATTGTTGTGTTCACAGGCTGTAGTCATGCTGGCGTTGTGAATGCTTCAAAACATGCAGTTGGTCTTATCGGTAAAGCAACACCTCTTCACGCAGTGGTAGGTGGTTTTCACCTAGCCACAAGCGAAGAGTCCCAAATCAAAAGCACAGTGGCTGATCTCAAACGACTCGACCCTGCTGTATTGATGCCAGGTCACTGCTCAGGCTGGCGATCCAAGTTCGCCATTGAAAAACAACTGCCAGGCACACTGGTACCTTGTACTGTCGGTATAAAAATCAGCTTTTAGTCTATGCAGAATCTGCATACCATTCACTCCATGTGGGAGTTCAGTGTTCTGAAGGAGACTGAAACCTCCATGCCAGGGGTTGCTCCTGACAACTTAGTGTTCCAAGGGATGATGATATTTCGTCATTGGCCGTCACTCTTTATGTTTTCCATACCTTTTTTCAAATCTGACATCGTTTTGACCCTTGCTGCATTCTCCAAGCTATCGGGAACATGTGGATGAGATTTGACGTTCAAAGTCTTTCGGAGTAAGCTTGATCCTGTGAAACGTCATTCACATAAATTTCACAGTTTCAACCAAACTTGGACTACCTGCAGTTGACCTTGGCAGGCTGTGTCCACTTGAGGCCTGGATCAGGTATCACAATGATCGAGAGAAAGGAACTGAAAATATACATCTGTATCCAGTCATATCTCTTGGAAGTGCTGTTAAGATATGTGACAATTTCTGGACCCTTCCTACCTAACATCCCAAGATATATTATCAGCCGTTTTCAATACAACAAACAGCCTTGGAATATTAGGATATTTGAATGAATTGAACAATGCGAAGTGAACATAGTATAAAATTAGCATACAGGATATCTTCAGGTGCCGCCCCGCGACTTACCTGTCTAGGTACCTCCAAGCGCAGCATTTGTATCTCCCAGCAAGTACTTCAGATCTAAAGATTAAATTCTTATCGTTTAGTCTTATGATGCCGACTCGTTGCACAATACAGGTCGCACTCTTATCTTATTAACGACTCTAGGCGTACTACAGCCAAGACCTGTTGAAAGCACATTTAATCAAGCCATTGAACAACGCAACTCCTCTTATCAGTTGATATATCACTATCTTGCCCTTCATTCTGGAGTGTTCTTTATCTGACCAAGGATATACCTCATACATGCCTACCATCAGCCCCAATCTTGGACCATTGGTTAGGTACTTGTGCCTACATAGCAGGTACATATGTAAGCGGCCAAAGCACAATTAGCCAAGAACCTTGGAAATTGCTGACTAGAATCGCACCCTTTCCTCGCCGCCAAGATCTACAGTTTACAACGGGATTTAGATGCAGACCAGCAGGCGGCATCAAAATCTTTACCTCCTTTCCTAGGCTATCTTCCACTGTTCTCCGAAATGGTTATGCCAATTTTCCCCACTCCACCCCACAATGATCAATCCACAGAACAACCCTCGCAGATCCCATTACCGTGGCCAAGGGCACAAGAACTTACAAGTATGCCGAGAATATAAGTAATCTGCCAAGACAATAATGTGGGAGGGATGCACGGCGGGTCTTGGCGATGGGTACTAGGCATAGGCAGTCCTGGGCTTACCTGAGTTATGGATACACCCTATAAGTTCCGGCGATCAAGGGGGTGATTGTTACTGTGGAACTGGTAGCAAATGGCGGAGTTTCAGTAAGCTCTGCACGTCGGGATTGATGATGGATCTTCTTATTGAGCGAGATTCCAAGGTGCCAAGATAGATTGACCGGGTTATCGGGGTGAATGATCGTCCATCTATATAACTTTGGACTATTGGATGCCCAGATTTCGTACAGGGGTTGCTCATCTTAAGTCCATCTGAAGTCAATCAATTGACCTTGGCTTCTTGGCGGAATTGCTGAAGTCATATTCATATATCATCTTGAGACCTGGTGTCTGATGAAACCCTGGAACCTTGAAACTTTGAAATATATTGAAACGCCAAGGTCGACCGGAAAAACTCGTTTTTGGAGGCAATTAAAGCTGTGATCAGTCCATCTGCATCCCGAGTTCAATCAATACTAACCAGCCAAGAGCAGTGCCCGACATTAGCTAAGATTGCGAATTGACACCAAAGTAGGATGCTATAACTTTGTAACCCTTGGATGTTTCGGGGTCGACGGCCGACACCAACTCCAGATTTACATAATACGAATAAAACCTAGCATAGCTCATTCAAATGGGACCCAAATTATGAAGTCTGCGATACTAACTTACAACAGTATGTCTATAGATCCGTCTACAAATTCAACAAACATGATCACCAGACCTCGGGACCTCACATCCCTGTACTCGTAGCTTGGCACCTGTAAACGGCCAGCCAAGGACAGTCAACACACACCGTATACACACACACTGTCCATATTCACTTTCTTCTAGAGCCCCAGAGCTTCCAAGACCCTCTTTTCAACAAATGCGTGTATAGTTGGACAGTACTCCGTCTTCCGTACCCGTCTCTCCGGTTCCGGATAGGATATGCATAACCGGCCCCAGAGTTAAATCCTGAAGCCGACGTACTGTGTAAATAATTACTGGAGACCTTCGTCATCGTGCATATGACCCTAAGGTCGGGAGTGAAAGTCCGGGGGGCTGAAGGCTGGGGGATGAATCAGGATCCTCAGACAAGGACAAGCGTACTGCATTGGCCCCGATTAGCCAACCAGTTTGCTCTAACTGCGTATCCATTATATGGAGATCCCTGCTATATATTGTAGGTCTGATTGGATTGGATTTATACTAAGTACGTAATTGTGCTTTAGTCAGCGTATGCACATGTGCTTGGTGGGCATTTTCTTTTTGTTTTGTGCTTTGATTTTTTTTTTTTTTTTTTTTGGCCGAATGGCTGGGCAATTCGAATGTGGAGGCTAGATTGTAGCTGTAATTGTGACTTACTCCTGAATGGTGAATTGTCCCTTAACTCCTTGCACTATCCAAGATATCGGATATAACGGCCAACTTGCGACAGATACAGATACATAACACATTAAAATCATCCCAATGAATCGGACGATCCTCTCGCGGCTCTCAACCAGATTAGACGAGCCGTTTCCAAAATCCACCCCAAGTGTAGTTAGCAAAGGTGGAAAATTGAGCACGCTATGGAGCTAGTTCTGCGCTCGGCTTGGGCTCAGTTCAATAGCGCGGTAACAAAAGGAGAACAAGGACTTGTTTTTCGACCTGGCATTAATTTAGGCCAGAGTTCATAGTGATACGCGCTAAATCAGGCTAAAAAAGAGTTTAGTTCCTCATTGCGGTCAAGATTGGATGTGGGGTTTTGGTGTTGTTTTTTGTCTCCTGACGATCCTGGATTTGAGGAATTGGGATTGTTTGGGAATCTGAGTCACGCGGTGCCCTCAGTTTCCTTTTGTTTTGATTCTATACTCTTTTCAGGATGGAGGCTATCGTTTGAAACTATGTCATCGGGTTTGAAATCTTTCGTTTGTTGTTAGCTGACCTAAGTTAGATCCACATTTGGCTCTCTGGCTTCTTACCCCTTAAAATGTATCCTAGTTGAGGTTAGCTTAGAGGGGCCTAGAGCTTTCCCCCCTTCTTCAGCTAACTATGATGATTGACTATGATGTGCGGACCTTGATGCGGAAATCTACCGAAATCAGTAATGTGTCATGCTCAATTTGAGAATAGCGGTATAGCGGTCTAGCCTGCGTGGTTTTTTGCCTTCGGTCAATTTGCGATGTCCGAAGAAATCCATGGATCTCCCGGTTGGTTGTAGTTATGTTGATCGGCGCAAGGGCTGTATGCGGTCGCAATAGAACAGAACATAACAAAACGAATTGCAAGTATATACCTAAGTAAGACAACGGTGATGACATCGGGGCTCCATCTCCATACTCCATAGATTTGGCAATCTTTCCAATTTACCAGTGCTTTACTATATGCCTAACGTGGAGTATACCATTACAATCCGTAGGGCTGCGACGAACCCCCTGAACGGGTTTGGATTTTCTGTTTGATTGGCCTCGTAGTCCTGGAGGGTTTATAGAAAGCAATACTGATAATTAGATCTTTGGAAGACAGCAATTTCCTGGATCACTCGAGAATGAACAGACAGAACCATTTTTGTGGCTTCTAAATTTTTAAGCCGCTGTCCCTGAACCGGAAAACATGCGACGTAGTTCAAACCATGGTTTCAAGCATGCCACCAAAACAAACAGCAGTGCCGATAATACCGGTTTTTAGTTTGGTTCTTCTTCGGGCTCGGGGCCTGCGTTATCGGGGCCGGGTTTCACTTGAAAAAAAAAGGCTCATTAGAATGTTCCCGTCGGTGTCGGTGGCTCGTTTCCGATGACGGACCGATGTGTTCTTACTTAGCTGTGGCGATAAGAGAGAGAGATAAGCACACCGTCTTAGTCACGAGAAGAACTTCCGTGCTCCAACTAAAGCCCTTAAACTGAATCTAGTATAGAAAGACAAGCCTTTTACGTCGGTTAGCGCAGAGATAGTGAGAGACCGATACAAAAACGATCTAACTAGTACTGTGTAGAACAAGAGATGCAATTCTAGTATGCGTCTTTTATTTGCCGTGACTTCGGTTTTGGATTTGGGTGAAGGATGCGGTTTTACCCCACTCATAAGAAAGTCCAGTTAACAGGGGTATACATTGGCTATTCATATTCACCGGGCATAAAAATTGCCGCTAACCTCGTTCATCTGCATGCATATGACATGGCCAACCATGAGAGTCATTGAGACAGCCTTCAGGCGCGAGAACCGCAATGGGAATGGTCATGCCGAGAAAAGTGCGGAAGAGAAATTAGAATTTCATAGAAACTTGGAAGACATGAGTATAGTACACATAATGTTTCTAGATACCAATATAATGAATGATTCTTCTGTGCGTCGGCCAATTCCCCTTCAAGACAGTTCCCGACGCAAGACACATAACATTCTCTCGAAATAACCTTTGGACAATGAAACCTGGGGTGAACTCCAACACAAGAGATCCGCTTGGCGAACCAGGAGGTTTTACTGTATGGGGGAGGGCGTAGAAGAGATGAGGTCTTGATCATTATTCTCTATCTTCGACACAAGTACGTATGGAATAAGTACAGCGGTGTTTTTATGACCTGGATATTGCCCCAGGTGAATCACGGTGAAGAGAAGAAAGACCGAATTCTGTTCTCTATAGGTTAAATATCCGATTAGCCACATATTCCAATATGCCGCCCCGTTAAAGCTTTTTCCCTGACGTGGTAAACCCTATCGGGACTACTGCAAGTCAAAAATGCCTCACGATCGCAAGGATGACCGACGCTGAGGCCGAGGGTATGCGGTATCGTAATCAAGCAACGATTTGGCAGATCATCAGAAAGTGGGGAAATAAAGTGGGATATAAGTGGCCTTCACGATGCGTCTTCTGGCTCAGACAGGTTAGATTCAGATGCGGGACCCTCTTCTCACCGCAATTGAGCTATCTGATTGAGCAGTGCGAGTAGCGCTAGTCGCGCTACTGTAGGTACACGGCTGCGTGGTAAAAGCCAAGAGAAATATGTGGTCCCCTTCCTGTGATCCTATTCCATTGAGTTAAGTAGGGGGGAAAGGGAAGTATGCATCCAAGGTTGGTGATATTCTGTTCGAGATTTCTTCGTTTTTTTTTTTTTTTTTGGTGGGTGATCAAGCGAGCTGTGTCCGTGGCGTAGAAAGAGGTTAGTTCCTTGGGAAAGTGATCCTATTTCTTCCGTTAAGGCTTTCAGAGTCTTCCTCTTCGGCAGACCGGCAAAGTCGGAAACCTTGAGTCAGCCGATTTTGTGATGTTTGATTGGTTGGAGCGGCCGCAACCAGTCTAACCAGAATGGATAACTTTCAATAAATTCTAGATACAGTACAATACTTGGTAATACAATATAAATTACCGTTATTTACTGTCAGACTATAAATCAACATGAAAGCGGCCCCCGATAAGCAAAGTGACGTTTTCTACAACATCTTGCTTATTGTCTTTAGCTTTATTCCTGGAAAGAGAGTTGCCGATTTCCGAACCATGCAACCAGACCATTCTTTCAGTAAAATTGCTAGTTGCGGTTTGGGTTTTTGAATGGTTAGCTGATTTCCACGGAACCAGACGTTTAGAAGCCTTCTAGAAGAACGCAGAGCTCTTGTGGACCGTAAAACTCACATAGTTCTCCACTTAATAACCGAAGACAAGGAAACAGAAGAGAAAAGTTGGAAAAGAGATATATTCTTACTCTCTCTCTCTCTCCAATCAAAACAATGAATGCGGAACCAAAATGCCGGTGAAAATCCACGGTACTACAGTAAAAACCCCCATTTATTACTATACTAGGAAATCGGGGACATAATGGATTCTGGCTATTCGCTTGAACACGTAGGGCCAGGTACGATAATCAAATTGTTTTTTTTTCCCTTCCCGTTCTTGTCGGTAACAATCTAAAGTACTGACACTCCAGCCCTATTCAGAGTGAACTTTAATATGAGGTTTTTTTTTAACAAAAAAATTTCAATTCTTCTTTCCTTGCTGTAGTACTTACACTCTATTTGACCGCCGGAATTCCCGTGAGACATTTTGAGTCAACACTTGGGCTCAGTTGGGTGTGGTGTTAATCTTTCCCCAGATAATCCCGATAGGCACGACATCAGCGGCGTCGCAGGATTCAGATCCATTCCTGCCGTAAAATTTAAAAATCAAAACAAACTCTTTTGGCAGTACAAGATTCCATCCTTAATCTTAACGTTGGAATTGGGCGACACAAGGCTACTCATATGTTGGGCTAAAAGATATTTTTAACTCCAGGCCTTGAAAGTAAGATTATTCCTAGGCATGCATCCTAGATCTGACGCTAGATGTACCTCTACGCCGAGAACGTCGAGATTCGTGGATCTATGGTATGTACGCTGAAATTTTTCATGTTAATCTAAATCTTGGAAGATTGAAAGCCAAGATTTTACATATCATTCTGCCAGAGTATAAAATGTAATCTACCTCCTACATATGTCTATGGTAGACACAATCCAATGTGGAAACTGCTTTCATATCATTCGTCCCACATACCTAAGTATTATGCGCGGGGTATACAGCACAGTGAATGCACCGTCAATGGGCAGCCGAGGTTCTTCCTAACCTTGAAAAGTCCACTTCGTGCTTTTATGAGTTCGGGGCCCGCTATCATTTGTACGGCCCTTAGCGATAGGGCATCCAGATTCTGGACCCCGCCTACCCCTTTTCACCTGAGCCTATGACCACGGAATATGAATAATGCCAAATCAAAACAATCAGTAATCATCAACCTTTACGAATCATTAAAGCTTGGCTGACGACAGAATAGATCGAAACTTCATTCCCCGGATCGCAAGTTAATTAATAGACAAATTAGAGACTAATTTGCATGAATCTTTTATTTTTTATTTTGTTTTTTTTCCCTCTGCTCATTATTTGTTTTATTTTTCGCCCTTCTTCATCTTGGCGCACGGGGCTACAGGAGGACGAAGCGTAATGACCGCGCATCATGTTGGGATCTCCCTTTTCCCGCTTTCCCTTTTGAGATTTGCTTTGGATTCGGGTTGGGAAATTAGAAGCACCGATGTTGTCCCGAACGTGTGGATCACAAGGATTGTATCACATCCTGATATCGGGACGTCAAGAGTTTAACCTGGCAAGGAAGTTGAGGGCGACAGCGGATGGACAGATAGTCTTCGGCTTTCTCCAAGACTGTCTAGGTCTAGGGTCTAGGGTCTATGATGGTATTTGTCTTTACTATGTACCTTTAATCTTCCGCGGAAACCGGCCTAGCTAGGTACCGTATGAGAAAGAAGAAGGGAAATGACTTGGAAACCTGGAAAACACTATGCTATTTTAACATATTTAACTACACCAAATTTGATGCTAAAACCTACCTAGGTACTCCTAGTCGTTTTATATTATTCTCACTTATGGTAGTACCGAACTATCAAGACACAACTTTAGAGACAAGGTTATTTGATTATGATTAAACTTTGAACTTTCCCAACTCTTTGTTTACAGTGCAAATCAGAGATGCATCTTTGGAAGTCAAATCCTAATTGGTAAAGAGAATGATTTTCAAACGGGCGACAGTTGCATCGTCTACACTATAATTCGGCTCATCCACATTCTCGGAAAAAGGACCAAGCTTAAAAGTCCGCGGATGTTATGCGTGAACTAGGATTCCCTGGTCAAGTCATCTACAAGATCTGGAATCGCAGAGTACGATGGGAGGTGAGATGAGTTCGTATACTCCGAGTACTTCGTTAATGAGTAAACAAAAAGCACAGATTCAATCCTAATTCTATTCTTGAATGGCCCTTAATTTAGGGAATGGCCCCTCCGTGTTGGTTTCAGATCCATCGCGTAGTTCTGAGTTCTCCATCTTGTTTGAGCACGAAGAGACGAGTATCCGTGGGTAATCGAGGTCATCTCACCATCCGTCAAGCAGACTCTACTCCCCCTACTCCCTGTACTCTCTCTACTTTCCATATATTAAGCCGAAAAAGAGCCATACTAAGCGTCGATCAAAGCGAGCTGATGATTTCATCAGTCGGTTTATGCGGTCGGTGATTCGACCCGTGATTCGATCCGTGCTCGGCCACCGAGGACACTAAGGCATATAGCTAGCGGGGAAAATAGCCACGAGCAGCCAATTATGGGGACATATTTAAATAGCGCGTCTGGGGGACGCTGTTTCTCCACGAGGAAGGAGAGGTGCGATGGGAAAAGATCGACCATGGTTGATGAGATACGGAGGAGCGTATAGAGTGGCGGTAAGAGACGAAAAGCGTGGTGATAAAGGAGTAAAGGATATGGGAAAAGGACCAATCTAGGGAAAAATACGGTAATATTACTATGTACCTTTCTATCTCTTTCTATTGACAGTGGTACCTAGGTATGCTTCAACTTGGCATACATATCTGATGGTCTTGGCCAGTTGCGGTGTTTGCCCCCTTGAAGATAAGAGTTGTCAATCTGTGATTGTAAATGTAGATGCAAATGTGATTGTTTAATAGCGTCTCGGGATGATTACAGGCTCCAGACTAGATATCGAAATTGATTCATCGTCGTGTGGTAGAGTAATATTGGATTATCCCGCTGAAAAGAGCATATGCCTGCAAGGGCCATGTTTTGTTTTTCCCTATAATAAACCCCTAAATTCTCCGCGACATTGTTCACATAACAAACACCAAATTAGAACTGTAGAGTTAATTCCTTAGCCTTGGTTTAAAAGGTCTTTTGGGGGCTTCTTGTTTCGGGGAGGAAGAGAGGGAAATTAACAGTAAGTTAGTAGGTAAAATGGAAAATCGCGCATAGTGAGACGTATTAATACACGAGAAATACCATTTTAATACAATATCCATAGGAAATGTGGAGGCTACGGCACTGTTATGCCGGTTGCAATGGTATTGACTTTACACACTACTTTCTACTGTGGCGTGGAAGTTTGGATAGAGTATTGAGTGTGTATCATGTCCGTACGATTGTAACCATGAAAAATACCAATACAACAATCCAATTTCGATATTTCACCCTAGACTTAATCAAGTAACTTACCCCCACGGTCAACCCCAGAGCGTTAGAGGTCGCAGGAGCTCAAGTGGTTCCCGGTAGGGCACAAGGGGGCAAATCCCCCCCAAAAAAAAAAAAAAAAAAAAGGAAAAAAAAAACATGCGGTATCCACATCCTTAGAAGGTACAGTACTCAATAATATCCCCCAGCAACCATAACCAGGTACCAAGTTTACCCTTCATAGAGAACGAACGCGGGTTGATTCTGGTCCCCCAAAATACCTGAAGTCTTTTAATTTCGAAATTCATCATTTTTCCGTTTTCCATTTTTTATTTTATTTTCCATTAATTTTTTCCATCTTTTCTTTTATTTTTTAATTTTTTAATTTATTTTATTTCCCTCACACACACTGGTTCATTATCCACACACCCTTAAAAACCCACTTTTCTGTTCCTCGTCTCTTGTCCCCCCCCCGTATTATAAAGTAGACCTCTCCCTCGTTCAACATTTCCCTTCTTCCCTCCTTCATAGGAACATTCCGTCTCGCGTCAATACTTCCCGCATTGTGTGTTGGTGTTTACCAGTAACTGCTCCAACTTGGGTTACGACAGGCTTAGATAGCCGAATACAACAACAGCAATGGCGTCCAACAACGAGGCGTCTGAGCGGAGGATCTCCTATGCTGTCGACGTTGAGAACGGTGCTCACCGCGATACCCCTGCCGATGGCGGCAACCTCGACGAATACTCTGCTCTGAACCGTTACATCTCGACTGCTCAAAATGGCCGCCGTGGTTCTGCTTCCAGTGCTGGCGGTGCCAGCACCAAGAAGAACAAGAAGCCCTGGTACAAGTTCGGTGGTGCCAAGGACTCCGTTGAGGAGGGCTGGCAATGTCCCGATGAGTGGCTCCAGACTGATCTGCGATCTGGTCTGAGCTCCGGTGACATTGAGCCCCGTCGCAAGAAGTGTGGTTGGAACGAGCTTACAACTGAGAAGACCAACTTCTTCATCACTTTCCTTGGTTATTTCCGTGGTCCTATCCTTTATGGTGAGTTTTGAAAGAAGGGTTCTCCGCTTCAACAATCTTTGATCATGACGCGTCTAACAATTTCCTACAGTTATGGAACTCGCTGTTCTACTCGCTGCTGGTCTGCGTGACTGGATTGATCTGGGTGTCATCTGTGGTATTCTTGCTCTTAACGCTATTGTCGGTTGGTACCAGGAGAAGCAGGCTGCTGACGTTGTCGCTTCCCTCAAGGGTGACATCGCCATGCGTGCCCACGTTATCCGTAATGGTCAAGAGGAGGAGGTCCTTGCCCGTGAACTTGTTGCTGGTGACATTGTTGTCCTCGAGGAGGGTACCGTTGTCCCCGCTGATGTCCGTCTTATTTGCGACTACGACAAGCCCGAGAACTTTGAGCTCTACAAGGAGTTCATCATCAACTCCAACGACGACACTCTCAAGGAGAAGGACGACGAGGATGATGAGGATGCTCACGAGACTCACACCGGTGTCTCTCTGATTGCTTGCGATCAGTCTGCTATCACTGGTGAGTCTCTCGCTGTCGACAAGTACATGGCCGATGTCTGCTACTACACCACTGGTTGCAAGCGTGGCAAGGCCTACGGTATCGTCACTGCCACTGCCCGTCAGTCCTTCGTCGGAAAGACTGCTGCTCTTGTCCAGGGTGCCAACGACACTGGTCACTTCAAGGCTGTTATGGACAACATCGGTACCTCTCTGCTCGTTCTCGTCATGTTCTGGATTCTCGCTGCCTGGATCGGTGGTTTCTACCGTCACTTGAAGATTGCTACCCCCGAGCACTCCGACAATAACTTGCTGCACTACACTCTTATTCTGCTGATCATCGGTGTCCCCGTCGGTCTCCCTGTCGTTACCACCACCACTCTCGCTGTCGGTGCTGCTTACCTTGCTGAGCAGAAGGCTATTGTCCAGAAGCTCACTGCCATCGAGTCCCTCGCTGGTGTCGACATTCTGTGCTCTGACAAGACTGGTACTCTCACTGCTAACCAGCTCTCCATCCGCGAGCCCTATGTCGCTGAGGGTGTTGATGTCAACTGGATGATGGCCGTCGCTGCTATTGCCTCTTCCCACAACATCAAGAACCTCGACCCTATTGACAAGGTCACTGTCCTCACTCTCCGTCGTTACCCCAAGGCTCGTGAGATCCTTTCCCGCAACTGGATCACCGAGAAGTACACTCCCTTCGACCCCGTCTCCAAGCGTATTACCACTGTTTGCACCTGTGATGGTGTCCGTTACACTTGCGCCAAGGGTGCCCCCAAGGCCATCCTCAACCTGTCTGAGTGCTCTGAGGAGGAGGCTAAGATGTACCGTGACAAGGCTGGTGAGTTCGCTCGCCGTGGTTTCCGTTCCCTCGGTGTTGCCGTCCAGAAGGAGGGTGAGCCCTGGCAGTTGCTGGGCATGTACCCCATGTTCGATCCCCCCGTGACGATACCGCCCACACCATCGCTGAGGCCCAGGTCCTCGGTCTGTCCGTCAAGATGCTTACTGGTGACGCCATCGCTATTGCCAAGGAGACTTGCAAGATGCTTGCTCTTGGTACCAAGGTCTACAACTCTGAGCGTCTGATCCACGGTGGTCTTGCTGGTTCCGCCCAGCACGACCTTGTTGAGAAGGCTGACGGTTTCGCTGAAGTCTTCCCCGAGCACAAGTACCAGGTCGTTGAGATGCTCCAGCAGCGCGGTCACTTGACTGCCATGACTGGTGACGGTGTTAACGATGCTCCTTCCCTCAAGAAGGCTGATTGTGGTATTGCTGTTGAGGGTTCCACTGAGGCTGCCCAGGCTGCCGCTGATATTGTCTTCCTTGCCCCCGGTCTCTCCACCATTGTCGATGCCATCAAGCTTGCCCGTCAGATCTTCCAGCGCATGAAGGCTTACATCCAGTACCGTATTGCCCTGTGTCTCCACCTTGAGATCTACCTTGTTACCTCCATGATCATCATTGAGGAGACCATCCGCTCTGACCTCATTGTCTTCATCGCCCTGTTCGCTGATTTGGCTACCATTGCTGTCGCTTACGACAACGCCCACTTCGAGCCCCGCCCCGTCGAGTGGCAGTTGCCCAAGATCTGGGTCATCTCCGTCATCCTTGGTGTTCTCCTCGCTGCCGCTACCTGGATCATCCGTGCCACCCTCTTCCTTTCCGACGGTGGTATCATCCAGAACTTCGGTTCTCCCCAGGAGATCCTCTTCCTCGAGGTTGCCCTTACTGAGAACTGGCTCATCTTTGTCACCCGTGGTGGAAAGACCTGGCCATCGTGGCAGTTGGTTATTGCCATCTTCATCGTCGATGTGCTCTCCACCCTATTCTGTGTCTTCGGTTGGTTGTCCGGCTTCGATGAGACCCACCCCTACGATGCCGCCACCCCCATTTTCTCCAAGAACAACGACGTCGACATTGTCACCGTCGTTGTCATCTGGGGTTACTCCATTGGTGTTACCGTCATCATCGCTGTCGTGTACTACCTCCTCTCCATCATTCCCGCTCTTGACAACCTTGGCCGCAAGACCCGCTCCAAGGCTGACACCAAGATTGAGAACATGATCGCTCACCTTTCCAAGCTCGCCATCGAGTGCGAGAAGGGCCCCGATGGCAACACCCGCTACACCATTGGTGCGCGTGCCGAGGAGGCTGAGGATGACGAGTAAACGGTTAATGAGTTTCACTTATTTTATGAACTCGATACTGGTCCGAGATCAAACTTAATTTTCCTTTTTCCTTTTCATAATCGGCTCTATCCCACCCAAATTTCCCTTTGCTACATACAATCACGCAAACCTGCTCTATTGCTGCCATCTATGTGGACATGCATACCGTGGGATTGAAAAGGCCGTGTTTCTTGTCCTTTTTTCTTCCTTTCTCCCCGTATTATAGACTTTTTGTGTTTGATTTACCCCTTGGTTCTGCTCTTGAGTTGGTGGCCAAGTCTTCTTTACGTGTATGTATGTCTTAATAGTGGGTATTTAGTCAATCAAGGGATTCTAATAAAACCGTCTTTCGTATCAACCTTACCTCTTTGTAATACATTCTTCTGATTTCCATCTTCATTGGCCATCTTAGTAGGTCCAGATCTGTCCGACTTTAGGTGCTTGACCTGCCTTCACCTCACAGGTGGAAGCTCAATTCTCCGTCCCCCAGAATATATGTCCAGTTTCCCCGGTCAGATCTTACTCATGCGGGGGAGAATAACCTTGTTTGCAATATTTTCTGGGGTATGCGGAGATCGTGATGTCTTTAATATGGGTCAATTGAGCCCATCAAGCCTGAAGATCTTCCGACTGTCGTAATGAATAAACATGCTACAGCAAAATGATGGGCAAGAACTTCCACCAGCCGGAGTTATAGCAATCCACAAGACACCGTCCATATCAATGACTACTGCATTCCTTTGAATCTTCACCAAAGTCTCGGACAAGACATCAACAACCTTAGAACGATGCTACTACTCAACCTCCTCATCCTCCTAACACTAGGATGGACACCAACAACCCACTGCGCCGCAATATTAATCCCAAACCTGAGAACCTGCCAAACAACAGGCCACTGTCCACCAGGAACAATCCTAGTCTCAGCAACGAACAGCACTGCCCACTACCAATCAATCCAAGCCGCAATAACCTCCCTCCCACCCGACAACACCAGCCAAACAATCCTCATCCTAGCAGGAACCTACACCGAACAATTAAACGTCACTCGCGCAGGCCCAATAACTCTTCTCGGCCAAACAAATCACACAAAAGACGCAACGCAGAACTTGGTTACAATCACATGGGCAGCAGCAAATCATGACAACACCGGGAGCGCAGTCGATAACGTCTTCTCGAGCGTTCTTGTCGTTGCGCCGACGCTGGATGCTAGTTTGACGGGCTCTGGCACGACCGGATTCGCAGTGCCAGCTGATACGCCGTTTGGAAATACGGATTTCAGGGTTTATAATGTTGATTTTAGGAATACATGGACTGAATATAGCGATGGACCGGCTCATGCGTTGAGTTTTAGTCGCGCGAATGGGGGTTTTTATTATTGTGGTTTCTATTCTTATCAGGATACGGTATGAGCCTGCATTCATCTTTCTCTCTCACACACTCGAAATTGTTAGAAAGGTCATTAACGGACTCCAGGTCTATATCGGCAAACTAGGCAACGCCTACTTCTACAAAAGCATAATAGCCGGTCAAACAGACTTTCTCTACGGCTTCGGCACAGCCTTCATCCAATCCTCAACCCTTCAGCTTCGCGGCTGTGGAGGCGGAATCACAGCGTGGAAGGGCAGCAACACGACTTTTGTCAACAGATACGGCGTCTACATCCTCGACTCGACCGTCACAGCCGCGAACAGCTCGATAGCCACCCAGATCAAGGGTACATGCTCGCTCGGTCGACCGTGGAATGGGCAGCATAGGTCTATCTTTGCGAATAGCTATGAAGACGGAAGTATTAAGGACAGTGGGTATATTGACTGGATTGTTTCGGGGGTGGGGAGGTATAGAGCTGGTGTTACGCTTATGGCTGAGTATAAGAGTTTTGGACCTGGGTTTAATGCTACGGGGCGTGTTGAGGGGGGTGTTGATACTTTGCTTGATGGGGAGACATTTGAGGCGTACAGTTCGCCGGAGAAAGTCTTTCAGGATGAATTGGGGAGGTTTGGGGATGTGGATTGGGTTGATTGGGAAGTTGTTTCTGGCAAGTAGGGTATGTAATTTATGGTAGAGACTGTTTGACTCTTGCTCGTATTAAATCAAGATTTAATGCAGGCCTCATTCTCATTCCCATGTTCATTCCCACTTTGCAACTCTTTCAACTTCCCCAGTCTAGCCAGATGCGCGGCACCAGTATCAGCCCAAACAAGCCACTCACAAATCTTTAACGACTCGCTCTTAGAACAATTACTCCTTTCCCAGGTTCTACCAAGCAGAATCCGATAAACGAACGTCTCATTCCACCTCTGGCCTGTACTATTCCACTTAAATGTGCCCTTCCCGCACAGAAAAATAACTTGATCATCTTCACCATAGGTTCAGGACTTTTCATTGTCGAATCTCATATTAATTATGGATAGGCTCTCGGCCAGGAGAGTAAAGTAACATTTTATTCCTTCTTGCCCTTTGAATGTGCGGCCTAGGAATGGTGCTAGTTCTGCTAGGCCGTGTTCGTGGATTTCAGGCTCGAAGATTAGAACTGAAACTTATAATTATGACGTCAAATTACTATTTTGATATTTACTAGTTATCATAACTCAATCCTTTAACCTCCGGAGATTGGGCTAATAGGGAGTTGGGCGTATAGATTAATTAAATGCCGCTCCGCTGGCCCTCCGGGGGGCCACTACCGTGGAGGCCCACCACTTTATCCTAGATGCTAATGCATACTAATACATGCCAATGGCTGCTAACAATCTATTCTTTCAGTAATCACTCTATCAAATCCTCCATAGCCTCTAGCGTCGCGGTAATACCTCCTATAATATCTGAAACCATGTTCATTACTACTTCAATAGCTTGCTTAAGGATCTATACCTAAGTAAGCCTTTATTTACCCACATAACTTGATGTAATTCTGCCAGTGGCATATAGGCCTATAGTCTTCGTAATGTGCTACAGGGCCCTTTAGGCATATCAGCTCTAACACGCTTATTATATAGTGTGGGTGCTAGAACACTAATACGCTGCACTAAGAATGGCTTGTAGTTATAGGGACGTGGTATTACACTAACATATATGCCGGTAACAGTAGAATTTGCGGCAACGGCGGCAGATGCTATTCGCTAAGTCTATATCAAACCATTTTCCCTAGCAGGAATTGCATATCTCTATCTTACACGCTGCTAGCGCATCACGAAAGGATGTAATTCGAAGCCAATCGACATCAGAGATAGTAGGATCTTCAAGGTTATATCGGCCGAGCGATGGTAAGGGAGTTGGTTGCTGTGTACTGCCGGCAAAGTAGGAGGCGCTCTAGTAGCAGCTTTAGCAGTGGTAAGTCGCTCTCGATAGTCATCGTATGTTTAGAGTACGCAATTGCCCTTCTAGGGGTGCTCCAGCTCCTTCATGTTGTAGTATTGGCGGCATAATTTACTAGTAGGTGCTAGAAAATACGTATCAGGACTGGTAGATGACATTATAGGGTGGGGATGAAGTCTATGAGGCATGGTTATAGGAGCCGAAACTGACATGGTAGGTAATGTTTAACATCATGTGACCTCACTTTTTACCTATGCTAACTAACTTTTAAGAAATATTTTGATAAGTGGTATATGTCATGTGCCTAGGAAGGAATTGTTTATGTTTCGCTTCGCTCAACAATTAGGGGATCCTTTTTTGATGTCTGAATGCACTGCAAAACATAGACTCAACCGACCTAGTCTGATTCCTAGGATTTGCTCATTTGAGATCAACCATAAGATTCCGGAATGAAACTCCCCTCGCGGCCTTGACGGCCTTGCATGCTCATCAAGCAAAAAGATGAAAGATAAAAAAAAATAGAATGGGTAAAAGGCGCAAAATGGAAAGAAAGTTAAAGAGTTAATAATGAACGCCTCGCCCCATTCAAATCATACACATCCTATAACCGATACACGGAAACGGAAAAGTAAATAGAATCACTGGCGCCACGACTTGCCACAGGCCAAGCAAGTGCAGAACAGTGTCATCGGTTCATCAGCACTGCGGGTTTGGGCCTCAGTGTAGGTCACCTTGCGTTGACCACATTTGCCGCACTGCAAACTGGTACTGATACTGCGTTGAGGTTGGGCCACCATGGCCTTATCCATATTCTCCTTTTGAAGCGCGGCGTCCTTTGCCTTTTGCTCATCAGAGCGCAGCTCGTCAGATGTCATAGTCACGAAGCTTTTGGCTGCAAGTTCTCCGCTCAGAACGCGCGTACGCAGGGAGGCATTCGACTTGTTCTTGAGATTTTGGAAGAGACTGCGCAGTTTTGCGCCATATTCCTTGTTCGACTCCGGTCCAAATGCCGTGAATGCTGCAGTTTCCACAGCGCAAGCCTTGATTAAAACGGCCTTGGATGACTCAGTTGATCCAAGACACAGACCATCGTACATCAGTCCCACACAGGCATTGCGCGATTTGCTGTCGGTCTTGTTGACGTCGACACCATCGGCCTTCCACGATCGCTTGTCTGGGGGCACGGACGACTTCGCCTTATCGGAGGAGGGGGTAGCAGCGGTAGGTGTCGATGCACCGGTGCCATTTTGTGTGTGAAGAGGAGATCCGCTGGATCCCCGGCTCGCTGCTGCTTTTGCTTGCTTAATCTTGTTGACTTCAACACGCCACTTAGTAACTGTCGCGCTCGCCATCTGTGCGACTTCCGGGACCTTATGCTGTTTAAACTTGTTCACAACGATGCCGATACGGGTGGATCGCAGAAGCTCCTCCGTTGCCTGAACACCGTCCTTCAATTCCTTGAGTATGCCCACTATCACAGATGCGGGCTCATTCTGGGTTCCGGCCGCTTGCAAGGCCTTTGACTTGGCCGCGATTTCCCTGGCGTCGAGACCCATTTTGGCGGACAGTTCTCGAGTCGAAAATCGCAAGATGGGATGTTCAGGTGTTGTCACAATCTATATAGTAAGCAACTGTTAGATCGGTGCCGGAGTAAAATGCAAAAAAAAATGAAGAAAAATCCGGAACAATAGAAATCGATCAACACAAGATGCGTATCGTCACAGATTTTCAAAAAGACAAGAAAACGGTTCGAGACGGTCTTCCGACAAAATTTTCCTATTGTTCATCTGGGTTATTTGTAGACCGAATCCAGCGCAAATGTGAAACAGCTGCCTTATTCCACTTTGAGAATTATCCTTAATATGAAGGAGGTCGTTTGAATCAGAAAGCATGTGCGCTTCGGTTGCGATTCAGTTTGCGCGAACGTTGAGGGACAGAGCAAGGAGGGGTGAATGAGGCAGCACTTGCCTTTAAAACACAGCTCAGATGAGTTATGTGGGTATATGATAGGTAATGGAGAGGGATGGAAAGATATAAAGAAGCTCGAGTAGGTGACGAAACTGGTGTCGAGTGAAGAGCAGCTTAGATATCGAGAAGTGAGAAGCTCTGAGGTGAGTGCCAAGACTTTGTTGCCCAGGTCGGAAATTTCCCATGCTGCACACCTATAATTTTTTTTTACATTTACATCATTTAATTTACAAATTACTATTCACATATCGAGGCTCCATTAATTAATTCGTCAATCAAGTCTCCTTTATAGCTAAAACACCAAGCTTTGTGCCATGAATATGTAATAGGGATGAAATGAAAAGGGAATTATGTGCATTTATCATCGTTACCGGGGGTATAAATTTTTTTTTTTTTTCGACAAAGAAATGTGGCATCAGATCATAGTCAGGACCTCGTGAGTCAAGTAATTAGACAGCAAGGCATATGCCGAGCCTCCAAAGGTAGGTAATGACTCCAAAAGTCCGTCAAAGGTGTAGAGAGGGGCAGCAAGACTGAAACTAAAGCGACAGTCCAGTCTTGTAGCTCTTCAGATCTATAGGCCGGTTTTGCCCAGCACATCGGCCAGGTCATCAACGTCCTTGTCGGACTTCTGGGCAACGTTCTCCGCTTCGGCAAGGTCGGTATCCTTGAGATCCTTCTCGGCTTTGTGCTCCTCTTCCTCTTCCTCGTCTTCTTCGGACTCATCTTCGTCCTCAGACTCAAGTTCATCAAGTTCATCAACACCCCAAGCATCCTCGGCATCTTCATCGGTGCCGTGCTCTTCCTGGCGAGCCTCCAGGAGCTCACGCAAGGCAACAATGCTGTCGTCTTCGTCGTTGAAGATGTTGCCGTTTAGCTCGACACGACGCAGATTGGGAAGGGAAGTCTTGGCGGCATTGGCGAAGGCCTTGACACCATCAGCCTTAATCTCGTTGAATTGCAGCCGAAGGATCTGCAACTTCTGGTTTTTGTTGGCAGCCAGGGCCTGGGCGACCTTGACACCACCACGAGCAGAAAGTAGACAGTCACCGACACCGAGTTCAATGAGGGAAGTCCAACCCTCCAATACGCTGGCGAGAGCAGTAGATCCCACTACGGTAAAGGTGTTGTCCTGCAGATCCACAACCTCCAGGGAGTGAGCGTGGCGAAGACCGTCCTTGAGCAACTGCGAGATACCCTCCTGTCGTATACCGTTCTGGGTCATCTTAACAGACTTCAGACCAGCAGCGTGCTTCTCGTATGCCCGAGCCCAGGCCTCCATACTGCCATTCTCCAAGCGGTTACGGCCGCAGACGATGCTTTCAAGATAAGCAACTTCCTTGCCTGCTGTGCGGGCCTCCTCCTTGCGCTCGGCAAGCTTGCTCAGAGCATCGGCAATCATAATACCTGCGAAGGGACCGAGGCCGTTGTTGTTCAGAATGAGGTGGCGAAGAGGAGTGTGGAGGGACAAAAATTCCACCAGGGGAGCTTGGGTGTTGAGACCAAAGGCATTGTCGGAGAGGTTTACGGTGTGGACGGTTGGGAGCTCGAGGAGGGCTTTCAGGAGGAAGTCCAGGGCAGGTGGGATCTCGGATAAGAGACGCGAGGTAAAAATATCCGCAAGGTCCGCAACTTCGAGGCTCTTCTGGGTCCGAAGGACGGCGGCTAGACGTTCGGAGGCACCAACACCTAGGGTGTTACCACCGAAGTGGATCTCGGTATAGTCAGTGCTCTCAACTAGAGGCTTGATGTGAGCTTCAATGTCCTCTGCGCTGTCAAGTTTGAGGCTTTTGCCATCAAGCGAGAAGACCTTGGCAGGGGACATGGCGGGGTAGTGGTAGCTTAATGGGAGTAGAGAATTCCGCAATAAAGAAGATTGTAGATCAAGAAGAGATCAGAAAATAGAGGGAAGCCAGGCGATCACGACGGTACCAGACTCGAGAATTGAAATAGTCAGGGGGAATAGGGAGGGGACGAAGTCTAAAATGCGATTGTTTTCATGGAAATTTTGGGCGGCTTACTTAATGTGGCCTAGACCCATAAAATAGTATACGGACAAACATAACAAACATGACAAAGATATTTTATCACTTAAAGAGGCCGCGTCGTGGCCGGCCTAGTGCCAATAGCTCACGCGACCAGTACATTGAATACCTTCCACGTTTCATTTGCCGATTCACAGCACGCGAGAGGCTTGGTCTTAGTCATTTTTCTGTTCTTTCTCTTCAATATTTTGAGACTGCTTTAGAAGAAGCTATCCTAAGACTCTCCAGCCGCCATATCCCTCAAAACTCGACCGTGGATACGCCAAGCATGCTCTCTTGCTAAGACATCAAAGAGTTTTTCGACCTCAAGTTCACAGATAGAGTTACTAGTCTCTTGTTTCTCTTGTTGACGAGGTGGATCCAGATTCTACAAATCCAAGGCCAACCTGACCTTATGAAAGCTTCAGAAGTGACTGAGTATGAGTTTCATTTTGAGAGTGGCATGCGGTGATGCATTTTATCCGGTTTCACTCGCCAATGGCCCGGCCAATCTCGGAACTAGACAACCTAATCAACGAAGAAAGGCCACAGCTGATTCCGTCAGGATATCGTACTGACTACTTAGAAAGATTCTTCTTAAGATCCTTCAAATGAGAAGCTAGACCGACGAGGAACATTGCCGGAACGTGGGGGATCGGATTCTGCGGGGTATGAGGGTTAGGTCCGGAGACACGTGTGACACTCGCCGTGCAGAAGGCTTATGTGCAAAGTCCGGGACACTCTGGAGCCATTTTTCGATATCTGGTTATCATGTTTCTCTAAATTAACGGTTTCAGCAAATATATGCAATTTGTGAAAGTGCTCACTACAAGTCAATCAAGTTAACCAAGAGAGACACCTCTTCTGGTTTCATGCAGACGGGGAGAATGTGATCAGTCCGGACTGACTGATTAGACCGGAAGTTTGTGGTTGCATCGCATCTTAAAATCCTTCACTAGCCTAGACCGAAGGCTTTCTCCATTGGGACCGTCCCGCTGCTTGTTGAGATCAACTTTGTCTTATATTTCACGCTCTTAGGTGTCGGGAGCCAGTGGAATTTTCATGACATGGGCATTTCCGTCTGATGAAGGTAAGGCAACAAGAGTTTTTAGCCCAAAGAGGTACGAGACCGACAATGCTATGGAGCGATGTGAAGAGTAGATGGAGGTAGGAGAGAAGAAGCAGATTCTGCGGGGATCCTACTTATGTAGTAGCATCTAGGTGGTTACTTGGAGAACAGACCTTGTGATCTTGGGTAAAGTGAGAATCAGAATGTGAGTGATAGTGAAAGTTAAATAAAATTTAAGTGATATAATCAAGTGAATAGTGAGAATGATGAGAGCGGGTAGCCTTCGCTTTATCTTCAGATATCTCTTCTCCACAGACAGCCAACAAGGGCTGAGCAGTAGTGAAAAGAAGACTTAAAGTGATCTTTTTTTTCATCAAAAATTCCCCGACCGTCCGTAAAGACAGCCGGAAGCAGTCAAGTTGATAGTTTTCAACCAGCAAAAACACAATCTCGGATTACTCGTCACTGATATGCGTAAAACCCTTGCACTAGGATGAAGAAGAAAAGAAGAAAGACATGGAAAGTCGGCGGGAAGGAAAGGGTTATATACGGGGTTGGGCGGGCGGTGAGGCATCATGCAAGGGCAATTATTACGTAGTCAGTGTGCCTGAGGCCTGAAATCATGCCTAAGGCTTCCAGTAATTAATAATGCTGGTAATCTCACGCCATCCTACGAAGGACGATTTCGCCATTTCCACTCTGTCCAGAACATCTACAGCCGTTATTTGCTATACTTCTTAATCTCTGATTACCTATACCAGCTTATCTCCTCTCAAAATGTCGTGGTTCTTCGGTTCCTCCAAGGGTATGTCATAATGCGTCCGGACTACCTCCGCAGGTCAGCCTATTCAACGGATCAATGCGCAATGCCCTCAATCTCAGCCATAGGCCTGATATTGAACTATCGCTAATTTTGCTCTCTATAGATAATAGCACACCTGCCCCAGTACCGGCCCCGGCACCGCCCGCCCAATCCGACAAGCCCAAGGTATGCTTATCGCTCACCTCGTGCGGATTCATAAACTGACCCTTGCCGCATCATATGATAGCCTTGCTGTGTCTGCAAGGATGAGAAGACCCTCCGTGATGACTGCATGCTATTCTCCAAGTCCGATGATCCTACCAAGGAGTGCAAGTCGACAATTGAGCAGTACAAGGCCTGTATGGCTACCTATGGGTTCAAGGTCTAAGGATTGACCTTCCAAGGCTATCTTGTACTACTATATACCATACCAATACTGTAACATATCATTTGGCGGAGTCAGTTTTCTTATGTGAATACCACTAGCATCCGGATCTTGAAGCAGTTTTCAGCATATAATATCATCTTCAACAAAGCTGTTAGTTTGTGGAGATGAAAATTTGAGAATAACGTAGATTCAAAAGAAATTCTAGTAACACAGGTTTTTCCCTCTCTTCCGAGACTCATATGAAATGGGGTATCAATTATGAAAAAAACCACGACTATCCATCAATGCATCACTGCTGCTTTCTCCGAATTTCTTCGTGGTCGATTTCACGGGACAATGTGATTAGCTTCCACAAGCACCAAAGGTAGGTAATTCCAAATCCACCAGCCCCTATAAGTGCATTCAAAACGATCCAAAGATCAGGCTTACCAGCAGGTGGAACCACATATGCCTCCAAAACATGCCAGGCAATCATGCCGGCATAAAATGAGAAATGTATGAGTTTAGATAGCAGATGGGGCTCGAATTTAAATGAGGGAAATTCTAGAGACGTGCGACTCCGGTATGTCTCGATAGCAGTGGGAGGAAGACCGAGGAGATAGGCCCAAAGAAGAGTTATGACAAAATAGGGTACACGAAGCTCTTCGCGCTTCAGTAGTGGAAACATAGTCCATGAGCCAAGCAAGTTCGCGAAGCCAACCCATGCGCGGTTCTGTTTGCTGAGCCCGCCGTCCGCAGCAAGTGAGAGAGTCATTGGTAGAAGGGGGAGGAGCACACTCTTCTCGTGAACTTGGAAAGAGAACAGGAAAAATCCCCAAGACGCACAGGATAGGGCGGAAAGGAGAAGTGAGGCTCGAGGGTGACGGAAGATAACCGCGCAGGGGGTGACAATTGATAACAATGTGGCAGCGAGCGATGCACGCTGAAGCACCGACGTATCAAAGCCGTTGAGTTTGTAAAAAGTGTGGATCGCGCACCAAGCGTTAGCAACTTTATCCTCGAAGAGGCCGCGCGCAAATGGGAATATGCGATGAACGGTTTGCGCCAATTGGAAGAGTACTGCATAAAGTATAGAGTTTTTGTCAATAGAAACTGGAAGCGATTGCAACAGAGGGGGCTTCGGCGACGATGCGAATACATCTCGAGCCTCGGAGGACATCGCACCAACTATGAGCGGAGCAAAAAGCAGAGCAAATGCGGCGATCGTGATGAGTGAAATATTGACGAGCCTGATTATATGAATTCGGGGGAAAATGCAGACACCTAGGAGATAGGCGAACATGACCGGGGCATAATAGAGCGCCATCTGCTTGAACCCTAACGCGCCAACAAAAAAGATGCAAGCCCAGAGCATGCGCCCTGCTAAGATGGCATCTAGGCTAGCGACAAACAGTCCAAGCATAACAGTATTGTACTGGAAGTGACCGTGGTCAATGAGGATAGTGGCTGGTTGGAGGAGAATGGCCAACAGGGCGATTGAAGCGGACCACGCATGCACACCATGCATCCTAGTATAGCGACGCAGGAAGTTGACGACCGCAGGGACGTAAATGAGGTATTCGGAGACGATGACGGTTGCCCTCATGTAAACCTTCAGATCAGGATGCTCAAAGCCGCGCGATTGGTCCAATGCGAACCATTCCGGGTTAAAAACCGAGCCGCTTCGTGGCATTAGTACCATAATCATCTACAAACAATTGGATAGTCAGAACATACATCTTGCCTAGCAGCCAACTATGGTATGCGGTCAATGGAGGATAGTCGAGACCCCAGTACTGCAAATCGTAGAGATACCACTTTGAGATGGGGAGATGGGTGGTGAGTTCCATCCAATGCCGTTGCGCTTCAAAATCGCCATGCATTGGGGGAACTTGAAAGCCTAGATGGTATTAGAACTATGCCAAAAAGGTTCAATGGACATGAAAGTCTACCAGAGTAGCCCCATAGACTGACGGCCCATCTGAAGAGGCCGACTGCCATGAGTGTGAGAGGAAGTATCAGCCATTGCGAGACACCTGCGCGCGCAGCCCAAAGAAAAGAGACCAGAGGAAAGGCCGGCGATTGAATGCCATCATTCAGCTCCAAAATCAACCCATTGTTGGAACCAGGTGCTGTCGGGGTGTTTCTCTTCTTGCGCGGGCGATGTGAGGCAGTTGGAGGGGCCATCTCGATAAAGGCCAGATAGCAATTTAATAACAGCCCATTGACTGAAAAGACTACTGAGTGAGATTGGTTTGGGCAAGAGTTGGAAGTTTAGCGTAGATAAAGTATCATGGATATAGTGTATTCGACTACACAGTAGTGAAGATCAATGGCTTAGACAGGTATGGAGTACCAAGTGACATGAGACGGAGAACGGACGTTAAGTCGTTCCTGAGGTATCTAGGACCCACTTTTAGATGGGGCGACCTGTCAAACGCTAAACTATATGTCGTAGGCGGTGGAATTTCTGCCATTGAATTTTGCATGCAAACAGGGCAAACAGCTGATTTTTTCAGGAAAAAAAAAAGCAGATAAGCAAATTTTTTCTCAGTTTCTTTTTCTTCTTCCCCCATCCTCTCCAACCTTTTTTTTTTCACCCTTTCATCTACTATCATCCTCACCTGATAGTATCTATCTTGAACTATATTCAAGATCATTCATAAGTATTTATCCCCCTTCCCCCCCAAACAACTGACACAACTGCGTGGGCTGTACTTTCCAAGTACTTCAACAGACTTTTCAGTGGGCTTTTTCACATCGAGGGCTGTGGGCTGCAAATATATCTCGTGGGCTCTGTGGGACTTTTCCTCGTGGGTTGCATTTGAAAAAATTGCGTTTACCGGTCGGACTCTGTGGGCTTGAACTTTGGTCGTTGGGTTACTTAGTGGGCATCTACCAGCTGTGACCAGAGCACTCCTGGAAGCTTTATCTCCTTGAGGGTTATTTTATCACATCCACCACACGGGGTGCATTTTTGAGGGCTGTTGGCTGTTGGCTTCGCCGCACATATCCAATCTTTGACTTATCTGCACCACTGTTTGTGGGATGTGAGCTTGATTACAAGGCCTTACGAAGTGCTAACATTACTCTCTCTAGTCAAAATGTCTAAGACTAAGGTTTCCTCCAAGGCTGACAAGCCCAGCAAGGTCAACAAGGTCAAGGAGGCCGCTGTCGCCAAGACTGAGAAGAAGGCTGCCAAGGTCTCTACCAAGGAGTCTAAGAACAAGAAGAAGGCTCCTACCCCCTCTTCCTCATCTGAGTCTGAGTCTGAGAGTGAGGAGTCTTCCTCTTCCTCCAGCGAGAGCGAGGAGGAGAAGCCTGTGAAGAAGGTTGCTAAGAAGGAGGTTGCCAAGAAGGTTGCCAAGAAGGCTGAGTCTTCTTCCGAGTCCTCATCCGAGGATGAGGAGATGAAGGATGCCAGCTCTAGCTCCAGTGAGAGTGAGGATGAGAAGCCTGCTCCCAAGAAGGCCGTTGCCAAGAAGGTTGCTGAGAAGGAGGAGTCTTCCTCTGAGTCTTCTTCCGACTCCGAGTCTGAGGATGAGAAGTCCGCCAAGAAGGAAGTTGCCAAGGAAGAGTCCTCTGACTCCAGCGACAGTGAGTCCGAGTCTGAGGACGAGGCTCCCAAGGCCAAGAAGGTATGTTATGGAATCTGTCACGTTGTTTCCAAAAGATAAGTCACTAATCTATCACTTTCAGGAGTCTTCCGATTCCGACAGCTCCGACAGCTCCGACTCTGAGTCCGACTCCGAGGCCAGCGAGGAGACCCCCAAGGACTCCAAGAAGCGCAAGGCCGATGATGAGCCTGCCGCCTCTGCCAAGAAGTCTAAGACTGACGACCTCCCCGAGGGTGCCTCCGCCAACCTTTTCGTCGGTAACCTGTCATGGAACGTCGATGAGGAGTGGCTGCAGCGTGAGTTCGAAGAGTTCGGTGAACTCTCTGGTTGCCGTATTGTGACTGACCGTGAATCCGGCCGCTCTCGCGGGTAAGTTCCCCCTTCTACCTGAAATCAATGCTATTTGCAGCTTGCTGATCATGTTCTTTCTAGATTCGGTTACGTCGAGTTCACCAACGTTGCTGATGCTGCTAAGGCCTTCGAGGCCAAGAAGGGTACCGAGCTTGACAACCGCCCCATTAACATTGACTACGCCGCTGCCCGCCAGAACAACGCCGGTGGTGACCGCACCCAGGCTCGTGCTAAGACCTACGGTGACCAGACCAGCCCCGAGAGCGATACCCTGTTTGTTGGAAATCTTCCCTTCGGTGCTACCGAGGACGCTATGCACGAGGTCTTCGGTGAGCAAGGTACCGTCCTTGGTATCCGTCTCCCCACCAACCCCGACGATGGTCGTCTCAAGGGTTTCGGCTATGTTCAGTTCTCTTCCGTTGAAGAGGCCAAGGCTGCCCACGGTCAGCTCCAAGGCTTCGATTTCGATGGTCGCCCTCTGCGCCTGGACTTCAGCACTCCCCGCCCTCCCCGTGAGAACGGTGGTGGTTTCGGCGGTGGCCGCGGTGGCGGTGGTCGTGGTCGTGGTGGCTTCGGTCGCGGCGGTGGTGACCGTGGTGGTCGTGGCCGTGGTGGTTTCGGTGGTCGTGGAGGCCGTGGTGGCTTCGGTGACCGCGGTGGCCGTGGTGGTTACAACAAGGCCTCCGGTGGTATCCCTGAGTTCAAGGGAACCAAGGTTACCTTCTAAGCTGGGTAATGATTTCGCTTTGCATTCTACGGTTCACAGGTGTAAATGGGCATGAGAAGCCCCGGTATTTCTCAAAAGTTATTTGTTTTCATTAGTTCAGCCATAGGATTTGATGATTAATTTTAGATTCATTTACTTATCAAGACGCTCCATACGTTGTCGTAGGTATTTTTCAACCATACTGCCTCCTTGTTAGACCGTCTTTTCCCCCGCATCCTTTGTCAGCCTTGGAATGTCCTTTAGATTGATTTTAAATTGTCAGATTCAGCGGTGGCCTTCAGTCCAAATTTCAAGTCTTTGACTATTAACTACTACTATTAAGTATTATTAACTATTTGTTATTTAATGGCTTCAGAGTATTTAAAGACGTGTTGCCTACTCGGATAAGTAACTTCCGTCATCGGGCAAGCGAATCACCTGCATTGTAGTAGGTCTGATGACCACTATTCAACCTCTCCCTTTCTTCTCTTGATTTCCTACCCGTTTCACCACGTTCCCTTGGTCTACTCTGTTGCAAGATCTTTATCAACTTTGCGCAAAGAACCCTTCGAGACAGTACCAACTATAGCCAAGAGTTTCTGACAGTGGGATCATCTAGAATCTCCACCTTTGATAAGATCTTCACCGCTCCCTGATCCTTTAGATATCAGCCATCAGCCATCACAGCCCATCCTCCCTTTGTTCAATCTCTTACTGATTCCTACTATCCTGACTCCTCTGATCCCTTTTATCCTTCCCGAGTCTATTCTATCTATTTTTGGCGACATGCAACCAAATCATTGCGACCTGCTCAGTCAGGTGCGCGAATCCAGAGCCGCAAGTCAAGTGATACAGGATGGCCAAGTTCACGGTCAGGCCCAACCATCCGGTGCAGTACCCATGAGATCAGAAGGTATGCATTGTGTGAATCCCTCTTAATACTTGGACTTGGAATTTCCCCCTGCTGGCCGTCAAGACCCAAACTATATTTTCTCCGTCATGTACTCACTGCGATATTATATAGACTCGTGGATCGAAGTATCATCTCAACCCTCAACTTCATCACTGTCCTCGACTGCTACAAATGACGATATTATCACCACGGGCTTACAAGTGGACAATCACGAAGCAGGCATGTATCGGCGCCGCCGTCGTCGACGAATACAGGAACTGGCAGCTATCACCACTGCCCAAGTACATTACTCGTCCCAAGAAGGAAGTGTGGCCAGCAGCAGCCAAGACGAATATGAAGAAAGTGAAAGCGAATCAGACCAGCCTATGAGCAGCTCAAATGAGGACATCGATGGCCCAACTATACCTGGATTTCAACCTTCATCTCATGTCGACGATGATTCTAGTGAAGATGAAGACGACTCTTCTACTGCACTCGGAATGGGTATCAGTCCATCTCCCTTCGTACCTCAACCAAACATCTTCAGCCACCCTCCAGTAACTAGTGATCCATCATGGACTCGGTCACACCGCTCTCAGCCCAGCGAGATATCGAACTGCAGTCGCCGTACAGCTATTCGCAGAGATTCTCACACAGCTGTACGATCGTCCCGCCGATCCCCTTACCCAACTCAGCACAGTCCATATAATATGATTTCGCCTTCTTTTCATGCAGATCATGATGCCGCCCTGAGAGCAAGTCTCTCCACTCTTCTATCTTGTGCAGCTGCTGCACGTGGACTTCCCAAGCCAGAAAATCACCAGCCCTTGTCATCAAGCCCTCCGGGTAATACCCAACCATCTTCTTTCCGACTTGTCGGAGAATCAATAGCCATGGGCGAGGAAACTGGCGAGGCTCCGTCTTCGCCTCAATATCCAGATACCAGTCCTTCAATAGCCCCATCCAATCGGAGACACCCTCATGTCACAACATCGCCATCTATCCCCACGAAAGCCAAGCGCCGATCAAGTTCTCCCAAAGATCGTAATGCTTCGACTAAGAAGAGTCGCCGCACTAGTATATCGGAATCAACGGCACAGATTAGTCCAACTGTTATGACTTGGGTCATCAGTGCTGGAGTGGTGGTTCTTTTCTCTGCTATCAGCTTTTCAGCGGGCTATATGCTTGGACGTGAAGTGGCTCGAGCGGAGATGGGCTACATGGGTGATGGCAGTGTTCCAGGGGCACGGTCTTCAGCTGCGTGTGGCCAGGAGGCAGTCCGAGGCGGGCTCAAGCGATTCCGCTGGGGAACAGCTGCCGCCGGGTCTGCAAGCCTAGCCTGATGACTAAAATGGCATGCTCTGAAATGATATGAGATGACCGGGAAGCATAATGACTTTGATGGATGTCATTTCGCAAGTTGGTCTTTCCAAGGAGGATTTCTTCCATTTTCGCCAGATACCATTTTGATTTCTTCCCTGTTTTCGTGCGTTAAGTTTTTTTGTTTCCCAATTAATGATTTACCAAAGGAAATGCTCTATTTTGTCCGCAAAATTTGGACATTTGATTTGCATTTGGAGGCTTGTTCCGCAACGGATTTAGGAAAGCGATTTGATTTCTAATACTCAGTACTACACTACGAAACTCTTTCAAATTCTCATAAAGCCCCCGTAAATCAGTAAAGATCAGGATTCCATACTACCATTGAGCTTCGATACATTCGCAGCTCCAATCTGATCCACCCATTTATCCTTCCGGTGGACATAAATCTCCAAAGCCAACTTCGAACATCTCTCTCTATCCTCATCATCAAGCGTACCCGATTTAACAGCGATATCAACAGGGTAATCACTCGACAACGAGGTAAACGGCGTACCACAATCAGGGCAAAACTCGCGCCGCACCTCTCCGCCCTTATCACTTCGATCCAGGTATAGTTTCGGCGAGCCCCTTGTATATTCGAAGGCAGAATGTGGCACGACAATATTCGCCGAAAAGCTGGAGCCAGTATATCGCTTGCAGCTATTGCAGTGGCAGAGTATGATCTGTTGAGCGAGTTAGAAGGTAGAACTTGCATTAGGGGACTCGTGTGATTGTATTTGCGGGGCTATGCACCTCGGGGTTTTTGGAGGCGGTATCGATGCGGTAAACTATCTTCTTGCACAGACAGGCGCCTGTGAGATATTGAGCCATTGTGTGAAGTTGAATTATATGATTTGACTAGGTGAGGGGAGTTGTTTGGTTCTTGACTGGAGTTGTCGTGTGACAAGCCCTAACTAACTAAGCGTCTGTTACTGTTATCGGTATCGTTATCTGAATCGTTGTCATTATGTATGATTGTACTCCGTACAACGTAGATAAACGATTATCAGTACCTTTCGCGACACTATATGGCTCATGGTAAAACAAATACCCTGTCTGTACAGGTTGTTGGTTTGATACTTACCAAATACCGACGTCATTCAGAAAACAAACAAAAAGTCTCGAATAAACTCTTGCGCTTCTATTTCTAGGCTTGAGTATAAAAAGCAGCTACCACCAGGTCTCTGAAGGATCTGAGAAGGTAGTGGACTGGATATTGAGTCCCTTGCAATCGGCCTCTTTTGCATAGGGTCGCGTCTGTGATGTTATCACCGTAGTTCACAGTTTCAGAACACGACGTTCGATCTGGGTTGCTGATCATTTTATTGGGGTCGATGGCTCCACTAAGCTAGGAATGGTAACGGATTGACGGATTGACGGATTGACGTATTTTACGTAATCCAAAATTGTTGATGATAATATTGGTCTGGATCTTTTTGATGGCGTCGAGCTACACATCCAGTTGGCTCCATTTTTATTTAGATAAATAAAAGGAATTAGATAAAAGAAAAAAAGTGAAAATAGTACTCTAATCCGCTAAACCTCAACAGGAAATATAACGAATTCAACGGATTGAATCCGTCAATCTGTCGATGCGTTACCATTCCTACTCTACTCTAGACAGCACTTGGCGAGAAAGAGATCTGTCTTCGGCCCTCTGGAGTGAAGTTTCGGCCGTATCTCTGATAAGTCCCCCTAGATAAATACCAAATATACACTTTACAGTACCAGGGTAAACGTACACCAACAAGACTTCCGAGACCCGGGTTTTCATGCGAAAACACGAGTAAAAATTCGTCATCGACGATCATTACCATGGCGCATGTCGCTAAAAGTGTTGAGAACGAGAACCCGGTGAACAGATTGTTGTCTTAATGATAGGGGTAGTTCAGTATAGCAGATATTATATAATATAATAAGTAGAGAATATCACTTGCATGAACCAGGGTTTGAATACGCAACGATCTACGAAACGATCTTAGGATGTTATGCCATGGGGACCAGGGTTGTAGATCCCCAAGGTGTTTGGTTGCACTGCATGCATCCATGGATATTTCGATCAAAAATCCCTCGTTGATTCCGATATGAGCAAATTATGTTCATTGTTTCACCTGCATAGCTTCGAGATAGACAAACCAGACTCCGGGGATTCTGCAGTGACACATCACTGGATGTTGCATCAGAGGGAGTCCATATATGTATTACGAGATCGGAGATACGTAGTATAACAGGAATAAGCGAACAAATCAGGACTCAGAATTGAGTTGATTGAAAATTGTATGATGAGCAGGTATAAGTGGTCGGATGGGTGATTGAAAGGTAAATATTGACTATTTACTCGCCTGGGTAAGACCAATTGGCGACTAGCGTGTGTTGTTCAAATTTACCATAATCGAGCTTCAAAGGGTGACAACTCATTACCACTGTTGTTTAGTAATGCAATACTATAAAGACATATACTCTTTTTTTGCTACTACTTATTCAGGCAATGAAATAATAGTGTTTAATACGATGTTCTGAGCTTCTCAGCTTCGCCACACTTTGGTATGGCCTCACAAGCCAGATTCCTTCACTCCTGGGCGTTTTCAACTTCAGATATCAATATCGTTACATTTGGTACTTAATAGTGGACGATTAGCACATACTTAATCAGGCACTCACCGAGTCAGAAGTTTAGGTCAGCCTTGTACAGCCACAATAAGTTGAAATTCAAATCTCTAATGTTGTGCCGTTATTGTGGCTGTGATATTTTTTGATTCTATTGACATCATATGGGAATCAGACTCAAGGATAGAACTCCATGGGTATTGATTGCCCATACCTAGGTAGCTTGAAAACAGTTAGTCCAATAACCAATAATTTTGCATTCGTTTAACTTATCCTCTGCTGTTACTGCGGTCTTGCGAATGCTATCTACTTCGTATCTTTAACTTCCGGGTGTTCTCGTATAGCGAAAGCTACTGGGCCTCTACCACAGCTTGAATTAACTATGGCCCCAATCAAATAGCTGCTTGACTACTTCGTAATAAGTATTTCATTTCCGATTAGCCATAAGGTCCTTTGTGATCCCATGGAAGCTCCACTAAGTAGATCGGAACTGAATAGCTTCTGGCTATAGCCAACAGATAGCTTTCAAACGTGCCCGGTTTCATAATTTTTTAGTGTCATTTCTTTTATTTTATTTTCCCGCTTTCCCCTTTCATATTCCATATATCCTTTTCCCTTTTCCCTTTTTTATTCTATTTAATTTATTTGTGTTTTTTCTCTCTAGTTTTACCTCCTATCCGAGAGCGAGAGTAGCAGTGATCGGCAATGTCGGGTTTTCCACAGCTTGGGCTCTAGAGACTCTGCATAAGAGCCTATTCCATTATTTCGCCCAGGCTGCTGGAGCCTGGGTGAATCTGCCTGGATAGACTTACAATCACAATGATCGGGTTGAATGAGACTTCTCCTTGGAGTTGCACAGCCACATAGGGCGGCAAAAAAAGGGCGGTCTTATGAATAGCCCCTGCCGATACTCATATTAACGCTTAGCTCTGGACAATTGACATCATTTCTAGCTTTTTTTTTTGTGATAAAATTGTTGAGTACCCAGGTGTTAAAGCCATGTAGTCAATCAAAAACCCGGGCTTGCTTCATTGCTACAGGCAGAAACACTGTACCTTCTTCTCCTCAGCATGGTATACCTAATAGCTCAGATCAAAGTTATAAAACAAAGGTCTCTCCCCCATCATCGTCCATCATATCACCATACACCAATCTCCCTGAAGAACAATAGCTTCTGTCAAATTCCACCTAGCCTTCCCTGCCAGCCATTTTACCACCCTACATACTGTGTTTAACAACATACGCCACATATTCAACTATCTTTTGTCCATACTACAAACAAGCCTCGAATTCGAGTTTACCCAATTTAACTCCATAATCCGTTGTTGGAGTTAAGTTATCGTCATGTCTCAGCCATCGTATGCATAATTTCATTCAATCTCTTATCAATCTCACTTGGGTCACATATTTTGAAACTATGCTTATCATGTATTATTGTTTGACCGTGTAGATCATCCCCCGACCTGAAAAAGGATTTAGCCTATATTGGCACAGGACTTTCCGCCCCATCTCCGAACTCCATACCTACGACCCTGCATATTCCCATCAATAAGCTTAAGGCCGCGGCAGTTCCAGTCACCGGCTCTAAGTAATAGGCGGCTCCGGGGCAGCCAATTGGTATACATGCATTGGGATAACGTGGCTTGGCTTATTCTGTCCTCCATCGGTGTGAGGCACAGCTTCAATATCTTGACATCTTCACGCCTTGTTGTTATTGATTCTGGACTTTTAATTGAATGGAGATGTGGGGTTATCTTAAGAGGACAAAGCGTTTCTCATTAGGGCAAATTTTGAGCGTATTAAGGGTTGGGGTTTGATGGGGGCACTGGTGTTTAGATATTTCCTAAGGTTATTTTCATGATTCATGTCATATTTTATGTTTGAATTTACTCTTTTTAGATCCATAGATGATGTGATGTAGTCTCTACTATTGTAACTAGATGCCCATTATCCGATCACTCACCGATTCAACACTTCTCGAGTTGTCAGAGTCGATCCAATCATGTGCGTTCTCACGAGCCCTTAAAATTATTTTTTGATGTTATTTTGCTGCCGAACACTTCACCTGGGCTCTCGACGTTGTAGTTAGAATATTGACCCGTGGAACCTGAGGCGGAAAGGTCCACAGTGGGCCTAGCTTTGAACTTTCGAAGGTCCACACTTGTTCCTCGAGAGACCAAACATCTAGTAATGATTTTATAAGCCCCATGAGTTATTGTATCATATGGATTCCGATTGTATGCCTTGTTTAAATTGTTTTTGATGCTGGCAAATCATAGCCAACCCGTGCCATTATTGGCTTACTAAGATCAACTGCTTATTTAATGACGCACCGTTAGTCGTTCATCAAAGATTCAGCTACTAGTACCGAGGTAAATCCAATGCCAAGCACCTGATTACTAATTTTCGTTCCATTAACTACTCGCCTCACTTTTTGGAAAGCCCCACAACGGCTCCTTCCATTTTTAAGAGATGTTGCCCTATATTCCCAGGTTGACGGTTGTCATGTCTGCGCAACAAAAATGAACCGTTTCTGTGTTCATGCAAGTGATCTTACGCCCTACCCGTTTTTTCCCGGGGGAGTCCCTGTTCAAGGGATTTTTCATTCCTCGAATCATGGTACTATTACATGGTATTCCGTACTTGCTCCATCCCTGAAGCTGTACGTTCACTCGAGTAGTTATGCAACCCCTGCATGACTTGATTCTGGAATATCAAATGTGCAGTATCTGCTTCACCTCTTTTCTTTTTCTTCTTTTTTTGATGTCAGTCAAAATAGCTTCATGTTGTAACCTTTTGACTTAATTCTATCAGTCGAACTCACGTTCATGGTACTCGCCCTGGCCCAGATTTTTTAGTCTCAAAGGTCATAGGTCTCCCCTGCTTGCCAGCAGAGCTCGAACCAGAGTATTCAAATATCTCTCTACCAAATGATGACCCCTGCTCATGTTGCCCGGAGCTGAATTTTTTTCGCTACAATCAACACCCATCGTGCGGACCCTCCTACTAACCCTTTTTTGTATTTCTAGAAGCGAAGATCTTTATCGTCACTCGCTGACTTGACCAATATTGAGAGCTACCAATGACCACTGTCGTCATCTGCTTTAATCATTTTCCCTTCCTCAAATCATTCCTTGGCGTCTTGCTGAAAAACGGTACGTTTACTGTTTATTTTACATAGCTAGTACAAACATGGGCTGATAAGAGATTTTTTGCAAGTTGTCAATGTGGCACATTATCAAATTAAAGGTACAGATTAGGATCATGCAGACATAATCGATTTTAAGTCTGTCCACCTTCATCGTATAGCTCTGAAAGTGCGTAAGGTAGGTCTAATTAATGGAAACAAATTGTTTTAGATTGTTTTAGATTGTTATACGGACGTATGTGGTACACTGCATAGGATCTTAGGGTTTTGAAGGTTTCGAGTATGAGTAAGAGTGAATTTCAAGGTATGGACGTAGGAGACATTGCCCCGACACTGCAATTATAGAAAGTGTTGTTCTTACGTAGACTAAATACTAGGAATTGCTGAGGCCTAAATAGCTTGTTGGTAATAGCCAATTCTCGTTTATGGTAGCCGGAGAAGAACTACTGATTAGATCACTTCTACTTTTAATTCTGACTTCCTCATCCTATTTCTGTCCTTAACGATGGATTCTAGAGGTTCTCTCTGATACTAGGTAGGTAGGACCTGATTGGATTATTATACGGATTCCTAGCGGTTGCCTTCTGACCATCAGACTAGAGATCCCCCCTCTTTTGTCTTGTATCTGTCAGAAATTGGAATCTTTTCCTGAATCAATCCTTCGTTGTTTTATCTAATATCTCAATGAGCACAGGGTCATTATTTACGCTAATTTCGTTCCCTACGTATTACCCAAGTCAGTCCGGTATATTCTCACCACCGCCACTAATTCCTTAATTATTTCCCAACCAATTCCGATCACGTTTTCACAACTTCACCCGGGTGATTTCTAACGGAAATTAGTGATAAAAATCTGCAAGTGCCCAAGTTCATTGCCTAACTTTTTTTTTTTCCCCTCACATCCAGGCCATCTACTATCACCATCCTACTTTCTACGCCCACCTCGCCGTCCATCTGGGTGGCTAACGTATTACCAACATAATTAGATCTTCTTATTTACTTGATACATTATTCCCGCAGCTCAATACCGTTATCATTTTTGTTTTCATCTGTTCTGACCTACCACGCTTTATCCTCTTCCGCCACCATGAGCTCCGGAGATCATTCGTGGACTGGCTACAATTATTCCTATGTCCCAAATTATACTGGCTTAGATGATGGTGCCTCATTTTTCACCGACCCAGTAAGCTATGTCTCAGATGTTCAAGAGTTTCCTTTCCTTTCCTGTTACTTCAGTAATCCGGCCTATTCGACGCCGAGATAGTAGTATAAAAACGAAAAACTAATCATCCATTTGCAGCAGTTCACAACTCGGACAAGCGTCGACCAAGACATGCCCGACTTTATGTTGCCGGAACAACAACAAGAGTCACCATTTGGTGAAATTGCAAGCGATGTTACTGGAGTAAATTCACGAGAGCAAGATATCTCTGAAGCTAAGACTGGAGGCCCCCTTGACCTGGGCCCTGCCCTGGAAACCAGAGTACACCAAAACACTTCTTCACTTGTCCCCCCTTCCAACTGGGGTATACCTCAGTCTGGAACATTTGCTGGAGCCTCCGGAGTCTCCCCCCAACAAGCCCATGAGATTTGTGGCCAAAGTCTTGGTCGGTTATCTACCTTCTTCGAAAAGAACTCATGGAATTTGGAAGAGATAAACTATGCACGTGAATCCCTTGCATCTGCCATAAAATTTCACAATTGGAAAGTTCCAGACTCTACGACCGGAGCCTCAGAGTACTTTGGCTTGGGAGCTAGAGACAAAAAGCTGTTCTACTGCCAAGTACCAGTTGGATTGAATGGCGAGATCTGCAAGGCAGAATGTGATAGTAGTGGTGCCTTCAAACGTCATTATACGATAATGCACTTTCCTTGTCCTAGATGGACATGTCCTGCCCCCAAATGCCCTGAATCAGAAAAAGAGTTCACAAGGAAAGATAGGTTTAGGGAACATCTGAAGAATGTGCACCATTATGAGGAAAAGATCTACACAATGCAGCAGGTTGAACGGTTTGTTTCCAACCGGACTCAGCTAAAGCTGAAGCAGCCTAATCTTCCATCTAAATGTCTTGTTTGTGGAAATAGGAAAGATGGCTGGGATGAGCAAAAGCTTTTTGATTGTGTGCAAGGACACTGCCAGTCAACCCCAGTATCCCCGTCTGTCTCGATCAACAACTCAGCAATCAACGCTACCGGAACTGAGACTCATCTCCAAAATAGCTCAGCTTGGTCAGCAAGCGAAGTATCCAAAGACTTCACCGGCTACACCCACCAATTCCCAAAGAATACATCCTCAGAATACGGCAATCAGGCGAATCAATTGTTTCCAACTCAGAACGATGGGACCGGCACATATTCCACAAGCAATTTTCGGCCACAGTCAACCAGCAATCAAAGGCATCCTGCCACTTCTATCTCCCATGCTGTAAATAGGCAAGGCCGTTCACAGAGTTCTGCATTTGCAAGCAATCGGATACAGAAGCCCATCAAAGCAGTAAAATGTTCTGGATGTGAACACAATTTCAATGGATGTGAAAACCCCAGATGCCAGGGAAGAACAAGATCAAGCAAAAAGTGTCACAATTGTCCTCCTGAAACATCTGCTCTGCATGTCAGATTTGAAGAGGCATCTGTCTCGGATTCAGCAGTGTTTTCCGGGGACACAGGTAACACATCTACTTTGAATTCCCAGGTGTACGATATTGATTCAAGTCATAATCCTTCTTCATTGCAGGATCATAGCTCATGGCCTTCCTACTCAGGACAAGGATTCTCATTTATGGGGCATGATTTTCGTGGATTGTCAAATTCCGTTTCCGCTGAAGATGGGACACAGCGTGTACAGCTCATGCTAGCCATGACTGCTGGTGATGTTGTTGAAATGGACTCTTCCTTCAAACTCATTTCAATGAACCTACATGGAAGCTGCATTAAGAACCTGCCTATGATGTCATCCGCAAAGAGGCTCTCTAAGCAATTACAGTATGGTCTAAAAACTTTGATATGTGGCGACAGTACGTACTCTTCGCTTTGGACGCTTTCAAAACTAACAATATATAGCTTCCGAGCTTGAATCTACCATTCCTGCTGTGACAGATGTTGTCACTGAAAAGGATGATCTCACCATAACGACCATCGAGAGTCCTCAAGCCGTCTTCGAATGCCAATGCCCATGCCGTCTCAAAGCTCAGAGTATGTTATTGTTGGACCAACCTGAAGTGGAGATACCAGGAGAACAACCACAACTAGACTTGGAGGTATTGCCTGAAGGAGGAGGCAAGAATACATTCAGAAACAGAGTCCGCAAGGTAATTAACCTTCTAAGACTGCGCTTCGTCATTCAGAAGGAACAGAAGAAGCAACGCCAAGCGATGATGAAAGATATAGAGCACAGGCTTGAGTTGGCTATCGAACCTGCACCGCACCATCAGAAGCCCGATAAATGCAAGGATGCCGGTGAATGTGAGAATTTGAAGCTCATGCCAAACGATGAAAGTGAACACGACCCTGGAGATGAGTTTCAAAATACTGAATTCGGTGGCACCTAAACCCTGACGCTAGAAGACCTAACTCAAGGGTTGCTGCAATTCAATCAAGCTATGGTTGACTTGCGAAAGTACTACATTGCAACTCTCATCATTTTTTTCTTGCCACTCAACATCCTTCTGTCGTTAAAATACCAGGAAGCCTGAATATACTGTGCCAGCCCGCATTTGGAGGTATGGTATTCATTCTTTTCTGGAGATTCTACGACAAAACTTCCATGGTCATGTGATTATGTGCTCATTTTCCTTTATATTGCTTCATTAATGATGGGTTCACTGCTGGAAAGTGACAGTGTTGAAAAAAAGGTATGGATTCAATACACATCTGATCTACCCAGAAACAACGGCTGATACATTCTCAGCATTCATTGAAATTCTACTTCATGAACGATACTTCGTTGAGATATTCATCATCTCACCGTTTTATCTCGCCTGGGCGCTCTACTGCAGCTACCTTGCAATTCTATGACATGAAGGCTCAGAAGTGGCTTGATTTCTACACGTTGTACCTATTGCGTTCTTTTGCCCTGGCCCAAAATTTGTACATCTCTCTACATTCTTGTTCTTTTCAATTTGTGTCATCTAAGTTTCGTCAGACAGGCACGCTGTGAAAGCATTAATAATATACTCTCCTCACTTTCTTTTTTGGTTCACTAAGGGTCGTACCTACCTACTTAGATACCTACGTAAGTAGATACTCCTACCTGTTACTTGTTCATCAGCTCTTTCAGCCATCGCTCATAAGATACATTTACAGAAATGGTGATAAAAGGCCTTGTTACACATTTTGGGGTATCCGTGTAGCAGATCGCCAGCATAATGAGGACATGACTAGTTTAGCCTGATAAAGTGAAAAGACATTTCAAACCACTTGAATTGAATTGCGCCATCCGGACCTCGGGATACAAGAATGAAAAACAGAACCATAAGCTGGGGGGGGTTTTTGAGACGAAAAGGGCACATAGAATAGAAAGAAAACATAGAAGGTAAAAGAGGTTGATGGACTCACTGGCCATATCAGTAGCAATCAAGTTGAATGAGAAATTTTCCTACTCCTGGCGGCTGCGCTTGGCGCCGTGGGGGTTCCAGGATGCTTCGCCTGCGTTTCCGGCGGCCGCAGGGGCACCCTGAAAGTAGTTTTGGTTGAAGGCAGGGCTCTGGGCGCCTTGAAATCCTTGTCCTGGATGAAGTTAGTAATCCAATATGACTCAGACACTTTGATGAACGTAAATTACCCTGCATGCCCATGTTTCCTCCTCCCATACCACCCATCATGGGGTTCATACCTCCAGCCATAGGGTTCATAGCCATGCCGCCCATCTGGTTCATCGGCATACCCATCTGGTTCATTCCCATGTTACCGCCCATATTGTTACCCATGTGGTTCATGTTTCCGCCGCGGCCGCGCATGCCGTTGCCACGCATGCCACCCATCATAGCACCTCGGTTGAAGTTGTTGTAGGGCATGTTACCCATGGGGGCGCCCTGAAAACCGCCCTGGAAACCACCACCACCACCTTGGAAGCCCATGGAATTGTAGTTACCTCGGCCAAAGTTGTTCATACCCATGCCGCGGTTGTTGTTGTTGTTGTTGTTGTTGTTGTAGCCACCTCGGCCACGGTAACCACCCATGTTCATACCACCACTGAAGTTCTGGTTTTGGGCGTGGCCGTTGTTGGTGAAGCCTCCAGACATGCCACCACGGCCCCCATCCCGGCGAACAGGGGTATCCTTGGGCAGAGTGCGGAAGGGGTTGCTGTGGGGGTTCGTGAAGCTAATGTTGAACTTATGGTTACTTTCAATTAAGGTCTTGGTTGTTGCAGCAGCAGCAGGGGTGGAAAATTCCACGAATGCTTGACTATTTGCAAAATAAAACAGGTTAGCAAGTCAGATTAAATATCATCAGACGAAAAGATGTGGGGTTGAATCATACATACCCTTTACTCTTTCCATTGACCTTGTGCTCACTGAAAGTTACGTCTTTCAGCTCATTTTCACACGCAGCTTCGTTTGCCCAGGCGCGGATGGCATCATCAGTGATCCACCATTGGAGATCTGATATCAACAGGGCAGTTGTCGCATCTGGATGAGGGCGACCTTCATAGTCTTTGCGCTTAACACCATGGGGTCCAACGGTCTGAGGCATTGTGTTAGATTGAGTGGAGCCGGAGGGATTGTTGTGGGTTGATGGAGAGGTTTCTGTAGCGGGTTTGATAGCGGATTCAAGGACAGTTTGGTTGGAATCTGATTGTTTGGGCTCAACCTGAGGCACTGGGGCCTGCGCCGGCTCTGGCACGCTCTCAGCAACGTCTAGAATCAAGTCCGTGTCATCCTGCTTGAAGTCGGCTTGATCATTGGTATTGTAGCCACCTCCATCACCATAGATATCAATGTCGAAGTTATCATCTTCTGTAGCCATTTCGTATTAGAGAAGCCCGAGGCTAGCAGGGAATTCGAAATTTGAGATTGTGCTAAGGTGAGAGATGTTAAAGACAGGCCCTTCTGAATTCTCCCTCCTTATTGCATCAAGGAAAGTACACGTCTGTAAACGCAGGACTTAGATTAGCATGGTGAATGGAACTAGCATTCAACCACAGGGAAGATGGGAAGATAAAAAAAAAAACAACGAATGAGTCGCCATCACAGTCGAACGACATCATGATTGAACGCGCTATCATGGTCGAACGCCTTCACGGTCGAACGTAGGAGATAAGAATCGAGCGCATAGATAAAACAAAAGAGTCCACAGCACAAAAAAGGAGGACACGACTAATACGTACAGTCCAAAACAACCCAGTTATCCTTGTCAATATAAATTGCGCTTAGTTGGCGCGTACAGAGCTCTCTTGAGCTGCACCTATAAGACAACTGATTCAAGCCACAGACCGGCAGTAGCAGCACAGATGGAACAGAAAGATTTGTTGATAATAAAACAAAGGAGAACAGAAGAGTCAATGCCTTGCACTGCACCAGATAGACAGAACGTTGTGAGATGGTGATGAGGTCGGGCGGGAACACGTATTGAGCTTCCAATGAGGTCCAGGTCCGGAACATTCATAATCCGAAAAACCCCAGGAGCAGACACGTCGCCGAACCCTTTCCTCCACCTCTCTTCAATTCCTCTCCTTTCCAACCTTCCTTTCCTTAACTAATCTCCTATCCATCATGTCTGAGACTTTCCAAGAGCTTGCTGATATCCCCAAGGACTTTGTCCGTGAGGGAACACTATTCGTCCGCCGTTGCACCAAGCGTATGATGATCACTGCTCCTATCTCGCAATCATAATAGGTGCTAACTACTATTGTAGCCGACAAGCGTGAATTCATCAAGATCAGCCAGGCTGTTGGCATGGGTTTCTTGGTCATGGTATGTTTCCTCGGGGATTTCTGTAATCTCTGGGTATCTGTACTTCCCTGTGCACATGGGCTAATTGGACTTATAGGGTGCCATTGGATACTTTGTCAAGCTTAGTAAGTTCTGATAATGGCAAATCTCTTGTCACTTGAAGATTCTATGTTGGAATTTCATATTGATCTTGTATTTTCCTCTAGTTCATATCCCCGTTAACCAAGTGTTGGTCGGTGGCGCATAAATGCGAATGATTCGAATACCATGGAGAACACGTCTACCCGATGCTGAGAACTGAGCCGCAAATTTAGGCCTATCGAGCAAATTCCGATGTGGTCATCGATTCATAAGAGAAACTGTGTTCTTCTGCGACTCGGAATACCTTGCTCGTCTATACTTGATTTTTTTTTTTTAATTTTTTTAACGATATGCGGCTGGTATTCTTCACCTTACGCTGGCGCCGCTTTTTTGGGATGCGATGGAGGCATTCATCGCCCTTGTGATACCACATACCATTCTTCTTGTACCAATAGGAGTTGCCTTTTTACTTCGATTCCAATTGACCCCCCTCCATATTAAGGGTACCTTTTTCAAGAAAAAAATATGTATTTTCATAAATCGTTAAGAATGACTGGCTATTCACACAACATCCATCAAATTCACCACTCAATGTTCTCGTCATCGTCGGCTAGAAACAATCGACGTACAGGTCGACTGCGCAATAGATTTTGACGTGATCGTGCAGTCTCGGTATCTCCTCGTTGCTCCCGGTATCGATCAAACTCAGGGATAGGCTTGAGCTTATCGTTGTAGCTTTTTCCAATGGGTGGGTCGCCTTCATCGTCTTTAGCTCCATCATTCCAGGAATGTATGGTACAAGTGCCCGATGAAAGGCCCCAGCCATTCCACGATGTCGCTTTAAATGAATGTCAGCACTGCGACCTTGACTGAGAGGAGATGTAGAAGGCGCTGAATAATTGGAGTAAACATACCTGCTACTACTGGTGCATTTGGGTGCCAGCTTGCATCCCGAACGCAAGTTAGCCAATCCATTTCTGCATTCATCTCATATGGTGAGGCGAATACATCGGGATCGCGGGGCCGTGTGTTTTTGGTCGCTACTCCAACATCTATGGTCTTTGCTAGCGTGGCATCCATGTTGTACACGTATACCTTGCCATCCTCACTACCGGAATATACATAGCGGGAATTTGTGCTGTCGGGCGGCGAAAAGTGGCAGCGGATGAGAGTTTTGAGGACGCGGTGCCCGCGGAAAGTGACAACTGAGCAATCATCCGCATGTGGTTTGTATATCTCGTCCGGATATTGTTCGAAACGATAATCATACCCAGTCGTGTAGTGATCAGTATTGATGGTGTCGAATTTGGATGTGGTCACCATCTTCCGAAGATCCCACAACTTCATGGTCTGATCTTTGGCATTGGAGAGAACGTAACGGCCATCGCCTTTGCTGTCAACGTATGTTATTCCCTCGGTGTGGCCTACAAACACGCCGGCCTCTCGGCCATCGGCCATCGATCGCCGATCCCAAACTCGCAACGTTGTATCATCGGATCCAGAGTAGAGAATGTGCGGGGATGATTTATCACCAAAACATACTGCGTTGACGTGATCCTGATGTCGATTTCTCAGACTGAGAACGGGCTGCTTCGTTTCGAGATCGTAGACAATTACTGAACTTTTTGATGTACCTGCGACTACCTCTCGTCCATCTCCAGAAAACCGAAGGGACCAGATCTGTGGAACATTAGTCGGATATACTTGAAAAATATATCAATTTCATTACTCACTCCGAAATGTGAGTTGCCCCAGCTTTCTCGTCGTCGCCCACCGGGCGGGAGCCCGAAATCTAATACCACCGGATCCGAGTCGTCTTCGGGGTCAGTCGCAGCTAGGTAAGCCTGGTTGCGTATCGAGCTGTAGATAAGGTGCCGGTTGTCGGGACTGAGAGTAGCATCGGTAATAGTCCATTGGCCAAAAGGATACTCGACAGTCTTGTAGTATTTCCATTCGTACGGATTGGATGTGTCGTACATCCGGACCTTAAAATCCTGCGCACAAGAAAAAAAGAAGCTGCCATCGTCGGAAAATTGACCAGAATAACTTTTGCAATCATAGTGGATGATCTTGTCAGCAGCAGATCCTGGGATCATTTGCTATAAGAGCGACATACTGCAATTAGCCATAGTTCTCCGTCGGTTTTTATCAATTGGATAACATACCTGACAGAGGGATTGATTAGCTCGACTGCGTACTCCAAGTGGGTCTACTCCAAGTTCCCGCCACATGAGACTTGTAGCGAAGCCCTGCTTGCGTTTCTTGACCAGGTCGACAAAGTGCGGATCTGTTCCGAAATGTCCCTCCCTCATCAATTGGGTACCCGTGTCATTGGGGACTTTGGGGAGCTGGGGACTTCTTGGCGTTCGTCTTGACCTGAGTGGCTGTCTGAAAGAGCCAATATAGTCGTTCTCATCGGTGTCATCTTCATTTTCCTCTCCTAATTCGTCTGTGATATGGGTGGTCCATCCATTAGAATGGAGAATATGTTGCAGGCCACTGGATGCGAGTATTTCAAACAGCCGGGCGACCGGTACTGGGGGGTATGTGAGTTATCATGCACATTGATAAATGAAAGTGTCCCATTCTTGAACGTACTGGTCGTCCGGTTAACACCACGGTTTGATGGGGTTTCTGTTGAGTTCCCGGTTGGTTCATCTTCCATGATCTCAATTTGTATGTTACCATGTTGATTGAAATTGACTGGCGGTATCTCTGTTTAAGATAGACAAGTCAGATTGAGAAGAGTATATCATTATATTGCCTAGTTGGGTCTATTACCATCGTCCGGTCCTGAATCGAAGACATCCTCATCTTCATACTCCCATTCATCCTCATCGCCCTGGGTTGGTTCGTAATCCATATCTAGTTCTTCTTCTTCCTCCAACCATTCCTGTGCTGGATGCCAGACTGTTGCCTCATTCGAAGCCCTTGACTCGTCGGAAGGTGACTCGTGTGAGCTCATGATGTGGTTGATGAGGAGTGTTTATCGATATCGCGATAGCGGCAACTTGACCGCCGATTTCAGCTTATGTCATCTCCCGAGGTCTCAACTAACTCCATTAACTCCGACACTGCTTGAGACGAATACCTTGCTTGACGTATATTGTTCTGTATTTATGTATTTTTCCACTCCGTAAGCTCAAGACAGATCTGCCAGACTGGAATTAAGATGATCAAATTAGCATGGATATTATTCACGCATGTGAAGCATTCAAATATCCATGTACTAGTCTTTAGAGTAGAGCTCCTAAGTCCTTTGAAGGTTCCAGGCCTAAACTTCTGCAATTTGTCTTGCCGATATACAAATCTTAAGACTGAAAGAAGATGGGTGTATCCAAGTCACTTTTGCCTAGATGGCAATCCATGTTTCAACCTTGGAACCAAGAGATGATCTGTACAATACCGGTCCTCTTCTGTGTAGATGTAAGAGCACCCGTGGGGCGGTACCATTACCTATCTCATCCTAACCTGTACAATCGGACACAACATAAAAGACGGTATATTTAAATATAATTCCCAAATTCGGTTCAACTTATGTCCCTTTGAGGGAATAGTCAGATGAGCAAATTCAGAGAAGATTAGCATAGTCTTTGCACTAAGCATGACACACTCAATCAAAGAGAAAATGTTTTGCTGAGGGTTGAGAAACACTATCTCGGGACTAGTTAAGTGGATGTGATTCTCTATTCAACTGAATCTGTGATGTTATAGGCGATGGAAGTTTTAAAAAAACCAACCTCTGAATGGCCTATATGATTTTGAAACAGACCAGCAGAAAGCTAGACAATCTAAGCCGCGCTGACCGAAGTATCGGTCATAGTGATGGTATTATTGCTTGTCGCTATTTATTTGCTGATAATTGACCCAGGCTAGCTTCCAAGAGCCCAAGGGATTCATAAACTTGAAAGTGATACAAGTTTATATAAGATTGTGAATCGAAAGATCGAAGAAATTCAGATGGTTGTTGACGTGATAAGATATACGGATTAACTATTTTCCCGTCGTCGTCACTGATAACCTACACCCCGCTCCTTTCGCTTGCTGTTGCGGAGCCTTGGATCCTTGTCAATTTGCTATCAGTCTGTCATTTTCCTCTCGAAATTTGACATCTTATAGCAATTCAAGCCTCTACGTACTCTAAATTTCTCATCTCCTACATCACCCCAAATCCTTAGTGCCAACTCCCCACACCATGCAGTCTGTCCCAGAGTCACGCCAACAAACCTTCGAGGAGATCTACGGTCCACCGGAAAACTTCCTCGAAATTGAAGTAAGCCATTCCAATTTCCCAATTTCCATATTTCCCATGATATGCTCCAACTTTTCATGGCTACAATTCAACCCCACTCATCAAGACTTCCTCGTCAATCAGTAAACAAATCTAACCATTCTACCTAATAGGTTCGCAATCCCCAAACACATGGTACATCGCGCAACATGTACACCTCTTACGAGATTGTCTGCCGCACAAATATCCCCGCCTTCAAGCTGAAGTACTCTGTCGTGCGCCGCCGCTATTCTGACTTCGAATATTTCCGCGACATTCTGGAGAGGGAAAGCACGCGCGTCACTATCCCACCTCTGCCAGGAAAGGTATTCACCAACCGCTTCAGCGACGACGTCATCGAACACCGCCGGGAGGGACTGCAGCGGTTCTTGCAGATCGTCGCGGGACATCCACTCCTGCAGACAGGAAGCAAGGTGCTTGCTAGCTTCATACAGGGTATGTTCCTTTTTTGTTATGATGTTTCAGTATTTTAAACTATTTACTGATCATTGTTTTCTCTCTCCTAGATCCAAATTGGGACCGCAATGCTTGGTAAACCCAGCGCATATGGTTCTCTGGTTCTCTTTTCCGGTTTCTCTGCACTTCTGTCCATCAACTCAGCATTTGAGCGTGGTGATTCTCAACCCCAGTACTGCTTTCAATTCTTTGCTTTTTCATATGATTCAACCCCCCATCAGCCTTTCTCCGGTTCCGCTCTTACTGCGCTTCCTCACAGCCTCTTCCATGATTTTTCCACATCTATGTTGAATACATAGTAGGGGGGTCATGTATTTGTACTTTCCGCAAATGCCTCTCGTCTCCCTTCTCCGAATTCTGTTCGATATCTAATTTCATTATACATATTTTCTATATTTCATTTTTGGTCTAATTAATGTTATCCTGTCTGAGGTTCTCCGGAGGGAAATGAAAGTAAAATTTGATTAGCCAGTGATGAGCTCTCTTCAGATCAGTTCGTAACTATTTCCTGTAGTCAGTACTTGGTTTTCTCCTCAAGAAAAGTTGACCCTGGAAATCTGGGGCCTTTCTCTTTTAGGCCACCAACCGCTTTCTTAATTAGGAGTCATTCCATCTGCGGAACGCATAAAACGGAAATACAAAGGATAAGAATTAATATTTGAGAAACACCGCATCTGGAAAACTGGCCATACCTAGGTAGATCTTGAATTATAATGAATCTGCTACTCATTGACAAAAACTGCAAATGATAGAGACTGGGATATCAAATTACAATCAAAAAAGCACCAAAACAAGATTCGGAATGAAGAAGAAAGATAAACCCAGAAAATAAACCCAAAGAAGTTTCAGTTCTGAATACCAAAAGGATGTTTGTCAAATCATCCTATGTCATCCCAATTCATAGGTGCAAGAGTATTATCCTCCCAGGGAGAAGTCGTACCACTGGCCGAACTATCGTCCAAAATGAACGAAATCGGATTAGCAGCCGATGGCTCGAGAAATACTTGTGGTGCCGGCAAGACGGAAGAATCAATCGGGCCTGAATTGACTTGCGAAGCATTGGATGGGTGGCGACTATGGGTAGTTGTAGTGGCATGACGCTGATATGTAGATTGTGATTTTGCCGGGGTTGTGTCACTACTAAGGCCATCTCGAGAAGTCGACCCAACTGCAGCTGCAGATGTAGCCGGTCCCGGGATTTGTTGAAGGGGATGAGATTTGCCGCTAGCAGTACCTCCGTCGCGATATGCATGTGGAAATTTAGTACGGAAGCGGTCCCGAAGATCTGTCGCTCTGCGATGTCCGAGATTGAGCCGCTTATCTTGTTGTATGAGGGTCCATTGAAACCCATGCACGGCATATCCTTTGAGAAGAGCTTCATCTTCTGCCTCGGTGAAAGGTCGGCGAGAGCGTCTTTTCGACACAATTGCTGACTTCGGTTCTGGTATGCCGAGGCTTTCTAGGGTTTTTTGTGGTTTAGTTGAAGTAGCCATAAATTGAGACCCGATTTGAAGTGCTTCGACGATTCCTGGTTCTGTATTTGATGTGAATGAGGACATTGATGTCGATACACTGTTGGCTGAGCTGTTGGAACCCGAGCTTGACTCGAGCCCGATCATAGGGCTAGGAAGCGGAAGGTGCATCTTGATATGTGTTTTTTGTGTAGCTTCGGCAAATTCTGCTCCTGGATTGAGCATTCTGGCGAGTTTATCGCTCAATTGACTCATTGCCTCGTTTGGATCAGAAGCACTTGATAGTATTAGCCAGGCAAATAAAACTAACCTCATTGACTTACCGATATGCCTGTGGACAGCACACTCGGAATCTAAACTTTGTTTTAGCGCTGTAGGAGGAATTGGACTAGAGAATTACATACCGGTCCTTCAAATTAGACGCAGTTCTTTTGTTAAACTTGAGCTCCGGTTGCGCAATAATTGTTGTCCAGTTCCCGATTCCACATTTTATTACACCCCGAAGTAGATCAGTCGTTTCCTCCTTCGTCCATTTTCTTATGTTCTTGCGAGACCGACCCCGCGTTTTAGGAGACAAGGGCTGTTCACCATCTGGCGTCGGAGTGAGGGTTAAATCATCTTGAGAGTTGTGCTTTAAAGGTATCAATGGGTCAAAACTGGGTTTTGGCTCTTGTCGAGCGATAGGCTCCTCACTATCATGGTCATGTACGTCGTCATCATTATCATCAAGATTAGCAACAAGGAGCTCTTCGATTTTCGCTTCTCTTCGCTCTACAGGTTGACCATCTGCGAGTAAGTCATTGACAGCAACTATGTTACCAGTTTCAACAGCTACTTCACCCCGAGAGGGCATTGCCAGAAGCTGGGTAATGGAGCCAGAAGTAATAGATCCTGCTTCAATGGGAGGAAGGAGAGCAGCATTAGGAGGTGGTTCATTCAATCCATTCAAAATAGCAAAGGGACCAAATGGCGGCGGACGCTGCTCTTTCTGTGCCTGGGGTATGGGCAGCTGTAAGTACTCGCCGAATGACTCTGTCTGGAGATCTAATCGACGCCGCTTGCGCGGACCATACAGTGCGTCATCACCGAAGGAAGACGAAAAGGGAAACCGTTCCAAGGCCCGAAGGTTTACGAAAGCTGGTAAGATGGGCTTTGGTGGTGGCTCCACATTAGACTGGGGATCTGAGGCAGATGCAGATACAGATGCAGATACAGATGCAGACTCGGGTGTTTTAGTTCGTGCTGCAGTAAGAAACTCTGCCACGGTTGGTAAACTCGCTTTCACATTGGTCGAGCCAGTTGGTGTCGACTTTGAGATGGTGTTCGAATCCCTGGCCCCACTTGCATTTGGTTCCAGAGGTGATGGGATGCTGAGAGTTCGGGATGACACTGGGGCTCGGATAGGAGCTATACGAAGCTGGGGAAGCTCGCGAAGTAGGGATTCATCCAGAGGCCGAAGGGTTCCGCTGGAATCCATTCTTTCATTTGATTGTTAAAAACAGCAACCTAGCTTAATTTCGCTATATTTGGAGATAATAGATCCATTTTGTCATCCAATGTTGCTCGTCCTGGATGAGTACCAAAGACGTGAATATAAAGCTCTTATCGCGTGTTATCACGTCGTCTCTGGGCGGTGAGGAGCATTTTGCCCAGGCGTTCTACATCAGCTTTGTTGAATTCCCGCTCCTTTCTAGCTCTAATTGTTCTCTCCGAAGAGGAACGTTTACCTTGGGGTTTCCATCCTTACAGATTTGACCCTAATTCAATTGAAAAATACTTTGCTCTCTGAGCCTATTGATGTGAAAAATAGAATTAAGGTAAGCTAGTATTTGCATCCCCGCAAAGCTTCCGGAGCCTCCTTCCTTCATACATTCAACACACAAAACCAGCCGACCCAATACCTCTCGGAATAATGAATGACATTGAATATTAGCTTAATTAAAATGCCGACGATCCTTCCACCATGGCCTCACATCTTGTTCGGTCTCCTTGAACCTTTATCTCTGTATGCCATTCATCCCCAACCAACCCAATCAACTTCATTCTAACAGCACAGAGTCTGCGGAAGCCTAGCACCGATATTTGATTTGCAGGGATTTATAGCAGGCCAAACACCACAGGCTCTTGCTCCAAAAGCACACCCAAGCAGCACCGCACTAGCCTACCAACTAGCCAACCTATACTCCCTACTATTCCTCGTTGGAGTGGCTGTGCTACATACATCCACAGAACCAAGAGTTGTCCGTAACTACTTGATTGGTCTGGCCATTGCAGATGTCGGCCATGTTTACGCTACTTACTTGGGCATGGGCTGGAGTTCCTTTGCCAATGTACAAGGCTGGAATGCACTGACTTGGGGGAATATAGGCATAACTGGCTTTCTGTTTGTGAATCGAATCTTATACTTGTTGGGCATATTTGGAGATTCGAAGGCATCGAAGCTGCAGGACAAGCGGGATTGAACTCGGAATCCATGAATGGAACTCCTATGTGGAGTACATAACTAGTTTGAGCTCTGGCATGTCCGGCTATTTCAATGAATTTAGGTACATACCATACCCAAAGAGCCTTAGATCGAGGGCATTGTGGTATGTGAACCCAAGTGCCACCCATACGACCTCAGTTCCGAGAACGCCACCGGGACCGAGAGATCGACTAGTCTAGCTAAATATTTTGACCTTGAAGGAACCCGCGGACCTTATAATAATCTAACAACCCATCTTCTACTCATCTAATTTCTATGCATACATGTCGATACTTTCTCAGGCATAACGTAACAAGCAAAGACCACATCGTAAAGTCCCGGATCCCAGAGAAGTAATACAGCAATGATTAGAACAAAATAATAAAGAAACTCCCCCGGAAATCCAGTCCTGGAGGGACCAAATAAACGTACTTCATGCCTGACACAATACAACTGCACACCTGCATTTGTACCACACATAAGACGAGACAAACACATCACCTGAGTACCACAAGGATTACCATATCGAGATTCACCTTCTGCATCAGACCAAGCAACTTTCTCAGCGGTTTCAACCAGTTTCATCCTCAATTCTAAAGATTTGTCTTCAAATAATCAAGAACTGACTGGATGGCACAAGGGTTTGGATCACGAATGTGAGGAATGAGAAATGGGAGACCGGGATATTGGTAGTAGTGCTCGCGATAGGCAACAAAGTTATCATCCGAATTCATGAGAAACTGTAACTGTGAGGGTTGAAGGGGTTCCAAAACGACCATGCTCGGGACGGTAGAACCGTTCATGTTCAGCTCATGAGATTTTGCTGTGGTGGCGGCATATCTGCGAAGACCGTCTAGTATGGCCGTCAAAGAGTAATAGTTGCGTTTGCTATAGAGAATCTAGCAAATCAGTTAATAGGTTTTTAGTTCCATGCGGGCTAACGGGTAGTCTGACCGGTGTGGTTTCTCGTAGAAATTTGGTCATCTCCGGTGATGCAGAGCAACACTCCCAGACAGAAATGCTAAGAGTGTGCCAGTTTTTTATAAGACGTCTCACTTCCGGCTCATTGCTAATAATGGCCTGGCTAGATACTCCCTCGAAATCCATTTCATCAGTGCTTGTCAAAATATGAGCCAGATCCGCAGGTACCCCAGAATGGATATAGTCTTCTAGAAGGAGACTTGTCGTGTTGAAAGGCGAGTTCCAGTCCATGCATCGAGAGGAGGCATGCAAATATTGCTGGCGATAGCGGATTGCTAGAACGCTGAAGATCTTCAACATCACTGTTAAACTCGGTGTTTGTAGAGTCCTTAACAAGGCCTGAATGGGACCTGAAATGAATTCAAAACCGAGGTCCGTTGAAATTGGCATTCTCTCGGTAGCTTCAGGTCGAATATTATGTATACATTCTACTAAAGCTCGGCGGGCAAACGGGCTCTTTGAGCGTAAATGCTGTGCGGTTCAAAGAGTTAAGAAAGTTAAAAGTTAAGCAGTCGATTATCGGTTAACGTACCTTTTCAACCTCTACATAAAGATTGATTTCTTCAGGGTGGGCTTTTAGATGGTCGAGGAGGTGAACAAATAGAGCATTATGTTGTAGTAAGAACCAGTCGACGGAAACTGCCTTGTACCCGTATCCGAGAGAGGCACGCACGATCTCTTCGAAAGCGATTTTGCTGAAATGAAAATGACTCTCCGTCTCAATAGCACTGGCAATCTCGCAAGGATCATGGGGATTTAGAAGGTCTGGTGCTGGAGGAAACCAGCTCCAAGGAACTGGCTGGAATTTGGGAATATCCATCCTCCGCAGGATTTCTTCCACCCTTTGCAAATGGGAAAGGCTTTCAAGGAATTGGTATTCAGATGGATCAGAGAGATCAGCAAGAAACATGTCAATAGTATCTGGATTGCGACTCAAAAGAGACGCTCGTGGAAGGGCCTCGTCAGAAAAGAGTCGATAGCGGGCCACCTGGCTGATTTCTGAAATCTTAAACGCCCATAAAATGGTTTTGGCATCATCTTCCCACCAGCGATAGGAAATGTCGAATTGAGGGATCTCGTTTCCAAGTTGGAAAAGAGATGGATAAGACTGGTAAGCCTGGATTGGCTCAGACTCCAGAATTGTCATTGATATAGTTTGTGACATGATCAATATAATTTCTGATTTTGAGCTTGCTTCAATGGCATGGACGGAGTTGAGTGCCGAATGAAGCAATTAACTCTGATGGTACTAGGCTATCACTTTACTGTGAGTATCCAACGCATTGGTTACAGCAGTAGGGTATCGAAGCTTAAATACGCTGGCACTTGGTCACAGTTTCAGCAGTGACTAGACAAAGTCAAAAGGAGAAATAAACAACTGATATTTAAAAGTTGAAAGTTTCAAAGATATGTAGAAGAAGTACGAGTGGTGAGCTTTATAAGGGAAGGAACCTGATGACGATTGGCAGATGTATCCCTGCCGTTGGCCACGTTAGACTCATCACGAGGGGGAAAAATAACGATCATCAACAGATAGGTACATTGAAAACACAGGGGAAGGGGCGTCAAAATAGGAACGATGTCTCCATGGTGAAAAAAAGGGGGAAATGATTGACCTTTCCCCAAACACCTTTACATCTGTACCGGCGTATCCACTGTAAAGAATGGCGCTTGTGCTATGTAACGAATTTTAATTTCATCCGTTGAGGCTGCAGATTGGTTAAGCTTCCAATATCTTATTCGCTTAATTCATTGGTTTTGTGACAATCAGTTCCACAGTTTGGAAGCGGCCCAACTTCCTTTGCTTCTGGAATTTTCCTAGCAATTTTGCCAATATATGATAGAGCACGTTACTCTGAAGTGACTTTCTAATCAGATCTTACTCTCCAGCATCATAGAGCTAGCTACTATACGTTTCATTTCCCGCCAAGTACTTGGGTGCGCACTAAGTCACACTAAGAGTAGCGAGGGATCGGGAAGATCACGATGGAATCCAAATCGGTCGAGGATGACCCGGATGAAGTCATCTACTTTATGATTTCATAGTGAATCATAGGTGGAGTAGTAATGCAGGCAAGCTCCGGCCGGCCCAGAACCAGTCGCCGATTGATTGCTCTAAGTTGCGGTCTGGAGTATGGAATTGGGTCTACGGAAAGAATGCGAGTAAGAGACCTCGGGATATGGACCCACCACGCCGCTGTGGACACAGCATGTACAGTATGGTGTACGGATTACACAGTAAACCTTTCATCCCCCTGAATTTCGATCGTAACAATTCGGTGGCTTATTTATGGCTTAACGCCTGGGCTCCACACTACGTAGTATCATGTATGCACGTACTTTTGAATGGTAAAATAGTTACCCTATGATAGAATGGTTCAAATGTTGTTAAGGTGAAAGGAATCCAAGGATTACCTACCTTATTCGGTACCGGGATTCCAAAGTTGGAGTGTCCAGGTGGCGCCAACGAAAGATACCTAGGTAATCCCCGACCCTATAGCGTTCCCGCCAGGAAAAGATACACAGTGTACTCCGTTAACTCCTGCGGAAAACATCAAAAATGCCACGTGAAATATTCAAATATTCAAGTGCGGCTACAAATCCGGAACCAAGGAACTGGTTTCGGGATCTCGGTAGATCCACATGTCCCAGAGGTTGAGGTGGATCTTAAGACATGCCACTTTTATATCAACTTGACCGTTTACTACTTCGAGTCTTGGTCCTTGGAGCCTTGGAAGACCTTACAAATATCGTAATTATAGCCCCGTCATTCAATGCATATCTGATAATAAACTACCTAGGTATTTTTTCTGCTCCGCAATGTTCTATCCGACACGAAAATGTTCTAGGCCATCCTCAGATCCGGCATCCCCGCCTGTGATTGATACCGTTAGGTACAACATGAGATCATCAGATGTGTAGCTGCCAGTGGTCGATCAGAATCTTGGTATGCATTAATTATGGAGCTGCGCTGGAGCCACCTTTCGTGGAGAACTCAGAAAATGAGATCTGCATTCTCACTGGCTTTGAGTAGTTTCTAGCTTCCATTATCAGGAAGTTACTTCCAGCTATGCATGAAGACATTATTGTGAATACGACCTAATTTCGGAATTCCAGAATAGCCAATTGAGCCTAGTCTCGTAAGAGACATGGCGCTTACCTGGCATCAGCCACATAGAATGTCTCATAGATACCTAATTACCTAGGTAGGTAGGAGCCCTGTACCTACATGGACATCTATTAGTTGAATACCCAAGGTGGTCCATAAGATCAAATAAGGGGTTTACCTAAGTAATATTGGAAGTATCAAGTAAGGATTCCCCACATCTAATTCATTTCTTCAGTTTTGCCACGCGTATTTCTTCATATTGCAAGCTATAACCCAAGGCGGGGTTCAAAAGACAGATCAGATTATTGAAGGTTACAGTATGCACACGACTTCACGTTATCATAGGTTTTCGGAGGAAGAAAAATCAATGAAAAGCCTCGTGATGCGGGCTTGCAAGTGTCCATGGAATATACACAAATTACTTCATATGTATATGTTACTACTTGCATTTGGCACTGAGAAGTAGAAAGAATTTAAATTACTGACTGAAATGCTAGGAATAAAAAATAGGAGTCTCGCTAAACTAGGTGGAAAAATAGAGTAGAAGTTTGATGATACAAGGGGGTTGTCCAGATCAGGAATTCTCTGATCTGACGGCCAGCATGCTGGCTTCTTATACGTCGATCGAAAACGATCGATATGGGGGTTGGTTACTCCCGAGGTTCTGCGACAACTTGAAGGATTTAATCCCCTTCATTCGAACTTATTACAGTTATTACATTCGGCTTATCACTTGGGCACCTATGCAAACTTCATTCCTTCGGAAATCATTTCCACCACTCTTTCCAACCATCATTCTCTTTAGCTTGCTGGTGGGAGTTGCTAAAAAATTATGTAAGCTCTCACCTTGAAATTTCAAACTACCACCACGTCTGCAATTTATTGTCGATCTTTCTAAAATTAAAACCGATAGTAGATAGTAGCTCCATTTAGAACTTCAAAAAATTTTAAGCTGATAGAGGCGGTATATAAAAAGTTGATAGAGAAAAGGTGAAATAAAGTAGTGAAGTTCTAAATTTTGATACTTAATCATTGTTAACGAATAATCTAATTAGGTATAACGCAGTACTTATACTTCAAGGGTAACCTGTCCTATTTTATCTAGGCCTGGGCCTAAAACTTAGGCTTCCCTCAGCTAACTCAGCCCTAAAACCAAAAAATAGTTTTCAGTTGTTATTTTTCAATTTTATTCTAATTCTATGACAATTCTAAATATATCATTGAAACCAAGACGTTTTTGAAAGGAAAAAGTAAAAAAATGTGCAATTTAGGCAATATGCCCTTGTAAATCCTGGAGGTTAAGATACATAGGAGGTTTTCCAACCTCGTCTCAAAATAGTACATGCAATCTGATATAACCCCGTTATTCAAATAAAACGGTGATCGCAAGCCTGATAACGGTCAGCGATCTCGGATCAACTCTGCATGCATTGGCGGCTTAGTTCACATACTCGGTGAAATATGCAAACGAATGCAAGGTGATTGATCGGCGATCTGGATTTCTTGTCCGATGTCGCCTCCGGAGAAGCCATTCGCTGTTCTTCGGGGTTTGAATAAGAGAACAATTTCAAGTTATCTTGCATTAGTCTACAGCTGCCTACCGATGTCGTAACCTTGGGAAACGGAGGTTTCAGCTGGATAGTTGTTATTTTATCAAGGACCCAATGGAGTAAGCCCTAGATGTGTCTATCTAAAACTTTCGAACAGAGTTCCTCGAACGTTAAGTGTTTCTCGTCAAGGATATGGATTAGCAGCCAAGCTTGGAAGGTGATACAGTGCATCAAGACAATGCAAGTCTACTCATCTAAAGTATCAACCGATTTCATAAAGCACTCGAACAAATCTGCATGGATGCATACAGCGTGCATCCTACAATCCATGCATCGGGTGGACAGTGCTGATCAGGCTCCCCTTCGGCTCCGACTCGGGAGTGTTATCCATAACATCCCCACAAGGCCAGGTCAACTGTATTAAAAGTCGCCCAATGCAATATTGGACAGAAATAGGTACCAATGTACGGAAATCATCGGGTTCGGTTCACAGGCATACAATGGTGAGCCCGATGGATGTATTCATTGCCAGATCGAGTAATTATGACTATACCTAGATATATATCTTCACAATTACATTTTACAGACGACAAGAAAATCTACGCCGTGGGCCTCTTTGCCAGATGATAAACCAAACCGCCAGGATTATCCTCACTTGTGGAGCGGAGCTATAACTCCCAACACAAATATGAAGGCAAGGCAAAGGCTTTTGAAGATTTGAATCATAGACAGAAGGAAGAACCCAGGAATAACTTGTACGGTCATTAAATCATTTGAGAACAGGTAATGTTAAAATAGGTATCATATCACTCGGAAACGAGACGGAAGGCACGTCCCGGTTTTGTTTGCTATCGAATCTACGGAACGAAGCATCATTTAGTTCCAGAAAGCACGACCAGACGCCGTTTCTCAGCTACTGTTTTGGTTAAACATGTTTTTTGTATCTTCAGAAACTGAAGATGGTCGTCAAACTCATTGCCAAAGTCCGAAGACATTTAGTTGGCAAGAGCGTGGGCACGACGGCGGTCACGCTCCTCAGCAATGGAGAGCTATGAAGGATATTAGTATATTGCGAAGTAGCAGAGATATAATAATGGTTATAACATACCTTGACACCCTTGCCCTTGGGGAGGGAGATCCAGGGCTTCTCCTGGCCGATGACGAACACGTTGGACTCACGGGTGGCGAAGGTGTTGTCAATAGCGTCCTTGACGTGGACAATGTTGAAACCACCATCGTGGCGCTCACGGTGAGTGACAACACCAACACGACCCATGTTACGACCACCGGTAACCATGCAGACAACACCGCTGTCGAACTTGACAAAGTCGGCGATCTTGCCAGTGGTAATGTCAACCTTGACGGTGTCGTTGACCTTGATAGCGGGGTCGGGGTAGCGGATGCTAAAAAATCAAGTATTAGCAAAACTTTGTTCTGTTTTCTCAGAGCTTACTGTTGCCAATATATGGAACAGATTGTTCCTTGGTCCTCCAACCGATCAACCAAAGCTTGGTCCAACGACTGAATGACACGGAACTGGCGGAGAGTAGACACTCACGTTCGCGCATCGTGCGTAACCAAGAATGGGATCCCGCCCTTGCCAAGCTGAACACGCTTGACCTTGCAGAGCTTGAACTCAGCCTCTTCGGCCTGGATGCGGTGGACGGTGAAACGGCCCTTGGTGTCGTAGACGAGACGGAAGTGCTCGCCGGTCTTCTCGAGGGAGATGACGTCCATGAAACCAGCGGGGTAGGTGGTGTCAGTGCGGACCTTGCCATCGACCTTGACCAGACGCTGCATCATGATGGCCTTGACCTCACGACCGTTCAGGGCGTACTTGAGACGGTTGCGGATGAAGACAATCAAGGGGAGACAGTCACGGAGCTTGTGAGGACCGGGGGAAGCCTTGGGCGCATAGGTTCCGGACATTTTGTCCAAGAGCCAGTGCGAGGGCGCACTAAGGCGCTTTTGGTGCTTCTTACTGTCGAGACATTGGAGTTAGTGACCGCAATTGTAAATTCTTCAAGATGTGAAATATTTTGAATTTTCAACATCAAACGCGTTCAAGCCGGCGATGATCTGAGGACGAGATGGGAATGTCGAATTCAGATTCGTCGCCGCATGTCGATTGAATGAAGATTGGTATGGCACTTACGGTCCACGTCCCATTTTGATGGTTTGTCGATTAGGTCTGGTGTCGAAGGTGTCAAGTCAAGAGAGAAACGGGTCAGCGTTGATGGTCAAAGGAATTTCGCTTAGCGTAGTGTGTGAGCCCTATTTCCACTAGTCCATATCGGGAAAGATTATATAAGCAGAATCGGTATTTCCATTTGTGGACGATCATTTCTTGGCATTAAGAAAGAGCGTGAATTTATTGCGATTTTCACGCTTGAAAGTCTATAGATTTTGTATTGCTAGGTATAATTACGCTGTCGCTGAGAATTTCAAACTTTTCATATATATATTTAAAGGTATCCCTTGATAACAGCTACCTCGGCGTTGAGGATCGATGATCCAGCAGCACCAATGACGGTGTTGTGCGACAAAGCGGCAAAGCGGATATCAAAGTAGCCACCCTCAGCGCCATCGCGGATGCGCCCGACACTGACAGTGTAGCCATTGGAGATGTTGCGGTCAAGTCTGGGCTGGGGGCGGTCGGGCTCATCAAAGACCTTGATGGCAAGCTCCGGGGCAGAAGGAGCACCGAGCTTTTGAGCCTCAGACTGGTACTCACGCATAGCCTGCTTCACCTGCTCAGCACTGGGAGCAGGTCTGTTCTTGAAGCGGAGTGAGACAAAGGCCATGTGGCCATCAGTGACACCCACACGTGTACAAGTGGCACCGACACGTAAACCAGCCTGGTGGTCGAATGCGGTAGCATCGGCGTTCAATGAACCTAGAATCTTCTGGGCCTCGTTCTCGAGCTTGTCCTCTTCGCCGCTGATGAAGGGAATGACATTGTCGACAATATCCATACTGGGGACACCGGGGTATCCAGCTCCGGAGATGGCCTGTTCAGTGAACACTTCAACTTCCTCAACGGGACCAAACTTGGCCTGCAGGGCAGCGAAGGGGATGACGACACCGATGACAGCGCAGTTGGAGTTGCAGACCAGGAAACCCTTCTTGAGTCCATAGTGCTTGCGCTGGTGGGGGATCAGGTCCAAGTGCGAGGGGTTGACGGTGGGGACCACCAAGGGCACGATGGGATCTTTGCGGTAGTTCTTTGCGTTGGAGAAAACGGGAATCTCGGCCTTGATGAATGCCATCTCTATTATGCAGGGTCAGTAGACTGTTTGGTAGGGCTTGTCGGTAAAAAGGCAACCTTACCGGTCTCGCCGGCGATGTCGCTGTTCAAACCGGAGAAGACAAGGTCACAGTCCTTGAAGAGCTCAGCCTTGCATTCACGTACAACGAGATTGCTCAGGGTCTCTGACATAGGGCTAGACTGCTTCCATCGCACAGCATCCTTGTACTTCTTGCCTGCGGAGCGCTCAGAAGCACCCAAAGCATAGAGCTCCAGGAAAGGGTGGTCAGCCAACAGTAGGATAAAGCGCTGGCCCACGGAACCAGTGGCACCAAGAACACCTGTAATTTCTATTAGATCTCATTTGATGCCGGGAAATCTTCAATCCATACCGCACTTCTTCTTTGGGGATGAGGTTGCCATCTTGAGATATCTAAACACAGTCTTGTGAAAAGTTAGTTTTAATCAACTCTGAAGAAGCAGTAAAGGCTGAAATATATAGAATTGAATCTAGTCGTAGGTCAAAATTAGAATTCTTCTATCATGAGATCTTATGAGTCAAGGCTTTCAGAGCTCTGAGCATTTCCCCGCATAGTGGATAGGGCGCGGCTGTGTGCTCAATTGATTCAGGGACCTGAGATGGAAGAATTCTATGCATATATGTTGACAGGAAATAATGAACAAGAGACAACGTACCAATTCGTGTGTTTGAAGAGGATAAATCGGTGGCAACCATGATCAACTGCGATATCGCAGCCGGCCAATGACGCTGCCCCGCGCTGACTCATCGGCGGTGAAATTTACAAGTCCATGATTGGTTGAACTCTAGATATCCCGGAGATGGTGCTTCTCTCCGGATTATGGCTAATATTCTTACCGTTTGGTTACGGATACTTGCATAGACGTTTGTGGACTCTATAATTTGAAATTTGACCATTTGCCCTTCCTGGGCTGAGCTCACTCATTATAATTCATCTTCAAAAATTCAATCATATACATGCACAATCCCATGTCATTCAGACCTACCCCTGCCACCTGCATGGAGGCGCTCCAACGATGAATCGCTATCCCTAGCATGACCTATCATAGTCCATCCATTGCCCTTCAAATGGGTGCTATTGCGGGTTCCGGGGCCCATATTATCGAGCGGGTAGCTCTGCCCCTTGGGATATGGTTCATCGTCTGTTGTGACCGTCATGCTTGTTTCTACATTAATCGATCCAGTGGGGCCAGTGCGGGACTTTGTAACGGTACCCGTTGACTGGGTTATACCTGACGATTTGGATTTATATCGTGAACGGCTGGATGAGATGATCCTTTTGGTAACGAGCTTGATAAGAGGGGCGCAGGTGGGTAGACAGGCTGAGATGACACCAGCCGCCGTCTCGACAACGCACCAGCTTTGCGGATCAGCTAGACTCCAGGAGACATCGTCAAAATCGACGCCGAAAACCAGACTGAATCGATAAATGCTTGCAAAGACGACACTACGAAATGGAGTAGTCAGTATATAGGAGTTAGAAGAGTGCGAAATCTGACTTACAAGCTTCCCGTCATAAAAATGCATATCACTGAAATCCGTTGCCACAGTTGCGCTTGAAGATTCCAGACCAGTCGGACAGGCATGGTAAGGATCAAAATGTCCGTAACAAAGTTCGGTACTCCATTGCCGATAAGCGCTCCCTTGACACTGATGCACTTTCCTGGGAGGAACGGATTGTACGCTTTCGCAATCGGATCACACTGGAATATGGCGACACAAACGATAGATATAACCCAAAGGATTGTGAGTGTGCCTAGAATATAACCTCCGATTTTGATGGACCGCACGGGGAAGATACGACGGTACATCATCAGCACGGAGATTTTGATAATTCCCACTGTTGTGATGTAGACAGGCTCAAAGGCGAAGACCAGCTGCGGAGTATATATTAAAAAGTGCCCTACATGAGACCTGGGTTTTGAAATTGATAATATCTGGGCTCATACCTTGGTAAGAGTGAGCTGGTCACTCTCTCTGAGAGTGCCAATGTGCAGTCCCATGCCATATTGAACACCTTGTCAAGAATGGATGTCAATGAAAGGGATATCTAACGATATCAATCAAAATTGTGATACATACAAGCTAAGTTGATTCCCGCCATCAGTATCACAAAGATCTAGCCCAATGTTAGCCCTCATCTTTGCACTCATGTGGATACGTTTATAGTAGATATGACAGGTAAGACTCACCAATCCCACAACAAGTACCCAATCATCTGCCCCCAGACCAATGAACTTTGTCTGTCGCGCAACCAGCCGAAGAGCAAGAAAAGCAATAGCTAACACTGTTAGCACAACTGTCGTGATGCGCTGCTTCGTCTGAGTACTATCAGTATTCGCATCAGTGGACGTCATGATCTCACATAAACCGGCTAAAATGGAGAAGTGACAAGTCCCTACGAAATAAAACTTGGACGAGAGTTAACGTCACGCTTACATGGGTTAACCGACAGATGCACGGCATATTTAGACGGCTGAAACATCAGTATGAACGGTATTTACGTAGATCTGTATTTTCCAATGACTTTGATAGGCGAGAAAAGTATACTAGTGAACTAGGGGTACCGTAACTAGTTACCATTGACAGATGTGCTATGTAATAAGGCTTGAGGCCCCCACATGGGGCCATGATATCCATGGAATCATAGCGCATTTCTTAGCAAAAGTTCCCTATGTACACAATTTTTGGCCAAGTGATCAACAAACAGTTTCAAAAGTAATGTTGGGTTCTTTACCTATACCACCTAGTATACTAATATTTGAATTCAGACCTACTATCAAGGCTTCAATCCCTATTACGAAAAGCAGATAACCATGGTTACCTACTGAGATACACGTTCATACCTAAGAGTTATGGTACTTGAAGACGGCGACTACTCAATTAGGTATAGTCAGGAACCCGGAACCTCGGGAACCTGTGGCATAAGTTGCGGACTTTTCACCTTCAAAAATACCCAGAAACCGCCTATGGAAACACTAGCATCGTTCTTCAGTTAGCGTCACCTATCAGCCCGCCTCAAATACCTACTGATAGGTGCGAAGGACTGTCCAGAAGCTAGCGCGGCTTCTATTATTGTAAAAAACAGATTTCTTACAAACTCTGAAGTCCCGATAGAGCGAGGAAGGAAAAGGAAGGTGAAAATGTATGTAAGCATAGAGTGTTCCTGCAGGGACAAGTACCTTTTTTCCCATGACGAATAACAAATGCAAGTAACTATTGATTTAGTCCGAGTAAACTACTTGGTAAATCCAAAGTACACCGTGCCCTGGTAAATGAGACCCACTTTTCCTAACGGTTTTTAAGCTTAGCTTGATGGCATGACATATCACATGAATAAAACTATTGAATTGTATGAAACCAATAAGAAAAGAGACTATGGAATCTGTTTATTTGGGCATGTTGATCTCCTATAGCTAGTCTGTCTACAAATACGTGGGCGTCGGTGATGTCAGAAACGAGATTGACTGGTGGCCAGAATTGTTGTTCTTGGCGGATTACAAGGGATTACCAACTCGGCTGTATCGTAACTATGTCTTTTTCACTTTAGATAGGATGGCGATGGCACTAGATATCCGTAGTAAAAATCGTCCGTACTCAAATAGTGGAGTACGGAGACTAGCTAAGAGTGGGATTGTAGGCGAGCCGTGAAAGTCCCTAAGTTTCCCTCGCCCCTGAACTGAGCTGATACATCTTTACTCTGCATTTTAGATTGAACATAAAAATAAACATCCAAACTACTTGCTTACTCGCTCCACCAAAATGACCAATCCAACTTTTGTTTTCTCTACCGGCGCCTGGATTAGGTCGGAGTTCTTCGATGAGATCCGTTCTAAGCTTATTGCACTCGGTTTCCCTACTGAGTGTAAAAGTCACCCTTCCATTGGCGCTGAACCACCAACCAAGACTTTGGCTGATGATACTGCTTCTCAGCGCGATTTCTTGACGCAACTTGCTGACGAGGGTCGTGACTTGATTGTTGTAGCTCACTCTTATGGCGGTGTTGTTACTTCTTCCTCTGTTGAGGGCTTGGATAAAGCCACCCGTGAAAAAGAGGGCAAGACTGGCGGTGTTGTGAAGGTTGTCTATATGGCTGCCTTTGCTTTGGATAAGGGTAATAGCCTTTTAGATATGCTTGGGGGTAAACCTCTTCCGTTTATGCATATTGATGTAAGTCATTTATACTTCTTCGATTCTGAAATACAAATATCAATATCGAGGGTTATGAGTTCAAAAAGATCACTACTAAATTCTATAGGGCGACTACGTTCGCTTCGTTGGCGATGCTACCACCAACCCCTGGCTTGATATTCCCGAGGAAGACCAGCAGAAGTGGGGAGCATTGACGACGCATACCTCACGCCTAGTCTTCGGTGGTGAGTGCACCTATGAGCCTTGGCATGATATTCCCTCTGCCTATATCATCTGTGAGAAGGATCAAAATCTTCCTCCGCCCCTCCAGGAGCTATTTGCTGCCAAGCTTGCTGGACCGGACAAGACCTTCCGTCTTCCAAGTTCACACTCGCCATTTTTGAGTATGCCTGATCGTCTGGCTGAGATTTTGCAGAAGATTGCAAAGGAATAGACTACTTGGTCTTCTTACTTGTCAGATCTAATTCAAGGCGTCTTGCCACATAATTCCACCACTTAGTACGCATAGGCAGTAACCCTTTAGTATTGAGTATCGGTGCGAAGATCTTCAATAGTCTTACTTATACATAAAAAGGCAAGGCTCGTCACAAAACAAGAAAGAATGGGGCTGAAATTATACCGTGTACCATAACGGCTCCCAATCGTTATTTACCTTGGAAGGATCCAATGTGGGTAAACAACCCGCTCTACCGTTGATCGCTCCATCTACATAGTAAAGTGGAAAGTCTGTAAGGGTGATACTTGGTAGTAGAAGAAGGTGAAGGGTTATTATAGTTCAGTAGCGTGTTTTTTTTACAATACCATCCATAGAATTAACAATGTAAAAGAATTTTCTGAGCCAACAAAACCATCAAGCCACCGAATCAAAGATCTTGTCAGGGTTCAACAGCCAATGTGGATCAAGGGAGCGCTTAATACTACGCATCACATCAATCGTCTCCAGTCCAAGTTCTTTCTTCAGAGACTCCTTTTTGCCTAGACCAATACCGTGTTCACCCTGCAAGATGTCAGTAAATCTGTACTAGTTAGATGTAAGTATACGCGAAACATACCGTGCACGAACCCTCCATTTCAAGAGCTCGATCAACCATGTTGTGAACCATATTCTCAACTCGTGCCTTTTCTGCCGGGTTAGTGCCGTCAAACATGATACTTGTATGGAAGTTGCCGTCGCCGATATGCCCAAGAATGCTAGCGAAAAGATTAAGGTCGGCCACTTCCTTTTGCGAAGATTCTAGCGTCAAGGTTAGTAGTCATGTACTAATTAAAGTATGAAACCTATCCTCACCGATGATATCATGCAGTCTAGAGATCGGCACGGCGACGTCGGTCGACCAAACTTCAGATCCTTCTTCGCGAAGAGCCATCATGCTCCATAAAGCTTGCTTGCGCGCTGACCACAAGTCATGTGCCTGCTTCTCATCCTGAGCGAACTCGAACGACGCAGCATTGTTACTCTTTGCCAAATTCGTTGTCAGATTTACACTGTCCGCGACACCAGCTTTTGATCCAGAAAACTTGAAGAAAAGAGTCGGGGCCACGCTCCATGTTCTTCCCGTACCACCCGCCCGATTGATCACGTCCATCTGCACATCATCAAGAATCTCCATACACTGCACGATGATTCCTTTCCGAATAACCTGCATAGCCATAGAAGCAGCGTCAGGAAGAGTCGGGAAGGTAACCACTCCGACTCTTGTTTCTTCAGGGATCACAGCCAGCCTCAATGTTGCCTCTGTAACGATACCTAGAGTGCCCTCAGAACCCACGAAGAGTCCAGTGAGATTGTAGCCAGCGGAGGTTTTACGTGGACGTCTGCGAGTCTTGATGATCCGACCGTCGGCCAATACAACCGTTAAGTTAATCACCCAGTCCTTCATAGCGCCGTATCGCACCGCGTTTGTTCCACTGCAGTTCGTGCCCACCATACCGCCAATCATAGCTGACGGACCAGGGTCCACTGGGAACATCAACCCGGTATCCTTAATTTGCTCGTTCAGGTCCATCCATTGGATAGCGGGTTGAACCACTATATCCAAATCTTCCTCGTTGATTTTCAATATCTTTCTCATGAATGCAAAGTCGATCGTCATGCCGCCGTGTGGCGCGGAAAAGTTAGCTTCCAGACTTGATCCCCCGGAGTAAGGGATCATCGGCATGCGATACTTGCTGCAGATCTTGGCGATCTCCGAGACTTCCTCAGTAGAACGAGGGTATGCTATTGCGACTGGTAAGCGGTCAATATTAATACTGGACCACGCCGAGAAGCCGTGCCGTTGAAGTTCGTCTTCGTCGGTACTTATTGTGTCTTCGCCTAGTATCGCTCTCAACTCAGCGATCGCCTGCAATTGTAATCGTTAATCAAAGATAAATTTGAGACGGTTCACATTCTCACCTTTTCGAAATCTTTCATCGAGCCATATTGCGGCGTTTTTGCTGGTTGTTGATTCTGGCTGTAGGAAGCATAGCCGTAGCCTAGTCCCGTAGCGAATACGGAGGCCAAGAGAGTCCGACTTGGGCTCCAGAAATACGATGGATTAGTCGATGAGGAACTGGAATTTGAAGAGCTTCCTTCATCCTGACTCGTTTTCTCCCGATTTGTCGAGCTACTTGATATAGCTCTGGACAGAAACCGTGGCGATTGGGGGATCTGAACGATGGAGATCTGATGGCGGGGAAGAACGCGGGGAGCTGGAGCGGGGAAGCTCCGGATCAAACGCATCTTGTTCTGAATAGACAGCAAGTTCTAGAGAGGAGAAAGAGACTCTAGACTATAGTTAATTGAGAATTTATGTCAGAATTCAATTGAGTGGAATCCAAGAACCCGGCACTTGAAGTCAAATATTTCTTGCTACATTGCTGACTGATGATGCAGAGAATTGTCAGACCTCGGCTTTGTTTCCGCTTTGTTTCCACTTTGTTGCCGCTTTTATTGCCGCTTCATGTTCTTCTTGAAAAGCTTAGCTTGTCCTTTGGCAACCTCAAGGGGAAAAAAGGGGGGGGGTTTTTTTCCTTATGTCTATTGCTACATAAGGGAAAATATGTTTTCGGACACCGCCCGCATTTTGACGCGTTTTGTCGCGTAGGCCTATACCCACCTTTTTGAATTATATTTCTTGTACTAACAATGGCTCCTTTTGGCACAGAAATTAGTGGAAACCGCGGTAAAAAGCAAGAACTTTATACTGATCAACGCGCTGGAATCATCTCTAGCCTTGAAAATGGTGTATCGCCAACCAAACTCGCTGCTATTTATGGCTGTACCCGCAGCACAATCTACTACACTCGTGACCGCTACGAAACCACAAAAACCCTTGAATTGCGCCCTAAAAGTGGACGTCCTCCTATTTATAGCGAAGCCGCTAAACACTGGATCTATTTGAAAGCGCGCCGTCATCCATTTTGGAGCTATAGGCGACTTGCTGCAAACACCTCTTTTAATCCCTCTCGACCTACTTTACGGAAAATTCTTAGAGGTAACGGTCTTCCAAAACGACGCCGAAAGAACAAGATTTCTCTTAGCCCTCGTCTTGCGAAAGACCAACTCAAATTTGCTCAAAAATGGCGTCAGGATGTGGATTGGAAGAAATGGATCTTTTCGGACGAATGTTCTGTTCAGAGAACGTCTAACTCTGATATCTATTGGGCATGGATTTTCAGATCTGAGACTTATTTAAGTCAATTTGTTAATCCTAAAGCCCATGTGAAGGATATTTCGCAGATGGTATGGGCGTGTATATGGATTGGTGGTCGTTCAAAGTTAGTGGTTATGGAGCGCGATTCTAGGTCTAAAGGTAAAGGATTTACTAGTAAATCCTATATCAAAGCCCTAGAAAAGGGCCTTCTACCACACTATGAGGATGATGATATATTTCAGCAGGATAATACTAAAATCCATACATCAAAGGAAGCAAGAAGGTGGTTTCGACGTTGGGGGATTCGTCTTGAAAAATGGCCTGCACGATCGCCTGATATGAGCCCGATCGAACCATGTTGGTATCTTCTAAAGTGCAAATTAAGAAAGCTACACCCCGAACTAGTCGAAATGGGCCAAACTGCAGCTGATTGGACCTATTTTAAGGCCTGTATTTGCGAAGCTTGGGATGCCATTCCACAGGCTACAATCGACAGCTTAATTAGGGCTATGCCGTGCAGATTAGCTGCTGTACGTAAAGTCAGGGGGTATTATACTAAATACTGAATACAATCCTTTTCTCTTATCATTTAAATATTTGAATATACAGATTATATAGCTATATCTATAATAATGGTAGAGATATCAGTGGTTGAAGTAATTATATATATTTAAGGTGGGTGGGGCTAAATCCCAACTATCCGAAAACTTATTTTCCATAACGTATCATAGATAAGATATTGAGAGATGTCTAAACCCTAGCCTGGGCCTCATCTTTTTTTTAATCTTCATTTTTTCTTATCATCAGGTCAACCAATTCAATTATTCAATCTTAATATCAATTTTCATTTTCATTTCCTTTCCAAGACATTTCAGCAGATGTTACAGCTGATCAATGACTCCAGTTATCACTGGCGGTCAATATCAACATCGAGATGAGATGAGACATTATTGGCCAATATAAAGGAAATAAGTGGGCCTAATAGTTGATAATTCGAAAGGCGGTGAACACCATATTATTTTGGTTGCCCCGTCAACTGATTTTAGGCGACCACAAGCATCAAAGACGACGAACCCGAGTGAACCGCCAGATGCAGAACTGATCAAAATGGTGGAAGAACTATCTAATTTTATAGCTGAGATTGAGCGAATTGTGACTGCTCCATATATCCCCTTGCTGCTAGTAGGCTGATATCGATACTGATCTGAAGTGTTCAACGTGTTGATTTTAATGATTTAGGATTTATATGATCTGACCAGGCAAAGCTCGTCTACGACTATCAGTCGTTGGGCAAATCAAAAACCATGTCAAGTGGGTTTATTAGCCGATGTGTTGGTAGAGGGGTTGTCCCGTTCTCGTGTATCTCTCCCGCTGCTCTCGATATTTTCATCGTCTGCACCATCTTTTCAAGAGGCCGTGTTGGTTCGACATCCAGTTCTCTTAGATAGTTTGCTAGAGAAAGTGGTTGAAGCTGGTGATTTAGATGTGAGTTATATTGGACTCGATTTTTATTTTATATTATGAAATTATGAACTGACCAGCCTAGTATCTATCACCATGCATTTCTTTACTATCTTCTCCGCTTCCGGCAGAGTTTGTTCCTCCTGCTCGAATCACCAGCTTCATCACGTACCTTGTCTCTTCGATGGCCAAGGATCCATGCGCAGATACAATCATGCCCTTGCATCGCTTGATGACCAGCCTTCAAGGTTCCATCTTGAATGACGTCCCTGACGAAGTGATGTCAAGCCTACAGTTAGAATTCACCAAAACACTGCGTAATGTAGATGATCAAATGGGCAATCTCCTATGTCTAGCAACATTTGCCCGAATCGCAGCGACCTCTCAAAATCAACACGGATCAAAGCCCAGACCCTGGCTACTTAACATTCAGCACTTCTTCGGATCAAAGCGCGGTGTGAAGACACTCGATCTGGTCGTTTTGCGTGTGATCCTAGCTTGTTCCTCAAATTATAACAATTTAATACCATCACAGGCTGCTGAGAGCATTCGCCTTGCTATTTGCATTGCAGATGCTGTTGAGCCGACGCAAAAGAATGCCTGGCTGTCCAGTAATGTGGCTAAAATCTCCAAATTATGCGATAAGGTGGCCACAGATGGCCTGGATCAAGAGATTCAGATGATGGTATGACCCCTTTGTACCAGCTTGACCAATTCTATGCTAACAGTGTCACAAGGGAGTGGCATTTTTGCTCTGTCTCTGCCCTGGGGCGGATCTACCCCCTTATGTAAGAAAGCTGGGCTTGCATGTTCTTGTCTCCAAAGGCAGTAAAGGAGCGTTGGGGGCGATGCCGCACTATCTAATTCCCCGGTTAGTGGGCTCGTTAGCTGTAAGTTTCCTATGACTGCTCGCAAGAATTTTCATTCCTAACTTTTGCAGAACTCTGAGGAATCTGCCATCTATCATCTGCTGCGGCTTACATTTGAAACTATACAGTGTGTTGATGTATCTGCCCAAGACTTGTCTGATTTACATTTGGTAAACTTGATCCTTCCAGGATTTCAAACAGCCCAGTCTCCTGTTTTGATATCCGCACTTCTCGATTCGGTTTCTACAAGAGAGGCCATCGTGTATTTGCTCGGGCTATTCCCAATAGCCCCAATTCAACTTCACTGTGGAGGATTACAAGCCTGTTTGTGTGCAAAGACCTCGCTTCAAAACAAAGTCCTGGTCAGCCTCTTTGGGCTCTACTTTGGCGCTGCCATTTCTCGGAGCAAAGAGAATGATGACGTTCTCATCATGAAACGATTTGTGGATCGTGCAGTAGGATCAATGGTCAATCAGGAGTGCCATTTCTCAAAATCGAAACCAAAAGACTTCGTTTCGACAACACAACCACACTACTGGCAGGACAATTTGTCTGCTAAAGCCCCGCCTCGCGACTGGCGCTCTGGAATAGCCGAACCCCTTATGCAAAATGCGCAGTACCTCAACGAAGACATCGTAAAGAAGATTGAAGGCATTTGCGTGGATCTTGAGCGTCGTTGTTATGACGTAGAAGGTCCATTGCGGCGTGTCGAAGAAGACCGAGACCGGTACATTTCTGAAGCCCAGAGGCTGAAGTACCAGAATGACGAGCTAGAAATTCAGCTGGGGCAGTCTTCTCAGACAGTGACCAATCTTCAACAAGAGATTATTCGATTGGAAGAACATGCCAAAGGCGTATGCACTCGGTTGGCAGAGCTTTCTGGATCTCTAAAGTCTACCAAAAAAGAACTTGTGGATGAGCAACATCGCTCGGAAAGAGTGCTCCATGAGCAGCAAGAAGCTGCCCGGACTAGAGAACTTGACTTGATAGCTACATGCACTGAGAAAGAAGATCTGCTTGAAGCGATGCAAGGGGACATGTACCAGCTTGAGTCCGAAATAGAACAGGCTCGACAGGCTTTGGATGGTGTCTCTCAAGAGCGAGCTGCCTTGTTGGAATCTTCTGCCTCATTACAACTTGAAGTAAATGAGCTTCAAATTCTATTAGAGCAAAGCAAACAACTTTGTTCTCAACTGAATGGCGAAATAAATCAGCTGCAGGCTGGTGGTGATAATATGCGGAGCGAAATAGAAACTTTACAAACCAAGGTATGTCCTCATCTTCATAAAATGGCTGATCAAACCTAAATTCTTGTAGATGGATGAGCAAACTCGCGAAAGCAAAAGACTTTACTCTTCCTTGAAAGAAACTGAGCAAAGGTCAAGATTTAAGGCTGAAGAAATGAGACTACAGCATCAAGCTGAGGCCAATAAGGCCATATCTGAGGTGAGTTCCCATAATCTCGCCCTTCAATTGACCAATACTGACTAACACTGACAAAAAACCAGATGGAGAAGCAACAAGAAGAAAACCGTCAGCTCCATACAGAGATTCAAATTGCAGCCGAAGGTTCATCCAAACAGATCCAATCAAATGAAAAGTACATTTTTCAGCTAGAGAACAAAGTACGTTAGCCACTCAAGCCTATTTAACTTCTTGTCCTGACTGAGACAACCAGATCCAATCCCTACGGGACGAACGAGCAGCAAAAGCAAGAGAGTTCTCCGAAGCCCAGCAGCACATCGGAAAGCTGATGAACGTAATGGGATTTTCAACAAACCAAAACTCCCCACCCTCCAAACATCAACGGACTCTAGAAACATCCTGTACCCCCGCAACAATCAATCGCAGATCGACCGTCTACGGCGAAGATGATGCACAATTTGCAGCACCAACTGGAAATAGTCCCGAAACCCCTCACGAACCAAGTCCCAAACGACCGAAGGGAAGCCTCCGCACAATGAACCCATCTCAACATGTCCCGAAACCCCCTGGTGGTGGTGTCACAAAATCTATCTCTCAAAGCACTGGCAGTCCTAAGCGACTCTCTTTTCGACAGCTTAAGCCTCTTGGTGAAGTGAATCCGAACAGTCAGATCCCGCCACATTCTACGAGAAATTTGAAACATAGCCAGGTGCTTGCTCAAGAGTCTATTGCTGATGCAGGTGTGGATCATATGCATGGCCTTGATCTTGATCCCGATCTGGAATTTACCAAGGACTTCATTTTTACTAGTACGGCTTTTTCGGGGTCGAATGAAAACTTAGATTCTTAATCAGGATTCTAGACACTCTATGGCTATTCTCAATGCTTACTTGACCTTTTTTCCTCTTTGTTAAAGTCATAAGAACAAGTTGGCTAACCAAGGTGATTCAAGATAACCATAGCTTAACGATTTTCTTTCCTGAGGTTTTCTTCTGTATACCATGATTTAGGATGGAGAAAATAGACTGCTGGTCATCTGGCTACATGTACTGTCAACTTGTGAAAATACCATATCTGTCTTGTCTGTCTTAATCGGACACAAATTGAGCCCTACTTTGGATCGAACCTCTCGCCTCCTTCCAACCATTGACTTGAGTATTTTCATCATCATTAACTCCTTCAGTTCTGTCTTGGCATATAGTTTTTATTATCACGTCTCATCCCATTAAGCCAATCCTCTTCATTTCTCTTTTCTTTACCTTCTCACCTCTCTTTAATTTTCTTGACTTCCTGGGCAGTCTTCTCGCTCTTCATCCCTCTCATCAACCCCATCTGTCTTCCAACATTTCATTTATATTGAAATATCTTCACTTCTAAGAATTCTTAGTCCTGCTCTCCCCCACTCTCACTTCGCACCCTCATCATCCTCTCCCAATCACTCTTCTACTTCCAAAGCTTTTGATCCTCACATCTCCCCGCTCCTTCAATCCTCTTCTTCCTCTTCTTCTTCTTCTTCTTCTTCTTCTTTTTTTCTCCCTCTCTCTATCTCTCTCTCTACTTCCCAACTACTTCCTACCCAACCTCTCTCAAACGACCTAAAAGCAGTCATGGCCTCGACCTACCGTAAACTGAAACTTTCAATGTGTTCGAACCGGCCGAATATCTCTCACCCCCGGGTCCCAGACATATCGCTGAGCTGGAGGGGCTGGGAATCCGTTGCCGTCAACCTTTTTTGGATTCCCAAAGAAGTGAATACCCATGGTCTATGGCGAGCCTTTCAGGGCGAAGGAACCATCATCACCATTGATATTTTTGATGATCGTCATGGAAATCGGGGTACCCAGGGTCGTATTCGCTTTAAGTAGGTTTCACTACTACCTGGAGATCACTCCAGGGCTCTCTTTCTCAGTATAGTCACTAATCATGTTGCAGGCCTCCCCCGTCAAATGCTTTCTGGGAAAATGGTCACTATGCAGTCCCATTGCGTATGGGCCGTATGGGCAGAGTTGAGATGAAGCTAGAGGTTAGATTCCAGGAGCAGTCCGTTCCGAGTCCAGTTCGCCCTGGTATGTCTTACCCAGCAGTGATTGTAAGTGGCTATATAAAGTCTTAAACTTCAATTTTATTGATTAGCACTAATATATATCATTTCATAAAGGAACTTGGTGTGATCAAGCTGGATTTTGGCGTCCTTATGGGCGAGTCTTCAATCTCCTCTCTGCAAACTTTCGACGTGGAAGCATCTCCGGTGTTGATGGTCGATGTCAAGCAGCGGGCTCTTTTCGTCCACTTTAAAACCTTTATTAAGACGCCCGAAAAGATAGACCCCGATGGTGAGGATGACATGTCCTCTTTCCGTCTCAAAATCGGCTTCTTCCAATTGAATCGGATCTGGGAAGTTTTGCATTCTGAGACAAAGGAGCTGTCATTTTTGACTATTCTGGACTCTCCCCCAGTCTATCATCGCAGATTGGAAGATATTGAATCCACCTTTTCTAGTGATACCATTTGGAGAGAATCGGATACCTGGTTTCGCCAAACATCCATTTTCCACAACCCTACGGTAGTAGCTAACCTGACCACTAGGCTTTACAAGCCTGGTCAAATCATTGATATTGGTAGGTTTCGTTTGCTATTAAACTCATATCTTGATTCTTACAGTTTTTAGGTCGATGGAATATGCTTAAGATAACATTTTCACCCGTTGTCGTGAACCAAAGGGTTACAAGCGTGATTCACGCAATCCTCCAAGATCACAACGTCATAGTCAAGGATGGAAGCCATTTCAAAGAGATGCCTAGCCGTGCGCAGCCAGTCTGGCGTTGGATTGACTTTACCGAAACCAAAATGGCCAAGACGTTGCCATACTCCTCAGTCCTAGAGGAATTGGAAGATCAGGATTACATCCACCTAACATTTCCAATTCGCTATCAGCTTGAAGTATGTCTCTCGTGTGGAGTTCTCTCAGAGTACAGAATGACTCGCGAGTTCTTACTGAAGCTGAGAGCTATGGATCCCACTAAGATCTTGAAATTGCTAGAGCATGTGGCTACTGGCAAGAAAACCTATATGGACGCCATGGAAATATTCTACATTCATTTTCCTAAGGGCGTTACAGACTTGAAGATCCCCCGTCATTGCTGTTTCATGCGAACTGCCCGGATCACTCCGAGTACTATTTACTATAATACCCCCAGTGTTGACGTCTCCAACCGCGTCACCCGCCGCTACAAGGAGTTTGAAGATCGATTCCTCCGCGTTCGTTTCACCGATGAAAAGACTGAAGGCCGAATCTACAGTTTTATTACGGACGTCAATGACGAAGTCTACAGTCGAATCAAAAGAACCTTGGCGAATGGCATTGACATTGGCGATCGTCACTACGAATTTCTGGCATTTGGCAATTCACAGTTCCGCGAACATGGCGCATACTTCTTTGCTCCCCTGCCTCATCTTACAGCCGACCATATTCGCTCTTGGATGGGCAATTTCAACCACATTAAAAACATCGCCAAGTATGCTGCAAGACTAGGCCAGTGCTTCTCAACTACTCGAGCTGTTCTAGGCTGCACGGTGGAGCGTCGCGTTTGCGATGATATCACCCGCAGCGGTGAATTATTCACTGATGGCGTGGGCAAGATCTCCAGTTTCCTGGCTAAAATGTCGGTGGAATCGTTAAAGATCAAAACTCCCTTGGGAGTCCCCCCTTCCGCATACCAGTTTCGAATGGGAGGATCCAAAGGCATGCTCACTGTCTGCGCTGAACTCGGCCCTAAGGAAGTACACATTCGTCCCAGCCAGATGAAGTTTGAGACAGAGTATTCTGGGTTGGAGATCATCCGTTGGTCGCAATTCGGCTCTGCAACTTTGAACCGTCAGTTGATACTTGTTCTTTCCAAACTTGGAATCAAGGACGAAGTCATTCACAAGAAACTCCGAATGAATATGGAGGGCTTCAACATGACCATGACAGACAATCTGCACGCAGCTAGTCTGCTCCAAAAGTTCGTCGATCCGAATGAAATCACTATTAAAATGAAGCGAATGGTTGAAGATGGTTTCAAACGCTCCAACGAGCCATTCATTAATGGGCTGCTAGCTTTGTGGCAGTCATGGCACTTGAAGGGCCTCAAAGAGAAAGCGAGGATCCTTATTGAAGATGGTGCAAATGTGCTTGGAGTCATTGATGAAACTGGGGTACTGAAAGGTCAATTTCGAAAGGATATGCCTAACGTCAACTCACTCACAGCAGAACGAGTCGCCGCACTCCCTGAAATCTTCCTCCAGCTTTCTCGCTTCGAGAAAGGCTCTGGTACAGAGATTATTGATGGTCTTTGTATCCTGGCTCGTAATCCGTCGCTTCACCCGGGAGACATCCGTGTTGTTCGGGCAGTCAATCGACCAGAACTTCAACACCTGCAAAACGTAGTCGTGTTCCCTCAGACTGGTGATAAGGATATTCCCAGTATGTGCTCGGGGGTGACTTGGATGGCGATGACTATCTGGTCATATGGGATAGGGATTTAATTCCTGACGAACTCAATTGGTTCCACGAGCCGATGTCCTACAAAAGTCAGAAATCTCCCGACCTTGATCACGACGTGACAGTCGATGAGATAACCTCCTTCTTTGTCATGTACATGAAGAACGACTGTCTTCCTCGAATTGCACACGCTCACATGGCATTGGCTGATCGACTTGACTGTGGTCTGACGGAGCCAAAATGCCTGCGTCTCGCACAGCTGCATTCTGATGCCGTGGACTATATCAAGACCGGAAGCGTTGTTACTATGAACCGTGACCTCCAGCCTCGCCTATGGCCTCATTTCATGGAGAAGAAGCACAAACGCCCGGAACAGATCTACCATTCGAAAAAAATCCTTGGCCAGCTCTTTGACGCGGTTAAACTCATTGACTTCAACCCCCATCTGAGCATGTCATTTGATCTGCGAATCTTAGAGTCCAAGCTTGTCCCAATCAGCGAGAGGTACCTCGAATTCGCCGGTGAACTCAAGCAGGACTACGATAACGCAATGCGGCAAATCATGGCACAGTATGAGATCAAGACTGAATTTGAAGTCTGGTCTGGTTTTGTTCTAGACCATAATTTTCAGTCCAGCGATTACAAGCTCCACGAGAGTCTAGGGAGAGTCTCCAGTGATCTCCGAAAGGTATTCCGTCAACTGTGTTGCGATAAAGTAGAGGGTCGTACCTTCAATGAACTTGCTCCCTTGGTCGTTGCCATGTACCGAGTAACACACGAGGAGACAATGTTAGCACTGGCAAATATGGAAACAGAGAAAGCAGCTGCAGCTGGACTTACCGATGAGGAGTCTGAATCGAGCGAAGAAAAAGAGCCTCCCGTCGCGATGCCTCTGATCAGTTTCCCTTGGATTTTCCATGAATATCTGGGCCAGATCGCTACTTCCAAATTCAAGTTACCGAAGACTGACCCCGATAGCGTAGTTATTGTTTCCCCTAGCTTTGGCTACATGTACACCCATGCTGAGACTAAGCGTGAGATTTGGGAATTTGACCATTCGGTTAATATTGGTCCACCTCCACCTCAGCAAACCCCCCACGACCCTGTTGCCAGTAAGATCGATAACACAGAGGTGGGCTCCGTGGTAGACTCCACAGCCAATGTGAAGGAGGCAGGCGATGTTACTCAATCAAGCTCCATTGAACAAGGAAGGGAAGTTTTCGGTGAAGAAAGCCTTGCCAATACAATGGAAGGTAGCGTACAGGACCACATCCTAGAAAAGATTGAGGGAAAGATTCAGGATGTGGTCGAGGAGAAAAATATGACCACTCTCCACCAGCTGAGTATGAATTTGGCAATCAAGTCCCTGGGAGATAGCGGACAAGAAGACAAGATCGAGGAAATGGTTGAAGAGGCGGCGAAGCCATCTGCACTTGACCAGCTGATGAACTTGGTTAGCAATTCCGTGGATGGTAGCAAGGTGGATAATATCGAGATTTTTGAGGAAAAGCCGTCCGCTCTCGATTAGCTGATGTATTTGGCTAGCAGCACCATGGGATATGGTGGACATGAGAAATATATGGATGATGGTGAGGATGAAATCCCGGTCGCCTGGTGAACTTTGCTAGTAACTGATCCATTGCACCCGGGTAGCTTACAATGTGGGATATGTGGTGGGTGGCTTTCAGACGGCTTTGGATATCCTCTTGCTTCTAAGCTTCAATGATATCAAGGTGTCGTGAAGTATAAAGTACCTACAGTCGTCAAATAAGGTAGAGATTAAATGAAATAAAGAGTCTTGCATCCGAAAAACTCTAGGTATTAGTCATTAAACTGGCGGACTTTACCTCACTATACTCAGCTTTGTAGATAATAATCTATGAACGTAGAGAGGACTTGGAATCGGCAATGATCACTATTTTATTAGTTGATGAGCCATCCTTATTCGGGTATTTCCGTTCAAAGTGACTGAATAAAATAGGCCAACACTCTTAAACTCCATCTTAAATCACTATTAGTATAATCCTTCATCGCCCTTCTTCTCCAATTGATCTATAACAGGCTCCAAAACAGCCTTTGAATGTCGCCACTTCGCTGTATCTCGGGTTCGAGCATAAAACACAGGGCAATCCATGCTATCACAACTAACCTCATCGACTACAGAAGCCCCCATGCAGGACCGACAGACCGCCTCAAGATCAACAACTCGCTTCTCAGCCCTCTGCAACTTCGAAACGACATCCAAAAGCGCAGTGTGGGGGCTCGCGAGACAATTCCCACACACGGAATTTTTCAAATCAGTCATTTTGTCCCTGCAAATGACGCATGAAGATGAACGCATATAAGACTCCAGCGTCTTTTTAGTCATTCTAAATTCCCTGCCTAGGGACGAAGACCCCGCGACAAGACGGATACGCTGGAACTTGGGCATCTCATCATACCATTGCCGAACATTTGCACCGACTAGACTGAAGATCCGTTCAAGAGGTGGAATAATGTTTTTAGTGATGTAGTATTCGGCGTCCAGGTCAATCTGGGCATCTTTAAGGAGTGTCTCGGGTGCAACACACCGATCGATTAATCTTGATCCCGGGGCACCGGTGATCACGATGTAGGGAACACGTTCACCAGTCTGTGGCTCTGAACGTGGATCCTCGATCATGCGTTTGGTGCTTATCATTGCCCCGGCTGGGAGTGTACCACGATCGCTGTAGGTGCCTAGACGGACCTCACGAGCGAAACAAAAGTCTTGAATTGAGACCCGGCCTTGCATGATCTTGCTGCATTGTCGCTGGAAGTAGGATTTTACCTGGCTAAGGTCCGCAGTGCGGAAGAGGAGTTTGATGGCTTTCTCTTCAATCTTCTGCTCTGCGGGTGTACCATCGCGGCGAACGGTTTCAATCCCCTTGGCGTCGAAATCTGGTTCTTTTTGATTACGATGCTCATATTTGAAACCAACATATCGTTTCTTGGCAAGCAGAACACACGGGTGGTACACTTTCTCAAATTTGAGCTTCACTGGACGCGGGTTCGTGTCTGTTACCGCTTTGGCAATCTCTTCGCCTATGTCAAACGCTTGATTGCGGGTGCGGCCCTTAAGATGGATAAACAGACTGTCTGTGTCTCCATAGACAACTTCAGCACCCCATCTCTCTACTGAGTGGATTAGAGCAATTGCCTTCTCAAGCGTCTCACGCCCAGTCTGCACGATACTGTCTGCGATCTCGGAGCATGGCATTCTACCAGAGAATGATGCAGAGGTGTATCCGTATGTAACGTTCGCTGTCAATTTGAGCGCTAGTTGACGGTTGTTCAACAATCGTTGTAGCATCTTGTCATCCTTTTCCGTCTTCATGCCACTTTTTACCATCACGCGAGTCTCAAGAAGTTCCGTTAGCATTTTCGCCAACAGTGACTTGCGCACTTCTTGCTTGGCATACATCATGCCATTTGGTGCAATATTTATCTTGCCTTGCAGCAGCTCCAGTAACCTTGTTTGTCGTTTGTAATCCAAGAAACCCATCTTGTCTCGACCTCGCCAGGGAGCTGCTCTTCCAAGAAATGTTGAATAGCAGTAGTTATAGGCGATCATTACGCTTGGATATAGTGATTGAAAGTCAAGAACCACAACCGGACTCGTGTAAAAGTCACTCTGTGGTTCCATGACAAGTGGTAGACATTCCAGGGCGTTCTGCTGCCCGACCTGCCTCCTGCTTGGAGACACAAGGATAAAGTTCTCTGGTTTGGCTATTCGAAACATCAAAGACTCTACTTTAAACTGAGATCCACGATAGTAGACGGACGAGAAGTCAATACCTAGCAGTCTTGCCTGCTCGCTTGTTCGTGGGACTAACTCATTGGCTTCAAGGATTTCCAGGTTCAACTGCACGCGCGAAGTGAAGTACTCCACAACCCTGAAGATATTGGATGGTTTTCCGCTCTGATACCATTTAGTCAGATCACGATGAGAATAGTGGGGAATCCGACGATGAAGCAGGTGAAACACAACATTCTCCATTGTATATTGCAACAAGCTGCTGACGTCACCTCTCATAGCACGCCAAATGTTGATTATGTGCCGTCCAGTCAACTGAATTGAGGCGGTATGATCCGACCCCCAACGGTCGTCATCTTTACCAAACTTGCCATGAGACTGTGATTTCACCCTAGAAAGCTCTTCGCACAGGTCGAAGTCGTATTTTTTCTTCGCCCGCTCAATTAAATAGCCCCACGAAGCGTTGTGGACTTCGTAGCCTGTAATGATATCCGGATCATTGAAGCGGACAATATCAACCAGTCGGTTGATCAAATCCAATTCTGTAGGCTCATGTTCAATCTCGATTCTCAAAGCCTTTGAGATTTTCGCCTCGGGTCTCGGTTCTTCGCCCTGATAGATCATTCCAACATGAACACCAGGAAGATGACTGTTGACCTCCAGATCGCCATCTTCTGACTGAATACACCAGAATAGACAAGATATCTCATCCTCAGCAGGATTAGCCAGTAGGGTTCCGCGGGTATTGACATGTAACTCTAAGCTCATTGTGCTCATGGACAAGGACTGGTGTTCCACGCCAGTTTTCTTGATCTTCTGTGAATGAGTAATACCATAAGCGTTTTTCTGCGTCGGGCCTTCGATCTGTGACATCGCCTCCTGTCTTTCTTCTGGTAATTGGACGCTGAGTTTGTTGATAGAGCGCTTCGGCGACACTTCAAGTTTTTCGAACCAGTCGATGACCTCGGATCTACATGGAGGCACTGGTGCAAACTCCCACAACTTGGCAGTGCATGACCTTCTTGATTCCTGATCTATTCTTTCCTGTCGTTCCCGGTCAAAGATAATTGGGTCATGAGCGCCAAACATTGCAGGCAGCGAAGCCGATGGATCAAACTCAGGAAGATAGTGGATAGTGTCGCTTTCCAGTCGAAACTCTCGACCGCCATATTCTCTGGGCCATTCGGGCACGTCAGTTTTTTCGCTGTAAAAGGCATTCTGATACACAACAGATGGTCTTCCAAAGTCATGCATAGTCGATTCCACCTCATTTAATCGAGGGCTGGGGAACCGAAGAACATTCAAAGATTTATGCCTTGGGATGTTAAATGCTCCATAGATTTTTCGTTTCACCTCAGTGACGTGTGGATCTAGGGCAAATGTGGTGGGTGTTAAAGAACATGCAGCTCCACTGTCATTACCAAGTTCGCTTGTCACCGATTCCGAAGGGAATGAGCTGGGCATGAGTTGAGATAACCCCAGATCCGACTTTTCAGAATATCCATCTTGACTGAATCGCTTGATCGTTGATGGGTCGTGGGATTCTTTCACCACCGGAAAACTGATTCTGTTTGGCGCGTGCGCCTTGGGCCGAATTGTTTTCTGGGACGATTGGGATGACATTGATCTTGATTGAGATGATGGAAGTTCGAGATTTTGGCTCCTGGTCTCCTCCTTTTTCCCATCTTCATGTTCGGAAAACCCGTTTTTTTCGGACAAATTATTCGACACACTGGGTGGCACATCGCTCCAGAACCTCGGCTTTTTCACTGGCAGTGATATGGGATCAGCATCCACAGGGGATGCTCGTTTCATGTCAGGTTCGCGTGTATAATTCACAGCTAATCCCTCTTCATGCCGAATATCTGGCCTCATAGTAGCTACATCTGGCTGAGAAAGATCATCGAAAATATCATCGTTGAAGCTTTCATCCACTGCAACTCTTTCTGCAGGTTTTAATTCATTGACAAGATCCTCTGATATATCATCCAGCTGATTCGAAGATTGAGCATCAGGTTGAGAAGGTAAAGCGATTTGCTCGTCCACCAAAATCTCAGCCGTCTCATCAGGCTTCAAGTTTCGGTCATCATCTATTCTGTTTGGGAAAAAATCCTCCACACTACTCAAAGCTGTCTTAACACTTTTTGCATGTTGGTCAACATGTAGGAATGTATCGAAAGAAATATTCTGTTCGTTGTCGGTACGTCTCTCATCAGCGGCCATCTGAAAAGCCATGTCTTGGAATTCATCCTCGTGTATCCAGCCTCCCTTAGCCTCGTTTCTGGGGTCGGCGGACATTGATATCAATTCCTCCGGGCCAAATGGAGTACTTCCAGGGTCAGTGATTCCTATCAATTTCTTACGTCTCCTTGTCTCATCCTTCCACAATCCCGCCATACTGGGAACCAGCCGCTCGTTAACAGCAGCCGGTCGTAGTAATTCCGTAAAGTCATGATGCAGCGATCGTTCCGAGATTTCAAGTCGATTTAAAATATCTTGCACGCAAATATCTACCTCTAGAGGGCAGTGACTTTGTTTTTGAAGGGCCGGATCATCAGATATGCTATCGGGGTTGATAGAGCGGTCGTGCCACCGATGATCAAGATTACTGAGCTCAAGCCACTCTGGGACTGGTCCACGGAATTGGACTTTGCTGCAGTTCATGTATGTACACCCAAACAAGTTGTAGTCGCTCATAAATTGTGGAACATACTGCATGTGACTTTCGTAGGGCTGCAACGGCCGTTTCATCACAGCTCCTTGGTGCAATAGGTCGGCAAGGCGATTAATGTAGAGGGGATTGAAAAGATAAATCTTAAAGAAGAATCGGTAGCCAACATGGTAGCCGTAGAATGGAATTCCTTTGACCAGACTAATATGCGCGACGAACGCGGTCCTTTTATCGTAGGCATTCCGCCGATAACTGACAGCCAAAGCATGGTCAATCGACAGGTGGATGGTACTTATTGCAGAGTTTACTGTGGAGAGAAAACAGCTCAGTATCTATCCACGAGTATAGTTTCGAGTATAACATTATAACATACCGGCCTCTGGTTCCAAAGACCCGTTGTATTCGATATAGAGGTAAGGAAATGCGCCATGTATATGCGCACAGACTCGTTGGCCAGTTTCAGTCGCACCAAACACTCGTACCACAGGCACTTTGGGCTTGAATTTCTTATCCAATACGCCATCTCCAAAGGGCAGCGGAGGATCTAGCGCCGACGCGGTCGCCTGGTAATGATCAATGCAGTTGAGGCGAACACAAAAGGGCTCCATCGATCCTATTAGATGCGAAGAAGAGCATCAGCAACATCGCGCAAAGAAGTAGCTGATACTGTAAATGATAAACTGTAGCGGCAACCCTTTAATTAATGACGGCCGCGACTGTCGGTCCCTTCTTTTGACGCGCGCCAGACGCCTAGTCACGTGATGTTTGATTGCCTCTCATGCCGAGCACCGACTTTTCCCTTCTATGTCATCTTTCTGTACCCTCAGAGTAGTGGAGTGCCTGGATTAGTTATATTTCTTCTTAACCAAGATTTCAATCTCAACTTAACTCCCTACAACCTCTCTTCGGCGCACCCGATCTCACCATGTCACGGAAACCAGCTGATGTGGCGTCGAAAGAGCGCAACGAGTACATCCCATCATTCATTTCCAAGAAGCCATTCTATGTCGATGATGAGACTGGAAATGATTACCTGGAGCATCAGCGTCTGCAGAAGACTGCCCAAGACCAGAAATGGTATGACCGGGGGAAGCGCGCTGGTCCAGCAGCGACCAAGTATCGAAAGGGCGCATGCGATAACTGTGGCGCGATGACACACAAGACAAAAGACTGTCTCAGCCGACCTCGAAAGCAAGGTGCTCGGTGGACCGGCAAGGATATTCAAGCCGACGAACTAGTCCAAAAGGTCGACATGGGATGGGATGCTAAGAGAGATCGGTGGAACGGCTACGACGCCAGCGAATACCGTCAAGTCGTCGAAGAATACGAAGAACTGGAATCAATGAAACAACAAGTTAAGGAAAAGAATAAGCTCAAAAAGCTTATGGATGATGAAGACGGCGAGGACCAAGCAGATACTCGCTACGCCGAGGAATCTGACATGGGCCGACACCAAAGTACGGCTACGCGTAACCTACGAATTCGAGAAGACACAGCCAAGTATCTTCTGAATCTGGATCTTGATTCCGCCAAATACGATCCGAAAACACGACGAATGGTTGACATGGGTGCGCAGGATGACCAAGCTGCTGCGCTGTTTGCAGAAGAGAACTTTATCCGTGCCTCTGGCGATGCTGCCGAGTTTGAGAAAGCTCAAAAATATTCATGGGAGTCCCAGGAGAAGGGCCAGGCCCACATTCATCTACAAGCCAACCCCACATCTGGAGAGTTCCTTCGGAAGAAAGAGAAGGAAGAGGGCGAGACTAAACGCCAAGCTGAACAGAAGGCGCTTTTGGAAAAATATGGAGGCAGTGAATATCTTCAAACTAATCCGCTACGCGATACCATGATTGTCGAAAACGAACGCTTCGTGGAATATGACGAATCCGGTGCCATCAAGGGTGCACCCAAGAAAGCCACTAAATCTAAATACCCCGAGGATGTCATGGTCAACAATCATACCTCGACATGGGGTAGCTGGTGGCATGATTTCAAATGGGGTTATTCATGCTGTTTCTCGTTTGTGAAGAACAGTTATTGCACCGGCGAAGATGGAAAGAAGGCCTTTGAGGAAGAAGGCAACATGTTGTTGCTATCAAATAACGATCCTGAAGAATCTTGGACTGGCCAGCCTGCTGACAAGGATGAAAAGAAAGATTCAGAATCCAACGGGAAGAAGCGAACTTTGATGGAGTTGCAGTCTGGGATTACGGAAGAAGAAATCGAGTCATACAAGCGAAGCCGGGTGGCTGCTGATGACCCGATGGCTAATTTCGTAGATCAAGTCTGATCTGGTCAATTTCCTCCATATTTGTCGTTTTGGGCGTTGAACTATGTACAGAATACCCTTTGAGAATTTACTTAATGCGATAAGAATGACTGAGAACTCGACGGTTGCCTACTACCGCCTGCAATATTTCTACTTTCCACACTCAGTAGATCTGAAATTCAATTGATATTAAGTCATGTGATCTCGGCGCATGGATCATGATTTGTCATGAACCTAGATCTCAAAGTCACGGGACTCAGGGCTTGTGCCCTGGCCTGCCCACATCTCGCTTAGCCGTAACTTCACCACCAGCGGGAACCTTAGATACGCCTAACGACGACGACACCGACAACAGCCCTTCAACGGAATTGCCAGGTACGTTTGCATGCTGTAGCTTTGCGATCCTGTCCCTTCTGCTGTTTCCGTCCACTAACATATCGTCCTTTCGCAGTTCCTTAATTCAAAATGAGTACGTTCTATGTCGAAATATCGCGCGAACCTCCGCACCGTCGAAATCGTCCAGCAAACTAACAACCTCTGCAGCTAAGGGTACAGGATCTTTCGGAAAGCGCCACAACAAGACGCACACTCTCTGCCGTCGTTGTGGTGAGTATTACACCTCCCCGATTTTTTCTCATATCCACCCTGGACCGAACAGTCTCGAAATTTCACACAACGCATATGTTATGGAGAGTTGAGAATGACTTTACGGATACCATGGGTGGAATTGGGCTGTTTCAAGACGGGACAACCGCTGACTGGGTTTCTTTTGCGATCACAGGCCGCCGCTCTTTCCACATTCAGAAGTCCACCTGCTCTGGCTGTGGTTACCCTGCCGCTAAGACCCGCAAGTGTACGCATACCCCATCCCTGAGCTGAACATACGAACTCGACCCTTCGATATGAATATGGAATCATGGAACCGAACTGTTAGGCTTACAAACTTTTTATCTAACAGACAACTGGTCTGAGAAGGCCAAGCGCCGCAAGACCACCGGTTCCGGCCGCCTGCGCTCCCTGCGTGATGTCCACCGCCGCTTCTTGAACGGTTTCCAGACCGGTACTCCCAAGGGCGCCCGTGGTCCCGAGAACCACTCTTAAATTTTTCCGTTGTCCAATTCGGCGTCGCGTTTTTCGTTCACGGAGAGGCTGGAAAAGGAATGAGGGGTGGCAACCTGGCATGAAATAGCCTAGCATTACGAGATAGAACATACTCGAAATGCAAAATGGCAATTCCGGAATATGAACGCTTTTTCCCGTGAGCTAGTATGTTGCGTCAAACCCGTCCTTTCTTTCCATTCTCCTTGGAGAGACAACAAAATAAAATCGAGTCTGAAAGGCGGGAGAAAAGTTACGTTGGAATGTGTTGCATAAAATCAAGGGGAATACTCTTATGAATTTTCTTTTTCTTCCCGTTTATGGCTGGCGAATATCCCCCATGTCGTGACATACAAATGCGAAGATTTTCTCTTCCTGACAATGTCTGTTCTAAAGCTTCTACGTCGAGCGTAGCAATATCAAGATCATATCTTGGCTCATATCAGGTAACTGCTACCGACATGCAAATTCAGGATTCCCCACGCCCAAAGACCTTGACTCCACCATCTCGCTGGATGTAGTACAGCAGTTCCTTTTCATCCAAGTTCTCTTCGGTCCATCCACCGCCTCGGCTGATCCTCAGCACACCACTCACATCTCTCGCGGCTCCAGTCTCCAGAGTGCGAAGCTGCATGACAGACCGAGCCCGATGTGCCAAAGCGATAGCAAATGCTGCATGACCAGACTCTATCGGCGAAGCTACCTGCATCCTGGATGCTGATGCGTTATGGACCAGCGGCGAGTCTGCAGCCAGCGTCATAACAGTAGCATAAACTTTCTAATGACATAATGAGTACTTTGTCAAGGTTCAAGTCAATAGATAGAGACTTACCTCCTGTAGACCCTTGATCCACTCTGTCATTTCTGTAGCTCCAATATCCAAGCTTTCACCTGTAGCTGCAAGCAGAAGATCTGGCTGGTCGATGATGAGTAGCGCCTTTTCACCGTTTAATCCCATGATAACGTTGATAATGTCGTGCTCCAGAGCATCTAGCGCAGCAACACCACGTCCAGTGAAATGTAGCTTCTTTGCAATTCCAGGCCCCGTCTGTGTCTGCTTTGGCACATTGCTTCTGTCTGTCGGTTGGGTTGGGATAGGTGACCTCCCTGGTACTGCACCCGCAGACCGAAGTGGCAAGGTTGTGCGCACCTGACCAATATTGACAGCAGGCGGCGTAGACACACTTGCTGGTTGAGGACCACTGAACAATTCACTCAAACCGTCCACAAATGCAAATTCCTTCTTATCAGTCAAACGACCAAGGTCAATGCCCTATTCTTTGTCAGTACATGAATTTTCACAAAGCTTCCATTAGTTGGAAGTGAAAACGCAGTTAGATATACCAATCTTTTAGCCTCAGCTTTCCAAAACTCCCAGCCTCGTAAGAAGCTCACTAGTACGACTGGTCTTTTGCTGCCATGTGGTTCATCGAAGCCAAGTGATGCATTGTTCGATTCCTGTCTAAGGGCTGCGTGTAGAAATCTCAACACAAGCCAGTTTGATGTGGCTCCCAGAATAGATGATATCAGTGTGAGTGAATTCTCAGGCTGAGATGATACATATGGGGTGATGAGGGGTGGTAATGGCGGTTGAAGAGGCATGGTTGCGCAATTGCCTGGGTTCACGCTTTGTTGTTAATAAGAGTTGTTGATGCTGCAGTATCATGCAAGTGCTAATTTTTTTCAGAAATAATCAATATTATTTCCCATGATCGTTCAGCGTTCAATGTTGTGAAGTTGTTGGAGGTGAGAGAAAAAAATGTATGGGGGGTGTGTGATTGGTTGGTTTTGATGTTCCCGGCGAACCTTGGAAGATCAGTATCAGTTTGGGTGTAGGAGGATGGAAGGATGAAGGGAAGAGGTTATGGTGTTTAATAATAAATATAAGCATGTGGGCGCTTAAACAGTCCAAGTTCAATGTTTGAATTTCCATGTTAAAATAAGTAAGGTTGACGTATTCTTTTTTTGGTTTACCAACTGCCCGTCCTGACCTTGTCTAAATATACTTAGGTATACTTCGATTTTATACGGCGGAAATAAATGTCCCCGATGACAACCTCGGCACCTCGGGCTACAGCTCAATTCATATACTAATTAATACTTAGATCTGTTTACTGAATTTCAGTTAAAATACCTAAAATCAGAATTCATCACTCTCCAGGCCTTAATTCTCTTCCCCGGGACTGGAAATCACGGCATCCTGCCTGAGGCACACACTTTAATTTTTAAACATCACATGACTGTTTCCCCACTATTGAGGGGAGTTTGATATGGCTTCTTACCTCGTAGTCCGAACTGGTCCGGTTGTAGTGGATCAATGAATGTTCTAACACTGATCGTAAGTGATTAATATATCGCCTCTAAAAGGAACGACCGTTCCTTCTTATTCGCTTGAATACTCAACTTCCGGAACTATACAGTAGCCGGACCGAGAGAAACGCGATTTGGTTTTACGGCGCGCGTCGAATAAGGAGGAATGCAAGGCTGTACTAACTATTGAGAAAGATGATTCCTATGCTGTGTCATGACCAAAGTTACATACATTGGACATAAGACACAAGAGACTTGACTTGCCTCAAAAGATGGCTAGTACCCGAGACTCCCATTCGTTCGCTGTATGTATTCGATGGCTTGCGGCCCCACAAGAAACGGTTGCAGGATCAAAGCTAATTAGATGTAGTGCGATGAATGCCGGCTGCGGAAGTCGAGAGTATGTATCCTGTTATCCGAGGATGTGATGTATCTAACCCGTACTAGTGTTCGAAAGAGCGGCCGATCTGCTTGCAATGTCGACAGTTGAATAAGGAGTGCAAGTATAGTCCGAAGGTGACAAGAAGTCCCTTGACAAGACAGTAAGTTATTGTCACGAAAATTATGCACACTCGGGATTAACAATCGCAGACACTTGACCTATGTTGAAGATCGGCTGCACTCCTTTGAAACAGCTTTAAGCAGGCTATTCCCAGGCGCAGACTTGGATGCCACTCTGAGACTGCTTTTGCAGAACCAGGATGCTCAGCCAAAACAACCTTCATCCAATTCTTCGTCAAGACACTCAACTCCGGCCAGACCCGAAGCGGAGCGTGTCGAGCCAGCACCAGAGGCTCTTCCACAGCAAGCTGATGGGTTTGACTGGGCTGAGAAGGAGCTCGCTTTGAGTGATGTGACAGATGGAATGGCCGCATTGTCCATCAAACCAGAAGGAACTGGCTATTTCGGTGCATCGTCCAGTGTCGTGCCACTAAGAGCACTACTTGACCATGGGTTTGATTTGAATATCCCAGTCCGATCATCAAGATCAGGAGGCGTGCCTCTCAAGGCACAGCTTTTACAAGGTGCACCGTCCGGATTGATTGAACAGGCATTGATTGATGCGTTCTTCCTCAACTATCACACCAGCTACCCATTCATTCATGAATCCACCTTTCGGTCACAGTTCCATGACCCATCTCTACGTCCTCACGGCACAGCCTGGCAGATCCTACTCAACACGATCTTAGCTCTGGGGGCATGGAGTATTGGCGACGACAGCTCCGATCTCGATGTCACCTTTTATCAAGAAGCTAGGACCTGTCTGCAAAATGCAACTGTATTTGAAACGGGAAACTTGACACTTGTTCAAGCACTGCTATTGCTGAGTAACTATGCTCAAAAGCGAAACAAGCCCAACACCGGCTGGAATTATCTCGGACTGGCTGTTCGAATGGCTATGAGCCTGGGTCTTCATAAGGAGTTTCCAGGATGGAAGATTAGTCTCCTTCAACGGGAGATTCGCCGTAGACTCTGGTGGGGCGTGTTTATTTTCGATAGTGGCGCCGCAAAAACCTTTGGCAGACCCATTCTACTTCCGGAAGAATGTGTCATGGACGCAAAGCAGGCTTTGAATATTCATGACGACGTATGTCAGCATACATACACGGACATCAAAACATCAGCTAACCACCTGGGCTCTAGGCTCTCACATCCGCAACAACGTCAATTCCCACAGAATCGGCTGGACCGACTCTATACACTGGATTGATTGCACAAGCTCGTTTCCATCTTCTTACCAATAGCGTTTACCAGCGTCTCATTTCCAGCCCTAGTATCACACCCGAAGAAACACTCAACCTCCAGAAACCCATGGAGGAATGGTATAACAGTCTTCCATCATACCTCCACTACCCCCTGCAACCTCTTCTCGTACAACCAACTCAACCAGACGCAGACCGTCTCGCTCTCGTCCGCAACCGGATTCTTTGGCGCCACTGGAACCTGCTAATCCTGATCTACCGACCCATTTTACTCCGCTGGTCAGCGCGGAGGTGGGGACCTGTCTCTGACGGGTCATCTGTCAGCTCCGAGAGCTCGAACGAAGACCCATGTGAGACTGAATGTCGAGTTCGCTGCTTGCAGAATGCACGATTGACAATCGCTTCCATTTCTGAGTACATGGACCGTCACGTATGCTCAAGAATAGGCGCTTGGTATATGCTTTACTTCCTCTTCCAGGCCGGCCTGATTCCCATTGTCTTCCTCATGACAGACCCTTCGAGCCCAGAGGCTCCTGGTTGGATCGAAGATATCAGGACGACCAAATGTATTCTCGCACACCCGTCTTTCGGCAGTAATTGTTTCGCCTCCCGTTGTTTAGAGGTCATCAATCGCCTTCTCGGTCCACCTGCCGGGTCTGTTATATCTGGCCTCCCGGCTGAGGACCAACCCCAGCCATTTTACCAGCCGCCTGTTCAGGGATTCGTGTCATTCCAAGAACAGCTGTTCAACGATACTGGGTTTGGGGCTGGTTTGTTCCCTGAGCAGCAAATACCAACACCGGGCGCCATGGACTTTTCCGAGTGGGTGAACTTCCCACCTCCAGGCTGATCTTTTCTTCCAAAGTATTTTCTAAATATTTATATACATAGTTAGGGAGGATGGACAAATGAATTTGTTTAATATAAAGAATTTCGAATGTACATATTCATATAGATGAGGACTTTTTAGATTCAAGCTCCAAGACAGGAACTCAACCACCCAAACCAACCACTCGGCCTCTGAACCAGAGCCAGAGCCTCCTCTTGCTCAAAAGCAGCCTTCTCATCAACCTCAACCCAAGGCTCATCCCGATACCTCTCGGTCCTAAGCGCAGAGATAGAAACAACGTTCAACTCAAAATCCCCCTCCTGTCCCCCAAAAAAGCTCCGAACCATAATCGCAAACCTCTTAACCCTCTTCAAATCCAACGGCTTCACATCATCCCCTTCAAGATCGCGCCCCCGATACGTGGCCCGGAAATCACTCCATTTGAAGAAAAGCACAGTGCCATTCTTTCCATCCTCAGCGTTAACCTGGAAATCGACCTCCCAACTCACAGAGCTAGCTTCGCGACCATCGGGCCGTTTCGGCAGAATCTCGTCTTTGAGCGTGAGAGTGTACTTGCGGGTATCTGCGCGCTCGAGCACTACTTCTATTCCGTCGTAGGCCGATATATCCCAGGTTTGCTCTGTGGTTGCTGTGCGTTGGGAGGCAAAGCCTGCGCCGCCTAGGGTTTTTATGTCGAGATTTCCGTGGAATTTCGCGGTGAGGGAGGTTGGGGAGCAGGTTAGGGTTGAGTGGGAGGAGCCACCGCGGACTCGGTCATCTGAGGATGTCCATTCTTTTTTGGACCATGCGCTATGGATTTTGTTAATTGAGTTGGTTAGGAGGATATAGTGGGTATTTACCGGGATCCACCAAATAGAGGGAGGTGAGATGTTGCCATTTTTAGATGGACTTGTATTTCTAGGTTTGTTGAATCTAGATCGATGAATCTGGATTCTGTGAAGAGTTAGCCAAGGCGGTAAGAACGGGTATGGCGTCATACTATTCAGCAGTCATTTTAACTATTTATGGGGTAAATATTTATTTAATTACTAACTATTTAGGTAGACCTGTACGGCGTACTTTACTTCAAAATCAGATCTATTATAATTTGCTAAAACAATAGCTCATACTCTTAGCTGACCCAATTTGACTCCTTACTGCTAAGTCAGTATTACACATGACCACGATCACGTCAGCCGGTCCGATCCATAACTAATCGACGATATGTAGGTTTTTACAAGCTTAGAAAGCGGAATAGTAAAGATGACTAGGATGTTCAAATGGATGGTTTATATGCTCCGTTTGAAGCATATACCAGAAATCCAAGATTCTAGAGCGTCCAAGATACTTGCGCCGTACGTGATTCTAAACTTGACCAGTTATACCCCATACCTAGGTACATGCCAACATCATGCATTCGTACCAATGTGACCTGTACGCGGGGCAAGATAAATATTGGAAGCTGTGCATTCGGTGGGGAAACCACAAATGATCGATTTCATCCCAATCTAGGTCCCTGGTACCTGCAAATACCTGGTATGATTATATCCCTCAAATGACAGACAAGGAAGTCTTTGACAGGAGTACACCCGGGGTAGTGCAAGTCGTACAGATGAGAAGGTTGTTGTGGTTATTGGATAGAAGGTAAGGATGTGTGTATATCTGACTCAGATCCCTGGAATGTACTAGGTAGCTAATGTAGCAGAGTAATAAAGTACCTTTTTACATAATTTTATAGTAGTCATCTCGGAGATTTAATGGCCTGATTTGAGGTGAGTGAATGTGATCTAAAAGACAGAAGTGTAAATAAATGGCCAAACAAAGTGTAGCGTTGGATGAGAGAATTGACTATCAGAATCAGCGAGATTGAGCTCAAGGTTGTGCAAGGACAAGTGAAACACTCTCATATCAATCAAATCAACTAACTATTAGTAATTATGATAGATCATAGTCTCTCCCTTTGACCCGGAATTCTCCGCACTGAACTGCGCATATGAATCATGAGAGGTGCATGGGAAATATTCCCTTTATTTACACTATTTACTTTATTTACTTTCTAACATTCTCACATTCTAACACACACGCACACACACACAGTCTCACTCTCTTCTTTCATTTTCTTAATCTCCACCTTATTGCAATACAATCTACGCATAGGCCATTGCATTCATCGCATCCACCACAATGTCCAAACCCCTCCGAGTCGGCATCCTACTAGCCGACATAGTCCAACTCCTAGACCTAGCAGCAGTAGACCTCCTCTACATGACATCGCCAGAATACCTAGTAGACCTAGGTCTCCCAACCCCCCTAATAGACCTAGGTCGACCCTGTCAAATCCACTACATAGGCCAAAAGCAAATAAACGCCCCATTAACCTCCCAAACAACAATCCCCCTCACAAACACCCTCACGGATGAAGAAGTCGCGCCAGGAAACCTAGACATACTCTACCTCCCCGGCTCTCCACCGAAGAACATGCCCCCGCCAGAGGCATACCTGGATTTCCTGCGTCGACACAGCGATGCAGGCGTTACCATCCTGTCTATCTGCACTGCGGCGCTCATCGTCGCCCATGCGGGCCTTGCTGCTGGAAGGACGGTTACTGCGCCACGGTTCCTGATTCCTCAATTGCGGAAACAGTTTCCTGACGCTGTTTGGGACGATAGTGTACGGTTTACGCGGCATGGAAATTTGTGGATGAGTGGTAATATTCCCTTTCTACAATCTAGTTCAGAGGGTAGAAGCTAATCAATGTTTTTTTCTCTCTCCAGGTGGAATTACGAACGGACATGATCTTATCGCCGAGTATCTGAGGGTCAATTATCCGGCGCCGCTCGTCAATACTATTCTTGCTGCTGCGGATGTTCCTTTACGGCCGGCTGAGTATGAGACTAAGGCTACTACTGATACTCTGTATATGGTTTGGCAGGTTATGAGGGCTTTACCTTATACAGTTGTGAATATGGTTGTCAATAGGGAATATACGAGGGTGTAGGCGTCTTAAGCATTAGTTTGAAATATCCATCTCTTCTCCAAGAATATTCCAAGGATTGTAGTGAGTACGAGATTGATTTCCACATATTTCAAATAAGCCAGTGAACTTTTCACATCTAGGCATTTATTCCGAGGTTAGAAATATCCGAGATCTACGTACCATGAGGTTGTTCTGAGAGGTAATGTAGGCCATTGGAAAGCACCTGCAGGAACGACCTCGTACTTCTTACAGTCCTTAGACTCCCACAAAAGACCAAACGAAAGAATCCCAAATATAACAAATCACATCTCATTCGCATCTAGGTAAAAAGTTAAGAGAGTCATGAAAGCATATCGGATAAAAAAAAATCAACAATTCAACCGACGTCATCCCTCGGTCCATCAAAAATCATCCACTTTTCCCGACCTCACTCGATTCAATTCAATTCCTCGCCTATTTCTACACCTTTATATTCCTAATCCTAATCCTAATCCTAACTCTGCAATCATAACCAGAATGCCAACAAACCTCTTCATCCTAATCTTCACTGCAAAGCCCCTCGACTACGCCCGATCCAGACACACAGCGCTATACTTCGAATTCGAACCACAAGCAGAAGCCGAACAAGCAGCCGCAGCAACAGAAATAAGCGTAGAAGACGCCCGCGTCCATGCGCATACCTATGCTGAAGAAAGGGTTTCTTCACTTGTTATGGAGATTAAGGGAGAACCCGGCTGCTTTTCCTTCTTTGAGCGTGTTAATTGTGCTGTGCCTGTTTTTGAAAAGGGTTAGTTTATCACCTACCTCATCCCACTTTGAATTTGTTGTTTTCAAATCAATCGGAAGGTTGATTGGTTGTTGAGATTGGAGATTGGTTAGAGTTGAATTGAGTCGAGTTGGGCTGAGCTGATTCCGTTTATAGATCTTGCACGTGCAGTTCGCGTCGCTTCAATATCAGATTCAATATCTATCTCCGCACTGAGAGCGACTGTTTCAAAAACGCCTATTTTAGATGGTGAGCGGGATTGGAATAGTCAGAATTGGATTGGTGATGTACTAGGGCGGTTGGCTGATGTGGGATATTTGGATTCTGAGGTTAGGGATCGAGGGTTGGATGAGATGGTTGATGTTATTTTGGAGGCTGGGGATGAAGATGTTTAGCTTTTTTTTTTATAGACCGAGGTCTTCCAAGGTTGTTTGATATATGTAATTTATCTGAATATAAAGGGAGTAATTTTGCTTTTAAGACTGTATTTATCCGTGGATGCAAGGCTGATATCATATGGTCATTGATAGTTGCAGCTTATGCATATTAGGTAGTCCTACTGCAAGCATCCTATTCCTAGACTCAACTCGAGTAAAGGATGGAAAATAAATTCAGAAGGTAAGAAAAGGCCAATTTAGTATAGGCGTAGTTAGGAAAGAAAAGATAAAGTTGATGAACACGCTCGATAATTCAAAGCGCTGCACCACGCTAAGTCAGGACCTGTAAAAAATGATACGATAAGAGGTAATTCCAGGTAGAGCCCGATTCATACGAAATAAGATAATAGGATTGAGACGTCCAGCATTCACTGGACTGACTCAAGGGTATGAGATAAAGATTATAACTGAAAGGGAGGATAGCTGGGGTGTGCTTCGTTTTTCATCTTCTCGCATCGCTAGGCTCCCAATGAATCGGTTCGAAATCCTGATTCTGGAAATGGGCCTGGTTGTACGGTGAACTGGATCTGTCCAGTTAATGAAAGTGTCCTCCTCTCCGACAAGAAAAAGAGAAGAAGGGGGGAAAACAAAACGAAAAGGATACTGACTTTTTAAAAGGAGTCGTCACTGGAAGCGAATGGCTTAGATTTGGTTTCATGACCAGTGGATTTAAACGGATCTGTGGTCCATCTGTTGACCTACTCGGCAAGGTGGTCATGGGCGGTGGTGCTGAGGGCAGTGGAGATGATGAGACGGGGAGCGAGGGAATGCGAGAGTGGCTCTGCATGGGCGAATGGTACATTTCCTGAGGGGGAGAGACGGGGAATGGGCTGGCTGGAGTTGGGGAGACGGAAGACAAGGGGGACATTGGAGCCATTGCGAAAGCAGGGTCGGTCATGAGATTTGGGATGGACATTAGGTGTGGGCTAACATCAAATGAGAGAGCACTTTGGTCCCAGGGGGAATAGTTAGATGTCATTCCGTATTGGTAGTTGACCACGGGAGCCATGTTTACAGTTGGTTCGGCGCGGTAGAGGATATCGTAGTGGCCGCTGGAGAGAGGTTAGAAAAATGAAGGGAGACTGGGGATACTGTACAGAGGCTACTCACGGCCTGTATAGTAATCTTATTGTGGCTCCAAGAGGGCAATTTGGAGATAACTGATGCGGCGTCACGGTATCACCCTCACTTCGGTCGAGGTAGAGAATCTCGACTCCGAACCCGGCATTTTCAATAACGCCGTCAACCAAGGCTTGCAGGCCATACTCGTCGATCTCACTTCTGACCGTTTCTATCCGCGTGCTGCAGTACTGATCTAAAGGGAGGGGGAGAAAAGCTTGATATCGATGTGGGTTGAGTCTCATCCAAGCACTGGTCAAAAGCTGCGATAGGTTAGTCGTGCTAAGATGATCTTTCTGCTGGGTTCGTTACTCTGAAGTGTGTGATGACGGCATTCGAACTGTATTCGTCGTTGAATGCATTGACGAGAAAAGTCTCGTCTTGTTCGCCATTCTGAATGGCAGCGAGGGTTTGTGCGAAGATCTCTTCGGTGGCATCCACGAATATCTCATATAGGTGTTCTGACTGGCCAACCTGGTCGAGAAGAGTGCTGAGTGACTTAATTCGGGCGAGTTCCTGCTGCACACGTATGTAGTCTCGAAGGGTGAAGAGGGTTTCGAAATAACCAAAAGCCACAGCTGGACAAGTTAGTGATAGAAGCTGCGTTGGGTTTGATGCTGCCTACCTCGCCAGCCACAATTCCCATCGCCTTTCATTACTCGAGTCATGGGATGGGTAACTGTCAGAGCCTATTTTTTTTTTAAAAAAAAAAAAAGTCAGATCAGACGCATGTACAAGAAGACACAGTAAATCTTACACTTGTCTTAGTTACAAGAGTAGGGTCGGCATTGGCATAGTCGAGGGCAATGCTATGACTTGACTGTTTATTGGAGACAAGAGGACCCTAGATAGATCAGCCCAGGTCCAAATAAGAGCAACAAGCTGGACCCACCTGAACGTCTGGCTCAAATTCATTTGACAGTTTCTGGAATCTCTCCATCTCATCGGGAGAGAGGGCATTCATGTTGGCAGAGTTACTCATGACGGGTGTATCACCTAGGGGAAGCAGAGCGGGGGAAAGAGCGATAGCTTCCCGATAGTAGACGTCAAACTTGTGTTTTTCCGGGAATGAATAGTGGGGACTGAAATGATTCCAAGGACGATTTGACAAGGACATCGCATACGAAGGATTAGGAGGGAATGATTGGATTCTCAAATATTGGGTGTGCCCGCTTTCACGACATCTGGCATATGGTTAGTAAGGAAGTGAGTGTGGTATGGAATGAGGTTATATACCGGCAACAGGTGGATTGAAAATTGAGAAATGTTCAACGCTAAATCTAAATCTCAGCGGGGGTGGATCTTAGTAAATTAGGAATAGAAATAGGAACAGAAATAGGAATAGAAATAGAAATAGAAATAGAAGGATAAGAGAGTAAAAGATGCATGAACAGATCGGGGGCTAATAAGAAATAGAAAGTCATGTGAACAAAGATCATGTTCGAATCAAAGCATAATATGATGTCAACAAGAGAAGAAGAGGAAGAAGAAGATCAGATCATCCTCTTACCTCTCTGGTCCTCGAACCACTTATGATCCACCTCAGGGAAAAAAAGAGAAAAAAAAAAAAAAGAACAAAAACAGGTGACATAAAATAGACCGATTGGAACCGATTGGAATGGCAGATAAAGGGGGGTGAGAGAGGACACGAGCCTCTGTAGTATCAAATCGAGGAAAGCGAAGAAGATCGGGGAATAGAACTCAGACCTTTTTTTATTTTTTGCTGCAGATGATCTAGGGGAAAACAGAAGAGAAATGAAGATTCAAGATGGAAATGAACAAGGGTGTAGCTTGTAAGGCTACTGTTTTTCTCTTTTTCTCCTTTTCTCTTTTTTCCTCTTTTTCCTTTTTTTTTCTCTCTTTCTTTTCTTTTCTAGATCCACAATATTTATTAAAATACTGAGAGGAGGGGTGGAGAGGAAGAAAAGAGAGGGGAAGTAGAAACTGATAAGCGCTCTAAGAGGGGAAAACAAGGGAAAAGAAGGGAAAATAAGAAAATAAGAAAATAAGAAAATAAGAAAATAAGAAAATAAGAAAATAAGAAAATAAGAAAATTAGAAAATAAAATAAAACGCACATCAGTGGGCCATATTGCCCATACTTACTATTGACAACACATAAAAAAGAACCACTTCTATTCATAACCTCTTTCCCGGCCTCCGATGTTTCTCTTATGTTAAGCGCGCGCGGAAATTAATTCCTGGAGTGGAGAAGACCTCGAGAATACAAACTAGTACTAGAACCAGTATTTACTGTACTCGTCTAGTATATAAATATGTATCGTACACAGTAAACCCCAGGTAGATTCTGATTCTACCCAAGTAGATTTAGACTATACACTTACCTACATCTACCTATGGATATAATATATTTACCATTATTTACTATATCAGAGAAAAGAAGCGGGGGTTTGTTTGCCAGAATCCACCGCAGTGGCCCATCATTCGATGATCAAGTACTCATGCACCAGCTGGTTGGGTCCACGATAAAATTGTTCTTTTCTTTTTTATCCCTACAGCCCTAGCCAGAGCTGAGCTACCCCCCTACCCATTTAAATTTACTTTTTTAATTGGTCGGAGCTACCTTCCTATCGACTGACTGGACCCCAGGTACGAGAGTAGATCACAGGCATACCTTGCCTTATACCTAGGTTGGTATCGATAAAACCTTGGATGTAATACACAATTAGATTCCACTTTTCAGCCTTGGAATATACTTTGTACGTCGTATACCATTGATTTTGCAAGCTTCCGAGGTCGATCGATTCAGATTCGTTCCAATTCATCCCCTAGCACTCCCCAGTTACATAGTTGCATGATAGCTCCCTTCTTATAGGCGTGTTAAAGAGGAGTTATGTGTGTAATCGCAATATCGACTGCTGTATGCAGTAACCAGTACCCTTGACTGCTCCATATTGCCATCCGGCTACCTGCCTACACTGGTAGATTGGACGGGGGCCGACTCGCCGGTTCCAGGTTCCAGGACTGGATCCATGGATCCGATATGGTCTGTTATGGACATGGATGTTCGAACTCATGATTGTTGCGCAAATGCTCCGATGACTGAGTCAACGTTCCAGCCTTGGAGGGTTCCTGGATGAGGTGACAGGTCGCTTTGAACGGGAGAAGACCTGATTCTGATTCTACGTCGTAATTCTGGTTCATTATAGGAAAAAAAAAAACGTGTCTAGTTCTAAGTATTCGTACCTGCTTAGATTTAAGTTCCCCCGCTCAATGGACTCCAGACTAATCTAAGGATTTATCCCAAGTGGAATGTCGTATATACTAGTGTACACAGTCTGGTAGATCTCGGAGACTCATCCCGTTCTCAGGCCACTTCCCGAGCTTACGTTGCAGTCTAGGCGGGCACAGATGAGCTAGTATAAGACCTGTATTGAAAGTAATACCGACACAGTACAGAGTATACAGTATATATATATATATATATATATACTCTGTACTCTACTTCAACGTTTACTTTTAGCGTCTTATGTCAGAGTAACTCTAAATAGCGGGTCTAATAGCACCAGCTCACATCATGGATATGGATTATGGGTTATGGGTTTATCGATCATGATCATGATAATACTAAGTATGGATGTAGTAATATCACACCGCTCAACCGTTGATACCGAGAGGAGAACGGACTTGTGGGAACAAAGAATCGGTGAGATTGTGTTCCACGTGGCATGTTCAGTTCTAGTCCAGCCTTTCCAATTTCCAGTCTTTTCTGTATTTTTGTAGTCACTGTACTAGACTACGACATTGCAAATTTATGCCGACCATCACTAGGCCCTTTGCCTTTTCGTATGCGGGTGGGTGTTGGAACCGGAGGTCCCGAAACTTCTTTTGTTCTGAGTATGCTGGACGAAAGAGTTTGCAAGGATGAACTCCACTCTTGCAGCGCCCCCATTCGGTCCGCATCAACTTTGTTGGCCATCATTACTGTCCCATTAAGCTGGTCAACCCGCGCATCAATCTTCTTCTCAAGAACCAGGAAGCTCAAGATATCAGTCACTTCGGCCACGGGGATCTTGATGTTCTTCGAGATGAATTGGAGCGAGAAGCGCGAATATGAGGAAATCAACTTCAACACCGCCTTCGTGCGCATGTTGCGGCTGACCTCGTCGATGTTCTCCGCGATGAACGGGTCTGCCAGCACTTCCGGGTTCTTGCTTAAAACTTCCTCGTACGCGTGGATGTCGTCGCGCTGATATGCGTCCACCAGGTTTGTCATCGCCGAGATGCGAGGGTCGTTTCTGTAGGACTTTGTCTCTTGCGAGTCGAACGGGTTGATGTCCGACTCCATGAGCATGGTGGTCAGGACGAGATACGTCAGCACCTGGATGCGCTGAATCGATCCCGCCTCGTCGTAGTTCCGGAATGATTCAAAGAAGGCGATCTGCGCTTCTTCCCAGTTTCCCTCGCTCATGTGCATCTTGCCTCCGCACTCGCGTATGATTCCCATAATCTTGGGATGGGGTACAGCCGACCGCACTCGAAGCGCCCGTTGGTAAAGCGCTTTGAGTCGTTTGTTGTTCTTTGTTTCCGCGTACATCTGGATCTCGAGGGCGTACAGTTCGAGCAGGTAGGTTCCCTTGTTGGGGTCATCCGTGCCATCCTCCAGTTGACAGGCCCGGTGGAGGTCGCGTAATTTCTTGCTGAGCAGGGTGTATTCATTGCGCTCCAGCCAGAGGCGGGATAGTTTAATATTAGTCTTCAGCCAGAGTCGCTCATTGTTGGTGTTCTGGAACGAGTTCAGCGTGAGGGAGTAGAATTCCTCTATGCATTTGTAGGCCTGGGCATCGTCAGATCCCTTCTCGATGTAGTCGAGCATGTTATTGATAGATTTTTCTGAGTAGTTGCGCGTGACGGCGGACTTGACGTAGCTGAGGAGCTCTCGATAGTGTTCGACGGCCTGAAAGGTCAGTTATAATCCGTGAATGGTTGAAGGTGATAAATATCTCACGTCGTCATATCGCCCAAGCTTGAATTCCAGCTTGATGGCCTGTTTTAATCCTTTGAAACCCCTGCAACACAATCAGTCAGGAATCATAACCTTGCTGGTCCAGTTTCACCAACCATTCGCTTTTGTCTTGTTCCAAGGCCGGTATTCCCAAGAATTCGTCCACTGCCTCTTCTGGGGTGTCAACCTTGATCTGTTTCGCATTATAATATTTGTTCTCAATTCCCACGTCGCCTGCCTCATCGGGTTCGGAGTCGTCATAATCAAAGTCATATCTGTCAAGGTCAGCGCCGAGTTTGGCAAGAGTGGCAGGGTACGAACTCTTCCTCAGAATCCTGCATAAAATCATCGTCCGACATTTTGAACAATGGAGGACTTGATTGTAATGTGAAGAGGAGATAAAGGAGTGTGAGTGGAAGGAGGTGGAGATTGTTGTCGCGGGGTTTGGAGAAGCTTGGAATGGCAGATAAAGCTGTCCGCCTTTATCCCGACAAACAACGGAGTTTCGATCCAGCCAGTATAGTGACATTTACACTCAATTTATTAAATTTGATATTTGGTATTTGATATTTGATATTTGTTATCTAAAATCTAAAATCTAAAATCTAAACACTAAGATCTTTAATCCATGGACTATATAAGACTAAACCTGGTAGTTAGAATTGAATTGAATAGCCTAAGCTTTATATATCTATAGAGTAATTTACTTTGTCCTATTGTAGAAGTATCCGCATTGATTTGTTTCAAGGCATCTGATTTTTAAGACATGAAGAGTTTTAACCTCCTCACACTCTTATACTACTCATCAAATTGTCAATATTTAGAGCACTATACCGAGGATTATCGCATATTCACGTCTTTGAATCTTCTATGTCGATTTGTTAATTCAACCACATGGGCTACTTAATGCATAGTAATGGGATGAACCCAGGTTATTGTGGAGTAAGTACGCACAAAACAGATTTTAAAAATAAGGATGGAACGAAGCGGAGTATGACCTTTATATAGGTAAAAGTGGAGGAATAGTCGATACCTCATTCGCCGATCTTAGAACCCTTTTAGAGAAGCGCGATGTCATCAATGAGACGTGGAGCCCCGACTTAATTTCCAGTCCCAGATCTCCTAAATCTTCCACAACTCCTTTAGCACAACACTCGGAACTCCCTCTCTCACCCACTTCATCTTCTCTTTTAACTACAGTCATACCTTAATTAATCCTCTTTATATGCAATGGCGCTCTGCGGACGGCAGAAGGTCGTTCAGCGCAAGATGGTCCTCCTGTCAGTCTCTCGGGGACTCGTTCCTGATCCACATCCACGACTCTCTTCTGACCTACTCCTAGGGGCGACGGTGCTTGCGGAAAAACCTCAGCTCTGAATGTGTTTACAAGAGGGTGCGTAATTCCCTCTCCAACTACCTCCCGATATGGAGCTCCCTGTCTCTCCGATTAGGCCAACCAACTAACACGGACTCGCAGATTCTTCCCCACTGTTTAGTAAGATCTTACTCAGGTTCTATTCAGAACAATGGTCGTGTTCGCCATATACTGACTGTGACGTTCTGCGCACAGCGAGCCGACTGTTTTTGGTATGGGCGCATTGCATTGTCTTATGGTTGAAATACCCCTGGTCGCTAACTAGATGTGTATAGAAAACTACGTCCATGGTACTCTCTCCTTCGATTCGTCATAAACTCTTGCATTGAATTGCTCATGCGCGTCTAGATATCTTCGTCGATAACGTACAAATGGAACTTTCCCTCTGGGATACGGCCGGCCAGGAGGAATTCGATCGCTTGCGCTCGCTGTCTTACGAAGACACGCATGTTCTTATGCTTTGCTTCAGTGTAGGCACACATACCGGAAAATGGGACCGGAACATATACGATTCAAGAGGGATTGCTGACGGATCATAGATTGACAATAAGGACTCGTTCGAGAACGTCGGCTCTAAGTGGATATCTGAAATCAATGAGAACTGCCCTGGTGTGAAAGTTGTTCTAACTGCACTCAAGTGTGACTTGAGGAAGGACGATGAAATGAATGACAATCCGAGCGCCATAACCTTTGATCAGGGGTTGGCCAAAGCTCAGGAGATTGGCGCAGTGAAGTACTTGGGTATGTCGATGCGCTTTACAGATCCACCATCTCAGGAAGATGTGGCTAATTGAGTTTAACCTTTTAGAGTGTTCTGCTGTCCAAAATCGGGGTATCCGTGAGAGCTTCTATGAAGCCGCAAAGGTCGCCCTTGAGGTCAAGCCTGCTGGGGGATCCAGTTCATCTGGCTCACAATGTGTCATTTGCTGAAGTACTTCACAGATGTCTGCCCAGATCCTTCCCGGAGTATTGAAGATGTGCTCTGAAAACTAATCATCTCCTCTCTTTGATTTTACCACGTTGATTCCCCTATGCATTTTATCGCTGACCTCCGGTCATTTTTCTTATATATTCCTTCCTTGATCTGACCTGGATTTCGAACATGTTCATCCTATATTATCCTGCACGGCTCCGTCTTTGGTTGTCTAGCATTTCAGCGAGGTTGGCTTTTTTCGCCCTTATTTCTTCAATTACTGTGATTTATACCCCGTACACCAATTCAAGTGATGCATATTCGTCGAGTCTGTCTGTGTGAACGGTTTTACGCTCAGTCTGGACTCTGTCAGACAAGATACTGTGTTACATACGAGTATCATCGAGTTTTGCACCTCGGTATAACATCAGATCCCGTCTGTGAATGCGGACATGTGCTTCCGGCGCGAGGGAAACTGCCGGGCGGTCAACCGGTACCCGTAATGGATGACGTCATACTACATTTTAGTCTTGTCTAGAGCCCCGAAACATATCATGATCGACCCTGAGCGCTGAACCCATTTCAACATTGAACAGATGGCGTTTTGAATCGTCACTGGTCAGAGAGACGTTTGTAGAGGCGTTTATAAGGCGTTTATAAGGCGTTTGTAGCAGGGACATGTGGAGTGACAGGAGTGTAATTACGGAGTCGCTTAGAGTATTGGTCCCAAATTGATGACAGTATCCCTTCGTACATTTAAATGACGACGAGGAAGCATACATCTGGAGATTCTGCAAGGCAGTCAGCTAATGGATGCATATATATGTACCTTAACAAAGTATGGAGAATATCCCGGGGTAAGCTGTTTGAGTACGTAGGTACTTGTCACCGATGTCATAGTTGTACCTATTTAGTATACAGTGGGTACTTGTATAGCAAGTACTCTCTAGTGAGCTTTACCTTTCCCCGCACAAAGGAAGGAAGTACGTAGTAGGACCTCAGCCTCTGTAAACGTTAGTGATTTACATCTCCGGCTCGGAGGAATTCTTCTCCAGTCCCATTAAATTACCGTTCATCGTTCTCGTCAATCTCGGCAATCCCTGCCTTGTACCTTCCCCCTCTCTTCATCCTTCCTCGTCACTGTGTGACTGTCCTTGAATTCTCATTTTCCATTCCCATAACCCTTTGGTCCTTGACAACTTACAACTCTCTCATCCCTTCCCGCTTCCATCCAACAACCAGTTGGCTTCACTACAACCTTGATAACCCCATTCTATCCTCATACACAATGCTAGGTCCCCGGTTCATCCGCTCGGCGACACTGAAGCGCCCCTTCAGTTCATCCGCTGCAGTCTTCCGTGCCCCCTCCATCAGAGACGTGACAAGTGATTCAGCTGAGGAATTCAATCGACGACAGAAAGAGTTCCGCGAGAACCTGGAACAGGCTCGCAAGAGAAATGAATTGCAAGATAGTCAGTCTGATGATTCCTCTGCTTTGTCTTCTACCCCTTCCCGTGAGTCGCCTCCCACTGCTCCGCATGTGAGCAATGCGAGCAACTATGAACGAGTTCGCCCTGCTTTTGACGCGGCTGAGACCCTTGATCATGATTCATTGGGCTCACTTGCCACCCACCGCTTTCTAGGGCTAGATCAGCAGCAGTCGGAACCCACTAGCAAGCGGGGCCCGCTGTCCTCGCTCATCTACGGTACAAAGGAGGGCCAGCATTACGACAAGGATATCGAGCGCTCCTTCTCCCAAGTTCTTGCGCGTGGCAAATACGTCCACTCCATCGTTTTCCACGAAGTCCAGCCCGATAAAGTCGACGAGTATGTGGAATTGGTCGGCAAGTGGTATCCTCGCATGGCAGGAACGGAAGAGAATAGGGTAAATCTGGTGGGCAGCTGGCGCACACAAGTGGGCGACAATGACACTTTTGGTATGTCGTCCTAATTCTTAAACACTTTGGTAGGGGTTGGCTGACTATTGCAGTTCACATCTGGGAGTACCAGCGCTACGAAGGCTACCACACCTCCTTGCACAACATCTCTACCCACCCTGATTTTCCCGCATTCGACCGCAAGCTGAAGAGCCTGATCAAGAGCAAAAAAACCTCGTTGATGCAGGAGTTCTCCTTCTGGCCCACGACCCCGCCCCGCAAACTGGGTGGATTGTTTGAGCTTCGTTCTTACACCCTGCATCCGGGCAACCTTCTGGAGTGGGAGACACACTGGCGTCGTGGACTTACTGCGCGCCGGGAGGTCATGGAGGGAGTGGGTGCATGGTTTGTTCAGATAGGTGACCTGAACACTGTTCACCACCTATGGCAGTTTGCCGACCTGGAAGAGCGCAAGTTTCGCCGAGAGCAGTCGTGGAGCATTGAGGGATGGGCGGAAACAGTGCATAAGACAGTGCCTCTCATTCAGAACATGAAGAGTCGGATTCTCGTCCCCATGCCGTGGAGCCCCGTCGGCTAAAAGTCGCATAGCGGATTCCTATACTCCACATTACCCGCCTAGTCCCATTGAGTTTATCCTCTCTTTTAACCCTTTTTTTTTCTTCCCCTGCATGAATTCAGCGGACATATTCCACGGGGCATAGGCATTTCTTATTCCCCCTTGAACCCAATGACGTAAGGTAAGGACCTTCATATTTGTACTGTATGTCAGCTATGTATTGATCTAGCAGACTTCAGAGATCAATACAAATTCTCTATCTTATGTCATTCTATCCATGTTATGCTATAGACTAAACAAGACTAGGAGGAACCTTCGTGGCCAATGCTCAAAGTGAAAAGTGGCTTTTTTTCTTTTCTTGTTTTCCCGTTCTAGAATTATCTAGTTCTTCCATACCAGGTTAGACTACATTATTATGACGAACCCTTGAACACAAAAAAAGCAAAAATAAAAAACAAGAAAATAGGAAGAAGGGAAAAGGAAACTCGCTAGACAGTAAATATATTGTCCTCTTGTCTCGCATTTTCCCACCGGTTTTGTCTCTGCTTTAAGGTTGATCCCTCCCCAACCAGCGGGGCGCTTTGACTTTGTTGTTCCCGTGTCCGCCAGACATTTTTCTTTTTGCCAGCTCCGATTTATTCGCTGTCTTCTATCACTCTCCTTCCTCCCTCATATCCTCCTATCCTACATTCTCTTCTTTCTCTGATCGAGCTCCTCCACATACCTATCCTCCCTACCTCGATCTACTTGCGAAACGCGAGCCGCGCGCCTGCCGCTTCTCATCCTTCGAGATCACCGATTCCCCGGATTCAAACAGAGGATACGGCGCATGCGATTGAATTGAAGAATATCCAATTTGAAGATTCCAGTCAAGTTACACTTTGGCTACCCAGCTGAAGGCTTCACAACATGGTGTACATTCGCCAACATCACCTTGCTAACCTTAGAAATTATCGTTATGCCGGTGTTGATCACTCCCTCGTTAGTCGGTTTGTCCTCAAGCCGTTCTACAACAAATGTGTGATTGGGCTTTTTCCCATGGGCATGGCGTAAGTGTAACCCTGAACTTTTACTGTATCGGACTGTTTTTTCGTCTTTTCTCTCTCTCTCTCTCTTTTTTTTTTTTTTTTGCGCAATGGCTTTTACTGACTTGGTTTTTCTTTTTTTCTTTTTGGTTGAGTACAGTCCTAATGCTGTAAGTTCTTTCTCCTTATGCTTTGCGATTGATTCCGATTGAATTTGAATTTGAACTTGGATTGATGTTAATACATTCGCGAATGCTATAGATTACCCTTACCGGATTCCTCTTCGTGGTTATAAACTTCTTTACCGTGATGTGGTACAATCCGTCCTTGGATACCGATTGTCCGCCTTGGGTCTATGCCAGTTGCGCGATTGGTCTGTTTTTGTATCAGACTTTTGATGCTGTCGATGGCATGCAAGCGTATGTTTCTGCGCGATGATCATGGACTACTATTTGGGCTTTTACTGAGACCTTTTTACTATAGACGGAGAACACGACAGAGTGGACCCTTAGGAGAACTCTTTGACCACAGTATGTGCAGGATGCATACGCATGGAGGTATATACGACGGTTAAGCTGACCTTCTCTAGGTGTCGACGCGTGCAATACCGGGTTGGGAGTTGTCATCTTTGCCTCTGTCATGAACCTCGGACAGGGCTGGGTCACTTTCCTAACTCTTTTCGGAGGTAAGTGTGCAATGTAGCCTTGACTTTTCAATTTATTTCTAACGGTCTCCAGCAACTATGACTTTCTACGTCCAAACCTGGGATGAGTTCTACACTCAAATTCTAACTCTAGGCATCATCTCCGGCCCCGTCGAGGGCGTCCTGACCATGTGTCTAGTATACGGCATCACAGCCTACATGGGCGGCGGCAGTTTCTGGCACCAGCCCATGTTGGAGACCTTTGGAATATCCAAGCCTAGCTTCATCTCAAGCCAAGTATACAACATGCCGTTCACCCAGTGGTATATCGTGTACGGAGCCGTCGTCCTGTTCTTCGCTACAGGCTCGAGCATCGTGCACGTTCTGAAGGTTCGTCGTGAGCGCGGCCTGGATCTCATTGCGCCTTTGGTCGGCCTCTTGCCATTGGCAGCGATTTGGATCTTGGTTCCAGCCTACCTATACCTGAATCCAGGTGTTCTGGAGAACCTGACGATTCCATTTGCGCTGTATGTCGGTCTGGTTAACGCGTACTCTGTCGGTCGCATGATCGTTGGCCACCTGGTTCAGTCAGGGTTCCCGTATCTGAACGTCTTGCTCTTCCCGCTTGTTTTGGGTGTCATTGACAGCATCGGTCCTTTGCTGGGCCTTTGGTCTGCCCCTTTCTTGGCGGAAGGTACAGGGCAGGTGGAGTTTGTGTTCGGATGCCTGGGTACAGCGGTTGGTATTTATGGTAGCTTCGTTGTATGTTTATATTCCACTCTCCCCTGCTTGTGTATGCTGTACTGATCAGTCTCTCTTAGTTCGACGTTATCACTACCATCTGCGACCACAACGATATCTGGTGTTTGACTATCAAGCATCCATATGTCGAAGGGTCGGAAAGCAATGGAACAACGAAAGAGGACTCGAAGACCAAATAAGTTATGTGCTGGGTGTACAGTAGCTGTTCGACCGTGACGATTTATGCCATTTGGTAAAGTGCGGGGAGAGCAATTTTATTTTGCGATAGTTAAAAAAAGGGGGTTTGATGTGGTTCTAATGATTTGAATTCAGCAAGTACAAGCTTGTTTTCCGATAGAATATGAGTAGTAATGAGTGACATGAATAGAATACAGACTGAATTGAAGAATACGTATGGAGCACAGATTGAATGAAGAAGATAAGATAAGCACAGGCAGAAACATAAAAGTGGACCAGGCGGAAAGAATAAGGGGATTTGATTGGAAGAACGCCACACCAACCCGAAATAGGTAAGCAAGCGAGGGCACAAACCCTACGCTTTCCCCCAACGCCTCCAGATCTTCTCCTGGGTCCATTTCCGTTAGCACACAAGACCATCGCCGTCAGCGCCATTAATCAACCCCCTCGTTGATCTTTAATCGTCAAGATGGTACGTCCGCATGCTGTCCTTATTTTGAATCGCTTCCCTCGATTTTTTCGATTCAAACACTCCCACACGACCGACCGATCATCTCCGCGAATATCATCGAAAAATATCAATATTCTAACGTGTCTCGATAGGTTCTCGCTGTCGACCTCCTCAACCCCACCCCTCAGGCTGAGGCCCGCAAGCACAAGCTCAAGGTAAGAAGAACCGATGGGAATTGATGAAGTGGATATTCAAGGCGAGATGGAAATGGAGATGGAGATCTGAGAATTTCCGGGACCACTCCGAAATATCGAATATCAATATGGAAATACTCATCGCCATCACCTTTACCATCACCATCGCCATCAACCCTTGAATAAACCACACCATCAACCAATATAATTCCGAAACACCAGTCAATAAGATCGCTAACGCGTCTCAACCATAGGCTCTTGTGCCCCAGCCCCGCTCCTTCTTCATGGATGTCAAGTGCCCCGGTTGCTTCGCCATCACCACCGTCTTCTCGCACGCCCAGACCGTCGTTATCTGCGCCGGTTGCTCGACCGTCCTCTGCCAGCCCACAGGTGGCAAGGCCCGTCTGACCGAGGGCTGCTCATTCCGCCGAAAGTAAACGAGACCAGAAAAAAAAAAGAAACACAATGCAACGAAATTCACCTTTTTCCCCAACACGGTTTTTTTTTTTTGAAATGTCGAAGTTGAATGTTGAATGAAGCGCTGAGAGAAGAAAGTGAGAGGATCAAAATAGCATGGTGTGCATTTAGGATCAAAATACCATCCAAGGTCCTGTTTGAAACTACTCTACCTCTTCTTTTTCCCCCAAACGATGGACAACCAAAAAATGTTATCGTCATGATTAAAATCTTTATTTCCCTGGCATAACACGTGTGACTGCTATGGACTTTTTTTGCTGGACGCCCGGTGCGAGACTGTAAATGTTGAATTGCTCTTCATACATTTTCATATGATTCTTGGATATCTATTCGGTTTTATACTGGATGTAGTTCTGGTATTGTCTTTGCCGAGAGTGTACCTGCTCGAATCGAGTAAGCCGTGAACAACAGTCTTGAAGTATGGTATCAAGGCTTCAAATTCTTTTCGGGCAGAATATCTCATCGAAAACCTGTAGACTGTACCCAACTGCTTAGGTAGTAAAGACAGCCCCATTTCTACTTGAATTTCCCAGATGACCATGGGTCCCGTAAGAGACGTCTTGATAATACCTACAGGTTCCTCCGAACGGAATATGTAGCTTCTCTCCAAGGCAAAGACCTTCTCCACCCCATCATGCTAAGCTGCAATAACGCAATAACTCCGAATTACCTACGATGTATGTACCGGATTTTCCATGCTAGTTCTTGGCGCTCCCCATCCGTATCAGTGCTCTCTTAGCTTTTGCTCACTTAGTAACCACGTCCCTGAGAGCTTATAACTTATGTGACAAACACTGTGATATTTCATCTATTTCGCAATAACATCAGGATTTCGCGACTGTCACGGACCCACGGTCATTACTGCTAACGAGCGGTTATCATCAGCTTGAATTAAGTGCTGTCAGACTGACTTAAGTGCTGACAGATTGACTTAAGTGCTGTCAGATTGACTTCAGTGCTATCGGATTGAGCTAGTCCGAAGCCCGAAGAGTCAAGGTAAGCGTATAAAAGCGGGTGTTTTAACTCTAGCTAGTTGAATCTCTAGTGAATTAATTACTTTTTCTCACTTGGCTATAAGCCCTTCAGTATTCTGCGTCTACCCCGAACTGTGCACTATATACGAAAGGGTTGTTCTAGTCCTCCGTATTCAAGACTCAGGCGAAGCCCACACTACGTCTTACTCTGATTTTAAGCTGACTTCCACAGCAGCGTCATGGAAAGGATCAAAGTCGCCGTTATTGGAGCAGGTAGGCCGAGAAGACAAGATGTGCGAATCTACAACCTGTTATGGAACTGACCCTCGTGAAATCTAGGGCCAACCGGCCTCTCTATGCTGAAGACGCTTACGGAGAACGGGTTCGCCGTCACGCTGTACGAACGCCGCAGCCAGGTCGGTGGAATATGGGCCTACACCAAGAATCCATCGTGGACCACGGCGCTGAAGAGTAATTCCAAGTCCTACTACACACTTTTGACATACTATAGACTTACATAATTTCCAGGCACACAAGCCAACGTCAGTAAATACACATGCGGCTTCTCTGATTTTCCTATGCCTGACAGTGAGATTCACCATCAGTCCCAAATCGAGAGAAGACTAAATTTATGAAGAATATCCGTCCCACATGAATGTGTTCGAGTGGCAGGAGTATATGGAGGACTATGCGCGCCACTTTGACGTGCTCAAGCAATGTGTACTCAACACCTCCGTCCACAAAGTGCACCGCAATACCGATGACACGCGATGGGTTCTGGAACTTGGCCGGGAAGGCGGCAAACGTGAGACTGCCGAGTATGACCGTATTGCTGTCTGCAATGGGTACGAAACCAAGGCATGCGTGCCAAAGTTCGAGGGACAAGAGCTATTTGAGGGCACTATCATGCATGCGCAACAGTTCAGAGAGTGAGTTTTCGGGAGGGGTATACCTAGTAAAGATCAAAGAATGATCTGACTGTTAATCTAGCCCAGAGCCATTCAAAGATAAAAAGGTGGTTGTTCTCGGTCTTTGCAGTAGTTCGGGTGACATAATTCCAACGCTGATGCCCGTTGCATCGCGAGTCTGGGTTTCACATCGCCGCGGATCAGTCTTTATACGGCGCTTCCGAAATGGTACCCCCGTCCATCTGCCCCTTACTTGGCGGTACCGGACGACGGGAGTGGTCTTGGAGCAGTGGTTCCCCTCGTTCGCGCGATTCTGCGGTGATCTTGCGGTCAAGTACCTCAGCCGGTCGATGCTAGGAGGCAAGCCAGACCCGGCATGGGGGATTGAGCCATACCCATCGCCGAGCCTCATTCTACCAGGAGTCTGGGAGAGGGTGTTGCCATTCTTGCAGGACGGGAGCTTGACCTCACTGAAAGGACTTACAAAGTTTGTGGGGCCGAAAAGCATCGAGTTTGCCGATGGGACGGTTCTGGATGATGTCGATACGGTGATTTTGGCGACAGGATATGAGGCGGACTTTTCGCTTCTGTCAGAGGTCGTTGAGCGTAGTCGACCAAACCTGGATTGGTACCAGGGACCAGATATGTACCGGCTTTGGATGAATCTGTTTCCACCTCGCTGGGCCGACTCAGTCGCTGTACTAAACTACAGTACATTCGGAAGGACGAATGGATTTAGCTTCGCTGATATGATGAGTATGGCTATCAGCAGCGCATGGCAGGGCATAGAGCCATTTCCAAGCATAGAGAACATGGAGTGTCACGTTGATGAACACCAGCGCTGGATTGCTAAGAGGTGGCGCATCGAGCCAAACACGCCTACAAGTGCTGTCAAACCTTGGGAGTTCCAAGGATGGCTGCATCGAGCTGCAGGTACGGGAATGGAGAACCTCGGATGGGGCTGGAAGGGTTGGAAGTTTTGGTGGCAGGATCGTGAGATGTACAAACTGATGAAAGACGGAGTTGAGACAGTGCATATGTATAGATTCTTTGAGACTGATAGAAGGCAGGCGTGGCCTGGGTCTAGGAACGCGATTGTGCACGTGAATGAAGTGGTTCAAAAGACATTCCCACTTCCCACTTCAGGAAAGGAATGATTAGAGAGCGTGTCATATTAAAAATCTTGCTGGGGGAATATTTCATCTGGACAGACTAGTCCTTATTTCCTGCGAAGATAGCATCGTTGAACTCTTCTCTATATACACTCAAAGTCCCTTTTTGAATATCTTATCGAATTATCTACAAAGTGTTGAACGATGGGAGGAAAGTCTCAATAAGGCAATGGTGGTGTTTAGTCTCCAGATCATACAATACCAGACCAAAGAGAAGATAGCCTGACAAAGGAAGAAATGAAATTAATTCAAATAAGAAGAAAAACCAACTTACTAACTGAATTGACGAGAAATCAGTCAGTTCTATGCTATGTTTTACCTCATTAAGAGCGATACATTATTAGCTTATTTTGTGCCTCATATTTTGCCCCAATCTTTACCCCTAGTTGCTATGTATTCCCATTTTTTGTCCCATTTCCAGGGTGATATTTCATTTCATCTGATCTTGTATGTAGACACGTTATTAGTATTGACTAGGAAAGTTGAGATGAAAGGAATAAAGACGAATATATTAGTGCAAATAGAGCAAACAACCAGAGGATAAGCTTCTGATAATAAGTGGCCTTTAATTAGCTAAAGATGGCAGAAACCTTAATTTCTGTTTCTACAGAAAGTAATGACAAAAGATGGTTAGTATAGGTACTCCATGGTCCATGGCTTCATGGCGACTGACTATACATGCTTATAGCAGCCAGCTCAGCCAACGACATGTTCGACTGGGAATAGGTGTTGTTGACATGCCCCACACTCGGGGGCCCAAATAGGCCGATAAACCCACTTATCTTAGCTTATCAGCTGATTCCCATCACCGAAGCCCTGAAGTTCATTTTTATCGTCCAAGGACTTTCCTCAGCTCAGTCTTCCTAGTCTTTGATTCTTTCGGCACAATCCTCCAATATGGCAGCAAATCCATCCATAACCGCACGCAAGCCTTTAAAGCTGCTCATGCTCCACGGCTACACACAAACTGGTCCACTATTTTACGCCAAAAGCCGCGCCCTCCAGAAGGCAATTCAAAAGGCATTCCCCCTCTACGAAGTGAAAACTGTAGTCCCAACAGGTCCAATCCGCCTGAAGCCAATCGACATCCCAGGTTACGAGCCCTCTGGTAACACAGACGAAGAAGACGTGGAAGCATACGGCTGGTTCCTCCGCTCAAGCACGGCAACACCCACCCTCTACGCCGGCCTCGAAGACTGCTTCAAAGCAGTAGCAAAGACCCTAACAGAAGAAGGGCCCTTCGATGGCGTAATAGGGTTTTCGCAAGGGGCAGCTCTAGCGGCGATGGTTACATCGCTATTAGAACCAGGCCGGAAAGAAGCGTTCGAGAAATTCAGCAAGGACGAGGTTGATGGAGCGACAGGAATTCCGTACCCTCCTGCATTTTTGGAGCCGGGTTTCGTCCATCCGCCGTTCAAGTTTGCTTTGGCGTACTGTGGGTATCGGGCGCCTGGAGCTCGGTATCGTGGGTTTTATGAGGATCCGGCTATTCAGACGCCGTTGTTGCATGTGCTTGGTTCTTTGGATGCTATTGTTGAGGAGTCGAAGAGTCAGGCGCTGATTGACGCTTGTGCTGGTGAGCCTGAAAAGGTCGGCTGGGTTGTTAGACATCCTGGCGGTCACTTCTTGCCTAGTCAGAAGCCTTATCTTGAAGCTGCGACTCGGTTTATTAAGGGGCAGTTGGAGAAGACTGGGGTTGCTGACAAGGTGGACGAAGAGGATGTTAACGATATGGATGTGCCTTTTTAGAGATTTGTATGGTTGAGACATTAGACTAGATCGTACCTTCTTAGCGTGTACATAAATATACATTGCATTGTATATAGTTTTGTAAGAAGACACCAGTTGACCTACATGATAGTGCCAGTACCGAAGGGTACCTGCACAACCTGGATAGATACCTAGGTAGTGATGTTGGTGATTACGATTAGACCAGTAAACTTCGAGTTTCAATTCCACGTAATGATTCAATGATCTACCGGTATATTTTACACACGTTGGCAGCACTGGTCATCCAAGGTCCCTCAGTCCGATGAAGCCTTGGCCTTTTCGTTAAGAGTTGGCTGAATACGAGCCATCATGCCCTCCTTAGTGATCAAATGATCGATACGCTCCAACAGACCAAGTAAGCTCTTCATATCGCTGCTCCACTCGTTGAGCACATCGTCTGCATCACGGGGCTTGGCGAAGTTGACTAAACGCGCAGGCCGGTCGATCTTGGCGTAGATAGTCTTGGAAGTAACAAGGTCGCTGATGTACTTCTCCGTCTCATCCTCAGTAAGGTCAAGGAGTTGGGTTAACCGACTCATCTGGATGCGGGTGTAGTACTTGGCTACGACACGGACGTTGTGCTCGATGACTCGTTTGCGCAGATCTTGCCATCTCCGGTGAGCTTGGTTTTCGGTGGACGGTTGGGCCTGGGCATCGAACACATCAGTGCCGCACAGGTGAGCTCCGAACTGCTCTGAGACCACGGGCCAGCGCATCAATTCGGGGATGGTGAACAGCTTGATTAGTCGGGCTTCCTCTGGGACCTGGGAGAGTCGTGAGTCTTGTTGAATGCGGTGCAACAGATCTGACTGCTCATTGTCGTAAGGAGACAGGACAATATAATACACAATGCGTGCGAGGGACTAGATATGAAAGTTAGAGATGTCCACAAAGTCCACAATTTCCGCATATGGCTCAACTTACTGCACGCAGGTGCTCAGGGTTCGTCTCAACTGCCTCGGTGTCCAGGACTTCTCGGTAGTGCTTGCACACATCGAGGTACTTGTAGTCGTGGTTGGCCAGAATAATTTGCTGGTCGTAGTAACGCAGCTTAAGATCGGTCACATCGTCAAACACCTCAACCGGGGGATCGTCAGGTCCACGGTTCTTCTCCTGCTCCTCGGCCTCCTTCTTGAGCTTCTCGATCTCCTCGGCAGTCTTCTTCGGTTTGCGGGAGAAATACTTCTTGCCGATCTTGCGAATAAGAATCGTCGCCTGAGTCCAATCTCCACGCTCGATACACAATGCAACTTGTTCCAGAATAAATTCAGTCTTCTCTCGTCGCGACATTGATCCGAATGTTTCCACCTGCAGCTCGCACAGAATGTCTGCTGCGGCAGTAAGATCGCCTTGGGACTTTTTGATATCAGACAAAATGCGGGTAACACGAGCTCGCTCGACTTCGACGAAAATCTTTCAAAGACGTTAGTATCTTTATTTCCAGATTGAGGGGTGGTTTCAGATCGGTATACCTTTCCCTCAGTGACTGTTCGCAGGGTCTCGATAACGCTCAACTTAACCTCAGCGTTGGGAGTGTCATCCAAAAACTTCATTACCGCCTGCACCATTCGTGTTGTGGCCTGCTTGAGCTGGGCATGTTTCTTGGAAAGGAGGAGGACTTGGTCGTTGAGAAGGGCCCAATCGCCCGAGTTCTTGCTGATGGTTACGATAGTAACCAAGAGACGCGAGGTAGTGGCGAGGTCGGAAGACTGTCAAAGAATAGCCTGGGTCAGAGCAGATCTTGAATCGGGGATAAATATGAGGTAGCGTACTTGTCGTGCTTGCTTCTCCAAGACCAGCAGCTTATCAATCGCACCCTGGACATCGGTCTATTTCGAACACGAATCAGTATTCTCATCTTCTAAACAATCCATAGGAATATATGAAGCGCACCTTAGCAAGGATCTCAGCCTCCGGGATGAGTTTGTCGGCATCCTTGGAGTAGTCCTTCTCCGGCTTCAGAAGGCCGGACATGATGACGAAAGTGGGCGACGGCTAGTCGATCTGAGAGAATGAACGGAGTTAAGCCAAGGATAATTGAGAGCGGGATTAGAAACAGGTGCACGAGGCGATGTGGTTGGAGAGAAGTAAGTGATGAAAGATGTTGATGATACTGGAGCTCTCTGGGGCTGGTTGTCCGCCCTGGCTCGAGCTGCAAGCTCCGTCTCACGTGATACAATCAACATACAATCTACAACTCAAGCTGAATCAATACACCACCACGGTACATTTTGACTATTTCAAATATATAAAAAAACGTATCAAATTTGCTTCTTTGCCTGTCTTAATCAATTTGTTATTTTCTAGGTACTGGGAAAGCGACTCCTACACAGTCAACTCGTCTTACACAGTAAGCATGTAATCATATCCTATTCGACGCATGCCTGTATCCTTATCAAATTGTTCTCGAGATCAAGTATCATATTGAATCACTAAAGAGCTTATAGATCTCTGGAGTTGTCGAAATGTACAACTTCCAAAACTCAGGAACACGCTTACCTAAGCCGCGATCTCAATCACGCAATCCTGCACTAAACTACTTTTGGCTGAAGATGTATGTAAAAAAATCACTAAGAGTCATACCCAACTGGCAGTTTAATCTTCAGAAAGCGATTCCAATACTTGCGGCTGTCTATTGATTGCATATAAGCCTTATTACTCGCAATTACTGGCCTTTCTATGTACGGCGGACAATCGATAAATCTTATCAGCCCTTATCGTGAGGATTTTACCCAGTCCGGAGTAATTTCTCGATCTCCGCGCAAGTGTTGCAGATAAGCAACAGAACATATTGAACTATTCAAGAGCTGTATAATTGCCCTGAGCTGGTTATCTGAGAAAGACATTCTTTCTTCTTGGTTTTATCGCCAAGTAAAGTGCTATACATCAAGATCCAGTCCCACGATTGGAAGCGCTATTCACAATGAATAACGCTCTAAATGGATCTGGAGGTCCGGTACCATTGATGACTGCATTGAACACAGAGTCTCAAATACATTTGATCATTGGAACTAATTCTCTGGCTGCTTCACGGTGTGCGAAGAGCCTCCAGACCGGCGCAAAGCCTGTTATCATTGCGCCGGAGACGGCGGACGTGCACTTCACTTTGGCAGAGCAAATTGCCAATGGATATGTGCAGTGGACTCGTCGTGAATTCCAAGAAGATGACTTGACAAGCTTGGGCAGAGAGGAGATTGATAGGGTTGTGGATATGGTCTTTGTCACTTTGAGTGGTAACCACACACAAGGTAGGCTTTCTTGCTGATCTTCGCAGGTAGCTAGTGGCTAAACTTGCTTCACAGGGGTTGAAATATCCAGACTTTGCCGGCGTCTTAGAATCCCCGTCAATGTGTCAGATGCTCCCGAGCTGTGCTCATTTACATTATTATCTACTTACTCTGATGGGCCCCTCCACGTCGGAATCACAACGTCTGGCCGTGGATGTAAGCTTGCATCTAGATTAAGACGGGAGATTGGCGCTTTTTTGCCAGTCAATCTTGGATCAGCTATTGATAGACTCGGCGCTGTGCGACGACGACTTTGGGAGGAGGACAAGGCGGCTGGGCTGTGTGATCTCGCTATTGAGGGCGACGATGACGATATAACAGGCCAAAGGCACACATTCAACAATTTGGTCACGGAGGGAGACTCAGAGGCTGCAAAAACAAGACGTATGCGCTGGCTCTCACAGATCTGCGAATACTGGCCGCTTCGCAAACTCGTCTCAATCACCGATGAGGATATCGATACAATATTAAAGGCATACTCATCTGGCAAAAGTGACACAGTAGTGGCCAGCGGAGACGATATCATATCAAAGAAAGGTAAAATCGTGCTCGCTGGCTCTGGTCCTGGTCATCCTGACCTCCTGACCCGCGCCACATTTAATGCAATCCAGAGTGCGGACATTATCCTGGCTGATAAGCTGGTCCCAGCTGGAGTTCTGGACCTGATCCCTCGCAGAACAGAGGTTCGCATTGCACGAAAGTTCCCTGGCAATGCCGACCAGGCACAGGAAGAGTTCCTACAAATGGGCCTCGCAGCTTTGCAGAAGGGAAAACAGGTGCTTCGACTGAAGCAGGGAGATCCATACCTGTATGGTCGTGGAGCAGAGGAGTTTGAATTCTTCCGTAACTACGGATATGCTCCGGTCGTGCTACCGGGTATCACCAGCGCCATGAGTGCAGCATTATTTGCCGATATTCCGGCGACACACCGCGGAGTTTCAGACCAGGTTCTCATCTGCACCGGGACTGGCAGGAAGGGTGCTGCTCCAAACCCACCAGCCTATGTATCCACTCAGACTGTGGTCTTTCTGATGGCTCTTCATCGGTTGTCTGCTCTTATTGAATCTCTGACCACGTACCATGTGGACGAGCAGTCGCGGTCACGGCAGCTCTGGCCAAAGGAGACGCCATGTGCGATTGTAGAACGGGCATCTTGCCCGGATCAGCGTGTTATTCGTACGACTTTGGAGAATGTCTGCATTGCATTTGAGGAAACAGGCTCCCGGCCACCTGGCCTGCTGGTAGTTGGTGCCAGCTGCCATGTCCTTCACAATGCTGATGATCAGAAATGGGCCATTGAAGAGGGATTTCACGGCTTGGACGAGCTACATAATGAGCTGGACACGGTGAAAGTTATTGGTGAAGAGAATTGATTGGAAACCTGCATATATTAAATCTTGGTTCATAGCTATGGAGTTAAACGCAAACATTGTAAAAAAAATTCAACTCATATATCCATTGGAAGAAAGTGGAAAGCATACCAGCTGCCTTTGATTTTGACACAACCTTTCCAGCCTGGTACTTGAGTTATACCAGCCAATTAAGCTAATAAGCTTGCCCAGATGATTCACTTGGTGCTTCACTTCTCGCTAATTGTCCTAAGAGTTCAACTTTGCTGACTTCTTCTGCGATCTTGATTCCGGAACTGGTACCAATGCGCGTAGCCCCAGCCTTGGCCATGGAAAGACAATCAACCGCTGAACGAACTCCCCCACTAGCTTTGACCCTGCATCCAGCGAAGCAAGACTCGACAATGCGACTCATCAAAGACACGGAGTCGACAGTGGCCCCGCCACCACAGAACCCGGTACTTGTCTTCACAAAATCAGCACCAGCAGTGCCCGCCACGATCGTTCCAGCGATGATTTGGTCCCTGTTCAATTGGGAGATCTCCAAGATAACCTTCAATATCACCGGTGCGGGTGCCGCACTGCGTACAGCGATCAGATCATCGTAAACTTTCGTGTACTCGCCCTCCTTGAGCAGAGGCCAGTTGATCACCATGTCCAGCTCGGACGCGCCATATTGAACGGCCGATTCGGCCTCCTGCACTTTTATGCTGGTGTCTTGGGTTCCTTCATGGAATCCGACGACGCATGCTACGACGGTGTTGGGCGTATTTTTTAAATGAGACGCTGCTCGTGCAACGTGTTCCAGTCTGACACAGACAGAGGCGAAGTCATTTTCTTTGGCTTCGGCACAGAGTTTGTCGATTTGTTCTGGCGTTGCCGGGACGCTTAGGAGCGTGTGGTCGATTAGCTGGGGGATGTTCTGTGGGATTCTTGGTGTGTCCAGGTTTTGGGGTATACGCTCAATTAGCTTGGAGATCAGCTCTTTCCATTCGGTATTGGTTGTCGGTGGGGATTTCATGGTGAGTTCGCAAGCTTTTTCCAGAGTTCATATCAAGGTCGAATTTCCCCTCTTTATTTAGGGATGCAGAATCACGTGAGAAATCTGCAGGTCATCAAAACGGTCTTACACTTTTGATTGGGGAGCCAGGCCGAGGCCAACAGCTACAGATGAGTTATTTTGAAGAAAGAGCGCGAAGAGGTAAATTGCCAGGGATTTTCCAGGGAAGCTCTGCAGAGACGCCTATTTCCAGTATGCGCTTAAAACAGCTACACTCTCCTCAGTTGGCCCGACAGTAAATTTAGCGGCCACAACAGCTCTCACTTCCGCGAATATCATCTACCCGCCCGATAGGTCTCCCTGAACCCGGGGGTGGAGGGCCACCACCTGAAGTACCACCTCCACCACCGCCACCGAAGAAGCCCGTGCCACGATTCAGCCGACCAGGTGTAGGCTTTGAACCATATTTATTGAACCGAGAACGCTGAGCGGTCGCGTACGGATCGAACTGTGAATCATGTCAGTATTGTCACAGTAGCACAGAGGTTGAAAATGGCGTCGTACGGAGAAGAGAGTCACTAAGTACAAGCCGAGGCAGAGGTAGATGCTCTCAAAGAAGCGGGTCAAGCGAACAGAGATCGGCAGGCTGTTCATAAAAGTCAGTGAGATGGGTCTCTTTCGGGATTATTTGAGAGTGACATACCTATCCAGAGTCTGACCTTTGGAGATATACACTTTCTGGGGCTTTGAAGACATGGTGGCAGTAGGATAGAGTGAGGAGGTGGAAGTTGATATTGATGAGGTGGAGTTAATCGGAGATGAAGCTTGGACCCAAAGTATAACGCTTTGCCTATTTAGGTATGTAATGAACTTCGGGAAGATTTATAAGCAATCACCACCTCTAGTTATCTCACGACCAGTAAACCTAAGATTGAATCTAGATCTGACATTGATTTTAGGTAGACAGAGTACATGGTGAGAGTTTAGAGAAATGGTGGACATACGGGATGCTACAACACCTCCTTCATGTGGATGAGCCGGCGGACACAATTTGGAAGCGCGACGTTGGATTCTGCAGTGTCAGGGCCTGGATAAAGACTCAGAGGGAAGGAAAGTTTCTGTCTCTGACTGAGGCAGAAGAATATTGAGAGCCCATGTGTCAGCCGGGACCTTGCTCCCATCTCTCGCGGGATGATCTCAATATTAGCCCGAGACGACTCCGATAGTGCATTTCCCACTTGTCATCCTTTGCGGAAAAACAAATTGTCTGGTTCGTGCCAAGAAAGCCTTCCTTGTCTCAAGCAAACTCGAACATTGAGTGGACAAGGCTGATATAGGTGGGCTCCTGCGTGACATCATCAGGAATATCGGTATCACGTAAACACTGAAGGATTGCCGACGCGGCTAAACTGGCGCTCGCTCGAGTGATGCTCCGGCTAAGTTGCCAGGAGGAAGACTATACATATCCACATACGTGATCGCCGTGGCATTGAAGAGAGGATTCCCCAACCACAGCTAGAGTAACAGGCTATTATAATGGGAGCTACCGATAGCTCTCGCAGGAAATTATGGCGCATGTGCTGTAGCATAATATTGGCAGGGTCCTTTTTGCATTATCCGAGAATGCCCCATCTCCAGTTTCACAGCGCGTTGTCTCATGGAGAAAATATGAGAATAATGAGCTGATCCTTGTTGCCACGGGCCTTGATGGCTTGTTCGCGAACTATATTAAGAAATCCCTTCAACAGATCTTTTCGGCTCACGCCTCGGATAATACCAGACGCCATGGGATGTGAAAGGAGCTATTTGTTCGGCACGATCCTCCTTTCTCCCTCGACGTCTCCATGGAGATACTCCTTTTACTTTGCTACAAGCGCACTTGGACTTTCGCAGGTGAAACAGATTGAGAGTTGAGAGTCAGGTCACGCGACAAGACTATAATTTCTTGATTAGCAAACTCAACTTCAAAATATTAAATCCCTTCTCGAATGACACGTTCATAGGGATCCAGGAATAAGATGTGATGGATGAGATCAAGTCTGAAAAGAACTGCCCATCATTTTTGACGCTACAAATACTTAAAGGTGTTCAAAAGAGGAAAGTCAGGTAGAATCCTGAGCTACCTAAGTATATTGTGCCTAGTTAGGAAGGAAAAAGGTAAGCCTTGAAACCACACAATCAAACAACAAGCAGACCTTTGCAATCCCAGTAACCTTGGCAGCTAAAGCCCTGGAGAAGACCTGTACCTATTTATAAAAATGGAATTCTAATTGATGGTAATTGGGGTGTAGATCTGAAGTCTTTCGCTGCGACTGTGGGTTCCCTGGTATTACGTATAGAATTGACTATGAGTATGGTTTTAAACTTGGAACTAAGTATGGAATTGAGTATGGAATTGAGTATGGAATTGAGTATGGAATTGAGTATGGAATTGAGTATGGAATTGAGTATGAAATTGAGCATGGAATTGAGCATGGTTCCATATTGACCGTCTCCACGGCAGTGGCCCCCGGAGGGCCAGCGGAGCGGTATTTAAAAAAGATGCTAGAGGGATCAACAACCTAAAGCAATAAGGCCTGCGGTATGCGAAAGACTAGTAATACACCAGACAATTCTCAGGGTCCTGAAAATAACGTCCGCACTTCATGGTCCAGTAAAGCTCAAGCGCATACCAAGCGAAGCTATCGGCGTTGTGGATAGCCTGGTTCTTCGGAAGTACAAATCGGGTATTGTAGGGCCCGTACCCATTTTCGAGATCCATGGGTGAGGATCTTAGTGGTGGAACTACCAAGGCTTTGTAATGCATATACTCATGCAAAATCACGCTAGCTAGCGTTTCCATATTCTCACTCACTGCAGCCCCGATAGAATTGCAGGTTACGGCAGAGACACCGGAGTAAGGTTTATCAATACCACCTTTTTTGAATGCTTCGGGGAATATAACCAGACGTGGGGTGGCACCTTCACCATTTATAACCAATGCATCATCCTCTTCTCGGTCCGAGTCCGTTACATATGGGTCGTTCTGGTCAGCCTTAATGGTTAGGCGTCTCAGCACAGAGGCGCCGGAATAATCAGACCCAGCAATTTTTCTAAAAACATCTTGGGGTCGGTCAGCTTTTACCCAGATATAAAGATCCCTCAAGGGTCCAACTAACCAGTCACTGCAGTCTTGTCGTCTGCACGGAAATACTTTGGCAAAATATAGTTCACAACATCATCGGATGCAGACAAGACATAATGCGTCATGTGGAGGATGTCTGATAATGCATCTCTGATCTGAAGCCTCTGCTGAGAATTAAACCCCGTTCCTATAACTCTCGGGTTTTCTCGTTTCTCAATAGGTTGGACATCTTTTGGGCCTAAAGGATTGGCAACTACAGAGACCACTAAGAGGGCTTGTAGCAGGGTGAAAAGCCGCATTTGTTCAGGTCAACTGGAAAATTGGACCGGTGGATAGTTTGAACAGAATTTCAGTTTTTGATGGAAAGTGTGTGGCTCAAAACACTCTGTTCAACGCTTGCTAGGTGTCAATTGTAGAGAAGGTATCCAAAAAGGGCTTCAAGGTTTGATTGAAGTATGTAGGGACGAAAGAAATTCTAATGAGCCAAATGCCCTTCTGAGGTAGCCAGTTAAGTACAGGAATATTAGAACTATATAAGACAGATCCAAAATATCTAATTTATTGCAAGCAAATTTTTTCAAGGGAATAATATGAAACGCGGCACAATTGAAGGAGTAGATGGGCCATGGGCCGTCGGCCGTATGAGCCTTTCTGTGGACAATATAGGAGTATTACATGTATGTAGGGTCTGGCCTTTGAAAAAACCAAATGCGGAAGGTGAATCCTGCGGGATTGGTTGAGATTCAAAAAGATCAGGTTATGCCTATTTAGGTATCTACTAAACCCTTCTTTTTATTTATTAAACATAATTCTTATGTTTTTTCAACCTTGGAATCCAGCCGTATCTGATAGCCACTGGTCCTAGATAGATATTCATGAGCATCTTACATTCCAAGGTTTCCTACCCAGACTAGGACCCGAGTTTGTTATTTGGGTTCTTACCTACCCGGCAACCTTACATGCCTATATGCCTTCCGATACCTGTGGATCTGTGCTACCGGGTTACCTATATACGTACCTAGGTAGGGTTACTACTCTAGGCCACCTAGTTATCTATGCATATACCTAGGTAATCATACCCCGCACTCTTGATGACGTTTACCTCTTGATATCAAGGTTTGAATAGCCCATTTGAATAAAGCTTTGGTCTTACATTTGATCTTAACTTTGAAACTTCACACTTCAAATTTGAATCCTTTGAAAATCTCAGCTGCAACCCAATTTTCATATCGCAATGGCTGACAGCGTTCAAATCGTCAAGGGGTAGGTAGACTCCCTCAATGCTAAGACAATAAACAAATCATTGATCAAACAACTCTTTATAGCAAGCCTGCATTTTTCGATCTTATCAGCAGTGAGCAACTGGTTGTTGTCGAGGCCTTCGCTATATGGTGTGGTCCTTGCAATGCTATCTCCCCTAAAGTGGAAGCATGGAGCCATAAGTATCCTGATGTCAAGTTTGCCAAATTTGATGTTGATGAGGAAGAAGACCTTGCCCAAGAGCTAGGAATTCGTGCTATGCCCTCCTTTTACTTCTTCAAGGGTGATGAGAAGATCGCTGATTATGTGGGAGCGGACGCGAATGAGATTGAGAATTTGATCAGGGAGCACAAATGAGTTAGTGTGACCTAAGAACTTCCCATAGTTTCAATGTTAATCTCTCTTCATTCGGGGCTTGTGTATTCAGGAAAGTTTTCATAGAAGTTGGTCAAAATTGCCACTTCTATTGTATAGCGTACATACTTCTCGTCTTCGAAGGTTGATATCAAGTTCTAACCTCCAGCTGGAATATTTTGAGGTTCTAGAAATAATCACTAAAGTATCTTTATCAATAAATACATCTGGGCATCATGCATGCATAATACCAAGGTCCACATAGAGTCCAGACTTGAAGTTCAACATGGAGTATTGAGTAACAAGTAAAAATATCCAACATCGATACTATCAGATAACGATCTTATCAAGACGCACAGACCGCGTGAATCACAAGCCCCATAGCATCCGCGGATCGGCAACCCGCTCCAACCATCAACGCGAGCAGACAGCCAAAATGGACCCAGGCGACATAGTACCCAGCGAGCCAGAGCCCTCAGTCTTCAACTACGTGCTCTCCTTCCTCCTTGTCGGTGTAGCATGGGGCTTCACAACCCCCTTTATCAGGCGCGCGGCCGCAGACTTCAATGCGCGACAGGAGAGACAGAAGGCGGGAAATAGCGCTTCAAGTCCTGAACGATCGAGATCGCGCTCTGTTGCTGAGCCAAACACGAACAACATAAACACAAACGCGCAGCTGGAGGATTGGGATGATTCTGAGCATGGTGCTGAGCAGAGGTTGATGGGTGGCGTTGGTGATGAGGAGCAGCATTATATGGATGAAATTCCGACTGAGACTGTGAGAAGGAGGAGTAGTAGTGCTCAGCGCAAAGCTGGGGAGAACGCTAATGCTACTGTCGATGCCAATGCCGCTGCAGTGGGCGATGACGAGGATGATGTGCTACTGCCAGTGTCTACTTCTGCCTCTCCATCTAGCTCGCGGTCTTGGTTGCGCTCGAAGATTGTTTCTGTTTTTTGGACTGTTGTTAATCTGCTTCGGACACCTGCATATTCTATTCCGCTAGTCATCAATTTGACTGGGAGTATCTGGTTCTTCTTGCTTGTTGGCAAGCATGGTATGTGGTTTATTGTTATGGAGTAACTGCTTTTTACTGTGCTGGGCTGGGCTAATACTTCTTAGAACTTTCTTTGACGGTACCGCTTGTTAATTCGAGTGCATTCCTCTTCACTGTACTTGGGGAGTGGTATGTTGATCGCAAGGTCATTGCTAAGGAGACTTGGTTGGGGTTGGTTCTTGTGTTGGGTGGGATCGCATTGTGTGTTCATTCAAAGAATCAGACTGTTTGATTTTGGATGAATTGTGTTCCATGGATAGATCTTGGATTTTTCATTTTTGGAGTATATTTGAAGGGTAGTTTTGTTTACTTGTATCATTAGGCAGGCCCAGATAATCTATATGATCTCCATTCCATCCGGAATGGAGAAAGACTCAACTCGTATCTACAGGTACAATACAAACCCACTCTCAACATGCATCCGTCGGCTTGTGAAAAAAAAAAAAAAAAAAAAAGATCAAACATGACAAGGAAATGCGATCAAAATCTTTCACCATGAACATACGGTAGTCGTTAAAGTAAAAAAAAAAGTAAAAAAGTTCGTAGCGCATGCGCAGTTCCAAACCAGACCGGGCCAGCCGTGGTATCAACTTCAATGGCGGGAAAGGATATCTATCGTGAAAACAAAAGGCTGAACGAAGCACAATCGTCACTTCCAAAAACTGCTGAAATCAAACACCTCGGAACGCCCTAACAACTAGGTACCACATCGCACCCACAAATTTGATCATCGAAAGTCCGGCCACACTCCACAGAACGACCTCCATGTAGATAAGAGAACGCTGATTCTGGGTCGTATCAGTGTTTTGACCGTCGGTACTACTGGTCTCATCAAATGTCTGTAGACCAGCGGCGCTAAGCACAACCGCACCGAGGGCAAAATTGCAGAATACCCATGCCAATACAACGGCACTGCGGAATCCCTTGTAGTAGTCTGCTTGACGGTCCTCCTCGGTGATGTTGGGAACTTCCTTTGGTGGTTTCATGGCAAATTTGCCAAGTTCAGCTTCGTACTGCGCGTTCAGATCGCCGTCGTCCTGGGGAATGTTGACGTCGACCTTGCCGCCAGGCTTCAAGTGGGCAGATGGCAGTTTTTCCGCTTTGTCATCACCCTTGGTACCCCATGTAATATCGTGAGTGTTGCAGAAGGCGTAGATGTTGAGCACGTTGATGTAGGTTGGTGTTAACAGAAGGTACTGGATGGAACAGGTGAACATGTGCCACGGGTCCAAGAAGAGAATGGATGCAATAAGCCACATGACCCAGGTTGAGCCGAGCGACACGACGATTGAGAAGAATGTCTTGTTTGTAAACAGCATGCTTACTGTGAAGTGGGTTTCTGCCACTGTTTCCTCAATAGACTTGACTGTAACAAATATGGCGGCGAATGACAGGTATATCATGATGCAGATCCAGAAGTACACCATCGTCATGTAGAATTTGTTTGAACCGCCAGGTCGATTGCCGAGAGCGAGGACGAAACAAGTCACCAGTGTCGCGAGGTATAACCATTCGAAAACAATGCCCAATATCTTTCCGGCAGTACCGAGGAGTTTATCATCACCCAAGTATGTCGTAAGAATGTGGAAGACCAAGAAGAAGTTTCCAATGCCAAACCAAGCGAAGATCATCGAAATAGTTTGGTAAACGAACTCGATCATCAGCGCAAGCTTGCGAAGGAAGCTGTGATCACTGCGGAAGACCTCGTAGAAGTGTGCAATGGCGTACACAGCAGCAAAGAAACTACCGTTCAACCAGCGACGACGCTGCAGAATGAACTCGGCCATACGGTCGGGCACGTCGGTTTCACCAGTCGACGACTTAACATACTGAAGCAGCCAGCGGCATTTTCGTTTAGACACGATCTCGAAACACAGGATTCGATCCTCGGCCAGATACATGTTGGCTGTGAAAATACCCGCATTGGCACCGTGCATCTTTTCTCCCAGGAAGTACCGCTCCAAAGGGCCCTGTCCATTCTTGTCATTCTGTAGTGCGACGAATCGGTATGCGGAGAAAGCACCAGGTAACACGGAAATGAAACCAAAGGAAGACTCCAAAGGCTTGTCCAAAATGTTACTGAGCTTGTATTCAAAGTTTTGACCAGCAACCAACGGATTCAGCAGCTTCTTGCCGGCTGAAAGCATGACCTTGATTTCACCACAGGCACCACCGCACATCGGCTCCACATCGAAAGCCTTCCATAGATGATAAATCGAGTCTCTGCCGGGCTTAGTACCGGCATCAAGCAGGACACAGATATTCGGATCCAAAATACGACCGAATGCTTGAAAGAACCAACGGTGAGAGTTGATTTTCTTCTGATTCTTTTCCTTGAGACAGAAAATCATCTGGACTGGAGGACCCGCTCGCGGTTTCAGGTGAACTTGTGTGCCCTTGATCTCCAAGCCAACTTGGGTGGTGTACTCATAGATATGGGCCGTGACATCTTTGCCATTGACCTGCTGCTTAGCAATTCCATCTTGGTAACAACCCAGACCAGCCAGGACAGCACGAGTTCGGGGGTTAATCTTCGCACGGCCGTCACTAATAACGCAAACCACGATCTTCTTCCATGCGTCCTTGCCCCAGGTCTTACTGGATGTACGATTACACATATGATCAATGTTCTTGAAGACACCGGACATGGTCCGTGCGAATAGGAAGTCATCTTCGTTGTACATGGTCACAACAATGAAGAGCTCCGTATGGCGCGGCTTCGCAAACAGCTTTTGACGTAGAGTGAATCGCTCCTCAAAGAAATCAGCCGGGTCACAGGTTGCGGCGGAATACCGCATGTGGGTGAACTCGTCACGACCAGGTGCCTCCGCATGTGGTACCTGGCTCAGCAGTCTCGGCGCAATAGGACAATCCAAGACCAGGTTGCCGTTGAAAAGCTGCACTTCTTTGACGGTTTTCCAGCGCCTAATGGGAGCAGGACTGGGCGTCGGGCGTGGCTCATCTTCATACCCGGGATTGTAGTCTGGACCAAAAGGGTTTTCCCCTTGGTCCGCCTCGTGCTCCAGCATAGGAGCATTGTCATCATAAGATTGGTGGCGGCCATCTGGGTAGTGACCTAGATCATAATCTTCTTGCGCAGGCGGTTCGACGTTTGGTTCGTAGGGTTGAGTGAAATAGGCGTCATGATGCGCCTCGGGATCGACTGCGTAGTCGGGTTCATAAGCGTAGGATGGAGGTTCACTGTAGCCGCTGTAAGAGTTATGATGGACATGCTCGACTGAGTACTGGCAAAGGCAGTCAGCATTTTTTCCCCCGTCATTTCCTACTACAACACAATTCTCTCGCAAAACTCACAGTAGGTTGCTCAGCAAGACGATCAATTGATGGCATGTGCAAGTGCGCATGAGTTCCATATGGATTATCCTGAAGCTGATAGCTCTGCTGTCTTTCGGGTGAATAGACGCTCTGTCGCTCCGGTGACTGGTAGGTACTGTGCTGTCGCTGTCGCTCCGGTGATGGTGTACGATTGGTATAGCTAGTCAGTTGGGAGGGATTCATGATGGGTGTGTGGTGCTCGTCCCCAAAGGGATCTACGGGCATGTTAGATTGAATATGATCCAATGGTATTCCAAAGTCTGCCAAGTAAGACACAATAGACCAGTTGCGTAAGCACGCTCCACCACTATGCGTATAGTGCGGGTAGATAATGCAGACGCAAAAGATTATATCTCGCTGGGTGGAAGGCAACCATGAAAAAGATGAGGGGAACTAACCAACTCGGTTATAGGACATGATGCCTGGTGCTCTTGTGGGGGAGGATGGAGCTCAGCGAAATGAACCCGCCCCAAATTTGATGGTGTAAGTTGGAGCCCTGGTCGCAGATTGATTACACCAAGAAGTGCAGGTGGCAGATCCCAGGTTCAGCGTTATTGATTGGAAAGTCTCAAACCTGTCCGACTGTTCTCAAACACTCGGCCCGAGTTAGACTTTCAGGATGCACCAACGAGATGAATATGGAAGTGAGATGGAACTTCAGATGTCTCAAGTGAGAAAAAGAAATAATTTCTCAAAAGAGTTGACTTATGTTCGCAAAGATCGGAGAGATTGAAGAGGGACAAATAGGCGATGCTGCATATGACCCGCACTGCCGCAGTAGTGGGTCAAAGGTCAGGCTCAAGTATACACAAAAGCAATATGAGTCAAGTATTAATCAAGGAGAAGAACAACGTCATGAAAACTCAACGTTGTCAACAATAACAAGATCCATAATAAAAGTTGAATGGGGAATATCCACCACATCGTTGCCATCACTGGGCCAACCAATGGCACGGACTCCTACGCCACTTCAACTGCGCCCACTTGTGGCAGTGCATCATTCTTATTCTTTTTTTAGAATACGAAGTATACAATCATGTGATTTCTGTAGCTAATTGGTTCTCTTATTTTGTAGTTCATATCACCGTACCGTTTATGAACAATAAGCATTTTATTACTGATACCTGATTGTGTGGCTGTATTACCTGAACTTATCTTGTGAGTTGCGGGTTACATCAATTTTAGCGTAGAAGAATACCTACGACGTAGGTAGTTACTCCGTATACATTTCCTCTGCTAGGTGGGGATTTCTTATTCCAGATTCCGCTGCTTTAATGAGGGCAGAGTCAGACTAATTCAGGCTAACTGAGTAAATTTTAGTCCAGGCTCAGGCTGAGCTGTTCAGATTTAGTCCGTGATACAGTTATTAGTAAGGCCCTCTGGCAGCACGCTTACGAAGTTAGTCTATACCTCAAGGAGCATTAGGCGCTATAATTCTGTTTATTCGTGAATATCCTAGATACTTTTTGATGGCCTTAAGTTGTGTCAATTTCTTGTTCTATAAGAAACTAGAAAGAGCGGCAATATGAAGGCTTCCCAATACCCGAATCTTTTAGATTAGCGATAACACAGTGCTACCAGACGTTCTTGCTCTCCCAGACGTCCTTAGCAAGTCATTCATTTTTAAGATGCTCTAAATAGTCTGATGCTAATCAATTATAGTTTCCCAAGTTCTGGAAACAGCATATGCCCTGAAAAACGTTACGCAAAACTGATGTGAAGGAAGAAACTACATTGTTCCATAACACTTTAATGACATGCAGTTGAAAAAAAACCAATTCAAAAAGGATTTGTTCAATTATTCGAAGTTTGAATGTTCCAAGGTTGAATCAACCTCCTTGGGCATGGCCTTCCAGATTGCTATGAACGATAACACTGTCAGTTATATTGTTATCATACTCAAGAACCTAGTTCTAATTCATGAATCAAATCCATCAACGAAGATATCTTGTTCGCTGGAGAATGTTGCCCATTTCCGCGAGGCAGCCAGTAACTCTGCCAACCAGCATCAATCGCACCAATATAGTCCTTCTGGTAATCATCTCCTACATGTACACAAGTCCAAGCACCATGTTCATCCAGATTTGTAGGTGTCCCACGAGGAAAATTCTCGCCATCTAGTGCCATCAATAAAGCTTGCCGCCTCGCAACATCAAATATCAAGCGATTCGGTTTTTCAGCTCCAGCTTCATAGCTAGTGATAATCAGATCCAGATCATTACCTGAATCTGGCCGAGAATACTGATTGGCTATACTAGGAATCGACTCTTGCGTGCCGCTTTCTTTTTCAGTAGATCGTTCTTCAAAGCCAGGCAACTCCACACTAGACCGGTCCTGATCAGCACGCATATCAGAAACACGCAAACCGAGTGCTTTCAGCACTGCCGGCACCCTATCATCAGAGTTGGATATCACGCCGATGATCACATTATTGAAGCGACCGCCTTTCACCTGGGATGCTCGGAACTCACGCATTCGCGCAAAAAATGGCGCTACGTCGGGGTAGAGCATATAGCCTTCTGCGCCCGCAAAGCGATTGAGTAGAGCATCTACTAATCCATCTGGCAGATGTGTATTCTCAATATCTGATTTCTGCGTCGAGTCTGCGGATAATGCGTGGGTAAAGCTTCTGCGGATTACTTCCTCCCACCACTGCCTCGGACCACCGTACTTACCACACAGAACATCTGCGCGGCCATAGTTTGGGTACAGGGTGACTTGCTTATGGAAGACATGCTTGAAGGCTGCTTTGAACTTCTGAGGGGTTAGGGCACTACCGGAGAGGCCGAATTCGTTCGCTGTCAAGACATATTGTTCTGGCACAGGTTGACGCGGGTGGAAGAGTGTGTCAAAGGCATCAAAGGTTAAAAGAAGTGAGCGTGAGCGAGACTGAGCTTGAACAAATGAGCGAGCAGTGGTACGGAGAGAGTGAGAAGTCATTTGTAGATAGGGAGGATTGAGTGAGGTTCAATATTAGCTTTAGAGTTCTTATCGCGATGCCGTCGAACCGAGGCCCACGTGGCTAAAGTTACTGTGGACTATTATGGAAAAATTGGATATCACTGTTAAATCTTGATTTTAAATGGCAATGCATGTTTGGCCTTTTCGTATCTTTGTGACCCATGATGCTTATCGGACCACTTTCAACTATGCACTAACTAGCCAAGTGAAAATAAATATTGAATAGCCTCCACTTTGACTCATTACTGGAAAGAAGAGTGGATTCGTGGCGCGCTTACGCGTCCACCAGTCCTACACATCAGATAAACGTGCGCTAACACGATAGCTTATTAATTTTTGATTCTCCATCAAAGCCTAAAGGGGTGCTGGGCTGATACTTCTATCTTGAGTCCATCGCGAACCTGAAGTCGCCAGACTTCTCAGTTCTGGCTATTCGTAACCTCGGATAAGGAAAGAAGACCTTTTACCAAATGCGTTCTCGACTCACCTTGCTATCGATATGCTCGCTACTGAGCATATCGGCGGCAACTCAAGATCTCTCAAGCAGCGATTCCGTCATCGTGAATGCAAACCACATTTTCAACACGATCCACGACTCCTTGCGCCAATGGGGCTCGTCGCTGCATCACAACGGCATGTCCTTCTTTCTTGCGACCGTTCCTGCAGGTACCCAGCTCTACCACGGTACATCCAAGTCGAGTCCTGTGATTGGAACCGAGTGGCTCGCTTTTGAACCCGAGCACGCTATGGTATTTGCGCGGCCGCATGGTCCTCCTCCAGGCGGACATAATGGTGACGATGACAAGGATGGGCATGGCGGACCACCTTTCCCAGATGGCGAGAATAGAAAGGGGCCTGAGGGGCACCGTGGTGAGCTCCGTCGTAGCGATAGGGGACCTCCCGGACCCCCCCATTTGATGAACGCGAGGTAAAAAATGAGGGTGGATACCTTCATACATATGCTGCAGCCAAGCCTCTTCGCCTGCTCTACGTCGACGGAATGTCTGCGGCGAAGACGAAGAAGGGAACCCTTGACTCGCAGGATGTGCTCTTGTTCAATGGAACTATTGAAGAAAATCGCGGAATGGGTGGAGAAGGCGACCGTGCGAAGAAAGCCTGTGAAATGGCCGAAGACGAATGGGCTGGTCGTATCGACGGTCTGCTTCGTATGGAGGCTGGCTTCGAGATTATTCTATGTAAATTCGAGCGTGACTTGACGCCCATCCGCATTATCCAGGTCAATTCCTCTGACCAACCTGGCGCAATGGGTAAAGATAAACGGCCGCACCCTCCTTCCCGTCGTGATTATGAGAACAAGAGAAAGGGTCCTGGAGGTCCACCTGGCGGCCCAGGTGGCCCTGGTGGTGGCCCTGGTGGACCTGGTGGTCATGGACCTGACTCGTCGCGATGGATGCGCGCAGTTGCAGCGCGGTACAATGGAATCGGCGCAAACCGCGTTTCCCTGAACTATGACAAGTTTGTGTCTGCGTTTGCGTACGAGCTAGACCTGTTCCCTGAAAGCACCACTCTCCCTCGTCTGAAACACCTCAACACTTCAGACCTGACTACTATCCAGAAGGAACTCTCTTCCATGATCTTGACTACGGATGCGACAGAAATTTCCTGGAACTGGCAGGCTACCACCGATATGATCTTGACGCGGTACAGCGACGAGCTATCCTATCTTGCCTCAGGCAAGTTCTTGTCTATTGAAAGTTTGCAGGAGCATATCGAGATACTTTTGTCCCCGTTCATTGACTACAGTGCACGAGATTCGACAGAGGAGGCTGAGCGGTGCGCAACCCAATTCCTGCCGCTACAGCTCCAAACTGCGCCAACTGTGTCTGCTCGTGCAGTACACGCTGTTGCTCACAAGGTGTGCTCCACACTATTGGATGCCGGGGCTGAAAGTGACCTCAAGTCTGCGGTGAAAAGAGTGCAAGCTTTGGTTGAAGAATTAGACTGGACAACATGGAAACAGTGCCGTGGCTGCGCAGATAATGAGATCTGCGTGGTGCCTATTTGGCCCATGGGAACAGTCTCTGATTACGAGCACCCGAAATGCAGGGATGCGTCAAATCCATATGACTTTGATGGAGAAGGTTATTGGGGTGGATTCCGTCCTTGAAGGTTCTTTTGATTCTTTTGATGCATATATTGACTTTACAGAATAGTACATAGACGAGCGTGCTTTACAATACCAACATGACTGAATATTCAAACACTCTCAGTTTACCATTTGAAGCTTCAATTGAAAATATATTGAATTGCGGCAATGATGAAATATGAAGTGGCGTTCTATATGCTGAATAGTTCCATTGACCGGCCCGGCAGATGAGAGAAGTACGTAATACGTCGCAATGAATTGGCAACTTAAATGTCCCAGGACCAAACTGTAGATTTTGGAATAAAGATTCAACAGCGGATAAAGGATGATAGAAGGCGAGGTGGTTGCATTGCCGTTCTCCCCTCGATTGTGGGAGAAGCGGGAAATATCTCAGCCGGACTTCGTCATTACTATTTTCTTTCTACAAAACGTCAGAGCTGGAATTTGGAATCTTAACTAATTAAGGACTACTTTTTTCAATATTCTCGCCAACTATCCCCTCTTCTTCAATTCTCTAATCTCTTCGTTCTCTCTTCTCTTCTGTAATACCTATGATAACGTCCCAATAAATCCAACACAATGGCCAAGACTCCCGAGGATCTCCAAATCGCCATTCTGGGTGCTGGCATGGGCGGGTTGACCTGTGCTCTAGGTCTGTCCAAGCGTGGATTTAAAAATATTGACGTATATGAGACTGCTCATGATCTGGGTTTCGTCGGTGCCGGCATCCAGCTTGCGCCCAACATGGCCCGTGTCTTGGACGGACTTGGTGTCTGGAGGGCCATTGAGGCCGAAGCTGTGAACATTGAAGAAACATCTGTGCGGGGTACGTCGCGAGGGACTGGTTAAAAAAGCGGACTTTCTAACGAATATGTCAACAGTGGGTGCTGATAACAGCGAGCTGGCACACGTCAATCTACAATATATCGAAAAGACATATGGTTACAAGCACATGGTTGGTCACCGGGCTTCGCTGTCCAATGGCCTATACAAAGGATGTTTGGAGACTCCTATCAAGTTCCACTTCGCTACCACGGCATCCGAGGTTACATTCGGTTCGCGCCCATCGTTTACTGTTACACCCCGTGATGGTGGTGAGCCTTACAAAGTCGAGTGCGATGTACTCTTAGGTGCCGATGGTATTAAGAGTCAGACCCGAGATGCTATGCTCTCTCTTCTGGGCGTTAACAGCGCTGTTAAAGACACCAACCAGGCCGCTTACCGGATCATGATCCACAAGGAGCAGATCAAGGATGACCCCGAGCTTCTAGAACTCATTAACAGTACACGTGTAACTCGCTGGATTGGAGAGAAGCGCCACATCATCGCTTACGCCGTTTCCAGCAATCAGATCTACAATATTTCTACCACGCAGCCCGATACAAACTTCGCAGCTGCTACCAACGCCACCTACACCACCAAGGGCGACAAGTCAGCCATGAAACGTGTCTTCTCTGACTTCTGCCCGATGGTGCAGCGCATGCTGGATTATGTTCCCGAAGGCGAAGTTTGCGAGTGGAAACTGCGTGTTCACGACCCTCTCCCTACCTGGATTCATGACAACGTCGCCCTGGTTGGCGATGCCTGCCACCCGACTCTTCCTCATCTGGCCCAAGGTGCTGCCCAGGCCATTGAAGATGGTGGTGTACTCGCTGTTGTACTCTCCCGTCTCCCAGACACCACCCCGGAATCCATCAACAAAGCTCTCCGCGTGTATGAGAAGGTGCGTAAGAGCCGCGCTGAGACGCTGGTCGACATGGCTTCTGCCTCTGGCCGCGCTCTGCACTTAGGTGATGGCGCTGCCAAGGAAGAGCGCGATCGCCAGTTTGCTGCTCTGAAAGCTGGTAAGGGTCCTGTTCCGGACAAGTGGGCTGACGCCGATGTCCAACGCAATATCTATGGCTTTGACTGCATCCAGGTAACCGAGGACAAGTTTGAGGAATACTTCTCGCAGATGTAACCTTGGGACGTTCAACTCATACATTTTGTGAATAGTTTTTGGCTAAACTTGTCATTGGCGCTGGACTGAGAGAAATTTGGGCTGTACATTTTGTTGTAGTATACTCTTCGAAAAGTGGTTGAATTTTAGATAATTTTGTTCATAAAGTTTAAAAAATTTCGTCTCCGGCCTCATTTTTTAGATTTCTTTCTTTTTTTTTTTTTTTTTTTTTTGGCTAATTTTGATACCATCTTTGATCTTATCAGAAAGGAGAGGCTCAAGGCGCTTGGCGCAGCCCAGGCGGTATAAATTAGGCATGGCCTGATCCCCGCAATCCCCATTTCCATCTCCAACTCAAGGCTCCCCTACCATTTCAATGCTGCATGCTGCGCAATAATTCTACTGATAACAACTTAATTGACGGACTTTTAATTCAATGCCTTTACCGGGAGTAAAGCTACCCGCTCTTGAATGACTAGAAGTCTGTTTGCTTATGCTTTCGATATCAGACTCCATCTCCATTCCGCGTGTCCCGCCGCTATGCGCCCGCTCGGCGCGTTAATCCCCAATTCGCGAATTCTCCGCGCTTCATATTGTCCCAGGTAGTAGCAGAGAACAACGAATTAGATATAGACGATGATGACGAAGCGCCATCGACTACTCCCATTGCATTTACTCCAGCGCGTACACTAGCGCAGAAAAGGAATATTTTTCCGCGTCCACAAAGGGATTTAATTGAGGATTCGGACGATGGCGAGCTGCTTAGAGATAATGCACATACCCCAGCGCAGTCTTTCAGCACCATTAATCCGCACCGACAGAGAGATATTATCGAAGACTCTGACGATGGAGAACTGCCTAGAGATAGTATTGCTCAGGGAATTGATACGACGGAATTGGCTGGTGATGCCATACACAGCACACCACCAGACGAATTCTCCACTCATGGGCTCCTGAGTGTCCAGGAAAATTCTCCCTTTCGATCCATTCAGGATGACACAAAGCGCCAGCGACTTTCGACCGAAGAGCAACAACCACTGGCGCAAAAGCTACATACAGGACCGAATGTCTACAAAAGACCAACTGCGTCAATTCTATCAACTCCAGGGAACTCAGTAACACCTTTCCGCAGCAAGCCTCGATTTATGCTATCAACAAAGAAGCTACCCAATAACCAGCCTATATTTCGAGCAGAGACACCCTCTGCTCCTGAGGAGACTCCACAACCCGAAAGAAGGAAATTGGCTTTTGTTCTCCCTCGCTCACCATCACCATCTGCGGTAAATGAGAGTATTCCCGCACCGTTCTCACCTTCTTCACGTACCCTGCGTCGTCGTGGTCGACCTCGTTCTGGAGCACCGAGCTATACACCAGGTGGAATGGCCGCTGAAGTGCGTAGCTGGATTCTCGAAATGGGATCCAAGCATGAGCCAATTGCTACTACCCTGGTGCCCGTTGAGTCTCGTAATGACCCTAGTCGATATCACATGTCTGCACGTGTCATTTCTGTCCGACAGGATATGCATACCAGCTCCGGTCCGCTATCATTCATACAAGCTGAAACAAGAAGTGCCCCATCAGATGAAAAGCAAGTTTTCAATTTGGTGGCCATGGGACTGCCTCGTTCGAGGCCATCTGCCCCGAGCACCGGAACAATACAGCCAGGAAATCTGCTTGGTATCCACCGGGGCTTGACATGGACTGTCGATCTAGAATCCTCTCTATCATCCGAACCGCCTGAGAATGGTGGTGCAAATCGGTGCTGGTTAGTAGCGATGGAGTGGGAACTGCTTGATGACGAAACGCCATAAATGCGTATTAAATTTTACGTTAAGCCTGCTACGGATCATATCTTCCTATCTGCATCGATGCCTATTCCATCGAAACTAGACATCATAGTCGTGCAAGTCATGAAACGGTGTCTGTGTCGGCTTCCATGTCCGACGTCTATTTTCACTGTGAAGGCTCACTATGGTAATCCAATCATATCATTTATGCACTATTTATATAATCTTAACTCCAACTAGGTGACTAAATAATAGTAAATAAATATGGATGAAGTATTCAGGGCTGGAAAAAGAGGATCAAGGGACTTCGGGAGCCTCACAGCACTCCAAATCGCATTTATCGACAGACCGGCTCCTTTGTGGTCGTCACCATGTTCAATATCCATAGTAACTTCACGAGCCCGTTCGCAAGATGTCTGACGGGCCCCAATCTGAAGGGGAAAAGTTAGCCTACGTTCCGACGAACTCTCAAAAGAAACTTACACTTGGCAATCTCATCATTCGTAACGTTGTCCATAGAAGACAATCCGAGCCAGAGATCAAGTTTTTCATCGTTGCCACTGTTGGTAGATTGGGCGCTGCTGTCGCTGCTGATAGTTACAGTCACCTGTGGCATCTTCGGGGATATGAGGCTGCGATAGTACGAAAATAAGAACAGAACTGAGGGTAGAGAAAGGAGTTGAGTCCCACTAATCATTACAAATACCCCAGTTATGACAAATGGCAACTCCTTAAATATCTAGGGATGTATTACGCAAAGATTATATAGGACGAAAGCAGAACATGGTACTCAGTTGCTAGTTATGAATATTCAGAGCACACATGTAGAAAGAGCCAATTTAAAGGCCCATAGCCGCCTCATCCAGGTCAATAGCGCGAGCAAACTCGCGGCGCAGCTGACCACGCGTCTTAGCGTAGTTTATCACGCCAGGACGCCAATCGCGCTCGATAACGAGAGCAACGGGCTTTTTCTTCTCCGGCTTAACCGCGGCAACAGCAGCAACATGGGGCTGCGTGGAAGCAGGAGATTGCTCAGTGAGGTCGTAATGAGTTTTGGCAACGGTACGAACGCGGCGGAAGGGATCGTCAGTACCCTCACCACGGGCCACGGCAGCGGCGGCCTTGCGAGCAGATTTGCGCTCATGTATTTCAGCACGGCGACCTATTTCGTGGTTGAGCTTCTGGTTACGGATGTTGATGCGGTAGGCCACATCATCGATGGGGGCTCCCTCCTCCTTTATCATGCTGGTACCGTAGGAGAGTTTGGGGTCAAGTGCCTCAAGCTGCTTCCGCAGGACCGCAACCTCTTCATCGTCTCCGTCAGCGAGAGCCTGGTTGATTTGGCGCTGTAGTTTAACTTTGTCAAGCATTTTTCGCTTGGCGTCCAGGGCACCTTGTCTGCGCAATTTGGTGGCCAGTTCCTCGGCGGTGAATTTGTGGTTGATCAACTGGTGGATATCTTGAACCTTTTTGCTCAACTGGGACTTGGTTTGCATGGGGGTGCCTTCCATGTCCAATGTTTGACGGTAGCGTTGGAACTCGAGCTGGTGAGAGTTAGTTACTGAAACAATGAAGCAACTTCGAAAAATAGACTTACCTCGGTGATCGGCTGGTTGGAACAAGAATTGAAGGGGAACGGTCTGACCGAGTTACCATGGGCCAGTAGCGCCAGCTGCGTGGTAATGAACGATTGTCCGTTGTACTCCATGGCATATTTTTCTTCGCCTTGTTTAATACCTATTGCAAGATATGAGTAACGGGAAATGAGATGTTAGGATGCAAAAGCTGGTAACATACCAGTGATCAGACAGAGACGGTATGAAACCTCCTCGCTGCCCTTGCCTGTAGGTCCAATGTTCGCACGGACGTAGCAGCCAGTGATGGCTTCCTCGAAGCCCGGATAGTTGCAAACTTGGGCGAAGTTGCTGCGGCCAACACGCGCACGTTGGATGTCATGCAAGTCGGCAGGAGGATCATTCTTAGGAGCAGAAGCTGACCCACCAACTCGATCGTCGCCAAGATCACTGTCCAAGCTCATAACATCATCGTCACTGACGTGGGAGCCTGCAGAGGTAGATCCGCGGCGCGAGGGGCTAGCATCGCGGCGGCGAAGCTCATCGCGCTTGCCCTTCTGCTCCCGCTTCCGCTTGTAGGCCTCCATAGCACCGGAGGTCTCTCCAACCTTGCGACCACCCAAAGTGGTCTTCTGACGTGAACTCTTCCGCTGAGTGTCATCACCGATGGAAGCCTTGCGTTTGGCAGATCGATGTTCCTCACGCTCTCGAGTAACAAGAAGGCGGCGGAGGGCCAAGTCCTGGTCATGGCGATCGACTTGCTGGGCACGCTCTGAGAGCAGCTCCTCACGAACAATCTCAGGCATCTTAGAGATCTCCTCCTTTTCTTTCGCGGAATAGTAAAGCTTGTCGTAGGGGAAAACAGGCTTATCTTCCTCCTCACTCATGTCGGCGTCAGAAACGTCGTTAGACTCAGACATCGGGGCAGATTGGTATGAGTGGACAGATTCATCGTTAGAGGCGCTGGGAAGAAATAGAGAAATATCAGTTAGTGATCAGAAAAATAACTGGAGAAATTCACTTTCACTTCAAGTTTCATGCTCAGTCGATGCAATCATGACGGATTAAACTCACAGGTCATCCTCATCATCATGAACGGCCTTCTTTTTGGGCCGCTTGATGCGCTTGGCTGTGCCTTTGTTACCCATGCTGGCGGGTGAGGTTTCACGGTCTAATGAGTGTCGCGAAGGTGAAGAATGACGAGGTGAGTGTTGCTTATTTTGTGGCGGGGAGGCCTCCTCCTCCTCAGAGTCACCGGCCAACGCCAGCAGCTCGGCGTCCAAGTCATCGGCCATTTTGATGAATTCTCTTTGTAATCTTTTTGTACACGTTGTTCACTTCGGTCACTGATGCGCACGCTGAAATCTTTATTCAAGTTGTAGATTCTCAGCAGTCACAGCTAATTGTCGCTTTCTAACTTTATACAGCACTCCTGACTAGGAGGCGCAAAGCAAAGTCAAAACCCCAAGGGGAGTTGTCGCAATCAATTTGAAGCCAAGGATCGGGTATAGATTTCAGTATATCTGTTTCAGCACAATTAGTGGGCTGTATATGCTCGAGAAACAGTGTAGATTAGGACAGGCGTGGAAGGCGTAAAATGTGTTTAAATGAGTGTTACCGCGGGTTGGCCATTTCGCATGACGTTCAAGTGCCAAGACTACAAGCGCGCGGCTGCGCCAAAGCCTTTTCAACATTGGCTGTTGGATATCGGAACAACCAACATCACAACCCCGTCATGGAGTCATTTCCTGCCTTACGAAAATGTGCTCTCGCTCAATGCCGCCAAAGTCAACTTGCTTCACCTCTTTTCCTTGATTTTCTCGCCCCAAATGTCCAGCGAACTAAACGTCGATATGGTACCATTACCGAACCTTCCGCTACGAAGCCACGATACATCTTGAGCAAACAGCAGCGACAATACCTAGATAGTGCACTACGTGTGAATCAGGCAGGGGAACTTGCTGCTGTTCTCATCTACAAGGCGCAGAATCCTATTGTGATTCGCTCCTACCCACACCTTCGGCCCTTGATGAGACATATGTACGACCAGGAAGTCGGCCACCTCAAAACATTCAATACACTCGTTGCCAAACATGAAGTTCGACCAACCGTCATGTATCCAATATGGGAGGTAGCGGCCTCGTTCTTGGGCTGGTCAACCGCCGCTCTCGGTCGTGAGGCTGCCATGGCATGTACCGAAGCGGTCGAAACGGAGATTGGAGGACATTACAATGAACAAGTACAAGAAATTTTGTCATGGCAGGCTGATGCAGAGAAACGTGGAGAGGAATTGGATGATGAGTTGAAGGACCTCTTGGTCACACTTCGGAGGATTCGTGACGAGGAACTTGAACACTTGGATCATGCCGTAGAGAATGATTCCAAAGAGGCCAAGCCGTACGATCCTATTGTTCAGATCATTCGCCGTGGTTGCCGTACTGCTATTAATATCAGTGAAAAGTTCTGATGGAGAATCTTGCAATGATTGAAATTGGCCTGGGGCCTTCTTGATCTATATTCTGTGTTATGTAATGTAAAATACGGCTGTACACCACTCTAAAAATGAACCGTGTCTATTTTGTATGCTTATTTATAGTGCATGTCTATGAACCTTGGAAGATTTTATCAACCCACCGCACCTAGGTATGGCGACCTCACTCTGTACATAGGTGTTGCTGCTTCAGTCGTCGCTCACAGGGTATCATCAAGAAAACAGCCATGCCTCTCGCTCTAAATCTATCATTCCCAAAGGCTTCATTATAATCTTACTCGTCCAAGCCCAAGCTTCTTTCAATCAGAATTGTTCTTCACATATTCCAAAAAGCCTTGTGAGAACCTAACAGTCTGTTGGTAAACCTCTTCAAAACCATTGGCACCACCATAGTAAGGATCCTGCACAACTTCACCACCACCGACCTGGCCATGTAGCTTTCCATCCTCATGGAAGTCACCAAACAACCGCACCTCGGCAACCTTCGTATTTGCAGTCTTCTTCCGCGAGCCAATCACGGAGTCTCGGACATCGAGCAAATCCCGCAAGTTTGATTTGTCCATGGCAAGTACGTAGTCAAAGTGCAGGAAGTCATCCTTGGTCACCTTGCGGGCGGCATGGCTGTACTTGGTAATGCCATGGCGGCGAAGGGTAGACATGGTCCGGGAGTCCGGGGGCTCAAGGCTGTGATAAGCAGCAGTGCCGGCTGAGTCGATCTCGCCGATGATAGGGTTTGCATCGGCCAAGTTGCGAAATACTCCTTCCGCCATTGGGGATCGACCTTCAGGCTATTAGCGTTTGAACCAAGACACAGAGGGGCAGTGCAACAAACATATGTTTCCTAGGCAGACAAATAGAACATTCACAGGAGCATTGTTATCCACCATGATGGGCAATTGTCAATATTGGGCTTAGTTGAGTAGAAAGCGACGAGAAGAAGTCATCTACCTACCGGTGATGGCTTCCGTATTAGTGATCACCCCTCGCTGCTTTTGCTAGCTGAGTAGAACTGAGCACGCTTCTGAGCGGATCCGCTCAGAGAGTATTATATAAGCCCACTCCTCTGCTCACTGAGTTAAGGTAGTGAGTACGGATACTCAAGTGAGCGGTCTGGTTCACTGTGTGACTTGCTAACATAATGCAACACGCTAGTCCCCTTCTTATATCTCTTGTTGCGACAGCCGAGAACCAAGGCCGTCAACATACGGAAAGTATTTCGGCCGAAAAGCTTCTGCCAAGGCAGTGACTCTCGGTTCGGAATAACCACTCGGAGGAACTAGATTAGTATATCACGGCATCCTTGAACGATATGCATTCATCGCAAACGACACCCTTGAGCGATGTGCATTCGCGACAGTAGTGTCCCGTCTTCACCGTCTCTTCTGTCTCGGACGAATTTAAACATTCATCCAGGACAGAGGAGCACCCATATACTATAAGTAGCTAGTTCTCTCCATCAATGAAAAGACAGACTTCACAACAACTGCAATATTCAACTAGTAGGAATTCGCTACAAGATAGGTGGACTGTCTACGGTGTTGAGTAGCAGACTAGCAGTTAGTTGAAGCTCACCAACTCCTCGCCTACTGCAGTAAACTTCAATTCCCTTTTACTGCAGTAGGAACCCGAACACTATTCTCAGTTACGGTATTCGAATATCGCCCTTTTGAGCGACAATAATAACGAATTAATCATCTACTGTCGACGGAATACGCCTGAAGAATAGTTATGCACTTTATTCGAGTCCAGCCTGAAGGGAGACTACTCGACCAAGTCACCGTGAATACGTAGGGTAAATCGACTGTGCAGAAACTACTTTATTTCAATATAGCTATGTAAAACTCGATTATGAAAGCTGAGACGGATAGTTTTCTGGGTATATTATTGTTGGAATATGGAGCAAAATAGTCATGTGACCAAATCGTTACTTTATAATAGCTAGCAAACCAAGAATGAAAACCAGACTTTACAACCACTTCAAGAGGACACATAGATATCATAGGAGCGTAAAGCGTTATCTATGATAGGTGTCAGAGGTGGGCGTTAGCCTCTTGTCTACCATATCGAATAGCTATTCTACACTTGGTACTGGTATACCGACACTTATCTTGCAAGATCCAAGCTTTGGAGAGGCCGAGAGGAAGTTCATGACCGACTATGGCAGTAATATTGAAATTGTGAATGACCCTGATGGATTCAACGCAATCGATGAGAAGACGCTAGTTTTTACTATAGGAGGGTACGATGGATTTTTTCAACATCCAGAAGAGGAATCTAAAGCCAGTCGCTATGATTACCGAAGCCCTGGATGTGCTGCGTCTTGTGCCTGACACACTGAACCTGATAAGAAACCTGAAGAAAAAATACGAATCCACGGAACTAGAAAAGGGATCTTCTTCTGGGGACAGGCTAGCTAGGAAATACATCCAGCTCTATACGAGAAATAAGTAGTTATAGGCTGACGGGGTAATCATGTCATTGAGTCCAATTATTCATGGTTCCAATGAAATTTGTGGTCCTTTACGATAAGAATTATGTCACGGAGTGAACTGCGGAGTAGATGAATCCGTATTATGTGGTCAAATACTATACTCCCACTTCACCACTGATTCCTACAAGAATCAGTTCTTGTTGGAACTAATGGAATCTGGTTTACTGCAGTGAATGGACTCGGGAATTGAATAGAACTAGTGGGATCGGTGTCGCTCGCTTAGCGAGCGTAGCTAGCTAGTCGCTCGTTACTGAGAACGGTGCTCGAGTTCTTACTGCAGTAAAAGGGAATTGGAGTTTACTGCAGTAGAAAGGAGTTGGTGAGCTTCAACAAACCACTACTCAACACCGTAGACAAACCACCAAGTGTAGTGGTCTCTACAGTACTGAATATTGTGGTTGTTGTGAAGTCTGCTTTTTCATTGATGAAAGAACTAGCTACTTATAGTATATGGGCGCCCCTCTGCTCTGGACGAATGTCAACATTCGTCCGAGACAGAAGAGACGGTGAAGACGGGACATTACTGACGCGAATGCGCATCGCTCAAGGGTGTCGTTTGCGATGAATGCATATCGTTCAAGGATGCCGTGATATACTAATCCAGTTCCAGAGTCACTGTCTCGGCAGAAGCTTTTTCGGCCGAAATACTTTCCGTCTGTTGATGGCCTTGTTTCTCGGCTGTCGCAACAATCGGGGTATATCTTATCCCATCGCGGGACACACATCTTACCGCATAACTTATTACACGTACAACGTAGTAGTGATAGTGCATCGATATCCCTGTGAACCGACACTTACAGTTAGAAAAACAGGTGAAGTGAGCTCAGTCACCTCAAATAAGCACTCCTGGCATTATAAAAACCCCGGTTCTAGCTTAATAATTATTATCATACGATAAGGAGAACATGTACGAAGGCCACGAGCATGTCTCCTAGATATAGATAAATTTGATGGCAAAGACTGCCTACAATACCTTTAGTTTAAGGGACGTCTACACACTCAGCTAAGAATCGATGGTAGCACAATAGGGGAGAAGAAGAGAAGGATTGGTACGTGATTAACCAGCTCTCTAGAAGTGCTGCGCAACGCATATTCCCCTAGACGTCATACGCCTAACAGACATAGAAGTTACAGTAAAAAGACTTTTTAAGCAGATTTAAATCACATTCTCAGACCCATAAAAGACTTTTAAAAGCCCTTTCCTAGTCGAATCGTACGAAACAAGGCTCGAAAACTCGGAATGAATTCAACCGCCTTATCCTAGAAGCTGAAGGATGGGGATGGGACGATAGATTGAAGAAGAGCTACTTAAAAGCCACCTTATTCAATAAGATATCCACTGTACTCATTAATGTTCTCTTATATCTTAATACTCAAGTGTAAATCCATGTGATGCGGCAAGTGCAGCACGCTTGACGGCAATGTTTTGAAGATCTTCAAAATTAGACATCTTTCAACATATCAAAATTGACCTCGGGATAAAAATCATGCCAAAGCAAATCAAGGTCTCTACAGCCCCTACCGAGGATTTATGTATTTTTGGTCTATAAGACAAAATATTCTAGGGTAGAGGCAGGGTGCTAAGTTCACCCAAGCTCACACGTCCTCACCATCACCCTAAGGAGAGTTCTATTGCTACTTTAGGGCGAGCTAGGTACTAAGGTGTGGGTACAATAAGCAAGGTGAGATTGAGGTGAAGTTAAGCTAATGCTTATGCAAAAACTCATAGTTTTTACCAGTTTAGAGGCCTCTCAAATAGCGATTGACCTCACTGGACATGTCATCAAAACCGTTGATAACCAAAACACATTTAAGGGTAATCTCTATTTTTAAACGTGCTAATAGGCTCAAGGATACGTTTCTCTTGAGCCTTATTATCTGAAGCCATGGTGGTGGATAGGTTGGTGCGGTATAGGGATGTTAAGAAGAAATTTTTTCATTTGGGGTCCAAGGGGCCGTTACGTTAGCGCTGCCAACATCCGGGCCCCTACTATTAGTCTATCTTGGAGAGCCCCATGCCTTATGATCGATTTTTCGGGAATTAAGTTTCACGCTGGAATGTCCTTGACTACCTACTTTGAGTCGCAAAGCTTTTTGGGGCGCAATATAAAGCGCTGTTTGTGGCCTGGCTACGATATATCACTTCACACTCATTATCTACTAGGATAATGACCTTGAATTGTTGAGTTGTGCACATACCCTTAGGCCTGAGTAAATAAAAGACTTGTTTATCCCTGGCCGTCTTATTTCCGTGGCAAGTGCAATGTATTACATAACTCTCAGGCGACTGCTGTTCTCATTTGCGGTCGCCTTGCTCTTTGCTTCGCTTATCTTAACTACCAAATCATCGCTCCGTGCCAGCTACCTTGCCCGCCGAGCTGACGCTTATGCTCTCCTCAAACACCGCAATGACCAGGGCCATGATCGTGGACATTTCTATCATGAGCTCAGGCCCGAATATAAACACGATGAGATTCATCACAGTCTGCATGAACGAGCTACAATCACATATACTGCAGCTGTCAAAAAAGGAAAAGACCTGATGTCCCTTATGGAGTCCACGATCGCCAAAGCAGAAACTCTCAACTTGGCCGGGACCACCCAGTCAACATGGCTGGCCTCTGACGATCTCGAAACGCAGGGATGGGTACGAATGAATATGGGGACCTTCACGTATAAAGACTTGACCATCGACTTACCTGTATACGGGGACAAGTTGGACGCGTTTTTCTCCTCGATGGGAATCTCCTTCAACAGTTATAGTGCTCGGTATGTGATGAGTATTGATAGTGGATATTACCTAAAAGATTGCGACCTTGCAGTCTGCTTTGTAAGTTTTTGATTTATTCTCATGGTCCTTGCCTTGGAGGAAACGTTACTGACTGAAACCATTCAAAAATAATGATCAGCCATCCGAGGGAATATTCGGCAATATGATAGACATATCCTCTGGCACAATTGTCGCCGATCTGAACAGGAGTCCCTTAAGCATGAACTACCCTGAGGTCACGCTAAGCATCATCTGCCCTATACGACAGTGGTCGGACGCCGTATATACCCAATGGTTAGCTGCCGGGGCGGTTGAATCCACGTCGCTGAATCAAATCGTCCGGGCTGGTATAAACAACGCCGCAACACAAGAATTCGTCATCCAGGCACTCCGTAAGCAGGGCAGTGTTACCGAGATCCCAACGTGGAATGTGGATAGCCAGCTCACCCTGACGCGTGTGGATGATGGGGACTTCTTTGCTGCTATTCTGGGTAGCCCTAATGGAGCAGGATGTGCGTACCTGTTAGCACAGCATAAGGCAGAGCTAGGTATAAAGCAGTTGACATCGGTTAGTATCTGGATGAGCGGGAATACACCGTTCACGCTTACGTCGCCGATTAGTACACTAGAGGGGAATCTGAATCTCCTCTTCACAGTGGAACCCGTGGCAGATCCGATTGATGTTGACTGATTGAGTGTGGCTAAAAGACGCTGTGAGAGTAGAGTTTGGTGCTGGAGAGGCAAAATAGGATTAGAATATAGACATTTTAAATTTCTCTGAGGACAGACGGGCGGAAATAATCTCTTAGTGCTAGAAGTCTGCAAGAAACCCACGAGACATTTCCCAGGTATTCCTTCACATGGCATAATGTGGAATAATTACACATTATGAGTAGTATCCAAAGTGAAGTAAAAAATCGGAGTATCCGCAGCTACAGCTTAACAGCTATGTAATGCAATGAGTGATGAAGCCGGCTGTAAGATTGTGAAATATTTATAGGAGCCAGTTCCCGAATTTAATGGAACGTTCAGGTCGTCATGTTTATTCTTATAATGATCTTGGCTGAATATTACACAACTATCCGGTCGAAAGTTATCCCTCGCCTATAAAAAGTCTTATTTAGCGTCTTAGTATAATCTGATTGTTACCCCAGATTTAATCACATAAATTATGCGGCAATCACCACCCTTAAAAATAGACTATACCAATCTCGGACCTTTAATACTGTTTTCATGTCCCTCTCACAACAATCATTTCCAAAAACCTTTAACTCTTGACCTCTTTTTAATGTCGTCCCTCAACTCTACCACAGACCCCAGTTCTGTAGAAAATATTGGGCCTAGTGTACAATGGAGATCCATCCGGTATCTATTCCACTGGCTCAAATCGATTTGGAGTTTATACACCTCGTGTTTAAGCCTCGCCGCACGAGCTTTCAGTACTTTTTCATCCACCATGAAATGGCAGACCCAACACTATCAAGTGGCACTGAAGCGACATATTGCGTCCACTTTGATAGCTTTCGAATTTTTTTCATCGAGGTCCCAGTAATCGTCTTCTTGATGGTCTTTTTCACGTTCACGGCTACAGCTGTCTTATTTTGGGCTATCTGTTGCGACAGCCGAGAAACAAGGCCATCAACAGACGGAAAGTATTTCGACCGAAAAAGCTTCTGCCAAGACAGTGACTCTGGAACTAGATTAGTATATCACGGCATCCTTGAACGATATGCATTCATCGCAAACGGCACCCTTGAGCGATGTGCATTCGCGACAGTAATATCCCGTCTTCACCGTCTCTTCTGTCTCGGACGAATGTTGACATTCGTCCAGGGCAGAAGGGCACCCATATACTATAAGTAGCTAGTTATTTCATCAATGAAAAAGCAGACTTCACAACAACTGCAATATTCAACTAGTAGGAATCCACTACCAGATCGGTGGATTGTCTACGGTGTTGAGTAGCGGTTCGTTGGAGCTCACTGTTCTCAGTAACGAGCGACTAGCTAGCTACGCTCGCTAAGCGAGCGACACTATCACATGGCTTTTGATCGTTGGCTCGCCAGAAACCTCTAGTTTGAATAAGGTAAGATGATTTTTACTCCTTAAAGTTTAATTCATGAATGACTAATGTTTCTAGTTTATAGAGAAATTTCCCCTAGACGGCCTCGAAATCTCCCTAGTTTCAGATGAAACCTTGATTAAACTTTTTAAAACAGCGCCTGTTCTTCATGACTACCAAGGGACACGAATTGTGCGCTTATCAGAATCATTGATCTGCAAAGGTGGGAGGGGTTCATCGCCGTGCGAAGCCAGAATCATTGAGATCATCGCTAAGGCTGAACAATCAATCCGAGTACCTACTGTCCATCGCGTGTTAAAGATCAAAAAATGCTTTTACGGTTATGAATGCCTGAACTTGATGGAACTTGTGAGTGGAAGATTAGTCCAGGATTGCTGGGAAGACCTAAGTTGGAGTGAACGTAAGGATATCGCCTCTCAAGTAGCCACGAGTCTTAACATATTACACTCCATCTCGCTACCAGATCAGATACCAAGACCTATCTTGCCCGGCCCAATAGGTCCTTATATCTGTTTTGTCCGTGTTCCGTTTTTCACCGATGCAGGGGATGGCCCATTTAACTCAACAGAGCACCTTGAGGCCTGGTTCAATCGAAGACTTAAGATCACCCAGGATTATAAGCAAGCACCCATCGACTCCCCAAAATTTTGTTTTAATAAATTAGTTCTAACAAATTTTGATATTGCGCCTCGCAACCTGATTCTTGATTTGAATGGAGAAGTCTAGCTTATTGACTGGGGATTTTCTAGGATATATCCAGAAGGATTTGATTTTGCAGCGATCTATATACGGAGATCTCGGGCACCAGAGTTTCCGGATATGGTTTTGGAACTGATTCCTGGGTATGAAGATTTGTCGAAGCAAATGCAAACGATTCAATACGCCTTGACAACCGCTCAATGGGTCGATTATGATTGGACGAGGGAATAGTGTATCAAATGCATCAAATGCATTGATCATTAATTGTTGGCTTTACTAGAGATTTGGAAAGCTGAATAAGAAGGGGGTACGAAGGAAGAGAGCAATTTGTCACTCCTTTCATCCTTTTTCCTTGGTTGGCTCGAGAGAGGTGTCATGCTTCGACTCGAACTTCTCAGCTGGCGGAAGGCATAGCCCATGCGGGCCCTTTGAAACAGCCATCGACTATTTCGGATCGTTTTTCGAGCAGACGCTCAGTTTTTTTTCCGTCTTTGGCTGTGAATGCATATCTACTATTTTCTTCCTTAAAATCCAGATCGGGAGCTTATCGAAAGAATATAAAGAGAACTTACCATTATAAGCGAACTGCCTTTTGTATTTGTAGATACTCGAGAGTAGTGCTTCTGACGATTTATCCAATTGCGATATACATCAAATAAAGCCGATAAGCTAGATTCTCTATTTATGCCTGTGATAGAGCCGCTGAGATGTGATTAATTAAATTATCATACGCTATTCCCAATTTGAAAAGGCCCATGGTTTTCGATCTATAGCGGAGGGCGAGTATCTCGCCCCCATTCTTATGCATTAAGCTGTGGGTCCTGTTTTGACTTACTGTATATCACAAATAAACACATTAGTCAACAAAGCCACTGTGTTCTCACAGCAGAATGAGTTCTGATAATCAAAAAAAACATCTTAAGGTCTCTAAAAGCACCTAGGCTAGTCCCAGTTCGTTAAAGGTAGGGCCATTTACGTAATCTTAGTCTCGAGACAGAGAAGGAATTAGGTCTTATGTCAGAGCACAGTTTTTTGCTTTAATTTGATGAAATAGGAATCAGTGAGATTAATTATCCCTTCTTCCTGAATCCTAGACCTTTGGAGGAGGAAACAAAGTCCACCCGTAAGATCCTGCATCCTGATCCAGGTATGTATATCATCTACCTGGTATTCAAGTTTTAACCTTTTAACTGCACACTGACAATATTTTAGAAATCTAAGAATCTTTAGCAATACTATATTTGTCGCAAAATGTGGTGCCTTTCATTGGTTATATTGAATCTATGCCTCTGTAACGGTTACTTTGCGAAAGAACTGAGCCATCTGAACGCAACTTTATCTAAGCGCGATCAGAGCTGGTCTACACAAAATGGAGCAGTAGATGAGTTGGCTAGTATTAGTGAACTACCGGGTTCATTTGACAGCGAGGGAAAATATGTTTATCCTTCTGAGGCGGGGGAAGGAATTTGGATCTACCAAATCGAATCGGCAAGTCGCCCAAACTTGACACTTCCAAGTGCAATTTCTAATATGATTACATTAGGGGTTCCTGGCAAGCTCGGCAAAAGTTAGTCTCTATAATCTCATATTCGATCAGAATACTGACAACAAAAATAGACTGCTGAATTCAAAAATCGAGTGGAATCGACCTTGAAAGTCCTCCCTAATGCAGGAGAAGCCCGAAAACCTGTTTCAGGACACACCATTTGTGTTGCCGACAAGGCGATGGGCTCACGGTTTGGAGTTGCCAAGAAAGCAAAGCTAGTGCCTGTTGCATTTGAGACTTACAATATTGTCAGCTTTACTACCGCGCTACAAATGATAATAAATGATCTTAACACAAATCATCCTGAGAGAAGGAGAAAAAGTGTCATTATGTCCTCAGTTCTATTTGACGATAATAACGATGCCGATTCTCTCACCTATGAAGAAAAAAAAGAAATTGAGATACTGATGAGCACACTGTTCCATATGGGTGTCCCAATTGTGATGGCGGCAGGTAATATTGACTTTGGAGATGAGAGTGATGAGGTGAATGGTATTCCTCAAGTTTTTGAAGATGATGACTTTCCACTACTCAATGTGGGCAGTGCCGATCAATTTGGAAATATTGACTGCACTTCTAAAAGAGGATCTAAAGTTTCCGTTTACCTCGACGGCACTGCCGCTACATGTGTTGCTTTCAAGGATAGCGCGGGTAATTACGTTCCCCAGATTGGTACTTCATATGGTATGTATAAGACATAATGAATCTAAGGTACTAATTAATCACTAATCAATATCTTAGCTGCTCCTCTTCTCGCTGGTATGATCGCCGTCTTCATGTCCCAAACACAGGGCAAGTTTTATGATGCGACGCACCAATACGCTGGTACAAGAGAGTTTGTGGAAAGAGTACGCCATTTTATAAAGACAGAGGCTAGTTATATCAGGGTGGGAGGCGCACGAATGGGCTGGAACATGGCTCCCAAGGCTTCCTAATGACCTAAGGAGCTTCTATATATACCTATGTCGGTTATCTTTCAAGGCTGGTATTTTTCGAATCAACACGACCGTCGATTCTGCCAAACCTCACCCCCCTCAGGGTCCCTCTTTTGACGCAACCCGCGGAAGAACCGTTTGGGAGGAGAAACAAGTAATATAACAGGCTGGTAGTCCCCTAGTTCAAATCGGGTATCAATGCAGTATTTAGTGGCGGCAACCTTGGATGTGGATACTGAAGGGACACCATTAGTTCCACTGATGGTGGAGGCTTGGTGGTGAGAAACGAGCGGCTACAGGCCCACTCGGAACTAGGTGTATATTCATCGAGACCTGCATCCATCGTAAGATATGCATCAATACCCTTAAAATAATCTCGAGTTCAGGTGTTTAGTACATACGACCACAGGGTGTGGAGAACAGGGCTTCCCGTCCGCTCAGCCGTACTTAAGCCACACGCCGGTCAGTTAGTAGTATGGTGGGTGACCACATGCGAATCCTGACTGTTGTATGTTTTTTTGCTTCTGTAATTTTTGGTCTTTTTTTTCTGTATCTGGCAGAGGGAACAAAAGCACGCTTTAGCTTGTATAGATAACCTTGAGCAAAGCTATGTGAGCCGAGGGTAAAAAAAGGAAGTGGAGAAGAATTGAAGTAGAGAAAGATACTTAGTTGTAAAGTGATAGAGAAGTGAAACCGAACGAGAGGTGAGGTGGCGAGAAGTGAAATAGATCAAAATATTATATTCCTAATTAGCTGCGATTTAGCAGTCATTAATCCCATTGTCCCTTTCCAACCAATGCTCCCAGTCCACCTCCAGCATGCTTATTCAATAGCTTAGCTATACTCGAACCACCATTCCGTTCCTTGGCCCGTAGCTGTCTCTCACGCTCCTTCTCGCGTGCCGCAGTGTATGAATTAACAGCACCGCCCTTTTTCGAACCTGAAGTAGTGGGCTTGGTGACACGGTGTGAGTTGTTAGATGAGGACGAGGTCGAGCTTGTAGAAGAACCAGTCGTCACACGGCGTAGAAGCTGTGGGGGGCGGAATCCAATGGGGCCATCGCTCTTTCCAGACTGGAAGGCGGACTTTGTGTTTGATCCCGAAGCTGTTGTAGATGCAGAGTTGGATGACGCTTGGCGTAGCAAAGAGAGGCGGTCGACGACAGGTCCGCGCGTGCGGCGGGGGTGATCTGGCACAGTGAAGCATTCTTTATCTTGCGATGTATTCTCGTGGGAGTCATCATTGTTCGCGACAGGCTCGTCATCAATAGAAGTGTCTTCGTGGAATGTGTCATAATCATGAGTCTCGGTTAAGAAGGACAGAGTTTCGCGGATCTCAGCCAGAGTTGCGGGCTTCTTCGACAGAGCACTGGCTGGGGTACGACGAAGACGAGCCGGACGTCGGGTGGATGGGTCGTCGGTAGATGGTTCAAAGGGCCGTTTGCGATTGTTACTGTCATGTGCAGAGTTGGTGTGTTCCTTAAGAGCTGCGACATCCTGCGACGATTCCACTTGGGATGGGCCATCCTCTTCTAAAATCTCTAGTTCAAAGTCGTCCTCTATCTCGCGGTCTTCGATGGCTCTGAAGAAAGCTGCCTTCTTAGGGTTCTCAGCGAGCTCACCAACCTTGTCGTCAGCGAGAAGGGCACGACGCATTTTGGCGAACTCGCGCTGTTTCTCACGTCGGCGTGCTGCACGTTCGTCATCTGAATCATCGAGATCGAATTCGTCAGCTTCACCACCACGGCGGCGACGCAAAGCTCCGGTGGTGATATCCTTCATCAACTTGGCCACATCCTTCTCGTCACGGTTTCGCTGGTGTAAACTATCTCCCGGGTTAGCAAGTCAGTCTATTATGTGAGGAAAACTCTCAAGACATACGCATTGAGAGCAGCAAGCTGTTTTTCGTCGACTGTTTCGCCGCTATTATCATTGATCATTTGTTGGTCATATGCATTCTCTTCGCCTTCTTCATCCTCACTGGCACCGCCAATACCAGCATATTCGTCCTCGGATTCTTCGGCAGCTTCATCCACAATGTTTTTGGCCTTGCTCGTTTTCTTGTCGTATGGAACAGCTTGTTTCCTTGATGATTTTTTCATCACATTAAAGGCGCTAACTTTGACGTCAAAGTCGTCTTCGGTCTCTTCTTCAACCATAGATAGATCAGCCGCACGCCCTCGGTGAAGGTGCCTGGCTTTTCGATCTGCAATAGGAGACTGAGTTTGACCTAACAAGACAGTGTCCACGGTAGAGACTGGTGGCGTGCCTCGGAATCTCTTTGATGGATCAAAAGGAGAGAATACAAAACCTTCATCCTGAGTTGGATCAGGGAGCTGGGAATATTGTGAGAACGCGTGGCCAGCAGGCGATTCTGATACTCTGGCAATATTCGGGCTATGGATGGTCATGAGGTCTTGTCCGCAGGAATACTCCTGGCTATCGTGAACAAGAATCTCGGATTCCTCGGCACGAAGTCTTGGAATAGCTTGACCGGGCTCTGGGAGGGAGAAAGGAATGTTTGTTGAGGGTGGTTGTGTATCAGATTCGTCATCAGCCAAAGTGCTGGCAAATGCCTGTGTCAAACCCATAGACATATTGGGTGTGTCCATGTCAGGAAATTGAGGCCTCTCAACTGACTGTGCTGCATTTGAAGGAGGCCTAATCGGTGTCGAGGGAACTTGGTTGGTTTCCTCCTCCTCGTCCTCGTCATCACTGACCACGCGGGCCCGTCGCTTGAGCCGGGTTGCAGCAACTTCATCCTCACTATTTGTGGCAACCTCATCTTCATGTTCATCATCCGAAGGTGCAAGTTCAGACTCGTCATCTGCGGAGTCATCTGCTTCATCAGAACCAGATAGCTCATATTCGTTATCATATTCTTCGTCATCGATTCCTTGCTCCTTCTTTCTGTCTGCTCTCTCCTGACGTGCAATGTTATCAGCTTCCTGGCGGGCTTTTTCGACCAAATTTTCCATATCATCTTCCATGGCCGCACGCTCCTCAGCGGTTTCAATAACGACACCCTTCGCTCTGAGTTCTGCGACACGCTCCTTTCTTTCCTTGGCAGCCTGCTGGCGGGCTTTGTATAACAAATCTGCAGAAAGTTCGGCGGGTCCCGTAAAACCCATCTTGCGAGGTGGCGAAGTCAGGTGAGCCAAAGCTTTGAGTTTTATCATTGATGAAGATTCTTGCATCCTCTGCGCCGGTAGATTCTCAAAAACAGTAACGCGGCGAGATTGGGCAGGCAAAGTGACTACCTCAAGATCGTCATCACTGTCTGATTTATCTTTTTGGTGTTGTGCAACTTCCTGGCGTGACATTAGAACACGGACCGGGGGCCGAGTGAGTTGAAGAGAAGACTTCTTAGGTCTGACTGAAAGAGCAGGCGATACAACTTCAATGGGAGAGTGCACCGAGGTAGATTCCCCAAGGGCGGACAGGCCATCAGCTTCTGTCTGGGGTTGATTCACGGCGTCGAGGGGCTCGACCTTCGATTTATCTGAAGGAGCCTCCGATTGCATGAAGTTGAACTTGGCAAACAGGCTTTCCTTGGTGATTTTCTTTTTGGTCTGGGATTGGTGGGCCAGTTGCATGTTGCGGCTTAGTCGCTGTGTCTCTCGGTTCATCTCTTCCATAGCTTTCTTGCTGGCTTTTCGTGGTTGACGAGCTTGTAATAGGAGTTTTTTGGCGGATCCAGTTCCATCACGTTCGATTTCTTCTTCTGACAGAATTTCTGAATTCAACTGCTCCATTTGCGCTCGCTTGACGGCTTCCTCCTCGGCCTGGATCTTCTCGCGTTCTTCGCGCTCTAGACGCTTCTTTGCGACAAGTGCAAGAAATCGGGCATTACCCTTGGGGTTTTCCTCTCTTTCTTCATCTGTGGTGTCATTTTTGTCGCTGGTTTCAGTACCGAAATCCAGTTTCGAGATGCGGGAGCGAGGGATTTGAGTGTCTGATTCGGAGTCGCTATCAAACTCGGCCATCAGAGCTCTGATCTTTTGGCCTGGAGTGAGCATAATTGGTGAATTATCGACCGACATCGCGCGCTCTGAGCGCGGTGGGGAGGTGGAGGACATTTTGTTGCTAGATGCGAGGTGCTTGTCGCGTCTCCTCACTTAACGCGTCTTCGTTATCACGTGATGCCTACCCGATAGGAGATAAGCCTGACGACAGCACCAAACCGGCTAGGATAGCGGTACCGGACTTCTTTACCGCCATCTTGACGGACTTTTTGAGAGCCTTCCAAGGGCGCTTCAAAAACCCGTTCTTCTTGGTGGACTTCAAAATTGGAACCACGGCAGGTGAGTGCTGTCTGACCGGGACAGGCTTTCGCTTCACCGGAGCTCGGGAGAGCCGGTGAAGCTTCATTGATGCCTCATCGGGGGGCGGAGTAATTGACTTTACCTCGTCACAAACAATTGTGACAAGGAGTTTCGCCTCCTGATTTGAGATACGAGCCATTTCTCGCAATGAGGTGGAAGACGCCTTCCACATCTTCTTACGAGATTTGGCGTCCTCTGTCTTGGCCGACGCTGCTTCGTCAAGTTCCCGGAAGATCTCTTCACTCCACTCAATCCGTTGGGCCGTTTCGAAGTCATCAAACGACACGTTACCCAGGGCCCGGGTGAGAATCGAGCGGACTAGGCAGTCCTCCCGGCCACTAGCTTGACCCAACTGCGCGATTGCTTTAGCATAGCAATGCAGTTCTTGGATCTTGGCTAGTGGCTCCGCATTCACCTTGAGATTCCAGCATCCCTGAGACCGGTGAATTTTAGCGCGGGGAGGTAGAGGCAGGTCATCCTCTTTGAGATCGCCCTGGTCCGTCAGATGGTGGATGCCATCTTCCATGTTGTCACCCAAGGGCAGTTGCAACCACTTCTGGGCACGGGGGTCATCCACCATTGGCGACTCACGACCATAATCAGAGCTCGTCTTGCGGAGGTCTTTCTCCTCGACCTCCTTCAAGTACTCGGAGTAAATATCCGAGTACTGTGACTTGGTCACAGCGATGCTGGCGACTAGGCCGATGGTAGAATCGAGTTCTTGCACCACGCTGCTACCAATAGGCAAAGCAGTCGACGTGATAAGGACCTCGTCCTCGACATCATCAGCTAGGTCGAAGGGGTTGGTGGCCAGGATCTCGTCCTCCACATCATCAGCCCAGTTGAAGGGGCCGGTGGCCAGGATCTCGTCCTCCACATCCTCAGCCCAGTTGAAGGGGGCGACGACAGCGAGAGAAATTATGTTGTTAGACTAATTCATATGTTGTTAATATTCATGATACAAAACAGCAACAATCATTTATCATGAAGAATATCAGAGACTCACCATGATGAAATATGGTTTTGATAGTTTCTGAAAAAGCAAATAAGAGTTTGCAAAAGAGATTGGAATAGGCCTGAGAGTGTTGGAAAGGAAGATTGCACATATAAGGGTTCAAAGCGTGTTTAGTGATCGAAATTCTGTTGAAGAGAGATGTAAACAACAAAAGATTGGAAAAGAACGTGAAGTCTTTTCGTGAATCCAAACATACAGTACACGCTTTCATACACAGTACGTATTGCGATGAACAAGAGGTATCTACTGATAAGTATTAAAAATTACTATTCTATGCCAGTGCAACGTATGCACGAAATTAACAATAAATAAGTATTTTCACTCTCTGAGTTTACTTCATTGTAATTCTCAAATTTGATAAGGGAAAATAATATAAAAACTTCGGAAAATATCCAATAACTAAGCTCGATAATACTAAGTTTGGGGCTCACGGAGACGCTCTTTCTCAGCATCGACTGCTACAGTCTCTCGGATACGAACATCATTCATCGTATCGATAAGATTATCATCTGGCTGATTTACAGATATTGAGCCCCGACGGTATCGCGTGATGGGTGCTTGGGGCAGGGCAGAGAGTATGGAAATTTCTTCGTTGACGCGGTCGATCCGCGATCTCTGCTCATCTTCTTCCGCAAGCCACATCCCACGTTGATGACGCCTGATGCGGGGTTCTTCGTCGGTCATATACCGCGAGCGAGGCACTCGAGGATCTTGGTGGTATGAAGTTCTGTCGCGGGGTGAACGACTGTCGTTGACAATTACTTCAGGCCGAGAATTCGGTGAGTGCATCTGAGCGGATGACTCGTAGTGGCAGCGCGAACCCGAGATGTCTGAGGTGCTGTTTCGGGACATAGACCGCGAGCGATGCACCCGAGGATCTTGGTGGTATGAAACTCTGTCGCGGGGTGAACGACTGTCGTTGACACTTACTTCAGGGCGAGAATTTGTTGAGTGTATCTGAGCGGATGACTCGTAGTAGTGGCAACGCGGACCCGAAATGGTGGAACCAGAGGACGCACGAGAGCTGTTGGCTGAGCTCTTGCCTGTTCCGTAGCCCGAGTCAGCGATATCGTAGGCGGAAGCAGAACTTCTGGCTGAGTTATCACGCGTGCCGTAGCCCGAGTCGGTGAAGCTAGGAAAAACCATGACGGGGCGGTGGTTGGACCGCAGTTCGGATGGCCAGACAGAATAACCGTATGCAACGCCTCTGGGCACCAGTGGTAAGAGTTCATAATCGTGAGAGTAACGACGGCGATTACGGCTTCCTATGTCTTGCCGTTCAAGGTAAATGTCATCAACTTCGGTAGTCATATCTGCAACTACCTTGAATTGAGGTCCCTTGTCGTCGTTCGCATCAGTTCCGCTGATGTTATACCCACGGCTCTGACTCCTCCTGGTCCTTGGCGGGACATTCACCTGTTCTTGTGGCTCAGGAGCTTTGGGCTCTGGCATTGATTCTGAAACTGCACGCTCTTTGGTTTCATCATCAACCGCCGTAACTGAGGTCATTTTCACCATCGAAACACTGGCTATATCAACGAGAGACGCTACGTCAACATATTCAACTTGGAGGTGGGTTTTGATGTCGCGAAGGGTGTCGTCCATAGGTATGATGTATCCACCACCAAACGCATCGGCAGCGATGATGTGGCCGTATACCTCGCGGCTTCTCTCATTCACTACCCATGATCCCGAGTCACCATCTGCGATTTCTGCTTCATTGGTTAGCCAAATACGTGCTTAATTCCTGAAGAGGAACGATATTGAGATCAAATACCATACCTTTGCCTCCATCCAAATTCACGACCAATGCGTCAATAAACTCCTTACCAGGCCCCAGCAAGATTCTTGATGGAAGTGCCGAGATAGTCCCTCTCTTGGGCCCTTCTGATCCGCTGATAACAATTACCGACTTCTTAACACCTCTGTAAGTCGATGCAGCTAGGGGCTTCACCAGGTCGCCTGATGTAGATGCCACAAGTTCAGAGGACCCATCTGCGCTTAGGGCCCTGGAACGCAGATGGTTAGGCTTATAACTTGATATCTCGATTAGCGCCCAGTCAAAATATGCAGAGCCACCCTCTTTCTGCCAGCTAGACTGGCTATTCATCTGAGGGCTGTCTTTTGAGATGACCCCCACATTTCCGAATTCAAAGGACGTCCAAGCCGTTAAGCTGTCTTGGAGTATCAACACCTTTTCTGGCTCGTTAGAGGGTGCAGCAGCATCTTCTGTGATTTCTTCAGACTTATTAACGGGCTCTACAATTTCGCTCATCTCAAAGTTTGACTCTAAATCTGAGTCTGAGTCTGGATCTGACTCGGATAGAAGCAATTCATCATCATTCTGGCCTGTGTCGCTGGCTGATTCGACCGATACGTAGTCATCCCAGTCTCCGACAACATGGCCAGCTGTCAAGCCGTATAACTTAAACTCCCCGTTCCGGTCAACGGCTTTGATGATTCCACCAAAAGTAGCTATCTTCTCAACCCCTGACGGGTGTCGAATGATGATTGGTGCGCCACAGAATGTATCTGTGTTAAAGCCAAGACCACCATTGATGAGGGGCACCAAAACGTCGATATCATCATGCTCGGCCTGCTTCGGTTCCGGTGGCCGTGCGTAAATAAGGACCTCAAATGAAGGTAATGTCTCATCACAAGGTCGAACCAGAGATTGAACTGACGTCTTGTCAAAAAATTTGCGCACCCGCTTATACACTTCTTCAGTGACCAGCACCACAATGTGTGGTTTCGCTTGTGCCGCTGACGCCCCGAGGACCATCAGACGGATGGCCATGGCGCGGTGTTTACCTGGGGTCTTGTGGACATACTTGAGGAGGGCCCGCTCAATCTGCGGCTGGATATTGGCAAAACGGGAGATGGTGACGGCTTCTACGGGGACATCGAACTCGGAGAGGTCTTCGGAATGGTTGGCTCCCGATCTCAGCATGCGCGTCTGGGCCACAAACCTGTCGACAGCACTGGACGAACTGCGACTCGACTGCTTGGAGTTCCGGTCAGGCGTCTGTGATTGTGTGAAGTAGCCCGAGTCTTGGTGCTGTTCCAGATCTACTGACTGCAGCCGAAGCTTCTGGACCCCATCTGACAGGTTCTGATCAGACGCCGGGGCAGGCTCGATGGCGACACTCATGTTGGTAGTCGTAGCCTTACCACAACACCTTCAATAAGCATAAAGCTCACAATGAGAGATGGACAAGAGGAAAGGTTGCAGATTTCCTTGATACCTGGTGAGTACTTTGACCCCTGCAGGACTAGGCTGACTCCGCCACACATCTCGACAGTTGCGGTCTCTATTGGGCCAATTACTCTTGCACTGCCGCTTCAATCCCCTAAATCAATCCGTATCATATTTTAAGCCCAAATCATTTCAAATATTACTCATGATGAATTGTGTGTCTTTGTGAACTGTTTATCGTTAACACCGAGACCCCGCGAAATCATCAGTCTTACAGTGAACAGGAAGAGGCCCTAATTAGGACTAGTTCAGATGATCAACTCACTTGAATCAGCGTATCCGCTTGAAAAGGTCGACGATGCCGACTTAAAGCGACTCTGTCAGACTCTCTGGGGGTGGAAATTATGCAGCAGCTGTCAGAGCGGACAGGCGTGTAACGGCCACAAATGCCCCTGGAAGCGAGCGCCCATATTCACAACGTATTTTGCCTTCTACAAGGATTTAACCTCAGCCTACGTCCCGGAGTTACTTTACGGTCACCAGCCAGCGCTTCGCTCGCATGAAGATGTGGCGGATATCATCCGGCTGATCAAGAGCCGGCCGGGCGAAGTGCGGTCCCGGCTCACACGCGATTACTTCTCCCTGCGCGGCGGTGATGACTATACAGATGTCACTAAGCTGCCGCCTCCGGCCGATCAGCACCGCGCCTTCAACACCGTGGTCAAAGTCATGACCATGCTGAACTGCTCGGCGGAGCAGCAGGCGTCAGGCGTGCTGGACCTCGGTGTGGAGCTGGGCACGCTGCCACTACCGTGGCACCACAACATTAGTTTCTCGGATTTCACATTGCGGGCATTCCCCCGGACCGACGTCGGGGACCTGAACTTCTTGGACTATGCCGGTAAGTTGCGGGACGTCAAGTCATCAATCACGGCGCGACGCCTAGAGAGGCTGGCACGGCTGTCATTCCGCGGCACCGACGACATCAGGAACCACCTCAGGTTGGACACGAGGGCTGGTATAGTGGAGATATATCATTACACCAGTGTATTAAAAGAACACCTGGCAGCGGCATCTAACAATGATCACCTGTCTTTGTAGGTAGAATAAGGCCATTCTTCCCTTCCAAAACCCGAACTTACGAATAATTAACATATATGCATGTGCACAGGCCAAACCTCCCATTTCAGGTCGCTCTTGAGGCATTGCACTCCCTCCAGATGGTCCTATTCCCCTTAGGTACGGACTCGGAGCTGATCCTGCGGCGGCTCGTGGCCAAGCACTCGCTGGACCCGGACTGCGTCAACTATGACTTTGCGGCGTACGAGGACGACTTCACTTACCGCCACTTTGGCTCGCGGTTGCGTGAGCTTTACGACGAGGTCGAGAACCCCAGCCCCCGCGGCTTCATGGAGAAGTGGTTTGAGCGCAAGAGTGGTGCGCGCTACGTAATGATGGCCACGTTTATTGGTGTCATCATCGCCGTTATCTTGGGCATACTGTCGCTGATTGTGGGGATTTTTCAGGCCTGGGTGGCGTACGAGGCCTGGAAGAACCCGGTGACCGCGGGGAGCTAATACCACTTATCCTTGTCCAGCTGTCTATGTCGGGCAAAACATTCAACCATATTTCTGCATCATAAGCCTTTTTATGATGATGTTCTACAGACCCAAAAACTGACTGGAACTATAATCAATTCTCAGATATGATTATTGATCCCAAAGCGTCACCACCATGCCTGGTTCACCTCTTCCCCTATCGATCTGTAGGGCGGACCAGGAAGGTCATACCAATCCGACTGTCTGGTCTGGGCTCATATCCATCAATCAGAAGAGGTCCTGATGGTGGCTGGGGGAGCGATTTCTACAACCAAGATGTTTTTCTCCCGGCTTTACTTCTTGGTTGAGTTCTGCGACAGATGGCCTTTCGAGCGATTCGATATCAACCTCGAAGAATTCAACCCAAAGTTGTCGACGCCCCCCAATCCAGTAGTAAGTCTTGAGAAGATTCCAGCAGCTTTTTTGGATCGTACAAGACTGAAAATTTTAGAAGTTCTAAGTTACTATCAGCCACAAGTTACGGACTTGGGATACTAGATTCAATAAAAGTAGACAAAATGGGTTGGAACTCAGTAATAATATTCAAAACTGATTTTCGAGGGAATCAGGAGGGCTTTGTAACGGACCTAAACTGTGCCAGAAGGGATGAAGTTGTGTCAACTTGATTGGGATTCTAAGTTAGAGAGAAGAGAGAAAACAAAGGGCGCGTCTAAAGTACCGGAAGATAAGAGTCACCTGACTCCTTATCTTGCCTGGTTTGCACTCCCAGTCCCTACTAACATCTCTATTCCCAAGTCTGCCTTCAAGTTGTTGACTCTTGAGGAGCGATGCTGGCATCCCTGGATCTGATGCTTCGTCTATTCACTCGGAATTTCACAAATTAACCCAATGTTCTTGACTCATGCAATGAATAAATATTTCAGATTTATTTAGTACACCGATTCGTACCTACAATGTAATTTCCAGCATGTCCATGAATATGTATATTGGAAATTAAATTTGAATCACAACGTTGGAAGGAAAAGACACGCCTCGAAAGTGCTACACTCAATCTTTTACTGCCTTCAGGGCATCCACAGCCACATTGCATCCCCAGCGAACAAGCTTCTGTTCTTTTTCCGAGGCCACGATATCAGACTTGGCAACAATTTTGCGAATGAAGTAAATCAGGCCCTTTGCAATATGTGGTGTATCTTGCACACGCAAGAAGACTTGCATCAAGGACTCTTCATCCTTGACAGGCTCGTCTGCACTGCCCTTATTCTTTTTTTGTGCCTTCTTCTGGGATTGCTGAATGATGCTGATAATAAGAACCTCCACAAATGTTTTAGTCTTTGGTTGCAGATATGCGAAGTTGAGGTTCTTCAAGACCCCGAGTGTCAGTGTCCCATCTGCGATTAGCATGGCGAACATCTTGGCCACATTGACGACTGACTTCACGCTGACACCGCGTTCCTCGTCATCAGCATCGAAATCTGGCCCGGCTTCATCCAGGTCTTCTTGCTCGCCCATCTTCTTGAAGATGTTCCAGAGTGCGAACATGAATGACATTTTGATGCGTCGGCCCATTTCAGCACAGAGACGGCGCGCAATAAGGGTATAGTATGGGTTGTGGGCTTCTTCTTCCATGGCGCAGTGGAGTAGAACACGGGGTATTTCGAATTCCTGCGCGCGTTTCAACCGCAGCTTAAGTAGTCGTACCTGCGCATCTTGGAAGTCATTGGCGGACATGATAGCGACGAAGATTGAACGTCGGACGTCGGTGTTCATGCGATGGGCTTTGGCGAGGTCACCCAAATCGAGTTCAGCTTCACTGTCGTCATCTGAATCAGTGGCATGGATTTTTGGTGCATCTGCCAGTTCCTTGCGAGCGGATACTAGTGGGTCTTCCCTCCAGCTTGCACCCACGAGCCACCATTTACCCTTTTTGGAAGAGTCTTGGATATCAGCGCGGGTAATGTTGATGGGTTCCGAGGCACGGATGACACGAGTGTTGTTCAAAGAACCCAAGATTTTGCGCATCTTGGTAATGTGTTCAGAAGTTATACCTGCGCCAATACTATTCTTCACACGGTTGTTTTTAAGATCTGTGATGATGTCGATCATGAATTTAGTACGGACGGAAAGTTTTGCCTCTCCAACCTTTGCGACTGCGGGCTGAATGAGCAGAACAATGTCCTTCAGTGCTGATGGATCATCTTGTCGAAGCTGGGGTCCAGTATCTGCAAACATTGTTAGATAAAGCGCGACGTGAGTGCTTGTAAGCAACACTTACTCCGAATGACCTTCAACAGAAGCTCGGTGTTTGTCTCGTTGATATCCTGAAGGAAGAGACGAATATAATCGAACATCAATGGACTGCCAATGACATGGAAATTATAAAGTTGCGAGAGAAGAGATAAAAGATTGACGTTCTCTTTTCCCTCGAACTTGCCACGCTCATCACCGTTGGCCTCTAATGTTTCGACAATTCTTTGCACAAACTCCGCACCAACGTCCATACCCATAATCTTGTAGAGGGCTGCGATGAATCCTGCATGAAGGATCATAAATGTGTCTTGAAGGACGGCCCTTTCACAGATGAGACCCATCAGCAAGCTGAGCAAAACAGAAGTGACATTTTGCCGCGGGTAGTCGCGATAAAGCTTCTCGAACTCGGCGACAATAGACATCATATTGGCTTCGGACAACTTGTTCAGGTGTCCCTGAGCTTGGCGCCGTAGTCGAGTAAGAGACTCAGTCTCGGGATCCGCACGACCTCTCAATGATGGCGGAATGTATTTCTGAGAAGGAGTGGCTGTAACAGGAGCCACATATGGGTTCTCTCGCTTTTTGGGTGTTTCATTTTCTTCCTCGTCAAACCCATCAAAATCGCTCCCTGTAACACCCTCCTCATCCTCGTCATCGTCATCATCACTGCCGAATATCTCATCGTCCAGATTATCCTCCTCATCACTGTCCATTTCGCTGTCATCCTCCTCTCCCCGCGCAGCAGCAGCAGCCTGTTCTTGGGCCTTGCGTCGTTTGCTTTGTAGCCAGTCGTCGGCTTCGCGTTTGCGCTTACGAGTGTCGTCCTCCAACTCCTCGCCCACATCTCCCAATAAATCTTCTAGGCCGTCTTCTGCAAAGGCTTTTGGAAGCTTTTTTCCCTTTTTAAGACCAAGCTTCTTCTCCAATGAAGCGATTTCGGCGTCATCTTGGGCCAACTTGGACTTGACGGTATCCGAAATGCGCGGCCGAGAGTCTTCCTCCTCGTCGGTTTCTCCCAAGTCAATCTCCTCTAATTCTTCCTCCTCATCCGACTCAGATTCTTCAACCTTCGGCGATTTCTTTAAAATCGACTTGGCTTTCTTTTCTGGTTCTGAAGTTTTGGACTTGCTCTTGGACACAGGTGGGACATCATCGCTCGATATATCGTCATCTTCGTCCAAGTCAAAGTCATCTTCATCATCATCATCATCAGATTTTTGTTCATGTCGTTGGAACTGCTTCTTAGGCGGTCCAGTAGGCTTTCTTGACTTTTTTTCTGTCCGTTCAGCTTGTCGGCGGTCTTTGCGATTTGCAGGCCCGTTTTGTCGACGCTTTTTTTCGCCGTATGTGTCGCGAATACCTAGTTCTGAGCGTAGGTCTCGTGGCAGAGAAGTCGTATTATGCCGTGGGCGTCGCATAGTGAATATATTGCTCGAATTCAGTGTAGAGAAAAAGATCAGCTTGCCAGAAGACGTTGGCGGTGAAATGAACTTTTCGTCGTCCACCTTTTTCTGCCAGTCAAATCCGAAGGCGGCGACAAGCATAACCCACAGCGGAGTTTCACCCCACGAAGTCCCAATAGGAACAACTAATCAGCTATTGCAATTGCGGCGTGGTTTATTTCAGGCTCATTTCAGTTTATCTCATTCATAATGCCCGGGACGATACGATCAAGTCACGATGAGGTATTTATGACTCCCTTCATATTGCAATTTCGCAATATTTGGCCACGAGACCATTAAGAGTAGCTTCGCTAACTATCATCACCAGTTCTTTTCATCCCTAACGGGTCTCCTCACTCAGGCTTCTAAGAAGTCACGAGGCTCAGTATATTTGAGCCAAAAACCGATTATTGACCCTGAATCCACAACGCCATTGGTTCTCATCCGTGCTACAGATGGCAACACCAATGCGCCAAACCCCAAGTCTACGAGCAAGGACGACAAAATCGTCAAGAACAAATCTACAAAAGTCAAATTCTCGACAGTCGTGAAGACAGATGAGCTCGATGCATTTTATACCCGCTACGCCGAGGTTTGCAAGGCTGGCATGACTGGATTGAAGAAGCGGGATCGCAAGAAGGCCAAGGGCAAGAAGGCCACAAAAGCTTAAAGCCTCGCTTTGATTCTTCCATTCAAATGATGGAGTTGTGTTTGTGATACCATCGCCGGCCAGCATTCACCCATGGCTTCATATTTTATCTGCATTTTATGGCGTTTGCTCGGCCTACTTTATCGGTTTTGTGGATCTTCTCGTAAGCTTCCCTTCTTGGTAGAAAAACGATTGTTCTGCCATAGTCGATAGAAGAGAGAATATATTCATGATATCAGTTGCACCAATGACAAGATTTCAAAGCTTGACAAGCGAAGAAATTTGGGAATTTTGTTAGTAATCACCTTCCTGCGGAGACCATGATAAGAGTACGTACGTATAAGCGGGGAACTAGCTGTTAGAGCCTGAAATGTAGCATGGTTGTTGCATGTATGAGCCGATATCAGCTCCGTCGGGTTACCCGATGCCACTAATCTGTACTTCTGCGTAATGATTATATTCCCCTCATTCAGCATTGCCAAGAAACAACAACATGCCACTGAGCCACGAGTCTTCAATTTTAGTCATCGGAGCAGGAACATGGGGATGTTCAACATCTCTCCATCTAGCCCGTCGTGGATATAAGAATGTTCAAGTACTAGACCTCCATCCAGTACCATCACCTATTGCGGCCGGCAACGATGTGAACAAGATAATGGAACACAAAGAGCTTAAAAGTGCGGCCAATATATCTTAATCGAAGCAAATTCAGAAACTTAAGCTGATAGTCATTACAGGCTCAAATCTAGACCCGATAAGTGCTGCACTGGCAGCTTGCAGCCGCTCAGCGCTAAGAGGCTGGAAGACAGATCCTGTTTTCCAACCCTACTTCCACGAAACAGGAATCATAGTATCCGGCCATACACCAGAGCTGATACAGCATGTGAAAAAAGCCGAGATCGACCCCTTTAAGGCCGATTTCGTCGCTCTCGAAACAGCAGAGGACTTTCGCAGGACTATGCCGCCTGGTGTACTGACTGGTGAGTTCCCCGGTTGGAAGGGCTGGTATAGTAAAGAGGGAGCAGGATGGATCCACACACAAAAAGCCATGGTCTCCGCATATACAGAAGCAAAAATTCTCGGCGTGAAGTTCTCAACCGGCCCATCAGGCCATGTTGTGGCGCTAGCCTACGAAGACGGCGATGTAATCGGTGCCAAAACTATAGACGGCGTTATACACAAAGCAGAGCATACGATCTTAGCAGCCGGCGCCGGTAGTGATCACCTGCTTGATTTCAAGAGACAGCTCCGTCCAACAGCGTGGACACTATGCCATATACGCATGACGCCCGAAGAAGTGACGAAGTACCAGGACCTCCCTGTGTTGTTCAATATTGCAAAGGGCTTTTTCATGGAACCGGACGCGGACAAGCACGAACTTAAGATCTGTGACGAGCATCCTGGATACTGCAATTTTATCCCGAATCCAATTAGACCTGGTGAGACGAAAAGTGTTCCATTCCCCAAGCACCAGATCCCGCTTGAGGCGGAATTGCGCGTGAGGGACTTTCTACAAGATACGATGCCGCATCTTGCTAAGCGGCCTTTGGTCTTTGCGAGGATATGCTGGGATGCTGATACGCCTGACCGGGCGTTCTTGATCGATAGACATCCTGAGCATCCTTCGCTTCTGTTAGCTGTTGGAGGGTCGGGTCGTGCTGCGAAGGATATGCCTACTATAGGTGGGTTTATCTGTGATGCGTTGGAAGGTAATTTAGAGAAGGAGTGGAAAGATGTGATGCGGTGGAGACCGGAAACTGCTGTTCATCGAGATTGGCATTCTACCCAGGATCGTTTCGGAGGACCCAATAAAGTAATGGACTTTCAGGATGTCAAGGACGACGAGTGGACTGAAATATCGGCATAGGTGTATCCTTGAATTTAATACCCTGAATACATTCACCATCCATCTTTTCACTGAATCATATCTAGTTAGTAGAACAAATAACCATCTGCTTTGCTCTTGTCTAGCTTACTAGAACCTGGACTACAAGGACAATTTTTTTGTCGACTAATTTTCCTATGGTACACAGCCAATGAAGCTACGTTTGGCGGACGAAAGTGAAATGGGATGGAAGCAATAAAACTATCCTGAAATCATCCCGAGTGACGTTTAAAAAACAAAAGAAAGTGGAAGTCGTCAGTCGTAGGGGTAAGACTTTATCAACAACCCCGAGCGCTTAAGCAAAGAATTTCTGAGCGGCAGCTCTGTCCTTGGCATCGCGAGCCTTCACAATCTTGTTCACTTCGGAAATTTCCTTGATGATACCGGCATCCCCGGGTGCCAGCTTTGAGGCCACTTCGAGGTCTTTGATAGCCTTGTCCTCCTCCTTCTGACCCAAGTAGGCACGAGCACGGCGGAAGTATGCTTTGGCCCGGTCAGCATCCTTGGCCTTGGCCGCATCAGCAGTCTCAATAGCGTAAGTAGCCCAGTTTTGGGCATTACGCCATTGAGACAGCTTCTGGGCCATCAGGGAGGAGTTGGAATGCAGCGCAAACCGGACAGCCTTCATTTGCTCTCCCAACTCCTTGGGGTCGCCCTCGGCCGGCTCAGGGAACTCATTGAGATAGCGCAAGCCCTTTTGGTACTTTTCTAGACCCATTTCGCAGTCGCCAGACTTAAAGGCGGTGTTTCCAAAGCCTTTAAGGTCGGATGCGATCTTGAAGGCGAGCGGTGCAGTAAGTTCCTCGCCCTGGAAGTCTTCGGGGAAGTCCTCGTACGGGTCGCCAGTGGCGTCAGGCACGCGCTTGAGAGCATTTTCGTAGTCTTCACCCTCCAGCTCGCCACAGTCCACGACAGTGATGTCAACATTGGGCTTGTCGGAGTTGGTATGAACGTTCTCGACCCGGCGCACAGTGCTCTTGCCATTAATCACCTCTCCGAAGACGACGTGCTTACCGTCGAGATGAGGGGTAGGGACGGTGGTAATAAAGAATTGACTTCCATTGGTGCCGGGGCCGGAGTTGGCCATGGAGAGTAAGAAGGGACGATCATGCTTTAGGTCGAAGTTCTCATCCGGGAATTTTTCGCCGTAGATTGATTCACCACCAGTACCGTTGAAAGCGGTAAAATCGCCACCCTGGATCATAAACTGCTTGATGACGCGGTGGAAGATTGAACCTGAAATTTCCAATTGGGTTAGTATCTGCCATTGCGATCGCAATACTTTAGAAGCGCACCTTTGTAGGTCAAGAGCTTTCCCTGCTGGCCGATGCCTTTCTCGCCGGTACACAAAGCTCGGAAGTTGTCCGCAGTCTTGGGGACGACTAATTGTTGGTTAGTGTCTATTCGTGTCAATTGCGCGGAAGGAATTCAAGTCGTACCATCGCCAAACTGTGCGAGGACATGTTAGCTTTGCGATCTCAGTAGGGCCAATAAGAGAAACTCACCAATTCAAAGACTACGCGACTGGGCTTTTGGTCGCCAATCTGAACGTCAAAGAAGACACGGGATCGCTCTGGATGAATCAAGTCAGTATTTATTTATTTTCCGCGCATCGGGTAGACCGGGGTAAGGAGAGGTCCCCGCATGACATACGAGATGCGGCCATTTTTATGAAATGGTGGCGTTGGAGGAAATGTGCAGGGAGGAAATAAAAAAAAGTGGAGCTCAAATAGAAGACGTTTAGTCTTGTTAAGATCGTAAGGTGGAAGAGGGGGAAAGGGAAGAAGAAGTAGAAGAAGTGGTGGGGGAGGGGAAAGCCGCTTTGGTGCTTCAGGAAGCTTCCACGGGAAAGATGATACTATTTCTGCATGTACCATCGCGTTCTATATTCATTTTGATCATATTTTCTCACTTATTCTATTTATTTTCAATTTCATCTCACTTTTACTGCAACAACTCTGGAGGTATTTCAAACCCTGCTGGCAGTGTAAACTCAAAACTTGTTTTTATAGGTCCTTCACTCTCTTTACCCTCATTCTTCCCTTCTTTTGCTTCCTTGGGTTCCTTTTTTGGAGGAGGATTGGTACTGATCTCAATGGTGACCTATTAAAGACTGTTAGTATATCAATATGATTAAAAGAAGAGCACGCTAGGAGGTAATATGTACCACCGCATCTTCACTGCGGAAGTTTACACCCACCGGTCCATCATTCTTGAGCTCCACATCCATCATAGCCTGGAATACTCCATTCTTGACTCGTTCAGGCACATATGAGCTAGCCATCTTGTTGTAGAAGTAGTCGTAAATCTTGCGTGCTGAGTCTGGACTTGCAGCCTCATGGAAATCTGGCTTATTTCCCTTTTTCATGCTGCCGTAGAGCGTGAATTGAGACACTATAAAGCGTTAGTCCAAGAATTGTGTACAATTTCCCAAGTACATACCACATAATACCTCTCCCTCGATATCCTGGACATTCCTTTTCCACTGTAAAGCAAGTCAGATCTATCCTGGAAGCTGTCAAGATCTTATGTCCTTACCTGTCCTTCATTCTCATCAGGCCAGAACTTTGCCTTCAGTACTTTATTCACCAATTTCTCGGCTTCTTTCTCTGAATCCTCCTTGCCCACTCCTGCAAACACCAGGAGTCCTTTGCCAATTGATGATATTAGCTTGTCATCAACTGTGACAGAGGCTGATTTGACTCTTTGTATAACAACTGGTGTATTGTCAGTATATGTCAGTTGCAAGATGATATGATGTACACACGTTTCATTTTGCTTGAATTAATAGTATCTATACAGCAAGAGTTAGTTATTAGGCATTACAACTCAGGTATATATTCATGCCCTCTATTGTTGTCCGTGGGGTAAACAGGCCAGCGATGGATTGGCGAACCTGAAATGAAGTAATAGTACACAGGCTGCAGGCACTAAATGATACAAATTGTGCGCTGTTGCCTAGACTGATTGATTGTTCAAATTCTAGGCATTCAAAAAGTGGGAGATTGCGTCAAGTTTTATCATGCGTCAGAAACGTTGTTGTTTCTTTCCCGTCAACTTCTTCTCAATAGCTACAGACTTATTTTTCACCGCCTCTAACACCGCCTTCCCAAATCAATAGCAACGAAGACATTGAATCCAGGTTCAATTTGTATTCCTCGACATCATCTTCATAGTCACAAAGACTACACATCACACTCCCCACTTCTAATTGACTGTGACGCTACCTTCCTCTGAGCGTTCACATATCCCTCCGAATCCACCCCAACACCAAACAATCGATAGTGACGTGGACGGTCCACATCAGAGGGGTTCAAGATGGCGGCCCGCAAGACACAACAAGAGATTGAAAAGACCTTCAAGAAAGTTGCAGAGGGCATGCAAACATTTGAAGGGATTTATGAAAAGATCCGGTCGGCTACAAATCCCACCCAGCGCGATAAGCTCGAGGACAACTTGAAGCGTGAAATCAAGAAGCTTCAAAGATTTCGAGATCAGATTAAGTCATGGGCTGCTGGCAATGAAGTTAAGGATAAGGCTCCATTGCTGGAGCAGCGGAAGGCCATTGAATCAGTATGTTTGCGACCGAGATACCCGTGGTGACCTTGACTCGACTAATACACTCGAATAGTGCATGGAACAATTCAAGGCTGTTGAGAAGGAGATGAAGACAAAAGCCTACTCCAAAGAAGGCCTATCAGCAGCTTCACGACTCGATCCTAAGGAGAAGGAGAAGGTAGAGGCCTGCGACTTCCTATCTTCCATGGTTGATGAGCTTCAACTGAAGATCGAGGCTATGGAGGCGGAAGAGGAAACGCTACAGGCGCAGATGAAGAAAGGAAAGAAGGACACCAGCAAGGCGAACCGAATGGCGGACATCTCGCGAGTAACGGAACGGCATAAGTGGCACGTCAACAAGCTCGAGTTTCTACTTCGGTCGCTACAAAATGGCAATTTGGATATCCAACAAGTGATAGATCTCAAGGAGAGTATCAAGTACTATGTTGAGGAAGGAGGTAATCTCGATTACTCCGGAGAAGACGAAACCCTGTACGATGACTTGGCTATTGGAGAGGATGTGGAATTGCAATTTGGCATTGCCGGCGACAATGACCGAGTATCCTCACAAGATGCGCTATCTGTGCATGATGACGAACCTGAGCTCAAGCCCAAGCCCAAGGCAGAATCTACTTCAGGAAGACGACCATCTACGCAGATGAAGTCACCCCTCCCTGTCCTTGCTACTCTTCACTCCTCTGCCTCGTCCAATACCACCCCTGGGATGAAACCTGCGCCTCTTCCCACTCGTCCGCCTGGCGAAACACTCAAGTATGCCTCCGCAGCAGCTGCAGCAGCTTCCAGCGATAAGAGTGGAGTAGGTATCTTCCCTCTCCCCCGCCACCCGGCGCGAGTCCTGCATTTTCGCCTATTCTTTCCGTTTCGACAAAGGCCGAGTCGTCTAGTTATTCGCCAAGTGTTGCTTCTGTGCAGCCTGTGCAGCCAGTTGTCAATGCATCTGCAACCATTGCTACATCGCCAGAGGAGCCGATTGGATCAGGACGAACAAAGACGCCCGGCAGAACGAGGGCGCCCAGTACCTCGTCAGCAACCCCGGTCGATAAGTCGACAGCAGCAGTTAACGGTAAGGCCATTAATGAAGGCGCAGTCGAAGGTGCGGGAGAAGGCTCCGCAGCAGGCACAGCATTAGGCGATGAGTCGATCTATCATCTGCCTCCGTGTCTGCAAGATTTGGTACAATCATTTGAGTTGACAAAGCAACGTTCCTCCGTGAACAACTCACAATCAGTGCAACGACTTCTCGCAAATTCATTAACCACCTGTCCGGAACCCGGTGACGCCGACAAGCCCCGCCACTACAGAGCGCAAAACCCCCACAACACTCCCCTCGCCTACCCACAAGAGCCCCTGTCTATCTTCCAAGATCCTCGGTTGTACGATACCGGACGTATCGACACTGATACTCTTTTCTACCTTTTCTACTACCGCCAGGGCACATATCAGCAATACCTTGCTGCCAAGGCCCTGAAGAACCAAAGCTGGCGTTTCCACAAGCAGTATCAGACATGGTTCCAGCGACATGAGGAGCCAAAGAATATCACGGAAGAATTTGAGCAGGGTACATACCGTTTCTTCGACTATGAGAGTACCTGGTCAGTATCCGTTACAGAAACCACCATTTTTTACCGTTACTTGTAGTCACGTGCTAATGTATCGTGCCCGACAGGATGAACCGGCGCAAGGCAGATTTCAAGTTTGTTTACAAGTACCTCGAGGATGAGCTCTAAGCCCCTCGGCTCTTGTGCTTTGGGCCATAGCTATGTTCTTGATGCGATTGCATGCAATTGCCCTGAAATTACATGAACGCCCATCGCTTTTTTTACGTTTCTTTTGATTCCATGACCGTATGAAAAGTGCGCTATTTTCGACTATGGCTGTTTTTTTATGGTTGTAAGAATTAAGATGTATTAATCGGAGGGAGATAGAAGGATCTGTCAAGATATCTTTGTTCGAGCTCGTGTTCGTGTTTGTGACGGTGGTTGTATCAGTCTATCTTATGGCCAGTTTTTCCCTATTTTGCTTTTTTTCGGATATTGGGATGACCCTGGATGGGGATTCAGGGACAAGGGAGTTTTCTACTGTTTTTGAGTTTACCCCAGATGGTTGAGAAAGTCGTCGATTCCATTGACGAAGTACAATTCTGTGTAATATGGTAGAAGTACCTAGGGCACGGTAAATCCTTCAGAGGTTAAAGTACCGATACCCTAGCATAAACCCACTAGTACGTACTCCCTACTACTTGTACTTATGTGGATCTGCTTTAGCCCAGCTGTGCCCTTGTGATCTGCAGGCACGGGCAACTGAAAGAAAGTGAAGAACCAGTAGGAAAGCAATACTATGTCGGCTCCATATCCCTGGCTGCATATACGCCGTACAATTTACTATCATTGACCAATAAGGAATATAGTACGATTCCACTTTGACACCGGGAGGAATGAGCTGCATGATCCCTTGACTAGCGGCTAATGTTTGCGCGATTTTTATTCTAGAATTCAACCTGGAAAAGGAAAGTGAAAAGAAAAAGAATTACTAGAAGTTTAGTGCGTTAAATAAAATTAGATACACGGATGATATCAGAACGGGCCGGTTAATCCCGATATCGTCGATCCTATTCACCCCGGATTGGCGGGAATTTATTAAGATCGTGGATCACGGGATTCACGGAGGACATTATACTCCGTTGTTTATATTAGGGCTATAATCGACAATAAAAGTACTATAATACCTAGGTATATTACTCTCAATAATATAGTATGGTGCTGAGTTCCAAATTTGGTCAGTACACAGTAAGCAGGATCCAACATGGCAAAATCAACATGGCAAGATCAACAAGGCATATCGTTCTAGAATCCGAAGAGAAGAAAAAAAAAAAAAAGAATAAAGACACAACGCCACAACATCCTGAAACGAACATCACGGGCCAAACCTTCCCTAGGACTAAACTTCCCCTCCATGTCAGAATTCAAGACGCTAGAAGTTTTCCAGAAGCCGCACTAAGCACTACAAACACTGTAATTGGACATGATCATCCTTTGAAAAGAGGGGTAGAAGCGCAAGTCTGACCGCTTCTTGAAATCCGTGCAGCTTATCGGGGCCAATCCTCTTGCACCTCTTTTACTTTCCAATCATAATTTCCTTTCTTGTTGGTGGAGAATCGGAGGTCCGTGATGTTGTGGCGTTGAGCTAGAAGGGAAGTCGAATGTTCGTCACATCACGCTAGGCATGTCAGCTTTTGGAATATTGGAACTTGGATTACACTAATGCAGGATCTAGTAGTAATTGCAGAAATCCCGCATGTGTGGTGATTCCAGAATGACGAGGCGGGGTGGGCTGTGTGATGTGTGATGTGGGCTATGGGCTATGAGATGGACCAGTTGTCATTGAGCATGAACATTCAACTAAGAAGTATTGGAACCCGGGTGACTCGAGATGCAGGAAACAAGTTCACTAGAGGGGAAGTTGAAACTTGTCAAAGCTTCTGTACAGACATACTATACCTCTTTCTCTCTTTCATTTGGAATGCTCTGAATACCTACTCGCCCCCAAACGACCAATCATTGTGGATTTTCCTGACTAGGAACCCCCATCGAGGACGTAGAAGGATTCGTACCGGCGTGTCTCACGATGGTTAGTTTACAAGCCCTGAAGATTGGGATTTTCCTTCATTTTTATTTTTATTTATATTTTTATGAATTTTTATTTTTATTTTTTCTTATTCTTTTTCTTCTAGATTCCTGACTTGCATTTCATTTAAACTACCAGACTGCACCTTTAATCTCCTCCAAGCAATCCGCATCTACAATCGCCAATATGCAGTCCAACTTCAACTACGAACAATACTCTCCCTCTCCCTCATATCCATCTTCACCGGTAGATTACTACTTCTATGGAGCTCCTCAAATCTACGACCGGATATACGATATCGACACATGCAGTCCTTTTTCCAGTGGCAAGGCAGAAGTTACTCCAGATGCATACTCCTTCACCAGCTCGCCTTACTTCTATTCTCCTGTGAACGACTACTCCACCTACTACGATGCTCAAGCCATGACAACCAGTGTTGCCAGCCCAGCTAGTAGTACCTGTGGAAGTACCTGCGGCAACAGCTGGAATATGCTTGAGGAAATCCCAATGCCCAGCTTCCCGATACCCATGGCAATAGGCGATGATTCGTGTCCAGACTCTCCACCAGCAACATCCAAGTAAGTATATCCTGCTTGAGACTATCATTTACAGACCGATCTAACAATGTACTAGACCAGCTAAACCATTTGGTTGCGATCAATGTGGAAAGTCATTTACTCGCTTCGCCGATTTGAAGCGTCACCAATCTAGTGTGCACTACCCTGTCTTCCGCAATTGCCCTGTTGGGAACTGCTCCCGCAAGGGAAGCAATGGCTTTCCGCGCCAAGATCACCTGGTCGAGCATCTTCGCTCATACCACCATCTGGATGTGCCGAAGCGACGGGCTTTGAAGAAACGCTCCGCCAAACACATCTCATGACCTTCTCGCGCCTCACTATTTGGGGAAACTTTTGATTTGAACTTTTGATCTTGATCTTATGATATTACGACTTTGCGGCGATTTGTGTTTTTGTCGATTTCGGTCGATTTATGATGGCGCCTTGTTTTCATCTTCTCTTCTTTATCTTTCTTCTTTACCTCTTCTTTACCTTTCTATCGCATCGACGATCTTCTTTTTTCTCTTCCTTAAGCTCAGTGCTTGTTTCCATAGACTTTTTTACGACATTGTATAGAAGTCGGCTTTTTTGTGATTTTGGTGGATTCATGTCATGTCTATAGATTTCTGATTTTTAAGGTAGGGTGGCATTAGCGGGTTCAACATTTGAACATTGGCTTCAAGGTTGGGGTGGGAAAAAAAGGCTGGGAGAATAGAACAACTGAATCTTTGTTTCATCAGTATTTTAACCTATGAGTTGTTTTATCTTGTTTTACCATATTTCATAAAGTCCACGACTCGGTAAGACGATGCATTAGAGTTCATGTCACCTAAACTGACTCGTGTGTAATCCTACTAGTTTGATTTATACTCCATTTCTCCATAATTCAAACCAAATACTTTTTATCGCATTCCCTGATAGGTAGGTTACACGAATAGACCTGGTATGCAATGCAAATCCTGAACTACTATGTAAACCACCGGCCATCCCCGCTCTCTAAAGGCTCCATTGCATAAGCACCCACTTTTTAGCCCCTGCGCAAAATTGATTGTCATAGACGCCTTTGGACCAGACCAAAAAGGGCAATGGCCAAGCGAAAAACTAAAAAAGCCCTATAGAAAGAATCCTTCGATCATAATATTCCGGAACTGGTGGTTAGACAATGCTGAGGGTACTCCCGCCGGGTACATTAGGGAAATCAAGTATAGACTTATTCTTTCTTGGTACTAGCGGGCTGCAGGGGTATTGACTAGTCTGATAGCCTTGCATTCTGATTCGATCTAAGAGCCGAATATTGGAACATTCGAATGACAACACCAGCTAACGCACTGAGGCACTCTCCGTTTTAGGCCTAGCATGGAATCCTTCCAGCGGGAACGGATGCTTCGAATTGTATTCCGTAGCCGTAGATCTTTTTCGCTTATTTTTTGGTACTATATACCCACTTATCTTAGCTTTGCACCTGCAGTAGGCTGACACCAGCCCATTAGCAAGGTACTAACTATCACGCAAGTCAGGCAACCTCGTGGCCTGCGATGGAACAAAAAAAGCGTCGAAAGGTACGAGTTCAAAGCTGAAAAAAGTGGGAACCCTTTGAATTGGTGGGAAACGGTTGACGTTTCTTTCAGCATGCGCGATTTCCAATTCCAGCTCCAATTTTAGTTGAAATTCATGCGCCAATTCCAACCCCGATATCAGTCCAAGCTCTAGTTCTAGCAAGTTTCAACACTCCCAAGGTTCAAACTCCAGACCCAGTTTCCAAAATAGCACATTCCTTAGCATAGTCACTCCACACAGCACAACTATCCGACAGAAATTGCATATCATCTGCCCAAGCCGAAGCCAAAAGCTCCTTTATCTCCGCTTCCCGCTCAACAAATTGTAATGCAAACCCTTGCTCAAGATGCCATCCAATGTGACAGTGCAGGAGCCACGCTCCAGGGTTATCTGTGCGGAACGCTAGAGCAAGATGGCCCCATGCTGGTAGCAGCGCCGTATCGCGCTTGGGTAGCGTCCCCGCCAAATGCACAAGTCCATTTCTACTTGCACTAGCCTTTCCACTTCGTTCGCCTGGAACCTCGTAGCGTCCTGGTCCTTGCGCAACCACTAAAAAATCATGGCCGTGTAGATGAATTGGATGTGGTACGCCGACGGATGTTTCAATCACCACTAGTACCCATTCCTCGGCGTGTGGAACCGCAATCACCGCAGTGGATGGGGATTTGTTGGTCGAGACCAAGTCTGCATATGTGTCTGTGTGGATCTGGCGCAGAGTGGGTTCACTCCAGTTTAGGTACATGCTCGTCCCGTTCAGCTGCCAGCGATAAAATGAGTTAGTTGTTGTGGAGACTGTGGCTGGGAGTGTTTCGTTATATGATTCGCCTCTTTGGTCCGGGAAGGCTTGTGAGATTATTGGGATTAGATTTGAGGCTTTTTCGTCTGTGCAGCTATTGGTACTAGTGGAGTTGTGGGCTGTCGTGATTGGGAGCGTTGGTGGGGTTTCATGCTCGCTTCCACGTGTGTTGTAGTATACTATTCCTCGAATGTTGTTGGCGTTGCTGTTTGTTGAGCAGGCCTTTTGTGGTATAGCTCGCATCCAGAAGCTTTCGTCCGTGCTTTCATTTGCGTGTATAATTATATCATATCGCTGTCCTGTTTCATCGGCATCCAGTCAGAAATCCATGCATATCCGATTCGGAGACCTTTCTATATTGGGCTAGGGCGGGGTTTAGTATCGCCTACCAATTGCAATGTAGATGACCGATGTAGTGTATGGTTTTATTGGAACGAGGTCAGTGGCAATGACCGTCATCAAATGATGATCTACAGAAAACTAGAGGATGATTAGTCGTCCGATCTCATCAATTATGGAGTCTGATAGTGAGTAATACCGAGAATAGTGTGTCACATGCCGCATTACCCAAACGTAATCTGTAGGATTTCCCCGCTTCGAACGAGATATTGAAGCGGAATCCGGTCTGATTGGGATCTTCATCTTCCCCGAAGACATTCACTCCATTGATAAGCCCATTATCAAGCATTGGTGACCCGATAAGCTGTGCCGTATCCCAGAGCTCGTCAACTGTCCGAGCATCCCAGTCGCTTAGTAGGATGACGCCCTTGTCTTCGTCATAGTTGGCACTAGCGGGTCCGTTGATGATTATTCCGCCAAAGGCTCCTTCCCACGTTTGAAGCCCTATATGTGAATGGTACCACGTTGTTCCGTATTGTGTCGCCCGCCAACGATATGTCATTGTGTGACCTGGTGCAAGTGGGCACTGCGTTATGGATACCACGCCATCCATTGGATTGCTGTAGTACTGCCTGATACCATGGAAGTGTATACTGGTGCCGTTGCGCGCCGTTGCGGGCAGTTTGTTGTGCAAATGAACAATCACTGTATCTCCCCAATTAACTTCAAGTGTCGGGCCTGGCACGGATCCGTTGAATGCTAGTGTCCAGCGGGTCCTTCCGTCTGGTGCAATATATACTTGGTCGAGTTCAAGCCAGAATTCTCGGGTAACGCCTGTGTCTGGCGTCGTGGTAGTGTAGTCCGTGTTAATGTCATAGTTGCACCATTGTTGTCGGGTTTCTGGTGTATTTCCTAGACAGCTATCAAAAGATCTTTTCTCAGCTTCTGAAGTTAAGGGTGTCTCATAGAGCTGATATGAAGAAATGGGTGAGCTCCTCGCTAACAGTGCCGACAGGCTAAACATACACCAGAAAGCCTGCTTCATCGTACCTAGGTGTGTAGATATGAGTCTCGCTACTACCATCTAGGAGCTGTCGACAATTTGTACCTGAGAAATACTTTCCAGCCCAATAATCTGGAATAATACAAGTCCGATCGTGCAGGAATCAGGATTCATCCGACCAGGGATCGGAGTGTGCAGGCATGGATTGTCCAGGTGCAATGATCTGCCACGGTTAGTTTGAATCCACATCTGTGCTGTCATGTGGCAGCTAGTGTCTAGCTCGCTGAACCCAGCGATTTGGTCTATGCGGGTAGATGCATATAGATCTGGGTACCTGCTTTAGTAGATGAATCGGTCATAATCAGCCTAGGTAGATAGTATTTTCAATACAAGCCTATATACCCCGTTGATAAGAATGTGATTCCAAAAGTCCAGTCCTAGGAGCTCCATAGTATCTATGTACTTCGATAGTTCTTTCTATCTAGATATCTCCATGTATCAAAATATTTCTATTGCCTCGCTCGCTCCATTCAGAACTTAACCATCAGGATCCACACTCGGTGTAAATCTTAGTTGATATCAAGAGCAATTAAAGCATGGCAGACTGCAGCTCAAGTTAATTTTAGCGACTAGATTCCCATAAGCTCACACATGTGGTCAACGATGAACCCGAGGTCAAAGTAAAGTACTGCCACCCTTGGATGTCGACAACTCCTCAAAATCCGTAAAACAAACACCAAGCGCTTTCCCCGATACATCGAAATCCACCCCCTCCTCTTTCAACCGCAATATCTTCTCATCGCGAAATTTATGCGTGCTGACCCTCCACTCCCCTTTATACCCACCTAACGACCCACCCGCCGCAAGGACCCGGTGACAGGGAACTTCGGGTGCAAAAGGGTTTGTGCGCATCGCGTTTCCCACGGCCCGCGCGCTGGACTTTAGGTATGTTGCCATTGCGGAGTATGTGGTCCAGCGGCCGCTCGGAACGGAGAGAAGGACGCGGTAGACGCGTCGGCGGTATGGAGTTAGAGTTGGATGAAGGGAGATGCGACGAAGGAACTTTTGGGTTTGGATGTTATTTGGTCGGCTGGTTGGTATAAGTCTCTTGAGTTCTTGCTCTATTTTTGCTTCTGTCTCTGCCATTTTATATTGGTTTTGCTTGGTTTGATACTGCTTGGCTGGATTTGTCAGTATGGGATAACTTCAGTGGACGCGACAAGACGCGTTGAACTGGGTTACTGACATGATATTGAGGATATAGTTTGAATTATGGAGTTATAAAGAGAAGGTAGTTCAAGTAAAAGAATGGGATTTAAGAGCTGTCATATAGGAAGTTGCGCCAGGAAGTTGCTCTCAAAGTGGCCAATCACAGCCCCCATCTGATTCCAGCTTCCTCGAGGGGGCAATTTTTTGGAAAACCTCGGAATCAGACGTGGCCAGGTCATTATAAAGGGCTGATCCTATTATCATTTCTATATGACCAAGACTCTACACTACATCACGAAGGAAGATTCGTCAATTAGTTAAGTCCTCGAATCATATCACGTGACATAACTTGAATACAATTAGTTAGTTATTTCCTTCTTGGGATATCCTGAGGCTGTCACGGTGATATCAATTTCATCATTTCAAAGTTTTCCAAAACAGGGAATTTTTGCAATTGATTAAATTTGAAAATATGGCTATGGAAGATGCACGTCCTCAGTCAATTTTGAGTCTTTCCTTCCAGATCTTACGTCGCCTCCTATGGAGCCCTGGAGGGTTTTTCTGATCGGGCCTAGCAAGGCACAGTGAATGACTTTACCCACACTCACTGTTGAAGATCTCAGTAATTTTGCTCTGGTAGCTGATAATTCAATGCTGCCGATACTGTCATTGATTCAATTCGATTGGTATAATACAATACTCTAGCGGCTCCCAACAGTGCCTAATAGTGTTATTCTAAAGAGGAGTCATATATCCCTTGAAATTAGTAGTCCTTATATTCTATAGTGCATATGACGCTTAAATTAAGTGCTATAATATCATAAACCGGCGTAGTCAATATGTAATATCCGATATGGTGTAATTCAGGGGGACGACGAAATTGCTATGATTATGCGTGGCGTTGTTGTAGGAAAATTGAGGAATTACTGCAAAATTAGATTCAAGGCTTCAAAGCATTTAATATGTTCTTATGCACGTCCCCCTCCTACCCTCGTAATATTAGTCGTGGTCGTAATCCACCATGTAGGAATTCCTCTCTTCCCCTTTTCTTACAAGGCCAGTATTCTTATCCCTTAATAGACAGTATTTTTATAATCAATACCCTGCGCCTTTAGACCTAGCCCCCAGTCCGCAAATTGGTCCCAAGTTTCACTGACCTTCAACCCATTGATGGCCGCGCCACTTACGTGAGCAAGCGTCGAAGTCGTCAGCTCAGTTATATATAGGCTTCCGTCAGGAAAGACGACACGATGAGTCCAACTCCTCTGGGTGGGCAACACGATTGAGTTTTGGATCATAATCCTTGGACTTGCCGAGCCACCGGTCGAAAGATCATCTATCTTCACAGTAAATACAGCATTGACGCAAGAAGCACAGAGAGTAGATGACCCCAGTAGCCATAGTTGCGTTGGATCTTGGCCAAATGCGATGTGAATTAGACCTGCAGTACTGCCGATATAAGAGGACATAGCGAACCAATCAATAGTTGCGTCTGCGTTGATGCGTCCAAATGTACCCGTACCTGTAGTCACATTTCCTAGCAAAGTGACCCAGGCGTTACCATCCGGTCCAGCTACCAGGCCAACGGGCGTGTTCCCTTGCTCTGGAGGAACCGTAATCTCCTCACCACTCCCTCCATCGTTCTTGTAATGCCAGATCTTGCTGCTTAAGTCCAGACTAGAGAAGACATGTCCGCTTGTAGGGTGTATAGCAATGAATATTGGACGTCCGCTAACAGCCCAGACTTGGTGTTCATCCGGGTTGTTGATATTAAATCTGACTATGTGCGAGCTATCTTTGCACGCTACCCATAGGCTTCCATTGTTTTCTAAGATTCCGTGGGGTCCGAACGCGGGATAAGGTATAGGGATAGTGTTGATGATCCTTGGTTGGTAGTCGATATCGTCACCATTCGGATCAATGTGGAGGATAGCGCTGTCAAATTGGACAGTTGCCCAAACGGTGGATCCAGAGGAATTAGTCCCGGTGTCCGAGGAGAGTGTTAGTCCGTGTAGACCAGACCATTGATTTGTTACGGTCCATTTGCGAGCGCCAGTAGGCCGTCCATTGTCGTCAAGCGATACTTTGACCAGTCCGCCATCAGTTTGCTGAGAGATGAGTAAAAGCTTATCGCTCAAGGCGACGATTTCGTGGGTTTCAGCAGCAGCCGGGAGAGGATATTCGACCACACTTTTGGCAGGCAGGGTGCCTACAGTGGTGCCACTGACATGACTTAGTAGCCATAGTTGCAATTGCAATATAGAGAAGAGACAGAGCCGCATTCCGTTTTCTTATTTTGGTAGAACAAATTGAAAAGTTTTTTAGGCTCAGAGCTGATTAGGGGAACTGCATTTATAACTAGTCAACTAATAGCTAATTAAATACGGAGTACATAAATATTTCAGAAATTCTATTGTGTAACCAGAAGTGAAATCTTTCCGCTTTTGTTGGTTATCGGGACAGATTTTACGCCAGTAGGCTTTATCTTGTAACTAATCTACTATTAAATAATCGTCTTTTGAGCACTTTTCATCACACTAAACTAGCCGGAAACTTTATCTACTAATTCGGTGATCTCTGGAATTGATAATCTTCATTGATACATCAAATATTTGACTTCTCAAAATGTGCTCGGACTCCAAGATGTTGAGCTCGGAGCAGCTCTCTAGGATCCCGACACCTGAGGAGATGTTAGGAATGACTTTTTCAGAGCGCTGGATTTTAGAAGAAGACTTTGTGCTTTCTGGAAATATCGAAGTACTTCAGGTCTATCGGTACATTTTTGGACGTCGGATGAACGCCTCGAATACGACTTCGCGGTCCTTCTTCGAATTGAGATTCAGTTTCGGGAGAATTCACAATGCCAGTCAACCCTTGAAGAGATGCTTAGAAGTGGAAAGAACACCCGAAGCTTAACGAAGATTATTTCGAAACTTCGTGAAAATTACTGGATGTTAGAACGTAAATGGTAGCACACTCAGTTAGTATTCCCTGCTTATCACCCAGTTGCGCGAGGATTTAGAATCTGGCGATCACACCCAGCCTGGTATATGCATCATCTGCTTTATGAGAATTGTGTTAAAAGAGGTGGATGCTGTGAAAGAGAGTGCAACTGCTGCTGCTTTAACCGAAACGAAGACTTGCGACTGGCCATTGCACTATGGAGTGCATATGCTGCCGGAAAGCTCGAGGCTTTGAACTCAGCCATCAGAAGAAAAAAACTAATTCGGACTTTATTCGCACCATCAAAATGCATCTTGAAAGAATCAATCGATTCTGAATACTATTAATTTCGGCTATATGCTGCGGCTTATTAGGAGTTAGCAGATTGAGCACCACAGGCCCCTCATTTGGTAGGATCGTTACCTCTCCTCAATGATATATACCTCTTCTAGAAGAGGTTGACATAATAATCTCTAAAGCCTACGAATATTAGTTGTTGAACACTTTCAAGAGCAAACTAGGGGTATATCTCTTGATCAGCTTTGTTTATCCTATTGGGTAGTTCAGTAATAAATTATACTGGGGATTACGACGTTCTGTTTATTAATTTCTGTTCTACTTTGATTTATGGGTCGTATTTCCTATATTCTTAAACCTTGCTAATTGATTTTATCAACCTTGATATACCTGTTCAATATCTATGGATATCTAGAACCTGTAGATAGAGTCATCGTAGAATACCTAGGTGCCTAGGTAGTATCCAGAAAACTTTTACCAAGGTTGAATCTTCTCTTATGAGACTCCAGCTCAGGCGCCCTTCCCCTTCATGAGAATCTCTTTAAGGGTTGAGCGATGTTACGAATTCTCCTAAAGCTAAATCTCCACCCGGAAGCTTTGTCTGAGGCTTGTGAGTGTTTGCATGAATTTAAACGCCATCCAATGAAAGAAAGATACTATTAATACGGCGCAATATTCGAGTATGAGGATATACTGGATGACTTGGATTGAATCGCATCGCAATCACTACTCTTTTTATAAGAAAGTTTTAGGCTGGGCCCGAAAGGGCATTCTAACTTGTGGAGCAGACGATATAGTCAATTCAGATGACTTGGATAATTGTGATGATCTGGGCTGGTAGAAGAAACTCAGGCTAGTCGTTTGAAGTAAGTGACTTGACTGGAAAAGTAGATCAAGATTGACCACACCAACTAAGCTAAGTGAGGCTTAAAAGAGGCGAGAGAAATGTTGAAATAAACAGTAAATTAGCCCTAGACTGCGAGGCGATCTTCAAATGTACTGGATCTACAGGTTCCGAATTTCATCTAGTACCAACACCCCTATTTTGCCCTTATATTTCTCGATCATAATGGTCGCATCACGGTCGAGCCATCTCCATCAATTGCTGGCTTTGGCAGTGCCATCTTCACACCAGAGGTGGCGGATTGCTTTATCAAGATTGCTACTTCCGAGAACGAATCCGTAAGTGGCGAGGGATACCAGGCACCTGGAACTAGGATCATGTAGAGCACACTCGAACATCTCCTTCATTAGACACGCAAACACGGCCGTCACAAATTGAGTGGATTTCAATGAGCCATACACTCCCCAGCATCGCTTGCTGTGACTAATAAAGCTTCTCTCGCTGTAGCACTAAATCTGCTCAACTTGGATCGGCCTTCCAAAAGTTCGTCCGCACTATATCCATTAGTTGTTTACGACGCGGTACGATGTCAACAAGGTATCAATGCAGCGCGGAAATGGGTCGGAATACATTCGCTTGAGTATTTGTAGGAATAGAATGCATGCATCGAGGGCGTTGTAGCGACTGTAAGTGTGGATGCTGAATAGACTGTTTGCGTTGGAAGATTGTAGTCGGACTGCTATGTTTTCATCTGATTCTCATCTTGGCTCGCAACAAGGGCTCAGTTTCAAGGCTCTTTGCTGGTATAGGTATCGACCGTGCTAGCACTACTTTCAAGAGCGTTGTTATACCACCTCCTGGTAGCACCGACCGAGGTCTATTATACAGAATGTGCTCACACTCGCTGTGAATCAATGCCGTAATTCTGAAAATGCTCGAGTAGGGCTAAGAGATTCTTCGCAGTGAAGGCGAGTAAGGTAGATAATTTTATAGCAGAAGTGCAAGTTCGGTGGGGTTTTCATGGCTGGCTACTTGGGCACAGCTCTAGAACTACAGTGCACATTTTGTGTGAATTCTGTCGCGCACTGGCTCGGGGATCTGCCTCATGGAATCGGGAAATCTGACCGAGATCACCCTTAGGGAGGGATACCATAATTTTCATCATGAATTCACGATCGATTATCGGAATGGGGTTCCATAGTACTTTGACCCGACCAAGTGGTTGATCTGGGCATGTTATCAGATTGGGCTTGCCTCACGTTTCCCACAAATCGAGATTTGCAAAGGGAGTCTACAGCGAAGACAGGGGAAATTGGAGACAGAATTTGAGATGGAGTCAGGTGGACTGGGGTGTGTCACTGGTAAATCTTCTCGTCATGGAGTGGGACGAATTCCAACAACAGTCGAGGACAGGATACAACATCATAGTCATCAAGGGAACTGTTCATGATGTTTTAGCTTTTGTGACAGAGCACCCGGGAGGCACAGCTATAATAACAGGGGCAAAATTGAAAGACGCAACCGAGATGCTGGAGAAGGGGTATATGGTCGAGGCGGGTAGGTCCATTCTACGCTAGCCGTATTAGGACTGGGTGAAAAGTACCCGTCAGCCGAGTTCTGCCCCACTGTCAGCCGAGCTGTGTTCTGGATCGGGCCCTTGACATCTCCTCCCAGTCACGGGGTTTCACGGGGTTATCACCAAATTCGTTATAAAAATGCAGCTGGCAGTAATTGCTCATCTGAAGGATCTGGCAGCTCTGGGTAGATCCCACGCTTTCTCAGCTATGGAATGACAAACTCAAGCAGGTCTTCAAAGGTACCTGGAGTGGTATTGAAACCATCAATGTCGGTCTCACGAACCCATCGCTTCATCTCATCCACAATAGTGGTAGGACTTCTGATGGCTACAGGTCCGAGACCACCAATGGCAGCCTTCTCCGAGATAACTCTAGGTGTCCAGCGAGGGATGTACTCGCTGGTCTTGGGCAGGGAATTAAGTTGACTGGTGATCCTCCCAGCTGCTAGAATTATACTACGCGCGAGAGCTCTACTAGAGGCTAAGCTCCCCCTGAGCCTTTGGCCAGAGGCAGTGAAAGCGGCCATTTATCTCCTAAACCGAACACCCACCAGGATCGATGGGAATTGGCTTGTCCCCTGGGAAGAAGCACGCAAATTCGCGAATGCAGACTTACAGGGAAGACGAGCTCCTATGCCGAAAACCAACCTCTCAAATTTACGACTTTACGGTTATCTAGCTTACTGCAGGATCCAAAAGATCCCAAAATCGCACAAAATACAGAGGAGAGCCGAAGTTAGATTCCTAGTAGGATATATAGTGTAACAGGCTGGTGCCTGCTTTAGCATTCGTGTCTGTGCCACTCATTCTCGTCACGTGCTCCCCGCACCCGCACCCCTTACATTGCCACATGTCCATAGCTAGTCTCCCTCTCTTCTCTTCAAGCTTAATAAAGACAGTTTGTCGGCATCACTAGTTCTGCATTCAAGATTAGTATTAGCCCTTCACACTAGCCTCTATGATCTTCTAGAGCTCCCGTTCCCTGTGCTGGTTGACTTAGTTCTTGTAGATTTCTTCCTGGTAAGGGCTGTTGTCATCTGTCCTAGGTTTAGCATGAGTTCCAGGTTTGGCATAAGTTCTAGGTTTAGCATAAGTTCCAGGTTTGGCTCAAACCTGGTACTACTTGGGACTGTTATGTCCGCCGTAGCTGAATGACTGGTCTGGCCCAGCTGGCTTACCTATGTGGTGTCCTCTACCGGGCAGACTACTTCTGTTATCATGTCCACATCTATAGACTCGCTGGCAGATAGCTGCTGCTGCCGCTGGAGGCCGCTCCTGGACACCTTGGCCCCTGACTGAGTGGTGGTCCTCCTTTCCGTTTCCTTTCCTTTTGTTCGCGCCCGCTGGATAGCTTGCAGGCTAGACTGAATTGCTTGTGGGCTAGTCGAGTCCTGTGTCTGTGCGGCGCTTTCGCTTTCGCTTCCGGCAGTGGTCAGGTCGCTACCCCTAGTGCCACTGCCCTCACTTGATGATGACTGCTCGACCGGCGTGCCCCACAAACTGGCTGGTGACGGCTGCAGCACCATAGATGGTGTGTTAGCGGAGAAGTGAGCCGGAACCAGGTGGTATCGCGGTCGATATCCCGCCATCTCCTTCATTTTGTCGACCTCGCGCAGCCGGTCAGGGCAGTCGTTAGCCGGCGTGTGTGCTCCTACAGTTAGCACACTTATTTTCTTTTAGCGTGCCGTTGGCCTTGGCGCTGCACTTCTGAGACAAGTGTCCGCCGGCGTAATACACGCAGGTTGGAGACATATTCGGGCAGGTGGCTCCTATATGACCATATTTCTGATAGTTGTGACACTGATGTACACAGATTGCCCGATTATATATCACAGCAGTCAAGCAGCTCCCATCCCAGAAGACTCCCCTATCGATGGCCGTGTTGGCTGGTAGTGGCGATGTGAACTCCGCTACCAGCGATCCCGACTTACCACGACAGTCGAGTGATCTCTGCCTCTCCCCAATCTGACCGATTGTTGGCCAATAGCTGCTTAATGACCTTGTCCTACACGCCCTGTAGATCCTCTGTCCGTGGCGTGTTCACCCCCAGCGAGCGAACATTGATATCGTGGATCACGATACCCCAGGTTGGAAGCAGCACCTCTGCTTTCTTCCCTAGAGAGTGCACCAGCCTTCGCGGTGCACCCGCAGGATTTCAGCTTCCTTTGCTGTCCTCGCAGTGAAGCGGAGATCGCCAGACCTCAGCTGGCGGGCTGCTAGGAAGCGCACAGAGGCCAGTGGCGCGGACCCAATGGTCTTGGCTGCTCGCTCACGCAGCCGGTTTGCCTTGGCAGTCATCTCGACAGGCGTTTCGCGTCGGTAACGGTTGACTGCCTCAGGGTCGTTGAGGCGGACTGTGATCGCTCACCGCCGCGGTCGCAGACGATGCAGAGCCATGAGACGACAGATGGTACGCTGGGGCTGGCGCCGCTCTCGCGATGTCTGCCCAGCTGCCTGTGCTCATCCGAGTTGGCAGATGCCGTTCGGCCACTGCTCTCACTGCAGTAAGGTCTTTTCTCATCTCCAGCGTTTCCTGGCGAAGCTAAGAAAACTCTGCACGCCAGTCAGCACCCAGGGGGTTCTTAAGGAGGTCCCCAGTAAGTTCCTCGATCTATTTGAGGTGCAACAAGACCTGGGTGGGCACACGGTGCCCTGCTTGCTTATCTATATAAGATAGTAACTGCTTTATGTCGTGGTTGGCGTTCAATAGTCTGGCTGTGGTGTCTGCGGGTGCCGTGCGGCCAGCCCCTCCTGAGAGAGTTGGCCACGCGGTCGCCGGCACTGGCATGCTGATACGCTCGAAAATGGTATCAGAATGTAGCGCTGGAAGTAATTACAAACTTCCCGTTTAGAGTGGATCGCCAAAAGGCTTGGTTATGGAGATATTTCAAGAATTCGATATGCCAAGAGATATGTGTTTTTTGGATGGGGACCAAAGCTGCGCTGGAGCTGTATGCAGCAGATGCGCCTAGTTGGGAGATATCTTAGCGGAAACTCTTTAGTGTATATATAGAAACAATTGGATCAAGCCCTGGAGAGATGATTTTATTGGTACTAGATAGACTATTCCTCCTCATCGACCAAGCTCTCTGCCTCTGCATACCTTTTCTCAATTAACAAACCGACAATCAGAATCCGTTTTTTGTCGTCTTCGGGCAAAAGCTTTACCCGATCCTTGTCAAGTAGTATTGTAGCCATCCGATTCAAAAAAAGCGATAGATTTCGGACTCATTGGGTCTTCAATCTCTTGCGCCTGCTCTAGTGTCATCCCGTATAAAGTCGGGAAGTGAAGGCGCTCAAAACTTGTAGGCACGAAACGCTTTGCGGCAAGGCAGTCCATGAGGATATCACCTCCATGAATATAGTTGTTCACGACACGAATACCGTCGGTCCGTTTTTTGTTGTCTGCAGTGATTGCGTCCCGTACTCATACTGACAACGTCCGTCTCTGGACTTTGTATAAGTTCTCCGACACCACACCGAGCTTCTTCGACATGCTTTCGTTGGAGTCCTCCATCTTGCTCATCCTAGATTTCATCTCTCTCATTTCATGCATGAGATCCCGGCCCTTCTCGTTAGCGACGAGTTCTTCCTCCGCGTGGAAATCGATATCGCTGATGCTGGACATCATTTTGAGACGGGCATCAAGTATTGGATTTACGTTTTTTGAAACGACTGAATCGTACCAAATAACAGGATGCTGTGACTAATCAGAGAAAAGAGTTCGTTAGGAATCATGCATTAGGAAAAGTGGGACCAGGAAAGGAAATACAGTTGGAACTCTTTTCCTCGCAGACGCAGGCGGGCTCGGCTCGAACGATCTCTTCTGAGGTACTTCCGTCATAAACATGACGCCACAGAGTTATGTTAGGAAAATAGCAAGCACACAGTGCTATGCTAACTGGAGGGAAGTCAGCAACAGAAGGCAGAGCAGAAGGCAGAGCAGAAGGCAGAGCAGAAGGCAGAGCAGAAGGCAGAGCAGAAGGCAGAGCAGAAGGCAGAGCAGAAGGCAGAGCAGAAGGCAGAGATGGTACTCACAATTCCAGCTGTCAAGGCCTCACACAGTAGTGGAGGTGAGAGAATACGGGAAGGCAGATTTTGTGGCGAGGACAATAGCAAGCACACTGTGCTATGCTAACTGGAAGGAAGCCAGCAACAGAAGGCAGAGCAGAAGGCAGAGATGGTACTCACAAGTCCAGTTGTCAAGTTGTCAAGGCCTCACACAGTGGTGGAGGTGAGAGAAGACGGAAGACAGAAGATGGGAAAGTCAGGTTTTGGGACAAGGGAAGAAGCAAGCACACTGTGCTATGCTGACTAGAGGGAAGTTAGAAAAAGATAGGAAAGGGCATGTTGAGAAAAAGAGGAAAGTGAAAGACCAGGGAAAGCACGAAGAAGGTACCGACCAACCGAAACATGATATACAGGGAGCCCTACAAATATATCGAGAGCTGTAGGGCTCCCTGTAATTGATGGGTATTGTATAATCGTGTGGGGTGATGTGGAAGGAAGAAGGATAGAGGGGGTGTGAAGGGGCTTTATATACCCACCAGATACCACAAAAATTATTCTCCAAGGTAAGTGAAAGTGAAGAACTGAAGGTAGTAAAAGGAAAATATAATATGAATTGTGATTGAAATTATTCTAAGTGAAAATTAGTATTTGAGGAAAGTTCATTATATTCATTGAGTGATTCATGAATAGATGGCATTCAAGTCGTGATCTGTGAATAGATCAAGGACACTATTTTATTCATTTTCACTTTCACTTCGCTATCACTATCACATGTAGTTTTCACCTTCATTTGCCGCAAAGAATGATCTCCGTAGTATCTGGACCATGGGGTATATAAAGCCCCTTCACCCCCCATCTATTCTTCTTCTGTACACACCACCTCCAACTCCTCTCATCATCTGTAAGTGATCTCTCCTCTCTCTGTCAGTGACAACTATCTCTTCTATTACTGATTTCCTTCTAGCTAGCACAGCATATTGTGCTGACCCCTTTCAAGACCTCAAGTTGCTCTTTTCCATTGGGTGAGTACCAACCTGAACTACTGTTATCTGTGCTTTCTGTTGCTGACTTTCCTATAGTGAGAATAGCACAGTGTGCTTTCTTCTATCCAACAACTTCCGCGCCTCCTCATACGACGTAATCTTCCTCTATCATCACCATGGCTTCACCAAGACCCATTTATGATCGTCAACATATCAACACTTCGGAGTTGATGCAAGCTGGTAGCCAGGAGCTCTCGTGGTATAACGCCATAACCCCCTATCCTCCTGGGAAGTTTACAGGCAAGACCCTTCATGGCATGAGAAATCAACGAGCTGCAGAGCCGTCCCTCAATCTGTTTCAGCGATTTTCTACAGACATCGTATGCGCAGTAAAGTACACCCTTCCGAAGGAACAGCAGCATACCACGTTTGTCTCTTCTTCTTCTGGTGCGACGTTGAAATTCTCTATCGGAGGTGGAACCGAAATCCCTCATTTTCAACTGCAACTGCAACTTCGTCTAACTGCAAAGGAAAAATCTAAGCAATGCATCTTCACTATCATTTGGACAGCTTGGAATGAGAGTAGATTTGAGTCTCGCAGGGCTCCAACATACACTATGTCCGAGTCGAGCAAGTTTACATTCTCCGATTCCCTCAAGGATGTCACTTTTGTCCACACCAAATTGAACGAAAGATCGGCTAAAGCATGCACTGGAACTGCTGGTTCAAAAGCATTTGAAATAGGATGGACCTCTCACACCTTGCCGTCCATGATGGAAGGTTTCAACATTTCGAACCCCGAGTTGGAAAAACTGTTCTCGAAAGAGCAGATTCAGACTTTTCGGAATTTCCAGGGGTTATGCCGCAAAGACATCTCTTTGTCTGTCATCACCAGAGTTAACCGAGACGAAATGGAGCAGAACCGGAAAGTTCTGATCGCTATGCCTTGGCCTACCTTACCACCGTATCCTTTTTGAGCATGCTGCTATGTGAGGGAGGCAAAGATGTTCTCTGTTATGAAAGCTATTCCCGCCATCACCGATAGAAGTATCGTTGCTCACCACCAGTCCCGTCTTTTCGGATGGCAGAATATGGAAAGAGGTGGCTTTGATCGCGAAAAGTCGAAACTCCTCCAGCATATGCACACTCCGTTCACTACATACATCAACGAAAGAGAATACGAGACAATACAGATGATTGGCTTGCTACGAGAAGCTGAGGCCCAAAAGAAAACTGTTACTGCCCAATTCGATCAGTTCTACGACTTCGATCTTTTCCGTGCCGCTGATGTGCATGGATCAAATGACAATGGCTTGGATCCCTACTTCTACGCAGTAGTGGAGGCTAAGTTTCTAGCTAAGGGCGCAGGTGATACAGATGCTCAGCAGGTATTCGAACAGGATATGCCCCTTCCAGAGCCCGGTACACCCTTGAAGTTCTCAATTGTGAAGAATGAGCATGACAAGAACAATATTTGGGAAGGAATCGTTGTGTCGTCTCGTGGAATCCCGCGCTCTCATCTAGAGAAAGGAGGCAAGGAAAAGTTCAACGCTATCTGCATACGACTGAAGAGGCCCCTTATCCAGGAGTCGACAGGAATTTTCCTGCATTTGGCAGGGTACATCATGTTTGGATCGCCAGGCTCCCAGATTGTGCAAGCACGCAGCGCAATTCGGTATGCAATGTGGGGCAATGATGATTTCGGAGTTGCCCGCGATAACAAAATCAAGCGGCTTCTGCTAGCCCATGACAATTCGACAATAAAGTATCATCGAACAGATAACCTGATTGACCGCACGACACTTCGGTTTCTCGAAAAATCAAGAATTCCCGCCATCGAAATGGCAAGCAGATGGAGGCAATCGAATCTGCCTTCTCTGACGGAAAATTGTGGTACAATTTCCTCACCCTCGTCACTGGTCCACCGGGAACAGGGAAGACAGCTGTCACAGAAGAAATTGCCGCTCATTGTCTTGAACGGGGTGGCCACTGTTTATCGTATGTGCCTCTAACTATGGCCTTGATGTGATCGCAGACCGTATCCTGGCATATATGCGGAACAATAGAATTCCATCATTCGGATTTTACAGATTGGGAACCGATCACCGTGAATCTCTTGAGATGCAAATGCCGCAAGAGTCCAATATCAACAAAGATGTTGATGACCAGGATGAGGACGTGGGGAATCGTTCAGAAGCGATGCCAGTGTTTGTTACCGATGTCGAGAAGGACCTGAAAGAACGAGGAGTGGACGATAACCTCCAAAAGATTGTTCTTGCCTTGATAGATGGCATTACAGATCTTAGTCACCAATGTACCCTTGGTTTTTGGCTTTCATTGGTTCTCAAGGCCGTGATGGCCGGGCAAAAGGCAATTCTGCGCGTGAAGCTGTCTGACGAGAAAATGGAGTGTCTGTGGAAGTTTATAACTTTCCAAGAACTTCTCAGACGGCAAGAAAAATTGGCTACTGAGACTGCGAGCCTTGAAAGCGACTTCAAGTCGCTAGTTCTTGGGTCTAAGAGAAGGGATCCGCAACAAACACCCGGAGTTTCTCGTGAATGGATAATCAAGGAGCAGAAGCGTGCATGGTTAAAATTGCAACAGCTATATTTGCGTACAGCAAAGATAGTTCTTTGCACCGCTTCAACTGCCGGCCGAAAGTCGCTCCGAGGGTTTAGACCTGATTTCCTTGTCGTTGAGGAAGCGTCACAAATGATAGAGTCTCAGGCTCTCAATGCTATGATGCGACACCTTCCAAGCCTGAAGAAAGTAATCCTCAGTGGGGATGCTTCTCAGCTTCCACCAACAGTTATATCGAGTGCCTCTAACGAGTGCTTTGACACTCAAAAGGTATCACTATTCGAAAGACTGATCAGAACTGGGCACCCTCACATACAGCTTCAAATTCAGTACCGCATGGCGCCAGATATCTGTAAGCATGTCAGCAAGACTTTTACAACTCTCAGATCATGACCCATGAATCCTGTTCAGACAGACAGGCAGGACTCAAATTCGGTCAAAAGATGGCTGAATGGTTTAAGGCTCAGGCTGGATGCTCGTACTTTGTGTCTGTGGGCAAATCAACGAATTGGCACCGTAGAGGGTCCACATCAATTTTAAACCCTGAGTACGTCCAGTTTATTTGCGACTTGTGTCTAAAATTTGTCAAGGATGGGGCTTCAGAAAAGCGGATCTTGGTTCTCTCGTTCTATAACGAGGAGCGGCTAGCTCTGACTTCGATGCTCCACGAAACACTTGGTCTCAAAGACATACAGGTCAAGAGCATCGATGCTTCACAAGGGACTGAGAATACTTTCGTTATTCTTTCGACAACTCGAGTGGGAGGAAACGGAGGCATCGGCTTTGTGCAAGACTGCAATCGGCAATGCGTTGCACTCAGCCGGGCTAGAGATGGTCTCGTAGTGGTGGGAAACGAGTACATGGCCACAGGTCGTTACGGTGCAAATTACGATAGCTTGACCAGGTTGATCGGGGAGCATGGGGCTCAAGGCCGATTGATTCGCGCACAAGGTGACCGATCTCAAGTGTTTGCCGCTCTTCATATCATTGAAGAGGAGTGGGAAAAAGTCCAGTAATGGACTGGGGATATGAGGTTAGGGATATGACCAAATTGATAGCACTAAATTGAGTCTAGCTAGGCTAAAGGTCATCAGAAACTCCATCTATCTCATAAAGTAAACAGTGTTTATAATTCTCCTCGAGTACGTACTGAACTTGAAATGCTCAATACCTAGATGTCCTGAGTAATTAGTGAAGCGGACCCTAAGCGCCGTCACTGAAAGAGAAAAAAGGTAAAGGTAGAAACCTAAATGTAAGTGGATTCGGACAAAGAAGCTGCATAGCACATAAGTGATTAGTATAGCTCGGTTAATTAAAAATTCTAATTGAATTGAAAGATAATCGGAAATTCAAAATGTAGAAAAGAAAAGTTCATTAATCTACATTATCTCTATTATTCCTATAACACTTGAATAAATTCCGGTCTATCTAGTCACTGCTAATTTATGCTCCGCTCTCCTACCGTAACAATTCGTCCTCATTGAAAGAATCATATTCGGGGTCTGGTTCGGCTTCCTCAAACAAATAGCCACATTTCAGTGTCCAAAACGCCTCGGTCACAAACCAAGCATAACTATCGGGATTCCTGATAGCCTTACTTTTAAGACCTTCCTGGAGATCCTCGAGGTGTGTTACCATATAGGGACCATTTGCAATTTCCCGTATCCGCAGAGTCAATGGTTCAACCAATGTGGGCCAGGACATGAGTGCACGTAGAATGTAAAATATAAAAGGCATCGTTTCTGGAGTCACTTTTGAGCCCTTGGGAAAATCACTATATGTTAACGGCTCCTGCCTGTATTGTCCTGTTTTCTTCTCGATGGGTCTTATTTCAAAGATGCCACTATCGGGACAGACAACTATCGACGCAAGTTCATTCTCTGGTCGGTAAAGAATTGCTTTTGTGTTTAGAACTGCGTAATAATCCACTGCGCTGATGGCTTTGGTTTCAACTCGAACTACTTCGTTGATGTCTCTAGGGACATCCAGAAATTTCCCCAGGCCTAATAGTTCGATCGCTGTAACAACCCTACTTGATGTAGAGATGGGCAGCGGTTTACGGTTCAAACCCGTAAACCGCAAAAAACCGCAGAAAACCGTAAAAACCGCAACCGCAACCGCACGTTTTTTTGTTTTGCTTACTATTAAAAAACTGCGGTTTCTGCGGTTTGCGGTTTTCAGTTTTGCGGTTTTGCGGACCTGATTTTCAGAAATTTGCGGTTTAGTTAACTACCCCATCCTTGAAGAGTCTTCAAGGATTGATCCAATCGTACGCCGTACACCTTCTGGTATTCCAATTCTCTTCGTACTATCGTAACTACTCTGTTGATACCTCGACTTCGGCAACTCACCAAGTCAACCCTTACACTCAGAATAAGCAGCCAATAAAATGCTAGCCATAGCAGGATGCAAGCTATCAAGAGGAAGAATACCTCCTCGATATATCTCTAATGTGGCCCTATAATTATTTTCTAGCGTGGTCTCCCCAGCTTGAAATGCGACCGTGGAACGAGCGTATGTTACCCCACCTGCTGGAGTTACTTTCAATACGGGATACCTTTGGAATAATTTCAATGCAAACAGCTGCGTTGAGTAGTAAGGGTCCTTTGATTTTGAAGTTGTTATTTATACAAGTCATTTAATTCAACAAATATAACCATATCTTTTCCTCCAAAGTATGCAAAAGCCTATTGTCGGTTGACTAGGTTATTACCGAACCAGACAGCTATTGATATCGTTTCTGTACGTATATAATAGGTGTATGCATATTGGGTAAAAGTGAAGTGTCATTCTAAAATGCCCGGATGAAAGAAGATATAGTAGCTGCCATGCCAAGATCACATGATCTTGGTATGTCAGCTGATATTCGTTCCAACACCTATATTACATAGAAAAGTGCAACATGCGGCTCGGCTCCAGCAGTATAAATGACTCATATCGAAGACCTTTCGAAGTGCCTAGATTCTCTAGAGTCAAAGAGATATCCGGGGATACTGTAGCCCAAGCATGCAAAAGTGTTCGCCAGTAGCAGGCATTCGCCGCCGGCGAAAGATAGTGCTGGAAGACATTGACGCTATTGTCTGCAATTCTCTCCGCTTCCACGGGATTATCAAGAAGCCCTTCTATGGTCTCTCGTAAATCAGACCAATCTCTCTCTACTTCAACAAAATTCTGCTGCGGTCCGGTTGAAATAAGGAGATAGTGATGGTGCTGGATATACTGTAATTTATGAGTGACAAGAACTGATCGGCAAGCTTGTCGATATTTCAAGGATGCAGAATAAGAGCGGCCTAGTTTTGGGAAAAGATAAATTAGTAAAATTTTAAGGGTATAAAGAATAGATCGTTCCAAAGTAGGACATTACCTTCTATATGTGCAATGAAGCGGTACTTGCAGTGATCTTCCATACTAAGAAAATTTGCCTTGCTTCCCCATTCGACTTCCTTTATATCTCCCCATGGTTGATTTCGGGAGACCTCAAGCAATGTACGTCGTAACTTAGGTGCAAAACTAAGTTTTCCTCGCCAGACCAGCTTATTTGTTTTATTGATCCATTCCGGCTCTTTTTGTCTGATATGCTCGACCACCTGATCGTATGGCCCAATGGAGGCATCAAATTGATCATTTTCCCAAGCCCAGAATCCAAAGTCAGGCATCAGCCAGACAGATTCTTCGGAAGCTTTTCTTGCTAATACCCATAGAGGAGGTTGTTGATGTGATCCCATAACATCTGATAGCTTATCCTCGACAGAAAAGATAAATTCGGTGTTAGGAAGAGCAGTGTTCAGGCCAGACACCATAGCATAATAAATAGAGCTTAGAATCCCTACAATTTTCCGTCGATGGTCTTCATTTCTTGCTTGTACCTCTTTCACGTACAACCTTCCTCGAAAAATTGTGGCTCGAGCCATACCATTAGTCATTTGAATCTGATCTAGATCAGCTTTGCGAGGTCCATGCGGAGACCAAAACTCCTGGGCACGGATAATATCTTCAAAAAGGCCTGGAAAGAAAGCCTGACACTCTGTGTCGTTAAGGGACTGATTGCCAAGGTCCAGGTTAGTGCGAGAACCCGATTCAGCAAAGCATTGTAAACAGCTATCACACTTGAAGATTGTTGCAGTCTCACAAGCGCAGTGGTCTGCGGGAATCAACTGGTTGATTAAAGATGGAATGTTGTCTTTGTCGGAATTGACGCCTAGCCATATTGAAAATACCAAGAGCCCAAGTGTTGCAATCAAGCATATAAAGGCTTTGGAGCATTTATGAACCATGACTGAAGAGGATTCTCTGAAATCTTTTCTCATCAAGGTTGAAGAAAACCTTTAGAAATCCAGATGGCAAGGAGCTAGCACCGAGATAATCGTGACCAGAAATTTATCGAAAATTTCTTACACACAACTATTATCTATTCATTCTGCGGCATATACTCAGATACAGACCATACACACTCCAAAATATTAGCTTAAACCTGCACATATAAGCTACCCCCCCCCCCCCCCCCCCCCCCATCTAGGCACCAAATGTCTCAGTAGTTCTTTTGTTTCTCTACCAGATGACTTCCAAATCCGAATACGGAGTCCAGTATACGAATCATCTTCAAGTGGATCTGTGCTACTGGCGGAATATACCACGAAATTTCCGAAGACCCCACATAGTGTGTGCGAACAATTGCCACAGCTCAGTTCAATTCGATTCAATGTTCTGTTATCCAGTCGTCTAACACCAATTAGTAGTTGAATCCTCGGAGCATTACGCCGAAAATGGCTAGCAAATACTTAGTATGTGGTAGTTCTCTGTAATTGACACAGTATCAGGCCACATGCAATAGCAAAGCTTAGCACGCCACCATCAATAGAGACTCGCTCGCTCGCTCGCAGGTACAGTGTTGTCTGAAAAAAATGGGACAGAGTACAATCAATCAATCAATCAATCAATACTCTGTTAACCTGATGCAGCCTAACTAGTAGCGTATGGCTATGCAGGCGTTTCCTCCGGCGGAAACAGGAGTATTCCGAACGCCAGAATGTCAAGATAGATACAAAAGAAATGTGGCGTTGCGCCATTGTATACCGAAATCCCATATCCCACTTCTTAAACCGTAACGCCCTCCATTTAATATCGCTTGTAAATCACCCCTTCCCTGTTTTCTCCTCTCACCACTCCTTATGTTCTTCCCTACTCCTGTTTTCCTCCTTTTGTTGTTCATTGAAGTTATCGATGTATTCTTCTGAAGCTTCTCGGTAAGCTCTAGGTTTCGTCATTCCTAACACCCAGCGTCTTCACCCCGCTGCGCCATTCGTAGCTAGTTGTCGTAGTCTCCTCTAGCCTGGGTCTTCGTCTTGTTCAGAGTTAGATCCAGCGTCTATATGTCTAAACTGCCCGAGGAGGCCTGTTTGGATCATGAATTTGGCCACGTAGCGGGTGGCTTGCGAGTTTGATACCAATGCATCGTAGTCAGCCATCTTGTTCACATCCAAGTCCGTCCGTGCCCGGATCTTGGTCAACATCCGCCTCCTCAGGCTCGCGTATAACGGACACTGCAGGAGAACGTGTTTCGGCGTTTGAGACCCTTCTCCGCAGTTACACTCGTCCGAGTCGGCTTCGTTAATCTTAAAGAGGAAGTGCTTGAGAGCAATCCGCATTGATCGCATCTGGATCATCACTGCAGAGTATGCCTTCGGAGGGACAGAGTACAAGACCCACTTATTTACTGCCTGGCAGAAAGCTCCAAAAACTCCATAATATTCAATATTTAGTATGCCAACCATGGTTTTTAATAACTTGCGCAACCCTACGCGGCATAGTAATAGCTAGCCGTTCCATAATATCAAAGCTAATATTACCCCAAGCCTGTTGAGCTGTATCCACCAATAGCTCTAATAGTATATAGAGAGCTAGCTCAACGCGTTATTTACATATGGGCGGTGTAATAAACGGTGTAAAAGGGGCTGTGTACTCTGTCCCATTTTTTATCAGACTCTACTTTAACTACATAACTAAATACTGATGGGGAACTAGAGATTACATTACGATTCCTGAGTAGCCACTAGGTGTTGGCCTTGATTTTATCTTCAACTTTGAGAAGTGAGCATCATAGGATTTCTCTTGATCACCTATTCCCGAGGTAGAGGAGTGGTTCAGAGGGAGTGGACCTTTCAATACCGCCCAAACTTGGATTACTTTGCCGCGATTTTATTTTATTGTGCTTTTAAGCTGTTAAAATACATTTCGTGGTTTTCAGGGGCGCTAGTCTAGCGCTAACATTATGCAAGGACTGAAGGACTGTACGGAATAGCATCTCAGTTTCTAAGAGCCTTTTACCGGCCTACTTTACAAAGGCCACACATCACATGACCGAAACGGGGGCAAAGGCAAATACTCATTTCATAGCTCATCCAACTTGAGAAGCGCGTTCACACTTATCATCAACGATAATCGGTATACCATAGAATTCTACTAAGTCTACTTCTGATTGGTTGACCGCCAAGACTTAACAAGGTCATATATAACTACCGATCACCGATCTTGGGAGACCATCTCTCTTGGGAGATTGATATATGCCGATTAGAAGATTCGTCCGCTCGGAAGGAATGGGCTAGATCCACTTTGCAACCTTAAGATGAGTCCATTTACGAAGTTCCAAGGTTAAATACTCAATTAAAATATCTCTTCTCCCGGAATATCTACTTCAACAACTAGACAATGTCAACCGGCAGTATTACATAGAATCTTCTACTCGCTGCGCTCGCAGCCTTCAACTCTTCCTCCCATTGATACCACTAGCATAAGTACATGTATTGACATTTGAAAACACACCTTGCTCTATGTATTTCCTCTCGTACTTTGTCCTCCGTACCTATGGATGTATTATCTCAGCCAATAAAAAATGATTTCCTACGTTAGCTTATTCATACTTAGGTAATCATTTAAATGTTCTTGACGACCTTGGGACTTCAGGAACGGAAATCACACCTAGATAGAAATCACTATGAAGAAGTCACTACCGCTTTGCTAGAAGGCTCAATGCGTGCATAGCATAACTAGGTAAATTACATGCTAAGACAATAATAGGCCCGTGTATCCGCTTTTGGCACCTTGTGAAAGACATTATAATCGTTCGTGGGACTAAATCAAATGGATCAAAGTCTTGACTCGTCTTCGGATAGGCGTGGGAGCACCCTCCCGAGAAAATGATAAATAGCGACGAGAATCCCAGTGTCTGACTCTCTTTCATCATCAACTTCATACCTCATATATCCGAATCAAGGGACCACCGAGGATCCTTTCTGCTACAAGATGCTCAAATCCATGGCTTTCGCCCTTGTGATTGCGGTCACTGCTGCCGCCTATGAGGTTACCTTTGAAAAGCACTTCGCAACCGAAGAGCTGAACAAAGCCTCCCCCTACTATGACCTGTCACCCTGGGGTTATTATGGTGGCCAGCTTCCCAAAGCGTACGATATTACAAGCCACAATTACACCTACTCCCCCGAGATGAGCTTCCAGGAGTTCAACGACATCATTGCTGGGAAGCAGAATTTCTCGTCCACAAATGAGATTTCTGAAGACTCGGGCTTTGAAAAGAGATATACCTCCAGCCAAATGTCCTTTAGTCTTGTCGGTGATGGGGGTCGAGACTCATACGTTGTCAATACCGACAAGACCTGCCGAAGTGGAGACTATCTTCCTTGGTACTATATCCTCGTTTACTTTGTTGATGATGGATACATCACATTCTGGAAGAGCACTGTGTGCAATGGCAAAAAAGAAAGTTTCAATCCAACCTGCGATGAGACGAGTACAGCTGGTCAGCGATGCAATTTTGACTTCGAACCTAACTCGTTCCGTGCCTACAGTGGCTGCCACGACTCATATTCCAGTGATTGCAGCAGCACTTGAGCTGGCTAATGTACCTGGATGCTACCTGGGACATGCTAGTTTTTGATTTCAACAATCATACTAAGCATCCATTACAACTTCGGAAGGCCAAGAACGATCTATATGAAAATTTGTACTTTATTTCAACACTAAGCACCCTTAATTCATAGGGCTAGTACCAGTTTTGAAAATAGACCCATTGACGTACGCCCAGTTGCTTTTCGGAGGTTTACGTGTTCTAAAGTAGTAACTTCACCTCGGTAAAATTACCGAGTGGTTGTAATATATATTAGAGTCCAGGAGGGGAGCTATCCCCAGTTCTGGAACCTCCCTAAGAGGTTTGGAATGAGAGAGGCTACTTAATTGTTGTCCGTACACCAGTACCAAAAGTGGAATAACTATTTGATATGGTAGACAAGAGGCTAACGCCCACTTCTGACATCTATCACAGGTAACGCTTTACACCTCTATGATATCTATGTGTCCTCTTGAAGTGGTTGTAAAGTCTGGTTTTCATTCTTAGTTTGCTAGCTATTATAAAGTAACGATTCGGTCACAAGACTGCTTTGTTCCATATTCCAACAATTGTCTCAAATTTTCAAGAAGAAAAAGGCATAATGCTGCTAGTATTTCAAATTTTCTCCCTCTACTTGCAGGGTATCTGTTATCCCGCTTCTTGTGTGCCCTTCTAACCAAGTACCTTAGATTTTACTGAGTCCCTAATACGACTCCGCGTATTTGTCCAAGCTTTTCCTTTGATGGAATTTGAAGGATTTAGCCGGATCAAAACTGAAACTGTTAAATGGTATTAGAGCCCTTCATCTCAATCACCACAAGAAAGGTAAGTTTTATCAATATCTCGCTTCAACAATAATCTAGTTGGACGATAACGCCTTCGCCGATGCAAAAAAGTCAGCGATATCGGATCGTCAACAACAACGGAACGTCATTATCGAACAATGAAAATATCGCGTTCATCCCTAAGTGCCAAATCGAGAAATCAATTTGTATCATCATAGTTTTCGTTGAGCAACATGGTCCAAGAGCATCACTATCACTAAACCTGTCAGCCTCTAGGGATTTGCGAATACGAGTCTAGATAATACGAAATAACCTTAAAATAAGATAAGTTTCAAAATGATGCAATGATTAAAGGTCGCTGTCGTCGAGAAGCCAGCTCAGCCTTTTGAACGCTCATGATGGAAGCGCTCTCACGGGTCACAGTGCTAGATGGAAAATCTCGACCTTTCGAGCTTTAACTACGCCAAATCGTGGCTATATTACCGTCGCTTCCCGGCATACTTTCCCGTTTTGCTAACATATTGCTTGTAAGGCTATTATTGTGCTCATGACGATAGATACAGTGAATGCAGACACCCCTGGACTTTCGGCTCATGACTGGCTAGTTCAAGATGAAAAAATGGTACACTCTTTTATTTTGTACTATCAATATCTGATAAAAAAGACCTAGGTAAACGTCGCCTAACTATGTTTTACATGGTCGACACCCGAGTACTAGTCGCATTTGAGCCTCACGCTAGCCATAGTTTAGTACAGTGGGTGACGAAATGAAAAGCCTAGGACTCAAAAGCAAAAGCCTGGTGGCTTACTTTTGGAATCCTGTGTCTGCAATTAACTTTGACCTCTTTCTATTAAGCGATTATCAGAAAACCAGCCGGAGAACAGGAAGTCGATCAAAGTATCACTCTAAGAGGACAATTTTGTTTCTGGTACAGAACCTCCAGATGAACATCTTCAAAGCTCGTTATGATTGAATACAATAAGAGAAGCACTAATTGGTTCTCCTTGTTACTAATTAAAAAGACGCAAAAGCAGAAATTTCTTTTGCTGGGGTGGAAAAATCCACTCAATCATAGCGTTTTCATTTCATTCTAGTATAGATCTAATCAAGAAAGGTCATACATGGTCCTCGATCTATATATGCATTGCTAGACGGAAACACCACTATTTCCTATAGCAATATCACACAAACCCATATCAATTCCGCTGTCCTCCCGAGTTACAGCATATCAGATTGCTACGGTGGAGGTTGATTCGGGATTAGTCAACTATTCCAGTTTAGCATCATATGGCTCTGTGGCTCTGTGGCTCTGTGGCTCTCTCATTTCCCATCCAAATCTTTTTGCGATTTCTCTCCTAATTTCTCTCTCTTCTGACCCTCAGCTCTGAAGTTCTGTTTAATATGAGTCAGTGCTCTTCTTGGTTCGTGAGACCGAAGGGGAATGTCTGCTAGCGATAAATCCACAACCGATGGTAGCTCAGGAAAGCAAAGGAGGTTACCGGTATTTCTGTCACTAGTTGGAGATATTACAGAATAAAGGAGCAAATCAAGGGACTCAAAGCCAGAGCTCGACCCCGTGTCTTGAAGAATCTTTTGGAGCTACTCCTAACTTAGATTAGTTACCCCTCATATATAAGGTTCATCATATATAGCAGTAAACAAAGGTCATACAATTAAAAAACATTGAGCATTAGAAATGACATAAGTAGGCAAGCAAATGGTTCTGAACTCTGTTCCTCCCTTATTCAACCGTCGCCAATGATGAGAACAGCTAACCCCCGCAGACAAGCACTAAACTCATTTTCGCAGCCAGGTATTCAAGATCCCGGCGATATTTCTTCTAAAAAAGAGGCCCTGTTTGGTCGATTGTCGTCAGTGATAGTCCTGCGTCTGGAGCGGGTCGATGATCTCCTGGAGCTTTTGGAGATTTGACTAGCTTCATACTCCGCTGCTATAAACAGCTTCTGTGTGCTCCTCAATTGGATAATTTTAGTCAAAGGATCACGAACTCCATCTTTGACTAACGAGATACAGGGGAACACGGTGAGAATGTTCACATCTCGAGCAGTCGTATTCTGCCTATCTGGGATCTCGTTATCACCAGGGAAATGAAAAAGCTCCCAGTCATCATCACCAAAATCGACTAGGTCAAATTCCGTCTCATATCTCTGCTGAGCTCGTTGAATTGGATTCCAAACTTCAGCCGCTTTCCGTACAATTTTCCCTAAACTTATGCGTAATATCTCATATTGGTTATCTGAGAGCAATGTCCATAGATGTGATGACACATTGCGGATCACCATCTGAATTTTTGAATGAAGAATCCTTTCTTCGGCATTGCGATCAATCGAGAGAAGAAAACGTCGGCAGAAAGATTCCTTCTCGCTATCGTTCTCGGCGAGGTGACTGATGATTCTATGAATTTCAGAATCTTCGGGTAATATGTAATTAGGCCGGAAGATTTGTTTGCAAATTTCCCTTGACAGAATAGCCAGAGTCATGGCAACGCGTATTCCTTTAGCCTGGGGAGAGTTTGAGGGCACTAGAGGGATATATTGCTGAACAAATTGAGAGTTTTCTTTTTGAAGCTTATCCCATATTGGTTTGTCCTTTAGATCAAACGAATTAGTAAACATGGTCTTGAAGTAGGCTTGGTTATACACATACCTTCAAAACTTTCTCGTCGATATTATCCCTTAAAGCGGTGGATATCTCGCTTGACGCAAAGACCCACAGATCCGAAAAGCTCGTCGATCTAGGTGAGACAAATTAACATACGAACGCTGTCAAATATTATATGTGATAACCTACATGGAAATTTCATCAAGCTTCAATTGCTGAACAGCGAAACTTTCAATCTTTTGGAGTCGGCCTTGGCTCGATTGTAACTCTTTATTCAATGAGACCTTTTCAGCTTCTAGTTCTTCCTTCTTCTTCTGTGTCAATGAAAGCATTGATTTGAGACTTAATCCAGCAATGTTAATGTTGTCAATGGTTTTCTCTTTCTCTTTCAAGCTCTGTTGGAGTGTGCTGATCTCCTTCACTGATTGAGAAACTTTGTCGTGCTCTAAAGCATATGACGACTTAAGGCTGTCTATCTGCTGTCGAAGCCCTTGTATTTGTTTGGAGTAATCATTGAGGGTTTTATCTTTTTGGATAACTGAGACGCGGAGTGACTCAAGGCAATCAAGGGCTTCTTTTTCCTTTGCCTTTACGCTCTCGTTAGCTGCAAACATTTCCTCTATGGTGACTCGCTTTCTCTCTTTTAAATTGAGGATTTCTTTTTGGGCTTTCATCAGTTCCTCATCTTGAGAGTGGACTCGTTCACGCTGATGGTCGATTTCTTGAAGCATGTTCGACGCGGTTTGAGATTCGGGACTTGACGTCAGTGCATTGAGTTGGCTTAGAAAACCCCGAAGACTATCGGTATTAATGCTCAAAGGGTCCCCATACTGGCTTGCGCTTGAAGGGCTTTGGATACTAGAAGACATGATAAGAAGCCTGTGTTGGGTTCTAAATCGTCAAAGGAATAACAGCTTGAGAAGAAGAATGATTTCTTAATCGGATCAACAGCAAGAGATTCCGACTCATTTATAGGCTTCTTGTCCAAATGACGTGCAAAAAAGTACCCCAACTAAATTTTCCATGGATGTATGGATAATCTCTACAGATTGCGATCATACAGCACATGCGAACGGGTATTCTGAGGGGAAGTCCCATGAGCCTCATAATTGACAGCACAAAAGAAGTGATGCTGCTTTATGCGTGCAAAAAACAGGGCTGAATTGCGACGTGTTCTCAATCCCTTGGGCTTGATGTACGCGAGTCATTGCATGCATATTCCGTACATCCATGTCTGGCTACGTGTAGTCGGAGATATGTTCGCCTCGTTGAGGCAAGCCCGATTCGAATGGGAGATAGGTTATCAGAATTAAGATTCAGGAAAGTCGTTCTTGTCAAAACTGCAAACCAGTGTGCTCCTAATTAAGTGGCCAATAAATCGTTCAATAAGCCAATCATTCAATCATTAGTCATATTCAATATCAGCTTTAACTTTCTCCTTTTCTCAAGGCCCCACTTCTACCGCACTTCACCGTGTTCGGCAAGGTTTCCGAAAAGTGGGGTTAATATGAGCCGCGTTGTACGGAGTACATACTTCGTATATGATAACTTCGTAGTCATTGTTTTCTTATCATACTTTGTTTGTTCTTTAACCTCAAACGCTTGTCTAACCTACCTAAGATGATATCAACTAGCACTGATCTCTATCCTATTGATTGCCCCATCAACCTCATTATGGATGCTCACTCATCTAGGTTGTTGGTACTGCAGTTGAGTCCAGTGATCAAACACAGCGGTCGAGAAACTAGAGTCAACATGTCACCTGAGTTCAAGCTTGTCATACATTTTTCCACGCACATGTTCTGATCTGTCCAGAACTTGATAAATCAAGAATACAAGACAGCTATTTAGTGATAAGTATCTACAAGTTCGGCAAACTTCGTAAACTCTGCATCCTTTTGAAACATTTCCAGCTCTTCTGGATGCGTGCCAAGAACAAGCTCAATACCACCATCATCCCTGATAGGAAAGATAACCAAGAACCGGAACCGTCCATTCCCTCGCTCCACCTGAGGCCTCAAAGACTCCAGTAGACCGTGATTAGCAAAGAACGCATCGCCAAAATTGATTTCGTTTTTCGGAAACAGCATCATATTTGAGATCATTGCATGCATATGCTCGAGTCCCATATTAGCAGTCGAAAACCTACTGTGATCTGGTAGGGATTGCAGGATTGAAAATACGTCATGTACAACTGATGGGGTTATACGTGAAGCAGATTGACGAAGTAAGTATGCGACTTGGCCGATGCTGGTTTTGTCGGAACAAAGTGTTTCGATTGGCATGGTTGACCGGTTGAGGATTAGGAGACTACCCATGTATGTTGATGGTAATAAGGAAGAGAAGTACGGGCGGCCGTCGGTTGGTAGCTCAAGAATGGATACCTCGTCTGGTGAGAAATTCTGCTTTCTAATCTCTTTTGCAACACGATACCGCACTCTGACTGCAGCTCGCCATAGGAAGGCTTGCACAATATCACTGATCGATTTTATGGCTCCCTTCGCTTCGGGATCGGCAATGACCTCTTGCTTCATTTTCTCGAGCTTGTTCGGTCTTATCAGAAACATTGTTGTTTCAAGGCATCTCTCAGCGCGGGGAAGCGGCCACACATCGTGTAAAGTAATTTTGGGGGCGGGAGGTAGCGTATGTTCCCTAGCATTGTCGATGGAGCTCGGTTTTAAGCCTGAGCTTAAGCTATCGTCAGGTGGAAAGAATGGCAAGAAACCCCATGTTCCAGGATCAATCTCCTCAACCGGTCGAGCCCACCCCTCCTGCTCATGGATGATATGCGGCAAGCTATGATTGAAGCTCTCGGGGTCGTACCAGCTGCAAGTAGCCGTATGATCTCCTTGCAGATACCGGCAGTTCTCCCCCCAAGCCTTAAGAGCAACCATAACGCCCAGACCATCAAGGCAGCAATGATTCAAATCAACGGCAATAATACAGCCACCTGAAACAAAATTGACCTGACCCGAGAAAATGTTCGCAGGGAATTTAGGAAATGGATCGTCCCGCAAAACAAGCCCGTCTCTGAAAGCCGATGGTGGGAAACCTGCTTCGCGTAGCTTTTCGAATGATGGGAGAATAGATGAGAGGTCTTTGTATACAAGGCGGTCTCGAGCTGAAGCTGTATTGGCTAATGGGGGGATTGTCACGCAGAGATCGCCTTTTTGGTAGCCGATTTCTTGAGATGAGGCGTACATCATTTTTCCGCTGAGGGCTGGGATCATGTCGAATGTGCGATTAAGCCCTTCCTGGAGATTTGTGAACACTTCTGAAAAGGGCGTTTCCTCGTGCAGGGAGAAGTAGAGTACGATGCCCATGCCGTGGTTGGGGTTGACGTAGTCGAATGCGTTCAGGCGGAAAGACTGTCGCGTCTTATGGTGGGCAATCATAGCATTCATCTTATTAACATCATTATCCTGAACTGTATCGGATGGAACATCATCTTTGGCATCTTTCGCACTCTGAGTCGAAGCCATCAAAGCGAAGACAGTGTCGGCCAAGCTCGCAATGGTTGGATTCGCGTAAATGTGTCGAGGGGCGATTTTTTCTCCCAGCCCTGAGTATAATCGGATTCTCTTGACAGCCGCAAAGACGCCGAGAGAGTCAAGACCAAGTGCAAAGAGATCTGCGTCTCTAAGGGCAACCTGTGATTCAGGAAGTGAAGAGCTAAGGATCGTACGGATAGATTCCTCAATCGATTTGATAGAACTCATTTCCAGACTTATAGCTTCATCGAAATCCTCACTACGTGAGCTGTAGAAGCGCTCAATGAAGTTTTCATACAGCAAAAGGGTAGCTGATCGCTTCACAGTTCCCTTATCTGTTCGGAAGAATGGCTTGTCCGGCAGAGAGAAAGTGACAAAGTCCCTTAGTAGTTGATTCTTGTGCCGAGACATGGAATTGGCCTTTTGGACATATTCCCAGATACTGTTCATAACCTCGGCTGACTTGTTTGATGGGTCCTTCAGCTCAATGAGTAGACCCGCCTGAGGCTTTCCGGTTCCGAAGATAAGACATCCCGCGATAGCTGAGTGCGTGGTCACAAACGCCTCCGTCTCCAAGGGCGATATTTTATACCCATTCGACAAGACAATAAGGTCATCGCTTCTCCCCTTGAATGCCCATAAATTAGGTTTTGTAGGGTGCTTCACATACAAGTCTTTGATATTGATCGAATCATGCTCTGGGAAAGTGTGAAAAATGCCCTGAAAAAGAGGCCAATTTTCGTTGCGATGAATCCAGTGCTCATATGAATCAGCATCAAGCTTTTTGAATTCAAAGCCAGAGTAAGGGTGAAAACAAAACCAGTGCCAGTCTTCTCGTTTGGGTTTCAGATTGCCAATGAATAGACCTTCTGTTGTGCCGGTCAGGTTGAGCACCCTTACTACCTTGTTCACCTTGCCTGCGCTGACAGGGCTGACGGGACCGCCAGATGCACATATGAACTTGCTAGACTCGAGCTTTTCTAAGACTTCGGGGGCTTCACCCAGCTCATCGACGAGGGATGGGACCATGCTCCATATGTCAATCTTTGCATCCACAGCTAATCGTTCCACAAGATTGAGATTTGGCAAAACTCCAACCGGTCCTAGAACACAATGGAGGTTGTGAAGAGCGGGCATCAGGATATCCATGATGATACCAGCGCCCTATTGAGGTTTTGTCAGTTTATCGCTTTTTGAACCAGCGTGGAGGAGATTTACGTACGTGACTCATTGGGAACGATGAGAATATCTTGTCTCCTTCATCCCAACCATCAGTCCACGGAACTAAATCAGTATTCTCGCCCACTGGCGGAAGTAATCGTACTGCATCCATAGTTCCGATCAGCCCGTGAGACCAGGGAATAGGCTTCGGCAGCCCGGTACTTCCCGACGTATGCAGGAGACAAAATGGGTCATTGATGGCCTCTTCAAACGACTTAGTATATGGGAAGGGCTCGGTAGATTCATTATCAAGGAGTTCATCGAGCAGGGGAAGCTGCAGAGAAGTCAATGGGCGTTGTTGGAGAACCTCTTCGACCAAGGGTATCGGAGAAGCGTCGACTGCATTGACCCAGATGTTGCAGTCAGTGCCTTTGAGTATTGCCAAGACTCCATCTGTACTGTTTTTTGGTGAAATAAACTGGGCCTGTCGCGAAGAAATTTAGAGTCTGTCCCTTGACGGTGCGATTTTAGTGAACTTACCGTGTAGCCCGCCTTGACACATGCATACGTCAAGAGGATGTGTCTCAAATCATCTGTATCAGTCAAATAGTCAGTATGGTGTTTTTGAGCTTCTCAAGGTTCAACTCACGTGGTCCGATGTACGCCACTGGCCGAACTTTGTCCGGGGTGCCGACTTGGCCACGAAGCCACCAGGCAGTCTTATCAACTGCCTTGGTAAAGCTTCGGGCAGAGATAGTTTTAAGTTCAATAAACCCATTCACAAGAGTTGCAAGGGAGAATACTGTACGCTCTGGCTCAGTGGCAGCAAGGCTGTCCATGATCTGAGGAATAAGTCTTTGGCCAAAGGGAGTTGTCAAAGTATCATTTTTTTCCTCCATTAGAACAGCGTCATTTTCCACGGTAATACCCAACCCAAAATTTCCTGGTGAAGCTTCACGTGATTGAATCTCTGGTGTGGTGAATTCACTGGATCTCCTGCTCTCAGGTGAAGAGTGCGACACTTCACTAGACGATGTTGAAACTGGTGCTGCATTCTTGAATGCACCACCAACATATTGATTGACCTTTATCGACTTTGCTGATTGGAGATAACGCGCATTTTTCTCGCTTATGGCGTCAACATGGTGGTTTTCTTTTTCCTGGTAGTGACTCGGCCTCCCATCGACGTGGACAAGTTCCAAGCGGTCGTCTTGGTTGAATTCACCCATGGGAGCACTCACCCATACCCCGTCTGCCAATTGAGCAACACTGCAGTGCCATGGAGTTGTGAACCCGGTTTTCGTGTTCAATAAACCGATAGGTATCTTGGTACCGCAGATGGACTCGTGGATTGAAAGTCGTAGGTGGTTGGGTAAAGCGTTCTTGATAGCCTCTGCAAACGCCTGCTACAAGGTCAGTGAAAATGCAATATATAAATTTATAAATGTTAGTAAAGAGTTACTGCTTACATATCCTCTTGTAAGCATCTGTTTGGCCAGGTACTTGCAGTCCCGCTTGTAACTATGCGAAGAGCGATTCTTTCCGCGAGGGAAAATGTATTGAAGGTCTGATTCAAGGAATCTCTTGTATCCAAGATAAGTCAACTTCGTATCCGGATTTGCCGCTATTTCATGGTTGATGTCAAGGTCGACTTTTCCATACTTGTTCAATAACAAGCGACGGAACGTGGTGCAATTTGCCACGTAGACAATCTCGGTCAGTTCCTCTGGTAGGGAAAAGTCGAGAAGATCTCTGATTCTTGCAAATGAAATATTGTCGAATTTCATCTTGGAAACCATCTTGCGTAGAGCTTCACCATATGCCCAGGTTTCTTGGTCAGAAATGCACAGCAGGTCTGCGACACGAGCATTATACATTAGCAATCTTTTGACCTAGATTTGATTGGTAAATCTTTCACATACCATTATAGGTGATGCCATCCGAAATGATTACAATATTAGCGCCAGGAGGGTAAATCTCTTGAATCCGCATGCACGTAGTATTCAAAAGTTCCAGAGCCAGCTCCTCTGCCTTGTCTGGCAAGCTGCCAAGAACCTTGTACACCTTATTTGCGGACTTGAAGGGGAAAGCAGGAAGACAAGCTTGTACCCTCTCGCCTTTGGAGACAAATTGGCCAATGACTGAAAGGAAACCATCTCTAGAATTCTCGATATGTTCCTCCGAGTACTGAAACTTGTTGAGAGCATTCCCCAGAAATATATCAAGAATGAGCTGCGAGGTCTGGTTCACCTTATCGGCAGAGGACAGGGAGCTAGCGCAAAGTGCTTCATCATGTCTTTCATGCATACATGATGGCATCTCGATGGACTTATGAGGATACATGCTCAATGATGACATGCTACAAGGCGATTCTTGGATTGCGTCTCGGCGTTTGAGCATAGACAAAGTCCCGGAATGAAAATACACCGCAGGTGTGTCAGTTTAGCAGATTTGCAAAGATTCAGGTGCAACTCTGGTGAATTTATTGTAACTCGAAGTCCACATTGTCTCTTGAGTAAGACGCCCCGCAACATTTACAGCCTCAATTTACATACAACCTCGAAATCAACGTAAGCCAATCGTTTCAGCCAACATGAACCGCTAGACACATGTCGTTCAGACTCCATCACAATAAAAAGTTCTGGCAAATGGAGACTCTGGCTCAGTTAGGCCAGCCTGTCATGCACTTTGAGGCATTTTCGGTCAAAAGGCGTACTAGGTCCCAAATGGATGATTATGTCTCTTAGAATTCAGAACTGAATCCGCCTTGCCGAGCTAGGGCTTGATTACTAGGTACGAGGGGTTCTATCATGCCAAGTCAATAGAATATATTATATGAGTAAGATCTAAGGCAGATATTCTCTCGTTGGTCAATGGTGGGGCGGTGAAAATTTGAATATCAAAAATGTTTCTGCGCCATGCCTAAACCCCGCCGCAAGTCCCGCTCTAAAATGGGAAAGTATACTACGGGGAACACTGTACTTTTTACTATATTTAGATCAGGCCGTCAATGGCTATGAAGAGACTGAAAACAGAATGACACAAGTCACTAGTAGGTAAATCCTTTTGCACTAGCTTAGAGCATGTTTGAGGCAATTGTGGTACTTTTGCTTCTACTTGGGCCCTATCCTGTGAAGGACAATCTTAGAAGAAAAAGTGTAAACTTCGGGTTGGCCAAAGGAGTTATAGTATAACAATAAGAGAATTGACGATATCTAACGGGGCGTTTCGTGTCGTTTTTGCCTCTTGTTATTGTCATACCTTTCAAAAGCTATCTCAGAAGCCACTCAGTATTATTTTCTCATCCAATACAAGAGACCTCGCCATGGTTGAAGATTTCAGCTCCTTAGAGCTTGAGGCTTCTCGTGAGAAGGTATTCCAACAGGTAAACCTTGAGGAAACCGACATTTCTGAACCGGACTCCAATCAAGAGCACCAATATCCCGCTGTCGGTAAAGTGGTCGTCATTGTTTTGGCGATTTATCTTGCGGCTTTCCTGGTGGCTCTTGACCAGACTATTATTGGAGTGGCCATTCCAAAAATTACAGACCAGTTCAATAGTATTCCCGATATTGCCTGGTATGGCAGTGCCTACTTCTTGACGTCAACAGCGTTGCAGCCTTCTTATGGCAGGATCTACAAGATATTCAGTGTAGGTCAAAGACACTTTCTTGTGTGACTCAAGAGTCTTGCCAAAATTTAATACTCATTCAGGTAAAATGGTCCTTCTTGGCTGCGGTTGGCATCTTCGAAGTAGGATCTCTGATTTGCGGTGTGGCTTCCTCCAGCACAGTACTGATTGTTGGTCGCGCGATTGCGGGAGTTGGAGTGGCTGGTATCTTCTCCGGTGCTCTCATGATTATCTCCATAACTGTGCCACTAGCAAAGAGACCTCTCGTCTTCGGCGTATATGGCATGGTTTGGGGAGTTGCTTCCATTGTAGGCCCACTACTTGGTGGGGCATTCACAGACGGTGCCACATGGAGATGGTGCTTCTACATCAACCTCCCCATAGGCGGTGTCTCCATTGGAGTTGTCCTCTTGGTGCTTCGCCTACCCAAGAATGACAAAGTTTCAGGAGTCCCTATTCTGGAACGAATCAAGGAGCTTGACGTGATCGGCGCAAGCCTGCTCATCCCCGCTATCACCTGTTTAATTCTTGCCCTTCAGTGGGGTGGAGATGCCTATTCCTGGAGAAGCTCACAGATCATCGGCCTCTTCGTAGGCTTTGGTCTGCTGTCTATCCTTTTTGCTGGGTTCCAACTCTATCTGAGCAAGCAAGACGAGAAAAACGCGACAGGTGAGAAAAGTGGAAGAGCAACTCTACCACCTTCGATCCTCAAGCAGCGCACTATCTGGTCCGCCGCACTGTTCGCATTCTTCTTCAGCGGTGGCTTCTTCCTCCTAGTCTACTATGTTCCCATCTACTTCCAGAGTGTCAAAGGTTCTTCTGCCATGACATCTGGACTTCAAGTTCTACCATTCATGCTCGCTACTGTTGTCTCATCCATAGTGGTTGGCATTCTGGTCACTGCAGCCGGCTACTACACACCGTTTTTGATTTCCAGCACCGCAATTGCTGCTGTCGGTACCGGTCTCATGACTCTTTACGACGTCGACATCTCAGATGGAAAGTGGATCGGATATCAGATTGTTGTCGGCGCGGGTATAGGTGCTGGCCTCCAAATTCCAATGACAGCTGTACAAACTGTGCTAAGTCCAGAGGACATCCCTGTGGGAACAGCTGCTGTGATGTTCTTCCAGACACTAGGTGGCGCCATTTTCATTGCGGTTGGCCAGTCTGTTTTCCAGAATGGCCTCATAGCAGGCATTCGTGCTAATACATCTGGTGTTGATCCCAGTGAGATTATTAGCGCCGGAGCCACTGAAACAAGACATGTTTTGACTACCCTAGGCCAACTGAGTGAGTTGGATGGCGTCATTCAGGCTTACATGAATGGATTGAAGGATACATTTCGTGTTAGCCTTGCTCTGATGGTCGCAGCATTTTTGGCGGCTTGCTGTGTTGAGTGGAAGAGTGTCAAAAAGAGCGAAAGCAAAGATGACACAACAGTTCGTCCTTCATGAATCTGTTGTGACTTGCCATGGATTATCATTTGACTTTCTTCTAAGCAAGGAAATCTGGATAAATAACTACAAAGTTTAGCCTTTGCCCTGCTACTGGTAGTGTCTGTTGCACAAAGTTGTCAACGTTTGCCTTTTGATGTCTTGATAGCCATTATTTTTACCCTGATCAGAGTACAAATCAGTTACCTTTCATAAGTTAGATTAAATGGCACACTTTACAGCTCAAGAGGCATTACTCAAGATAGTTGGATACGATGTCCGTTCAGGCAGTGAGAAATGCCGCCGATCAATAGCATTGGTCACCTGGAAACAGCATGACACGATTGGCCCAACTTGCTAGTCCATTTCTCTATGGATCCACATCAAAATCGACCACTTGAGAGCCTCAAACGGGAAACATGTCAACACTGCAAAAGCCAATCTGCTAAGAGATTTTCCCCCGAAAGAAATTAAAAAATTGATTACTTGTCATAATCTGATATGTTTGATCTACACTACCCCTGGGAGCTGAAAATGTGAGCTATAATGAGCACATTTCCCCACTCAGACGTGGCAATGTTGAATTGGGGGATGTAGCAATGGTGAACTGGGGCATCTCGTATATGTGGAGAGTCAATGCATGGTCAGGTGTGTAGCAAAAATTCTTGATAGGCTATATATGGCCAGAACATTTGCAACTTATCATCTTTCTTGCACGAGTCCACGCATGTGATAATCAAGATCAGCGTTGTTTCCAACATGGCGTAAACTTGCATACTTCATCGTAATACAACTTCTTGGTTGGTTCCAACTGTTGGCAAGGCAGCATCAATCTATCTGAAAAGAGCGTACGTACTAGTTATGAACTACTGAACGCCAAAAAAGCCCATATCCGGTGAATTACCTCTCAATATGTTGTTAATATATTTCTGTTTATAGTGCTTGCAATTATTTCTACCCTGGAAAAAGATTGAAATACTCGTCAAATGAATGACTCGGAGAACATCAAAAACAGATGTTTAGATGACGACCCCCTTCACCTGCTTCTTGTCAACATTGTAGTTTTTCCACATGGCAATAGTAGGAAAAGCAATAAGAACAAGAGCAGCCGCAGTAATACACTCATACTTCTGGCTGTATGCCCACGCATAGTTTATCGCGTCCCTTGTCTCGGTGCCAGGAGGATACAAGAGCTGAGCAGCGGGACCACCAGCATAAATAGCCGCAGCATCAGCTTTGGAAGAACCAGGAAGCGCGCTTAGCAACGCTTTCGGAAAAGTATTTGAATAAATGGCAGCTGCAACAGCCTGCCCAAGAGCTCCACCAAGACTAGAAGACAGACTGATCATGGCAATCATTAACGGGACACCATCATGGTCTGCAGCAGCCATGGCAGCCATCTCATCACCGATAACTAGGGTGCCACCTCCAACGGCAATAAATATCTGACACATAACCAGGTATCCGATGTTGCTTTGGGAGCCTCGGAAGTGAATCATGAGCCCAGCACCTAGTAGCATCAGTGGTGCACCGAAGTATAGACAGACGTTCTTGAAGTGTTTTGTCTGGCGAATCCAGATACCGAAAACAACGGCCCAGATAGTTGATCCGACACCATAAATCTGTGTCATGTATCCTGTCTTCGTAGTATCGAGATTGTAGACTACTTGTACGTAGTAGTAGAAGTATTGGTCCCATGTATAGTAGTTGAAGAAAATCACAGCCGATAATATGCATGCTCCGAGGACTGTACGTTTCTTGAATAGCTCCCATTTTATGAAAGGGGTTCTGGAGAAGAAACACTCCCAAACTGCAAAGACTGGGAATAACAGAATTCCGATGACAATCATGGCGATGAAAGTTGGCGAGGAGTATCCGCTAAAGCCATATGTCTCAAGGCTGAACGGTAAAAGAAACAGGATAAAAGCCGCCATGAGGAGACAAGCGCCGACAATATCAAATTCGTGGAAGTAATGTAAGAAGGACTGCATAGCACTACGACCACTTGGGGCCCGAACTAAAAGATTCAATCTTTCGGCTTTGCGCTGGTAGTATTTGAAAACAAATGCAAGAGGCACGAAAATAACAAAGATAGTGACAGCGAAACTGCCATATGCCCAACGCCAGGTAGAATGGGCGATGAATTCCTGCGCAACAACTGGGCCGATAAAAGCCGTACAGACGGTCGGCGTCCCGATGAATGCGTAGGCAAAAGCTCGATTTCGTAGCCCAGAGGCATCGGCAACAAAGACACTCAAGATGAAGTTGACGGCCGTATAGCCGACCCAGTATAGGGTGTAGCCAGCCGCAAACCCATTGGGACCGTCGCATGCGGCCAGCACGATTAGACCTAGAATGAAAACCCCCAGAAACGTGAGGAAACCCTCAGCTCGACCCCACAGATTAAGGGTCTTTGCAATGGGTAGCTGCAAAACTCCGCCAACGATGCTTGATACAATGTAGGCCTGAGATATTTGGGGAGCTGAAGCGAATTTTGCGTAGGCGTAGTAGATCATGTTGCCGCTGATGGACGCTTGCAGGGACAGAACGAAGAAGCACAACCATATCCTAACTTCATGTTAGGCAGGTACCATGTAGATTTGCCAGTGAAAAATGGTTCTGCTCTGGGCAGCTGCCTTCAAAAGGCTTCAATTCACTTACCAGGCAGATATAGTATACAGGGCCGATTTGGACCAAACCAAAGCCATAGCTTCGGCCTTTTGGACTCCAATCTGTGCATCCCGAGTGACTTCAAGGGGATTCTCCAGCACTTCTCTCTCATTTCTTTCTTCTAAGCTCTGGGTCTCACTGTTTTCATAACGTTCACCAGCTGTCCATGAAGTGTTAACTGTCTGCTTGGAGCCACCCCCACCATTATTGGTCGTCATCGTCACGAATCCTATTAGAATACTCCTCCAGTCGAAGGGAAATCGATGGAAAGAAAATTTCTAATAGTGCCAAAGGATGACTTTTCCTCGTTCGAAAAGTTTAATATCATATCGGATTATAGTCTTAAGTAGGGATATTACTCTCGCCCATCACAGTAACGCACTCAAATTCGCGCAAGCTCCGAATTCAACTTGAAAGATGCAAAGTGACAGAAGCCTGCGCCAGACTAGCCCAACGTGGGTAGAAGATGTGGATTTTTGAAGGGGCTCGCGCCCTCAGCTCTGGCTCAAAATATGCTCATATCTTCTCACGCAGTACGATTTGCATTTTGCCAGTTTCTTAAGGATTTATCTGATGGAACTCTGATCAAATAGATTATTTATAGATATGTTTATATTCCAACTGTTTTGAGTATATATCTATGTATATTATTTTCATTGATTTATTTACAGAAGTCCATGTTCTAAAGTTTGGTAATGTTCGTGACTTAGTAGTATCACATTTTTAAAGATTTAACTAAGCAGAAAGGAGCGCATATGTTCAACTTCATTTCATTAAGATACCTAGTTAATGGGGATGACAGAGACGCTATGTTATAGAGGAAGGAAAGAAGATTTAACAGTAGTAACTCAGTATGGTAATATTGTCAAGTCTGATTCTTGGACAACTCAGAGAAGAAGCTATGTCAATCAGTCATAAGTTAGTTATTATGCTAGGTTGTTTTAAGTCTGCAAAGGAGCTTGTAAGACCTATATAATGATTATTTGTCTGTTCACAATGACCGAAAGATTTTACGCAGGCTATATCGATGCTTTCGACGGCCTCTACATTTAAAGCCATATAAGGTGACCTTGTTGGGCCGCGTGCAAACGTCCATTTCTCATCACCTACACCGTTCTGTCCCGTGCTTCCTCCATCCAAATTATTCTTTCACAGTTCTATCAATCCTTCAAGCAGGAGTAAAAACACAAATCCAAAATGATGTTCTATCTCCGAGGTGATTGTAGGAGCTGTGTGTACCCATATTTACAGGTGATGGAGATTTTGTATGCGGGGCTGGACGGTAAACTTTCAGCCTTAACGTACGGCGATGAGGGTATGGGTAGATTCCTTAACGGTTATCGACAAGTTGTATGGATATTTCCTGAAGCTATAGATCCATGTAGTACCAGAGAACCCCCAAATCAAGGAATACGGAAGTTGATCGGAAGTGGAGCTTGGAAGTAGAATACGGAAGTTTTAACCTACTTATGGGGGTTTTAAGGGCTCGGTAACTATAAATACCACATATCGATAGATATAATCTGAAAAGCTGGCTTATTGTTATAAAAAGAAGTAGCCTAGTCGAATCTCTAGTCCTCCAGGGCTGCAATTTGTAAACTAAATCCGACATGTAGAAACGTTTTATAAATTTCATTGGTGAGCACTTGCTATTTTCTTTTCTCCTGAATGGCAATATTTGTAAAGAAAAAGTCTATTTTTTGAAATTGAACAAGATTGAAACAGAGAAAATGATTACATGAAATGCTACATGTAGTTTGCTAGCAAAGCTAGACTATAAATCCAAAAAAGTAGTACATGGGGTTATGAGTTGGAGGATATAGGGATCAAGACGAGTGGCAAGTCTAGAAGTGGATGGCCTTGGAGTAGGTGGCCATGGCAGCCTCCTTGAAGGCCTCGGAGAGAGTGGGGTGGGCGTGGCATGTCCGGGCAACGTCCTCACTAGAGGCACCGTACTCAATAGCCAGGGTGGCCTCGGCGATCATCTCACCGGCACCGGGGCCGATAATGTGGACACCGAGGATGCGGTCAGTCTCGGCATCGGCGATGAACTTGACAATACCCTCGGAGTCAAGGTTGGTCTTGGCACGAGAGTTGGCGCTGAAGGGGAAGCTGCCGACGTTGTACTTGGTACCGGCGGCCTTGATCTCAGCCTCGGTCTGGCCAACCCAGGCAACCTCGGGGTGGGTGTACATCACACTGGGGATGCAAGCGTAGTTGACGTGGCCGTGACCCTTCTGGATGTACTCAATGGCGGCAACAGCCTCCTCCTCGGCCTTGTGGGCCAGCATGGGACCGAATGTCACATCACCGATCACGCGGATGTGGGACTCCTTAGTGCGGTACTCCTGGTCGATGACCAGACGGCCGCGGTCGTCCTTGTCAATACCAATGTTCTCCAGACCCAGACCCTCGGTGTAAGGGCGGCGGCCGATAGCGACCAGCACAACGTCTGCCTCCAGAGTCTCCTCCTTTCCACCCTTAGCAGCCTCGACATCGAGGGTGATGGTAGCACCACTGTCATCACCCTTCAGAACCTTGGTGCCGGTCTTGAACTTGATGCCCTGCTTGGCCAGGATCTTTTGTGCCTGCTTGGCGATCTCAGCATCCATACCGGGTCCACCGATCTGGCCCAGGAATTCAACAACGGTAACCTCAGCACCGAGACGGGACCAGACGGAAGCCTATAATAATGTCAGGTCAGAACTCCGCGCATTCACAAAAGCAGTTTGACTCTCATACCATCTCAAGACCGATAATACCACCACCAATGACAACCATCTTCTTAGGAACCTCCTGGAGAGAAAGGGCACCAGTACTGGAGATGATGCGCTTCTCATCGATGTTCAAACCGGGGAAGGGAGTGGCCTCGGAGCCAGTGGCAATAATAATGTTCTTTCCGCGGACAGTCTGCTCACCACCGTCGAGCAGGTCAACCTTGACAGTGTTGGCATCGACGAACGAACCAGAACCCTTAATGTAATCAACGTTGTTCTTCTTCAAGAGGTACTCAATACCCTTGGTGAGACCATCAACGGAAGTGTCCTTGGCCTTGAGCATCTGGGCCAGGTTGAGCTTGACCTCGCCGACCTCGATACCGCGCTTCTTGGTGTCATGGAGGACCTGGTGGTAAAGGTGGGAGTTGTTGAGCAGAGACTTGGAAGGGATACATCCGACGTTCAAGCAGGTACCGCCGAGGGTTCCACGCTTCTCGATACAGGCAGTCTGTCAAAAGGGTTCAATGTTAGGATTTGCCAACTGCAGAAGAAAATAGCTATTCAACATAGTAACAATCGTACCTTCAAACCTTCCTGACCAGCCTTGATAGCGGCGACGTAACCAGCGACACCACCACCAATGATAACAACATCGTGATCACCTATGGAGCCCGGAGGTCCGAAATTTAGCAATCGCGCCCCGGCAAGCGTGGGAAAACTCTGATCACCCCAGAGCGGTCTTCAGGGTAAAACTCACCAGCATCAGAGGCATAACCACGTTTTGAGCGGCCAATGAAGAGCATAGAAGGAGTAATAATGTGGGAAGGGAGAGCAGAAGGGACCGCGCAGGCGCGGAGGCTTGCTCGGGGCAAAGCCCGGGGTACGGAGCGGAACATATTGAGGAAAAGAGAGGAGAGAGGAAAATCGATTCAATCCTCCAAGATAGCGGACCTAGAGGGCGGGGGAGAATATGCGCAAAGGGGCGGTGATATAGTTAAGGTACACCGGGAAGAAGGACTGAGCTTTTGCGGTATTTTGGGATTCACTTATGTAAGCCCGTCGGGACTATTCGGTAGGGCGCTAGCTTTGCCGGATGACGTTGCCGTTCTCCTTCCTATAACATCTCTAAGAAGGGCTGATGACAATCAAGTTGAATGAAAAAAAAAGGTGCGAAGGTGAATTGCTGATACCTGTTAACAGCAGAATGCATATATCAATAGGATGCAAGACGAACTTTGCTGCGCCTGTAGATCTACGGCATACCTCGGAGAACTCGTTTGAACGCCACAGTTCCCCGCGTCTGATACCCTTACACTACCGAAAGATCATGGCTGAATAAAAGGACCACGTTTCGATATGTGACTCTCTCTTCTGAGTTTCCTGGCCTTTCTGTCTAAAGACAGCTGTCGCTATTATGAGACTACGAACAGTGTCCGGAGCCTAGAAGCTAAACTGACCCCACAAACACAATAGGCCCTCATTATATAACCTTGGCAACGTATACAATAATACCAAAGCAACCATTCAACGAATGTTTTGTCCAATTGGCCAGAAAAATGTCTATGATATGAAAACAAGAATGATAACTAGCGACATCAGGTGAAACCGTAGTCTAATTATAAATACAAATGTTACAAATGTTACTCGATTACTTAAATTAACAAGCCAGAAAATAACTACTGAATATGATACGGTATTGATCTGGAGTTAAGGAACTATCCTATGTATTTCACCAGGTTCGGCTCTTACTATCACCTTTTTCGATTTATACCATACCCACTTTCTTTGAAGCCGAATGAACGTGATCGTCAAAATTTTACGGACCGGTCAAACATTTCTAACTTTTTGTCTGCTAGCCTTGCGCTAAATGGATTGGACACGGGATATTGATATTCCAAGTATAAAGAGAATGTTTGACTTAAATGAACTTCCCGAGGTCTGATAGATCCATTAATCCAGATCCATGGTAGAGTCCGCTCTAACCCTTTCAACATCCAAATTCTAACTCGATTGATTGGCTGGACTTGACGATCGGACTTCCGTTCCCGAGAATCTGAGGCTCAACCTAATCTCAACTTCTCCGAGACGGAATTCCGCTCCCGCTTCTCGCTCGCCAGAATTGAAGTACAAAAGCCCCTACCTCCCGGATCAATATATGCATATTAAATAAAGAAAATCAACATATTCGAGAGCTTCCAAACTCAGAAAGTATAACAACTCTACATTCGAAATGTCCAGCCTCGCTTTATCTCTTGTGGAAGGATTCAAGGGCCGCCGGTCCATCTATCCCCTCACAAACGAGTCAACAGTTTCAAACGACCGCATCGAGGAGCTTATCTCGGAAGCAACCCTCCATTCTCCAAGTCCCTTCAACACCCAAGCTTCACGTGTGGTAGTCCTTTTGAGAAACGAACATGAAAAGCTGTGGGATCTGGCAGGAGAGATTGTCAGTGCGACAGTTCCGGCAGAGCAGTTCGAGAAGCTATATAAGCCCCGTATTGCAGGATTTCGGGCAGCTTACGGAACAGTGAGTACCAATTCAGTGGATACGAAGTTATGTCATAATCTTTGACACTTTGCTAATCGATTTTACAGGCCCTTTTCTACACAGACTTTGCTCCTTTTAATGTGCTTGGGGAGAAATGGCCTATGCTCAAAGAGAAGTTCCCTGAATGTGTGTATCCCGTCCATGGCTCCTGATAAACTTGAAACTTATGCTAGCATATAGGGGCTGATCATGCATCTGGAATGCATCAACTCACAGGTGAGCGGTGAAATGATAATTAAAGTGCTCGCATTGATATGCTAACTTCAATTGTAGTCTGGACCCTTTTGGAGGCTGAGGGGCTTGGGGCCAACTTGCAGCACTATAACCCGATGATAGATGTAGAGGTCTCAAAGCAATGGAATGTTCCCAAGGAATGGAAGTTGAAGGCTCAATTGGTCTTTGGGAAGCCGAGTGGTCCTGCTCGAGAGAAGACTTTCGAGCCCATTCACGAGAGAGTGTTTGTCTATGGAAAATAATCAATTTTATAGCAAGACATCTTTGTTTATTAGTTCGCTTCTTTTAATCATAAATTATGGAATCTATCATGCTAAAGGGGGAATTCCGGAGTATGGGGAATTCCGAAGTATGGGGTACCCCACACTAAATATCGGCTCACCACCTCGGTATAATTCTTATCAGCCCATAGAGATTTAACCGCCGGTTAGCATCTCTTATTCCTATTTAGGTTAGTCTGAACGCCAACATGACGACTTCCAAAGTAGATGGATTCAGAATCCTGTCAGACTCATAAGTACAAGGTACAAGGTACAAACACCACGGTAGCCTCCCAGTTTAGCGAAATCTTGGAAAGAATACACGCATTGCATGATTCACAACGGCTGTCAGATGTATCGTCCCCAAAGACAAATCTCCTTGGTGTGAAACTTGCGCAATCTTGTCTGCAATGCCAGGTACCCCCGCCTACTTTTAGCCTGTTTTACTATTGACCCATCCTCATGTGATCCTATTGGTAACAGCTCTCCCTCTTCCTTGCTCACGTGTCCCTGAGGAATGTAACAGGAATAGACACTGTCGCTCCTTGCTTCTCTGGGATAAGCCTTGGCCGATCCTCGTGGGATACCTTGGCTCAACATGTGGGGGTTATGAGATGTTTGCAGGTTTAAATAGCCGGTAATCTCACGCGACTTTGCAATCAACTCGCTTTGGAGTTAGCTTGTATTTACCGTTTTCACTTACTATTTCTACCCATAACTGCTCGGGTAGTTTTTTCCTCTTACCAAAAACCTCTTACGTGATTATTCTCAAAACCAATCATTATCAAATACAGGCTTCAAAATGAGTGATAAAATTCCATCGTGGAATATTGTCCACCGGCTCGAGAAACGCCAACTTCTCGTGGCAATCAACTGCGTTGCTGCTCTCTCTATTCTCTTCTTTGGATACGACCAAGGAATGATGTCAGGAGTTAACAATGCAAAAGACTATATCGACCTCATGGGGTTCGGCTACACAAAAGTAGAAGATGGCGAGCTAACCCCTGTGGTAACTAATTCACTGCTGCAAGGAGGAATAGTGGCTGTTTACTACATGGGTACGCTCTTTGGTGGCTTATTTGGTGGCTGGATTGGAGATCGAATGGGACGCATCAAGTCTATCGCTGTAGGGGCTGTCTGGGCTATCCTGGGTGCTAGTCTACAGTGCTCGGCTCAAAACAAAAACTGGATGATTTGCGGTAAGGAATAGATTTCTTAATATTGAAACCTGGGCTGATTGATTGTAGCTCGCGCGATCAATGGTATTGGTACTGGTATTTTGAACGCTATTGTCCCTGTTTGGGCTACGGAGACCGCGGAGCATACCTCTCGTGGGCAGTTTATTGCGATCGAGTTTACCTTGAATATTTTCGGTGTGGTTTTAGCCTATTGGCTCGAATTGTAAGTTCTGATAAACCTCAAACCCCAACATCTAAGTCCTAATCGTTTAATATAGCGGTCTTTCCTTCATCGATGGTGGCGAGTCGGCCTTCCGCTGGAGATTCCCCATCGCATTCCAGATCATCTTCTTGCTTATCCTCTTCTCTGCCGTGTGGTTCTTCCCCGAGTCTCCTCGATGGTTGGCCAAAGTAGGACGGGAAGACGAAGCCCGTTATATTTTGCAACGCCTCCGTGGCACTGACCCTGATGGCCTAGTGCGAGCCGAGGCAGAGTTCCTAGATATCCAAAACATTGCCGAAATGGAAAAAACCATCGTACACGGCAACTCTTATCTTTCCATGCTTTTCGGTTACAAATCTGGAGACTTGCATATCGGCCGTCGCGTACAACTAGTCATATGGCTACAGATCATGCAGGAGTGGGTTGGGATCGCGGGCGTCACTGTTTATGCACCGACCATCTTCAGTATTGCCGGGTTTGATTCAACAAAAAGTCAGTGGCTTAGTGGGCTGAACAATGTCTTCTATATGGTATGTGTCGTTTTCCAATGTTGCACCCATAAATAATTAACAATAGTCAGTTTGCGACGCTTATATGCGTTTTTACTTTGGACCGTATTGGTCGCCGGTGGACCTTGTACTGGGGCTCTGTAGTCCAGGGCATTGCGATGTTCCTCGCTGGTGGCTTTTCTCGACTAGCTATCAATGCCAAAGAAGCTGGAATCACGGAACAAGCCAGTTCATATGGTGCGGCTGCTGCTGCTATGATATTTATCTTCACTGCTACATTCGGTGCTACTTGGTTGACTGTGCCGTGGTTATATCCGGCTGAGATATTCCCACTTGCCGTTCGGGCTCGTGGTAATGCATGGGGTGTATTCGGTTGGAGCATTGGAAATGGATGGCTGGTAAGTGAAACGTGAAGTGGAAGAGACTGGATTTCTCCTTAGTAAACCGAATGCTAACCTGAGCTCCTAATTCCTGATAGACTCTCTTGTGTCCTATCATGTTCAATGCGATTGGAGAGAAGACGCTGTACATATTCGGCGCCAGCAATTTGATCACTATCCCGATGGTGTGGGCACTTTATCCTGAGACAGCCCAGCGTTCGCTCGAGGACATCGATCTCTTGTTCGCAGCCAATACCCCCTGGACGTGGGATGCGGAGAAGACATTTGCTCGTCTTAAGGCTGAGAACCCGGGGGCGGTTGCAACGATCAGTGGCAAGGGCGATATGGACCCAGAAACAGGCAAGGTGTTGCTAGATTCGGTGGCTATTGCGAAGGCCGAAGATGATGCCGCTGTAGAGCACGTGGACAATGTTTGAGTTAATCGATGTCGGATCTTAAAGAACTGTTTTACTATACATATCAATGATTCACCGAAGTGGCCATCAATGGCAAATTATGAGGGAATGAAGAAATAGCTTTAAACAATGATGGTAATAATATCTAAAGACTGCTATTGCTGATATAGTATGAAAACTCTACTATGCTATGCCAATCACGACAATCGGGAGAGAATTGATAAAAGTACACATAAAATGGCTAAAAGGACAGTATAGTGGATATAATCAAACAGACCAAACATGACTCATCACTTAGATGTACTGGCGTAAATTAAGGTTATTAGAAACATCGGCCCTCGCTCCTTTGGAACGAGAATATCAGTTAAAGCGGTGTGTAGACTTTTGATCTAGATATAAAAGGAGTGAGAATGCAAAGTATGAGAACCTTCGGAGCTCTTGTGGATGGAACCAGAACCCTCAGTATCTGCGTGGCAAACCAGACTTCGGTCGGCCGGCGTACAACTCAACAGCCACATTGACCCTGATAGAAGTCCGGTATCCAACGTCTGCCACCTCCATCCATCGAATCGTGACGTTTTCAGGACCCTGGTACGGACTGGCTACTTGGCAGACAGGAATTGCGGTAGCAGGATCCATTCTTGATCGCGACTGCGAGTGTGAGATGCAGAAAGGAAGTATGCAAAGTGAAGGTTGCTCAACAATAGGAGCAGAGACGCGGGATGGATGGACTGTTTCTTCACTGGGATTTAGGCCGCCTTTGAAAACCTTGTTGGCGCTTGCTTGGAAGGTCTTAGCTATGTAGTCTTACCCTGCCAGACTAGGGGCGGGTGTGCAGAAAGTAGGTAAGTAACCCAAGACAAAATATATATCCAGTACTTAAGTAACTAGCACCCGCCGACTCGGGTAGTCACCTAGGTAGAGAAGTGAAATTAGCATTGAGAGTGACAGTGAAACTGAGTATCGAATATTCTTTGAGGATGGAAGTGATAGTGAAAGTGAAAAGGCAAGTGAAATTGAGAGCGAAAGTGAATGATCTAAATGTTCAAGTGTAGTAATAGGCAGGATTCGATGCCCCACTATAATACATTCACTAATCGGCGCCAATGACTCTTAAAAACAAAGTACCTATAAGTAAGCAATGAGCACTAAAACTAACTAAATTAAGATGTTTTAAATATCTGCCCAGTTGCACAAGATTTCTTAAAGAAAGTAATAGGGAAGTTTAATGACTGATGAACTCAAGACAATCACGTGAAATGGGGCGATAGTTCAGTTGGGAGAACGTGCGACTGAAGTTCACTTGAGTCATTTAATCGTAAGGTCGCCGGTTCGATCCCGGCTCACCCCATTATTTTTTCACCTTTTTGTTGATATGTTTTTATATTTATTATACAATCTACCTGTGTAAAAGCAGCCAAAAATTACTGTTGATTTAAAAATCTAGTCATACATCTCCTACCTCAATGCCACGAAATTTGCCATGTAATAGCTATCTAAGCCCTATATAGACAGAAAGATCCCTACCTAGGCATGTACCCAGCTGGGTAGTCGACATTATATGATCTTTCGGTTAATCACCATGCATTTGAAAAGGAATATGAAAAAGAAAGTCTGCGTCACGTTACCTTGAGCCTGCCTAGTCAAGCGCTCTGGAGCTAAGCAAGCAAAATTTCAAATTGACTCAATACGCCTTAACAATCTTTGTATGCTATCATGCTTCTCAATCGTAGCCTCTAAGATTGCATACCAAGAGACACTGAAAACGCAAAAAGCCCTCAGCACTGGTAGACTGTACACGCAAAACATTGGATAGCTTCGAATTAATGCTATGGGTAGTGACAAGGGCAACTTGGAGATAAGACAGTAGGATATCATAGGTTATTTTTGTTCCTCAGCCCCTTAAAAGGATTAAATTATGATATCGGGAGAGAGAAAACGGCTGAACTGCTCTTTTTCCACTCGAGGTAGGCTTGGGTATTTGGGCAGCGGAGTTTCCAGGTCAGGCTCAACGGTTTTTGTTGGAACAAGGAACAATACCCTTTTTCGGTTCACCTATGACTACAACTTTTAGTATTCACATGGTTAGATTTTGACGGCCTTTTTTTCTCAGGAAAAAACGGTCGCGGAGTTACACCCGATTTTTCGAATAATCGTAGATCCGAATAAATTTCTGATGGGACAGCCCTAAGGATTTCACCTCAGGATCCTACTCAAATCCTTCTGCGTCTGTGCAGCGGCAAATCCGCTTGATTCAGAGACCTGAGCGCTTTGAATCCGTTTCAAGATCGGGGCCAATCTATTTTTCTTTATAAAAGAAGCCGCTACTTTATCTTTAGACGCGGCTTTCAATGCTGATTATTATGAACATTTTACAGCTAAATTTTCAGCGTTTGCAACCTCGAAATGTTTCAACCCAGTTCATGGCTGGTCATAACCTGCATTCTTTTGAGCTTTTTCAAAATTTGCTCTGCCGATGATATCAGAAATCATTTTTACTGGACAGACTTATCCTGTGAAGATTACATTGACGATTTGAACGACGCCTGGGAAGAATATAGGGCTCTCGCATTCTACGCGACTCAGGAGTTGCTACAAAAGCATCAGAGCATCAATACAGGATATACTATCCATAATTTTTTTAATCCGGGTCGACGACAGATGCAATCATTAGAAAGTGGGTCAACTATCTCTCAATGTTCCAACAACGCAGAACGAATCTAATCCAGGAAAGGCGATTTCGGACAAATGAAAAACGCAGGTTTTGGAGCTAAGATACCCTATGCCCTATACTGCGGCTTTGATTTTGCCTATGTGAGCCAAGACCAATATGGAAACCCCCTTAGTGCAGACCGTAAGCGATCCCCTGTGTCCTCATTGATACCTCTGTCTATTTCTGACTCTTTTTTTCTTCGCACAGAAAGGTATTTTTTTGCTAAAAGATCTCCTCCCGGTAGAGAGATTAAGATTTATCGGACATCAAATGCCAACATGTGTGATGGACCTTCTGCTTTTGCGGAGCTGAAAACTGATATTCTCGTACTATGTCCGAACTTGTGGAAAGAAGTACCAAGTCAGCTCTGTGAAAAAGATTGGGTCATGCCAGAAGGCTCCGCCATTGACTCGAGGAGGACTATTGGATCTGTGATATTCCATGAGTTGACCCATCTTATCCTTGGAAGTATGTACCCGTATGAATTTCTCGCTTAATGACTTCATGCTAACTGATGCTAGCTTATGATCATAGCTATCCTATTGAAGGGTGTCTTGAGCTTGCTCAAACGGATCCACAAAAGGCTCAGAATAACGCTCAGTCCTTCATGTATTTTGCTATAGGTATGGAAGTCCCAATGCCAATCTTAGAAGTTAAAAGGATTAAACGCCTTGCTAACTCTGCAACAGCAATGCTGTATAAGGGAAATGCTTGGTATAATGGAAAGGCACAGGCAGCACATTGAATCATGTTGGCAGGATCTTGGCTCGATGGAAGGATTGGGACATTATGTAGTTCTGATTTCTGGCAAAACAAAGTGCATCTCACAAGTATTTATTGGTGAGTGTTGGAATATGGAACAAAGCAGTCATGTGATCAAATTGTTACTTTATAATAGATAGCAAACTAAGAATGAAAACCAGACTTTACAACCACTTCAAGAGGACACACAGATATCATAGGGGCGTAAAGCGTTACTTGTGATAGGTGTCAGAAGTGGGCGTTAGCCTCTCATCACCTTTATCGAATAGCTATTCCACACTTGATACAGGTGTACCGACAGTGAGTAATATCAACTGAAAATTATTGTAAAGCAAAAAAAAATACTCTAGAGCAAGGAAAAATGACCAATGCACCTAAGTCTCCTTGACTCGCGACGAGAAAGATAGTTTTACTTAATTAGTTGGGGGACGTAAATGTCACAAGTGTAGATCGATAGGGTTAGATGTCAACTGCGGCAAAATAATCTCTAATGATACATCCACGGATGTGTTAGGAAATTGTATGCGGTATCATCACCACAGGGTAGCATTGCCAAAACCTCAGCAGGTACAGCAAGGAAAAGGAATTTGCTCTCATGAAAATCCCTTGATACTAGTTTCTTCAAAGAGGTCATCTTATCTATCATCGCATTGAAGCGGAGTTTTCGAATTGGCTGAACAACGTCAAAAATATAACATGTATCCCTGACTGCGGCGTTAATGTTAGCACAATTATCACATCATCTGGAAAAATGCAGTATTGAAGGAGATAAACGTGTGATACGGACTAGGACTGGTTATTTTTAAGGATATAGAGCACTGAATCTTCGCGTAAATGCTCAACACACCCAGTTAAAGTCCAACTTCCAGCTTATGACCACAGTTTTCTGCACAATCTGAGTAGATATAGATCTTCAGTGTATATCATCTGCGTTCTGATTTGCATTCCGAGTTGATCATTAATACAGATACTCAGCCAATTTGAGCGACAAATATTTCTGAGGGATAGTAAAGCACTCGATCTAGAATCTATGGTGAGTTTTGGAAAGATCTACAACTTCGGCCTCCAGCCTGAGTCTCCGCAGCTTCAATGTTCTAGTTGAATACAATGACAAAAATGCATTGGTAAGTTTTGATGGTTGTTTATTGCTTGTTGTATTTCTTCTGTGCGCCTCTAGAGCGATTTTGGGAGTATATTCTCCACACTGAACCCGGAGGAATTGTGGAACCCTGGCCACACATTGCGACCCGCAGAAGCAAAGGAGTAGCAGGGTCACCAGAAATAGTGTCTTGAGCTCAAACCCAAACCGTAGAGCTACTTACATGACAGAGTCCATAGAAATAGTAAAGAACCCACCTTCCAACTCGATTTTTTGGAAACACTGGGGTATTCGTGAGAGTCAGGAAAATTAAAGCTGCACTGGTACTTGGAATAACCAGACACGCCTTCGACTATCCAGTGATGTATCACTTGTCCGAACGAATTTAAGTCGCAACGACGATAACGTCTTGTATTAGGGTTATATAATTGTCTCGATGGAGATATCAGTTCAGCTTTGGTAATAATCAGCTGTAAATGTCGTAAAGCCGTCCAAAAGGATCAAATCGAATCCTAAACTTGGCCCATTTGGGGAATTTCAGTATTCATCAGACGACAGGGATTGTTCAAACTAGGTAAAGTGTAGTCTGATGCGACGATCTCTCATATTTTGTGATATACCCACCACCTTGCACAACGTATATACTAAGAATCTAGGACGACTCATTCCCTACTCCAGTATATATAGTGCCAAGTGTGAACCCTGTCCTTTCAACGTAGTTAATTGACATTAGGCATCTTGAAGGTGGTTTTCTGAGCTTGCAAGGTAAAGTCGCAAACGACTAAGGGAAACCCGAGAATCGAAATAATAGCATCACCAGTGATACAGTGTCTGATGTTGTGTTCTTCGAGTCACTGAAAAAGGTAGAAAAATGCCCACCTGGGCATACTTTCTCTTCCTGAAGAAGCTTATCTAAGTATCTGAGATGTATTCAGCCATTCTCTATTTGAGGCTATGGGAGGATAATTGAAGTTCATACTTAAAGTGAGGTGCTCCACTTTTATGGCTATTTTGACTACCTTCGGCTAACCTAATTAAGGCTGGCGTATAATCTTAACCACTGAAGATGCTCAGGTGTGGATATCTTGATCTGTCAGCATATAGAAAAGCACTTCACTAACTACCTAAATATATAAATAGAGTACTACGTGAGAATCAGAAGAAATCCACCATCTCACTGCGAAATAAATAGAGAGCAAAATTCTGCTCTATCGATACGCAAGTATTTCATACCGCTATTCACGGCTGAATTGTAATCCTGATACTGGAGGGCAAGAATTTGAAATATCTATAATATAGACATGAAAACTCCACTTATTATAATTTCGCAGGGTCTTTTTATGATGGAGTCGTAGTTTAGATTGTTAGTGTTGGAATATGGAACAAAGCAGTCATGTGATCAAATTGTTACTTTATAATAGATAGCAAACTAAGAATGAAAACCAGACTTTACAACCACTTCAAGAGGACACAAAGATATCATAGGGGCGTAAAGCGTTACCTGTGATAGGTGTCAGAAGTGGGCGTTAGCCTCATCACCTTTATCGAATAGCTATTCCACACTTGGTACAGGTGTACCGACAGTTAGTTACTAGACTTAACACGCGTGTCATATGACCTCGTTAGTCAGGCCGTGGCTAACTTCGAGACACCTTCCCCGCCGATAGACCGCCGACACATGTTCCAATGACACTGACACCTCTCTTCGCTTTCTAGTTCCCTTTCTCAAACAAGATGGCCGACTTTATACCAGCTACCCCAAACAAGATAGTCGATTTCATTTCAGCTACCCCAAACCGATGGGCTCCGAATGACCTGTCACCGAGAGCACAACGAAAGAAGATTCCAACTCCAGAGCAGCACGTTCTAAAAAACTATCTCATCTCCCTAAATCACGGCAGTCGCGGCATACTCCCACAACCTCTCTCTGCCCCTCCGCATTTCCAGAAAGACTTTACACCTTTGGTTGTTCCGAGTGTTGTGCCAGGTGGCCAGTTTACCATTCATGGACATCCAGTCACAATCAATATATTTGCGAGAGAGATAATTCTTCCGTTTGATTTACGCGAAGGTCCGTCGGAGTTTCAGGGAAATTTGGAAATTCTCATGAACATTTTTCCCAATACGACTCAAGTAACCTTTGATGACCGTTACCTGGTATTTACGGTTTGAGAAACTTCCGGATAGGCCATGGCCGAGGAAGGTTGGCGGAGTGCCTTGTTATTTCACTATCGACAAAAATGATAATGGTCCGTATGTCCCTTTAGAGGCAATCCTTCGTTATCGCCCCCATTCTCGAATTCATATCGCGAAACACCTCAATCTTCGAAACAAAACAGGAAATATTGAGCAGATCTTTGGTTTGGTGCATCAGTTTTTTGAAGAAGCCGACATACCCATCACAGAGGTCCAATCATGGGGACATCTCGTGATTATTATTCTCGAAAATGATACGGGAGATCTAATGACTAAAGTTCCCCGCTCAGTCGCTGGCTGTAATTGCTTTTACCTTTTTGAGGACATGATGGATAGGCCCGCAAATTTATCAGCGGAACGAATACGGGAACCGGCTTCTACTCAACCAGATGATTCAGCCTATGAAATTATACGACCAGGTGTGATGTTGAGCTCAGTACCTCATCCTGAACAAGGATGGAGGTTACAAACTTCTGCTGGTGTACTGATCAAGGACCATCTTGGTTATGAGTATATGACCGCTGCTGCCCATGGATTCCCTGGCTTGCTCATGAGCCCTTATGTCTATTGCGCCAATTCGAGTACAATAATCGGTGAGATGATAATTGAGATTAACTCTACAGATATTGCACTGGTGAAGTTGAAGCCCGGTGTTCAATTCCAAAACGAGCCCTTCGAAAATACCGTTGTCCCAGGCGCACTATTCAAGTTGGAAGGACTCTCAACCACAGAGACAACGATTGGAGATTCCATTTTTATGGATACTTCATTTACTGGCTATGTTGAAGGCACCAGAGGTGCTCAGTCAAAATTCAGAGTCCCAAGCGACTCCAACAACCCGAAACAGATTTGGATACAATGTGCATGGGATTACATCGGCCAAAATTCATCGACAATTCTCCCTGACGGTATTTGTGGCTCTGCTATCTGGGATAATAGCCATGATGTTGTTGGTTTTTTCGGTATGCTCCTAAACAGGGAGCCTTTGTCGATTGGTCAATGAGCGTTAGTACAGATTGCCTTGTCAAGAATGGTTACACCTTAGTTTAGTTCAGTAGGGCTGCTCTCATGTATTACTAAGATACAAATTAACTTATGATGTCAATTGTGCTCTTCTTCATATCATATCATATCCCTTCAGCGAAGTCCCCTAGAATACTCAAGTACAACAACAGACAACCGATGCTGGAAAGTATGGTATCCCCTGGGAGTAATTTGACTTAAAGTTTTTCAAGAGCCAATATTCTCTTCTTCTGGAAGTGAATTCTCTTACAATAATAGACTGTTACTATGAGGGGATCGCAAAAGAGCCCTAATTACCTGCCATGCTCCGATGAATATGCACAATTGCCGCACCTCAAGCATTTGCCCTGTACTGGATACAAAAACGCTGCTATAGCCAGCATGGGCCTGGACCGCTTACATTCAAATTCGGCTGGATTGGACCTACCACTTACAAGTCGGACATCACTAAGGGTAAATAGCCTGACAACAGCTTCTTGCACCACGGATACCTGCATCTTGAAGAGCCCCAGATGATCTATAGATAGTGCACATTGATTTTGATTCTTGTCTTATCATCCTCATTATTAGATAGTAGATCTAGGCTATGACTGAACAACCTGTATCAATAGTGATATCCACTTAGTGCAATCTGAATAGTACTTTTTCTTCTATACTTATTCATAGCTCGTTCTATTTTCATCGTCACTCCCTTCTATCTTAGGTCCTCTTCCACTCAGCTCACGTATTAGGGCTACCTAGTTCAAATCTTGTCTTGAGATACTCAGAAAATCCATGCAAGATGAAAGAGGCTGGTATCAAAGGGGGTAGAATAAATCTGCATGCAACATGTATAGATACTGGCTTGTTCGGGCCCCACCTGGGCAATAGCTATCTCCGGACTGTTAGGGCGCCTGGGGTTATTGACCAATCTATTTAACATATATGAAAGCCAAGTGGGTCACTAGTGAGCATATTCATAATTGAGCAACTAAAATCTGCTCTATCACTTCCTCTTTTATCATGAGAATAATTCTGTATTGTGTAATATGTACCTAGGTACTCTTTAAACCTTACAATATTAGCCTGCACCTTCCAAGGGTTCGTTCTATTGACCTGAAATGGTTTACTCGTAGTTATACTGCCCGGGTACTACTAATTCCGTTTTGTTTGAAAGGTCGATAATATTGGACCCACTTACTATAAAAGTGGGGTGTAGATCAGGATCCTATGATCTCATTTCGTACACTACGTTTTAATATTGACAGCAATTGATGAAATGATTCAAGAAATAGAAAAGATAAAGAAATTCGATCACCTGAGACTGATCTGTGCAAATATATCCCTTGTCAAGATCGTGGGTCTTGTTTCCGAGTTATGTACTTCCTCCTGACTAAATGCAGAATTGCAGTCTATTCTTCGGCAGATGTTGTCAAATAGCAAGAGTAAAGTGGCACGGAGTAGTCCTGAATGGCCAATAATATGTGTGTATGTGTGCTCCCTTACTATGGGATTCCTATCAGGATAGTAGGAATGATGACTAATACAATAAAACAAACTAACTGAATACAGTAACCAAATCTTTGAGATGACCACGTGATATCCATAATTACTTCGATTTCAACAACAAACCTAATTTCACGCTTCTTCTTCACTTTTAACATGATGATTCTCGGAAACCCTACCAGCTCACTAATCTTGACTAGTAATTAGCGATAAGGAGCGGTCAATGTTGAAATTTTCCTTCATGTAAAATTACCGGAGATCTTCAAACAGATGCTTTATGCTGAAGGATTGCTAGGGTTTTGGGGAAGGCTGCTTCTATTTTGTATTGGGAATTTCGAGCGGTGGAATTGATTATGTGGCAAGACGCCTTGGATTATATTTAATGAGAAGCCCAAGTACTTTATTCCTTTGCAATCTTTTCCAAAATCTCGGCCACACGATCAGGCATACTCAAAAATGGCGAGTGTGAACTTGGAAGACGGTAGGTTCTGTCCGGTCCAGCAACCTTGGCAGCAAACAGCTCTTGGATGGGAGGATGAAGAAATTCATCCTTCTCACAGATAATGTAGGAGCAGGGAATAGTATTCCATGGCTCATAGGTGCACTCGCCACCGAAAACTGGGCGTGAGGTATGCTTCGTCAATGCTCCCCACTTCTGCTGGTCTTCCTCAGGAAGATCAGACCAGGGGCTTATGGTAGGGTCGCCATTAGAGCGAACATAGTCACCCTATAGAATTTTAGTAGTGTTCTTTTTTGAACTCATACCCGCCGATATTGATATATGTATTTCAGAATGGAAGAAGTAAAGATATAACTCACATCAATATTCATAAATGGAGGAGGGTTACCTCCGCTCAAAAGACTTTTACCCTTATCCAAAGCAAAGGAACCCATATAGACAACCTTCACAACACCACCAGTCTTGCCCTCCTTTTCACGGGTGGCTTTATCTAAGCCTTCAACAGAGGAAGAAGCAACAACACCGCCATAAGAGTGAGCTACAACGATCAATTCACGACCCTCGTCAGCAAGCTGTGTCAACAATTCGCGCTGAGAAGCAGCATCATCAGCCAAAGTCTTGGTTGGTGGTTCAGCGCCAATGGAAGGGTGACTTTTGCACTCAGTAGGGAAACCGAGTGCAATTAGCTTGGAACGGATCTCATCGAAGAACTCCGAGGTAATCCAAGCACCAGTAGAAAAAACAAAGGTTGGACTGGTCATCTTTAGTGCTCGGCAAAGATATCGAATATTCGAAATTTGAATAATTAGTCCGTATTCGATCGAATATTCGATTCATTTGGTCACGTGGTCATACCAAGACTAGGATATATCATGTGATATAGAGCCCGTCACTCCAGTTATATATAATAGACATTCATTTGGTAGAATGTGAGAAGGTATGACACCCTTTCAAATTTTAGAAACAATAGCGCACGCATTCAATTTTCAATAACAGTCTCTGTATAAATCTCTTAACAGAACTAACTTCCTCATCGTCTGACCATTCAAAGAATATTGACGAACACCAATTGTATCCCGAACTTGACTGAACAATCTCTCCACTGATACCTTAGCTGAACATATGGGCGCATACATGACATAATATAGGCGGTGGCAGAATAAATAAAACGAATAAAACGAATCGAATACGAATAATGCTACCCCAATCGAATACGAATTCGAATAATGGCTATCTGAAACGAATTCGAATAATCTAAAAATCTATTCGTTTTATTCGATGCCGAGCGATAGTCATTTTGGCGGAGCGTTTAAGCTAGTAGTAAATATTGTAATTTTCAATTTAAGATGCAGGGGGTGATGAGATTCATAAATGACGTGATTCTTGGCGGTTCCTTGGCGGTTCCTTTATCCAGGTAGTTCCGTTACCCCCCATCAGCCCCCTCTATCTTCAAACACCCATTATGATGCCACCAATTCATTCAAAAAGCAGAAATAAGTCAATCAGGAGATCGAATTGAATCAGTTATTCGAACCTTGAAAATGGAAGTTTTACCTTGGTCGCAGCTGACATAAGCTCATTTTAGGTTCCAAGATCAAACGGCCATCTGGCATAGATCTACTGATCTTGCAGATGAATCTATAGAAAATTGGCTAACTTCTATGAATTTAAGAGGAATAGCCTTTATCTCAGCTTATTAAGGGATATGGCTAATTTAATCTTCGATCGCGTGGAGATGTATATTCTTCCTCTTTAAGCCAAAAATTGGCCATAAGTTATTAAATATCGTATAAATTTGACTTCAAGGCTCTTACGGAAGTACCTCGGTATCATTATAAGAGAGCCCTTCATTCTGAAAAGGGTCAGAATTTCCCAGAAAGGATAACTTCTGCCTTCTGCCTTCTAACTTCTAAATTGGATCCGCTATACGAAGAAGATGATGTTATTTCTCATCATTTACGATGTATGTTATGTTGCCAACTGTTGATGTGCCAAGTCCCACGTGACGCACTGTACGTCTCAACTTGGGCAACGAGGTGGGATTATAAGAACCAATCAAAATGCTTCACAATCTCAAATATGTGTGTGTATTTGCAGCAGTAAATCTAGCTGACTAATAAAGCGAGCTAGACTAAAATAGGACTGGCCATTTGACAGCATGTGTCAGCCCGCGTCCCAATTATTGTCCTTTTATCCCTAGTTTAGGAGAAGTTTCCGAGACTTACAGAGTAGGATCAATCTTCCATTTATGCATATTCTAATTGGTCATCCATGTTCTCTGAAAGTCGACTGCATGTTTATATTCCTGTAATCTGATCCGTAATATAGCTTAAAAAGCTAAGTTTTCGCCTGCCTGTTAGAATTTATTACTCTGCACTGTTTAATCATCTACCTATTGATTTCGAAATGTAAATGCCTGACCCTACCCCGAGGTACTATACCTATGTATAGCTTCTTCCCGATATTAGAATCGTGCCTGCAAAGTTCTCCCTGAACCGCCAACTTTGGCGGCCTCTATTGAAGAATTTCTGGAGTATGTAAATGAATGCCCCGATGACTGGATTATTTATCTGAAGAATACCGATGGGTCACCTGAGAGTTGAGAGTTGGAAGAAGAAATCCAGACCCTGCGCGCCACTATCGCCAAATAAGCTAATGACTCTTTGAAGAATGGAGAGGAATGGAAGGAAATACAGCTCAGTAAGATATTCAATATAATGAGCGGAGCAGGGCGGTGACAATCAGAAATGAATTTGAAGTAAAATTAAGATCAAAATCATGGAGTTTCAAGACTCGACATTCATTGAGACGTCGGGAAATACTACTAGGTTATAATACCCCGTCAAATCGATCAGAATTTCAACAGCCACGTGGTACTAGTTTAGGGCATTCGTACTCCCGGCTCTGTGGTAAAGTGTGGAACAGTAATTAGGCTATGGCGTACATGCCATGTGGCCAAAGATAGGGATATGCACTAGTAGTAGGCCACTAAACCCCGAATTAAAGGAGGTGATTGTCAGATTGGTGTGGGGGCTGAAAAAGGTAGGCTAGTATGGGACAATATCACTCCAAAATTCGCGACTGCAGAAACCATCCGTATTTGATTTCGAGTCTTTTTGTTCTGATAGAGAAGATCACTGTATAGATCTTGCGCCTAGTCGATCGATTACATGTCATGTTTCTTTCTTATTTTATCTCACGGATCAATAACGACGGTGAACCGAAGTGCTGGATCTCAAATTGATGAACACCCGGCAAAAGCTTTAATTATGATACGAAGAAAGTGGGGATATATGAATTGAAACAGTCAAAGCGTTTGTCTGGAGGACTAGACATACATAGTAATAGTAATTCCTCATTAGTTAAGGTAATAGACATGTGAGTGGATAATCCCTGTATAATCAGCCAATAACACCAAATTCTGACCAGGGTCATTCAATCTCATTTCCCAAGATCGTCAGCGCCCACACAGATGTGTTATCTGCAGATAGACTGGTCATAGGAAACAACGATGCCTAAATAGACAGATTTAATAGTTTCTTTCCATTGGCTTCATTCAAGTTGACGAAGTTTTGGTATAAAATAGAATGTTCAAATGCTCAAAGGTGGACTAAATTGACCACTCGCATGTCTCTTACTCTAACTGTTATCTACTAGTTCCATTTTGGTAAGAACGATCTTCTCCGTCAATCCGTGGGAAAGACCAGAGTTATTGTATCCTTCCAGTGGTAATGTTGGGCAATAACGAGTAGTTATGCGGTATCTGGAAAAGTTAATGAAAAGGAATAGTTTTGTGTGGTTTGAACATAATCAATTGCTGGGGGCTAAGTGCAATTTGGGGCGCTAAGTGCCATTCATCACCATATTCACTCATGTCACCGAGCCGTCTTAGCGCAGGATTACCGATAGTTTGGTCTGCAACGCCCCCACAGTCGAAGGATCAAGACAAAACGTTTAAAAGCTTCCCATCCATGGATCAAATCAGTTCAAGAAGTTGGGAATTATACACCTGTTGCTGGCTGACCATTCTACACTTCGTGGCAAAATATGGGCCACTATGGCTCCTCTCAGGGCGGGACGACGTTCTCTATCGTTCTGCTTGTTTTCATGTGTTTTGCCATAATAACGACAATCCTTCGACTCATATCTCGGAAGATGCGGGGCTTGACATTGGGCCTTGACGACTTTTTCACTGTAATTGCAACAGTATGTCCTCTACTGCTCACTGAACCAGATGAAGAAATATTCTGATGAAACTAGCTCCTGGTCTTTGTCGGCTCAATCCACGCAGTTAGCAGTATGGTGCAACAGTCTCGAAAACTTGTGTTGGCGCTTTACTGACATAGATGCCAGCGGTAACGAGTCATGGACTTGGGTTACATGAAGATGTGGTCTCTAAAACCGACGCCCAAACTCTCACAAAGGTGAGATTACACGTGAACTTTGAGAATCAACTCAGAGTAATCCTCGAGATATACTGACTTTCATACTAGTTCCTGCTTATTTACAATATCATGTACGCAGTCACTCTCGGGCTCTTGAAAGCATCAATGATCTTCCTCTATTACAAGCTATTCGGGGCAAAGAAGAGCCTGAGGATATCTGTTTATATCGGCTTGGCGATCGTTTGGGCTTGGGCTGCTAGCACTATATTGGCCAATTTGCTTATTTGCAGACCACTTGCACATGATTGGGACCCTTCAATACCGGGAAAATGTGGAAATCGAAATGTTTTGATGATGGTAGTTGGAACGATGAACATGGTCACCGATATCATCATTATGATCATCCCAGCACCTCATATCTGGGGTCTAAAACTTGCGGTAGTGCGGAGACTGGTTCTGATTGCTACATTTGCCATCGGTTTATGGTAAGTTCCATAATATTCAGCCTCCAGGGCTTTTTTCCACGTCACTTCCCCGACAAAGACTGATATTAATACATTCAATAGCGTCAGCGCCATAAGTATGGTTCGGGTTGTGAGTATTCGACAAATCAAGTTCAGCGATTTATCTTATACACTTCTGCATTCAATGCTATGGACGTGGCTGGAAATAGATCTTGCCATCATCGCGACAAATATTCCACTTCTTCGTCCGGTCGCAAATTTCCTCCTTCCGCATGGTTGGCTAGGAACATCCAGAGATCGATCCCAGTCATATGGTGGGAGATACCAAAGTGGACTGAGTGTAAGCCGGAGAAACTTCTCGCAATTCCAATCGGGTAAAAATGGCAAAGAAGGAAAGGCAGAGGTAACCTCTCACCAAAAATCACTCTATCCCGGAGCCTCTGGAGTGACATGGAATGATGAGGATGAAGATGGGCACTCAGATATCGAATTGACAACGAACGCCGCCCCAGTGGACGGGATTCAAGTGAAGCAAGATTTCAATTTTCATTCAGACGTCGAGAATAGAGTGCTGGAAAATGCACCCATACAGCCCTGGAGCTCCACCTCATTGGGTCCCAAGTGATATGTTTAATACCCTCTTTCATGAACTAAATTTTATTTATATCCTCTTTAATGGCGAACGACTTCATTTTCACACTTTATACAGTATAATATGACCAAATCTACTCACTACGCCGATTATTTTCTACCTTGGTCAGAAGCTTCGTTTATACACTACAGATCTTCTTGAAAATACTCAGAATAAAGATTTGAAACATTTCTGGCAATGAGATAGGGTGAATATGGTTTCGAACTTGTTAGCTCCATATCAATTTGAAGAGACTTTAGTCGGAAAAAGACCGCAGCTGTATGCAGGTTCCAGGTTATATACCTAAGGTAATCACTTGCGAGGTTCTGCTCCGCGGGTTTAAAGAGACTCAAAATTCCATGGAGACTGAATTTACTCCGCGGGCTCTTAAAACCACGGAAATCCGCGAGTTTTAACAACACTTGTCGATTTTCACCATCTGGGTAGTTAGTTTTCGAGAACCTCCCATCAATAGGTCACCAGTCAAAGTGGCATCGAGTTACCAAATTTATTCTCCACGAATCGAATATCTGCCGGTCTTCCTCCTAATGTCTTCTTCGTACAACATACTCCCCCGGATAAGCTATTGATCCGGTCCGATAAGACCTGCCACAAAAGCTAATCTATCCCACTTCTCAATCCCATCCCACTTAGTATTTATCGCTTTAAGTTTGTTTACCATAATGGATGCCGCAACAAAAGCGAGATACGATCTCATCACTGAGAATCTCGCGGAGATTCTCAACCCTGAGATCCTTGAAGAGATTCTAATTGAGGGTAAACGAAACCCGCGCATCTACTGGGGTGTGAGTCACATACACACATTTTTTCCTTTCCCTAGGACGACTCTGATAGCAATGATAGACTGCAACAACCGGCCGGCCACACACTGGCTATCTTGTCCCCGCATTGAAAATCGCCCAACTTGTCGCTGCCGGATGTGATGTCGTTGTCCTACTTGCCGACATTCACGGATTCCTCGATAACCTCAAGGCTCCACTCGAGCTTGTCGAAAGCCGTGCTAAGTACTACAGCAAGGTCATTACGGCAATCCTCCAATCAGTAGGTATTCCTACTGAGAAGTTGGAGTTTGTTCTTGGTAGCTCTTACCAAACGAGCCCCGCATATGTGATGGATGTCTACCGTCTATCGAGTGTGGTTTCTGAACACGATGCCAAGAAGGCCGGTGCAGAGGTTGTTAAACAGAGCGATAATGCTCCATTAAGTGGACTGCTCTACTCTGTTCTCCAGGTTCTGGATGAAGAGCACCTTAAAGTTGACTGCCAGCTTGGCGGAGTCGACCAGAGAAAGCGTGAGTCTCGCCTTATACGAAGTCGCTCATTTGAAAATTTGTCGTACTGATGGAGTTATAGTATTCGTTGCTGCCACTGAGTGGCTACCAAAGCTTGGATACAAAAAGGTATTGTCTTTAATTTCACATGTTTGGGCTGTGGTGATACTAACCTATTTCCTAGCGTGCTCACATCACCAACCCTATGATTCCCGGTCTCAGCGGCGGCAAGATGAGCTCAAGTATTCAAGAAAGTAAAATTGATCTCCTCGACTCAGTCGAGACCATTGCAAAGAAGATTCGGAAAGCAGAAGCTGCTCCTAAAATCGTCGAGGAGAATGGAGTTGTTGCCTTGGTAGAATTTGTTCTGTTGCCCGCAGCTGCTCTGAAGGGCAAGAAGGAATTCCGCGTTGAGCGCAGAGACCAGGAACCCTTGATCTACACCGATATTAAGCAACTCCACGAAGACTACAGGAATGATGTTTTAACACCGCAACTTCTCAAGCCTGCTGTCGCGGCTGGGATCCAGGCCCTCTTGGCACCTATCTCGGCAGCTTACGAAGCTTCACCCGAGTGGCAGGAGATTACTGCAAAGGCCTACCCGGCACCTGTTGTGCAGAAGAAGGAGAAGAAGGTCAAGGATAAGGGCTCTCGCCACCCAGGTGCCATCGCTCATCACATCAAAGCTGAGGAAAAGCCTTCCGCAGAGCAGTAATTTAATCTTTGGTTGGTCAGCACAGATGGAAAAGAATGTTTATCCCATAGTTGCCCAACTAGCAAGACAAGACGACATTCGGAGTCTCTGGCACCTATGTACTATAAGATAAGTTTCCAAAAAGGCCATCTATTATTCGATTAACCATATTTGGAAAGACGATCTCCAGTGTATTGAATTCAACTGTCCAAGGGGGCTATGCCGCTGATTCATTTGGCTAACTTTGAAAGCTTTCTATATTCTTAAACCTTGGTGTGTTTACACCGAATTTTCAATTGATAAAAGCACAATACTACAATAAACTGAAATGAGACATTGAAATGAAAATACCTACCCTTGTCTCTTGTTAAACACATTGTCAAAAAGGCTTCAAAATCATAGCGGGTAAAGGTGGTCCCAATACCCATCCACCGATTCGACACCGCTGACATTTAAGACAAGTTGAATTCGATCGACTCAAGTTTGGTCGATGCGTATGCCCTCCATGAAAACCACCGTGTGCATCAGGCATTGAGTGGGCTTCGACATTGTTCTCCATACTTCTTCCCTGGTTGTTACCAGCATGGCCATAGTAACGAGCGTTCTGAGTCGCTTGCATCATCGGTTCCGGGTTTGAATTCGAATTCGAGGGCAATTGTGGTCGCGAGTGCGGACAGCTTTGAGAATGTCTTGTCTCCGTCAAGTGGCCCCGGTGGTTGCAGGAATGGGGAAGATTGCAGCGATGACAATTCTCGCATATGGATGGTCTCTCTGATTCCGCGGAGCAGGAGCAGCACCGTCGACGGTGCGTTATTTGAGAGGCCCGACTTGCTATGGAGCTGTTTCGAGACCGGGTGCAATTTGGCGAGCAGGAGTTTCTGTTGTTGGTTCTCCAGTGAGCAACGCAGCAGTTTTGATTCGAGCAACATTGACAGGATGCGCCATTGCGTTGTGGGTTGCAATGTATTACGCATATCGTCCTTGAGCTTCCACAGCCATGGCAGGTGGAAGAATGCATGATGACTTTAGTGTTCAATTAGACTTTCAATGTTGAATGTGTTGGGCTAGGTACGGGAAGTTGCTATCCTGTTATATATAGGCTGTTTTGGGGGTCTTCAGCTTCCACATAATCCCTTTCAATGGCCGCTTTTTGCAAAGGAAAAGCTTGCAAGGAAAGTAGCACGAAAAGTACCTAGTTTGCCCTCTCGCTTTCACAAATTCTTTCAAGTATCTGATTCTGGACTAGTAAAAGGTAGTGCTTCTAATTTCGACGGTGTTTGCAGTTCTCAAGTGGCACTCAAAGCATATCTGCCTTAGAAGTTCCCCCTATAGAAATACACAGTCTACAGAGCTGCGGATAGCTGCATGAAATTCGATGGATATTATAGGACTGCGAGAAAAAATTGTTTTATTTTGAGTCATTACTGAAAACTGGATCTTAAATTGAGTGAGATGATTCTTTGTTCAACGATTCCCTTACCAAGTGATCATTCAACGACCATAACATGTCCGGAGGATGTACGAAGTTTGTCAGGGATGGCAATAGAAGGAGCATAGCGCACAATCCATTCCTTCGCAATCGCGTAGAAAGTCTGGCAGACTCTCTCAGTTGCAAGATCCCTAGATTCTGTACCGCACTCAATATAGACTGCCTGCTATTAGTCATTTCAATGTGAAACTATATAGGGGTAACCTACATTTGACTTTCGGCTCCGTGCCTGAACCCCGGAGCGTGAACTGCACACCCCCCTCTAACCACAATGTTAGCATCTGGCTAGTAGGGTCTATCGGTAAATCGGGGTTGCCATCAGCTGTAGAAGAATCAAATCCTTCTGTTAGATCTCTCCATCGAAGGATTTTGAATGGTCCCAATTTCTTCTCAGGGAGGAAAGGACCGCTTCTGATCCCACGGAAGAGTTGAGTCACTAACTCAGGATTTGTAGCCCGGAAGTAATTATTCAATGTTTCATGGAAGCCGTGCTGCGCAAAGAGTTGCTCGAGTTTAGAGTATGGTGTCAACCCCTCCTCCTTCCATTTGGCAGCTGCCATGAGAAACACTGCAGCAGCTGTGATACCATCTTTATCGTAGCAGATGGAAGAAAACATATACCCAAGTGCTTCCTCGTAAGCAAAAGGTACAGTTTGCCCCGTACCTTCAAGGTCTCGGGCTACATTTCCTAGCCATTTAAAACCTGTCAATGTCTCTTGAAATAGGGAACCCCTGGCTGTAGCCAGCTTTTCAAGCATGCGGCTTGATACGGCTGTTGTCAGAAACGTGTCCTTCGTTGGGTCTTCGCTGCTGCGATCCAGGAACTCCATAACATGAGACGCTAATAAGACGCCGATCTGGTCACCTGTGAATTGGAACCATTCGTTGCCTCTTTTCTCGGCTACAGCAAACCGGTCTGCATCCGGGTCATTGGCTATAACTAAAATTCGACCTAGTTGGTCTGCAGTTGTCATGGAATGATCCAGAGCTCCCGCTTCTTCAGGGTTGGGAAATTTCACAGTCGGGAAGTCAGGATCCGGCTTTTCCTGGAGAGGAGCAGACACGAAATCCCTGCTCTGTAACTGGGTACTGCACAGGGCTGGAAGTACTGTGCCTCCAACTCCATGTAAAGGGGTGTATACGAATGGGGGCACATAAAGTTGTGAGGTGACAGTTGAAATCTAGTGTTTCATATTAGTTAATACCTTTGATGGTTGTATGGATATCCATACCGCATATTTTGCGACTTGTTCCTTGTACGGAAGAATGAGTGTCTGGTATGCATCATCATGTAAAAACTCGTTGGGTCTCAGTTCATCCCAAGCAGTAGACCATGGCTGCAAGTTCTCACGGATGAACTGGGCGATGTCTGCATCTTCAGGTCTGTTGATTTGAGCACCATTGCTGGAATAAACTTTGTAGCCATTATCCTGGGGTGGGTTGTGACTTGCAGTCACCATGACACCCGCCGCAGCTTTCCAGTGGTTGATTCCATACGGAACCATGGGAGTCGGTGAGATCTCCGAGAAGAACCACACAGGAATCTGAAGTGCAATGAAGGCATTGGCCGCAAGCTCGGCAAATCGGCGAGATTGATGGCGGGCATCATGGCCAATGACTACTCCCTTTGATGCAATCTGCGGCTTTCTTGTCTTTATGTACTTTGCAAGTCCTTGAGAAGCCTGGATCACCGTCAATGAGTTCATACGGGAGAATCCTGCTGACATGCGACCGCGCAAACCGGCAGTGCCGAATTCGATGCCTACATCTTAATTAGACCAAGACGCGTGAGCAATAGACTTGCACATACGCTTTCGGAGAAGAGTTTCCAACTCTTCCGAAGCACCGGCATCTCGCAGCTTCTCTACCTCCGAGCGAGTCTTGGAGTCCTATATCCGAGTCAAGTCAGGAGATCATGCCACCAGGAAACATTTCTCCGTATTTACCTGATCCCACAAAAGCCACGTCTGAACTAAACTTGAGAGCGGTTCCTGCAATGTGTCAGCCTATCAGAGAGAAAGGAAAACGTCGAATATACCTCAGCCATCATGCAATCCGAGGGTAGTTGTTATGTTGAATGATACTTGATACAGTGGAGTTTCATACATTAGGCCTCCTGGAGACTCCGCCTTTTTTACCGCCTACTATATTTGGAAGATGATATATCACTCTGTATTCCATTACCTAGTGGGGCCTGCCAACTGTCACATTCCATCAGTATGAAGTTGTATATGATACGTTTTGACAGGCAGAATACCAGGCACGGACCAGAACAGGTGCACTAGGGGGCCAAATTAATAAATTTAGTGGCGGTTGAGTACATCAGATAATCACGGGAAGAACGGACGATCAGTTCCCGCTTATTGCTCCACATTCCCGCTTCACTTCTCTCCTGCCTATCCCTAATCTCTGTTTTATTCCTTGCAGTTTATTGAGCGCTGGCTTTCAATCCCATGCTAACTTGCTGATTGCCCGGTTTTTACCTGGCAAACTCGGCCTCGGCCTTAGCAACATCTCTTCAGTCATTATTTACAACTCACATCACCTTCAATGGAGAAGTCTACCTCGCAAGTGTCTCGGAAGGACACTGTCTTGAGTACACGGTACATCGAAGGCCTTATTGCAGAGGGAAATCATGTCTTCATCTTCGAGAAACGCGTTCTAAAGGTGGACGCGTGGATCAAGTTCCATCCCGGTGGAGACAAGGCTATCAAGCACATGGTGGGCAGGGATGCAACAGATGAAATCACTGCGTATGTTCCGAGCCAGGCTTCTTCTTTTCCACTGCTAATCATCGAGTTATTATGAATAGACTACACTCGAAAGAAGCTCGCGAGCGAATGTTGTCATATCAGATTGGACGAATTGAGGGATTGTGGTCCAACTTCAAGCCCCCCATGCATGGTGGCAAGTACCGTCCATACACTGATGAGTCCTGCTCAAGTGAAGAGGACTTGTCCAGCGTAGAAAATTCCAGCCAGGATGGCTCCACCCCACCATCCCCAGTCTTTGATGCATCCGCCCTCCGAAAGAGGAACACAACTGCTACTGTTACACCCGAACCTTCTCTTCCCGCTAACACCGCATGGAAGACAACTGGACCAACATTCCTGGACGCTCGAACTAAAGAAGAATTAGCCTTTGATACAGCCAAATACCCCCCAGTGGATATCGAACATCAGGAGATTGTGAAACAGAAGTACCGTGCACTCCAGCAGCGCATGTTGAACGATGGCCTTTTCAAATGTCGGTACTTCTGTTACTTCATTGAGGCTTCCCGTTATACGCTATTCGCATCCCTGTCATACCTGTTCCTCCGCTGGGGCTGGTACGCCTTCTCAGCATTTTTCCTCGGAATATTTTGGCATCAGCTTGTCTTTTGTGCCCATGATGCTGGTCACATGGCCATTACAGGCAACTTTCAATTTGACAGCATCATTGGTATCCTCATTGCCGACTGGATGGGAGGACTGAGCTTGGGATGGTGGAAACGGAGCCACAACGTGCACCACATAATAACCAATGCTCCCGAGCACGACCCAGATATTCAGCATATTCCCTTCTTCGCTGTTTCACACCGCTTCTTCAATAGTTTATGGAGCACTTACTATGACCGATTCATGACATTTGATAAGCCGTCGCAGTTTCTGCTCAAGGTCCAGAACTACTCTTACTACCCTATCATGTCTCTGGCGCGCTTCAATCTCTACCGCCTGAGTTATGAGTATCTCTTGAAGGGCCAGGCTCCCAAAAAAGGCCCAGCCTGGTTCCACGTTTGGCTCGAGATTGCTGGCCAGTGCTTTTTCTTCTACTGGTTTGTTTATGGCGTGGTGTGCAAAACACTTCCAGACTGGCAGACTCGGGTCACTTTTCTCTTGATTTCTCACATCATGACTTCCCCTCTGCACGTTCAGATTACCCTGTCGCATTTTGCCATGTCTACTACCGATATGGGTCCCCAAGAGTCTTTCCCCCAGAGGATGCTGCGCACTACCATGGATGTCGACTGCCCTACCTGGTTGGACTTCTTCCATGGCGGTCTGCAATTCCAAGCTATTCACCACATGTACCCTCGCATGCCGCGCCACAATCTGCGTCGTGCTCAGAAATACATTTTGGAATTTTGCCAGGATACCGGTATCCCATACGCTATCTACACCTTCTATGACGGAAACAAGGAGGTCATCAGCCACCTTGGAGAAGTTGCCAAGCAGCTTAAACTCATGGAGGAGTGCCGCAAGTCTATCACCACCGAGGGAGTCTTTAACCCTCTCGATTAATGTCAGACGCCCTCTTGTTGTCCAACGATCCAACTATTACCACGACTTTCATTCTTAGGCGATTATGAGTATATTTTACCTACCACTCAAATCTTACATAACTAGGTAGCTAGCATGAGCCAATGATCTTCTAAAAAAAAGACAAAAAAGAGAGAAAAAGAATGGTGCAAATATGCATATCCCAGTTAAAAATAATCTACATGATAGAATATATGAGGGAAACTAAATACTCATCATTTGAAGATGAATATGTCCTGTTTTCCTGAAGCTCTATTAACCAGGTAAACCGCCCCCTCGAGCAATCTTCTTTGCACGCTGCTGGCGCCGATTATGATTAGCCCGACTAGCTTTATGCTCTTCTTTCTTCTTATGCGCATTTTGTTGGCCTTGCTCCCCAGACTGTGGTGGGCGACCACCACGACCACCACCACCTCGCACTCCACGTCCTCGTCCACCTCTCGCTCCACCCCGGCCCCCACGAGCGGCAGAACTTGATGAATCGCCGTCTTCAGATTCATCCTCGTCTTCAGGTCGTGGCTTTCTGTAAGATGTGGCAGTGAGTGATGGCTGATTGAGCGCACCGCCCCCAGCACCACCAGCATCGACTGCAAGCTTATCCTCTAACCTTGTAGCACGCTTGGGATCACGGGATAGCATGACTGCCCAGCCTTCAATGGCTTCGTCGGTCATATGCGTTTCACGCTTGAGCTGGGCGCGCGGTTGGGAACGGCGTGTTACTGAATCTCGAGAGAAGATGGCCGGGTTGGACTTATAGGCACGGAATAAGACTATGTCAATGTTTTCAGTGGCTGGATTTTTGGCTTGACTATCCGCATCGTCTGCGCCGGCTGTATTGTCAACGGTGCCGCCCACGTCTGCGACATCATATGTGTCGTCACGTTCATCATCGTCAGAGTCGAATGCTGCTAAAGCCGAGAGAATCGCTGCCTTTTGAGCCGTGTGCTCGCTGCGATCTGCGAGGACTTCGTCCGCAGTAATATCCGTTCGGCCGAAGCGCAGTTTCCCCTTGGCTTTGTCGGAGCGACTGAGCTCTGCGATATCGACATCGTTGTCGAAGATGTTGTTCCGGGCAGAGACTGGCGCCAGAGTAGGTGAGTGCATTGCAGGTGGTGTTGACCGGGGCGCTAGATGTGTGTGCTTGGACTCTGCTGGGGGAGGAAGTTGTTCGGATCGATCAAGGCCTTGGAGCTCTGGTGGGAGCGAGTCATCTAGAAGCTGGGCGACTACGGTTTCTGGGTTTTCGTCGTATGCATCTAGAAGCCTCACGACGAAGGCAGAACCCAAATCTGGGAAAAGGTCTTGGACCTGCGAAACGAGCGACATTTTGTGTGCATGTAATTCTTCCGGAATCTGGAGCCCAGACGAAGGTTCTTTGCCCTTGTCGGTTTTCTTTCGCCTTTGGTAGCGGTGATGAAAGATCTTTGCTTCTGCTTGGTATACACGCAGGCTCGACAGAAGGTCCTGCCCCCGTTTCTGAGGGTGACAAGAAAGATACTTATCCAGCCGTTGTAAAAGATCTGAGCTGCAGACCAGATCCGAAAGCATCGTTGGCCCAGATTTAATATTGGGTGTTCCCACTCCAGCGGCAGCCTTGAGACTAAACAATTGGTCTAGCAACAAAGACAAATTGATTGAAGGCTCCTTTAATAGAGATACCAATCCAACGTAAACATTCGCGACTAGAATTTTGGGAAGCTCTGGCCTTGTGTTTTTTGATTGATATGCTTCCGTCAACATGTCCAAGAAGTCGGATCCTGCCATCAAGACCTGACCGCAGGGTGGCAATACCGAGGCTAGGATTGTCAAACGTCGAATGTCCAGTATAATCACAGAATTGCCTGCGGGAGAATAAGTAGGTAATTGCTGGATAACGAGAGACTTCGCCTTTTCCAAGCTGGATGATATCTTTTCATGATGCATTTCCCATGCCATGGACATTAATGATTTTAGTGCGTTGCTTGATGGGTAACAACAACATATATCTCCCAAGAGCTGCCAGTTGAAGAGGGCGTCTGGTGGAGATTTTAGACTGAGCATGTATCTCCTTATTGTGAGAAAACATAGCTTCCGAAGCTTTCGGGCCTTGGTTCCAGATTGTAGAACGGTATCCCCTGCAGCGGCATATTGATAAAACGATTCCAGGAATGAGGCTGGAAGATCTGCACCGGCTGCATCTTGGAATTTTTCATCAGAAGAATTTAGACGAATGCTAAGAAGTGTCATCCATGCATCAAGACACGCCTCCCAGTCATCAGATGGGATAGTTCTTCGGACCGCGGGGGACGGAACTGGAGCCAAAGGCGGGAAATCCGCCATTGCAACCCAAATATGGTGAGCTATTAGTGAGGAAAAGCTGTATCGTCTGATCAAGAGACTTTCAAAGAATTGAAATATTGAAAACGGGAGGAACAGCAAATAGAAATACCAAGCTTAACAACCTCATCAAAGTTGTAGATTGACTGCATCGGGACGCCGAACACATGGATGACTCAGCTGTTCCACATATGGCCTAGCGCCATCTAACCGAAAAATGCCAAGACTTCCACGATGAATTTGATAGTTTTTCTCGCTCCACACAATTTCCACTCGGCAATCATCACTTTACCGAACCAAGTTCAGGTCTTGATTGTTATCACTCCTCAAAAACAAAAAAATCATTCAAAATGTCTTTCCAGAAGCCAGAGAAGGATTTCGGCGAGGGCCCCGTACGTTGAACTACAAATTCTTCCATCTTCACTCCGCCGCACATACATTCGTCGTCGCATTGTGGTTGTCACAGTCGCATGTCGAATATTTACTCCGGATTGGCGAATAGGATTATCGCGAGTAGACTACTAATCCCCCTTATAGAAGGTCCACAAGATCCGTATCACCCTCACCTCCCGCAAGGTCGCCTCCCTCGAGAAGGTCTGCACTGAGCTGATCGACCGTGCCCGCTCCAAGTCCCTCCAGGTCAAGGGCCCCGTCCGTCTGCCCACCAAGACCTTGAACATCTCCACCCGTAAGACCCCTAACGGTGAGGGTTCCAAGACCTGGGACAAGTACGAGATGCGCATCCACAAGCGCCTGATTGAGTAAGTTCTGCTGTTTTGATGCCTGTAAGGGTGGCTTGATTATTTGGGACTGACTAGTCTTTCTTTACAGCTTGCTCGCTCCCACCGAGACTGTTAAGCAGATCATCATCAACATCGAGGCCGGTGTTGAGGTTGAGGTCACCATTGCTGCTTAAATGCACTACTTATATTTAAGTACATAGCAATGCCAAAATTTTGAGGACTCCTGGCTCCCTTTATCTTGAACGTAGTGATTTGTCAAAAGTTATCCAAGGTCTGATTAGCATAAACTGGCACTTGCCCTGTGTCAGTAGTATAATTTCGAAACGCATTTGGAATTCTATATTGCAAAATTCACCGCAATGAGAAGCTCTTTAAGACTTCTGGAGGCAGATAGCGTGGTCTACTTCGTTTCCAGAACTTAATGCAAGCTATTCCGAAAAAGAATAGCTCCAGCCCTGGCTTACTCTCAGCCTTACCAGTCTTACTACCAGTTGCACAGGAGAAGGCATACGTCGAAAGTTTGCCCACCTACATTGGGCAAATGAATTAATTCATCACTCTCTTCTACCTCACTATGGAAAGCACGGAATAATTTCACAGCCCTGCCAGCAGGGGCCCGCGTTCAATCTGCTCTTTTGATAATCAGATACGGTTCTCATATTCTGGTGAAGACGGAACGATCAAATCATCATTTGCAAGGATAGAAGAAGAAATCGGATTTTTTGAACGTTAATGGGCTCTTATGACGCCTTATTTCCCCTGGATAGCTGACGACTGGACCTTTTCGCCTCTGATAATAGTGTTACTTTCAAAATATCGAATGCGAAGACTGGAGAGCCTCCAGTCCTCAAGAGTCACTATCCCGAGCTTTTCAATTAAAGAATGTGAATTTTCAAGAAAGGATGAAGCGTTCTAATTCGAACTAATGAGGGTTTCAATGTAGTTCCATTCCCAATTAATGAAGGAGTCAGCGATCGCCATGACTGCGTATAGGAATAGGAAAGTCCAGCATTTAAGAGCAATGTATAGCTTAGCATTTGGTGGGAGGAAAAAATCGACAAATGGTTGGTAAAAGGCTTTAGAAGAGTAGGTTAAGGCCGATAGCAAATTCGATCCACAGACAGAGACGCTTATGCACTAGTGGGTATAATTTGGCTTCCTATGCGACACCTATCAGATATGGTTCCATTTTACCTTCAGTTAACTGGAGGATGAGCCCCCAAGGTCTCCAGAAACAAATACGACCAGAACTGCCGCATACGCAGCACATGCCCCGAAGATTTCAGCCCTCTTTGCATTCGAGGCAAAACGGAGGCTCAAGCCAAATAGAACAGTGAATCCAGCGATCATCCCTAAGCGGGCCTGAGGATTCTTGGTGTAATATAAGCTGACGATGGCGCCCACGAGATCAATGAGAGCAATGATAGTGCTAATCACGGCGACGGCCTGGGAAACATGACGGAGACGGTAATATCTAGTACCGTCATCAATACCTGGCCTTGAGTCTCCCTTTATTATGTTAGTTCGCACTGCTTCCTTTCAAGTGAGACAAGATAGACTACCTCAAGCGGCCAGTAGCTCCGTAAATACCATGACAACATGTCCTCCTCGGGGTCCGTCCTTAGTGCTAATAGATCAATGTTGTCGTCGAGCATTTTCCTGACCTTTCCATCGATGACAGAATTTCCACTACCCTGCTTTTCTTGTCGAAACCACCTTCGAAAGATCCTCAGAAGTCTCTCGTCTGGGCTCTCTAGTGCGGCTATGTTGGACTGAAGAATTAGAGCTTCATCTGCGATCAGTTAGTGGGTTATTAAACCGAGGTGAACGGAAATTGGGCGCAACATACGATATTCCTTTAGTTTAATAGCTATCTGAGCAGTGACCTCCATTCGCCTTTGCACTGGACCTGGTTTTTTGGCATGCTCGTTGAACGTCTCCCATCGCCTGACAGACATTTTTAGTATAACATCCTGGCCTGTAGCTGTTTCATTGTCCAAGTCATCCAGCTCCTTTTCAAGTTCATAAACCTGCGCCTGGAGATATAGGAGATTCCGAGCACTTAGTCGACTGAATTTGCGGAAGATGAACGTTGATTGGTCGGGATCATCTGCGATCCAGCTCGCAAGAGCAGGATAGCCATCGCGAGAAATCCCAAGCTCAACATCTTGTGTACCCATTAAACTGTGTAGATCAAGACTTGCCACGACATGATTAGCTATCTCCTTGGGACAGTTTTCCAGCTCAAATATTGCTGGGTTCCAGGATGAAACGCGGAAATCGCTATCCTTGACGGTCAACACTGTTCAGGATAATACAATGCCACCTTGGAAATACACAAATGAGTGTGAGTTGAGCGAATGGACAGGTCAGATGTTCATATGACTTTCCTGCAGGCTTTGTTGTCGTTGAAGAGAAATGGGGCTTGGCGCCAATTGTTGCCTTCCAGCAGGTCAGGTCAGCCTTGGAGGCTTGGCCACTGGAATCAGCCCAACGAGGCTTCCAGAGTGAAGTGACTTGGCTGTGCTAAGCAAAAACAAAATACAAGGGAAAGAATCTTGGGCTTTGATTCTATCCCAAGGTGGTCACCTTTTCGATTTCCCGTTGCCAGCTTCAAGAATGTCAAAACATCAACCAGCTAAGAGAAAAATCATCAAGAGAAAGGGTAGGGAAGTCAAGCGCCTAGGGCATGACCCAATATCTGAGTTGAGGGGAAATATGGCGTTTCGAGGTAAATCCACTTCCCTCAACATGACGGTGGAACACGAAAACCAACCTTGGAATACGACCAAAGAAGATGCTGACCATCGTACCGAACAAACTGAAGGGAGCGGCTCGCGATAATTCTCTCTGTATAGCAGCCGAGAATATATCCCGAACCACCGCCATGTCGACAATGACCAAAGGTCCCCTCCTGGAAATGCTACAGTACGGCTCCGAGATGTCACAGCATTATCAATCGTTCTAGGGTTGACTTTATACCTTACTTTTGGCTACGGTCGACCAGGACTTATCTTTATGACATTGTATTCCCTTAGACGATCATTACTTGTGATCGGGATTTTCTGCTGCTCATGGGCTGGATCCTACGTTTTCGTGAAACCAAATGAAAACGTTCGACTTGCCAAGGTGATTCGCTCAGGAAAACCTGTCAAAGTCCCGATTGATCAAATTTCCATTGGTGACAAGGTGATGCTTGAGCCTGGGGATTTTGTTGTTGCCAATGGTATCTTAGTCAATGGATACCAAATCAAATGCGAAGAATCCTCATGCATCATTGAGAAAACCCCTGTGAATGATATCTATGATGCAACCGAACGAGGCGATGTTGCGTGGAAGCCAGATCCATTCATTGTTAAAGGAAGCCAAGTTACCCAAGGTGTTGGGTTATTCGTTATTACCGAGGCGTCACAACGCGAGTTCGTCATTACTAAAACGTCACAATGCGAGTTCGTCATATCTATGAAGGTTGATGAAGCCCCAGACAAAGAATCTGCCCCCATACCGAGGGCTTCGGGTCTCTCAGAATTTAATATCGGTCAAGTCCGCTATGAGAAAACCAAAGATGATGGTGAAGGCGAGGTGGAAGAACCAGAAGACGAACTGGACAAACTGAAGGACGACCTGAGCAAACTAGAGGATGGGATCCATAAACAAGAAGACAAGTCAGAGAAACCGGAAGGCGCGACACAAAGGTTTAGGAGATTGTCTAAAAAATCGATTCTTGGTGAAACAACAGGGTCGGAACCACCCACGGCCGATTCAAACCCTCCGTTAGACTACTCAGAAACGAGGGGTCCCTCGATGAGAGCGGGTCAGGTTGGAGATCCAGGTTTTCAAAAACCCAACCGCATCACATACGAACAACTGATCACTGAAGTTCGAGAAATCTATTCAGGGCTGGTGGTGGCGGAGAAGAAGTGTATTGAGATTGAAAAGCAACAGATGGAATCAAAAGCTAAACTATTAGACCATACCGAGGCCGGTGAGGAAGAGGAGAGAGAGGAGGGAGAGGAAAGAGAGGAGGGAGAAGAAAGAGAGGAAGAAGAGGAAGAAGAGGAAGAAGAGAAAGAAGAGGAAGAAGAGAAAGAAGAGGAAGAAGAAATTGATGCAATACGGGACACAAAAGAAGCAGACGAGAAAAAACACAACAACCAATCTTCCGCCGAAATCGTAGCCTCGGGAACCCCAAGCATTTTGAATGACAATGACTTTCGGCTTGGCCTTGGTAGCAAGTACGACCAGAACCACGAGGGTGATTTGAACGATGTGCACGAAGAAGAACATGAAGAGTACAAGGAAAACCATGAGTATAACAAAAACAGTAGTTATGATGCCTCGTTTCCCCTTGAAGAGAACTTGATGGATTGGCGTCGATTCAAACTCCCGCCTTCGCCTCAACCTAGCCCACGAGACCGCGAGTTTTACGTTCCTGGAATGATAGAAGGAATTCCGGTATTCGCTACCCCCGACTTCGGTTCAGGGTTTAATATAGTGTCGCAGGAAATGGCTGAGATGCATGGTTTGACCATCGATACTGGAGATACAGAGTCATATGGGTTGCCCAATGGTGTTATTGGAGCCTTTGTCGGTACGGTCCAGGTTTTTTGGTCTTTCCTTAACGAGATGGAGACATACCACTGCGTCTTTCATGTTTTAAAGACCTGTGTCTGTGACATGATTCTTGGCAGAGATTTCCTCAGCGACACCAAAACATTCACGCAATTTGCTTCTCAGCGAATCCAAGTGAGGTATGGAGGGCACAGTCTATCCTCCATTCAGAGAGTGCTTTTTGTGGATCAGACGAATCCATCTTCGAGGCAAAGACTTTTGGGTGAAATTGACGGGCATCCCATTGGAGGCTTTACTGATACTTCTTCCGACCTCACAATTATCAGACGTTCCACAGCAGTGCAGCTAGCACAAAGGATGGACTGGGATATTGACTGGAACCGCATAACGCAAGTCCAATTTGTGGATGGATCAACTGCTTATACGAGTGGCTTGATACGTGACATCACCTGGGGCTTCGGTGCCGATCCTCGCCAGGATGATACCATTCGTCTTGATCTCCATGTCATGGATCGAATACCTTGTGCCTTAATATTGGACAAATGGCTCCTGTGGGACCATAGGGCTTTCACGAGATACGCCTGTTGTTTCATTGACATTGGCGTTGGTGACAAAATCGGAACCAAGAAACCCATTTTATGGGTCCGTGAGAAAAAAAATCACAAATATGAGCAAGAAAAACCAAGCCCAGCCGACGCGGAGGCAAGGCACAGAACTAGGGTAATGGATGAGATAGAAGAACTGCCATTCGATAAACGCGCCGCTGCGATGGCAGAGGAAATCCGCCGAATTCAGGAATGGGAAGTGCGCTATGGGCCACTAAGTTCCAGAGTCGGCTCTCACGGCTTGCAGGTCGCAAGCACAGCTTCTAGCCTATCTGTGCCTTCTTCAAAGTCGTATCAGATATCATCTACCTCCTCAATTAGCCCTACAATATCAACGACCAAATCAACTGTGGCGACAACTCCTCCACTTAGGTTACCTGGCGGGTCCAGTGGTTCTTCATCGCCACAATCCTTCAGTATGCAGGGTTCCGGCAGCAAAAGGGAAAAGGTCTCTTCGATATTCCGTAGAGAACCTTAGTCGTCCTAGGTTTGAACAATGGCCATACGATAGTGTTGGGTCAGTGATCTTGTCCCCGGACAGCCAGATGGTGGCCTCGGTCTCTAATGATGAGTCTATCAGAATTTGGGATGTCAACATAGGTGAAGAGCTCAAAATTATTCAAGGCAATATCAATATATTGACCCCTATATAGCCTTCTGCCCGTATAGTCAGAGTTCTAATTTGTCCAAACAATATATCAGTATCATACCTGCGAATAAAGAAATTCTTCTCAACTTACTATTTCGGTATTCGGTCGTACAAATGGAATGAACGTGACTTGTGGGTATCTCTTCGAAGCGCCTGTTAAGACTTATTATACCTCCTACTTATCCCTGACATGCTCCGTTCGGAAGTATGAGGAGCGACCCTGTTCTTTCCTTGGGCATTTTCCTTCCACATCTCATGCCCATATCGTCAGTATTCCCTCTTCATCTGAGAATGGAAAGGATCTTCAAACGCTCTTATGGCCACCAGAACTATTCATCTCATCTCTTTTCGCTATGTGTCATCTTAAAGAGCGTACTTTGCCATCTTTGTTCCACTGGCAGCAGAATCCTAATGAGGTTCGATTCACGCTATCGGTGCGCCCATAGCGGACTACATGCTCGAGTTAAAACAAAACTACTCTCCTGCTCTGACCCAATAGCGCCACGAGATCTTTCCCATTGATCAGGTTCATTCTTCTAAAGTCGTTGACGCCACGAATACAGCGATGATAAAAGACTCCACTTCCAGAGGCAATATTGAGATCGCTGCCTCTAGAAAATGTCATCTCTCGCATCGGCTCAGTGGCAATGTTTCTGAAATTACAGATAACCTCTAGACGTAGAGTGAGGTTTACGAGAACACGCAGTTAGATAAGTATCATCAGATATCCCATAATGATTTTTCATCAACCCTCTAGGCTATCACTTTTAATAAATTGTCTAGTCGTGATTAAACAGTAAGTTCTTCCGTGCGCACATTGACTGGTTTACTCTGCCCATCTGCTTGCACAGTATCATCTTCATCACTGATAACCTCATGAGCCTCTAGCCTCCCAATAACACCGCGTGCTCTATCTCTCTTCTCGAGATACGCAATCAAGCCAATGAACGGAAGTGTCAACGACCCCGTCACAAGACTTGCAATATAACCTTTATGAAAGTTCGGTGCAGCGGTTGCAGGGTAGAAGATCAGTGGCCACCAGGTAACAAAGCAAAAGTCGAACGAGTTCATGAATCCTGTTGTGATAGCCCGAAGCTGGAAATCATGGCCTGTCACGTCCGCCATCCACGAGTACCACACTGCTTGAGGTGCGAAAGTGGTGCCGAGAAGATAGAATGCTACGAAGTATCCAGCGTCCGTTGATGGGCTTGAGACGAGAATTGCGGAGCCAATTACAAAGGTTAGTCCTATTGCGATCGACACCTCCCAGCGAGATTGTAGCTTGTCGGAAATCATAGCATAGGCCACTGTGCCTAGAATGGCTGCCGCAGATATGCCGGTCGGGTAGTTGTTCTGCTGGATTACTGTGTACCCTCGAGATGCCATCCAGTATGCCATGACATTGTTCTGTAGGGATTGCACACAAAGGGAGTAAACTATAATCATTAGAAGGGTGTTATATTCACCATAGATATGAAATGAAGGCTTACGCATAAAGATGAAAGGCAAGAGCCAGAACTGCCAGCTCAAAAGGACGCGTTTGAATACAGTTAAATCCCACGAATGCTTCCGAAGAACGCCCAAGCGTGCTATTGCGTGGTCCTTCTCTTCGTCATTTAGGTACCAGGCCGCGCGATGTGATGGTAGATCGGGAATAAATACCCAGCCTGTTGAAATATCAGTCAGCATCTACCCAGAATCCTGGATTGAATGGGAGGTAGCAGGCTTACCGAATAGAGCAACTGGTATAGTCATCACTGACACGATGATGAAGATCCATTTCCATGCAGGAAGGCCACCCTTCCCTGCTAATGTTTCCAGTAGACCGGCTTGAATCCAGCTTCCAGACATTGTGCCTAGTTGACCAAACACGCAAAACACGGCAGCTCTTATGCCAAGTTCAGATTTCTTATACCAAGATCCTAGGATGAAGTGCGCGCCCACACTATTCGCTCAGTCAGCACACGCATGGTACCATTCCAAAATGAGCGATTGGACTTACTATGCAATAGCGGAGAAGCCTCCTTCAATCGCGTTCAAGATAATTACCTGGTACGCATGGGTCATCTTGTATGTGATCAGAGTCAAGACACTCCAAGACACATTTGCTGTCACGAATATGTACTTGGGCCGCGCGATGGTCAAGAGACTTGTTCCCGGCATCTGACAAACGGCATAAACAACCAAATAAGCTGTGCTCATATAATTGTACTCTTTCCCCTTGAATCCCAATGCCTCTTTCATACCGCTAATATAAGCGGAGGAATAGCTGGCTCGGGTAACGCCGAACAGGAACCAAATCAAGGAAAAATACGGTAGCAGGGTCACATCGAGTTTGGAAACAAGAGCGCGATCCTTGGGATCTGTTCCCCAGACTCGGATTTTGAATTTTTCCCAAGCTGAAGCCATTTTTTAGGTGATAAAAAACTGTGCAGTTGAAAGGGGTGTTCGGGTTTCTTTATCGGTCTCAAAGCTGCACGTGGACTCTCCGGAATGTGTATGAATTGATTATTACACCAGATTATGGCTGCCATACGCAATACCACGCTAGACACACGATCTGCACGTTCGGGGCTTTCGGTGTTTTCTCTCCAGTTGAGGTGCGCGAGGGACGATCCGACCGCACAAACTTCTCGAAGTGTTGGTCCTTAATGGTGAAAGATGATGCATGGCAAAAGTCGTTGATAAGAGAGACCTAATGACTAATGATGGTGCGAGATGGCGAGAGAGGATCACCACAAGCGGGGTCCATAACAGTTCACTGGTGTTTTGGCTAGATCATATCTCTTCAGACTCTTCGTATATAAGAAGATAAGAAAAGAGATGATTCAGTGAAGGAGAGTCTTGTCCAAGTACACACTACTTGCCCCACTACGACAAAGTGCGGGGAATTGGGGAAACATTTTTAGTACCGAGGTACTATTTAGTTACTTTGTAAATAGTTAAACTGCATAAGTACAGTTCTTCTCCCTTCAATAGTAGTGCTAGTCGCCTTGCCCATTAAGTAAAGCTGAGTACGCCCCTGGGGTTAAAATAAAAGAAGTGTCCTGGCCCATTGGTATATAAATGAAAGAGGAAGTATGGATTCGGATTGAATGATGTTGCAACACATGTTAGGCAAAGAATAATCCTTGCAGAGAAGCCATAAGAATGGAACTAATATCTGTTAGTACCTACCAGGCAGCCGAATTTTTCCCCTTATGGCTCAACTTTGTCGTGGAGGTAGATGTAGTGATGGCCGTTGACAAGGCAATGAGGAAAACTCCAGTCGGAAGAGCTGTTGCCTCTAACGATGTAGATATGTCAAATAAAACATACCCAGTTGGGATAGCAGTGTCTACCAAAGCACCTGGGACTTCATTCACAATTTCTACAATGTCAGGGGAGCCAGTCAGGTTGGCCTGCACCATGGATATCTGTAGATTTTCGAGATCGTAGACAACATATGCATACCTCAGGAAGTCGTCACTGAGAATAATATCAGGCCCATTGGTGGTTGCAAGATAGCAGTAATCAACACCATCTCTATATAGCGTCTCTGTGAAAGGAAGAAAACCCTCCGAAACAGGAACAGAGATTGTCAAGTCTCCAAAGGTGAAGTATACGGTATTTTTGGATCCGCTGTCACAGCGTACCACAATATCCTATACATCATTGTAATATGTCTCAAGGCTTGTTTCGATGTATTCGATCATCTCAAGCGATAGAGAGCTTGTCGTTGAGCCAGGACCAAGCAAAACTGCATGTGTTAATTGTGAGTCTGAATTCTTTCCGTTGCTTGTTGTGCTGAAGCCACTCAGTATCATGAGAGTTCGGTCTTGCGTGTCCCACTCATTATCCAGTAGAATATCAAAAGTTTTGAGCGATCCAGTGTATTTTGCACTGTCCTCCGAATAAGATATGAACGCTGTTGGGATCTTTGAGGTACAAGCTATATGCTAGTGTATTAATCGCACCAGTCTCGAGCATCATAATCCTAACTATTATTGCAACACTGCCTTTTCTCATCCACATACCTTTTTGCAATACCCGGAATAACGGAGTATGCGGGAAACACGTTACTGCCAGATTCCCTCTTTATTATAGACCGACCTTCTCAAAATTTGCAAATATTACCCTTCAAGCTTTCATCATGGATACCCAGGTATGATTCTCTAGCATGTTCAACTTCCATGATTCCCAATCCTTATCCCTTGGACTCTAAAGGCTGTCCAGATACCATGGATTAAAAGTAGAGCTTCATCCAAAGAAAAGTCTACATTGAGTATAAGAAAGAATCTTCGCAATTTCTCATCTTTACTCATGGTGTAAGCCAAGTCATCTGCTTCTTTTCCTTTTTGTCGACCACTAGACCAAAGTGGGGCACAGGACCAATGAGAATGGTTACGATGCTGTTGGTCCGACATGAAGTGAATCTAGCGAGTTTTATCTATTTAGTTATAGCGAGGACAAGATTGAATAACACACCTCTTACAACTTCGCATCGACGCACCTAGATCTATTCCATCGAGAATACTAGTTGCATATGCACTGCAAGAACGTCACCGTTCCGACAATTTTAAATAGCAAGTTAGAGTATGATCATGACTGCTTAAGGATACCACACCATTATAGATAGCATTTATGTCTGCTGTCATCAGAGATGGCGATAATCCTAGATTAGATCATCATCACCTTCTGTCGAGGTGCTGGCTAAAGCAGTCTGTTTTACTAGGAGTTGTCGAAAAGACAGTGGGTTCTAACTATCAGAAGACGAAGACATAGGTTGAAGAGCAAATTTCAGATAGGGTTTCGGTATTTACATGAGGCCCGAGGCCACATGTACGGTGCAAGAGGACACTGTTACAATTATGGGAATTAGGATCCAATTCCCTCGCCGTCGCTAATGATAGCAATAATAATACATTGAGAAGCAAATTCCTGTCTAGACATAAGACCTGCCACCAATCACATCTATCCAATCATATTCATCATCCTCTTCTCCCTCATCACGAGGGACGTCTCCGCTCTGCGTAGTCAGAGGTAATAACTCACGGGCCTTGTGGCGAGGAGATCGGGCATCGAGAGAGGGCTCAGCTTCTTGCTCGAGCTCTACAGGGTATAGATCCTCGTCGTCATCGTCGCTGTTATTGCCATCGTCACTGTCATCGTTATCGTCGCTTTCGTCCCCAGCACCAGCGCAAAGAGCAGCCATTCTATGCAATTTCCATTGTAATTCAAGAATTGCTATTGAGGGTAAGGGATAGGCGTCAGCATCGGCTGTAGTCATGGTGATCACGTCTCTAGACATGAGCGGCCGCCCGAGGTTGCCACTATATATGCACAATCCTGGACCGGGCGAGTCACCGTTAATGGCGAGTGAAGGGCGGGAGGAAAGGGTCGTTTTCGCCTGCGGGTTTTTTTGGATTTTGATCCAATAAAATTGGAGCCGAATAATGGTACCATCTTGACTTAAGTCTAGTGGCTTCAGCGCGAATAAAGTAGCCCCCCAGTACCGGTGTACATCAGAAGAGAGTGCAAGCAGATTACAGCACTGCTCCGTGCCACTTGGCTCAAGGATATCCCCCTCCCATCTCCGAATTGTCTCTGGATTCCAAAAGGTTTTCAGCAAAGCCCAAAATCCTCTGTGCCGAGAGGTGCGCTTCTCATTTAGGCTATACGGGTATATATGGGCGATGTCTGGCCTGATATCATTACCTGTTATGGCACAAATTTCCTGGTCGCGCTTCATACAACATGCACTAGCTGCTTCACTGCAGCGCTGTTGACACGGGAGATTCTGGTCCTCCGGTAAATTTTTTTTCGGCTGAGCCCTATGGTAGAAGATAAGTCAGAGTGTATACATATTTAGTTATTGATGCAGATAGTACTCACAGCTGAGCACGCCATTCCGCACTGAACGATCAGTGGCAGATTCATATAATTGTCTTGCATTTGGGATGGTCATGAGAAGTTCCTCAGTAGCATGGATTCTCTCAAGGGCCTGGATATCTGAAAGCCAGCAGCCTGCCCAAAAGGAAGTGCTGACCTCTGGGTTCTCAAGCTTTGCCGCGATCATATTGATTAACTCCACGCGACGAGCATCTTCAAACTCTTCTTCTGACCCGGCTCCAAGACCTGAATCATCAGGAGGATTGATATTGGGTTCCATAGTATAAGAAATGGGATAGTTGTCGAATAGGATGAAAAGAGTACGTACTGAGAAGGAGCAGTGGGTTTATTAGAATAATGTGTCCCACTGTAGGGAGCATGATGACGAATCGGAACAGTTTAGTTGACTATAGTTTAAATAAAAGTTTAAATACTCAGTCGATGTAGTCCGCTTACGCCTCTTTATGGTCCTGATAATAATGGGTGGAAGATTTCCTGTAATCTACCATCTATTTGCTTCCGATAATTTTACAGGCTCCTAAGCTAATTTAGACTACAAAACATCAAATTCAACTTGGATCATAGATGGAAAATCATAGTTAGATGATAGTTGATCTAGAGTTTCTGAAAATCTCACATGGTAGCCGTAACTGCACTGTGCGAGTTTCAGGGCTTTAAGGGTCCTGTCAATCAATGAAAGTCCCTGAAACTGAAACTGAAACTGGTTTAGGGAGTATTCTATCCTAGCAATGAGTTATGTTTTTTTCAGTCATTGATCAGTCTTTGAAGGTCTTCTTACTGTGAAGAACGTTCTTGACATGAAGCAGGGAAGAGATTCATGGATTATAAGAGTATTGTCGTTGTCCTCTTGACGGCACAACTTCACCACTTTGGCTCTGTGAGAAATTAATGTGAATTTCGTTGTGGAAGGAACAGCTACTAGTCCATGCTTTAAGACAAACGATTCAAAGCAACCCTAATCTATTCAGGTCAAATATGCCAGCAAGCACAACATTCCGTTCATCTGCGTCAAAGGTGCCCAAGGAATCAGCTCGCGATGCAATATCAAAATTGACATCAAGATTTGGCTCAACCAGTTTGATTCTGTTTGAATCGCAGACATGAGCAGTCTCAAAGCGTATCACAGAATTCCCTCTGGAGGCCCTCTCCAGCCAGAACGTACTAACCAATCTTCGAAAGTACTAGATCGTAGGTGGAGATCCTCCCAGGAAGAGTCTTCGGCTGGATCAAGAGCCCCGTAACAAATCTTGTCCTCTGGCGCTATCGAGATCCATTCCATCATTTGGCGAATATCCTCTTTGAATCCGTTTCCTACTGCTTTAGAGGCCAAATCAGCCCATTCATCGATCGAAATCGGGGAATAAATCGCTCGCTGGCCAGTGACCCGTGTGAAGGTGGAGGCAAATTCGTCTATCCGTAATTTCGGACTGCATACAACATAATTTTTGTCCTTTGTTTTCTCAATGCCCAAAGCAAATACCTCTAAGAAACTCTATTAGTTTTGTACTTCTCATGAACCACAAGTTACTTCTCTTCAGTCTCTCATTTGCAAGGCGTGGGATATGCACCCGGGCTTCCTTGGCGGAAACGACTGCAAGAGAATTGAGACCGCAACTTACCTGCGGCAAAAATACCCACATCATAAACAGGATCAACCCATTCAACTAATTTTGTCGGCGGAATTGGGGGACAAAAACGAACAACCCCATTTGCTATAACAGTGAGTAATGTTTCCTTTAAGAAATTCCCTTTTCAGAACTGACCTTCTCTTCGACAATACTGTGGACGATCTAGATTGGTGAAGAAGAGACCTTGAAGAATGATTACAAGTTCACACAGACGCTTGGTAACAGAAAAGAGGCTCACCAGGAAGAAGGCAAGTGACCGCAGAAAGGTCTTGCTTCGCCAACTGCTCAATGATAAACTTATGATCCATGTGGAAAAGCTTATCAAAGCGACCTGAAGTCGCTTTTCTCATATCTGGTAAGCTACTAAAAACAAAGTGCTGAATTCGGCAGCTCTTTGCGGCAGAAATAATGTTCTTCCCACTTTCAAGCTCCTGCTTCAGGTCATCCTCGTTTTCAACCGTCCTTGAATTTGTCTCACTCGTCACCGCAAACACACCATAAGCCCCAGAGAAGGCTATCTGAAGACTCTCTACATTAAAGATGTCTCCGGTGGTGAGGCTCAGACGGTGGTCGGGTGTTTGAAAATCATTCAATAGACGTTGAGCTGAGACGGAGTTGACATCCCTGGTGACAGCGCGGACGTTCCACAGTTCCCGCGTGATATTACTTAAAAGGGAACTTACTACACCTCTGCCTTGATGGCCTGTAGACCCAAGCACGACTATAATCCGGTTCTGCGCGTTAGATGCCATTCAATTCGATAGAAAATTAGGAAAAATATTGACGAGAAAAGGCTGCTCCAGGGTAGGCAACTTCCAAGGTTATATAATTTTGTCTTTCGCCACTTCACACCTCTTGGCCAGTCTCATTACAAATCCAGGGCTGGTAAATTTGACTAGATGAACCATCTTTCCGTGTCGGAGACTTATGATACCAGATCACGTAATCGGGGAACTGATACCCCGACTTCCCTTCAGAGCTTATGGATAGAAGGGTTCCGTAGAATAATTAGTGTTATTGTCCTTCTTGCTACTCCTATTTCAATTGTTACTCTTTCTACGATAAATTGTATGTGACGACATGGGATACAACAAGAGGGACCAGATTGGGAACCGCCAGAAGGCTGAGAAGGGGAATGGACTCTACACAAGTTGGCTTAGCTAGCGGTCAGCGATCAGCGGAGTCGGTGAGCCGATCCGAGAATCGGCCTCGAGATGATAGCGAGTACCGATCTCTAGAGGCACCAATGATCACTGGGGAAACAGGGATTCCCTGGGTGAGCTAGTTAGAGATCTGCCACTTCCTGATGTACTTAATTCCCTGAGGTCTTCGGACTCTTGTTCCCAATTTATCCTAGTGGAATTGAACCATATGGGATACCACACACACCTGCCCTTTGGTAGCTTTCTCATATTAGTTCTTCTCTTGTTTACGGTAGCCCAACCGTATTGGATTATAACCCTTACACCTACGTTGTGGACTTCCATGAATCCAAAGAACGATAATACGAAGCCTTGCGAGTGGAGCAGTCTCAGATATCTCTGCTACATCAAGCTTATCAAGACACTCATAATAGGTAGTAGCATCCTTCGTAGTGCCTGATTTAATACTTGAGAGAAGATCCTTAATAATGAGATTAAGGATATGAGCTATAAATCGAATATAGCTATCTAAACCATTAAATAAAGGACATGCATTCTTTGATTTGATAATATCAGATAGCTCTATTACCATTCGCTCGTTATTACTAGTATTATCACCCATAATTAAGAGTAGCTTAAAGTGAAGATCTAGCTCAGTAAGTAAAGAGTCAATAGCTTTCGCTAGATTCTCTCCACTATGGGAACCAAAAATCTCTTGAAATTCAAGGACTCTCCTGATATTGAAAGTCCTCTGTAATCCAATGACTAATGATGGCAAGAATTAGGATTTGGTTCTTACAAGTCCATAGTTCAAGAGAAAGGGCAATTTTCCGACATGAAATAGCAAGATATTCCTTAAATTTCGAACGTTGGAAGTCAAATTCTTCTTTCAGGCGACGTAGAAGTGTTGTTCGGGAGGTAAAAGGGAGTGAGACCCCCATATCTTCAATAACAGTAAATGGTTGCTTAGTCTTAACAACCCAACGAAGAATTTTCGTCTTAATCCGCTGCTAATGGTCTAAGGGATTCTCCTTTTTACCCCAATAGGAATAAAGAGAGGAGATTGGTACTATAGCAATAGAGTTATCCATCTCTTAGGTATCAGGGGCCCGAACATCATGGTCAACTTCCAGATGCCGTTGAACATTCGTAAAATATCCATATTTTTTTGAATGAGGGGTGCACCAATTACATGAATTACCATTTTTAGTCTAGAGGGTACACCGAATCTCTCGATCATGAGCTACTTGGTCTTTTATTGAACCATTCTATCGGAAGCTCTTTAACCGAGAGATATTCAAACATCCAATCATGCTTTGATGGTCTTGATCTCTTAGATCTAGCAGTGACATAGGATATAGACTCAGAAGGTGTAGGCCCAAGTGTAGAACTTAAAGACCCAGGTGTAGCTGTCGATACCACCAGACCAAAGTGGGGCACAGGACCAATGAGAATGGTTACGATGCTGTTGGTCCAGCGACCTGAAGTGAATCTAGTGAGTTTTATCTATTTAGTTACGAGGACAAGATTGAATAACACACCTCTTACAACTCGCAACGATAAATTTACCAAAAAGTAGATACATATGCACGAACAGTAAGACTAGTCAAACCATCGTTCCGACAAGGACTGGACTTAAGGCTATATCAATACCGCGAAGAGCTACTTCACAAAGGAAATGTTAACCAGTTCTGATATATTTAGAAGCAGAAAGCTGAGTACTGGAGCCAGAGTACAGGTTAATATGAGTCCACCTAAATAGATCCCTAATCAAAGTTTTCACGTTCAAATACGCCCCTTTGAAAAGGAAGATACCCACTGGTTAACCGTCATGAGCTGGTCTGCAATTGTAGGCCAGACCAAATTGACTGCTGCCTTTTCCAGTTCAATTGAAAATGCCGCAGTTGCATCCGTACTGATTTAAAAGTTAGCAATCTTGTCACACTTCAGCCTTTGATAACGGAAGTAGATTGGAACTCACATCAAAGTGACATGGAAGCCGCTATTCAAAAAGAAGGCGTTCTCAGTAAATTGTCCAATCAAAAAGTCGGGTAGGTGAAGAAAACTTACATTTCACGCGCAGCACGCGCAGTAGACTCTACACATGAGTTGGTGGTTAAGCCTGCCAACACAACATGGGTGATATCATGCTGCCGGAGTTGATACTCCAGATCGGTGTTTGAGAAAGAGCTGGCACTAAATGCATTAGTATCGTCTTGCAAACAGCAGGAAGTCTCGATTAGGATTGCATTTCTAAGACTCACCTGCTGTTCCAGTGTCGAGAGACAACTACATCGCCATTGCTAGGCTGAGGTTCCAGTTCTTTCAGGATCTGGCCACCAAACTCTTCGGAAAAGACAAGATTCTGTTTGGCTTGAATCTGTGAGGCATTCATGTGGTTCCAGCCTGAGTAAGCCCCATCTTTGGTGATTTGGTGAAGACCATAGAAGATAGGAATGCGGGCTTCTCTTGCGCCGGCAGTTAGCTCCTTCATATGTTCAAGAGAGTTGGACGACTCCAAGCTAGCCTTGACAAGAGGATAAAGCTTTCCATCGGGGTGGAGGAAGTCATTGAGCGGATCAATGAGAAGGACAGCAGTACGAGAGCTCATGGTTGCAAATGGATTGAGTTAAAAGTATATTTGATACAAAGCAAGTTGAACCACTGTACAAGTCTGCACTTTTATATCCATTTCCTCGGTGGTTGATTAATAAGAGTATTCATATTCGGCATTTGGTCATTAAGAGTATCAGGGAATGATTATTCAACAAAAAGATATTGATTTATATCTTTGGGCGCTGTGACTTCCATTTTGGGACTAGTGTGACGCACTGGCGGAATGTGGACAATGCAGCTCACAATCATTCTACGTGGTGTACTGCTTCTTGAAATTTACTCCAAATACATATTAAGAAGTGACTGCGCGCTCGCTCGAAAATAAATGGCCCATATTTGAGACTTTCAGGTTGCCTGCTAGCATCTAGGTTGCGCTATGCCGCGTTACCCGGGAGCTTCTCAAGGATGTGATGAATGCCGTAGACGCCGCAAGAAGGTATGGATATCGTTCCGTTTCTTCAAAAATACACTTGGACTCGTATTAATGCTGAAAATATCAAGTGTGATCTTAATAAGCCTGAGTGTCTTCGGTGCTGCAAAGCTGGTATCAAATGTAGCGGCCCGAAAGATTCACGGACGTTCATAAATCGGAACGCTGCAAATCTGACCCAACAGAGTGATAGAAAAGCGCTAGTCTACGCATTACAGCATAGAAGCAGGTCGAAGTCAGCCGCTGCCGACTTTGAGAGCTCGCATAGCTTGGATGATTCTCCATCTCGAAGAACTACGCTAGCTATCACTGAGCCAAGTGATATAATTTCCCATGAGTTCCCTGGGCGCTTGACATTCTTGGCATTGATTGAAGATTTCAAGCCTGTCCCGCTGGGAGGTATCTTCCGCGGCGATAGAATATCGCGAGACGATCCCATTTATTCGAGCGCAGCTTTGTGCATTCGAGCTTTATTGCCGCTCACATCTTTGCGGATTGATTCACTCAATTTTACTATCTTCAGTCTCCTGACAACTTATATGGGAAATTTGAAAAATGACACAAAGCTAGCAAAACTCGCACAATCATCATACACGTCCGCCTTGGAAAAGTCGCGTCCACATATCCAGAAGGTCATAGAGAATGGCCAACCCGGTGCTCAACAAAAGATCAACCTCGAATTGATCTTGCTACTAGCTATAGCTTTTGTGGCATTCGAGGTGAGAATTAGGTCCATAAATGAAGATGAAGTTTATCTTACTTTCCTGATCACTGTTTACTAGTTCGTGAACGAAACAGAATACTCAGAAGCATCCCTTTTGGCCCATATTGGCGGTGTGTTAAGCATCTTAGAGCTCTATGGGCCGTGCAATTTCTCTTCACCGCAGATGTGGCAAGCTTTCAGTGGATTTAGGGGGATATTTGTACGCTTCCAGTATTCACTGCTCTTGCTTCCGCTGACCATCCTACAGCTCTCAGTTAGACTAAGCAACCATTTTCCAACCTTCCTAGCAGATTCAGATTGGATAAACCATCCATTTCTGAATACCAGGAAGACCAGAGTGGAGCTTCTTCATGATATTGCGTTACATATACCACGGCTCCTTTACCAAACAGATCGATGGTTTGATGCGCTTGAGACTTCTACTTCTAAGGATTTCAACAGCCAAAAAACCTCAGACTCTCCAACGCAAAATCTAGAAACCGCTCTCTCGCTTTTAGACGAATACTGGACGGTCTATGATCAAATGGAAGAGTGGCAAAACATCTGGAAAGCTTCCGAACAAGGACCCCTATATTGGCATTCCGATATCCCAATGCCAAGTAAGATGATCGATGTCGACTCAGTTTGTACACCTTCATTCCCAGATGGAACATACCAGATTCGCTTCCAAAATACTCAAAAGGCAGCACATGCAGTTACTTTCTGGTACTTTCGTCTGGAACTTCTTATGGGAATGATCAAACTCCAGCGAAGCTTATTCAGCACACAAATTGAATCATTGGAACAGAACCTGGCCATGGCGGAAAAAACAGCATGTCTGATTTTGCAAACTGCACCATACCTTACATGTTGTTTTGAGGGTGCAGTGGCTTCAAGGGCACCGCTTCGAACTATAGCAAGATATTTTGAGCTGGTAGTTTTGAAGCAAGACTTTGATTTACCGTCAACGAGCATTGAAGCGTGAAGCAAGTATTTCATTCCCAGTCTCAGTACCAAGGTATGAGAAACTGAGAGATGGATCTTGATCACGAAGGCTGGCTGCGATTAAGGCCGTGCGTGGTAGCATGAACGGAAGTTTTCCAGGTAAAAGCGAGATTGGCCATACTGGTCAGCGTATCGGGATGATCCGCACCGAGCTTGGTCTTGCGAGTCTCCGTCACCTGCACCCCGAGTCGATCGGCTTCCTCTCACCCGTCCTCAAGTATGAATGACTCTTCTAACATACTTGTACTAGCAAGGACTTCATTCCCATCGTCATTAAATAATCTCACTCTCTGATCTCTTGATTTTGATGCCATTTCTCTTGTATCTGTGATATTACCGATTCTAGATGTATACCATGCACCTCTGTAAAGCAATGTAGCCCATCTTTGCCGACACCTGGCTGATGCTGGCCGTTGAGATATTGCGGACTTGACATGAGGAAATAACTCCCGGCACTTCTCCCAGTTCTTGTACTCCCCAGTGGGAAACTTTTTTTAAAAAGTGTTGATAAATTTATTCCTTCATTGGTTTCTTTGGCCATAAGATTTAACCATGCGTGTGTAGCCAGTTGCACCAAACGATGCATTGTAAAGAAGGTATTATTCTCACTCGAGGATATGAATGAATAATACCTTAGTGTTGTGACATCATCCTCAAGATCGGATACTGTCGGTAGTCCAGAGTGTTCTTACTAGTCGCATATACTTTTTTATGATGGAACTGCAGTTATGAATAGTGATAAGAAGTATCTTAAGCCTATCCAAACTAAACTAAATACATTTTACTGTCCCACTTCTGTGGCTGGTTGGTCCAATCAAGAGCGAGAATATCCGTCCTGATTGGACGGATACCTCACCCTATTGTACCAACACAGATAATCCAACATAACGTTATAGAAATATTGAGTCAAGCCAATACCCACCATCAGCAAAGTCGTCGAGAAGAAGGGGCAGGGTCATACAGAGCCACCACATGGCGAACACAAAACGCAGCAAAGTACAGGATGGTCTCTTTGCGCCAACTGCTGCACCAGCCGAGCTGACTAGAGCGTCCATTGCTATCTGAATTCCAACACCAATAATCTGGGTTACAAAGAACATGAACGCACCAGAAATTGGATGGGTTTCACCTGGCAAAGCAAAAGATCCTCCGGCGGGCATTGCACCTGATATCAAAAATGTTAGCAAAAGACGAAGACCTCTATATTTCCGAAAATCCTTCAAAGAGCACCATTTCAATGCTGAGATCGAAAGCATTTTAAGCCCGGCATTGAACATGTTGTGCCAGAAGCATCCCCAAAATCCTAAGTATTTTATCTATTAGTCATTATATTCAGACTTAATTGATATGCTCTTACCCAAAAGCCCATGAATATATATGTCACTCAAGCTCCCCCAGAGTGACGGGTGCATCCACGGCTCTCCGTAAGTGCCTATCAACCTTGAGCCAAAAATCCCGACACTTATAATCGCATATATTGCGAAGCACATATCTAGAGAGGCGTATGCGTCTGAAAATGAGAAGATAATAGTAAAGAAAATTTTAACTTGAGGAAACATGGTCCCATAATGTTCGAAGTATGAATGATGCATCAATTGGCTGGCGCAGATGCGCAACAACAAGTAATCCCTTAAGATTTTTGCCGCTTCAGAGGCGAGAAATTTTCTTTTTTGAGCCTTGAAGTCCCAGCCCATAGAGTAAGAATCCTTTTGTCTTCTCCAAAATCTTGAAGGCGTCTCTAAAGCTGCAGCCTGGTCTTCAGATGTATCAATTCGATAATTCCAACCTATGCCGCGATAACTCAGAACAAGGTCCAAGACCCAGAAGATCCGTGCAACGGTGTAAGGTGGAGGGATTGACTCCCATGAATATTGCTGCTTGTGATCGTCATCTGCAGATGAGCCTTTCAGAATTAATCTCTGAAAGTCTGATAGTGGTTCATACATAAGAAGCAGAGTTATTGTCCAAAGGATCAACCAAACGGACAGAAATCCCTGGAGATATGACAGCTGAGTGTGACCATATGAATGTGAGCTAAGTGATGATACAGCTGTGGAGACAACAAATAGGAATGCTATCACTCTGCGTCTGTATGTGGCAAAAGTCACCTCCCCGAAATAAAGTGTGGCTGCCAAAGACATAGGAATTATCATAAATCTGATAATTAAAATGTGATCTCTTCGAATTTCAATCATCTTATTAGAGTGACCGGTGTTCGAAAACATTGGCTAAATAAGGATAGGTTGAGTTTCATCTAAATATTTTGTTGTAGACTATAGAAAGGGTTAATATGTGTCGTCCCATCCATCAATGGCAGATATCACCTAGTAATTATTTGTCGAATATTGAAGTTTCCAGATAGTACTGACGTTGCAGAATTACCTGTATAGCAGCTGACAACTATATAGGAAGTCTGTCGGTTTTTTTTAAAAAAAGTAGCATTGATTATTGAAAAGTATCAAGGCATCTGTAAAGTAGAAGGCACATACCAAGAGATCAAACGTGATTCAGATTACTCTTAAAATAAATAATATATCCACAATTAAACTATTATGACGTAAATGGCTGCATGTACTCGATCTCATGTCTAGGTGCGATCGCTGACCTTCGAAATACACCGTAAATCCTTCTATTATTGGTTAAGATGCACTTGCCTTCAGGTTTCTCCAAGTAATATCTAGACCTGAGGCACTCTGAACACACCGCTCTTTCCATCAGGTTGCCCTGATTCGATTCGAACTTCCCCTTACATTAGATAGTTACCAAAGCTTGTCCGAGGGGCGTTTAATTCTGAAGTCTACTTTTTTTTAGCATATTCTCTATCCAGTCTCAAAAGTATACGTATCACTTGGATCAAGCTTTCAACATCCACGGTCTTGCTTTGAATGACATCATATTATCATTTTGAGAAAAGCTGTTCTTTCGAAGCCAGGATTCGCATACTTGGTGGTGTGACCATAATCCTCTGGATGTCAGCATTTGTCTGTCCCAAAGGCTAGGCCGTGTTTGATGTTTAAAGGAAGCTATTTACCCTCAAAGCTGTTGTCATTCCGTCCAGTCATCCTTGTAATTTTTCTTGCAGGCATATCCTGAAATATTCTAATTACGTTCGATGCGGTTTCATTTTGTCCTGATTGGTCGGTCTGAGCCGATTTTGAAGATAGAATGCATCCATACCATTGTGAATTCAGGATATATCACGCTCAAGATTTTTCTTCATTTTTATCAAATGAATTTTCCTCCAAGATCTCCTTGAAATCCTTGAGCTTGTATGACTGATACAAAATTCTTGTCACAATCCGAGCCAGGAGACTTCTTCTTCCAAAGCGATCCATACAGTACCATATCTGGTGCTGCTTTAAGGAGCGGTCGGCAGGTGAAGGATTGGGAAGCGTGAATAATTCGAGCTCATGCAAGTCATCATCGCTCGAGCTGTCCCTTAAGGCAATGGTTTTTCTGTCACAGAACAAGAATGAGGTTCCTAAAATCACATATTGGCGAGCAATAAAATGCTGTCTCTCTGAATGCCAATTATCTGCCAACCATGCGAGGCGTGGAACCCATGGCCATCGCCGAAATTGACATGTATCGCTCCATACAGCTTGAAGGTCACGGCGAGCAAGGCTTCCGCTGACAGCATGGACGGGGCCTGATGTTCCAAAAGCTAAGTGGGCTAGGAGGCGGTCAACAACCACATCTACTGGTACTTCATCATTCGTCGCCTCTGTTTCGGGTTTTTTGAAATGAGTGGAAACCCGAGCTGTAAAAGACGGCGATAATGCAGTCACTGCGGTAAATATCGTCATAGGACTGGAAAGCGGAAAGCTGAAGCCTGTGTACGGGAACTTTTGTGCCGAGCCGATGATTGGTGGCCGCAAAATAAGGAGCTTGTTGAATATCTTGTTGCGAGAAAAGATGTCACAGAGAAGCCGCTCACTCAGGTTTTTTGCGTATGCATATGCCCATGAAAAATTGTTTGATAGATACTCAAAACTTGATCCGGTCTCCTGCACTTTCCTCCATTCTAGATGTACATCTGGAGTGGTGGAAAGCTGGTATATTTTCTCATCCACCCTAACATCTGTTGGTGTTTCATGGTACAGGTGGGTGTTGGTGTATGCTGTTGAAACATAAACAAAACGCTCCAAGTTTGCTAATTGCAGTGCAAGATTAGCCAACCCTTCGGTAGGACTTATGATATCTTGAGTAATTCTTTCCAATGAATGCACCAGGCTTATAGAAGAAGCGCTATGTACTATTATATGGACTTCATTTCTTAAAGTATTCAGATGGCATAAAGAAAGCCCGAAGTCGGACTTTGTGATATCACCCTTCAATACTGTGACTCGTTTTGGATCTGTCATTTGAAGAACTGTCTCTTCTGATAGCCATTGACTCCATACTTCACGGATGTATCTTTAATCACCATGTAAGTAAGATTTCCATCCATCATCATCGGTATAAAGAAGATAGAATACATACGATAGCTCCCTTCTGCAAATCAAGAATATATGGGCAACAGGAGCCTTTCTTAGAATTCTGTATACCAGAGTGGTGCCAAAGAAACCCGAACCTCCAGTAATAAGGACGACTTTTCCGTTATAGAACTCCCACATTTCATCGACACTCTAGTAGTTGACGCCGAAGTATCAAGATTTAGCAAATTCTCGAAACACGTATTATTTCGCTTTCTTATATAACCTTCAAAGTGCTGAGGAAACAATTACCCACTTTCGCTCCACCCCCAAATATCCTCTCACGTTAGGCATGTTATTTTTCTCCAAAAAATTTGACTTTAGAGTTTTCTCAAATCAAATGTGATTCATGTATCTGGCTTGAAATTCTAGATTGAGGATCTAGATGTGGATTCTGTCAAAAGCAAACTCCCCTTCAGAACGAGATATGATACATCCAAACGCGGAAGGTGGCCATTCCATTTCCTCCCATAAAGTGATTTTTTCTTTGAACACCTAGTGAATAAGAATAAAGATTCAATCAATCAATCAGTACTCTATTAAACTCATACAGCTTAACAGTAGCGTATGGCTATGTAGGCGTTTTCCCGCGGGAATAATAGAAGAATAAAGATTCGGGGACCTATAAGGGTAGCAAGATTCGCGTAATCAAACAGACATTCCTTGCGTTGTACATTATTTAAGATACCTACTTAATATGACTGACCCAAGCATCTGAATATACTGGGCTGTCACATCATTACAGAGAACTATTTAGGAATCTAGTATTCATTTACCTGATCCATGCCTTTGACCCTACGACGTACATTTAAACTACAACTTGCTCGCTATTTGTTGCGGACTAAATTTTGATTGATTTAAAAATAAACGTGCCAATCAAATTAAGGTTTTATTGATGAAAAATCTGCGCATAGATTACTTAAACCGTAGTACGATCAGAAAATGGTGTTGTGATAGATCTCATACATATTCCGGGCTAGCCTGATTTACCACCTGACTGAGTGGCAAAAGAAATTATGGATATATACACCGAATTAGCCTATCTTGGCCGATAAAATATCACCAAACTACAAATTAGCACGTGGCTTACTTACGCAGACTACTTATTTGAGTCATATTGTCTGCAAATCAAGATTCTACGCACTTGAATAACCCTCTTCAGAGTCTTAAATATATCAAACAAAGTCCGTCCTTGATATTGCAAGTTGCAGTTCATGAATCATGAGCCTCATTAATGACCCCAAATTGAAGAATTACACTTCCTCACCCTCTTGTTTATTACTATCATAATGTGAGTTTATTTCATCTCGTTTTTCATCTCGCCTTACCAGGAATCCTGATTGTTTACATACCATATGTTCCATTGGTATCCCAAACAGCTTTGTTGACTTTCGTGCTATACTGGATGGGTAGTCTTGGCATCACAGCTGGTAAGGCTCCTAGATTTATTGATCTTCGTCACAAATGTGTAATGAAAAAGTATAATAGGTTATCATCGGCTGTGGACCCATCGATCCTATGACTGTCCTTCCAATCAGGCTGTTTCTGGCAATTTTCGGGGCAGACCAGCTCCAATGGTCTATTAAATGGTGGGCAAGGCACCATCGTGCCCACCATTGGTATCTAGATACGGACAAAGATCCATACAACGCTCGACGTGGCTTTTTCTTCGCCCATGTGGGATGGCTCATAGGCCACACCCCAGAAAAATGGGGAAAAGTGAATATATCTGATTTGGAAGAAGATCCCGTGGTGATCTGGCAACAGCAGTATTACGTGATGATCGCATTGCTCGCTTGTTTTGGTCTACCCGCAACTATTGCCCATTATGGATGTAACGACTGACAAGGAGGCCTTTTATATGCGGGATTCCTGCGTCTTTTTCTTTACCAGCAGGTCACTTATCTGGTAAATTCACTCGCTCATTCCGAGTGGGCGGGAACGAAGCCATATTCTGATAGAAACACTGCAGTTAATAATATCCTTCTTGGTATATTAGCTAGCGGTGAAGGGTACCATAATTTTCATCATACCTTTCCAACAGACTATCGCAATGGGGTGAACTTTTACGACATCGATTTGTCAAAGTGGCTGATATGGATATGGAGCCACTCCAGTCTTGCAACCAATCTAAGAAGAGTGAGTAAATTTGAAATTGAGAGGGCACAGCAGCGATCTCAAGCAGAAGAATACTGGAGCGTCATGGTCCGTTTGTGGGTGTTGTAGGATTCTCCACTGGGGCTGCACTCGCTGCAATCATATCATCGCTGCTGGAGAAACGAGAATCAATCTGCGGATTTGAATTTAACGTAAAACCAAATGCAATACCTGGAAAAATCTCTATAGCTTGACATCATTACAGACCACACATAATCCGTTCAAGTTTGCGATTTTTTGCAGCGGCTTCAAACTAGAGAACCCCTGGTATTCTCCAATATATAGCCCCAGCATTGAGACACCGACTCTACATGTCGTCGGAAGTTTAGATACAATTATTGGACCCTCCCAATCGCTGAGGTTAGCATCATTTTGCAAAGTTTCCCTTGTGCACTCTTTTTTTGGAACACATTACGTTCCCCGGTCACGGGATTTTGTGGAAACAGTGAAAGAGTTTTTGGAGAGAAGCTTGCGATTGGATAAATTTAATACCAAAGATGTTTGGGAGACTTGCGAAGATACGTGATCTTCAAGTGTTACCACACCATATACAGAAGGGGAAAGCCAAGAACTGAGAAAGGAAATCTACTACCTAGGTGACATTCAGGACTTTAGTAGCAGCTCACATCAGCCTAGCGTATATATCCCCTCGCTCTTCCCCCCTTCTTCTTCTCGTACCACTTCTCATACTTGTCCTTCACGCCTTCCTTGTGCCCAGGGTTGCGTGCCGGCTCAGGCCCGTCTTTCACGGTATCATCCTGGTGATTTTCCTCGTGGCGACTGCCATGATGAGTGAATAACTTTTCCATGAAGCTTTTATGGTGTGGATTCTGCGATTCTACAGTACGTCAGTCATAAGATCAATGGATGATCGTCCACACTTCACGTACCTTGAGGCTGAGACATTTCGTTTGATATATGGAATGGACAAGTTACCTACAGATTTCAAGGTATAAGGTATAGATGAAAGTAATTTTTTGGATCAGATGTTCAAAGGTAGAATCTGTGTGCTTTGCGTGGCGTGACTGTGTTTATATACTGTGTTTTGGGTGGCGATGAAGTACGATCTGACGTCAAGATTTTGGAAATATAACCCCAACCAGTAGATACCTAGATAGGTGAACAAACATGTGAACCAAATGGATACATTCCAAGCCCGCAAGTTAAACATATAGCGAATACTTGGCAATCTTGAAACTTATAGTAAAATTATTTTGGTGCCAGATGGGCTCATACCGCGCTTCGCTCCAGCAATCATTCAATGATGCTCACCAAAACTAGAAAGAAAATAATAGATCAAATCATAGATCAAAAGCCATAAACTGCGCCACGTGCTCCAATACCTCGAAGTTAAAAGTTATAGCTAATCCACTCCGCCTTGGGTGGCACCGATGGAATGATGCCATCCTGCCAATATCCGTTTTCATGGAAGAACTTGTACATGGCTTCGATTTCGGGGGTGTACTCTTCCGCTTTTCCCTGAGAGTCACGCAGACTGGCTGGGTCCGGTGGTCCTTCTGGAAAAATGATCCGCACCCAGGTTTGGTTGTCCTGGGGATGAAGGTAACAGGGATGCTCGTGGAGGTACTGCACTGGTCGCCCTTTCCATTGCACGAGACGGTTTGTGTGAGGATCACGGCGTGTTTCACCTTCTAGCTTGGGAATAGGGGCCAGTTCGTTAGGGTTGCTGGCAGTAACCCACGCCTGTGGGCCCGCATTATTTGGAGGGGTTGGGACGCCTTGGGGAGCAGCGGGCTGACCAAATGGAGTAGCTGATTGGACTGTACCAAATCCGCTGGACACAGGTGCTGGCTGGCTGAAGAAGTTTGATTGTGCTGGCTGGGGCTGAGTCTGGCCGAAAGGATTCGCATTCTGAGAAGGTTGACCAAAGGGACTGGGGTTAGGCTGAGCGGCAGGCTGACCAAAAGGTGAAGCATTGTTCGGGTTCTGATTGACTTGGCCAAATGGAGTTTGGGTTTGGGTTTGGGTTTGCATGCCACCTTGACCGAAAGGAGAGGGGTTATTTATGGCTCGAGCAAACCCAGACTGGCTAAACCCACTAGAAGATCCTTGTGCACCACCAAATGTAGAATTTGAGCCAAGAGTGGAAGGTTGTCCAAAACCAACTGCTTGTCCTAGTGTCGAGGGTTGTCCAAATGGTGTCGGCTGTACAGATTGTCCAAATGGTGTCGGCTGTGTAGATTGTCCAAATGGCGCCGGCTGTGTTTGTGCAGGTTGCGTAGCTTGACCCCAACCCGGAGTAGGGCTACCAAATGCACCGTTGCTTGCTGCAGGAGTCGCAGTTTGAGCAAAGACGTTCTGTGTCTGGGAACCAGAGCTTCCCTCTGTCATATCAATACGATTAGGGTGTTCCTTTTCACCGTCAATAACGTAGCGAACAGCACCATTAAGGTCCTTCAGCGCGGCATCCATCTGCTGAGTTGATTCTTGCCATAGAGTTTGAGCTTGCTGTATAGCTGCCTGTGAGTTTCCTGCTGCAACGGCTTGGTAATGAAGGAGACGCATCTCTTCCATGCTCTGTTCGCGCTGAGGACCCCCAAATAGCTGACGGGGGGCATTTTTTGCTGGGGCATATGCAGAGAAAACCCAGTCTGGCCTGCCTACACCCACAGTCAAGTCATTTTTGATATCATCTGTGGTTATTTTCAAGCTGTTTCCAGGTCAGTGTAAATATTGTGCATATTGTGGGTTTCTTTCTTACCCCGGTGCAGGTTGATTCAGTCCCTTATTGGGTCCGGCACCTAGCTGATCTGTTTCAATGTTAATGAAATCAGTGACTGTGCTTAGAGACGATGAAATTTTAGGTAGAGAGCTAGTGTGTAAATTGATTCGAGTCATGATTGAGGTGAGAGATGAAAATGAAGTGAGTGGAGAAGAATAGAAAGGATGAGGTAGCCTTGGAAAGTGCTACAATTGGAGAGTTTCACTTACTTCCACTTCCAAATGTTGCAAATCTGTTGTCAGATGGCCGTGAAGTAGCAGATGTTTGGCGAGGGTGCTCAAACTTGCAGCGTTCTGTTCAAAAATCAGTTAAGAGTTGTCCTGAGGATTGCACCAGAACCACACACCTCCAAATCTGCAGCGTCCCTGCTGGAAGAAGGTACAGATTGCCATTTTGACAATAAAATGGACGTTAATATTGGTTTGTCTCAGTATGACGTTAAACGCAGGACTTTATTGAGTCGGTATTCGAATAAAGGCGCGTGAAGACAATGAGATATGCTAAGTACACGTGAGCCCGAGGTCAACCGAATGTACCTAGATATCTTATCATATGTCCATGGGAAGTATGAAAGAGGGATATTAAAGTTCAGATACTAATAGCAACAAAGGGATGCTCGCTTAAGGCATTGTCCACCGACTACGAAGAAGTGAAGCTTCATTTTCCGAGATCTCTCAGTCCTTATCGTTCTTATCCATTATCGGCCCCGAGGTCTTTATCAGTTCTTATCGGTGCTTATCGTTTTCCTGAAGAACTTAGATTCTTTAGATTTGTAAAACTGAGGCTATATTCAAAGTGAATTTGAAGACATTCAAGGCACTGTAATAAATGTGCTTCATCTAGAGTGATTGAAAATGTTTCATGCTTTCCCGGAGGTCATCCCAATTGAGACCATCCACCTTTTTACCACCCAAAGATTCCAGGCCTTGCAATCGCCCAGTTGCCAATCTTCGCATCATAAGAGTGTCCTTGGCACCAGGCAGAGTGCTCACACTTCCATCAAGTAGTGTCTCTTCCAATCTTGTTTCCTCATCTTCATCTAATGGCAGTCCGACAAACTCCATTGCGCGCTTGCTCCGTGTTTGCCCAGCTGGTGTCTTGTGAACAAATTCGACTAGTTGTACAAACAGGCGATCGCGATTGTATCCGTCATGTTTACGAGTGAAGTAAAATGCCTCGGTAATGCTCGAGCGACACAATATCTCGAAATATGATTGGCGGACTTTTTCAGTTGCAAGCGGTGGAGCAGCAGTGAGGTAATAGGTGATGGCGAAGCTGTCACTTCTATGTGGAATCTGAGGAATGGTGAGGACATATAAAATCTCATCAGGGAATGTAGGAATGAGAGACGGTTCGGATAGGTAGTCGAGTGCGCGCTAAGAGCGAAGTGATTAGAAGAAACCTCATTTCGAAGATAAAAGTCAAACTACCTTGAGCTGAAGGTGATCCAGGTTCCAGAGACCCTCTATGAATAGCCGGTATTTCTCAGGCAAGTAGCATGATCGCGCAAACTGTGACGCTGCGTCCGGCGCATTGCGACAGTCCTTGAGGATGTAGTAGATCAAGGCTTGTTTGTGATGATCGTCAAGTTCAGATGAGACTATGTGATCGACCAGCGATCGCAAGTCTGAATTGGTCTTAGGGGGATACGTAGTGTTTACTAAAGATAGTGATGGTAAGCTACAAATCACCTCAAAGGGAGTGATATCAAATACGTACCTCCAGTAACTCCTAAAAGGTCTAGTAACCGATCAGCAAAGAGCTGGTTCTCCAGTATCTTGCGGTTGGAGATGATCTCCTCAAAGACTCTGGCATCGTATGAGTACTTCTTATTGAAGCTGAAGACATGGTCGAAATTTCCCCACTGGGCCATTTTGAGATATCAAAGTGAATGCTGTTCAAATCTAAAGACTTAGTGAAGGGATTATTACCGCGAACGTCCACCCAAATAGGATTAGCGCATCAGTTATAGGATTTGTCATTCTATTTTTTGCCAATGCTGATCTTACCCCTCGGCCAAACAACTGAAGAATTGCTTAAGATCATTAATTAGTCGGAAAGTCGGGAAATTATCAGTTTTTTAAATATAATTTATAAATTTCAGCAAAATGACCAACATAAAAAGCCTAAGCCTAACAAATCAATCCTTCGTAGTAATAATGATACTGGGCGGTGAGGCTTCTGTTATGGCACAAAAGGGCGCCTTTCCTTTTTAGGGAACAACGTAAACAACCCACTTTCTCCGCCACTACAGCTCCTCTTTTATTGCATCAACACCCCTCGCGCCTATGAAGTAGGCGCCCCTCCCGATCTGCGCATAATGGCTTCACTTGAAAAGGGTAGGCTTTCACGTCGCTCGGTTCCCCGCCGAAGTTACGCTGTCGAAGATACTTCCGACTCGGAGGATTCTGGAAATGTAACACCCTCAGCCTCGACGCACGATGACGACGATGATGATGATGATGAGAGTACCGAGGGCGAAGATGACTATACACCAGTTCCAAAGAAAGCAAGGCGCACGTCACACCAAATCCCAGAGCCCAAAACGCCTAGTACAGTGCGCCCAGCGCGCAAATCGCGACCATCGATAGCTGAAGAATCGGATGCCTCGCAGGTCACCGATACGGACGAGAATGACGAGAAAGAACAGCCCGATGAGAATGACGACGACGCGACGGATGATTCTGCCAGTGTCGCATCTGTTGAGGCTGACCCCGAGTCTCCTTCCCAGACCGCTGCACTTAAGAGAAAGAGTGTTGAGCCTGTGGAAGCCGATCCTGACTCCCCTTCGAACAAGGTGGCTACAAAAAGACACAGTACGTCCTATTCCAATAAGAGTCGTAGCTCAATCACTTCTAAGGCGGCAAATGACTCACTTCCTACTCCAGAGTCATCTGCATCGCCAGAGCAAACGCATACTCGACGGGATAGTGTCGCACCTCTCGCCGATATTGCCGAGTCTGCTATCAACAAATCGCAGTCCCCATCAAAGCAACATGATGAACCGAAGGCCGAATTTTCCATTATCAATCCAAACTCAACCGTATTGGAAAAACCAATGGATATTGTGATGAAGTCTAGAAATTTGGGTGTTCCCGCACCCGAGGAACCTACAGAACCCCAACCACGAATGATTATTCAAAATTTGATCTTAGAGAACTTCAAAAGTTATGCTGGAAAGCAAGCCGTTGGACCTTTTCATGCCTCTTTTTCATCTGTTGTCGGACCTAACGGCTCAGGAAAGTCGAACGTGATTGATTCGTTGCTTTTTGTTTTCGGTTTCCGTGCTAGCAAGATGCGACAGGGAAAGATCTCGGCACTCATCCATAAGTCTGCTCAATACCCCGATCTCCCCTTCTGTGAAGTGCAGGTGCACTTCGAACAAGTCCTCGATCTTCCTGGGGGTGGTCACGAGGTGATCTCAGGTTCTCAACTGATTATTTCGCGGCGAGCTTTCAAGAACAACAGCAGCAAATACTACATGAACAAGAAAGAGACCAATTTCACCACCGTGACTGCCTTCCTCCGCGAGAAAGGAATCGATCTCGATCACAAGCGATTTCTTATCCTTCAGGGAGAGGTTGAATCTATTGCTCAGATGAAAGCCAAGGCCACAAATGAACACGACGATGGCCTTCTTGAATATCTCGAAGACATTATAGGAACTTCAAAATACAAAACACCGATCGACGAGGCAGCGACCGAAGTGGAAACTCTGAACGATGTTTGTGTCGAGAAAAACAATCGGGTTCAGCACGTGGAGAAAGAGAGGAATGCCCTGGAAGACAAGAAGAACAAGGCACTAGCGTACTTGCAGGACGAGAACGAGATTGCTTCAAAACAATCTGCCCTCTTCCAGATCTACAACACTGAAACTCTGGATAACATGCGTGCTACCGAGGATGCCATTATTCAGATGACAGCAGAGCTGAACCAGGAACTGGAAAAGCACCAAGGCAATGAATCTGGGATCAAGGAGCTTGAGAAATTCTACAAGCGTGGGGCTCATGAGTTCGAGACAATGGAAGGAGAAAGCAAATCGCTGCTCAAGGAGATGGCGAAGTACGACAAAGAGTCCGTCAAGTTCGAAGAGAAGAAGAAATTCTTGCTTGGCAAACAGAAGAAGCTGGACAAGACTATTCAAACGAGTCGCCTTTCTGGCTCAGAGTGTCAGAGTTTGGTTGAGAAATACACCGACGACATCGAGAAGAAAACCAAAGAAATTGATCAGCTAGAGAAGGAAATGAAAGTGGAGGAGGAAGAGCTGACCTCGATCCGTGAAAGTCTCAAAGGCAAAACTCAGGGCATGTCAGACCAGATTGCAGCCAAACAAAAGTCACTCGAGCCTTGGAACGAGAAGATCAATAAGAAGCAATCCTCAGTTGCTGTTGCACAGAGTGAGCTTGATATCCTTCGTGAGAGAAGCAATGCAGGCGCTGTCTTACTTGAGGAGGCGCATAACAAAATTGCCACTATTCAAGAGACCTTGCAGACCAAGGGAACCGATCTTGAAGAGCGACATGCTCAGAAAAAGACCCTCGAGGCCGAAGTCCAAAAACTGAAACACGATCTGGGCAAGTACATTGCGAGAGAGCCCGATGTTCGTTCACATGTTTCCAACGCTCGACAAAAAGCCGATGAAGCTCGCTCAAGCTTGGCCAGCACGCAGAACCGTGGGAGTGTGTTGACTGGATTGATGCGACTCAAAGAATCTGGTCGTATCGACGGATTCCATGGTCGTCTTGGTAATCTCGGAACGATCGATGAAAAGTATGATGTCGCAATCTCTACTGCATGTCCTGCTCTCGAGAACATGGTGGTTGAAAGTGTGGAAATTGGTCAGCAGTGTATCGACTATTTGCGCAAAAACAATCTTGGTCGTGCCAACTTCATTCTCCTAGATCGCTTGGCTCGTCGCGATATGTCGACTATATACACTCCTGAAAGTGTCCCACGTCTCTTCGATCTCATCAAGCCCAAGGATCCCAAGTTCGCCCCCGCCTTTTACAATGTGTTGCAAAACACCTTGGTCGCCAAGGATCTAGACCAAGCCAATCGTATTGCCTACGGTGCTCGGCGTTGGCGAGTGGTGACATTGGATGGCCAGTTGATCGATGTTTCTGGAACAATGAGTGGCGGTGGTACTCGCGTCGCACGAGGTGGCATGTCATCAAAGCAAGTTGCTGAGACCTCAAAGGAACAGGTGGCTCGTCTTGAATCGGACCTTGAGGAATTGGAGCGCAAATTTCAGCACTTCCAAGAAAAACAGCGAAATGTGGAGTCTCAGATGCGGGAGAAGTCTGAGGAGATTCCTCGTGTTGAGACTAAGATCCAAAAGATTTTGATTGAGATCGACAGTGCAAAGCGCAGTCTTGTCGATGCCCAGCGCCGGGTGAAGGAGATCAGTGCCGAGCACAAGCCATCCAAATCTGATGCATCTCAGGCTGCTGCCCTCGAGCAGCAAATCGAATCCTTGAACGAGGAGATCAAAGATCTCAACGGTCAGAAGAGTGGCATCGAAGAAGAGATCCAGACACTTCAAAATAAAATCATGGAAGTCGGTGGTGTTCGCCTTCGTGGGCAAAAAGCGAAGGTTGATGGACTGAAGGAGCAAATCAATCTCTTGGCCGACGAGGTCTCCAACGCCGAGGTGCAAAAATCGAAAAACGAGAAGCTCATAATCAAGCATACCAAGGCTTACGACACATCCAACAAGGATATGAGTCAAATCGAGGCGGACTTGCAAAAGATTGAAGAAGATGTGGAAAAACAAGCTAATGATGCATCTGGTTGGAGACAAAAGGCCGACGAGGCGCAAGAGGTAAGCCATTAATTATCGGCCACAGCTGAGGAATTCTTATTAACTTTATATCCAGGCTCTTGAGACCAAGAGAGGTGAGCTGAAGGCTCTGAAACAAGAGCTTGATGACAAAACCGCAGAGCTCAATGAGAGCCGAGCTAGTGAGATCGAACTGCGTAATAAACTCGAGGAGAACCAAAAGGCTCTTGCTGAGGGCCTGAAAAAGAGTCAGCACTGGGAGGACAGGATTTCAAAACTGTCTTTGCAGAAAGTAAGCGATCTGGGCGAGGAGCAAGAACCTACAGAACTACAGACGTTCACCAGGGACGAGCTAGCAGCCATGAACAAGGTTGAATTGAAGTCAGAGATTTCCGAGTTGGAGCAGAAAGTAGCACAAGCATCTGTTGATCTTTCAGTCATTGAGGAGTACCGCCGGCGTTCTGCTGAACATGAGTCTCGCTCTGCAGATTTGACTACTGCTCTGTCCACTCGTGACAGCGCCAAGTCTCGCCTCGACGGTCTCCGCTCTGCACGTTTGAACGGCTTCATGGAAGGGTTTAGTATTATCTCTCTGCGTCTGAAGGAGATGTACCAGATGATTACCATGGGTGGCAACGCGGAACTGGAGCTTGTAGACTCGTTGGATCCATTCTCTGAGGGTATTTTGTTCTCTGTCATGCCGCCAAAGAAGAGCTGGAAGAACATTAGCAATTTATCTGGTGGTGAAAAGACATTGTCTAGTTTGGCGCTTGTTTTCGCCCTGCACCACTACAAGCCAACTCCGCTCTACGTCATGGACGAGATTGATGCGGCCTTGGATTTCCGTAATGTAAGTTTATATCCCCTTGAGTTCTTTATTTGTCACTCACTAACTATCATGCAACAGGTCTCTATTGTGGCATCTTACATCAAGGAACGAACAAAAAATGCGCAATTCATTGTTATCTCTTTGAGAAACAACATGGTAAGTTATCTTTTCTTGACTCTTCAAAATATTCAAACTAACGAGATTAAACAGTTCGAACTCGCATCTCGACTTGTTGGTGTCTACAAGGTAAATCATATGACAAAGAGTGTTACAATCGAGAATAAAGACTATATTGAGAGTCGATGACAACTAGGTGGTTAAATTATCATGTTTTTGTTTATGTTGATCTGTCTTTTTATTTTCCTGCATCCATGGATAGGTTACCTGGCTGGATAAGGGTGCTCTTTCTTATGATATCATTGGTTTGGAGTACTATGGATTTGAGTGAATTTTTTCTGCTTATTCTTCAGTTCAAATTCTTCGTAAAAGCAACCATAGTTGAAGAGGCAATGTGGTCAGAAATTTCCAGTCGTCCAGAAAGCTCGTATCAAACAGCTTCTTCATTCTAATACCAGAACACGAAGCTTCATTTTCGTAGCTTCCGACTTGCAGGTATCTTTTTGTTGAATTTTTAGTAAAGTACTCAAAGACCTAAATAAAACTAGGACTTGATAGCGGAGGCAATCATCAATGTCCCATGGACTAATGCAGCTTACTCCGAGATAGCAAGGATATCAAATGATGATTCTGTCTAGTTTCTCGAGGACTCTGGGACTCTGCAGAACGAGCCAAGAGTGACATGACAGGCCACATCAGGGCCTTCTGTTTTGTTGAAAATATCCTTCAGGTCTTTCATCTAGACCTTGGATCCGGGTGATATAGCCGCCCTTGAGGTGATTTGGGACACTTCAATTGCTGGCGTCTCTCTTAACGAGTTGATTTACTTGAAACAAGCTATACTTAAGCAGTCATACACCCAAATTAAGGACTTCTTCTCTCGATCAGACCTCTGAAGTAACCTGTAGCGCTAAATAAGATCTCCATACATACATACATACAAACCCCACAAAGCTAAAGGGGTCGCAAAGAAGGCTCTTCCCCCGCATGCAAAAATAGATTCGGGGAACCTACTCAGATAGCGAAAAAGATCAAGGAACGGAGGATTGAGCTTCCACCTATGAGGTTGACGCTCGGAGAGTCCAAGCACTCCGTGCAGGAACTTTTACAACCTGAAATTCACGCAGTAAAATTAAGGGTTCCTCTGCATCGTAGGCTTCTTGCATGACCCTTTCTTGGCGAGCTGGGCCAGTGCACAAATTACTCAGGATGCTGCAGAACCACAGATTATACCCCAAATCAGTACCATACGTGAAAGCAGAGCTGGTTGCAAAGGATCACATTTTTAGGGACTCAATATCAAGCTAACAGTGTCGACTAACCTTAGATTCTTAATCTAACCACTAAAGTCTAGAGAGTTTGACATTCAGAACACCCTTCAAAAGGACATTGGGACCTCGGCATGACTGGCAAAATCCACCTACAATGGGGACACTATGACTATTGAAAAAGCAGCCTAAGATCAAGTCCATTAATTCACGAATCAAAACTGCGATCTCACTCTCAAGCGCCTGGCACTATCTAGCCCGTGAGGAACCAACCTTCCATGGTTAGGAGTGGTGGGTAAACCCAAGCTAATGCATAGCGATTTTTTGTAAGGGAACAACCATTTCCTCAATTGTTTGTTGATCTCGGGAAAATATATCCCCGCGCGAGGTGACATCCATCACCATCCGCCAGACAACAGAAAGCCTTGGAAGAGATGTTGAAACCACTGAGGCTTCACGAACCGCTTGAAATATCCTCCAATGGATTCTGACTGTGATCCTGTACTGGCCGATTATAGGCACAAGTCTACTTGTCAAACACGGACGTTCACCTAAAATGGATATCTCAGAATATTTTTTCTTGTCATCCCCCGGTCAGCATCAATCTGTTGGCGGTGGCTTTTCGATGTTGCATGACTGCATCAGAATATGCCAAGCAAGATGTCTTTCTGATATTTCACCAAGACATCCGGGGTGATATAAAGAGGCATATTCTCACATATCCATCTGATCTTTCATTCACTCTCCAGTTACAAATTACAGAAAGCAAATATCAACCTTCTTGATCTGTCAAGAAATGAATTGGCACGCACTCTTCTTCTCTGCCATGATGGCAGTGGCCTATGGCCAGCAGGCTGGAACATCGACAACTGAGACACACCCTTCTCTTACCTGGCAGAATTATACTTCCAGCGGTAGCTATACGACAGTGTCAGGCTCCGTGGTGATTGATGCCAACTGGCGTTGGGTTCACTCTACCTCCGGTTATACCAATTGCTACACTGGAAACACGGTCAGTCTCACTTCATCACGCTTCCACCCGCCTTAGATTAGCTAACCAGATTCTTTAAATCAGTGGGATGCTAGCCTTTGCCCCGATGATGTAACATGTGCTGAAAACTGCGCCCTGGATGGTGCGAACTATGAGTCAACCTATGGTGTTACTACCAGTGGCGATGCTCTGACTGTGGGATTTAAGACCGGTTCCAACGTTGGATCTCGCCTATACCTGCTACAGGATGATGATACGTATGAAATTTTCAAGCTGCTGAACCGGGAATTCACTTTTGACGTGGACGTCTCAACCTTGGTTTGTGGGTTGAACGGGGCGCTCTATTTTGTCGCCATGGATTCTGATGGTGGGCTATCCAAGTACGAAAACAACAACGCCGGAGCCAAGTATGGCACTGGCTATTGTGACTCTCAGTGTCCTCGTGATCTGAAATTTATCAATGGTCAGGTAAGAGCAGCAGTCTGATTAGAAAGTGACTTCAATGCTGATGTGTCCCTGTGATGTAGGGTAATGTGGACGGCTGGGTGGCCTCAACTAACGACGCCAACTCAGGCGTTGGCGACCACGGCTCTTGTTGTGTGGAGCTAGACATCTGGGAAGCCAACAGCATCTCAACAGCCCTGACTCCTCACCCTTGCGATGATCCTGGCCAGACAATGTGTGAGGGCACCGACTGCGGTGGTACCTACTCGGATGAGCGCTATGCTGGCACTTGTGACCCTGATGGCTGCGACTTCAACCCGTACCGTATGGGCAACACCAGCTTCTTCGGTCCAGGCAAGGACGTTGACACCAACTCTCCGATAACCGTGGTAACGCAGTTCGTCACATCCGACGGCACTGATACCGGTACTTTAAGCGAGATCAGGCGTCTCTATGTGCAGAATGGTAAGGTCATTTCCAACTCTGCATCTGACGTCAGTGGTGTATCTGGTAACTCAATCACCTCATCGTTCTGCACAGCCCAAAAATCTGCATTTGGCGACACAGACTACTTCTCGCAGCACGGCGGTCTTTCGGCAGTGAGCGCTGGTCTGGAACAGGGATTGGTTCTCGTTATGAGTCTGTGGGATGACCACTACGCCAATATGCTTTGGCTTGACAGTGATTATCCCACCAATGAGCCATCCACTGACCCTGGCGTTGCTCGTGGCACCTGCTCTACCTCTTCTGGTGATCCCGACGATGTTGAAGCTAACTCGGCCTCTGCCAAAGTTATTTTCTCTAACATCAAGTTCGGCCCCATCGGTTCAACCTATTCTTCTTAAGGGCAGAAATTGACTTGTTCCTTTTCTACTACCTCATTTCAGTCAATCCTCTCACCAAACTGTTGTGAAAATCTCCGCGGTACAGAGAAAAGAATATGAGAATCATGGGATATGTGAATTGGAGGGAATAGATATCATTTTGTTATCATTCAGGTAGTTCAATGATATTATACAGTCCATTTGAATAGAAGCACCTCCTGATATCTCTAAAAAGAGCTACACTCAACAAAATCATCATCAGATGCCCCAGTATGTGTATTCACATCAACTCATCCTTCTTTTTATGAACAACGCGGTCTGTACCAGGGGATGTGCTACGATCGAAGATTTCACCATCCTCCATGATTGGAAACTCGTAGTAACTACTTCAACTTGAGGTTTTGCCAGTTGAGGGGAATTTATACTTGCTGACAGCCAGGACTTCGTCGCTACAAGGATTTCAGACCTTCAAGCCTGCGCTTGAAGCAGCATATTCGCAATCCAAATGACGAAATGCGAAAAGAAAGATGTGTTTATATATTGGCTTCAATCTGGTTCTAAAACCCAGCGACTTTTCCGAATTATCGCTGTCGGCATTGCTGTCCGAAACGAAACCTTATATAAAGATTTCAGAATCACGACTTTCATCCTCAGATGTGCAAGTTTTTGTATCTGCCAGACTCCTATCGCTTTTCAACCAAACGAGCTCTAGGTATTGTAATGAATTCGCTCATGATGTTGAGCACTGCTGCAACCTCTTACAAGCTCGACAAATTAGATTGCAAAGAATATTAACAGGCTCCAAGGTTTCTCAGGATGTGTGCACACGTCTACACATGTAGGATTTCCGATGTGATGCTAAAAGATATGATCAAGGTTACCTAACAAAGACTCTAAAAAAGTCAGAAGATAAGTGTCGTCTGGCTGAGCATATAACTATACGTGCCCCTAGAGTCTTTTTAATGTTGCCTTTAGGGGCCCTCGATGCCCAACACTATCGAACAGTCCACAGGTGTGAAGACATGGTAGAAGGATATAGAAGAGAGGATATATCCAGTATACTAGTCTGCGATGGTGAAATTGAAGAAATAAGACAGATTTCACAGCGCCCTGCCTTTACAACTACACCAACAACTTTGGGAGGCAATGTAAGAGCGTAATGCAATCCCGCAGCTGAGCTACCAATTATGCGCTCTTGTGTCCTTGGTTCTCTTCTCTGACTTGAATATGACCATCAACAGGAACAAGACACTGTATTTCTGCTAACGGTCTGGATGATGAGTTCTATGTGCAGAATTTAGGGACTAATGAGCAGAGCTGGACTAAGTACTGGGTTGAGCATGTGGTGTATCAAATTTCAAGATTGTGAAGGAGGTTAAGGATTCCAAGGTTGGGAGACTGGTGTCGCCTTCAGGTATGGAAGTAGATAAGATCACCCAGGTAATGCTGACATCCGCCACTGTCCATAGCTTTAAATGTGAGGAAGAATATTTACAACATGCGGCATTTTTAGTATACTTGTTCTTCGGGTGTGATGTATCTACTTCTACTCCGAACTCCGTAATAAGTACCTGCCCCGCATCTCGATCGTCTCACCTGCATCTTCAATGTGGATATCCTCACCTCTACAAAGGACTTATTATTGAAAAATCTGGATATAATTCATGAGACTCAAGTCATATTTCAGTAATCAAACACTCGGTAGATGTAAACCTAATCCACCAAAGATTGCCGTTGCTACCAAGGTCAAGCTTAGTTTCCCAACCTCCGGTATATCTACCTACCACAAAGCGAATTGACGTCAGCGCGGGATGAAAGAAAGTGGAGATGAGAGAGAAAATAGTAAGTGAGTTTAAGAGTAAGCATTGTCTCAAGATCCTTGAAATTTTGGTAGTCGCCATAAAAAGCGTTTATCACCCGCTTTCAATCCCTTCCAAGGCTTTTTTCCACTCTTAATTAGTGGCTAGTTCTACATTTAATCAGATCTCAGAAATCCCCTCACTCTATTCACACTTCAAAGAAGCAAGCATTAAAGACCCTTTAACCATCGGATGCATCCTAAATCTTCATGGTAAGTAGTAAGTATACCGGCGCAAACCCGAATGGCCCGGCTTGTCCTCGGGTATTCACAACCGCAGCCTCGGGATATAATATTGACATTGCCCCACAGGCTCCCATAAATAACTTGCTTCTCCCACGAGTTGACGGATGCCCGAGCACGATTTCTGGTGGTGCCATTGCGGGTATTGTAATTGGCACTATCTTCGGTACTCTGTTTCTGCTATGGTTGTTGAAGTTTCTCTTCCACATATTCAGTCTCCCCGGAGCCTGGAGTGGTGGTGAGCCCGACGTTGGTTACAGACCACGGCGCTCTAGCTCTGACCGAAGACGGAGGACGTATGTGGGGTATGTCGAAAAGCCAAGGACTAAGCCAAGGAGAAGCACAACTTCTCGGTATCGAGAGGATGTGCGGCGACCCGCAAGGGTATATAGGTCTTGAGATGTGTGATGAGATGGATAAGTTTGTTAATTACCTAGAGTGCGGATTGAGCTATGACTGGAAGAGTTATGACGTTTATGTTTATGAATTATCTGAATACAATGGTGTTTTATGATGGGCATCTTCAAAAGCTAGTGATAAAATGCAGCCACCCATGCAGCCATCCCGTAGACTTTCAGCCCCTGAATTTATACATAGAAATCTCACAATACAGCAAGCCTTGGAACCAAAACTATGCTGTGATAAGTTTGGAACCGTCAGGAATTAATTTAATAATTTCTTCCAATAGTGCTGCCTGGATATAGAATTGAATTCTTAGAAGTATGACTAAAAGTCACTAGTTTAGCTCTGAACATCAATTTCCTCGGGAAAGTTCGAGAGAAAACCGGTTCAAACGCTAGGGCTAATTATGTCTTTCTCTGAACGTGAATTGTGGATTCGTGGTGGATACCATTTCAAGGGAGCCCACCGGGTTCGTGGTCGTCCAGAAGAAAGGGGTTAGGCCGTGAAGGGGAAAAAGTACTTTGTAGTGGATTTACTCTGCAGTCCCATTTCAAGCTTTTCATGTTGACCCTTGAACACCCCTTTCACAAGTCTATTTTCAGTAAGTAGATATGGGACTTGAAATGAAACCAGTTCCCACGACTTGATAGTTCGGAATTTCGGCTAGATGGTTAGCGGTAAAATTACCCCTATTCGGGCATATCAACAAGCACGATACGGGCTAGTATAGTTATCGCCAACAGCGAATATCTACAATTTACTGTCTCTTATTCGTATACCAAGTACTCACCAAGTAAAATAATAATCTCCTGCTTCAGTTCTTATCAGAGACAAATCAACCAATAAACAATTATTATTGAAGTTGCAACGGTGCATCGAACTAAACTAGATCTGGTTTAGTCCCAGGCATAAAGTGGTGAACTAGTCTCGTAGAATATCCACCTTGTCTTCCCCCCTCAAAAGTGCCCTTTGCTTTCTTATCTTTTTTTTCTAACCTGTCCTTTCACTTGAAAATACTGCTGGTGGACAGTCATTTCCACTTTCCGGTCCCTATTCCTGCTATCAATCGCTTTCAATCACTATATAATAGATTTCGAGATCATCAACATCTCGAACCGTTCCGCTCTTTATTATACCCCCTATTGGGCATTTCCAGCAATTAACGCTGTATTTTGATCCAAAATAATACCAGACTTTCACCATGGTGTTGTCCTTGAGGAATCTGGCGATATTCTCGGCTCTCGCCAGTCTAGCCACCGCCCAGACCTATTCCACCTGTAACCCTCTCAATGAAACATGTGGCGACGATGCAGCATTGGGTACCGAGCACACCTGGTATTTTAACGATACTCTCGATTCGACAGTCTGGAACATGAGTACTGGAGTTATGAACATCACTTCAGATGGTGGTGGTTTCACTATATCAGAGGAAGGTGATTCGACACTACTGCAGTCCAACTTCTATATCTTCTTCGGTGTGGTGGAGTCATGGGTCAAAATGGCCACTGGCCAGGGTGTCGTCAGCAGTATTGTGCTGGAGTCTGACGATCTCGACGAAATCGACTGGGAGTGGGTTGGATATAATAACAGTGAAGTTCAGACCAACTTCTTCGGCAAAGGCAACACTACCTCATACGATCGTGGAGAGAACTTCTACGTCGATGACGCATACAACAATTATCACAACTACACGACATACTGGACATCGTCGAAGACCGAGTGGTGGCTCGATGGTGAATTGAAGCGCACGCTGCATTACAACGATTCCTTGGCTCTCTACGGTAAAAATTACCCGCAAACTCCCTGCCAAGTCAAGGTCAGCTGCTGGCCTGCTGGTCAGGAGAGTGCCTCTGTGGGTACAATTCAGTGGGCTCACGGACTCGTGGAGTGGGAAAATGGCCCGTTCACCATGTGGGTGCAGAGCATCCGCGTTCAAGATTTCCACACCGGCAAGAGTTACTCTTATGGAGACAAAACTGGTAGCTACACCAGTATCAAGGTCAACGAGTGAGTTCTTCCTATCATATTTCCTTCACTATGAATCTCAACTTAACATATCTACAGACCTACTGCCAACTCCACTGTCAAGACCGAGATTGAAACAGTAAAGACTCCTTCATTGACATTGTCCCAGAAGTGGGCCAAGCTGAGCAACGGAGTCCACATTGGAGTCTACACTGCTGCCGGTGTAGTCGGTGCGGCCATTGTCGGAGCTTTCCTCTTCTGGTGTCTTAAGCAGCGCAAGCAGGGTCGTCTCGAGCAAGCCCTAGGTGACACCAACTACGATGCCCAGCGCAATGAGATGCAGGCCTACCAGAACAACTGGAAGCAAAGCGAGTGGAAACAAAACAATGGTTACCAACAGGTTAACAGCTAGTAGACGCTTGCTGTCCTTTTTCTTCTTGTTCGCCACAAAAGGGGCTCTGCAAACCTGCTCTCTTTCTGCGCTTGTCTCAGTCTCTCAGACGCCGCCATGACCTTTTTTGGATTTTTCCAGGCTCCTTGTCTTTTACCCCGTTACGTGGGCGTCTGCGATGGTGGCCGTGGGATTTTCTATAACGACCATTTCTCCTCGCTTCGGCTTGAATTCCTGACTCTTTGCTTTTTGTGCGTTTAAATAGTTGTTTTTCTAAACTTCTTGTTGATATCCATCTCTTTCCACCCTCTCTTTACACTGCCGCTTTTGACGGTCAAAACACCTCTGGCGTTGTATGACTGCAACATTTATCCTTCATGTGTTTGGTTTAGAGAAATTCATATATGATCAATCTCACATCCGTACATACCCCTTCTTCCATTGATTTCTCTTACGTCATAAAATTAAGCCACCCTTGCATGTCTCATCGCGGTTCTAGTTCATCTCTGCGACTTTGCCGTATTGTCGTATTTATGCATACGATCTCGATCTCAGTTGGAATTATAGCTGGGTGGATCTTTACAGTAGCAATGACGCGTCTTTTGGCCCAATTCAAAAATTTCAATCTACAAACCATGGCAATTATCTAATCCACTCAGTTTTGTGACACAACGAAAACCGAGCCTTCTCATATCATTACCTGTTTATTTATAGGTGCAATGTACTTGCAAGGCTGCCATTTAAGTTTCAATAATGTAAAGGGGACCTCGAGATACGCCCAGGTGATCATGCGCCAAACAAATGCTGCTTGAGGAGACCATTTCTCCAGATGTTATCGATATCAACGTTCCAACGCACACAAAAATATTAGAACCTTGAAACGAGGTCGACTTCCGAGGTCATTGTGATAATCAGAAAATTGAGTCGTTCTCTACTTTAATGCCCAAGCGATTGTTCAAAGGTTATATTCTATTTGCTGTCCAGGTGCTTTCCATTTATTAATCCCGAGGTCATTACAAATTATGAGGCATCACTCGATCAAACGAAGCAACCTTGAAATTAACATTGACTATCTATCCAAAATCAATACCAAATCAGTGAAAGATAAAACAGGGCACAAAAGGAAAATCCAAATTTCATGGCAAGAGTCTTTCTATTATATATGGGCATTCTCAGCCCTTATACTTCCAGAGCTTCGAACAATGTACTGGTATTGTCGGAAATATCTCGCTTTACTTAGGCAATGGGAGTCTCAGGTCCACCCTTGATAGTAGCAGAGGGAGTCTCCAGAGGTTTAATGGAGACATTATCGGTGACTTTGGCACCAGAGGACTCCTTAGGCTTACCGTGGTGGGGACCACCCGAGGGCTTGTGTTCACCAGCAGGGGGAGTTTCATGTCCACCCTTGATAGTAGCAGCCGCAGTCTCCTTAACCGGGGATCCAATGTGAATACCGGAGGGCTTCTCGTCAGCGAAAGGAGAAGGAGTCTTCTCAGGTTCGCTATGTCCACCGTGGTGGACATCACCCGATGGCTTGTGCTCACCATGGCCAGCAGAAGGAGTCTTCTCAGGTCCACCAAATCCACTATGGTGACCGTGGTGGGTACCAGTGGGTTTCTCACCAGCGACAGCAGATCCGGTCTCCTTGGGTTCGCCGTGGTGGATAGCACCCAAGGATTGGTGCTCACCAGAGGCAGGAGTCTCATATGCAACGGAAGCAGACCACCACGCATTTTCGGCAGATTGAAATGCGAGGAAGTCATCTCTCAGCTTGTCAATGCGTGCTTGTCCGGCTGCCTGGTCGGTTGCAGCGGCTGAGTTATCCCTTGAAATATTGGACTCCAGTTCTGCGAGAAGCTTGAAGTAGGTGCCCTCATTGCCGGAAGCTCCTACCGCGGTAGTCTTGGAGCCAACAGGGTTCAGTTTGTGGCTTGGTGTTGGGGTGCCTGTGACCTCGGCTCCGCTGATGGAGTGATTAGGAAGATGTTCGCGAGGTTTATGAGGGTTGGGAAGGGCAAAGGCAGTACCGGCAAGGCCCAGAGCAGCGATGGTGGTGAAACGCATTCTTATTATGAAGCAGATCTTTAAAGAACGTGATAAATAGATTGGGATACCTTTCCAGGGTTGTTCTTTGGGGGAAAGTAGAGACAGAGAGCTTGGATCATACAATGTGGTTAGGGAACGAGGTTTTTTATACCTAAGTAGCTCGTCATTTTGATCTAATATTCACTTTTTCAGGAATGCTGAGGGAGAATCTAACATAGTGCATCAGGATGCCGCTGAAGTGCTGATCGTCAAGATAGCGCATTTTATTCATCAAATTTAGTGCAGTGGCGTTTTGTAAGATTCCTCTTGATGAAGGATTTTGATTCAAGGACTTCGGGATAATTTCCTTCGCAGTAGAATTGTATAACGTCAGGTTAGATCTTTACTCTCTTTAGGCATAGAATTGTTCTAGTTCGATTATTTTGAAGGGCATCGGCCCCCAAAATCACATCACGCCCCATTCGAGATCAATACGGGACAACGGGGCCATTCATCATCACGTACTGATATGAGCATTTAATATAGCTACTAGACTTCAAAGCAAGGAATTCCTATGCCGAGATTACCTGAGTCTTTTTCATTTTAGTCACCTACCTAGGTATGTAAGAATGATTCATCATCTAGGCTTTAAAGAGCTTGCCAAAAATGACTCCAACGTTTCTTCTATACTAAGCAAGATATGATCCTTCGTGGGGGCTTGTATCATGTTAAAGACTCTGAAGCCTGAAGAAGAAGAAGTCGCACTGATTCACGTCCTAAATACTAATAACCGTTTTCTATAGAGTCGGCCGAAACTGTGCATGTGGGCCAAAAACGCGTTGCCACAGAGCTAGATGCATCATTTAATGTGGAGTAATTATTAATGATAACGTTTTTTTGAGGATCATGTTTTGAGTGAGCGCCCATGATGGTCTCGACTATAGAGCAAAACATGTCATTGCAAGATATAAAACGGGCTTTCGCCCTCTTAGCAGTCAAATAAGTGCAGAATACCCTTGTCAATGCTGCGTGGTATCTGGCATCACATCCTGTAATCTCATTATCTTTGGCCTTTGCAAAAGAATATTTAGCCCCAATCTACGGTACCTCCAGTTGTAGCCAATTTATTTCACAGTTGGAATTTGACTGGATTTCAACCTATTTAGATCTGTATACGATACAAAAAGTTTCCACGGCGGATGTATTCTCTTAACCCATTTTTGAAGTGTTTCTTAGCTAGTCAAAGCGATGGATCTTCACTCGATCTATAAAATCTGAGGATTTATTATAAGGAATTTTATAATCCAACACATCTAAATCTTTTAAAGGCTCTAATTCAATCTTGATTCTCTTACTAAGAGTCAACTGACTATCCGCTTTCATCAGTACAAATCGAGTTTGGCGATGAACAAGCACCGATGGCGTGACAAAAAGCTAATCTCACATTACACTTCCTTTTTAGGAACAATAGTGATGCTTACGAAAATGACATATTTGTTAATGAGTGGGGTTATGTAGAATATGGAATCACCTAACTTTTATATAGACTATTGGATATATTAACACCGGAGGGTCTACTTCGTATAATAAATACACCGGAGGGCAGTTTAAAATGCCAAGTAAGCTCTATAAGACTACACTACCAAAATACCTGTAATCTATAATATAAGGCATGCAAATGAGGTCTAATTATGCTTAGCCAAAGTTCTTCATTGTGGATTCACTATTTGCTGATCTCCAGATAACGTAAAAAATAGCGATTGACACTACTTTCTCACCTGAATTTGAAACCCCACTCTGTCTTATGACACGACGGTCGCGAGGGGATTATGGCTTGTATGTGAGCTTAAAATTTTATATGCTAGGTGAGCTTGGCTAATAATTTGCTTTAGTATCACCAGTGATTTTGGAATTGATCCCAATTGACTTTTTTGGCCAGAAAAAGTATACAGCTCGGAGGACCCCCCGAGAGCTGTATACTTCAGAAAAACTTTATATGAGGCGGTGAAGAAACACGCAACTGAACTGATGGTGCTTTTCTTCAGTGATGCTTCTCCACTGGCTTCCTTGATTTTGACTTATAAGAAAAAAAAAACTTTCATTTTTGGTGATAGATACAACTGTCGCTCGAAAGGGCGATATTCGAATATTGTACTGAGAATAGTAAACGTTGTGAGCTCCAACAAACAGCTACTCAACACCGTAGAAAATCCACCGGGTGTAGTGGATGCTACGATACTGAATACTGCGATTGTTGTGAAGTCTGCTTTTTCATTGATGAAAGAACTAGCTACTTATAGTATATGGGTGCCCCTCTGCCCTGGATGAATGTCAACATTCGTCCGAGACAGAAGAGACGGTGAAGACGGGATATTACTGTCGCGAATGCACATCGCTCAAGGGTGTCGTTTGCGATGAATGCATATCGTTCAAGGATGCCGTGATATACTAATCTAGTTTCTCCGAGTGGTTATTCTGAACCGAGAGTTACTGCTTTGGCAGAAGCTTTTTGGCCGAAATACTTTCCGTATGTTGACAGCCTTGTTTCTCATACGGCTGTCGCAACTATCGGGAAAGCTACTACAAACGTGCTTTGCATCCGCAAGAAACCCTGCATCGTCTAGTTTACTTTGTATGTTCACTCTGCTACATCTCGCAAAAAAAGATCCTCAACGTAACGGAAAAGGTTTTTGGTGGGAGATCACTTATAGTGACATGAAGCTTCTTATGGACAATGCGATGACGAATCTCAAGACTAGCAATATTATTGCTGCAGCTTTTGAACTACGGATACAGTAAACATTGCTCAGATATTAAAGCCCTTGCACACCCCTTGGCAAAATATAAGATGCCCTCTTGATACCAAAAGCTTGGGACTTGAAAAGGTGAAAAGGCCGATTCGGTAGATTTCCAACAACGCAGTATGAAGCTGAATTAATAGTAGTTTTCATGTTTGTATCGCATAATAAAGATAGCCTGAGCATACGTTAATTATTTACATCCATATGAGTGGATGATCAGTTATCCCCACAGCTGTCGTATGGATGAATTTTAGCGCATACCAAAGTGGAGATGGATATATAGATACCATTGGCTAATACTTCTGACCGCCTCCATAAACCCGTAATGGTTACCACCCATGATGAATAGCTCTGATTATTTAACTCTTATTTTATTTATGTAAAAGTACTCCGTACGATAAACACGCAAATGTTGGAAGAGCTATCATAATGTTTAATTGGTAAGACTTGGTATGAATCTATTCCTTTTTAGGTAGACTATATTGGCAGAAAAACTTCGCTAAAATTCATCCATACGACAGCTTAGGGGATAGTTTGTGTTTTACAGCCACACTTAGAACAAAGGAATAGCAAATTGCAGCTAGAGCAAGTGATCTAGAAGACCAGGGAAGCTAGAGTGGAGAGCATAAATGGGAACTTAAGTCTTTGTATAGCTAGATCTATTCCATCAATTAAATTATTGTTGATCGAAGCGGGACTATAATTTAATCCGCCCCTTTCATAAATTACCATTCATTATGGACCCGCCCTAATGTTCGGCTTTTATGCTGATTTATCGTAATTTGGGGCTACGTTGTAGGTTTAAAGTTTTTCGCTGCGACTGTGGGCTGTCTACTAGAGATAGATGAATAAGGTATTAGATATAGAAGTGAGCATAAATATTGGGTTTAAGCAGGGAATTGGGTATGGAATTAAGTCAGCTTTTAAGTACAAAATTGAGCATGATTCTACATTGACCGCGCGTATTGGCCCCCAGAGGGCCAGTGGAGCGGCATTTTAAAATTCTAGAGGCTCAATAACCTAAGGCGCTATAGCCTGCGTTGTGCGAAAGACTAGTAAGATCATCCCTAAGTATGGATACTTCATAAGGGGTGAGACCCCCAATTAAACAGTTGGAAGGATTTGGCCCTCCATATATGTACATATAATAGGCTGAGTACTTAAAGGATTGATCCTTTTGAGCTAAAAGTGGACATTTCAACCCGCATTTTCAAGTGACACAACGCCATACTAAATGTGATAAATTTCGATGCTATATTTCAGCAACCACAACTTCGATATACTCCATTAGTTGCCTCTTTACATTAAATAGAGCACCGAAAATAGCGAATAAAGTTCCAAGCAATAAAACGGTCGCATTATGATATCATCATAAATTACGTTGGAATCTATCAGTTTCAGCCATATATAAATGTATATCTCGATTATTCACCGGGTTTACTTTGATATTCTGGCGCAAGTACTATTTAAGATATCCGAAACATGTCTAATATAGTATCTGGAAGGAATCTTGATTGTCGAGGTAACATTGAGATTTATCATTCTGTATGGTGATCGAGGTGGCCCGCTCGCTTGTAGAGTACGTTATAGGTAATTCTATGCGAGTAGATATGCGATTTACATGGGGCTGATTCCTTTCGCCCCGCCGAGTTCACCCCACCTCCAGCCCTATGATGTTTACAAAGGAGCTCTCTAGTTGCAGGGGGCAGTCTACCTTTATAAAGCTGCTTCGTCTCCATCTATCAACACCAGAAACAACTACAGTGACTTCATTTCAACCGCAACTTAATCAACCCATTTCCTCAACAGGATGCATTTCATTAATTCTGCTCTTGCTCTTGGCCTTGGCCTCTGCTCTCATCTGGTTGCTGCTACCGGGTCATTCGGAATTCAAACGGATGACAACAACGGCTGTGTTGTCCGAGGTGACAACCTTAACAGTGGTTGCTCGGGCACTTCTACAGCTTTCGCCACTCTAGATAGCTACAGTATTGACTGCTCAACCAGTAAGTTTATAAATACGCCCCAGAGCTATCCCGACGTTCCCGTTTATCAATACTAATCCATCAAAGACTTCCAACCCACCATACTGCAACTATGCGATGGTACTAATGTTGATCTTACCGATGCCGTGGACCAGGGCTCTGGCTATTATCTGACCCTGTGGGATGACGATTGGAAGGCTGACGGCTACTGTTATTTGTCAAGCCTCAATGTTGGTAGTGGCTGTGCCCCAACAACCTCTGGCGCTCCTCCAGCTGCTACGAGCGTGCAGCCTGTCAGCGAATGATGGCAAGGTAGATTAATAATATTTGGAAGAACTTTGCACAGTGGTTAAACATGAGCGATTCCTGGAGGAATTATCAATTGATTTATCGGGACACCTAAATGAGCAATTCATTGAATACTTGGAATTTTAGACCCTTGAGGTAAAGGCATCACACCAGTAGATATGTATATTAAGTCACACAAGACTCCATAAAGTCTCATACTTCTTTCAATTATCTGTCCTATCAGCAACCATGGGCTTTTCAATTCTATGTGTCACTCTTAATCGCCCTTTCAATACACTCCGCCTGGTTGAGTACTAGGACAAACTCCACTATTTACTGAAAGTAAACCTAAAGCTAGTTGATATGCTTTTCGAAAACGCGACTTTGGAGCCTCTTGAGATTACTGAATTTTTCGCTCCGGATATGGAGTTATGAGATGAAGCCAAAACCGAGGGCCCTCTTAGACTCTTCTTTGTGCTTTTCTCGCCAGATTTTATTGCGCTATTGTCTTGTAATATGAATAAATCCACGGCTTTTTAAGGCACAAGTCTAGAGAATCTAGCTCATGGTATGAGACCGCAGCTTCTGTGATCTTGATGTTTCTTGCGATCTATACTTACATGGGTGCATATATTTCTCTTAGGAAGGCAGAGTACTGGCAGAGAGTATAACGACCTACTCTGGGATTCGTATAGGTTGTCGCTTAAGCATAAAGACTACTATAATCTCTTGGACGAGAGATCATCCCCAGGTCCGATTTATATAGTAGTGCACAATAGCTATACCCACAGCCGAACTCCCTGTATTCCGTTACAGAGAGATCGAAAAACATTCCATTTACCTTCAATAATTTATGGGTTTCACTCGCTCTTAATAATAAAAGCGATTGTTCTATGTTTTCGATCCTGGTTCCAAAGCTGCAGCTGAAAAGGCTTTAAGACTGAATCTTAAGCTAAATCTAATGCGGTGGCACAAGCTAGAGCCATTTTTATCCAGGATTCGCGCTATCTGTTTGAAATATCAGGAATCTCAAGCGCAGTCACTATCGATGAGTCAATGATTCGTGGCTTTGGGTACTCACAGTAACTTTTACAATGCGCAGTAACCAAATTCTATTAGGGTATAAGCTATTTAGTACAGATAATTAAAGATTCACCTTTTATTGGACATGGGCAACCCGGCAGAGGTATATGATGGGGCTAAAAGAGCTAAGATATTTGACTCTGACTGTCTATGGTATAAGTCTTTCTCTCTTTCTCTCAAACTTCTTGTCGCTCGCTTGGCGATATTCGAATATCTTAACTGAGAATAGTAGACGTTGTGAGCTCCAACAAACCGCTACTCAACACCGTAGAAAATCCACCGGGTGTAGTGGATGCTACGATACTGAATATTGCGATTGTTGTGAAGTCTGCTTTTTCATTGATGAAAGAACTAGCTACTTATAGTATATGGGTGCCCCTCTGCCCTGGACGAATGTCAACATTCGTCCGAGACAGAAGAGACGGTGAAGACGGGACATTACTGTCGCGGATGCACATCGCTCAAGGGTGTCGTTTGCGATGAATGCATATCGTTCAAGGATGCCGTGATATACTAATCTAGTTCCAGAGTCACTGTCTCGGCAGAAGCTTTTTCGGCCGAAATACTTTCCGTCTGTTGATGGCCTTGTTTCTCGGCTGTCGCAACACTTCTCTCTATCTTAGGCAGTTCAACGAGTAGAAGACAGCATTCCAGCAAGTTGAAACTAATATACTATCTTATAGACAATTATTCTACGACTATTTATCTATTTCAATGGCTTTGGAGGATGGGTATTGGTGCCTGTGAGATAACATCACTAACTGCCTCAATAAAGCTTTCCCTACAGCCTTTCATGTACTAAAAGAGTCAAATAAAGCACCATACCGTTTCCTCTATACAGCTCCCATCCATTCCGTCTTTTATATCGCCTAGCAATGTAATAATCCTGTTACGACTTTATCAACAGTCTATGCTATTCATAAGCCTACAGGTTAGATTAAACTTCTTTGAAAACAACCAGTAAAGACCCCGATAAGCGTGAAAATTGCCCATGAGTCATTTAATGTAAGAGTTGACTTGGAGAGTCGCCGTAGTCAAGGTGCAAGTAGGGCTAACTATGTTTTCTATTTTGCCGGAGTGTTGAACCCGCAATATAACTAGATAACTAGTTGTCAAATAGACTGTGACTGGCTGGCCAATCATTCAAATGCCACAAATGAATGAAACTGAATTTTCTAACTAGGGCGTAATCTGGTTTAAATACACACCTGAAAGTGGGTCCCAACCCACTTCCTTTGACACTAGTTAACGTGATGGAACACTCTATTATCTAATCATATTACTTTCCTTTGACCCACTTTTAAATAACTAATCAAAGTGATAGATTGTCAATCGATTTATACAAAGTACTTTTTTTTTTCTAAAGAAGTTAATACATCTAATTCTTATGAATGCTCTATTTCAATTTTGATTCTCTTACTAAGAGTCAATTAACTATGTAAGCTCAATTCTATCCGTTTTAGTACACATCAAGATTGGCGATAAACAAGCACCGATGGCGTGACAAGAGGCTATTCTCACCTCACAGTTGCTCACATTACTCGTACGATAGATCTTGACAGGGGAAAGTTTTCAGAGCCACCTTTTTTTAGAACCACATATATTTAACTTTATTGATCCCAGAGTCTGTCATCCAGTGATTGATTCTTACTGTACTACCATGGCAATCGTTAAGAGCGTAGCTGTTATCGGCGCTGGTCCATCGGGAGCTATCGCAGTCAATGCGCTGGCGCAAGAGAAGACTTTCGATGTAATTCGTGTCTTTGAACGCCAAGAGAAAGCTGGTGGATGCTGGTATGTACTCAATATCAATTAGAAAAGACAGTCTGACAAGAATCAGGGTCTCGAGAGATGATGAACCACCAAGGAAATTCGACTTTGAAGCCTTGGCGGCGCGCACAGCGGATTCGCCTTTAGAGATTCCGGCACAGCTTCCTTGTCGGACACCTGCAATCTCTCAAGATCGCTTTACAGACTCCCCTATATATCCGGGACTAGAGACTAACGTCGATGCGAGGGCCATGGCTTTCTCGCAAGAGGTTATCCCCACTATTAGGTCTGAGTGGTCCATTGTACGCCACGGACCCGAGACTCCATTCCGACACCATTCCGTGATGCAGAAGTATGTTGATGACCTTTTCACTAAAAAAGGGTTTGAAGGTCTGGTTGAGTATCATACCACGGTTGAGCGTGCATTTAAAGAACCCAATCAGAAATGGGGTTTAACTCTTCGCCGTAGAGAGATTCACGATGGGAAATTATCGGATTATTGGTGGATTGAGACTTTCGATGCAGTCGTCATTGCATCAGGTCATTACGCTGTACCTTATATCCCTTCTATTCCAGGTTTAGAGGAATTTGCTCTGCGTTATCCTGGCCAAGTTGAGCATACAAAGCACTACCGTGGACCTGAGAGGTATCGGGGAAAGAAAGTCGTTGTTGTTGGCGCGTCTGTGTCTGCGGCAGATACTGCTGTCAGTCTGATTGAGAGTGCACAAGCACCAATCCACGCTGTCGTCCGTGGTCGATATAACCCATACTTTGGCGATACAGCATTCCAACACCCTAAGATCCAACGCCACCCACCCATTACCCACATCACAGATCGTACTGTATATTTTGAAGATGGCACATCCGAGCCGGACGTGGATCACATTATCTTCGGTACTGGCTTTACCTGGACACTACCATTCCTGCCACAGATCACGACCCGCAACAACCGCGTCCCTGAGTTATACCAACATGTATTCTACCGCCACGACCCGACTCTAGTCTTTGTCGGAGCTGTGAGTTATCTTTCGCCTTATCTCACTGTGGATCAGCTACTAACCAGAAAACCAGGTTGGTGCCGGACTTACATTCAAGGTATTCGAGTGGCAGGCCGTAGCAGCAGCTCGTGTTCTGGCTGGCCGAGCAACTTTACCTTCTGTGGCAGAGCAAGAAAAATGGGAAAATGACCGCATCGCAGAGAAAGGGGACGGCCCTGCATTCACGGTCATCAATCCCGACTTTGAGGCCTATTTCGAAGGACTGCGTGCTCTTGCGGGCGAGCCACGTAACGGGGCTGGACGGCCACTACCACCGTTCGATCAGAAATGGGTGAAGATCTTCAATGAGGGCCATGAGCGACGAAAGAAGATGTGGAGACGTGCTAATCTGGCTGCACGCCTATAGCACTCTACATCCAGTACAAAATTCCAAATAAGCAATCTAGACCATATATTCTCTTTTTTGTACACACTCTGAATACAACTCAACTTACTCTACGGTAACAATGTACATGAAAAAGATGGGTTGAATTTTTAGACTTCTTATTTACATTAAGATAGCACTAAAAGCCATATCTATTCTAAGTGTCCTAAAAAAAGTTATTTATCACTTAATCTATATTTTGGTGTTTATATCTAAGATTGAAAATTGAAAATTTTGAAGTTCTAAAGCGAGTTAACTACCAGTAACCACGTTAGCGGTCATGACAAGTAAAACACTCTTTCCTGGTCAGAAACCAACTGATCAATCATTCAAATGCCAGAGATGAATGGATAACTAACTTTTTACTGTCCTTTCTAACTAGCGCGAAAATCTCCTTAAATACACACCCAGAGTGGGCATGCAAACATGCCAAATATACCAAACAACGAGGAGTTGGCTGAACACAATGTCACCTGATGAGGGGCTAAGGTGTTTTTGCTGAATATCAACCACCCTTCTAGCACTGTTGTTATGGATATCCCAGTATCATTCGGCGGCATGAATTCTGGACTACAGGTGGGGATTAATCACGGCCGGATCACTGCAGAGTTTCATCTTCCACCAAGTACGTCACGAAAATTTTCATTTAAAGTGACCATACTGACCTTGATTATAGAGGTGGACGTCAAGCTACCAATTGCATACGGGGCTGGGTTCGACTCTTACGTTGATCAGCATGAGGCTGAAAGGCACGAGGACGGATATTCTCCATGAAATCAGAGAGTGGGCTTTCGCTCCACAGGGAAAAGATATCTTTTAGCTAAATGGTATGGCTGGGACAGGAAAATCAACTATTTCTCGAACAGTGGCAAAATTATTCAGCCAAGACAAGTCGCTCGGGGCAAGCTTTTTTTTCAAGAGGGGTGAGGCAGGTCGAGGGAATGCTATGAAGCTTTTCACGACAATTGCATGGCAAATAGCAATAAGCATTCCTCAACTACTGCCTTTTATCCAAAAGGCTGTTGATGATAATCCGGGAATCACGACGAAGGCGATGACAGAGCAGTTCAATAAACTACTGCTTCAACCAATGCTAGACTTAGAAAGACTCAATCTCCCTATCCAGACCATGGTGATAGTGATTGACGCACTGGACGAATGTGAAGGAGAAAATGACATACGGTTCATAATTCACCTTTTACCACAGCTACTAAAGTCAAATTCTCTGCGACTACGAATTTTTTTTAACTAGCAGACCTGAATTACCGATCCGCCTCGAATTTTCAAAGCTTGCGAACCACGATCATATAGACTTAGTTCTACATGATACCCCAAAAGAGGTTATTCAGAACGATATATCTCTATTCTTGAACCATCGAATTTCTGATATTAGGAGAGGACGTCTCCTGCCTATAGATTGGCCTGGGGATATAAATCTTCGAAACTTAGTGTCATTATATACTCCGTTGTTTATCTTCGCTGCTACTATTTGCCGCATTTTCGAGGACTCATTTTGGGATCCGGAGGATAGCCTTGCTGAGATCCTTGCACATCGAAATGATGAACCTAAATTAGATGGGATATATCTTCCCCTGCTTAATCGGCTCCTGAATGGAAAAACCGAGGAACGGAAAAAACAACTGGTTCAAGAATTTCACCAAGTGGTCGGTGTGATCGTGATACTGGAGAGCCCGCTGCAAGTGAGCTCACTTTCCAGACTTCTCGGCATCTCCGAGAGGCTTATCCATCTTAGACTGAATCCACTATACTCAATTTTGAGTGTGCCAGATGAAGAAAATTTACCGGTACGGCTCTTTCACTTATCTTTCCGGGACTTTCTTCTAAATCCGGAAACTCGTAAGCGAACTCCCTTTGGGGTGGATACGAAAGAGATGCAACATAGTTTGACTATGAAATGCCTTCTTATGTCCCAAAATCTACAGAAAAACATTTGCAGATTACCGAGTGACGGAGCTCAACATGCAGATATTGATTATAGGACTATCAACCACTATATATCTCCAGAATTGCAATACGCCTGTCGGTATTGGGCACATCATTTAGTGCAAAGCAAAAACCTACATGCCATGATACACGAAGCGTACCTATTTCTTCAGAATCATTTTCTACATCGGATGGAAGCAATGAGCATTTTGGGTCTTATTGCTGAAGTTTTGGGGATCATTCATCTACTGCAGTCAGCCATATATATGAGTTAATGAGATCTTTCTGGAGCCTTTCTAAAATGTCGTTTCCGCTGACTGTTTTAGTAGAGCAAATCTCATGATATGTTGGATTTTCTACACGACGCAAAGCGGTTCTTTCTAAAGTACTGGCAAATGGCTGATGACAAGCCCCTCCAGCTATACAGCGCTGGACTTGTATTTGCGCCAATGAATTCAATAGTTCGAAAATTATTCGATAAAGAGCTCCCTGATTGGATCTGTAAGTTACCAGAAGTGCAAAAAACATGGCCCGCAGAATTGCAGTCTCTTGAGGGTCATTCGGGTACTATTATGTCGGTGATATTCTCTCTAGATGGTAGATGGCTAGCGTCAGGCTCCCGGGACGACACTGTGCGGCTCTGGAATGCTACCACCGGCGCGCTGCAATATATTCTTAAGGGTCATGAAGATCGGGTAATATCAGTGGCATTATCTCCCAATAGCCGGCTCCTAGCATCTGGCTCCCGAGATTCCACTATCCGGCTTTGGGACACCACCACAGGCGCACTATTGCAGGTTCTTAGGGGCCATAGAGATCGAGTCAGATCAGTGGCCTTCTCTCCCGACGGCAGGCTACTGGCATCTGGCTCCCGGGATAAAACATTACGGCTCTGGGATGTAGCTACAGGCGTGCTGCAGAAGAGCCTGGAAGGCCATGAAAATCGTGTTGTCTCAGTGGCATTCTCTCCAGACGGTAGGCTATAAGCATCTGGATCCCGAGATACCACACAATACGGCTCTGGGATGCAACTACAGGTGGTCTGCAACAGACTCTCGAGGGCGATTCAAGTATAGTTACGTCAGTATCATTCTCTCCTAACGGCCAGCAGCTAGTGTCTAGCTTCTGGGATGGCACCATACGACTGTACGATGTCGAGACAGGTATAGTGCAGCAGATCCTTGAGGGGCATTTGGGCATAGTTGAGTTGGTCGCATTCTGTCCAGACGGCCGTTTACTCGCATCTGGCTCCCGGGATGGCATCATACGACTTTGGGATGCCGCCAACGACCTACTTCAGCAAACTCTTGAAGGCCATTCAAGTCTAGTCACGTCAGTGTCATTCTCCTTGACCGGCCAGCAGTTAGCGTCCGGCTCCTGGGACAGCACCATGAGGCTCTGGGATGCCGCTACGGGCGCGCCACAGCAAATCCTTAATGGCCATTCGCAGCCAGTTGAGGTGATAACATTCTCTCCCGACGGCCAGCTACTAGCATCCGGCTCCAGGGACAGCACCGTGAGGCTCTGGGATACTTCCACAGGTACGCTGCTGCAGACATTCGAGGGCCATTCGAATTGGGTGACAAAGTTGGTATTCTCTCCTGATGGCCGAAGACTAGCTTCTGGTTCCTGAGATATGACAGTGAGACTGTGGAGTATCGCCACGCATCTGTCCCAGCAGGTTCTTGAAGGCCATTCAAACTCAGTTGACTCTGTAGCATTCTCTTCCGATGGCCAACTACTAGCATCCGGCTCTCGGGATTCCACTATCCGGATTTGGGATGCCGCCACTGGCCTGTTGCGGCAAACCCTCGTGGGACATTCAAACTGGATTACAACGGTGGCATTCTCTCGTGACAACCGGTTGTTGGTATCTGGACCTGGCCCCCAGAGTACGACCACGCGGAATACGACTATATGGCTCTGGGATCCCGCTCGAGACGCACAAGTGTCCGAACCTTGGGATGGCGCCGTGCGGCTCTGGGACGTTGTTACTGGTGCACTGCAGCAGACGTTTCATGTTGAAGGCAGAGTCACTGCCCTGGAGTTTTCTGGTGACAGCTCATACCTAGTTACTAATCTTGGACCCCTTAATCTTCAGTCCAGTTGTAGCATTCACTCACAAAATATACCTTCGGAGAGCGTCAAAATTTGTCTGCTAGATAGGCAATGGATAGCTCTTCACGGCAAGAAGGCCCTGTGGCTTCCTCCTGAGTATCGGCCTAAGTGTTCGGCGGTGAAAGGAAGAACTCTTGCTCTAGGGTGCGCATCGGGAAGGGTTTCAGTCCCGTCTTTTTTATAAACTGATCTCCCTTATATCGACCTACGTGGAACAGTGACGACGGAAGGAAGCAGAAGAGCTCAGGGCGCAGGTGCTTGGGCCAGAACATTCCGGTATTCTGATTAGTATGAACAACCTTGCATTACCTTGCGGTCATTGGATGAACACGACGCAGCCTTGCAATCAATGGCAGAATGCGTCAGACTACGTGGCCAAGTACTATAGTGTACAGCTGGGGATGTTTACTTTACCGGCCCATGAGAGATTGTGATGGGAAGTTTGTCCTTTACTATAGACCTATCTCTTTGTCTGCATTGAGACCACGTGGGTTTTATGGGATTTCGTACAGACAATATAAAGTTTAAAATCCCCGGATCTTAGGAAACAGGCCAATGATGATACATTTTCCAACCTCTTTTCAGTTATAGGGCAATTACGTAGACCGTTGCTTTAAGTACATCGCAAATGTATAGAAAATAGTTTAGTAGAAATAGCAACTAAAAAGTAGTTAAATTATAACTATAAATTAAAAAAAAAAATTATTCGGCGATTTCACTTTTTGCCAACTCTTCTAGTTGTGGGAGTCCCTCTCATTGACGAATATCCCGTCTTTTCTTCAACTATGCACCGCGCGGACCAGTGTCTGCGCAAAGTAGGAGCGCCGTTATAATACGCTACTTAGATAGAGTCCTGACATCCATGCTGGAGGGCTATCGCTAGGAGAATGTAACCAGACGCGAATTATGGTCTCTTAGTGTCACGAATACCGATTCCGAATCTTAATTCATGGTTAGCGAGGGAGCTTTCAATTCAAGGTAGCCGGTTGCTTTTATAGATAACTCACACTACAAAATTTGGGTTTTGATCTCCTTTAAGCTACTTTTGGCTCACTTTCCACTCCACCTTCCAAGGCGCCGTAGGGGATGAAAACAGAACCAGATCTATATCCTTTATAGGAAGTTAGCCATGGCACAATCCTAATATTGATGTGTCATTACCTTATATCTTAGGCCTCTTTCGTTTTTATTCTTATAGGCCAGGATAAAAGCTCCAATTCTTGCCCCGGTAAATAGATATAACTAAAGAGCTAGCATGATGATAGCCTTGAGTAATCCGGGAATAAACTGGCGATGATCGGCTTACCACATAGAGGACATCATTCAGAGAAAATGTTTCTCGGTAAAACTGTGGTCTGGATCCTCGACATTCTCAATCGTCCCTTCATTTACTATTAATGTTCTTCTTATCCACTATATTCCGGTCAGTCTAGCCAGCATTCCGGTACTTAGTGAGAGCTTATATTAAATATCTCGATCCGGTCTTCCTTCACAGTTTTGATTTATAACTATTCTTCAAATCCACCAAACAGCCTTTCCGCATAATTGAGAACCGATGTCATCACTGGCCGTCCATTTTTACTTTTTTTGCCTGGCGCAAAATGACAATACCAGCGAAGAAATTCTTTAATTAGTGCATGACCTAGAGTAGCATAGCCTGGCCCAATATAGTAGCCATTGATCCTATTTTGTTCATCAAATCTAAGAGAGCAAGTCAGGACCCCATATAGCGGGTACTTCTCACGTACAAGTGCATGGCAACTCACTTCATCTAAAGAAGGATAGCTTTATAATATATCCTCTTGGTTTTAGGTATTCTTTCATCTTTTTCTCGGATAGAGTCCTCGGCTGCATGAGCGCCAAAAACATCGCTCTCTGCCAGTTGCTTTCGGTACTTCCCGTTGGCGGCCTTATCTTGTTGAGCAAAGAAGAGCTTTCGGCCCATGACTAGAAACAAACTCGAAAAACGCCAGAAGATTTGGATAGAAGGAGAGATTAATATAGAAGACGAAGAAGAATTGTGTGAGGGCTTGAGGTGAGGGACATAGCTTCTATTTACACTTCAGTACTTAGACACAGATCTTAATAATCTGATGACCGAGAAAAGATTTTTGTTCTACGCCGTTGCATGGAAGATAGGACGACTGAGCCTTCCATTTTTGCGTCATCGTGCTTTAACGCGTGAGTTCAGACGTAAAACAGGATTGGAAGATGGAGCACCTCACAAAAGGGTATATGGTGGGAAATGAGGGCCATCAAGATATAATTACGAAACAAGAGCATGCTGCATGGTGGGGTCCGTGTGCTCTTTAGGTATGGACTGAGCGTAGACCGAGTGCTCAGTAGATGCCTCTGAGCAATCAGTGAGCAGTCAATCACAATGCCTGAGCACTCAGAGAGTGCTTTCCTAATCAATCATGTGATTGGCACTGAGCAGCTCACTGAGTCTGAGCCCGGACTGAAATTTACTCAGTGAGACTGACTCTGAGCTCCCTCATAAAAGCGGCGGCAACCAGGATAGGAAAGACCCACCCAGTAGAGGAAATATGGTACGTATAGCTACCTAGGTGCGAGCATTATGAATGGTTGCGTTGTTATATACGCCTGATGTATAGTCTTCTTAATCACTCAATACAAACCCCATCAAATCTTCCCAATTAAATGCACCCAAGAAAGGATCAATATCTCCAGGAGGCTAAAGATGAATTAGTACATCAGAAAATGAGAGTAAGACCTTGGGGTAGCCGCTTCAAGGAGTCCTAAGGGTATGGAGATGAGATAACTTACAGAGAAGCCAAGACTGGACGGAAGACCATCCATTTCAGTGGATATAACGTTCAAATCGGAAGTGGACAAGAAAGCAGCAACTTGGTTATTCGCGAAGCTGCCCATGCCGAGAGTGCCCAGGTGCTCGCAGGTAGCATGCCGAGAGAATAGTGTCTGTGCAAAGGACAACACTCGCTCGACTACCTGCAGCTTATGCATTTTTGCCTGGTCTGGCCAGAGCTTGGCTTTGACCAGGGCTTGGATGGTGGATAAGAAGAAATAATCCTTGGCTCCTTTCATCACGAGCAGGAATCGGTCTTCGAGGGAGAGCAGGGCTACTTCGACGAGTGACATCAGCGAGTTTGGAAGACCCGACAATGTGTGTAAGAGGAATGTGGAAGATAAGGAGTTTTGTAGATCAGCTGGGTATGAATTAGTGAGATTGTAGCTTATTCTAAGGTCGAGATAAAATACCACGGGTGCTGAAGGCGTGTAGGGCCTGGCAGACAGAAATGAACGAGTGCAGAGTCCATTCCCCAACCATACAGAGGGATAGTGCTTGTGAGGTTTCGTACATCCGCTTTTGTGTGGATAGAATCATAACAGCCGCGTCTAAACAGGACCGCGCAGACGGGGCAAAGAGCACCTCACGTCCGGCTTCGATCGCAAATGGTGTATGAACAGAGAGCAAGCTTTGTGCTAGCTTGGTCTCGATCATCGCCTTTCGTAAAATCACCTTTTGATGGGTCACAAGGTCGGCGTCCGTTGTATTCCATGTGGGAATTTGCGCGATATGCCGGCTCAATTCCCAATTTAGGCTCTGAATCTCCTCGTATCGACATCTGATGCGAGGGGAATGCATCAGATGACATACTTTCAGTCGAAGAGGGAGGGATTGCGCAAGAGTAGCCGAGAATGAACAATCAGTGATGTCGCCCCGGGGCCGATTCTCTGGGGCTTCCATAGAATCTTCTTGAAGCTCGTCGTCGTTGATATTTAATGCCGGAATGGTGTCATATTCTGAGACTTGAATTGATGGAGGAAGGCCCCGATCTATGGCAATCTGAAGATCCAGTTCCACAATGGTCATCCAAATCCGCCGTCGCATCTCCTTGTTGAACACAGAAATGTGGGCGTACTTGGCTGGATCGCGATGGTAGCCTGCCATCATCGCCGTTCTCACCAATTGGCCCGAAGCCATCCATGCCTGGCTGCGTTTCGCACCCTGAATATTTTGGGCTATGATCAGTAAGATATTGAGCCGAAGATTGTCGATACCAGCTCGCTTGACCTGTGTATTTTTAATCCACTTTTCGGCGTGTAATACCCACTCAACCGCTGTATAGCACTTGAGCAGCACTGGGCTCTTTTCTTGTAGGCTACTGATATCGCTCAGACTCCATGCAATTGAAAATACCAGCAACAGCTGAACAATCAAGGATGGTTTGATTAAAGAGGGGTTATTCACGTTGGACCAGAACAACTCAACTTCCTGAAGAAACGTTGGTACATGTAAGATGCGGCTGGTAGACTCAATGTAGGTCAAATATAAGCCGATAAGTTCGTCCGCCACTGCTCTGGATGGAAACAAAGCAACCAGTGAGGCTACAGTTGGATCTGGGAACGGCTCGCTTAACTTAAGCCTCCATAGGCCATGAGTGACTCGCTCCAATTCAGGTCGAACTCGCGATAGTATTGGATTAGATAACCTGATTTCCTCTGCGAATGGTCGAATATCTGGAAACTGACCAAGTCAGATTCATTTGGTCTTGGTCTTGCTGCTTTGAACATACCTGTGCTATTAATGTGGCAAAAATCCCCGACCCATTGAATCGAGTTTTGGTCTCACGGCCTCGTATAATAATTCGGGGGAGATATCCAGCTGCTGTGATGGAGAAAGCGGATAATATTCCTTCTCCTCCACCTGTGTGGATGTTCCTTGCTCTGGTAGATCTCTCCGTTGAAAGAAGCTAGGATTCACATATGGCTCCTGGCTTACAGCAGCCTTTGGAGCACCAAGAACCGTTTCCAAAAAGCCCCGCTCTTTATGTCGGTGAAAATTCCCATCTGTAGCTGGGCCCGGGCCGGACATTGTCGAAACAAGAGCGTCCGACCGAGTCGGCGGCACTACTAAGCCCGAATCCGGGGTACTCTGACGGGGCATTGCAGTATAAGAGGCGAATGCCGCTACATTTCTGTTGACCGCTACCGTGGTGGGCTGCTGCCATAAAAACCCATCTTCATAAGTACACTCGGTGGGTGTTCTGCTCTTCAGGCAGCGACTGCAGGATGGATATTCACGATCGCATTTCAATTTGCGACTTCGGCATTGTGTACATGCCATAGTACGGCGGCGCCTTTTACGCGGCCGGTTCTGTGTATAATTCACAGAGTCCATAATGGTTGTTGAGGGAATGAATACAAAAACCAGCTTACGTGGAAAAGGCCCGGCCTGCAGTACCTCGATGTGGTAAGTGTGTCCGGAGAACTACTTTGAGTAGTACTAATAGTAGTACTAACTGACAAGGGGAATTCTCGATCTTTTAATAGCGTCTTTCTCTCCACCATATTCCCGATGTTCCGGGAATAACATTGACTACGGGTATACTCTGTATAGTTGCCTTCATTTGAGCCTATCACTACCTGGGTATTAATAATCTAAGTAGAGTCTAAGATCTAGTGTATTTACGTCTACATATTCACTGTTCAGGAACTTCACATTCTATAATGAAAACAGGTGCCCTCATAGAGCCGGACTATTATATGAGCTGGCCAAGGATTCATCCAAGAAAGAAACTTAGAATAACCTATAGGTCATATCATCAGAGATCATCTCTTCAGTTTCGGTCATACCGAGCTACATGTCAAGTAATAACTTCGAAGCGCTGACTACTCCAATACTCCGTCCGAGCCTTACTCGGGCTCGGGCGTAACGGTCATCTCGGAGATAAGACCAGAATTAGATACATTTCTCTGACCTTTTGGATATTAAAAGGAGTTCACTTCTTCCATCTTCACATCAGCCATTACTCTCATCATGCTACGCTATCTTCTAGGTCGTCGGCCACAAGAATATATATTTCCAAAGGTGGACCCAGATCAAGATGGTCCAGACTGCTTGAAAGACTGTGCAGACTGTACTGCCCATTACCCATCCAACATCAAAATTGAATCCTCAACACAATTATACGGTAGAGTGAAAGAGTTTCACTCCCATGTCCTGATTGCTACAGGCCGTTCTGATTGGAAGCAAAATGTCGAATGGGAGAAAGGGAGTCTAATGGAGGCATTTGATCGGTCTTCAGCAAAGTCTGAACGAGGTGTATGTTTCTATATAAACTCCTTTCACTTACTCTGTAGCTGAAAAGTCACAGCGCTTCATGGTCTCAGCATCCAATATTCAACCGCCAGACCACCCTGTCTCTGAACCAGATAGTCCAACATCAGCTCTCATTCTACCATCTTTCACATACGTCGACAATGTCACTCAGACAGATGTACCAGACCTAGTGAAACGATATATCGACAACCATGATGAAGCCGGCAATGAGGATGTCACATCTACAGGCATGACCGTCCGACCTTGTGAATTAGACTACGTGATCCTATTGTGTTCACACAAACGCCGAGATGCACGCTGTGGAATCACAGCCCCGTTGATCAAACGCGAACTAGAACGTCATCTGCGACCATTGGGCTTGCAGCGCGACAGCGACGACTCACGCCCTGGTGGCGTAGGTGTCTTTTTCGTGTCGCATGTCGGAGGGCACAAATTCTCTGCAAATGTGCTTATTTATCGAAAGAAGGAGCAGCAGATGATTTGGTTGGCGCGTGTTCAACCCGGTCACTGTGAGGGTTTGGTCAAGTATACCCTATTGCAAGGGAAGGTCGTTGATCCTGAAACACAGTTGAGAGGTGGATTTGACAGAGAAAAGGGATTGACGAGCTGGTAATATCTCATATCTAAGTATGGATATTCAGACTATGGCATAAATTTCAGATTTGCATACCCAATATAAGCATTCTTACTTATTTCATGCGCGCCAGCCACTTCGGGGCTAAAAGTATACACTAGTCCGAACCAGTAGAATTAAAGAGAAATAGAGTCAAGATCCTTTTTTAGGGCCTTGGATAATCTAGACTTCGGTCAGGTAGTTAACGTCTTGAAATAGTATAGTTTTAGTCTGATTTGTGAAGTACTTGAACTATTTTAGTCTCGGGCCGAAACAAGTCACCGCGTTAATTGATTTCGCGTCGCGACTTCCATTTTTACCTTCCTCCTCATTACAATGGCAGACCACAACCTAACTAAAGCTGAGGTAGCAGATAAAGCTGTTGCTCTTCGTTCTAAATTGAAAATCTGGGAGAAAGAGTTCGCCTCGACCCACGGTGGGAAAAAGGCTAGTCGCGAGGACATTAAGCAGAACCCGGATATAGGTGAGCCAGCCACCACAGGAAGGATAAAGCGCATAGCATGAACTAATAGCCTTTCTTGTCTTCTCCTAGCCGGGAAATACAAGGAATACGGTCGTCTGAAAAATCTCGAGGCCGATCTGATCAGACGAGAGAACCGTCAGAACCGCCAACGCGAATCAGCAAACGCGCAATCTAAAAAGCGGAAAAATCAATCCCCAACCGGTCCAGATGGCTATTCTGATGCCACACCACGCAAGTCGGCCAAAGGCCTCTTAACGACACCCTCCCACAGCCGTACAAAGGGCCATCCCTCTCAACTGGACCCTTACGATTCGCCCTCTACCTTCAGGCGATTATTCAGCCCTAGCACACACCTCCCAGCCCCATCACCTCTGAAAGCTGCAATCGGACCGACGCCCCAGCGTGATGGAAAGGCACTGGGTCTATTCGATATGCTGTCCGAGTCGGGCGGAAGCAATGCGACACCCTCGGCGAAGAGAACCATGAATGCCCTTGGAGCCGCATTCCAAACTCCATCGAAACCGAAGACTTTTGATCCGATTGCTGAATTACCGGAGGAAGAATTAGAAGAAGAGGAGAAAACGCGACTTTCTCGCACACCTGCTTCCTCAACTAAACAATTCTACTTGGCAAACCTATTCGCAACCCCGACTACACTGCGTTACGCTGCCATGGTCGAGGCGGAAGACGAAACGGACACACATAACCAAACGCCCAAAGCCCTTACGGCCGTCCCCCCTGTCAATCAATCAGAAACACCATCTTTCCTGCGCCGCTTGAATCCAGGCCGCTACCCTGCGCCCACTACGAACAATGACACGTTAGGCCTCAGTCCCATCGCGTCGCGGAAACCGCGGCAATTCGCCGGCAGAGGCCTTTCACATCTCGTTCAGGGCTTACGGGCTATGGAGGAAGAGCGCTTGGAAGATGAATGGGATATCTTACGCGAAATTGAAGACGAGCAAGAGGCTATGAACTTCAATGTCCCCGAGACGCAGCCAGAAGAAAAGCCGTATAAGAAGAAGGGCCAGAAGCGAACGACTCGCCGAGTTATTATGCGGCCTGTGAAGCCTCAGCCTAAACCTCGCCCTGTTCCTACCGCGGCGCCTGTGGAAGTGTATGAAGATAGCGAGGACGAGTTGACCGCAGTGCCAGAGACACAACTACCAGAAAACCCCAGTGTTGAAAAAATTCAGAAGAAAAAAGTCGAAGATGACGCGTCCCCAGACGAATTCTCGGACTTTGATCCTGACCTTTTAGATTCAGATGATGACCCTGAGTTCAGCGATAAACCCCAGCCTGCGCCTAGAGCAAAGACCTTCTCTGAGCGCATCAAGGAAGCTGTCGGTATCAATCCTAAACCTAAACCCAAGGAACCCGTGCCAGAGCGTGTGTCGGAGGCGGAAGAGCAGAAGAAGAGTCGTCCTAGGAAGGTCAATCAGGAGGCTCATGCTAACTATCGGTCTTTGAAGATTCGGGGCAAAGCAACGAGTGCGGGGGCGCGTCCGAATGGACGGTTCCGACGAAGATAGAAAGACTCTTGATATTAACGACGTTACGACTGCATTGGTATGGGCTCGCGAATCTACATTTCAATATCATTAATTCAACTTGGTGTCTGTCCGAGACAATACAAACTATGGCCCTAATTATTCTAGTGTCAAAAATGTACCATAGATAGCCCTAGCTTCGCGCTGTTGCTCTGAACTACGAGGCTCCTATAAATAAGACTGATCGGCGTGAACTAAACGAAAATGGACATTGCTTGGTATATATAGCTCCCATGAGTCAGCTAGTGCAATCAGCCGCGTCAAAGTATCATTAATGCAGAACCTTGGAAATTGACCCCAAGCACGAAACACCGTTTGAGCGCGACTTCCAAGCCCATAGGGAAGAGAATGTGACGAGGCTCAGATCAATGCACCAGGGCAACTGGGCAGTATCTTCGCCATTTCCGGCTTCACTTTCACTTCCATTGTTGGGTTGTAGCTTGTCTGACGAACTGCTTCGAAGTCGTCAAACGACACGTTACTCCTTATGAATCCACTGGCCTTTTGACACACGAGAGTCAGCAAGCTTTTATAGCCTGGAGTAATCAATACTTTCTTTCTTGGGGCTTTTTCCTTCTGCCGGGCCATTCGCTGCCCGTTGTTCACGAAGTGCTGGATGGTTACGAGTAGGCTCTTCTCTAGTGAACACTGTATGAGACATAGAAATGATATATAAGTGTAATTAGAGGTGCCTTCGAGAGTGGAAGTGAGAGAGAAACATCCATGGGTCGTCTCAGTTTCACTTTCGCTCTGGTGCGTTTCTTCACTTCGAGCTGTTTTCGCATCAAGTATCGTCAGCATATCTTGATTGTACGAGAGTTCCTGGAGCTTGAATATTATACCTGTGCCTATTCTGATCTCATGGGATGACACGGGGATGCGTTTGCTCTTGGTCCATGAATGGCCGCTGTGAGTTGTGTGGCAGGATATGAAGGAATGGGTACTGGCGGGGAAGACATACAAAGAAACTGCTGATTACAAAGACCAGGGCTACTTTGATAGACAATTCAGATTGAAAAGAAACTCACTCGTTTCCTGGAACGATATAGGCTTAGTTGATAGATTTTATTGTTTGCTCTGTGCTCTTCCATCCTCACCAGTCTTAAATCTTCGATTTTGGAGGGCCCCGACTTATAGTGTGGAGATCCCAAGTTATTGATTACTTCGTGCATCTCTTCTTGAATGCAATGTCGACTGGTCCGGTCTCGAAACTCGTTCAAAAAGGCTCCTATCGTTGCCACCCTTTAGAGATACTCTACGGTGATGGGACTGCCCATTGTCGCGCCGTGAGCCCCGATTACCCCCGCTGTCTGAGCCTGGCATAGAAAAGTCCCTCCGTACATCAGATGCCGATAATTCTATAGGCGGTTCGGAAAGACTGTGATTGTAATTCTGTGGGGATGCACTGCGGCGAGGTTGTTCATAGTTTTGGGATGATCTACGCATACCCCGAATGGAGGAACTTCTCGAGGTATTTCGATACTGCACATGGCGATCCCAGTTTTCCAGGGATGTGTAGGGACTTCGAAGCCAGGCCAACAACTCATGCAAGAACAAGCGGGCATTTTCCCTTCCAAGAAAGTCCTTTAGTAACTCCTCTGCCTGTCCAGCACTGTCTTTAATATCCACTGTACGCAGAATCGCAATGATATATTCAAGTAGAAACTCGGCATTATTTGCCCGACGATTCTCCAGTCGTTGTTGTCCTGGGCGAGGCACATTGTTCAGAGACGTTTCATCTCTCTCAGGCTCAGGGTTCAAAAAGGAGAAGACTTGGAGCTCCCGACGAATCCATTTTCTAGCACGCGATACAAGTGCCTCGTCACGGTTGAAATATTCTGGGAGCACTTCATTATATTGCGAAAGGCGATTTGTTCCAACGCGCAGGGAATACAGCTGATTGGCATAAACATTGCGCCTCACTGATAAAGAATCACTCGGTAGTGGTGTTTGACGGGGAACAGGTCGTGGCCTGCTGGTACGTGCTCGTGGATGTGGAAATGATGAACGTTGGCCTTGACCTTTTACTGGCTCCGTGATAGGGACATTGTATGTCTTCGGACTTGGTGTTTTCAGGTCATATTGGACTGACTTGATTTGTGCGTTACCTATTTGATATTTCAAGTCAGACAAAGCTTGTTAAACGAGCCAACAAATAATAGTATTCGTACACAAAGGACAGTGAGGCCGTTGCTCTAGCCAGTTGATCAGGCATAGATAATCAAAGTTGGTATGATTACAAGGTTTAGCAACGGTAGGCTCTGTGATAGATTCAAGGCATATAACACATGGATTGCCCTCGGCATCTTCATTCACAACCTCATTAAGGGTTTTTTGAAGGACCTGTTGCAGATCTCTTGCCATGAGGAGTGCGGGGGACCAAAAGTTGAAGGCGGAGAATGTGCCGGGCTTATCGTCAATAAATCACACCGCCTAGTCCACCGTTATGCACACCGCCCGGTATAAAATAATATGACCGTTCTTTCCTTCGCGTTCCTGTTGCTTCCCCACTCATCTAGTATCTTCAAATATCGGTTTCGATAATTCCGGCTGCGGCTTGGGGCGAAACTGGAGCTCCCAATTCAAAAATAAAAACGCCATACCCATTTCCAGCTAATTTTAGGTGGGAAATACCCCACATGCGATCAGCGAGAGCTGTCGTTGGTGACAGCTGGGCGCATCGGGCCAGCGCAATGTCCCCAGCACGGATTTCTGTGGTAGCACCGGTCTCACCTGTCCCACGCAGCATCACCTCTCTCAAGCGTTGGTCGGTTGGGAACAAGCTCAAGCTCCCAGGTAGGACTCCTTGGCCACCAGCATCAGATCGAATGGACACTAATGTATCACTTGCCTAGATGTATCCTCAGTGAAGATAATCCATGTCTATGACTTTGACAATACCCGTAAGATATTGCCCCACGACCCATGAAGCCTCCAAAGCACTGACACACGAAATTCACAGTTTTCAAATCTCCCCTTCCCAACCCGAAGCTATGGCACACTTCTACCATTGGCCATCTCACGTCGGCAACTAGTTTTTCAGATGGAGGCTGGTGGCAGAATCCCAGAATGCTCTCAGCTGCTGGTGAAGGTATTGAGCGCGAAGAGGCCAGAGGATGGAAAGGTTGGTGGATCGAGGAAATTGTGAGTGTTACTGGTGCTGGGTGGTCTAAATGATATTTCGACTGACCTATCCAAGCTCGAATTGGTCAAACTCAGCATTGAGCAAAAGGACGTCCTCACAATTCTCCTCACTGGACGGTGTGAAGCTGACTTTTCCGACATTGTCAATCGGATGGTGAGAAGTCAAAAGCTGGATTTTGACATGGTAGTTCTCAAACCTGAAGTTGGCCCTAATAATGAACGTTTTCGATCGACAATGAACTTCAAGCAGCAATTTCTAGACGAAGTTCTTCTCACCTACGATGCGGCCGACGAAATCCGAATTTATGAGGACCGCCCTAACCAGTATGTTTCCATTGAGCTTCCCAAACAAGTTGCTAAAACTAACTCCATTTTAGCACGAAAGAATTTAGTGAATACCTGGAAAGTCGAAATCTGAAGTTCAAAAACTCCGGCAGAAAAGCGTTTAGCGGCGAAGTCGTTCAGGTGCCAGAAGAAGCACACTACCTCGATCCTGTGACTGAAGCTGCTGAGGTACAGCGTATGATCAATAATCATAATATGGCTCTTCGTATGGATGGAGGCACCCTCAGAACCCCATTTCGCGGAAACATTCACATGGAGTCCAAATTCTTTTTTTATGGATATATGATCTCTCATGAGGATACACTGAGGATCATCAAAGAACTTGTGATCCCAATGATGGACGGGCATTCTTCGAACGATTTTAAACTTATGGCCGACGTCATATTGATTTCATATGAGCCCGAAAAGGCCACTTTGGAGCAGGCCGGAGGCTTGGGAAGAAAACTAACTTGGCAGATCACAGACACAGCCATCGTCGATGATTCGTCGTTCTTGGCCCGGGTAGCCCCAGTTCCATCGACTGAGAACTACAAAGTCGAGAGTGAGGAGCCAATTCTTGTTTTGGCACGTCACCGACACTGTCAGGCAGATTATTTCCGAAACAAACCTCAGAACTGGACACCTATTCCATCTGAATTGCGCGAAAAACTGACCTTCCAAACCGTTGTTGGACAGAAAACCATTGCACGTATTGAAGATGAGCGTCGCCAGAACCCGCGCTACAGCGGAAATCAAAGTCGTCGCGGTGGTAACCGCCATGATTTCACTCATAATACATCGAACACAACTGATGATCGCATGGCGAATGAGTCTCCTGAGACTCATCTCAGTCATCATCGATACCATCCATATCAACAACGCCCGGCAGGGGATTTCGAGGATTCTTATCGAGGTACCTCCCGTGGTCGTGGCCGGGGCCGTGGCCGCGGGCGTGGGCCTCGAGGACGGGCTAATTCCTATCGTGGCCGTGGTCGTGGCCGTGGAAACTTCGACAGCGGTTCGATCAACTACTAGGTGAAATGAGGAGCAAAAATATCGATTAGGGAACTGTCGCCTCCTATATTCAACGACATGTTGCAGTCACTGGCACTGTCACCAACCTTATTATTACTAAAACAGCAATAAAATCGAATTAACTCGACTGGAACCGGGTCGGCTTGACATTTAAGGATGCGGGTCCCCCTGTCTCCGGCTGTGGGAGGCAACAGCTTTGTATTCTATTTTTCAGTGACATTTGCCGGGTCTTGTTAAGCATCGGCAACTCTTTGCGTGTTTCTTTATGTCACTGTAATCCTTTCCAGGATGGGTCAGTCATAAACATTGTAACATTAGCTAGTGCAGTTTCTCAACATATCATGACTTATGAGCATAAATGTCGTTTTATTAATTTAATGTCATATATTTCGAGAGATGGACTTCTTAGCCTGTATTTTCCAAGGTTATCTATCTTTAGTGATTGGTTGCTAGAATAGTGTTGCTATACAGGGTAGTAATTTGATATTTGTACGAAATCTTCTCGATATTGATATTTCGAAAAGATAATAAGACAGAGTGAATTAATCTCTCTTCAAGACTGATAGCTAGGTGAATGCAAGACTCCTTCCTAACAGAGAGAGAGAAAAGATCTTAGTCCTCTTGTATGTTCATGAGCCCAGATTGTCCAAACGTTATAAAAATTCCGATTCCATTTCCTCCCAATTTCCTTCCATTTCCCAAGTGAGAGCATTGTCTCACGTTTCATGTCCTACGAGCCTTGTTTCCGTGTGGCTCGTAAATATTATTCGTTTCCCATTCCAGATCTTGCGAAGACCTGATTTAAGTAGTTTGTCGTATCGGATGTCGAGTATGGATAAAAAAGATGCACAGTGTAGGGGATACATAAAAGCAGAGGCAACAATAAACATATGAAGTAAAAAGTAAACATAGGAGATGCAGTCCAGACCGTATCGATTACTCTTCATCTGTTAATTTCCTCATCATACGGATGCTGAGGATCATGACGAGTAGACCGATTGTCACACAGACTAAAAGGACAAAGCCAAACCAACCTAACACCATGGCTGAAGTGCCAACCCCGCTCTTGACGCTGCCATTGCCCATATCTTGAGCGATTGTGGTTGCTGCGACTGAAGCCGTGTGCTGCCATAATACAGAGACTAGAACAAACACCGAAGACACGAAGATGAGAGCAAGTGCAGCTTGGGAGACAGGTCGCGAGGGAAACGGCTTAACTTCAACGTCCGAACCGCTGTCGTCACGTTCCTCGTGCCAGCCGGGGAATGTCGCGAGGAGGATAAAGCAGAAGAAAGCGAGAATAACGGCCACAATGCTATTAAAGATGATAAAATTAGAATTAACGGGGTAACGAGTTGATGCTAGTCAGATGAGCAACTCACAGGAGATACGGGAACACAACTGCGTCCTTGAATGTCGATGCGATCCAAATCAGATTAAGTGGATCTTGATCGGCATTCACAACTTCAGCCAATGCAGTGGCATTGTTGTTACAAATGAACGCTCCGTTGTCAGGCTGAACACAGATACCAAAGTATCCAACACGCACCTCTAGCTCGGCATTACCGACAATGGTTGCTATGGGGGACACGACACTTGGGTCAACCTGTGACAAATCGAAGTTGGGTGCGTAGCTTTTGTAGTAGAGCGAGATTAAGAAGATGCTAGGGATTTGTGGAGACGATGAAGAGCATCCGGCCAAAAGCAGTGCTGTAAATGGTTAGACACATTCCGGACATAAACGTGGGTGACAGAAGCAAACTTACAGAGCAAAATGATTGCGACTGCGATAATGATCATCAGCACGTGGTGGTATCCGATCATAGGAATGAATCCTATTCTCAAGTTAGTAAAACCTCAATGTTTACTTGTCCGGGTTTGTCAACATACGGGCCCACCCTGCTGAGAAATTTGTAGGCATTGTGAGTATTAAAGACCCACGACTGGCCCACCTCTATCTCTTAAGTCAATAGACTCACTCCCCGGATCCCCGAGAAGGAGGAGCTGAAGCTCAACGGCCGAGGCAGATGACTGTCAATCCGCGTCGACGTCACGGTTTCGTACGAAATGTGGAGAGAATTGCGGAAGGTGGAGAGCGAGTTAATAGTCGAACAGGTTCTGGTCGCACGATCAAGTTTTGGAAGTATGGAAAACAATTGAAAATTTGGTGTTTTGTTTTGATTCGAGTCGCGCCTACAAGCCTCAAGATCAAGTCAGATATTCTCGAAGTAATTCTCGAAGTACTGATGTAGTACAACAGCGACGAGTTTTTGGCGGGATTAGAGGAATGTGTGTGGAAAGAATGGAAAGGGAGAAGGAAAATTGCGGCTGGTCTCAACTCACTAAACGGTCAAAGTTCGATCGCGTCAAGGGTTATGGGAGGCTGGGAATGAGATGAAGTACTGGAATCTGGGAGGCTGGGCCAACCGTCTTTGTTTACTCTACCGCTTCCTAGGTAACCATCCCTGACCGCCCTCTAGCTCAAGTGTAGAATCTGCAAAGGATCGCGGCATAAAACATACACTAAACTGTATCAGGCTTAGTTTCTACTGATTAAGTTCTAAGCTCCACCAACAATTTAAGCCCACCCTCCACGCCCTGACGTTGGTGTACAGATCCCACGTTTTAAGGCCGATAAACACATGGCTATTCATATATCTTAATGATCTATTTGATGACACCGCAAGGATAACTTTAATAACATGATATCCGCTCCAAGACAATAACTAGTGACCGAAACCTCTAGGTGGCCTCCAAACTAACCTGAGGCTAACCTGAGGCTAACCTGGGGCCAAGATGTATGCCCAGAGTGACTGTATTCCTTCTAATACTCCATATCCCCAAACCCTAAAATGCCGATCGCAGAACTGCTTATTTAGCAGCGAACGAGAAACGCTTCAAATCCAAAGTCGATGTTTGCTCGGTTGTATCGAGCTCTTCCTCATCTTCACTGTCAGGAACTATATGGTCTTCGCTACCTTGTGCGACAGGAGTTGGCTTGGTATCAGGGAGTTCTTTAGTCTGAGAGTCGATCTGTCGAAGTTTGGTTGGGAAACTGATGGTATGAGCCCGACTCAGTGCTGTCTGTCCAAGACGCTGTAGAGGTGTCAGGCGCGAATGTTGACCCAAATGGGTCTTGATTTGGGCACCCCTGCTTGGAGTCCTGGGTGAGACAGAAACTGGCTTGTCATTGGACGAAACCATGGGAATTCCAGATTCAGACCCAGAAGCTTCGGCGCTCATCCTCGCCTTAAAGGTGAACTTGGAAAGAACAGTAGATTTCTGTGGCTTGACATTGTACTGAAGGGCTTGGTTGAACTCCGTAGCATTTGTAGAATCAGGGTCCTCTGATTGTGGTACCGCGATATTATCAGAATGGATCTCGGACCCACTCACCTCAGTGGGGGCATCATGGCGGCTAGTTGCATGAGTCCCCACCGATTCAACACTAGACTGGGATTCAGAAATGCCCGAGAATATTTCCTCAGCCACCTCATCTGAGAAGACGTCCAACATTGACTTGCGTTGTTTCTTGGTCCGCAAGACTTTCTGTCCAGTAGGGCTATCTGTGAGGGTATTGCAAAAGAACCTACTGCGGGCTTCTGAACGAGCGGGTAGAGCATCATCATCGGCTTCGGAGCAAAGTCGTTGTCTTTTCCAAGGTTGCGATTGTTGAGACGCCCTGGCAGCATGTGCCAGAGATGTGTTCCTTTCAACACTTCGGATCATAGGGCTGAGACCCTGGTCAGAGAAGGCCCGGAATGGAGTCGACATTCTCGCGCTGGAGTTCGAGAGAAAGGGAACCGAGTCTGGCTGCCAGGAATTGTTCGCATTGCGCTCCAGAAGTGATTGCTGGCTTGGCGACGGAGTGAGGGTGTTGGGATCCAGCTCGGCTAGAGGCTGCCTCTTCGGGGTGAAAAACGTATTGATGGGCTTGCGGGGCTTTAGCTCTGACGACGAACCCAATGTCTGGCGGCGAGTAAGACCCAGGAGATGTTTACCTTGAGTTAAAGGTTGTTTCAACAGAATGATTTCCTTTGTCATAGGATCCAAATCACCACAAGCAACACCTACTGCTATTGCTGCCTCCACATCCGCCCCGATGAAGGGCATTTCCTCCAGATTGACGCCTTCCTCTGGTACAGTCAAAGTCACAAGCTTTTTGGCTTCGGGGCAGAAGACCCGTTGGTAAATGAATGTATGTTCAGCTTGCATGAAATTCGCAAGGTAGCCATCTGGAATTTTATACTGTCCATCAAACTTGAGCATCTGAAGGACCCTCTCCACAGTTTTGTACTTCCGAATGCTTCGGTAGGCAGTCTTTAGACCCATCTTGGGAATGTTGGCCAGATAGTCGCATCCGCTGAGAATGCACATGTGCCGAAAGTCTGCATCGCTCCATCCAACTAGACTAACATCCCGACAAGCGGTAAAGTCAGCTCTGTTTATCTCAATGCAGTCGCCGTGTTGATCCAGCTTCGACAAAAGACGTTTCGCTCCAAAGACCAACAAGTCCGAATCCTCGGAAATGATACCATCCACGATTCCCAGTTGTTCCAAATACACCATCTGGGGATCTGCTTCATAAGGTGCCACCACATATTGAACATTCATTTTCTTCAGTTCTTCGATCAATTGACGAGCCATGTAGGGTGTCACATCGACCGCCTTTTGGAACTCCTGGTATGCTTCCGTAATTCTACCCTTTCGTTGCAACTCGAGACCGAGAGACTTGCTCTCTTGGCGACGGAGGTGTCGTTCTTGCTCGGTCCCTGCTTTGCTGGGCAAATTGTCGCCATCGAATACAAGGTAGGGTTTTACTCCGAAAAAAAGCAGCATGCGCACTCGATGTAGGACGAAATCAATGTGCCTAACAAGGAAGAAGTTAAGTGAGTGATGTTCCCAATGATGACATCTATACAAGTACTTACTTTCGCGTTTGTTTCTCCAGGACTAAATCCACAGAACAGGCAACTGTGCCTCGATGTAACCATCCATAGGCGTCGATAGCAAGAGTCTGACCATCAAAACTTTTAATATGACATGGTTTCTGGATGGACTTGAGAAGACCGTGCAACCCTGTAACAATGTTAGCCTTACACTCTCCAGTCTCCCTTTCGTTGACGGGCCAAAAACTGACCCTTGATACCCATTGTAAACAGTGATGTACAAGATGGGTCCACCTATTTACTCGTTCATATAGAGCATGCAAAACCAATTTGCAAGACTCAAAGAGTAGCAACAATAAACATGAGGTAAAGATGGAATACTATACGAGGCCTAACGAGTAAATAACCCCATGGCAGGTGCAGGAATGTTTGATCTCGTTTGTTCCTGCTAGACGCGAAGACGCGATTTGGTTTGGAGAAGGCGGTGACTTTTATCGTTGACCGCTTTGGCCTGCCATCCGTAAAAAAAATAATATTTCTAAATTGCGGGCAGTCCATATTTCAGCCTACGATTCAATCATGCCTGTCACACTTACAAAAGTGCACAAGCACATCTCTAAGAAGCGTGGCAAGGTTGAAGCCCTCCATGAGTTCAGTCGAGATGCTCGACGGTTACGCCGTGCTGGTGCCCGAGATGACCGAGTGGCTTCCTCTAATACGACTACAATGAAGGCTCGCCAGCCATACAGTAAGTGGACGGATGTACACAGACACTGGGCCACAATACTGAACTATAACAGTGGACCGGATTGATTACTTCCACGACGCTGTTGCGTCCCTCGAGGAACCCTTATCTGATTCAGAAATGGCTGAATTGGTCCAGCAGTATGTTCACCAACGCATATCTTTGAAAACTTGACTAACACCATACAGATGCATCAATAGAGATGTGGAGGAGATTGAACAGCTCAAAAAAGAACAACGCAAAGGTCGCCCTCCCACTCGCCGACAAGAGGCCCTGACACAGAGGACACAGACAGAAGAGAAAGAATTTAAGACTGGTTTCTGGATGCCGGACTTAACTGATGCCTCTGTACTTGTGGCGTTGAAGAAGTGGAATGCACAATGGTCAGGTCTCAGTCAAATGAAGTTCATGCGACTGCTACAGTCTGGAGAGAAGAAAGCCTCAAGTTTCCCGCCCAATGGCATGTCATGATAACGGATGTTCTATATTTTCTATACTTGTTACTCTTCTCTCGAGAGGATCATTGGCGCAATATGGCGGTACATAAGACATTTATATCCATTAGTTTCTCTAAAAGCATTCAAGACTCGTTCACTGTTCATTCATTACATTCAAAAATCCAAATCAAACAAAGATATTTCATGAAATAGCGGCAGATCTTCTACTCAAATTTGGCGGTACCAGAAATGGGCAGGTCTTGGCATTAACATCATCGGTCTAGCTCGGCTTCTCTTTTCTAGCTCTTTCCTTCTCATCCAACAACATCAATCCATCCACATTCATAATGCTTTCACTTCGTGCTATCTCGCGCTCAGTCCCGCGCTTCTCGCGCTCAATTGCCCGCACCTCCTTGCGCCCGGCTATTCTCCCCAAGCCCACTATTATTCAGCCCTTCAAGCAGGCTATTAAGCCTTCATACGCTGCATTTTCGACTGCCAGTGTCTTCAGAGATCCTGCTACCGACAGTGAGTCACCCACATACAAAAAGCAGCAATGCGAAATCCCATTTCTATGGAGAGAAACGAAACTGATAATTTTCTATTTTTTTTTAGGTGATCTTGAGCTTCTGGCTAAGCTTGGCGAGGAGGTCCAGCATGAAAAGGCATCCGGTTCCGATGATGCACGGGAACAAAAGGCTAACATTGACTTCGCTCTGAAGGCTGGCCAGTGGGAGGTTAAGGATATTGAGGGTGAGCAAGAAGTCGTTCTGACCAAGAAATTTGAAAATGAGACGTACGTTCATCAATTTCCTTTGAGTTTTGCTCTGAGTTTTTTCGGTTGGCAATGGCTTATCTTAAATTAACTAGACTCCGTGTCACCTTCACCGTTGCTGATATTAACAATCTCTCCGAGGACGCCATGGACGACCTCACTGACGACGCTCTGGGTGATGAGGGCGAATTGAGCGGCCAGTCCGCAGAGACCGAGGAAGGCTTGGCTCCCAGCTTCCCTGCTCGTCTTAACGTCACTATTGAGAAGGCCAACAGCGGTGCTCTGCTGATCCAAGCTGTCACCCAGGACGGCGACCTCCAGATCGAGGAGATCTCCCACTACAAGGACGCAGAGATCGCCAAGGCTCACACCGCTGAGAAGGATTGGTCTCGCCAAAGCCTCTACGCTGGTCCTCCCGCTGAGAACCTTGACCCCGAACTTCTCGCTTTCTGGGGTCGCTACCTTGAGGAGCGTGGAATTAATGTTGAGTTCCAGAGCATGGTCATCGACTTCATCGCCTACAAAGAGCAGAAGGAGTACATTCGCTGGTTGGAGAGTAAGCTTTTTTTTTACATTTGCAATATGTTCCAGAGAACCGTCGCTGACCAGTCTATCTTCCTAGGCGTCCAAAAGTTCATTGCTGCTTAAGTGATAAATTCCCATATTTTCACGTGCTCAACTCTCGTGATTGGAAGCCCTCGAGCCACCAATTTGTGGCTTATGGGGCTATTCATCTCGTTTCCTTTCAACCACTCTCCTCTTTGTTTTTAATGAAACCCCAAGTTAAACGGTTTGTTACGGTGTTAGTCACCTGTAAGGCCGCATATGTACTATTATCCCAAATATATCACCGTCTAAGAAGCTTGATCTAGCCAGAAAGCTCTTTTCACACTCCGTATAACTCACGATTTCAAGGTGCATCTCCTGACACCTGCGCCAACCTCGCGTGATTTTCTTCCAGACTGGATGAACTAGTATTAAAATACCTACGCCCGAAAGAAAGTTCAAAGGTTGGAATGTAGTATTGTAGTATATTGAAAATATGAACTCGTTTCAAACCAGAAACAACAGGCCATAACGTCATGATATGAATTGACGTGCAACCTTTGAAGCTTAGAACTCCATGGGATCAGCCTTCACAGGCGGTGCAGTCTCGTCTCTTTCACGCTTAGATACTCGTTCTCCCTTGAGCAAACCTGCAATAAAGGACCGGAAGTGGTCAATATATGGCTTCAGGCTGGTCTTTTCGTAATCCTGGAGCTTGCGAGCACCCCTTATGTCCGACCCCAGTGCGCTACCTTCTACATCAACGGTCTCCGCCTCTGCAGTGACAGGATGCTTCGCATCGTACGCATCAATCTCGTCCAACAATTCCGTCACAGTAGGAACAGTTAGGGGGTCAAACTCGTCGGCTTTCTGAGGATCGATAGGGACACAAATTCGGCCCGTGCCAGGATGGATAACAAATGGACTCTTCAGCAAATGGATCATTTTCTTGCTAACTTCGGCATCAAGACGTGGGTAGGTATATTCTAGCACAATGTCCACCTTCGCATCACGGAGTGCGGTGGTATTCAACGTGCTGCTTTTTCCCGTCTTCGCCAGTGCATCGATATCGGCCCATTTGCTTGTGCTGGGACGATCTGGAGATGAGTCCCACTTCTTTCGCAAGGCCTCGTTCAAAGACTTATCAGGTAGTAATGTAAGTAATCGTTCTACCTGATCTGCGTTCACAAACGTATCTTGGTCTATCAGAGTAGTTTGGCCAAAATGGCTCTTCAGGATGTCGAGGCTTCGTGCGATGTGGGGATGGAGTGGTCGCTTGAGATTCACCCGTTTGCCGCTTTGTGACCCACCTTTGAGAATTTCGAGATATCCAGCAATAGCTCTGCGGCGATCATCGGGCATGTTACGCGCTCGGGGATCACAAACCCACGCGTGGGCACCACGACGACCGGAGTATACCCAGAGAATATGTTCGAATCCAAAGTCCTCACGCAAGGCAACATCAATGACCTTGATAGCCATAGTCACAAATGCCCAGCATTTGTGACAAATGCTAGCTCCCTTACAGCATGATCTAATATCGTCGTAATCTGTCATATCGATATCGAAGACAAGTTCTTTTGAAATTGGTTTCATCTGACCACCTCGAATAGTTTTGCGATCCCGCGGGTTCGTGGTATAAACGGGTCCAATTTCGAATCGAGATGGATTCATTCTGAGGATGTCCTTTTTGAATCTATAATCGACCGAATCAGTTAATTCGCCCGCCCTGCAGCATACCATGCGGAGTCTTACAAATCTGAGGTTGGGTAAGATTGGTATCTTAGATAGGCGTCATTTTGAAGAGTTAGTGCAAATTCACGATTGCCAAAGTCTTTGGTGGGCACAACGCCGTGGTTCAACCATTGAAACAGGTATCGGAATGGGAAAAGACGCTGATAAAATTGAAGCATAACGTCTGTATCCACGCCAGATGGGGCTCGTGAGGGAGCACTAGAGCATCATGGTTAGTATCTCAGCCATTGGTCATTTACAGCGTTGATAAAGCTTACGCTGCCGGTGCAGGCGCTGGGGAACTCTCCATCTTCATCTTCACGTCCCGTGAGGAAGCCGGAAACTCGTCGTTTTCATCATCGTCAAACATATCCTCCAACTTGACACCATTATCCGTTGAGGCATCTGGAAGCATTTCTTCGTCATTCCGACTAGGAGAAGCCTCGGGTGGTATTGAGTGTGGCATTGTGGGCAGCTGATGTATAGATTTGGTCAAGGGAAGCAGTAGACGCGTTAACGCGACTAGCCACGTGACTTGGTGATTTAGGCGGTGTGCCAATCCAACTTGCCGGATAAGGACGACGTGTCTCTAACTCAGGGCAAGGAACGCAGACCTGAATCTTCAGGAAAAACTTTCTGCAGTCAGCCTGAGTCAGGTACCTGCCGCTTGCAGTCACATCTCTGATGAGTTAGATCTGAGAACTGCAAAATTTGCCTGTTGTACCTACCCTCCAGATTCTTCGGCCAATCTTGCTGTCATTAGGACCCACTGGTTAACAACAACCTGCCCAAGCATAGGAACAGTGCCACTTGCCAATTCCCAAAAGTTCAATATCTGCTTGACACTTAACCGAATTCAGAAAATGATTGTAGCTACCAAGGTCTGAGTCTAATTTTCATTCATGGAGTAAAATCCAATCCGACGCTAAATTTGGATCTCCTCGTCATGGACTGACAGCATATGTGCCACTCCAACGAGTGCTCACTGTCACTGACGAACTCTATGTTCTCTAGATTACATGATATTTGGCTGAAAGAGATATCCACATCCCGCATACATTCCTTCAAGCGGTTGTAGCCAATTGAAATCAATCTGCAATCAACCAATATGGTCTACATTCCTGAACGCCGAAGGGGATCCTCCGATTGGCACACTGAACATCTGCTATCCTTTCGATTCGCCCTTTTCTCTCGATAGCTTTTCATGATTGGCAAGCATCGGGATCCCTTCCAGACAGTTTGGCTCGCGGTGACCGCCCAAGCCCTAATTTTATTTCCCCTCAGTCTCCAATCCGCATTCGGCGCCACAACGTACATTGCCATGGTGCCTTATCTAAGTAAATGCTTTGATTTTCCCATCACTCTTTCATAGACAGGGCAAGATCTAAATGAACTTTTCTGCAGCTGACTTGATATTTATTTTTGAAGTATAGTATAGAGTACATGCCTGTCAGCTGCTTGGAATGTTAAATTTCCTCCATATCACTTACAGTTCTTCTAGATTGGTCTATAATGCGGCCATCCCTACTCCATGTGCTTTTTCCGCATTAGGCCTACTGTGGAGCTCGGATGGATGTCCGACTGAAATGAAACTACACCATGTTACGTTTGCATCTTCATCGACCAGATAGATGTATCATTGCTCGGAATTTTCATCCTATGGCCGTACCCCAGGTGCCTTTGTCATCCACGGTTGAACTGTCAGTACCTGCTTTCAGCCATAGTTAGCAGCTTGTGGATCAGGCCAATTGAACTTTCTCTGTGTTGTGCACAACTGTGGCAGCCATCTTCGTCATGACTTGATAGAACTTCCATTCCAAAAAGCATTTAAACAAGATGATTTCTGCCTCCAGTCAGTTCTTCATCTCTTAATCATCTACAGCTTTCACTCGTTTTCTAAGTTTCTTCAAGGCAATTCCTGTTTTAAATTCTCGAAATGGTCAACTCTTTTGCTCTTTTGGCTCTCGCCAGCCCGGCTCTTGCTGGTGTCATCGCTCGTGGTGAAGACTTGATCCACCCTGCTTCTGCCAGCTCTGCTGTTTCCGTTGCTCCTGCTCCTGCTGCCGACAACTGGGGTGAAACCTGGTCTAAGACTGCTGAGCACGCTGAAACCTGGTCTACTCCTTGCACCACCAGCACCACTAGCACCAAGCCTACCACCACTAGCCATGCTACCACCACCACCCCAGTGACCACTCACCACCATGAGACCACTAGTACTCCGGTGACTACTCACCACCATGAGACCACCAGCAGCGCGTCGACCAGCCCTTGCACCACCAAGAGCAAGGTCACTCCTCCTCCTGAGTCCAAGACCAAGACCAAGCCCGTGGAGACCAAGACTAAGCCCACTCCTCCTCCTGAGTCCAAGACCAAGACCAAGCCTGTGGAAACCAAGACCAAGCCCACCACTGAGTCTAAGGTCAAGACCAAGGCCACTTCTACCCCTTGCACCACCAAGAGCAAGGTCACTCCTCCTCCTGAGTCCAAGACCAAGACCAAGCCTGTGGAAACCAAGACCAAGCCCACCACTGAGTCTAAGGTCAAGACCAAGGCCACTTCTACCCCTTGCACCACCAAGAGCAAGGTCACTCCTCCTCCTGAGTCCAAGACCAAGACCAAGCCTGTAGAGAGCAAGACTAAGCCCACTCCTCCTGAGTCCAAGACTAAGACCAAGCCTATCGAGTCCAAGACCAAGACCAAGCCCGTGGAGACCAAGACTAAGCCCACTCCTCCTCCTGAGTCCAAGACTAAGACCAAGCCTATCGAGTCCAAGACCAAGGTCAAGCCCTCCTCTGAGGTCAAGACCCACACTGAGGTCAAGACTAAGCCATCTCACACTGTTGTGAAGCCTGGCACCACCAGCGTGGTGACCTACGTGACCACTACGTGCCCTGGTAAGTCTCCACCCACTTTTGAACTTATTGATCACGCTATTAACATGCTCTATAGTCACCTCCATTGTTGTTACCTCTGGCAGCAAGACCTATACTGTGCCCATCACTGAGACCAGCACCATCACTCTTACCAAGGCCACTTCCCTTATCAAGGAGAAGCCAGTCACCGGTTTCAACACCACCGTCACTGCCACTCCGGGCCCCACTGCCCCAGTTGTCATCCCCGGCACCACTCACATTGTCCCCGGCACTACCATCGTTAACCCCGGATCTTCTGCTGTTGTTGTCCCCGGCACCACTGTTGTTGTCCCTGGTTCCACTGCCGTTGAGACTGAGCCTGCTGCCACTCACCCCGCCGAGACTGAGCCTGCTGCCACTCACCCCGCCGAGACTGAGCCTGCTTCTCCTGCTGAGACTAAGCCTGCCTCTCCTGCTGGTTCCTCCACTCCCGCTGGGTCCGAACCCGCCGGCTCTCACCCCGGTGAGTCCGAGCCTGCTTCTCCTGCTGGTTCTTCTACTCCCGCTGGGTCCGAACCCGCCGTCTCTCACCCCGGCTCGACCACAGGCTCCAGCACCTTCACTGGTGTTGCTTCTAACGTCAAGCCTGCCGTTGGTTTACTTGCTGCTGTTGTCGGCGCTTTTGCCCTTCTGTAAATCAGCATTGAGCCATGGGAGGATGGTAGTCTCACTTTGACAGCTGTGATTCGCCTCCTACTCCCAAGTACCCATTCTACCTTGTTTCTAGCTATCTTCGTGGTGCAGATATTGAAATAAGCGTCTTGGGGAATCCATTTCTTTTGTTGTTGTTTTTTGTGCTTCATTTGGCTCTTGGTCGATAAAAGAGGCCCGCTTGTTCTTCTTCCACTTTGATGGTGACGAGTTGCTTGGTCATTTCGAGAATTTTTTTTTCCTTGCCTAAAATAATACGTTAATAATAATACACAAAGTTTTTCTATTTTTCAATTGATCTATCTTCCTGAGTTTAGCACCGGTATCATATTAAGTAACTCCAAATACTCTAAGTAATTGACTCGCACTTGGTAAAATAAAACCATCAAGAAGTCATCGCTTATCCCTTAGTCATTTCTAAATGAACTTTTGATTTGGTTTTTACATTACATTTTCCAATGTTATTTAGTTAAAAACACCCACTCGTTTCATGAGACCTACTAAGATAACACGGATTATGATACTTTGATGTAGGTTTACAAAGTTCTTGAAGCTATCCATCGTGATACAAGCATCCAAGGCATCTATCTACCTACATAGTTATTTATTCTGTAGCTGAGTTTCACTTAGTCTTGCTAGATGATTCCGACATCTGAATGTTTTAAAGCTATCTTGAAGCTTTTTGGACAAGCAAACACTTGAGACGTAAATAAATACATGCCTATGTAGATAGATAGGGAGCCCGTAAGCCTTTCAGATAACCTTCGAACAGCCTTGGAATCTACGTTATAGTTCATAAGTTTGTACACACACGGGAATTAGCCCCACCCCAAATATATATAATTACTTCAACCACCTATTTATATCTACACCAATATTATAGCTATAGCTGTATAATATATATTTATATAGGCAAATGACAGAAGAATTGGATTTTATTCCACATTTAGTATACTCTTCCCTAGAATTACGTACAGCGGCTAATCTATATGGCATAGACCTAATTAGGCTACTAATCGTCGCCTGTGGAATGGCATCTCAAGCTTCGCAAATACAGGCCTTGAAATAAGCACAATCAGCTGCAGTTTGGCCCATTTCGACCAATTCGGGGTGTAAATTTATTAATCTACACTTTAGAAGATACCAACATGGTTCGATCGGGCTCATATCAGGTGATCGTGCAGACCATTTTTCAAGACGAATCATCTAACGTCGAAACCACCCTCCTGCTTCCTTTGATGTATGGATTTTAGCATTATCCTACTGAAATATATCAGCATCCTTATAGTGTGGTATAAAGCCCTTTTCTAGGGGTTTAATATAGGATTTACTAGTAAATCCTTTACCTTTAGACCTCGAATCACGCTCCATAACAACCAACTTTGAACAACCACCAATCCATACACACCCGTACCATCTGCGAAATGTCCTTCACATGGGCTTCAAAGTTGACAAATTGACTTAAATAAGTCTCTAATTTCAATATCCAAGCCCACTGGATATCAGAATTTGATGTACTTTGAACCGAACATTCGTCCAAGAAGATCCATTTCTTCCAATCCACATCCTGACGCCATTTTTGAGCGAATTCAAGTTTGTCTTTTGTAAGACGAGGGTCAAGAGGGATCTTATTCTTTTGAAGTCATTTAGGTAGGTGATAAGCCTTAAAGATTTTCTGTAATGTTGATTGGGAGGGGTGAAAATCGGTATTTGTGGCAAGTCGCCTATAGCTCTAGAATGGTTGTTGACGCGCCTTTAAATAAATCCAACGTCTGGCGGCTCTATTATGTATAGGCGGACGTCCAATTAGAGGGCGAGATTCAAGCCTTTTGGTGGCTTCATAGTGATCTCGAGTATTATAGATTGTATTGCGGGAGCAGCCATAGATAGCAGCAGGTTTAGAGGGCGATACACCATTCTTAAGGCTAGAGATAATTCCAGAGCATTGTTCAGTAGAAAGCTCTTGATTTCTACCATGGTTTCCACTAGTTTCTGTGTCAAATAGAGCTTTTGTTAGTAAAATAAATGAAAATTAAAAAAAGTGGGTGTAGACGACGAAAAAAAGCGCTACAACGCGAGTGTGAACAGACTTTTGACCCATTATGTACTATCTAGGTAATCATGTACCTTCAAAAAAATACATTAATACATAGGTACTAAATTAAAATTGTTCAAAAAAGTATATTCGAATATCAACACGAATCATATTTCCAGGCACTATGTCTTGGGCGAATCTATTCCAAGACAACTTTTATAATCTTTCAACAATGCCAAACATAGATGCAACAACCCTTCCTTGTACAATCAGGGGAATCAGGCGGGGGGATTCTCTACCGCAAGCCCTGAAGCTCCTGCTCAACTTCAGCTTTCACAATCTCACGTACACCCTCCCAGCCAACACCTTGGCCAACAGAGGTAGCTCTGCTTTCCCGCTTGTCGAGGCCAACGATGTCTTCGGGGAGAATGCTGGTAAAGTCATAGCCGTCCTTGGAGCGCAATGCCAGGTCAACAGCACTAGCAAACTTGGCGGGGTGGGCTGTGGAAAGAGTGACGTGGTAGACGCCTGGGTTGCGCTCGGCGGAGCGACGGGAGGCAGTCACACCAATGGCAGTGTGCGGGTCGAGGATGTAGCCACCGTTGCTACCCTTGGCACTGCCGGTGGTGATGTTGGTGGGGAAGCTGGTCTCGTAGGTGTGGCGGATTTCTTGGATGGTTTCGTCGTTGCTGACGCGCTCGCTCTCGAATTCGGCCTTGGCTGCCTCGAGGACGGCACTAGGCACTTGGAAGCCGCCTTGTGTCTTCAGGTCGTTCAACCAGGTGGAGACGTGCTCGCAAGCGTGCTTACGGCGCTCCTCAATGGTTGAGGCGCTGTCGGTTTGGAATGCTAGGAACCAGAGCAGACGCTCGAAGTTGCTGCTGACCAGAATGTCCATGGCTGGGCTGTGGGTTTCTTTCACTGAGGCGGTCTCCTCGTTGAGGGCCTTCTTGGTGTATTGGCCTCCGCTGCGGAAGAAGCGGTCCAAGATGTCGTTCTCGTTGGTGGCGATAACCAGCTTGTCAGCGGGTAGACCCATCTGCTTAGCGAACCAGCCAGCCAGGATGTCACCAAAGTTACCGGAGGGCACGACAACGCGCACCTTAGAATCCTTGGCATAGCTGGGCGATTTGATGAGGGAGAAGTAAGAGTGGAAGTAGTAGGTGATCTGAGCCAAAATTCTAGCCCAGTTGATCGAGTTGACGCTATACAAGTCAGTATTTCGTGAAAGTGACCATTGCATACTCAGTATTACTTACGCAGCAATGTTGTGGGTGGAATTGAGGTCGGCGTCGGCAAAAAGTGCCTTGACGATGTCCTGGCAATCATCGAAGGAGCCCTTAACCTTGAGGTTGTGCACATTGGCATCGAGCACAGTGCACATCTGGGCCTCCTGGATAGGTGAAACCTTGCCATCGGGGAAGAGGATGAAAACCGAGCAGTCCTTCTTACCACGCAGACCATAGATGGCTGCTGAGCCAGTGTCTCCACTTGTGGCGCCGACAACAGTCTGAAGAACAAGTCAGAAATATTTCCTAACATCGTATCAACTATACAGGGCTAAATATCATACCAAATGATGTCTATCTTTGCCAGTCTTGCCCTTGTTCTTGCGAACAAGGAAGTATTCAAAGAGATTGCCCAGATTTTGGAGGGCAACATCCTTGAATGCGTGTGTAGGGCCGTGGAATAGTTCGAGGAGGTGGATCTTCGACTGTGAATCCAATTCAACTAGAGGAGTGCGATCCTGGTGGCGAAATGTGGCATAAGAGCGATTGATGATATCCTTAAGATCGGTGGAGGGAATTTCGTCTTGGGAGATGTACAGAGACATGATTTCGAAGGCGAGGTCCTCGAAAGACAGATCGCGCCAGGATGACTCCCATCCAGCAGGCAGAGTAGGGATCTGCTCGGGGATGAACAGGCCTCCATCGGAAGCGAGTCCCTTAAGAACTACCTCCTCAAAACCGAGCTGTAAAATGAAAAATATCGTATAAGTAGTCTGATATGCGGGCAGATGTGCCACCCCACTTCCTGCGGTTGTATGTACTTACACCATACTCGGCACCGCGGGTGCTCAAGTATCTTTGTGAGAGAGTTGGAGACATGGTGTATTTAGAAAATAGCTCAATTGAACTCTGACTAAGTGACAAACGAAGGGGAAGAATCGAGATGGCGATGAATCACCCGCCGTTCTAATGTAGACTAGCGCCTCCGAAAGCGGCGTCACGTGTAGATCGATTGGCTGATCTAACTTTAATTTCTTCTATTTTCGTCTCGACTACTCCGTATTGTGTACTTAATACATTCCTTCATTCCTTCTTCAATGCTTACTCCTCATTAACCAGCACAAATCGGTAACGAGGCATGCCGGCTTCAAAGTCCAAAATTGCCTTGTTAGCATCCTTCATGGGGATCTCCTGAATCCACGGCTCAATGTTCTTGTCAGCTGCAAGCTGGAGCATCTCTCGAATGTCATTAGGGCTACCAATCATGGAGCCTTGAACGTTCAGGCGGCGGTGCAATTTGCGGACTGGGGCATTGAGAACACCATCTTCAGGCAAACCACACTGCGCAAAGGTACCACCAGTGCGCAAAAGGCCCAAGTACTCAGCAAATGGTATCTAGAAGAAAAGTCAACAATATGAAATTTGAGCCTGGAGAACTTCCATCTAACTCACCTTGGTGGAGGATGCAGTGTTGATAATTAAATCAAGTGATCGAGCGTGCTTCTCAGCCCAACCAGGCTCGTCTTCAGTAGCGATATAGAGATCGGCGCCAAGCTTGAGCGCATCCTCGCGTTTATCGTTTCTGCGAGAAATACCAACAACCTTGTCTGCACCCATGGCCTTCGCGAACAAGATAGCTAAATGGCCAAGGCCACCAACACCAATCACTCCCACGCGCTTACCAGGTCCACAGCCGTTGTACTTCAATGGGCTGTAAACGGAAACACCACCACAGAGCATAGGCGCCGCAGCAGCAGAAGAGACACCGTCGGGGATCTTGATGGCGAAGTGCGCATTGGTGCGGTTATATAAAGCGTAGCCTCCGTACGATTTGTCGCCGTTGTAGAATTTGCTGTTGTATGTTCCGACAAGTGCGTGGTCGCAGTAGTTCTCGTCGCCGCTGGCGCAACCCTCGCAATCGCCCTTACGGCCAAGACAGGATTCACTCTGGGCACCGACACCCACGCGATCTCCGACCTTGATAGTGGTGACCTTGGATCCGACTCGCACTGCTGTACCCACTAGCTCGTGGCCAACGACGCATGGGTAAAGGGTGGCACCCTAAAATGGCCTAGTTAGCACTAGTGGAATAATCTGGGAACTTCGTCACTCACCCAACCACTGTGTAATGTGTGCATATCAGAGCCACAGATTCCGCAATGCGAGATTTTGATATCAACGTCTGTTTCTTCCCACTTTTTGGGTTCGAATTCTCCCCAGACCATCTTACCCTCGACGGAGCTAGCGTCAAGGCCCAGCCATCCTTCGAATTTATAGTCGGTTGAAGCCATTGTGCAGTATAGTCTTACAGTATGATCCTGATGAAGTTCTTTCGCATCTCTCTTTCAGGGAACTTTGCCCGTCTCTTTATACCTTCCCAGCCGTTTAGCAATGGCCGCGACCCACAATCTTGAATGCCGATCCACGGTATCAAATTAGTTAAATGCCGGATAAACAAGCTCTCGGTGACTTTTGGTAATCAACTCGGCACGCCCGGAGCACAAATTCGAACTGGACCTACTTTGTACTTCGGCATTGGAGTGGATTCAGGAGGGTGAGTTGATATTGGCTGATGGTTAATGTGCTGACTTACTATACTTAAGGGTTCTACTTCTTTCCATGACCTCAGGATATGGTAGATTTAATCAGCCCTAGAGTGGGCCATGTAGCTTTTCTTCAGAGTCAGGATGGGCATATCATTGCCTAGATGGGCTCGGATAAAGAATTTTATCTCCATAGCGCTGCCAAGAAACCAGTACGAAGCGTCAAGCCATTAAGCATGCCCACATGTGCAATCGTTCATGAAATCGAAGGGCATGAGAGATATTTTCATAGGCATATATAGTTACATGCAACCATTTTTAAGATCCAAAGATGCTAGAGAAAAAAATTAAACACTGAAAGAAGAGAAACTATTCTATCTTGTTCTGTTCAGATCCTCGCTTATGAAATACCTGATGGTAGTAAACAACCAGCTGCTACATTCAGCTAGGGTCGCTTTACTCAAAGCCGACTTTAAAAGAGAGACATGATATCCTCGTTAGTCCTGGGCTGGTTCGTGGCTGGAGCAGGGCTGTCGGAGATATCAAGACCAGAGAACCCATTCATGAGATCACCAGCTGCTCCACCAATGGCGCTCGATGACGGCTGAGCAGCTCCGGAGTCACCAAATACACCTAGTAGGTCGTCCAGATTGTTGCTCGATTGTGCGGCGGGGGCACCGACTGCAGGAGACTGCACACGAACTGGAGTACCAGCCAGACCCTCGAGACCGGACATACCACCTGATGGCTCCTGGTGCGCGGATGCCGGGGCACCGCCGTCGAAATCAATGTCCAGCAGGTTCTCGACGTCGTTTTGTGCCTGTGCAGGGGCTGTAGTACCATTGACTGCTGCGGCAGCTGCGGCAGCCAATGGGTTCTCACGTGCGTTTTGCAGTTGTTCCCTGGGCAAAGGATTAGCAGATTGTTATAAGAATGTTCGTGTGCATGAAGACATACTCGATAGCGGCTCGCTGGACTGCATCGGCACCGAATCGGCCGTGTCCAACAAATTGCTCTGGAGGCTTGTGGTATACAGAAGAGAGCGTGGAGAGCTCCTGGAGAAGCAGGTCCAAAAGGGTCGGCGGTAATGAAGAGATGGTAGTGACAATGGGAGGCTTGTCGGAAAGAACAATGTTCTTTGTGGCGTTAGGGTCACTAGTGTTAGACAGCAAACGCCAGTAGATATATGCTCTGTCGCGAACATCCGGGTTGTCGTTCTCAGCAGTAGCTGCCTGGAGAACCCGTTGAACTAGACCCTGGGCCTTCTCAGGCCGCTTCAGGAAGAGCTTGACCACAGCGGTGAGAATTTGGAGTTGAGTCTTAGAGTCGATTAGCCATCAAACTGCAATGCCAAGTTTGGAGGGAAGACAAACCTGAGAGAACTCCTCATTGAAACCATCCACGAAACCACCCAAAATGTCACCCGCATTACTGATCTTCTCCGCATATTCACCCACGATCCAGATCAGAGCTGCTCTGGCATTTGGCTCATCCAGTTCATCGATGCACTGGCACAGGGTGGGGATGATGCCTTCGTATCCAGGATATTTACGGAAGATATCCTTGATGACAACGATGGCTTCCTGGACGACATAGTTCACCTTGGTATTAATCAGGTCCAAGAGCGTGTTAACACACTTTTCGCTGGCGCTCTCAATTTTGATAGCGACTTGACCAATTGCCTTCACAGCACGTCGAACAAAATCCATATCGACCTCAAGAGCGTACTCCTTCAATTCAGCCAAGAGCTGATCGACGTTCCGATCGCTTGCGATGCGAACCATGATCTCCAACTTCTGAAACTTGACATACTGCGGATCATTATATTTGCAGAAGAACACGCGAAGCTCCTTGTTGAGAATGTCGGGCTGCTTCTGAAGGAGAAGATCAATGTTGCGCAAAGCCACGTATTGCACTTCCGGTGCCGAAGAAACCAACGTCACTATTATTTATTAGCACAAAGGACGGTAATACGCGTGTACTAGAAAACAAACCTAGTGGAGGGGCCATTTTCTTCAGGTATGTCTTTGCCAGCTCCGGGCCAACATTTTTCATGTGGAGAAAGACTGCCTTGACAGCTGCAAGAACTACAGCAGCATTCACATGCTGGAATTGAGGCGCAACTCGTTCACAGATGTGCTCAGACTCTTTGACATCAACCGCTCGGTATTCTGCGAGAGTCGACAAAATGGTCACTCTTCCCCATTCTGTGCACTCGTTCAATGCCATCAGCATTTTTCGTAGTGTGTTAGGTGTGACTTTCAGAGCCTCCATCTCAGGCGCGGCGTGGTGAATTTCAGAGAGCGCTGTCACAGAGTTGGCCACGACCATTGGGTTGGGGTCGCCAATCATCTCCTGTAGCATCTCTAGGAATCCGTTCTCAAGGCACATTCCCGGGTTGAGATCAAAAAGCTTCGCCACACATATAGCAGCCGTCTTGCGAACATATGGCGACTCGTCACGCAGTGTTTTGCGCAGTGGCTCCTCCATATAATCTACCATTTTGTCCACCCGAATACAGCCCATTGTACGTATAGCGAGGGCTCGGATGAGGGGATTTGGGTCTTCCGAGTCCTGTACGAATGTATTAACGGCGAGGATGCAGAGGTCTGGATGCGATTTGGCGTAATTCCTGCGATTTGAGCGATTAGCATATTATTCACCCCCTGGTCGTGGAGAAATACCCACATGAGGTAAAGATAGACCAGTTTCTTCTGCTCTAAATCAGAAGTTGCGATGTTCTTGAGGACGTCGGGGAAGAGGGCCGAAACGTCTTTTCCTAGAGTCATGGCCATAATGGTCTTTTGAATAGACTCCTTTCTGTTGTATTGTCAGCCACGCTACATTATACCAACTTCGTCTGCCTTCAACTTGGCGGACCAATTTGTGGATAAGCGTACCGTTCGTAAGCATATTGGGAGCTGTGTGATAGAGTTAGCTTCGTCCTTCATTGGCAGTCAAAATGACTACTTGTTCTCGGGGCTCCATACACAAGTCCAGATCGCAATTCAAACGTCTCTCCTTTCCGGGGCACCGCAAAGGCGCCACGGATCTTGTTCATCGCCATTCTGAAGTAGTATAAGCTTCAGCAACGACTTGGTCGTGCCTCCGCAAAGGCAGTCGGGGTAGAAGTGGAGGTAGTCGAGTAACGTTGGGACGACTGCGGGGAATCGCGAGCTTTGGTCGCGCTTTGAGAAATTGACAGGGAATATAGCTTCAGAGCATTTCCCCCTCTCTCTCTCAGAAAGAATTAAGGAAAGAAAGGAAGAGAGATTGTCGGGTGGAAGAATTTAGAGGTGAGGATTACCGATAGGGGAGGAAAGAAAGGGTGTCTGGGCGATCAAAGTTGTCCACAAATGGCGGCACTTGGCTGGAACTTCCCAATGTTCCCGCTTTAACCACCTCTCTTGACCTCCTTTTACTGACGGCTATATCAACGCCAGAATGGTGAGTGATAAGGTTCAATCTTAGAGGATAGGATTATCGCATGCCTGACTATATATATAGGCTAATCTCCCTAACTTGCGACGTCTCTTTGTCGAGGCTCGAACAGAGGCTGAGGAGAACGAGTACTCCCGAACGGCGGTACGGCTCTTCCCCACAGTTATATTCCTAGACTTATAACTGATGAAAGCAGTTCTACAACCTCGTTCTATTCATGTCTTCCGTTGCAGTCTTCAGTCTGGTTGCACAAAGAATGAGCGGACAGAAAGCCTCTCGATGACGGATGTATCGCTGCAAAAATACTCCCATAGTGGTGGAATAATCAATACCGTCATAACAAGAATGGCATAATAGCACTTATTGATACACTCATAACGTCAAATAAGCTGCTCATTGGCTCCTCCATTGGCTCCTCCATCGGTTTCTTCATATCAGTCGCTTTCCTCGCCCTCATCTTCGTCATCCAAAAATGCAAGTGCCTGACGTTGACGTCCCCTGGCAGCAGCCGCACGACGTGGAGCTGGGCTATCGCTTGCACCTTGTTCTTCCTCGTTGCCCCATTGCTTCGCACCTTGTTGGATCTGCTCCAGATCGGCCGCGAGCTCACGTGCGTCCCGAATCTCATTGGCCCTCTCCAGAGAATAACGGCCTTTCATGCCAGCATCCTCTAGCATGCCCTTGAGGTGCTTAATCTTCTCCTTTGGTGTCTCGTACGGTGCCAATTCCCGGAACCACATCTTGCGAATGCCGCACTTGACCAGCCAACCCTGTAAACGTTTGATCTCGGCCTGGTCTGGATCAGTGTCTTCTTTGGCCTTCGGAGCCGCCTTCTTTTTTTCTTTCTTGGCATCTGAAGTCTTTTGGCGCTTGCGTTGGGGCTTCGGCTCCTCGTCCAAGACAACGGACATGTCACTCTCGGATTCATCCACATCATTCTTCTTTTCTTTCTTAAGGGTGTCTGCGGAAGTCTGGCGCTTGCGTGTGGGCTTCGGCTCTTCATCCAAAACATCAGACATTTCACTTTCGGACATGGCATGCTTGTTTGAATTTGGTTCGCCTCCATCGTAATCTGCTTCTCCGTCGAACTCTCCGTTAGATTCTTCGGGGGTATCTGAAGCATCGATTGAGTCTTGTTTGACAGGTTTCGACTTAGAACCCTTCTTAGCTGGTACCAATTCGCGCTTTTTCGGCTTTGTGACCTCTTCCTCACTTTCAACAAAATCATTTTCTGATAGCTCACTGTTCGAAACGGAGCTTTGTTTGGATTCGGATGCGGCTCTGGATTTTTTGGATCGAATTGCCTTCTTGAGATGTGGGGGCGATGAACTTCTGATAGACATCTTGTCTTTCGCTTCATCCTGAATGGCCTGTGTGTCGTGTATCACGGTGTATCAGAGCTTGCTAGGACGGTCTGAAATTGGATTTTGGATCTTACCACTTCCTCCTTGATAATCTTGTCACTTCTTGCTTTCCAATCTCCAGTAGTCTTGAAATATCCCTCGTCCAGTCCGAGCTTTTTCTCTGTGGCAAGCCGTACTCTTTTTACGGTTAGATCATCCATTTTGCCTGACTTGAAGATCGCGGCGACCTGGTCGCGTAGCTCTTTTTGCAAGGATTTATCATCAAATACCATGATGAAGGTGTCAATTATTATTGGTAGGTTTTTGGATCGGTGTAACCCTGTGGATAATGCGGCAGATGCGTCAAAAAGATGATATTGAAAAGAGAGAAGGGGAAAATACGCGTTTCTGCTAAATCAAAATTCCAGAGCTGTTTACACGTGATGTACGTAGTTAATGAGGAAGAGCTGACAAAGCTAGGGTGGGGAAGATCATCACTATTTATTTATTTATTAGTTCAGTACTTATTAGTTAGGCAGTTCGACGGGTATCATATCAATATTCAATATATGTAATCGAGACAATCACAGAGGCCACATTCGGTAGCTTGTGATAATAGAAAGAAAAAAGAAAGAAAATTCCACAGTAAGGACATCATTGCCTCCTTTCGTAGTGACAGCTGAGAGAATGGGAGTGATGTACCAAAATAAATAATTTTTTACATGTTTCTCTCACTAGGCGAGATACTTGTCATCGACAGCGAGACCTCCCTTTTGATAAAGGTATATCAAGAGGAGAATGTTTTGGGACTGCCCTAGTAGAGGTCATCTTTCGGGCCAAGCAAACGCGTAAGGACGACAATTCTGTCTTCTGCGGTGGACGCCATGCGAACGGTTCTTCGTAGAATACGAGGGCTGGTTTCGAGGTATCCTCATATTTCGACATGATGGAGACGATAGATGTGAAAAGAAGACAAGAAATGATAATCGAGATGACGTCACATCCGTCCTCAGCCTATCAGTTATTGGCCCACTGATTAAAAATCAACCTCCACTTCGCATAGATCACTTAGCTACCTGAATTATACAATTCATAATGGCTGATGTTTCGCCAGAGAAACAATTCGAAGGCGCTGCTCAAGTGTTCAAGCAGCCCAAGAATTCACAAGACGGCGACTCAAAACCTCTACCTAAGGGCGTCGTTCTGGACAAAGATGGCAAGCCGTAAGGATTACCATCCAGGCACTGTTGAACGCAAGTGACTCACGCTTATAGATGTCGGACCTGTACCTCCGTCGCCTCATGGCGCGCCTTGACCAAACAAGCACAAGCCAAACCCGACACCGCAAGCTCTTCGACATCCACAAAGGCCACACTCGCCACAGCTGCCCTCGCTGCTTCCACCACAGAAAGCACAGCTCCAGAATGCCCACCAGATGTTGAAGCTCTAGGCCGCTCAACGTGGACACTACTCCATTCAATGGCAGCCACTTATCCCGAGACAGCAAACACGCAGCAACAGAAGGACATGCAAGGATTTCTGTCTCTGTTTTCAAAGCTGTATCCGTGCTGGGTATGTGCGGATGATTTCAAGTCTTGGATGGCTCATCCTAGTGGAAAAAATCAGCCCAAGTTGAAGGGTCGTGCGGAGTTTGGGTGGTGGATGTGTGAAGCGCATAATGAAGTTAATCGGAAATTGGGCAAGAAGGAGTTTGATTGTCGGTTTTGGGAGGAGAGGTGGCGGACTGGATGGAAGGATGGTCGGTGTGATTAGGTGGAGGTTTCTCCGTCTCTCCAGAGCTTGATCTTTCTTCTCTATATACTCTCCCCTCTGCTCTGCTCTACTCTACTGTTTTGGCCCATCTCCCACTTTGTACATTATGCATTTTTGGTTGGAACTAGATCTCTACCTGTATTTATAGCATTTGAAAGACTTGTCAATTGAACGAATGGTCCGAGGAAAGGGCGTTTTATCATATCCAAAGAACATTAAAACAATATGAGAAAAAAGCATTCGCGTTAAACTAAAACCGCTAAACAATTAATAATCTCGGTACAAAGACATCTAGACAAGTTGTGCAGAGGAGGTCTTTTTATCTCCTGAATAATGCGCCAAACAAACACAACTTCTCGTCGTTGAAAATGGGGACAGTAAGAGCCCATTTTGTAGCTTCATATCAATAAGGGAAATGAAATGGGAAGAAATCACCGGCGATACTTCGGCTGGGACTTAGTATTGATTAGGGACGAACAGACGCAGACCGCTGGCAGGGGCACCGATCTCAGTCACTTCGGATATCCGGCAAACTGTACCCTTGTACTGCTCGTGGTACTTGGCGCCAGTGAAGGGATCGGTCACACAAGGTGAACCGCTGAAGATGGGAGTAAATGAGGCAGCGCAGATGTCGAACTCGGCAAACTGGTCAAACTCAATGTCAATCGCGTCTGAGGGGTTACGCTCGCATTGAGCCTTGATCTTGCGGGCCTGATTTGAAGAGTTAGTATTCATGTTTCATCAAAAGGAAAAAATGGAAGGTTTAAAATTACCTGATCAAGAAGCTTGGGGGAGCCGCCGTTAGCCAACATTCGATTGGCGAAGCCTAGGGCAGAGTTGTAGTTCCTGTTGGCAAAGGAGAACTTCATGGCAGCCATCAGTGCCAGCTGGCGGTGAGCCACCTCCAGCTTAGGAATGGTAAAGTAGGCAGATAGCTCGAGACTGCGCTTGAGATTTTCTGGATCCGATGTGAGAGAGCGGCGCTGGAGCTCGATGGACATGGCAAGGATGTATTCCCGTGCAGTCTGAATGATCTTCTTCGCTTGCTCGACCTCCGCCTCTGAAGAAACAGTGTTGACCAAGAGTGTGTGGATGATGTTTCTGAAGATTCTCACACCCTCCTCTAGTTTGTTGGCACGCATGGTGCCGTAACCCTCTTGCAGGTCGACACTGGCGATAGTCTCCAGATCACGTGGGATGATGGGGAGAACCTTGCGGCCATCTGTCTCCTCGGTAGTTCTCCGCACATAGTTGACCAGCGGGGGCAGGCCAGGGGTGGCGGGGAGATACGTCTTGGAAGCCTTGAAGATTTCAAGGAATCGGCTCTTGAGGGGGGCGAACTGAACTGCACCAACTTGGCGGTTCAAGAGCTGCATGGCAGTGTCAAAGGAACCGGCAGCGACGTGGTCAGCTGCCAAGGGAGAGTTGCGAGCCCACATATCAGCCTCCGAGCTGCCCGCACCTGCCTCGGCGCTTTCAACGTTGACAAATTCAACGTCCTCTTCAACGTTAATATCATCACCCATATCCCATCCAGAGGCGTCTTCTTCCTCATCCTCAAGGGCTTCTTGGGCAAGACCATGGCCTTGCTCCTCCTCCGCCAGCTCGAAGCTGTCAGCGCCGTTCTCTTCGTCAGCGCCGCCGACCTCACCGAGCAAAGCTTTCTCAAACGAAGAGTGGCCGGCAGCCTTGAAAGGCCAGTTAGCGTTGAAGGTCGAAACAATAGGATTGGGAACGTTCAAGGGCTCTTCGATGGAAGGCAGGACGATCTGGTCCTCTGTGAGTCCGCAGGCCTCGAGGATAGACTCAGCTTCCTCAGTCAAGCCATGTGACTTGGCCGTGAGATAGGCCAGAGGATACAAGTCAACCTCCTTGAACATCTGGATACGATCTTCAACATCGCCGCGGTAGATGGCATTTTGGAAACGGGAGACGAAATCTCCACGGTGCTCTGCAATCTTAGCCATGCGAGCAAGTTTCTCCTGGTCACCAGTGGAAAGGTACAAGAATGACAGCTTGTCAAAGTTCCGCTGCTTTTGATAAGTCATCTCAACAGTCTGGTGATTACCATGGGCTAAAGCCTCTTCTCCCAGTCGGGTCCAGAAGTTGGGGCGGTCAAGCTCTCGAGCCATCTCGATAGCGACGTCCAAGTTTCCGCACTCAAGAGCCAGATCAAAGCGAGTCTGAGGGTCTTGCACGAATTGCAGAGCAATCTCTGGGTAGCCCTTCTTTTGCAGATATGAGATAATGCTCTGACCAACCAAACTTGAGTTCTTGATAATCTGAAGCATTTCGTCGTAGTTGCGCTTGACAAGAGAAAGCTTGAATCGGTACTCAGTCGGATCGATATCCAGGATCTGAGGCTGGGCATTGCGATCCAGACAGTACACACTGCGTCCCTTGACACGGACAAGGTAAACTGTCTGATCAAGTGTGCGAATGATTCCGTTGTCACCGTTGAGAAGAGAGTACTTGACGTGGTTGAGGGTAGAGTAGATCAAAACACCGGCATCGTCCCAGGTGGCACTCTTGATACGAATAGTTTCATGCAAAGTGCTAACTTGCTCAAGAGTCTTGGTAACGATAGTCACATTGTGTTTGCTAAGCAGAGCACAGTAGAGGCCATCATTAGACCACACCACATACTTCACACCGCTGACAGCGACCTCCGCCAACTGTTTCTTTTGTTGAATGTCGAAGAGGACAACGGTGGTGGGAGTGATAAACAGGAGGCAGCCAGTGCCACCGAAGTAGATGTCTGTTGTACCGACCGGATGAGTAATTGTCTTGGTTGTGGAGTTGCTAAGATCCTTGATATCGACTTGCGAGCTTGAGGGGTTGAAGACCGCGAAGCGGTTACGGGCAACAAAGACCGCAGATGTAGCTCGGCCACGCTTGACATCAGTGGGCTCGACCGCCCCAGTAGCGTCACGAGGCAGGTGGATCAATTCGTAAGTTCCTTCATCAGCCGGAGATGTGACAAGAATAGCGCGTTCGGCAGGGTTGTAAGAAACAGTGCGAGGAGGGACCCATGGAGAGCCCAGCTTGCGCAGAGAGAGCATAGGAGGAGAATCAATATTCTTCGAGAAGTCATATGACTTGACGTGTTTCTCCTTTGTGATATAGAAAAGCTGGTTCATGTGTACAGCTGATGCAGGTCGCTCCCGTTCCAATTTAAAGACCATGACACCGGTATCATGTCCCGCAGCAAACAAATTCATCTTGGGGTGGGCAGCGATAACCCAGAATCGGTCTTGGTCACGCTTGAAAGACTGCACGGAAGTCCGTTTGTTGAGATCCCAGACACGGATTGTCTTGTCTTCACCGACGGAAAGAATGAGGTCTTGGTGTGGGTGGAATAAACATCCTGATGCGTTCTGGAAATGGCCACGGCAAGTATCAACTTCCCAGGCCTTGGTATCTATACGTAAAAGTCAGCAAAGAGAAGAAGAACCAAATTTACACAAGAAAAGAACGTACCGCTCATCCGCCAGAGCTTGACAAGTCGGTCATCACCCGCCGACACAATCAATGGCAATGTGGGGTGGAACGACACCCAGTTGACACCACGGTCATGACCTTCCAAAACAAACTTTACAATGGCGTCGGTGTTGCCAAACATATCAGCCTGGTTGGGATTGGCTCGGGCCATCTGATCTTCGAAGGAAATCGAGGTCGGTGCGGAGTGTTTCTTTCGCAGACCGGAGATATCCCAGATACGCACAGACTGGTCGAGAGAGGCAGAGGCGATGAGGTCCTCAGTAGGGTGGAACTGAGCGCACATGACATAGTGATTGTGACCGGTCATGGTACAGACTAAACGAGTCAACCGTCAGTAGCTGTCAGAAGCAGGTATAGTTCAAATAGATACATACTCAACGATCGGTTCTGCCAGTTCCAGATCCGAATGGTCTGGTCATCGGACGCAGACAGAATCCAGGGGAGCTCTGGGTGGAAGAATACCGTGCGCACATAATCCAAGTGTCCATTCAGTGTAAACAAGCACCTCCGAGTCTGGTAGTTCCAGACCTTGATCTTGTAGTCATCACCTCCGGAGACAAACAGGGGTTGGGTAGGGTGGAAGTCAATTCCGCGGACAGGACCATCGTGTTCTTCGAAGCGGTCAATGAGTGTTCCCATGCGGTAGTCCCAAAGCTGAATGGTAGAAGAGTGAAGAGAAACGAGAATCCATGGCCTGGTTGGGGGTTAGTTTCGATGCTTTAAGGTGTGTAGGTGTCCCCGCGGGACAAACTGACCGTTTCGGATGGAATGCGATTCCTTTGGCTCTGGAAGATTTTGACTCAAACTGTGAAGTGGATATTAATTAGCAGCCAAAATTGGACCTTGATCATGCGACACAGAAAGTGGCAATAGAACAGAGGTGGGCGATCGAGGGGCGTACCTTGGTGAGCATGTTTGGAGAGGACTGCATCTTGAATAGTTGGCCGGAGCCGCACCGTACAGTTGCAAGCTCCGCACGCGATAAATAGTTATATCACAGATATAACCAGCGCATCCACTACAAAAGGGAAAAGAGCAGAGTCAAGGCGCAATGTGGATAGCTGTTCTGGAACGAAGAGTAGAGGTAAACTAAACGTGGACTCTATTGTGTAAGCGAACGGCGGCCAATCATTGTGCCGGGCGGTGAGAGAACTAGGGGAACGAGAGTCCGCAATTGACCTAACACTTTATATAATACTACTTCCTTTTTACAAATACTTTGCTGTTATCTTGGGTTTTGACTGGTATGGAGATATTCTGGGGTAATACAAAGTAAGGGAATCGAGGATTGATGATCGAGATGATGAGGGCCCTCATTGGTGATTTGTCGTGTTTCTTCTCCCCACTAGAAGCATCTGGAAACCTCGAACTCAAGATCTGGTGGCTGCGCCATAAAGAGTCTGTGCTCTCCTATTCTGAATAGTTCTTACTGAAATTTAATACTCTCTTGGTTCTTGTCATCTCTTTGTGCCGTCTTCCAGTATTCCGTGAGTGGCTAAATACTTGTCGCCGCCCAACTTGTGACGTGATAATTAGGGCGGCGAAGCCATATACCGTTCCAACGCAGCACATATTTCGCAGTTACTCGGCCTCCACGACTTTGATGGAGGCAATTGATCTCCTCTGATCACTTGAATGAGCCATTAGACACATTACCTTTCCGGATATATACAACTGTTGACCCGGACCACACATACAAAAGTGACTATAGCATGGCTGATCCAGGGCCATACCTACCCACCTCCGACATGTCATACGAAGATTCAAACTCACAAGACACTACAGTCTATTTTCCATATGAGATCGAAGAGCCTGATGACGAGCCGACCTTCTTCATTTCAAGGCCTGGACTGCGACGCCTACCTGATTACATGGATTACTGGCAGCGCGAGCTCATCAAGTGTATAGAGGATCTAAATTCAGATCCGGAGTATGCCGAGAGGATTCTTTTAGAAAATCCAAGGGGCCAGAAAAGAAAGTCAGCAGATACATGTCATCTTCAGACGTCTTCAGACGCGCAATCACAAAGATTCACATCAATGATGAGGTCTGATGAACAGCCTCACAATCCAGGTGCTGGTCCAAGAAGAAAAAGACTGCGCATCAAATCAAAGGAAAATGCTACCACTGTTCATTCTCTACATGATTTCCGCGAGGCACGCTCCAATTGGAGTTCGAGTTCGGGTTCCGAGATCGATGACGATACAATGGATGAATCTGCAGCCACCGATGATATGGATATCGATTAAAAAGCTCCAGTTTTGTTCTTTTAAATTTTTTGACTTGCTTGATGTCCATTGCCAAGCAACGTCATGATAACCAGTCTATGAGCATTGGCAGCAAAACACGTGATGCTTTGCAGCAGAACGGTCTCACAATTCGAAATAAACTCGTGTGAACTCTGCATCCTTCATAGAGTCAAGAAGAAGCGATCACGTCTTCTCAACGACGTCGAGATATTCAGATGTTGAGATGCTCTGTGGGACGTGGAAATGATTATGACGTCATTTTTATATCATTGACTACGAGAGTTTTAAAGATTCATCTTTGCACCTTCAATCTTCATCTCCCTTTCAATTTTTAATCCTGCACCTCTTCTGCCATTCGCCTATCAACATGGCTACTCGCACCTCTTCCCGCAAGGCTGCCCTTAAGGCAAAGGAAGCTATATCAAATACTTCCGAAACTGCTGGAAAGGCAGGTGCAGGTTCAAAACGGAAAGCACCAGCTCAGAAAGGCCCAAAGTCCAAGAAAGAAAAGAAGGGAAAGGCTGTCAACTCGCCTCAGGATGAAGTCACACCGGAAGATGAAGTTACAGGGCCCAAAGAGAATCAGACTGTCGAAAAAGATACGGACAGTGCGCCCGAAGACCGGCCTTCAAAATCTTCTGTGACCTTCGAGTTCAATGATCAGCCTTCAGTTGAACAGACGGAAGACATTGAATACACTATTGAAAAGGGCATAATATCCTTCTTCCTCCGGCCTCGCATCGACATAGAGGACCCTCACAGCTTGAGTGACATCGCTAATAGCTTCTTTGTGCTTCGTCCCATTCCACTTGATGCGGAACTGGACATGTACCCGGCTAATAAGAGCACCCGGTGTCGCCTTGTGAGGCTCCCAAATAAGAGATTCCCCACGTCACCCACAGAAACCGAACTGGCAGTTGTGGATTTCATTGGTGAAACAATGGAAGATCTACAAGAGAAAGAGCTTGCGTACAATATCTCCCATACTGCCACGTTAGGTGAACGTTCTACCAAAGAGGCTACTTCCTATGCCGAAGGCGTCTATACCATTACGTCGACGAAGGGGAAGTCCTACCTTGCCTACAAGCTGACTATTCTGGCTGAATTGGGCGAGATTCAAGAAAGCTTCGGTCTTAGCAAGATTGGCAGTTGGATCGTCGAGTCGAAGAACCCCCAGATTTTGGATATGCATCCTGCCTTACCTTTGCGTGCTATGTATCCTGAATCGTAAGTTACTGCCAAGATCTCACTCATGACGTTCCAGATCACTAATGGGTTTTTATTAGAGTATCAGAGAAATTCGGGGGTATTCAATGGGCTCCCCTTCAGCCTGAGTTCATTGATTATTTCAATGCGCAGGTTCGTATGACCGGTCAGAAGCAGATAAAGTTGCGCGAGGCTGTGACGACTGAAGGCAGCAAAGAGCATACTCAGGAGCTGGATCAACTGGAGCAGCAGAACACGTATCGAGTACAGACTGAACAAGACGATGTCCAGCGAGAGCCTAGTTCTCATCCAGAGAACCACACAATCCCCGGGCCATGTCGACCTCGAGCACTGCATAATTCAAGTTTTAGTTTCGCTGGGCCGGTTGGGCATTAGGTACCCAAGCAGCTGAACAATTGATTTTACGTCAAGTTCATGAACTTTCCACTAGTCCGTAGCATTTCGATTATAATACTATTTTGCTGAAGAAAAATTGATAGAGTGGCGAGTCTCTCGGTACATCCCAGAATTTGAATAGCGTACATGCAGAACGATTAGACTGTGATGACCCCATAATTTTGCACTCGTAAGCGCAATAACATCCTTCAACTCTTTGCAAGCTTTATAGCATGGAGGATATCATCGAGTGACCAGCCCGGCCCGCCGGGAACGATCTCCGACCAAACTTCTTCTGAAACGGCATCGCTGGGATCTAACAAGCTCCAGTTTGGACTAGGCTCAGTCTTGATCCATTTAAAGTCCTCAATTTGGCTCCAATGGTCTTGGTGATCGGGACGATCGTGATCCAAAGCCTAAATACAGAATATAAGTATAGAATTTACACGTGAGATAGGAATATGACCGACATAGGCTTTTGGTATCCGGCCAAAGCGGACATTGGAGCAGGCTTCAATGATGGGATTGCTCGAGCAGCTGAGATAGATGTCCACATTTTTGCAGTCGTGCATTCGGAACTGGCGACATGAAACTACAATGACACTGTTTTCAACTCCGGTTATGTGAGCTGGGCCATTTATCTGGCCGCATATCAGCAGACTCTCATCGACACCGTTGATAGTTAGACTGGTATAGGGATTTCCGTTGACAGAATGGTTTGACATATCTACAATGCAGTGGTGCAGCGAAGTAATTGATGCAGGGACAGTGGATGCCGAGACAGAGCCTGGTACCATGATATGGCGACCATAGTGGTTATCCACCGACACAGAAGATATGCTGCTACCAGGAAATTTTGGAGGGGACTTCATATCCGGCTGGGCAGCCAGAATTGCTGGGATGGATGTGGGTGCAACCTCTGGTTTCTCCTGTGTAGTTGGCTTTTCTGGTTCGTTCAAAGGAGTAGACGGATATAGTGGAGTCATTATGGCGGATGAAGCAACCGACGATCCTCCTGGAGAGCGATATCCGGGGACACTATGACGACTCTCGGCAGCCAATGTGACTGCATCAGATATGGAGATTGCAGACAGGTTTTTCTTTGTCTTGAAGCTGAATTTTGAACGCGGCGCAAATGTTGCACGGACTTCATTCAACTTATCCTGTAGAGCCTTGATTGCCTGTAATGTATTTCAGCATGGCTGTCTCACATCAGAACTATCTTATATGATTGTGTATACCTCTGCGTAAACTCGTTGGTCATAGGTAGGAATATAACTTGCAGCATCTTTAACCTCGTTTGAGAGCCGTACGATACCAGCAAGACAGTGGTCTGTTGCATCGGCACGCTCACCACCTACAAGGGACGTTTCTGCAAGATGATCCATCTTCTCTTGGAGAGCTACGGTCTTTGCATTAGTATTCACCCTGTACTCGGGGAAAGATAATCACATGACATACCTGTAATTTCATGCTGGAAATATCGAAAGAAGCGTTCTTTCAAAGGAATCTCAGACTTCGAGATGATCTGCTTATCAGCCGATAACCGGCGAGGTTGATGTATTTCTGATTCAGCCATTTTGAATAGAAAGAGAAGCAAAATGAAAGGATAGTTTCAATGGAAATTGATGACGCGGGGGAGAAACTAAGTAGAGTAGAATGACGTCGGTTTGATCCCAGCTAAGTCATGCCACCCCGCAGTTCCGAAGAAAAGCCTGAGGAGCAGTGGAGCTTATAAGTGGGTATAGGGACGAATTTGAGATGGCAAAAAATAGAATGCAGAATAGAAATCCGTCAAATCCAGATTCCAGAGCTTCAGCGCACTTGTGGGGTAAAGCCCAACCCAGCAACTTTTGAAGCTATTCCCACAACGCAATTCCCCAAACCAGGTAACAAGTTACAATGAATTTGAGTCACTAGGGGTCAGAACTGCATTACGAGAGAACTGGCGGAGAAAAATAAATCATAAGCTGCATGCAATTCAATGCATCCGTAACGTCGATCAATCCCGTATCTTCGGGATTTAATTTATCCGTAACCCAGGCCACAAGGCATCAAATGTTGTATAAAAGTGGACTCAATTCGATGAAATCAGCCAGAATGAAGAAAACATAAAAGTCAAAGAGAGAGGCAACAGGCAATCAGAATTGGGAAATGAAATGAAAATAGCAGTGGGTAATAGAAAACCATCAGAAGGATCAAAGGACAAAAAGCTGACAAAATGACACATTGTTTAAAAGCCATCTAATGAGCTTCAAAATGATTGGAAGATGAGGGGGGAAACAATGTTACTTGTAAATTTTGGCGAAAACTCACTACTAAGAGCTCTCAAGATCTTATATGATTGGAGTTGTAAGACTGACAATTTTTGAAGTTGTCCAGCTGGGTCTCAAGCACTAGCCTTTTAAGATCAAGAAGTATAGAGAACCACTGGGTTGATTGTGACCTGCTATGCCACCACACTAAAGAACCTCGGAAGATGGGATTTTACCCAAATTTGAAATGACTAACCAGGTCCACAACACACTTATTTAAGCTCTGCACGTATCAGCCTCGAGACAACAATTATCACAATTAATTAACGCGGCAATACATTCGAGGCTACCATCATGTACCGTTCCATTCGCCATGGCCCATCTCTTCCGCTATTCTCTCCACAGCTATCTACAACCTTTCTAAGCTGACTTTTGTATAAACCCATTCTGGAGTAGGAGACACTCTGGGTGATGGGCAATTCTGATAGAAGAAGAGGAGGCATGACCGCGGGATCTGGTGTTGATTGGAAGAGATTCCACCTGAACCACCTGTACATGATGATTCAAAGCAAAATCCTCAAGATATCCTCAGTTTATTTATGCAGAGCATCATGATTTCCGGGCAGAGGGCTAAGATAGAGTTATTCTTTCGTCTGTGCACTTTCTCATTCGTTCTTGTGTTTACTTGAGTATGCTAATTCTTAATTTTATATTTTTTGTACCACCACGCTCAACCTTGGCACACTCACCTATTATTTATAATCCTAGACTAGTTACACGCGTGATACTTGGCTACTACCTGTACTCATCCTTCCGTAGAATCCAGGTTCTACTTTCGCCCGAAGTTCATATTGATCTCGCAATATTACGGCTATTCGGCGTGGGTCAAGTTGAGTTCTCTATTCAGAAATTCCCACTTGGCTCTTCTGCTCCGGAAGTCATATACTGATGATTCAAAAGTTTTCAGTTTGAAATTGGTCTGAATTAAAACGGGCTATCAACAAAGTAAAGCCAAAAATGTGCCGTCATATCAAGCATCATAGAGGGAATACACCGACTCTTCATCTTCAAGGTTGCTGCACTCACATTTGGCTCCAGGGGTAACTTGTAAATCTTGTGTGACCACTCAATCGATTATATAGCCACAAGATATCTGACTTTCCATCTGTACCCGAATGAAATCAAAATGGCCCTCAAAACTTCAAAACTGCGTATTTTCATCACAATATGCCTTATACAGCTGGCTTTCGCAGCTCGATCTGGCTTTCAATTTATGGAGCATGTAGATGCACCACCTGGCTGGTCAAGAGGTGAAGCTCCGGCTCCTTCAAGCTTGATAAAATTTAGACTTGCACTCATTCAACCAAATATTACTGCATTCGAGCAAAGTGTCATCGATATTTCAACACCGGAAAATCCAAGATATGGCCAGTTTATGACGCGCGAAGAATTAACAGAAATATTGAACCCAGATCCTTCTGGCCTCGATCGAGTCCTATCTTGGTTGAAATCGAACAATGTATCTGAAGATCTCATTCAAGTCAAAAGTAACTGGATTACCTTCAACGTTACTATCGCCCAAGCGCAGCATATGCTGAATACACAATTCAATATCTATCATAACGATGAGAGCAACACCACTATTGTCAGAGCTCTTCACTACTCTGTGCCACGAGAGGTATATTCCCACATTCAATTGATCCAGCCAACAACTTGGTTCGGGTATTCAAAACCACAGTTACTGGAGAAACCGGTCGTCACCACACAAGATGATTTGGTCACAGATTGCGGGTCCTTCATTACGCCAGACTGTCTACGGGTCATATATGGCCTATACGACACCCAGGCCAAACCTGATGTCAAAAATCGGCTGGGAATAGCAGGGTTCCTGGACCAATACGCCCGCCACAGTGACTTTTACGACTTCATAAAAGAGTATGCCACCAACTCCACAGACGCCAATTTCTCGATTGTGAGTATCAACGGGGGCTTGAATCGGGAAGAATCCTTCACAGCTAGCACAGAGGCTAGCTTGGATATTCAGTACGCTATTTCCCTAGCATATCATGCCCTGGCAACATACTATACCACTGGTGGTCGGGGTCCTCTGGTACCAGGAGGAAACCAGCCAATTCAGGTCATCTCAACAAATGAACCTTATCTGGAGCAGCTTCACTACCTGATTAGTCTTCCTGATGATGAGCTTCCGGCAGTTCTCACTGCTTCGTATGGAGAAGATGAGCAAACTGTTCCGCCATCTTATGCTACTTCAGTCTGCAATTTATTTGCCCAGCTTGGTGCGCGTGGAGTATCGGTCATTTTCAGTAGTGGGGATGCCGGGCCAGGAGGTTCATGTCGGAGCAACGATGGAAAGAATCGGACAAAATTCAATCCGGGATTTCCTGCCTCTTGCCCATTCGTCACCGCTGTTGGGGGAACTACTGGAGTCAGTCCCGAAAAGGCAGTTGGGTTCTCTGGGGGCGGGTTCTCGGACCATTTCTCACGACCGGAGTATCAGAATAGGGCTGTGCAAGGGTATTTCCATCTCTTAGGTAATAGATGGGAAGGGTTGTACAATCGAGGAGGTAGAGGTATCCCTGATGTTGCGGCCCAGGCGAGTCATTTTGTCATTCGAGACCATGGGCAGTATTTGAGGATCGGTGGCACCAGGTTTGTTTTCTCCTCAGATATAAGCAGCAGTCATGCATACCAATGCTAAACATCCATATGTCAGTGCGTCGGCACCTGTTTTCGCTGCCATTGTTTCCCGACTCAATGCAGCTCGCCTTGATCAAGGAAGACCTCGAATGGGCTTCCTCAATCCCTGGCTATACAATAGCTCTGGGCACCTAGGCTTCACAGATATCGTGGAAGGTGGCTCAAGTGGTTGTGGATCCTCTATTCATGCTAGTTGGAATGCCACAACTGGATGGGATCCAGTGACAGGGTTCGGTGTGCCTTTCTTTGGGAGTCTTCTTCGATTGGCGATGGCTACAAACAATTAACGTATCTACACTGGACCACATGTGTATCCTAAGGTTGATGCATCGCATCAACAAATTTAACTCTTCCAAGGCTGCTAAACACCTAAGTAGGTATGGATGGTATCGGATATGATATATCTATCTCTAGGTCCTTTCGGCATTGGGTATGATATGATATCTAATTCTAAAATTTGCCGCGAGGTATCATAAATGAAGTTTTTATCTGAATAATTTCCGAGTAGCCCTGGAGATATTTTGCCTAGGTAATTGAATGGAATCCTAGTTGTAATAATATCCAAACAATATAATGTTATAATATACAAGTATCTAACGCTACCTAGGTAAATAGTAACGAAAGATGAAATGACATCTCTATGCGGAGTAGTGAAAGAAGTCCACGGGTATTGATGATTTATGAGCTGAGCTGGCAATTGAGCAGGGAATCGATCTACCTGGCTCTAAAATTATTTACCTAGGTGATCAAAGTACTTAAGTTGTGAATTTTTGTCAAATCCCTTTATTTTCCTCCTCATGTTCTATTCATTTTGAAGTCCTCAAGATGGATTTTAGAAAATGTATCATTATCATTATGCCATTTTTTGGGCTCTTCAGTCGCATCCCAACAACATATGAAGATATTCAGAAGTAGATAAGTATAGGTTTCACACGTGAACTCAGCATGTATTCCAAAGTTTATAAATGGTTCAGACTGGATTGAAACCTTTAATATAATACTGTCAATTTCATCAACAACTTGTATTTGTGTACGCCATTTCATGCAAGAAGATATTTAATAGTTAAACCTAACGAAAAGAGAGAAGGGGAGCAATGGCAAGAGTCCCAGTCATGTGATAAGAAGAAAGAAAGAAAAAGCCATAGGCAAGGAAATATGGAAAGATTCGTCCACATATGGGAATAAAAAAACTCGGAAGAAAAATGAGAATGTCAGTCAATATCAAACTAGATGTTGAAGACGTGCTCAGCTATGCCAGGAATAAAGCAGGGCAAACTACCCGCCTAAATGAGAAAGCCGAGAAAGAAGCAAACAAGCAGATGCAGTATGAAACGATGAGAATGGTGCTTGCAAGTGCAACCAGGTTATGAGAACAGATCTTGATCTCATTTGGATGAGAGAGACATTCTGGTCATTTATGTCTAACTTCAAGATGCTCCACCGGGCATTCGGCTTGGGTAGATGCTCCAAGTCCCACCTGCTGGAACAGGAGGTGCAGGAGGAAGCCCATTTGAAGGAGCTGCAGGCATTGCTGAGGAGTTCAAATTGGTCCGGGACCTGGTATTGGTTGAGCTGAGAGAGCGTGGGCTCATGAATGGTCTCGATGGCGAGTTGGAAGACGAAACATGATCACCCAGATAGCGTGTTTGTTGTCGGCCGGAGCGAGGGTCATTATCGTCCTTGGTTTCCAGTGAGAGGTGTTCCAATGAAGGAGGGTTAACAGATCCAGATCGGGAAGAAGTAGATCCAGATCGTGAAGAAGAATACCGGCTATGGTTATAGTGGTTACGAGGAGATGAGATGTCGTTGACGATGTTGATGTTGCCCGAGGCGGAAGGAGCCTGCTGAAAAGGGGATTTTTGCGACTGAGAAGTGCGGCGAGGGTTGCTGGGCGGGTTACTGATTGGATTGATCATCGGGGCCGGCTTGGGATATTGCGCTGGCGAAGGTGTAGCAGAGGCTGCTGAATTTGAAGTTGAGGTTGAAGATGGGGTGCTTGATGTGGGTGTTGGGTCCTTTAGCGATTTTGGTGCCGGGGGTTGCAAGTATGATTTGCGGTTGTCTCGTTGCATCATGCTGATGGCCCAATCTTGCAAGTCGACGGGTGTGCGCTTGGCTGCTTGCAAGAAAGCATCATTGTCATAAAGTTCTCGTGGTGTTGGTCGTTCCTCAGGCTTCTTCAGCAAACACTTTCCGACAAAGTCGTGCAAGATGGGTGGGAAGGCATCACTCTTCGGTAGCTTCGGGGCGGTCTCATGAACAATTTGCTGGAGAAGATCCAGGATACCCATCGGGCCTGCACTGGCACGATCTCCTGCTGATGAGTCTGAGGTATCAAATGGGAATCGCCCTACAGCCAGCTCCATGACAGTCAACCCCACACTCCACACATCTGAACGAACAGTGTAGGCACCACCCTGAATTCTCTCTGGCGCCATGTATGTCGAGGTGCCAACAAAGGTATCAGCGATCGAGTTGACTGTCTCGGTAGCTACTCCGAAATCACAGAGCTTGATCATGCCCCGCGAGTTGACGGTAATGTTGGACGGCTTGATGTCACGATGCATGATTCGGTGAGCTTCGTAAAGATACACAAGACCTGCAAGTACCGATTCCGTGATCTTGCCTAAAACATCGACGCGGACCGGACCAAAATCTTTCGATATGCGGTCAAGAGATCTGTATTCCCACTATCAGCTTGCCCCGCCATCATAATCCTAGAGTTGACTTTACCCGCAATCCATATATTCCATACACAACACAATATCCCTTGCCTCGTTCTGGAAGGCACCGTAGAATGTCACGATGTAAGGCGAGTTACAGTCGTGGCCTACCCGAAGTTCTCGAAGAATCTGTTTCCGCACGTTCTCTTTGGCGTCGACTCGGATGATCTGGGAAGGACGCATAATCAGCCTTGAAAGAACTTGGATGAAGAAACATTTCTAGTGAGTTAAAACCAACCTTCCGGGCCATGATCACTTTCGTGGATGCATGCATCACCTTGGAGACAGTACCTCCATTTCCAGCACCCAGTTCCTTCAGTGTCACCAGGTCTTCGCTTCGAAGGTCCAGTCGGAACTCCAGGCCAATCTCCAGGGTATCTGAGTGTGTGCCCTCAGGATTTCCAATCGCACCAGAGCCCTGACCGTCTCCATCAGTAGAGGGCTTGGGCGTCGCATTGAGGGCGAGGCCCTTGACATTTTTGCGTTTCAAAGTCCGAGCCTTGAACTGGTCCGCCATGGCGAGGATGGAGGGGTTGAGAATCTCTAATCCCTAGAGGATTTCGGGGATTAAGAAAGGGAGAAGATATTGAAGGAAAAAGAAAATCAAGTTTCGGAGGCGCAGGATCCTAAGCGACTAAGATGACTGGAACAAAAAGTGGTCAGGATTGAGGCGCGAACTAGCAGCGGGGAACCTGATATCACCTTGCGATGGGGGTTTATTGGGGGCGCTGATTGGGCCTATAGCATCGACTTTTGACCAACAACACTAAAAAGAATGCTCGGCGGCAAATTGAAGGCTGAGGTCCCCATATAATAGTCAGGGGGGAGATAGTTCATTAATTCAATGAAAACAATATTACATTTGATCTTTAAGGGAAACTGTTGAAACAAAGGTTGCTCCTAGTTTCCCCACTACTGTTTACCCCATAGGACTGTAAATCCCTCTTGAAATTTGTAGTACTTCGTATGTTGATTTAGCCCAATATTGAGCCAATATCTATAGTTCGTGATAGAAGATATTGCTAGCTGACTAGCTATTCCTAATCTCTAGTTTAGTAATGATCCTACTTCCAAAAGTGAGCGCTCCTGATGCTCAAATCACATGACCTTGACGTTCAGCCACATATCATCAATTTCAGCCACAACTAAATCACCGCCACAGCCGCGTCCTCCTTCGCCGGTGGCTCTTCTTATTCTTAACTCTCGACTTCAAGCTTTTCTTTTCTTCACTTTTTCACTTCCTTCACAACCCCCTTTCTTCAGCAACCATGAGTCTCCGTGACTTGGTTGAAGGCGAGGCCTCATTGGATGAAGATGAAAATGATGTTGAGATGACCGGTGATGCTGGCGAAGGCTCCAGGTCCCGTAACCATTACAGCGACTCGAGCGAAGAAGAGGAAGATGATGATGATCCGGAGGCCAATGCCAGAGTAAGTTCAAGCTTTCCTCTCAAAAATTCGAGCTTTACGCTGATGGATATTCTCTTGCGCAGGTTCGAGAAGGGTTCATCATTGACGACGATGAAGACGAAATCGAACATGAGCGCGCCCGGCGCCGACGCGAGAATAAAAAGCGATCACGTCCACGTGAAGAAGAACATCTGGATGATGAGGATCTGGAGCTCATCGGTGAAGTTCCCAATCGCACCCAACCGGCAGAGGTATGACTTTATCCTCTTGTCCGCCAGACAGGAATCGTGATCGACTGACTAATCTTTCCCATTGACGTAGCCCAAGCTCAAGCGCTTAAGGCGACACAAAGACCGTGATTCGCGAGGCAAAACCCACGATATTGGTGATATCTTCAATTCGGATGAAGATGAAGAGCCGCAATATGGACGACACACCCAGGGCGGGATGGACGATATGGGCGACTTCATCGAGGAGGACACTTTTTCGGACGAAGAGGGCCAACGTGAAGAAGATGACCCCGGTGTTGCAGCTCCTTTTCGGGCAACCATGCCCGGTGGTGTCGGAGCATTTGATGTGGCAGGATTGGATGAAAACGCCATTGACGATTTGCGCCTTGCATTCGGTGACGGTACAGACTACATGTTCGCCCTGGAGATTGAAGACCAAGAAGATGAAGAGAAGGAGACGAACGAGCGCCATCTAGACCTCAAGGATGTCTTCGAGCCGTCCGAGCTCAAGCAGCGAATGTTAACGGAAGATGATAATGAGATTCGCCAGACCGATGAACCCGAACGCCATCAAATCGCACGAAAGCCCTACAAGCATGTTGTGTTGACAGAGGATCAGTTCCGGGAGGAAGCTATTTGGATCTCGAACTTGATGCTGCTCAAGAAACGCCTGGACCCAGATTTGCGCGAGCCCTTCCAACGGGCTGTGGCAAAGATGCTGGAGTTCTTGATCACGGACGATTGGGAAGTTCCCTTCATCTTCCAACATCGCAAGGATTATATGATCCATGCTATGAAGGAAAAGGAGCCCAGCAATGATACTGACCCCACGCAAGACTCAGGACAGTACGATCGGGCTGTGAAGCTTATGGTTATGACCGACTTGTGGGACATTTTCGACAATGATCTCAAGTTTCGCGCATTGATCGATAAACGAAATAGCATCCAAAACATCTACGATAATCTGCAGAGCCTTTCCAAAATCAACGATCCGATTATTGAAGACCTCTTGACTGCCACCACCATGGAAGAACTCCAAGATTTACAGGACTACATCCACTTCCAATACCCCACTCAGCTCCGTGACTTGACATGGGTCAATAATGGGGATACCAGGCGCAAGGCTTCCACCAAAAACATTTACGAACGGGTGCGAAATGGCAAGGCCTACGGTCTTGTTCGTGCCTTTGGTATCACTGCCGAAGCCTTTGCGCAGAACGCTTCCAAGGAGGGTCGCCGGCAATATACCGAGGATCCTAGTGAACGCCCAGAGGAGTTGGCGGACCAGTTCGTTGACTCTGACTTCCCGAACTCCGCGCATGTTCTAAAGGCTGCCAAGTCAATGTTTGCAGAAGAAATTGTTCAGAGCCCAAAGATGCGCAAAACCATTCGGCAAGCGTACTACATGAACGGTGTTGTGGATTGCTTCCGAACAGAGAAGGGTTTACGCCGCATCGATGAACAGCATCCGTACTATGAGTTTAAGTACCTGCGCAATCAGCAGCTCAGTGACATTGCCCGTCGCCCGGAGATGTTCTTGCGAATGCTCAAGGCCGAGGAGGAAGGTTTAGTTGATGTGAAGGTACACTTTGAAAACTTTGATCAGTTCCGCAAGCGTCTGTATGCCGATATTGAATCCGACAACTACTCTGAAGTTGCCGACGCGTGGAATCGTATTCGTCGAGAAGCACTGGACCTGGCCCTCGCTAAAATCGAGCGGATCATTAACCGCAGCGTGAAAGAAAATGTCAGACAAGAGTGTGAGAATCACGTCGGCAGGGAATGTCGCGATGCGTTTGCGCAACGTTTGGACCAGGCTCCTTACAAACCGAAGGGAATGGTTCTGGGAACAGTTCCACGCGTTGTCACTTTCACCGTTGGACCAGGTACCGTAGGCCGTGATCCCATTCACTGGGCTTATATCGAAGAGGATGGCCGTGTCTTAGAAAACGGAAAGATCTACGACATCTTGCCTCGAGACGAGATGCGCGGTACGCCAGATGGTAAAGATGTTGCCTTTTTGGTGAAGATGATTGAACGGCGCAAACCAGACGTCATTGGAGTTTCTGGAGTCTCACCCGAGGCGCGTCGCCTTTTCAAGCTCTTGTATGAGCTGGTCAAGGTGAAAGACATTCGCGGAGCACCTTACACAAATGACGAGGATAAAGAAGTCAGTGATCCTCTCGAGGTTATCATCATCAATGACGAGGTTGCTCGACTTTATTATACCAGCCCCCAGGCACGCCAGGACAACCCAGGCTTTACCCCCTTGACTCATTACTGTGTCGGCTTGGGTCGATACATGCAAAGTCCTCTTAAGGAGTACGCATCGTTGGGACGTGACATTGTCTCTATTCAATTCAAGCCTGGACAGCAACTGATACCCCAAGAGCTTCTACTAAAACAGCTAGAAACAGCTCTGGTGGATATGGTCAATCTGGTCGGTGTTGACCTCAACGAAGCTATTCACGATCGTCACACAGCCAATCTACTCCCTTACGTTTGCGGTCTTGGTCCCCGTAAGGCGGCACATCTGTTGAAGGTCATCAACCTGAATGGTGGAGTTGTGAACAACCGCGTGGAGTTGCTCGGTGTCAACACCCAATACCCGCCTTTGACAGTCAAAGTATGGAACAACTGTGCCAGCTTCGTTTACCTTGATTACGAGAACGCTGACATGGACGCTGATCCGCTGGACAACACTCGTGTGCACCCTGAAGACTATGACATCGCACGTAAGATGGCTGCCGATGCTCTGGAGCTTGACGAGGAAGACATCAAGGCCGAGACCGATGAAAATGGCTCGGGTGCAATTGTGCGCAAACTCTTCCGTGACGAACAACAAGATCGTGTCAATGATCTGATCTTGGAGGAATACGCAGAGCAGCTGGAGAAGAACCTCAATCAGCGCAAGCGTGCCACTCTTGAAACTATTCGTGCGGAATTGCAACAACCATACGAGGAACTGCGCAAGCAGTTTGTCATGCTCGGCGTTGATGACATTTTCACCATGCTCACGGGCGAGACAGACGAAACTCTGGCTATTGATATGGTGGTGCCTATCAGCATCAAGCGAGTATTCGAGGACCACATTGATGCCAAACTGGATTGTGGGGTCGATGCGCTGGTCGCAGAGACCGAACTTGGACTGCCCTACGATGTCTCCGTGCGCAGCGTCTACCAAACACACCAGACGGTGTCTGCTAAGGTCATCATGCTAAACAAGAAAAGTTTCACTTGCAATGTGACCTTGCGTTCAGAAGAGGTCACCTCCTCTAGAGGCCGTAGAAGCAACCATGGTGTCGGTGACTGGGATGATGCGCAGGAGCGCAAAGACCGGGAAAGTCAGGTGGACAAAACTCAGCAGGGTGGCCAGGCCATGCGTGTTATCAAGCACCCTCTCTTCCATCCCTTCAATGCCACTCAAGCCGAAGAGTACTTGGGTTCTCACAGCCGTGGCGACATGGTCATTCGGCCATCATCACGAGGCCGCGATCATCTGGCAGTGACATGGAAGGTTGCACAGGGTGTCTACCAGCACATTGATGTTCTCGAACTAGACAAGGAAAACGAGTTCTCGGTCGGCCGCGTCCTGAAAGTTGGCGGCAAGTACACCTACAGTGACCTGGATGACCTCATTGTCAATCACGTCAAGGCCATGGCGAAGAAGGTAGATGAGATGATTCTCCACGAAAAGTATCAGGAGGGCAGTAAAGCGGACACAGGTAGATATACCTATTTTTTCATTACTCTCACTACAGTACTAACAGTTTCTACTAGATCAATGGCTCGAGACCTATACCCGGGCCAACCCCCGTCGTTCGACCTACGTTTTCTGCATTAACCCGAAGTACCCAGGCTACTTCTACCTCTGCTTCAAGGCTGGTGAACATGCACGCCTACAGCACTGGCCCGTCAAGGTGATTCCCCAGGGTTATGAGCTGCAGAAAAATCCCTATCCCGACATGCAAGCACTGTGCAATGGCTTCAAGCTCATGTTTCAAAACATGCAAGCAAGACGCCGTTAATAAGGAAGCAACGTTGAAAGGGAACGTCAGTCATAGGAAAATATGATGCTTCATATAGTCGTTCTTTCATTGTATAGTAATTTTTTCATTCAAGCGGACAAATACCAAGAAATGTACGCCCCTTTAAAGTCTTTCTGTGTCTCCATACAAGGTTGATTTGAGGTATAGAAATGTTCAAGGTTCTTTTAATGTATCAGAGGTTTTGTTGTAGTTCTCTTTAAGTGGGTCCAAGCTAGAATTGTGGGGTATTATTGGCTGATATTGGCTCCATAAATAAGTGGGTCTTGTAGATCTATGTTCTTTCTCTTTCGTCTCTGGCTGTATCTTGCATCCATATTTATATTCATAGTTATCTCTCAGTTCCGTCCACAAATTTTGGTTCTATTATAGTCAGTCTCTGAGTGACGAATCTGAGCTCACGATCTGATTCCGAGGGATATTCACCGCTAGTCAGTATACTTTGAGTTGAGAGCATTATAAATTATATTGAGATCCAACTTTGAAACTATGCCAGATCCTGGAGATGAAAGGATCCATGGGATATATATCTCATTTGTGTGCTGTTTGTATATGGAGTAAAAGTGGGTCTCTTACTTCTGAATAGCTTCATAAATTACAAGTTGGAGATCGAAGGACACATTTTCCAAAAGCCATCTAATGAACTTCAAGATGGTTTGAAAAAGAAGGTAAAGGGAGATTTATGAGATTTGGCAAAAACTCACTCTTACTATGACTTTCCAATGATGGAAAGCTCTAGTGGAGATAGAAAACTTTCAAAAGATGATAGTTTTTGGGGGTTTTAGGGAGACAGCACGTCTCGAACCGAGCTAACACAATAGGGAGTGTGGGCGTCTTAACCACTGCACTATAAGGTCTCGGGCGTGAAATGAACTCCCATTTTTGATATTATAACCCTAATTACCCCCGACTATAAGGGAGATATTACTGAGCAAACGGCGAATAGAGGATCCTAATAGGTACTTCATAATTGAATGACAACTCAAGAGAAGTCCATTCATGTTGGAGCATTTATACTCCGCCAGCAGCTTCCCCGCCCATCAACCTTCCAACCACCAAACATCCCTTTGAACTTCAAAATCACAAACTTCGATCGCAACAGTCATGTCAGAGTCTAGCTTCTACGGTAAGTCTCGGTTTCAGTCATCATAACAAAACTAACTTAATCCAGGTGACGACGCTGAAAAGGCTCGTTTGGAGCAATGCGTAGCAGCTTATGATCCAGAGCCTTTCTGGTCTCAGATTCACCCAAATCTGCTCTCCACAAGACAGCACGAGATGGAAAAACCGATGAAGCAGGAATGTTCAGATCCTGACGCAATGGATATAGATTTGGACATCAAACCAGAATTGGACGTCCAGCCAATTAAACCTTCATTTCCATCACCAAAATCTCTACCTTCCCACAAAAGCGGTCCTAATGAGTCGATCGAAGACTTCTTGATACGCCTCCCACCATCTACAACTATCTCAACCACAGAGCCATGGATTTGGATGTATGGACAGAAAGCCTACGAAATCGAGAGCGGTGACACAGCAACATTCGTGCGAAAGGGCGTAGAAATTCTACGTGCCTTCGAGGAGAAAAGTGCCGAGTTCCGAGCAGCGCATGATCAGTCTCAAGCTACAACCACCGCACCCTTGACGCGAAAGTTGAATGTTTTGCGCAAAAAGCTGCAGGCTGATATACTCTCCTTGGCACGTGAGACGGGTGTTACGGCTGGGAAATGGATGCTTTTTCCGAATGTTCGCGATGTGAATGAGGCTTGGAAGAAGATTGTTGTGGCGCTGGATCAGCAGGAGATTGATGGTGTGGCTAAAGCTGCTACGGATGATGGGTCGGGTCAATCACGTTTGATCTGTGTCTATACCTATGATTTTGAGGATAAGGAGGATTTGAAACGCGTGGTGAAGATGTTGGTCGATAAGGAATTGGTCGACGTGAACGACAAGCCTATTTACTACAAGTGTGATGCGTACACCTATCTCGAGATCACGAGTAAGAATGACTACGGGTTGAAGGCTAGTATGTTCTCCAGTCGAGACATAATCTCTGGAAAAGATTGAATCTACAAGTTGTGGACTCCTTTTATGGACTCCATGATTCTTCATGTTATCGCTGATGCATTGGACTGGGGGTATCTAGGAATTATGATAATTATGATAGCAATAATGAGATGACCTTTTATGGGTCAGATCAGTCGATTCATTCCTCTCCTTGACGAGCCTTTTCCATGACTTTTTTACAAGCCTGTCGGACTTCATCGACACCCTTAACCTGACCCCAAGCATCAAGTAGATGTTGAACCTCTTTCCAGTCATTTTCTGCATCCTCCTTTTTATTTTCAGATATGAGCTTCTCCAACCTCTCCGGCGCCGCAAGCACCCACCTCACAGTCTCCTTCTCAGCCATCTTATTTGATGGCTCGGCGGATCTAGCTTCTTTGATCTGTTTCCGAAGCTCCTCCCCCTCCTTAATCAGACCACCGGCAGTCTCAGCGACAAAGGCAATTGCCGGGCCCAAAGTCTTGGTCATAGTCAACGGAGCACTCCGATCATCCATACTCCGACGCATCTTCCCAATAGTCTCAACAGCCCTGATCAACTTAGAGTAATTGTCATACACAAGCGCTTTCCTCTCCCCGTCCAGAGTACGTATATCTCCCACCAGAGTATTCTCGGCTTTGAGAATAGTCAGCAGCGAAGAGGTAGATAGCAAATGGTCCACGTAGCGTTGTGGGTCGAAATCGGCACTGTCCAGCTCCGTCCCTGACTCCAACGTCGTCGGCTGAGACATGTCCCCCGCGTCTGTGCGGGGAACACTGCGTGAGCGATTTGTTGAGCCATGTGGACCTGGTTCTGAGCCTGGAGGCTTGAGGTTGTAGTAATCCCGGAGGGCAGAGCGGTTCCGTCGGGGATTGGGGTTAGGTGAGAGTGCCCGCGCCGTGGACGGAGTCGACGAGGTGCTCAGTCCACCGCCATGATTGTTATTTAGTATATCGAGTGACGGACGCGAAGAGGGGGGAGCTGGAGATTGGGCACGAGAAGAGGCAACAGAGTGCCGGGGAGAAGATATAGTGGACATGGTGGACGTTGTGATTGTTGGAGAGGAGAGTCCCGCGGAGACAAGATTGACGGGGCTTTAAGCGGTGGTCCGTGCCGGTATTGTTTTGGAGACATCATCCTTTCTTCCACCTCCATTTAAATTTTAAAAAATGGCTACTCCGGAGCAAATCGTAGCTCAAATACAAAACTCGAAGGGACTTACAGCGTCCCCGGCTTGGATCAACTCTTTCCTTGCTTCATCAACAGCTCAGCGCAATACCCCTGCTCTCATACAGACAGCTATATTCCGCATACTAGCGTCAGACTTCCGTGAGAGCTTATCGACAACACCAACTTCACGGTTTCCAGTCGATGTCTACGACACGAACCTCCAAGAAAGGTGCCTGCAAGTCTCAATTCCAGTGCAAGTGCTTGACATTGAAGACATCGGCTCTAGTCTCTGGAGCCAAGTCGAAGCAATAGAGCGCATCGAGCGCGGCGAAGCTATTCGCGGCCGTGAGATCATCCGCACTATCACTGTAGGCGAGGACGCAGATGCTGCAGCGCACAATGCTCCTGTGAGCACCGGATCTGGTCCTCATCGGCTCATTCTCCAAGATGCGTGTGGAGTGAAGGCGGTTGCGATTGAGATGGAACGTGTTGAGGGGCTTTCGTTGGATAAACTGTCTATCGGCTCGAAAATAATGTTGAAAAACGTAACTGTTGCACGTGGTATAATTTTATTAAACCCAAGTTGCGTTACTGTGCTCGGAGGCAAGATTGATGCGCTGGATCGGCCGTGGAAAGAGGAGAGAAAGAGGAAGTTATTAGAAAATATCGCTGCTTTGGAGGCAGATATCCCTTAATAGTATTTTGACACACATATAATACAACTAGAAAACGCTTCCACTAATCAGAGTATCACTATGCTAGGCTTTAGTACGGGAAACAGGTTCTATATCAGGCCGTAGTGAACTTGTACCCATTTGATTCCCATAGAAGCTTCCATTTGAGCTGAAAAAATACAAAGTGAAAATATTGAGGTAAATAGAAGGGAATGAGAGGTGATGGGTGATGGGTAATGGGGAACCATCAGAAGAGAAGACGGAGTGCCCTCCATCTCACTTCGTCACATGGGTAATGGGTAATAGAGGAAAGCGAAGCAATCCCGAGACATCAGAGCAGTATTGATCATTTCCAGCTTAGGTACGTGGAGCTTGCTCCCGCCCTGTCCAGTGTTTACTGGTTCTCATCATATTAGTCTCGGAAAGCAAGGAATACAGTATAAAAAGGCCCAGTCCCAATGTGGGGGGGGGGGGGGGAGTGTAAAGAGACAGAGACAGAAGAAGAGACAGAAGAAGAGAGAAGAGAAGAAAGAAAAGAGATGGAGGAGATACTTAAGGGGTATTCTGGACACGTGAGATTAGAAAAATGAGGTCATTAGATTGCAGACGTTTCGCTGCCTAAAATATTTCCGAATCACTCGTCTCAATTAGGCAATGGGTATACTTCCACACCTAGAATCGGTTTAGATCACGGGAGATGGAGAGCAAATACCCCTCCATCTTCTTCTCCTTTTTTTTCTTTCTGCCTTCTTCACATATCTTCTTTCTTATATTTGGTCCTGTCGATAAAGCCCCTGGGACCGGGCAAGAGGGAGAGCTAGCTTTCCGAGACTAATATGATGAGAACCAGTAAACACTGAACAGGGCGGGAGCAAGCTCCACGTACCTAAGCTAGAAATGATCAATACTGCTCTGATGTCTCGGGATTGCTTCGCTTTCCTCTATTACCCATTACCCATGTGACGAAGTGAGATGGAGGGCACTCCGTCTTCTCTTCTGATGGTTCCCCATTGCTTATCACTTATTCCCTGCCCGTTTAATTGATCTCCTTTCCATATTCCTTTCCTTTACTTTGCTTACTGGAAGCCCAAGTGTCAATGCTTCAGTATCACACACCCACAAGTGCTCATTCAAGGCCTGTCGAGTCAAGCGAGTCATCTATATTGTTGAGCGTTGGCGAGTGTTGGTATTTGTATCCCTAGGCTGACATCAATCTCTTTCGTTGATTCCATTTCATTATTTACTTCTAACATGTTTTGAAGCCCAAACCCAGACAATTATCCAGATTAAAAGCCGGACATCCGTTCAATTTTTCCGTTCGGATGCACGTTCAGGAGAAACCGACAATTACCTACCAAAGCCAAGCAGGAGTAGGGTGCTGTGGCTTATAATAAGCTGGAGCTATGCTTTCCCAACTCTTAAATCTTCAATGGACATCCAAACACGCGCACAATCCCGAAATAAAACTTTGGGCGATTTTCCTTCTATAATGATGAAGCAGAAGGCGCCTGATGAACTCTGAGCTGTGTGAACAATACGATGCAGCTTGAGTCTAGTGGAGCTAGTATATGGACATTGGAATCTTTGGGTTGGAACTGACATGAAAACGTGGCAAGGCCAAATTGGGCCATATCACAGGATTTACTGTTTCACAAATTACAAGCTGAATCACAGTAGCCACCTTCAATGAACAGACCATCAACATTGGCCTGGTTGTATGTTCAGAAGATGTTGCTGCACTTTTGGAGCTAACAAATTACTTTACGAGTTTACTTTCTGTTTACCTGCAATCTACTCTAGATTGAGATCCAGTTTCATCTAAGCAGAGATTGACATCTTAGGGTATTCTGCTGGCTCCAAAAAGTGCAGCAACTACTTAAGCCATTTATACCTACAACACAGGCCATTTACAGCGCGTATTGCGATTCCAGCCAGTCGCCACCTAGCGAACTACCATAGCCGTCTTCAACGAAGAGAATTTTGGTATTCACCCGCCTATAGATCTAGCTGGCATGAGTTATTGTTGCTCTTCTGCCATCACCAGAAGACATTGTTTCGTCGCCGTCGGAGGTGTATCCGTTCAGATTCCGCTCTAAACATTGATATTGATAGTGATCCAAACTTGCTCGATAATGGAAATCAATAGGTCTCACAGAAAAGCCAAGAAGACTCGTCACTCAGCAGTCTAAGGTCTTTTTCCAAAGTTTTTACCAAAATATTTGGAAGTGCTCAGAATTTCCGGCGTCGTTGCAGATTTTCTCAACAAAGGGCATCGCCTAAACTTTCGTGGTCTAATTTGGATTCGGGGTAGAATTAAATGAGTCAAATGAGAAGAAAATTTTCTAAATCAACTATATCTAGACAACTGGGGAAAAATTAGAATCAATTCTCCCTTGTATCGAATCTTGAAAGTTGCGTGAAATTTCCTGATCGAGTATTGAAGTGGATTCTCACCGCCCAGGATTTTCCTGTGGAAGAACGTCTCATCCTATCGCTTTCAAGAGTCTGGTATTGTCAATTTTATGCATTTTGAAGTCTTGAATCTTTAACAGGAAGCCCAGGCTATCATCATAGGGCACATAACAGGAGTTGAAAACTGGAAATTTGCGTTTCTATACTCAGCTAAATCCATGGCAAACATCCATCTACAATCCGCAACCACAGTCTTCCTAGACCAGCCACCAAGCTGTCTAGAATTCTGTCCAGACTTCCCAGACCACTTTGTAGTAGGCACATATCTCTTATCAGAGAATAAAGTGGACGAGCAGGTCGAACAGACAAAAACTGGCAGTTTGCAACTCTGGAAACTAAATCCAAACACAAATGAATTGTGAGTAAAGCCAGGATCGAGATTGTATAGTACTATTGAGCAATCTTTAACAATATCAAACAAGACTTTTGATTCAGCGAGTGGCCCTCCCGTATGCAGTCTTCGATCTTCACTTTCACCCTGGAGATAGAAGCAAGTTTGCCATAGCAGGCAGTACAGGCTGTATTGCCTTGTTCAACGTCTCTAGTAATTCTACAGACTCTTCAACGGAGCCCAGCATCAACCAGATATGGACAAAGCAAGTCCATGAGGATTCCTCCATTCCAGCTCTGTTCCTCGCATGGGCTCCACAGGACTGGCTTCCTGGGAAGATAACCAATGGATTTGCGGTAACGTTCTCCGATAGCCTAACAGCAGTGTTCGGAAGCGAAGGAGAAATTACAGAAGAAAGCCAAATCAACGAACTCGGCTCCTTCCAAGCTAGGCAGATGATCGAGGTGTGGTTCGTTGCATTAGCTTCAATGAAAGAGACTACGTCGCAAGAAATCACACCATTCATGTTCACTGGAAACGACTTTGGATCGCTGCATACGCGTCGGTTCGGGACGAGCACGGATGAAAATGATAGCAAACATGTGCTTGGTCCATTACTGCTTGACTACGATGATCGAGCCCGCCATCATACCGCGGGTGTGACGAGTATCTTGCCACTGCCTGTTCCAATGGTGGATGATGCCCCGATTCTGCTGACAGGAAGTTATGATGAAGGGCTACGCGTTTACCATGCCACGCGCAGGGGAGAGGTACTCGCTGAACAGGCACTTGGTGGTGGAGTCTGGCGACTGCAGTTGCTGGACACGAAGGGTTTGGAGGAAGCGAAGCAATCATTTTTGGTACTGGCGAGTTGTATGCATGCTGGAACGAGAGTTGTGCGGGTTAATCGGACACCGGGACGGAGTCAAGAGTGGGATATTGAGGTTTTGGCAGAGTTCACTGAGCATGAGAGCATGAACTATGCGAGCGGTGTGTGGGAGGGATCGGGGTCGGAGACGTCGTCTGAACTACTATGTGTATCTAGCAGCTTTTACGATCGTCGGGTTTGTGTATGGAGGGCCACAGTATAACAGTTGGCCAGAGGGTAAAGGATTCCCAACCCTTTTAAATGTGAATATCCAGACAGACCAAAGGCAGACCACAGGCGTAAGATGCTAGGAGTTCAGGGTGTGATTGTCACGACTAGAACAAAATCTACAATGCAAAAACGAATATAACCATTCATATACGACCTGGAAATGCCATTAACCTAGCTCATCAATTAAACAATAGTTTCTAGCTCCCGAGCGTATCCCAGTGCGTTCTCAATAACGGTGCCGCTGGCCACCAAAATATCCTTCTCAGATCTTGCAGCCGCTTCAGGCTCGACGGGGAAGTATATCCGGCCATCCCGGAGGATCCAGCCACGCTGTTTAGCAAACTCAATAACTGCACCCTCGGAGTCGAGGAAGAGAAGATTCTTGGCATTCGAGATGGGAAGGGAGGGATAGGCCTTCTCAGAGCAGCCAGCAATCTCGTTGCGGATGGTGCCAATGAGAACCTGCACAGATATTCCAGTCAGTGAATGAACCAAAAATGATATTCCCTCAAGAAAGAGAAGGTAAGATGCTTACATTTGAAAACAATCCAAAGTCTTCAGATGGCAGGTTCACGGACTTTGTCTCCCGCCACACCTTATCATAGCTTCCCTCCATCAAGTTGCGCTCCAGCTCAACGGGGTACTTGATATAAGCGTCATCCTCAATATTCTCACCCTTCAAGCTAGCCTCCTCTACTAACCCTTCCAGCACAGTATGGAAGTTGGCACTGTCACCCATGCTCAGCAGAAGCAACAAGTACAACCCTGTGATCTTGCTGCGCTGGCTCTTGCCAAATTCAGGCCCTGAGGAATTCTGTCCAGGAAGACCGGAGTGTCGCTCAAGATCATAGAAGAGCTGCAGTTGCTGATAATATCTTGTGAAGGTCTGAGGGTCGGTTTGACGGATTGAGGCTAGGGCACCGAGCTCGAGGACATCCCGAGCAAGAGCGACAAGCTGTGGAGGTGTAGATGGAGTTGGGATCAAGGCATTTTGCAGAAGGAGGGCGCGCTTTGCTTTGGTAAGAAGATCGTTGGCAACATCCAGCTGTTTGCGCTCCAGAGCATTACGAAGCTCTGGGACAAGGGTCTGTATGTTGGACATGGCGCTGTATGAATGATGTGATGTGATGAGTTGATAGGAGATTTATTGAGAGACCAGTGATTAGATGGTAATGATTACAATGGCAAGAAAGATGTTCGAGATGCTCTAAGTTGTTGGTGGTGAGAGTTGGCGAATGACCATGACGGAGCGGAGCTTCTGTGGGCGGTCAGCTGCATTATGTCACGTGACATTATGTAAACAGATTAGGAAGCTTTGTCACGTGGATGGTTTCATTGTGACTAAGCATTGAAATAAATCGTTAACTAACTAGTTAATGATATTACAGCTTACTGTAAATTTTAATATTATACTCTAATTCCGTTTCCTACTTGGTTAAAGTTGGTTTTTCATCCCTCAGCAGGAAAGTGAATTTAATTCACATTCTCATAGTATGGAATAATTAATCTGGTGAAGCAATACGGCATTCAACCCTAGGCTGGGGTCCAAAGGGTATCAAGTTCGATTTAGTCCACGGATGGTATTAGAGAGAACCGATGCCCAGCTGCCTCTGGCCCTCTGCGTTGGTTTGCACGGGATTCCATTTAAGAAGAGATTTGAAGGAGAATAGTTCAATAAATGAAAGTTACGATGGGCACGGGTATCAGATGAATAACTCAGAGTATTCCTCACTCTAAGCCCTGGGGAGAACTATACGAAGCATCAGCATCGGGTGGGAAATCAGAAGAGATTCCAAAGGAGTTTTATGTAGAGATGATGGAGAGAGGAAGGAAAACCCAGCTTATATACCCAAGAGCCTTGAATGTTTGCTAGCGCCGTCACTTAAATTTGGAAGTGAATGAAACTCAAGGTCTAATCTTCTCGTGAATGGAAGAAGGTATAACAATATGTTATGTTGATATTGAATAATAAGCTAGAATAGTAAAAGTATGAGTTGATAATAGTTTATTTCAATTCCGGGCCAGCCAACGGACTTGGGGTAGGAGGTGCAGAATTGGTGTGACTTGCAGAAGGGGCAGTAAGATCGACCTTCACTGAGCCCGTTGAAGAACTTGTGCCAGATTTTGCTCCACGAGTTGATGAACTTCCCCCACGACCATTTGTTCCATTATTACTAGTTGTATTGCCATTGTTGTTATCGGTAGCGCGCTTATGATCTCCAGCATCGTTCTTTTTGGCACCGCGAGCCCGACGAGTGGTACCGCCCCGAGATCCAGGCCCACGAAGAGGCAGACCTGTATCTTGTGAGATCGGTACAGAAGCTGTTGCAGAAGCTATGGCCACATGGGAGCTGGCTGCATTCGCACGCCCTCGACCTGTCCCACGACCCCGCCCACGACCACGTTTGACCGTACCATCCGCTCTGTTATAAAGTTAGCTTAGTTGAATCAAATGGAGGATAGGAGAAGTTTTTAAATGAGCAGAATAAAGTACGTATAGCAATACTGTTGATCACTGACCTTTCAATCTGAGCTGTCTCTCCGTCACGCACGAGCGGCCCGCTGTATACAAAGAATCCATCTTTGCTAGCAGCAGCAGCCGCCTGCCAAGACAGCTCAGTATCGTCAATGAAGCCATCGTCCTGGTCGTACTCTTCGACCTTCTTGCGGCGGGGCTTCTTTTTTCCCTCCTTGACTGAGGACGACTCGTCATTCTTTCCACCGATCATGGAAATATCACCATCCATGTCGCTGTCTTGATCGATATCGGCACTTTCCTCATCGAGACTTTCGCCGGCTGCCTTCGCCTCCAATGCGTTGCTTGCAGCTATCACTCGGGCCAAATGGCGTTTGCGAGCCGCTATGCGAGGGTGCACGGCATCAAATCCATACTTCTCTTCGGCCATGCGCAGAAAGTTAACGTGGACATTTCCTCCGCTAATATCAACTTCTATATCGATGTTCACACCCACGGGAGGTGGGCTATCATCCAAATTATCATCGGCTCCCCCGAACAGGGCACTGCTGATCCGACCCGAGCCTTGAGGAATTCTGGGTGTTTCTTTGGCTGCCTTAGCAGCGGGTGCCTTTTCCTTCTTTGCGCTGGGTGCCGGCTGCTCCTTTGGGTCAATATCCATTGCGCCATCAGACGACGGCAACACGGGCTTTTGAGGAGTTTCTGTCTGTGCCAAAGGTCCCGGTTGATTCTGCACTTGCGCCTTGGGCTGCGACTGTGTTTGTTGGGGTTGTTGCAAGGCTGGAGGAGAAGGTTCCTTGAGTGGCGATGATTGTTTTGAGGTCTGTTCTGGAGCAGCGTACGGAGTAAGATAATTTGGACGCGCCAGTGGCTGTGGGGTGTGAACAGTCCCATGCGACAGAGATGCAGCCATTGCAGGTGAGTTTAGAGAGCTTGGCGTAAAAGCCGGGGCAACGGGAGGCGCTGCAGGAGAGAGAGCAGTGGAGACATGACCAGACGGGGAGCGATGGGGTGTATAGAGCTGCTGCGAAACCTGTCCGACAGGGGGACGGTCGATAATGCTGGAGATAGCTGGCGATGCGCTAGCACTGTAGTTGTTCCGCGGAGACAGTGCATGAGCTGAGGGGGAGTAAGCTGGTGCAGGTGAAGGGTTGTCAAAAGCCGATCGAATGGGATCAAAATTCTGACCACTCGTACGTTGCGGAACTGGAGCGGGTTGCTGTGCAGGCTGTGCAGGCTGTGACTGCTGCGGGGGGAATTGCGGTAGATAAGATCCGGGACTGGTAGACTGAGAAGTATGCGAGTATGGAGTTGTAGCAGGTTGGGCAGGCTGGGGATGTGTTGAAGTATGGGGCAGCTTCGAAGGACTTGAGTCGATCGGGGTAACAGAAGTAGCAGAAGCAGGAGGAGCCGCCAGCCCCGAAGTAGGTTTGGGAGTTTCATCCAGCTTGGGCTTCTTGCGTGAGGAAGCAGTTGACTTCTCACGAGGACGACGAGTCGGAGTAGCTCGGGCAGGCTTATCTTTCTTATCCTCTTTTTCCTTTTTCGTCTTTTGTTTATCAGCAGGAGTGTCAGTCTTGCGACGCGACCGTCTGGCGGAGGGACGAGCTTGGTCAACTTTGGTGTCAAGATCCATGGGTGGATCGTCCTCTTTTGTCAAATCATGAACCTGAGGAGCAGACATGGCGAAAAGAGATGGAAAATCAAAATGGAAAATCAAAATCAGACGCGACAAAATGAATTCGGATGAATTTAAACGTGGCTGATTGATGGCATTCGTTGACGCGTTTGGAAGGTTGTGGGTATCAGAAAACACAAAGAAAAGAGCAAATCGGAAGGTTGAGGTTGGGAAAACAAAATCAATCGGGTCAGAAACTTAAGATAGAAGTGTGTAGATAGAGAAAGCGAAAAGAAGAAGGAATTGGGGAAGTGTGGAGGTGTGGAAGAAGAAAAGGAATTGAAGAAGAGAAAGAAGGAAAAGAGAAAGGAAAAAAAAGGGCAGAAAGGGGAAAAACAAGGAGCGAATTTGATGTGGTCGATTTGGCAGTTGTTCTTATTACAAGTACTGATACTGATAGTTCGTGAGGGGAAACGGTGCCAGATATACGAGGAACAACTGATATTGAGAATATAATAAATCAGAAGGAGTGTTTGAAACGAGTGTAGTTTGAATCGAGGATCTTTTTGATCTACTCAGCTTGAACTACTAAGAATCAAAATGGCTGAAGGTGAACTGTTACTCCAAACTACAAATGCCCCATGCGCGCGGATCTGGCGTTAGTGGAGTCGCAGCTTAGACCGCTTATAGACTTACCGTACCTCGACCTCATCCTTGATATCTCGATTGTAACGATAATATGCTGATACTTACTATTGAAATTAGAAATCAGAGTAACTGAATGATTATTCCTTCTCTTCATATATGAGAATTATCTCTGTTTTTACTATCTTGTCCGGAGGTGAGTTCCAGGGCACTCAGTAACGTTCGCAACTTGTCATCTATATTTTCAATATCGTAGCTATAGGACTGGCGCCCCGAATAAACTTTCTGCGCTCTCGCTCAATCCATATTTCATGTTATCGTCAGCCATTCAACTCGTCCCTTGAATTTACAAGATTGATTTTGGAAGTGCAATACAACCCGTTCGGGACTAGCTTACCCGCTATTTATACTAACCCAATTAGGTTAGATAACTGTATCTTCATTTAGGCTTTTTTTGAGCCGCAGAGCTGACTAAGTTATAACTTCTCTTCTTCAGCTCACAGCTTATCATGGCTTTTCGAGGTGAACGATTCGTCCTGGATCTGGACGACGAGGCCAGTCCTCCCGAAGATCCTACTCCTTCTCCATTCTCCCTGGTTGGAGAGATCAAAGAGCGCGAGTCCATCGCCGCCACAGCTCCAAAACCGCCGACCCCCACTGCTTCGACAACGGGCTTCCCCGCCCATCGCCAGCGCAAAAAATTTACATCCTTCAAGCAGCGCCAGGCTGAGAAATCTGCTGTATCAAATAATCCTACACAAGGTCTCGGGTCTCCACCAGTTCAAGATGACAAACAGTCCATTGCGGAGGAGAACAGCCGGCATCTAGCTTCTATGTCAGATGCGCAGGTTGAGCAGGAACGAGATGAATTGCTAGAGTCGATGGACCAAAGCCTGCTGGAACGATTTCTTCGCCGAGCCAAGATCAACGCAGATGAAGAATTTACTGGCGACTTTCCACAGCCAGCGTTAGACAATGCGGCGGCATCAACGTCCAAGAAATCGGTCTCTTTTGATATTCCCTCCGCCAACAACCCACCTCCGAAGGCGCCTCGATCTGATGTCAAGGAATCATCTAAACCATATGTATATGATGACGCCGCACCCACTCAAGTGCCTGAGGATCTTCGCCCCGCCTCCGAGTACCCATCTCTCGATCCGGCCACAATAGAAAAGTTCCACTTCCCCCAACCAAAACAACCAAGGCCAATACTCGACCCGTCTTCCCCCAACTTCCTGTCCGATCTTCAATCACACTACTTCCCAGAAATGACACACAATCCATCTGCACTATCATGGATGCAACCACTCACCAGCGACAAGGAAGACCCAGATTCAACCTCGGCCTACCATCCAGACAGTGAGGCCATCTCAGTTGCACCGTCTGCGCTCCGCTTCTCACTGGTTGGAAAAATTCTACCTCCATCAGTATCCCTTTCCCTTCCCACAAATCTTGGTTTACACCACCACGGCCAAGATCCACACGCAGCGGGATATACAATCCCCGAACTAGCCATTCTATCACGTTCCACTTTCCCGGCTCAACGATGCATATCATGGCAGGTTCTTGGCAGGATTCTCTTCCGACTGGGTTCGGGCGAATTTGGTGAGCGTGGCGGGCCGCTATCGGAGGGGTTGTGGTTTTGTATTGAGAAAGAAGGTGTTGTGGCAGGCATGCTGGCTGAATCTGAGGGTGCATCTGGACAGAGTATTGATAAGTCTCGTGGTAAGTCAGATGCAGAGAACGATGTTCTGATGCCTTCTGGTATTGGTCGTCATGCCAGTGCTGCTGCTTGGGCGGTTGAGGGTGTTTGGCTTTGGCAGAAGAGCGGGGGTGGAGACCGTGGCTTGTTGAAGAAAGGTCAGATTCGCAGCAATTAATGATTACTTCATTTTTACCTGGTCTTATGTCTTAGAATAATGAGTGTTATACGATTTTCCAGAAAAAAAAACTCATGGTCATATCAAGCGATCAAACTTCATGATATCCAGAATTTCACTATAATGGATTTTACAGAGTATTCGGAATAAAAGCCACTACAAAAAGAATATGAGGAGTTAAGCTTGGAATGAGAAGGCATGTATGTTATATTATTATTGCTAAAGTAAAATAATTGATTATTATTGAAATGGTAATGGTACCTTCATTTACTTTGATGATACTGGAAGTATAAACATATTGTCTAATTGGGAGTGATCTGGAAGTACACTAGTCAAATCGATCTAGACTAGCGTACGTGATCTAGATCACGGGAATACTGGCCTATAAGCCCCCCTTCAACCACTTCTTCTACCTTTTTTTCTTCCTTCTTCACATATCTTCTTTTTTTATATTTGGTCCTGTCGATATCGCCCCTGGGACCGGGCAAGGAGAGCTAGCTTTCCGAGACTAATATGATGAGAACCAGTATATACTGGACAGGACTGGAGCAAGCTCCACGTACCTAAGCTAGAAATTATCAATACTGCTCTGATGTCTCAGGTTGCTTCGCTTTCCTGCCCATTACCCATTTGAATAGTCCATTTCCATTTCCTTTACCCATGTGATCAAGTTGAGACAGAGAGCGCTCTATCTTCCCTTATGATGATTATTTCTCTCTTTCTTTCCCACGTCTCTATCATTTTTACTCACATTCTCAATTTTCCAATTCCATTTCCATTTCGTTTTGGTTTTTGATTTTTCCTTTTCACTCTTCCCTCATCTCCCTCCCACTTCCATCTTCCACCGTCTGTCTTCATCTCTATTTTCGCTTCCATTTTCATTTATTTTCTCACTTCCCCTCTATTTTTCTTTCTTTTCCACTTTCATATCCATCATCATCAAATACCCTACATATTTTCTTGCTCTTTTGGGTTATCTATCTTATCAACATCTTGTGAGAAGCTAAATGAGTCCTCCATATTCGGTTTGTCCCTGTATCTCTCTGTTTTGATTCTAGCTGATATTTTTTACAGTGATTGTCGATTCCCTGCACATAGTGTATGATCTCAAGATACTACTACGCTGTTGTTAGTTTGGATATCATGGAGTATTGTACACCAGTCTGAACATTTTTATATGGGGCTCATCAAGCAGCCACAATTTGAACTTCTTTCCAGGTAAGAACCCGTAGAGTGGCTCGATTTGATAGTGCAATATGCGCTACAATTGTGTGAAAGATTTCCCCATGAAAGGCGAGGGTGGAAGAGCTTACCATTAACTCGTTACTGAGAGGAATCGTGGTTCTTCTAGGTTCGAATAGCTCATGAAGCCCTGGTACCAATCTACAAACAACCAACCTCCATAATACTAAATTCGAGCCCATGAATCTCTAGACCAAGAGGTCAACGTCGTTATGACACAGAATGGGTCGAGCTATTGATTGGAATTTCAGGTATTGAATTCATGTCCTGACTTGTCTTTGTGTTTCCGTTTCGGCTGTATACAAACAAACTATTTATTACCTTGATACAAAACCCAACGATGATTCCAAGGCCTCTTTTACCAAACCACTTTCTGAACCCAGTTATGCTGTCCGTGAATCAAGTAGATGAGACTGTTTCTGGAATTCCTGATATCCACCTCGATTCTGGCCGAGGTATAAACCCATCCGGTTCAACTGGGTAGGTCCGTCCACCGGTGGAGGTCAACATCTTTCTGCATATCTTACTGATCTGACCTTCGGAATATATACTGGACGTGGGAGTATTGTACTTAAATTGTAAATTTATTGAAATTGGATGCATTACCTATGAGGGATATCATACCGTTTTATGATACATGGAATATTAAAACACTCACTCAGCTAAAAGTCGTATACAAAAAGTGAAGACTACACCAAAACTCCGCTTCACCGATAAAACGTAAAGCCTATTAAGCGCTGCAGGTTCGGTTCATCGAACATTCGGCATTGATCACACCCTCATCCTTAATCTGCACGCCCCAGATCTTCCATCTCAAATCCTCGATGAATTCCCTCCGTAACCACAAACCAGATACCTGTGTGTGTGTCTGTGATTGGCCACCATCGGCTCTTTCTTCGACCCGAGAGCGATCAAGCCACTCGAACAGAAGCTTGAGTTGAAAGATACGATCACGAACTTCATCTGGATCGGCACCGCGGCCACGTGCAGACTGAATTATGTTGTGCACTGTATTAGACAGCGATAGCTTGACATCGACGGATGAAGTGCGGAGCCAAGGGGGTGCGGTCACCATATGGGTACAAATGCGAGGCGACGGTAGCGGGAGCGAAGTTGGAAGGACAAGGGCACGTTCGCCGATGTCAAGATTCTTCAGTGATGGAAGGTGAAAGACCCAGTCCCAGGGGCTTTGGAAAGGTGTCGTTTCTGCAGGTGGTGAAAAGGATGACAGGGCCTCGCGGTTGAGCCAGGTGGAGGGTGGAAGACCCCTAGCAGGGGTTGCGACAGCTGTAGATGTTGGTAGAATGTCCTGTGCCTCGCTTAGGGCGATGAGAGTAGATGCAAAGACTGAGGTTTGGGTGGAAGCCCCAGGAAGGCTGTAGGTCATTTTGCGGCGGAGGTACACTGACGGGTCTCCATGGCGGAATTTGTCTTGAAGAACATTATCTTGGGTGAAATCCAGGACGAGGGGCCAGTGATCTGAGCCTTGTACCTCAATTTGTGCAATCCCGGCAGGGTCGGGAAGTAGACAAGGAGCAGAAAGTTGGTTAATTGAACCGTTATGGGATGTTATCGTGATGGGAATGGTAATAGGCCGGCTAGTATCAAGGTCACGGGGAATTAAGCAGCGCGGCTCCGCAGCAAGAACCCACAAGTGGCGAAAGGCTTGAAGGTGACATGTGTTGTCAAGAACGCTAGTTGGGAAAATTGGATAAAATGCGCAGAGGAGCGAGGTCACGGCAAGATCAGATGTGCCGAGCGTGTAGCTACCTCCGCCAAGGAACAGCATGCCAATTGCCATGTTCGTTGCCATGTGGCTACCGTAAGGAGTGTCGGGGTCGATCCTACCATGAAGAGATCGAAGACGCCGAAATAGGACCAGATCTCCAGTACCTGCCATGACGGCGGAGGCAGCCAGAGAAACCACATCCTGGCAGTTGCGAACCGAGTTGCGTGCTAACTTGGCATCATAGTTCTCCGCTGGGAGTCGACAAATGCGAATCAATTGGACCAAGTAGTAAAGCAACAGGTCCCTCGCATGAAGGTCACTAGAGCCAGCGAAGCGAAGCCCAAGAGCTAAACAAAGACCGGCTATTATATTGAAGAAAGGCATGTCTTCACTACGTAGCTTAGACACTCCACGGAGTCGGGACCGCCGTCGATAGATCTGAGGCAGACTGTCATTCAGCCAATCAGTGTTAGGCTTAATATTGTCCCACATGATAAGGTGTCGTGCCAGGGTCCGCAGAAGGAACATATCAGGCCGGACATAGTCATAGCGCTCGGTAGTATCGGGAATGTCGATTTGCTTGGCCAGAGTCGCATCGTTGGTTTTCATGAAAACTATGGCCAATGCAATCGTAGCACCTGCTGTAGCACGGTCGAGCACATGTGCAATATCAACGTTTTTAGTGTTGACAGCGATTGCCAGCAACCGCTCCATGATGTGCATGTCGCGCAATCCCCGTAAATCTTTGCCCTTGCCAAGATTAATCAAACCAAGCGAAAAGCCCGCGGCCAGACGATATCCTTCACCTCGAAGGCTCTCTTGCAAAGTGAACTGAGTAGACTGCTCATCCTGGTCAATGTTTTCCAATTCTGAGAGCATAATCTCGCTCATCCGCCGATGTTGAGAGCCGCAATAGACCAAGCCAATACCCATGATACCAGCAGCCTGTGTAAGCGGCGAGATATTCAGCTCTGCCGCGCCGAGAGGCAACATTCGTGTGACGTGGACAGATAGCAAGCGGGTGGTAAGCATGTCCATCGTACCGAGATATGAAGCCGAAAGACCGAGTAAAAGACCGATGGAGGTCATGGTGTGTTTAGGAGTAAGATACTTGAAAGAAACCCACTTGGCGAGTGACCTTAGAAGGCCATTTAAGCCCAAGGCTAATAAGAATCCAGCATGTCTGTTGGTGAGCTCTGGTGGCTTGTTGAACAGGATCCACGATGTATCTATTCCCTTGGAAGCTTTGGATATTGCGAGTCCTGTGGACACGCCGTTATGGAAAAATGCCCAGCAGATCTTCTCTTCTGTGAATGCTGCTCTGTCAACACTGAGCGTAACGTTGGTTGGTGCCATCACGCACTGCATGTTGAAAGATGGAATGGGCAATTTTTCCGTTAGTAGCGGAAGTCTGCTACTGAAGCTTAGCATGGCGCGACCTGTAGGAATAGATAGAGTCCTAAACGACACAATGTGTACAAGCTCTTTCTGTGCATCAAGTAATTGGGTTTCTGTCCAATCAGGTTCTGGCACGCACTCGGTCACTGGCGCTTTTGTTTGATTAAGAATTCGAGTTGCTTCTAAAAAGCGCTTATCATCTCGGAAGATGAGCCTCGTCAATAAAGCCCGGTCAGCCTCAGCAGAGGCTTCAAAAGCACTGACATTGTCAATTTCCAATGCCGAGGTGCTGACATAGTGATAATCGCGCACAGCGTCATGAGAAACGACTGGCTGCGGGAGGGCTGCTAATGAACGAGCATTGGCGGGATTCATTGATATGTAAAGATCTTCACGGTCTATGAGCTCCAAGAGCGAAGAGTTCCACGAAGTCGAAGCCTCAAATTGTGCCTGCATCATCACCTCATAGAATTTTGCACTGAGACCTTCCGGTAAAGTGTCGATGATACTCTTAGTGAAGCCCCAACGATGAAACAGTTGAATCTTTTCCAAGGAGGTTGAGGCAGCGCGAACTTCAGAAAAGAAACCATTCAGCGCAAACGTCCTCGGGGTGATATTAAAGCATTCTCGCCAAATGCGTCCCTTTCTAGGGGTCAGCTCTGTGTTATTGAGAACATCAAGAAGGGTGATAAAGGGAGAGACCGCTCCGCTGGCAGCCTGAATGATGTGGACAAAGACCGAAGAAGGAGGGTAGGGTTCTGCATGGACACTCAGCCGGGTGATACGAGAATCTTCAAATTTCCAGCGGTCCATGCTCGCCATTTCAAGTCCATAATAAGCATCCTCGCTCCACTTCCAGGATTGCCAACCCAACCAGCCACCGATCTGCGCGAGGACAGGCGCAAGCAGTCCCAATGGACGTCGGGATTCTTCAGCGTCACAAGTAGAAAGCTTCTGTTCTTCTCGAAAAAGGTGCAAGCCAACGAGTATCTTACCCAGCGCAGTGCTCCGGGTGGTGTCTGCAAACGCATCAGATATCGGCAAGTATCCAGCGCGGCCGGTAGCTTTGGCGCCCTGTTGACTCTGGGAAAATTCGCGTGTGAGTGAGATGCATCTCAAGAGATACGAATTAGGTCGGTATGTGGATTTGCTTCCCATAGATTGTTCATTTTTAGGCGTTCGAGATGCTCTTCGGGCTACTGGTTCCTCAATCGCATCTTGCTCCACGATCCAACTCCAAGCACTCCCTATCATCCACGGCGCCACTACACCAGAAGATGAAGACTCCGTGTCCAGCATGGCTTCCCAGCTTTCTAAGTCCACAAGACTGCCACTGCTTGATCGAAGCAGTCCTTTTTTTCGGCGTGTCCGCTTGACTGGTGGTTGGACTGGCGGCTTGATGAACGGGACTGCGAGAGAGAATAATACTATAACCATCGCTGTCCATTCAATGTCACTTTCGAATTCTTCCTTTTCTCGAAGCCATTTCATCACCTCCCACCAGGCTAGCTGTATGCCATCACCTGCTTTCTCCGTATTTCGTAGAACAAACTTGCAGACGCTCAGAACTTTCTTAACGATATCATTGCGTGGTTCCATTCGTATTTGAAGTCGGTGGCGTTGTTTGTTCGTATCCACCAAATCGATCTTCCCCTTCGAAGATGCATGATCGAACCCCTCATGAACAAGCTCAGAGTCAGCCATGACACGGTTGACGCCGCTTTCTCTCGGGCGGCTCACGAGTTTATTGGACGATATTCCATGGGGTTCATACAGCTGCAGCGGACAGGGGATGTCCACTTTTATCGGACTACCCCAGAAAGAGTGCAATGACAATAGCGGTCGTCCATTCTCAGGCACAAGCAAGGCAATGATTCGTGATATATCTCCATCGGTAACTCTTGCAACATCCAGAACATTTGGATAATTTTGGATACTAACGGAGTGTACACGCAGTGGCCGCAGTGAACGCTCAGGAAGCTTACCCTCCTTGGAAGATCCCGACTTTCGGTTCTTTGAGACTGCAACTCGTTCTGCTCTCAGGGTCACGATGGTCATATCTCGTGAGTCTTGGTCAACGATACAGACAGCAATGGTGGAAGTATTTCCTTTACTTGCAGGGCCATAATCTGATGAAGACAATGTGGATATTTTCAATCGGCGGTGCGAAGGTGAGTTTTGAAAGGACCCCGTGAACCTGGCGGTGAAACTCTCGACCTTGGACAAGAGAAGTTCTTCGGGCAAGCCTGTCGCCGAATCACGGCTGGCACTGTTTTCAAATCGATCCGATAGAATATCGTTGTTGAGTGATTCCAGCACCTTATCTACTGGAGCCTCAAAACTACCTGCAGCGCTGTAGACTGATCCGGCTGCTGGGGGTAGTGAAGCACGAGGGTTAAATCCAAAGCTCACACGAGTACTTCCCAGTGATTGCCTCGACCCGCCATGGATTATGCTGCTAGATTGACTGCCACTGGCTAGATCTGAAAACGTGATACGATCCTGGCTGTTGGCCAGATCAGTTCGTGCAAGTAGTGAGCTGACTCTTCTAGAACTTTTGCGCGGCACCCCAACTTCTCCAAAATCTTGGGCAACTCTTGCGACTAAGTCCTCTTCGTCATCTAGCTTAGATTCGGTTACCTGAGACGCATTCCGGTTGTCTGTCAAGTGCCCAAAGCTTTCACGAGCTCCTGGTCGACTGGCTGGGGTTGTCGAACCAGTCGCAAGATTGGAGCTTCTTCTAGTAGAGAGCCTTCCTTCCGTATATCTCCGAGTCTTTTCCTTGATTGAGCCACTTGGTTTGTCACCTCGGTATCTGGCTGTCCAGATTGTGTAGAATGCAGTTGCTGTGTTTAAGGTGATTACGAGGATCAACGGGCTTCCTGGAACTTGGTGGAGGCTCGACAATTCATCTTTAGGAGAAATGTAGATAACTTCATCCGATGGGTCTAGTATATCTAGCCCTGACTGCCGTCGCCTATTACCGTTGGCACGGTTTTTTATCCAGTGAGAAGCTTCCGATGTCACAACCAAGCCCATTTCCGAATGAGGGTCAATAAGTGAAAACACGCGTGGGAGGTCGGAGTCTGGGTAGGGGTTTGAGGAGCCGTACCCGACAGAGGAAAGTCGCAGAGACGCTCGCTTTTTGCTAGAGGTTGGTATTCCCGATTGCGAGGGCATAGGGTTGAGGAAGTAATTCACAAATGGATTTGCTTCCGTTTTACTTTCCGGGATCTTTCTCTGAAGAAGAATTCCACGTGGAGTTGCAAAGACGGAATCAACCTCAAACTGAAGAGGAATGGTATGACTGTTCCCTGTAATAAAGAATATGTGGGCTTGTGACTTGAGAACGACGACCAAGGCTCTTGATAATTTCTCATTGGGCCTAGGATCAACAACTACAACTGGTGTTTTTGCATTCAAGTCCAATATTGTTCCTGAATTTCTCGAAGTAGAACCATATTCGCGTCGTCGGCCCGGTCCTTGTCCCGGCGCATTTGTTTTTGTGGTCGTGTTAAATGGATTCGCATTCTGTGTGGCTGCAGATCGATTGACTTCTCCCTCTGCGAACTGAGTAAACAAAGCGTGCCGTATCTCCTCTTGTTCAGCATCCAGGCGAAAGACTCGCTTTACCATCCCTGCGCGAGACCATACAACACAGTGTTTAGTCCATACCAATTCATCATCGACTGAGCCAGCTGAGCCAGTTGAGCTAGTTGAGCCATCATCAATGCTTGTTGACCACTTGTAAAGATCTTCTGATGGGTCTGGGGGTAGGATTCCTTCTGTGACTAGGTAGGAGAGCGCGGAGGGTTCGTGGAGACCAAGTGATCGCGTGGAAGCCATGATGGGCTGTTTAGTAGCTGATATAGCATTCGCAATGCACCGTCACAAGCAAGTTTCTGGCTAAAGCTGCTGTGATCAGCATTTCGATAGTTTAAAAAAAAAGTGCATCAAATTGAGGTGTTATGTTTACGCAATCAAAGAAGACCCATCGTGCAAATGAAGTATTTCTGGCAGAATACCTCACCGTCTTTACTTAGGCACTAAGATCATACCAACCGCCTACCTTGTTTAGAGCTTACCCCCACTTTGAAATATACTTCGTTTCCTCCTAACAATATCTACTGTGTTGTAAGATGTAATTTCATGAGCTTGATATGCTATATAATCCAAGGTTCTGACATCAATTCAATATATACTGGGCACTTCTGAGGCTCAGTCATGTTTTCAGCTACATATTATATGAGAATTTTTCTGCCGCTTGAATACACAAAAATACATCAAAGTATATTTCAATACATATAGAATACTGACTTGCATGATGGGTCTTATTTGATGCCGTAATGCTGGCAAGAGGGGCATTGAATGTTGGAGTGGACGCGCAGGAACGCGGGATCAACCTTGCCTACTTCCCGAGTTCTTTCCTCTAACAACTTTCATCCCTCCCACTCCACCACCACCACATACATCATTTACTTTTCCACCGACTTTAGTTCACCTTTTCATTTCAGTTGTACTCCAAGCAGTTGATCAGTTGATCCAGACTCTCATATCATTGGTATCCACCTTATTCATTACCCTACGCCTTTCGGTGCCTGTACTTGAAGCTTTCTCTCCTGGTTAGCTCGGTATCATGCCTTCATTTCCTGAGAATCCGCTAGTCCGGACCAGAGAAGGTTGCCTCCAGCTAAGGTATTCACTTGTGCTTCCTCTTTTGACTGAAGCTTAGTGACTGATGTAATCGTCCTTCAAATTTTTTAGCTATCGGCTCCCACACCGTGTCAATGCCGCTAAAGGCTACCCTCTTCGTGCTCCGAACGGTTCTTCAATCATTATCTATGGTAGTGATAAGGGATTGAAGGTTGTATGGAGGGGAGGACGTCAGTTTTCTGAACTTAAGTCACCTGAGATCTCACGACAAGATAAAAACGCTAGTGACAATGGAGGTGATACTGTGATGATCATTGACTCGGACGATGAGGCTGAGGCTGAAGCGCCGCCTTCTCAGGAATTGCCTCGCTATGAATTCTCCTCACAGGAAAGTGAGGTTGATCCTTCATTTCCCTTTGAACCGATCCTCCGACAAATCGATATTCATCTAGGAAGCGAAATTCTCGATCTAGCCATCCCTCGCGTCCTTTCCGAGGAGTCACGCTCGCCCCTTGACCCATTTCCCCCCATTCTGAAGACTACCATTATCGTGGCCGCGGTATGCGCTGATCTCTCGACCCGAATCCTGACTCTCCCGCTGTGTCCTCCTCATCCTAAACAAATTGATCCTAAGAGTTGGGAAACCCAATGTTTTTCTATCAACGGCGTAAGCCACCAAGATGTCCCTCGTGGTGTTTCTCTCACTTTTACTTGCCAAGAGATTGAAGAGGACCAAGGTCACAATTCTCGGGATCGACCCGGAAAATGGGACGTTTTTGTGGCCACCCATTCTGCTGAAGGGTCCGGTGTTCTTTTGCTTCATCGCATTCCTATCCGTGAGGAGTCATCTGGCTCATATCGTTTGCTTGCGGAGGAAACATCATCTCAGCGGCGACTCTTGCCCTCTCCAGCTCAGCGAATTGCCTTCAACCCCTCAGCTTACCCATCCACTCGCCACTCTAACTTATTGGTCGCATTCCATAGCGGATGTGTCAAGATTTACTCCTGCTTCTCCTTCAAGAAGCCTGCGAAGGTGACAGCGCGCCGCTCGTCGAATGCAAATGAAGAATATCAGACTTTGGACACCGAGGGCCGATGGCTTATCAGTCTGTATCCCGGTTTTGAACCAGGGTCTACTGGTTTTCCGCGTCGAAAGACCATCATTGATGCTGACTGGGTCCTGGGTGGCCAATCGATCATGGTTCTTCTCATGGATGGTGAATGGGGTGTCTGGGATATTGAAGGCACTGGTCCTGGCGCAATCAAGGGCCCTCTGCACCGCCAGGCAAATGTTCAAGGTGTGAGTGGCGGCTCACTTACTGCATACGCTGTCAGCGGTCGTATTGCGACCCAACCATCCAACACACAATCAGAAACTGAGCAACGACCGCGTTTCGCACCGATGACTCCATCTACAAAACGTGTCCGTGAAGACACTCTCCTCAAGGGATCTCTGAGAGCAGCTAGTCCGTCACTCCGAGGGCAGATCTCCGTATTCCAGACGAACTCGTCACAGGAAGCACTTCCTGATGAGTCCATTCTATTGCGCCACGGTCTCCAGAGTGCAGTGATTCCCAGTTTGCTTTCTCTATGGCGCAACGCTGTTCGATCCACAGGTACTCTTGATGCCTCCAATCGATGCAGAGTTACTCCTTTCCAAGATGTCAACATGATGGGGGAGAATTTCCAGGCGATAAGCCACCTCCCCGCGCCAGTGCGCCGCTCACGAGCTAATGATCGTCCTCTCTTTGACGTTCTTGTTGCTGCTGAGCATCAGATTATGATTATTGCACCCCGTCTAACAGAGTCCCAGGAACTTCCAAAGGCACAGGCCAAAAAAGAAAATACAGCTGAGGACGATCAGAAGAAACTGCGCCAGGGCGAATTAGATGTCGAAGGAATGGGCCGATTGCTAAATGGTATGGCGAGTGGGACTGGATCGGTACGCATCGCGACTAGTCCAGTGAAACGAGCCCGCATCTTCGCTTGATCCTGCATCGATATCAACCATAGACGATACCCATGTTGCAATGATTGTTTTCCATCACCAGTTCTCACTCAACTTTATTTATTCTTCTAGGCCTTCCCTTCATTCGCGCTGACAAGGTGGAGCGCGAGGCGAGATCAATGCCTTGAAGTTCCTGTCTTCGGACGGGAATAAGCTCTGTATCAGATGCGATATATCAAATACCATTACTTGGTGCGCTCGGCGCATTAGCCTTGGGCCTTGTGTCCTGTACCCAACTTTGTCCTACGGAGTTCCTGCTTTTCCTCCCTGTCGACATAGACATCGATGCTATCTTCGGATGACTTCTACATAGATGTCTATGGAGGCTCGACTTGGATTTGTAGTCCGGAACAAATTGGGTGCACAAGTTGGCTCCGATGGAACATTAACAATAATCAATTATCAAACTAGAAATAAGTACACATCTCCATAGTTTATTGCAGAACCTTGGAGCATAATAAATAAATTAGGAGCTCTTTTTGACCCACTCTTTATAGTAGGAGCAGTGACAATACGTTATTAAGTAAAAATACGTAACTTACTAGTTTCTGCCCTTTGAGCTGTGAGACAGAAGGCGGTCAATCACTCCCAAGTATTTAGTATTCTTCACTGTAACTTACGCCGAGCATCAATAATTGTAAAATCAAAACAAGCGCACTGCAAACTTGCTGGCGTTGGTTTAGCATCATTGCCTACCAGCCTTGTAAATTTTTCCTCCTCTTCATTTTCCCCAATATCCCATCTTCACCAGTACGTTTTTGTTCAATATTGAATATCTTCGTGCTTCTACAGGATACCTCGATAAGATAAGATAAGATACAAGACATAACAATGGTGCAGTACAACCTTCCCCCACTCTCTCCAGGATATTTCTACCAGCAATCGGCCATGACAACGTCCAAGGCAGCCTTGAAAGAGGTTCGGGAAACTTTGGAAGCTGGTAAATATGGTCCTGCAGCAGTCAGAGCTTTGGAACTGATTCAGAAGGACCCGAATAACTACTACTTGTACGTGGGATTACTGGATTCCTTTCATTCTTTGAGGCTGACATACTTCTCATACAGGAAAGTATTTTTTGGTGTCGCGAACGAGAAATTGAACCAACTTCAAGATGCGGAGACTGCTTTTAACCAAGCGACTAACCTCAACCCCAGTGATCCACTCGCTTGGCAAGGATTGATCACCTTGTATGACCGGTGGACCGGCGGTAAGAAACTGGACCAATTTCGACATGCCGTCCTCCAGCTCGGTCAGATATATCAGGAAAGGTATGTACTACTCAATTGCGGGCATCTCTCTTTAATAACACTTGGTTACAGAAACCTACCCGACCGCTGTCAAGATATCGTGAACAGATACACGAAGGCAGCCCAGAAGAGTGGCACCCCGCTCCAATACAAACAATCTCTTGAATTGCAGATCCCATCCTCCCCTTTGTACGAATTTCTTGAAGGCCGACTCCCGCGGCCCTCCCAGACCTACAGCCGTCTGGTCGATATAACCGAGGTGGAGGAGAAAGAGTGGATCAATCGCGAAATTGGTGAGCGCAGAACGCGACTCGGTGCTAAACTTGACGAGGTCACAATCGAAGTGAAAAAAGAAGCTTCCAAAAAATTTCAACTCGACCAGCTGTACAACGAGCTGATTAGCTGGTCGAACGACGATGTAGTCCGACGAGAATGTGAGGAGAAACTCCTGGTCCGCGCATACGAGGGACTCGCATTTTTCTCTGGAAAGCAGAAGGACAAGCAACGCCGAAATGTCGAAAAAGCTGCTAAGGATATGGTCATCATCAAGCACCCTTTCCAACTTGCCTGGGATATCTTTCTGGAGTGGCAGGACATTGAAGAGTATTCGCAATACGATGTGGGAGTCTTACGCCAATATATTGAATTCTTTGAGTCAGGAGATTCAGGTCTGGCTAAGATCCTCAAAGCGTTTCTTGCAAGTGGACTTTCTCCCTTCCCGCCAGATGAAAAGGCAGCCGACGATGATGAAGCCTCGGCGAAGGACCCCGAAAATTCTGAGAGTTCCGATGGTGATCCAGTCACTGCCGATGAACTATTGCTCCTGATGGTTGAGGGTTTCGAGAAGGCCCCTTCTTCTATCATTGCGCACCGGATTACAGCAGATTTCTACTTCTCAATTGATGAATATTCCACCGCTATCGAAACAGCTCGTAAGGGACAAGTCTGTACTTCCGCAGTCGTCAATTACACTGGGGGGCTTCTACAAAACCATGATGATGCTCTGTGCACCACGCTCGCCAACTCTCTGATTCATTATCAAGCACCTCGTTACCACCTTGAGGCCAAAAAACTCTTCGAGGACATTCTCAAGAGAAAACCATCTTCTACCACCTGCCTTCTAGGCGTCGGCTTGGTCTTGGAAATTGATGAGCAGTATGAAAATGCGGCAGATTTCTTTCAACGTGCCTGCGAACGTGATCCTTCCAATATCAAGATTCGCGGGGAACTGGCATGGTGCAATGCCAAGGCTGGAGATATGGAGGCCGGGCTTAAAGCCCTGCAAGACGTCCTCGCAAGGGTCATCGAGGAACAGCCTGACAACAAGCCGTTGAAATCTGAGCTTCTGTATCGCATTGGTCACTGTCAATGGGAGTTAGACCCATCCCCGGCTGTCCGAAAAGATCGCAAGGGTGCTTTTGCAAACTTCCTAGCCTCTATCACCGCCAACCTTAACTACGCCCCGGCATATACGAGCCTGGGTATCTACTACTCTGACTATAAGGGCGACAAAGTTAGAGCACGCAAGTGCTTCCACAAGGCTTTTGAGCTGTCCTCGTCGGAAATCGAAGCCGCGGAACGTCTTGCAAAAGGATTTGCGGACCTCAAAGAGTGGGAGATCGTAGAGGCTGTTGCCCAGCGAGTGATTGACTCTGGAAAGGTTCAGCCTTCACCTGGCTCGAAGCGTAAAGGGTTTAGCTGGCCATTTGCTGCCCTCGGAACAGTTCAAATCAACAAGCAGCAGTACGCCCAAAGTACTGTTTCGTTTCAAAACGCCCTTCGAGTCTCCGGTGATGATTATTATGCTTGGGTGGGTCTGGCTGAAAGCTACCATCATTCCGGTCGATACATCGCTGCGACCAAGGCTTTTGAGTATCTGCAGACCCTGGAATCTAAGCTCTCAAGTGAAGACCGTGAAAATGTCTGGTTTGTCCATTACATGCAGGCAAACGTGAAGAGAGAGCTTGGTGACTACACGGATGCTATCGACAACTACCGTGATATCCTGGCTACCCGCGCGGGTGATCTCGGCGTCTCGGTGACTCTTCTGCAAACTCTGGTAGAGAACTCGTGGAGATGTCTCCGCTCCGGATTGTTCAACGAAGCCGCAGAGCAGTCGATCAAAGCCCTCGAACTGTCCAGCAGTATCGTCGAGACTCGAGCTGACATTTCCAACATGTGGAAATCAGTCGGTGATGCCTGCGCCAACTTCTCCTACATTAAGAAAAAGACAGGGCTCCTCTCTTTCTCGAAGTGTAAGGCTCTCATCACTACTCAACTTGACCCCGTGGCACTTGATCTCCTGAGCGAGGTTGATGGAGTGGGTAACAGTTGGCTTTACGAAAATGAAGACTCCCATTCTTCTGATTTCTGTGTCTACATGTCTATCCTGGCTTACAAACGTGCAATTGATGCTTCCATCAATGATCCCTATTCCCAGGCTATTGGATGGTACAATCTTGGCTGGGCTGAGTATCGCGCCTATCGCCATAGTAGCAAGGGTAAGAAGCCTCGCAAGTTTCTCATGGCGGCGATGCGCTGTTTCAAACGAGCCATTGAGCTGGAAGCTGGCAATTCGGAGTTCTGGAACTCACTGGCTGTTGCTACCACTGAACTGAACCCGGAGGTGGCCCAGCATGCTTTTGTGAGAAGCTTGCATCTGAACGAGAAGAATGCACGAGCTTGGTGCAACCTCGGAACATTCTATCTCATTCACAAGGAAATTCAGCTGGCCAATGAAGCTTTTATGCGCGCCCAGTCGATTGATCCGGATTATCCCCAGGCCTGGATTGGCCAGGGATTCGTCGCACTCAACTATCTTGACACTGCGGAAGCCCGAAGTGTCTTTGAGCATGCGTACGAAATTTCCGGATCGACTGCTGTCCTTGCCAAGCGTCAGTACACGCTCTCGCTATTCGACCAGCTCCAGTCTGGTCCTGCGTCGCACGAGGTTTCCGAACTCATTCAGCCATTCTTTGCCCTTCATCAGCTCTGCATCCAGGATCCATCTGATTTGACCTTCACGCACCTTTCTGCCCTACTTGCAGAGAGAATGGGGGAGACTGCCGATGCCGAAGCTAGTCTGGAAGTTGTGTGTGCGGGTATGGAGGCTGAGTACGAGGAATCTGAGTCCGCAGCCTCGCTCGAGAAATACGCACAGGCAAATGCAGATATGGCTCGCGTGCTTCTGGCAAACTGTGAGTACGAAAAAGCTATCGAGAAGGCAGAGCTCGCGCTCTCCCTCTCCGGCGAGGAAGATGCGGGCCAGTTTGATGCTGAGACGTGCAGCAAGCTCCGTCTGTCCGCATGCCTGACTGCCGGCTTGGCATACTACTACACTAAGTCTATGGACAACGCTATTGACATGTTCCGTGATGCCATCCAGGATTCTAACCACGACCCGAATGCGGTTTGTCTCCTTGCCCAGGTTCTGTGGGCCAAGGGCGGCGAAGAAGAGCGCTCGGTTGCGCGCCAACAGCTTCTTGACTGTATCGAAGCCCATCCAGACCACGTCGGTGCTGTCACTCTCCTTGGAACAATTGCTCTCCTGGATAAGGATAAGGACGCGATTGATGCCGTGGGATCGGATCTGTACGGCATGATCACGAACGACAATCTTGATCTTCACTCCCGAGCCACAATTCTCAAGCTCTTGGCTGCGATCTCTATGATGGGCTTCACCGAGACTGACGAGATTTCCAACGAAACTCGTCTCATCGGAGAAGCTACAGCTGCTATCATGCTGTCTCCCGACAAGCCGCAGGGCTGGATGGAGCTGTCCGCGGTTTCGGGATCCTCGTATGCCGCAGAAATGGCCGTCAGCCGATCTCTGCGCTCTGTGCCACCTCACGGAAACCTAACTGCTGATGATCTCAGCAAGGCTTATGCACAAACTGGTATGACCGGTGATGCCTTTGTCTCTATTATGGTTGCGCCATGGTGCCGTGAGGGATGGGACGCGTTAACCGACTCCCTGGGTAATACTGCGGATTAGATGTCCTGAAAATGGTTACTGGGAAAGAGTCTAAAGGATCGAGAGAAACGGAGAATGAGAAAACCATTGTATGGATACTTTCATATGTACTTGTAGTCATGGCTTAGCTTTGATACTCATCCTCTTAATATGAATTCTCACGGTCTGAAATAATACAATCAGGCCCTCAAAAATATACCTGGCCAATGGCCTTTTCATCTTCCTGGCTTTGTTTGAGTGCATCCCTACACTCAACGTTTACCCCACAAATCAAGTGTCTTCGAGCTCTTACCAATCTACTGGGTGGTGATGCTTGAACTCATTTGTCTGTTTGAGATGCTGAAAATCGCACGGGATATGTCCTTTCGCAGAATCATTAGACTCGCACTAAAATCTACAGGAGCTAGAATGCAGAGTATATGCTGATTCGGATAGCTAGCGTGGCACGTATGAAGAGGGGAACTCCGAGATTCAAAGAACCCTAACCTAGTCATGTGACTCAGTCCAGCTTTTATAGGACCAACTAGACTATGAACAGGCAATATGAATAAAGACTTAATGCCTTGACCACCTTCGTTTACAAATCCTGTTCTTTCCTGGCAATTTTTCCATCTCAGAACGAATCATTTAGAATCTCTCTTATCTTCCTCATCACTAGCAACAAAGGTTCGAAGAATTTGCTTCCCCTCGGCAGCATCATCCTCCTCCCATGGCTTGAGTCCAAAAGACTGCATGAACCGGGTCCAGCCACCATAGGATTTGACAATGACCCTTTCGGCAGGGGAAAGGGGTGGCTCTTGTTGCCGTTAGTAAGTCTAAATCAATTTGATAATACTCGCTCATCGAGGAACTTACGAAGAGTGTCGGTAATAGGCATTTTTTTAAGTTCGCGTGGCTTAGAGGGTGAAGTGTTGTTGGAACTGAGCAGTGTTGTAATTTGGAAAGAGGTAAGCGAATTTAAGCAAGGGGATAGGCTAACTTCGCTTATGTATCTGTCGGGTGAGGCTAACGCCCACTTCTAACACCTATTACAGGAAACGCTTTACGCCCCTATGATATCTTGTGTCTCTGAAGTGGTTGTAAAATCTGATCTTTCATGCATGGTGAGGACTAGCTATTTATCCTAAAAGTTGCTCTTCTGTCTGAGACGAATGTGTTCCATCGTCTAAGACATAAGAGCCGGTAAAGACAGGACATCACAGTTATATGCATACTGTTCAAGGTTGTTGTTTGCGATGCACTTCGAACAGGGATTCGTGATGTGGTCTAAACCGGGGTATCGTTGTCCGATGTCCCAACAGTGAGGGAAGTAAAAGTGGAGTAAAAGAGAGCAGAGCAACACGCCTTTTTAGAATTTCAGATGAAATGGAGAGAATTCTAGGAGAGGTGTATGTGATCGATTCTTGTAACTCTAACTCTAGAAGCGCTTGGTATATGTATATTCTAGTCCTGGAGGCCACGATATTAAATACTAAAAAGAAGATTCAAGAAGATATATATATATGCAAAAAAAAAAAAAACGAAAAAAACACAAGACATTTTAACATTCAATTATATAGAGCAGATATGTATCAATCAGTCTCAAAAACCGGAATAACTCCAAGCCAGCTGCCACGAGCACGCTCATCCCAATATCCATCTTTACCACCCTTCAACCGCCAGGCAACTTCTCCATCCGAGTCATCATTCACAGGCGTGAACCAGCGCGGAACCCAGCTCTCACCCGCAGATTCATATGTACGTCTACGGGATCGCTGGGCTTCCTCAAGCTGGACCTTGATCTCTTCGGCACGGTCAAGATCACCTTCTTCCAGGGCACGCTGATCAGGTCGTAAACGGGAATCTGTGACTGGGAGGTGGTTTTCTTCAATTGAGGTGACTTCGTTCAGGGAGGCAGCGAAGGATGTCAGACCGTAGTGTTTTGGTGCATTGGGCACTAGGTCCCCTGCTTTCCAGATTGTTTGGCCGGTTGGCGAGCCGTCACGGGTTATGGTTAGGGAGGTTGGCCAGGAACCAGTCATACCAAGTGGGAGGGGTTTGTTGTGAGTGTCTATGGCGCGAATAGAGACCTCCTCACTGCGGCCGGAGAACATGCCGCCAGCTTTGAAGCTGGACACTGTGCGCTGGCCGGTGGACTCGTTTTGGACTGTTAGCTCACCGACTGGCTCAACGTACTTCTCGCCGGCGATGATGTTGCGCAGGAACGAGGTAGCAGGTACCCAGCTGAAGCGTTCACCGGTAGAATGGAGAACGACTCGAACACGACCGTCGGTTATAATCTCGGCGGACTTGCCCCAGAATTTTTGGCTGGGCATGGGGGACTGCGAAAGACTCCATTCACGGCTGTCTGCTTGGTATGCGAGCTGGACGGGGCGGTGGGAGACCTTTTCGGCAATGAAGCGGAATCCTAGGTCTTCTCTAACGAGCTCGTAGGTTTCGCCCAGCATGGGGTTGAAGGGTTTACGAATGGAGCGTTCGCGGACCCGGCTGCTAGACAGTGAGGATAGAGCAAATGCAGTGACATACATCAGTCGCTCAACTTGATCAGACGTTTGAACAGCTTTATCCAGTAGCGTTGAGTACTCCATAATCTCCGCACCACGCTGAAGCAATGATAGAGGCTCGTTCGCGGAAACAGGCATGGATATTTGGGAGAGATCCTTGCCAACGTTCTTACGCAAGAAGCCAATGAGACTAGGGGGTAAGACGGTTGGGGCAGTGATGTTTTCACGGCGACGCACACGATCCAAGGGCAGCGGAGAAAGGGACTTTGGACGAGCAGGGAAGAGAGGCGAGGCATCACTACTATCATGCGGAACTTCAGCCTCTTCCTCACTGTCTGAGGGTGCGTCGTCTACCTCCTCGTTCGCAGTGACTGCACCATCATCGCCGTCGTCCTGAAGTGTGAGAAGCTGAGATCTGTCACCATCAACGGCATCAAAGAATTCCTCTGACATGTCCGAATCCATACTGCGACGAGAAACAATGGTAGCCCGTTGCGGATTTGCCTGCGCTTGTCGTCTCTCCCTACTCTGCGCAATGAGGGCAGAAAATTCGGAGACAGTATTGTCAAGATCGCGTAGCACTGCCATCAAATCGTCATGTACGTGGTCCGCACCGTCAGTATTGCTCGCAATACTAGCGGGCCTGCCGCTGCCATTCTTGGGGACTACCAGCTGAGAAGAACTAGAGTTAGTTGGTTTGACACTCGTGTTAGAGGCCCCACTGGCTTTGCGTTTCCAGAAAGGTCTCCTGGGATCTCCAGCCTCATCGCTGCCAGGTTGGTGAGGACTAGGGGACCGGCCACGACCGCGTTCCCGTGCAAGGGGCGTCGGGACCGGAGACGTATAATATTTTGGATCAGTGTCTTTAGCTAGCCGAAGCACCGCATCGCGTGTCGCAGACAGTTTGCTAACAAGGCTCTCAACACGCGTCCATTCCTGTTCCTCGGCAGGTGAGGGAGCATGCGCGGGGCCCGTTAGACTTAGCTCCGGGGCACCACCAGCGACAGCTAAGCTTGACTTTTCCTTGGAATTCTGGGTGGAAGCCTTCTCCAGAGCGCGTCTCCACGCTTCAAAATCATTGTCATTGATCGCGCGCAAGTGCCAGATCTCAGTGCCAGAGTCGATGGAGATCTCGCGCGATGTGTCGTTGGTAGCCACCGCTGCTAGCGAGAGTGGAATTGCACCCCGCAGTGCGGGCGAGTTTGGATCATGATAATACGAGAGAGTGGATGTGTTATAATCAAGAGCGAAGTACCGGCGTGCCCAGCCCTGATGCCGTTTGCGCCGGCGCTTCTGCAGCAATCCGGTGTGCACGACTGACGGGTTCGGCAGGTCCGCCTGTTGAGCGTTAGGAATAGAGCGGCTATTCCCGCGTCGCCTGTTACGTGGCTGGGGAAGGGATTCTGTCGACCCCAGGGGTGGCTGTCCGATCGGATAAGTAAGGATTACGGCGGTAACCGTCTTAGAGACCTGCTTTGAGAAGGTATTGTCAAAGACCAGCGCATAGTTACCAGCCTCGCTAGCCGTCACATCGTATGTCCCTTTCGTGATCCTATCAGCCTCACACTTTCCAGTCCACTTGATTGACTTGAGGCCAATTGCTGTAAGCTTCTCGACGACCGTGGACTGCGCGTTGCGGGACCCCGTGGTCGCGGGCAGGTTCTCGTTAGAATCATTGCTTTGAGAATCGGAGGCAGGCAGTTGGGAGGCCAGTCCATTTGAGCCACCTGGGTGCTTGAATAGGCCGAAGTTAATCGATTTCTTGTGTGGCTGGATCGTCCATGAGATGGTGTAGCCGGCACTGACGTTGATCCAGCGAACAAAGTAGGACTGTAGAAATGATGTCATTATCTTGAATTACTCACACGCTTCCAATCCCAAGGCTTACCCTGCTATTGATCTCTAGATCCTCCATTGCTGCCATGGTTGCTGAGCCTGAGCAGCAGTGTGTAAGGAATACGACAGCCGTCGCAGTCCGATGTTTGGGGTTTCTTGCGGAGGAGGCGGGGGTAATGCTGACGACCCACCTGATAACATTCGACACAGCTCTGGGCACTTGGCAGAACTTGAGAGGTCACTAGGAAATAAGATCATTAAGATGGTCCATGAATCTAAGATGAATGTGATCAGCAGAGAAATGCGAAAGTGAATGATCAAATGACCCGCTGATTTCACACGAGGGAAAGATATTCATGTACGTAGACATCAGCTTGATTCAAATTATTTCATGATCTTAATTCATATTAGGCCCAGAATCAATATTCAGATATAAATATAGGTTTATAAATGGGCAACCTATGTACTTTTAAACATCCATTATTCCACCAGTTCGACTACATAAGTATTTAGGCAGGTATAAGCACTAGGGGTTCGCAAGGCTCTAGGGTTTGCTTATTACCACATGATATGCTGTACATGGTAATGCTGATACCTGTTCAGCGTGCTGGCTGGATGGTTGAGCTTTGGGCGTCAAACCGGGTCAGCACAGCTGGCACGAAGATTTATAGATACGACCTAGAAATGACCTCTAGCTCTACTCCATGCAGAAGGAAGTATTTATCACCCCAAGGCTGATACCATAATAGTCATATCCATGCTCGTTTCTGTAACTAGTAGTTGAAGGGTCGCGAAAAAGCAGAGGAAAGAAAAACCAAAGAGTCAAACGAAACCATAATCCTCGTGATGAAAGAGAGAGAGAGAGAGAGAGAGAGAGAGAAAATAGAGACAAGGATCCAAAACAAAACATAACATCGTGAATCTGACAGAGTGCGCCATTTAGTCCGAGTCCGAGTCTTGCGCAGTCCAACGACGCGAGTTGCGCATCTTAGCCGCCTTCTTTGCGCTTGGGCGATTACCCGAGAAAGATGATGCCTCTGACATACGCACCATCACAGGCAGATTATCGAGGACAGAACGATTGCCTTGGAAATAGTGCTCGACAAATCCACCCTGCAGGGTACGGCGCAGAGAGTTCAGACGCACCAACTTCCACCAACGATCAATGCTCATGACACCATGCTGGCCGATCTTGACGGTGAGTGTGCTGCCGTAGTGGCGGTTGGTATCTTGGTCGATAGCCATGTTGTAGCGAGGTCCGCGACGCGGGTTCTCGACAGTTGTCAGGATAGACGCAAAGTTGCTGTGGAGGGACTTTTTGTCCTTCTTGCTGATGCGCTTACCGTGCACAGTGGCCAGAGACTGCAGCTGACGCTCCATCTCATACGTGTTGTGGTAAACTTCGTAACGTTTAATAAGCTTAGGTCCAGTTGGATCCTCGTTGACATGATCTTCATTGTCCTCGGAATCGCTCTCATCCTCTTCCTGAGGGGTGTAGCTTTTCTCGTAAAGCAGGGCAATGTTTTCACCGGCAGCGATCTGCACTCCGGAGTCACTGCTGTCTAGTTGATCCAGGAAGACTTGAGCTGCCTCATCACTTTCGCCCTCAAGGTCTTCAATATCAGTGGCAAGGAATCCCCAGATTTGCAGTGCGGCAGTCACGCTCACAGGGTCGTCAGCAGCGTCGATAGACTGGCCGTCTGAGGCAATAATATCCAAAAGGAACGTCATTTGGTCAAGAATGCCCTCCTCGCCGGCACCACCGAAAATGGTGCATGCGCCCAGGCTCTGGATTGCAGCTGCTTTGACTGCATTTGAAGCATTATCCCGGATGGTTCGTGTCAAGAGCGGCTCCGCATTCTCGAAGACCTTGCTGTCACTCGAGGTGATAACAAGCAGCTCAATGGCACGCAGAGCCAAGGTGACTTCACGAGTGCTAGAGTCGGATTGAATACTCTTAGCAAATGCGACAAGAAGGTCGGAAACAAAAGGGCGAATCTCTTCCTCGGCATAATGATATTTAGTCAGACGACCGAACGCCGCCAAAGCTTGTTCGCGGCCTTGCACGCTACTGCGCTTCCGGTCAAGGATCTCATGGATGATGTCGATGAGCTCCTGGGCCCAGTCTGCATTATCCTGTTCGGGATTCTCATCGTCAAAAGATCCGATGCTGTAAAAGACCTGTCAGTATATAGTCCAACTCTAACAAAAAGTATTTTATTAATGGCGGTGACATCATCCCGCCACAAGCGGGACCGCATCTAACTTGGAAATGCAAAATAGGAAATAACGAGATAGCAAGAAAATGAAGAGGGCAAAATATAAGAAAGCGAGTCGTACCTCATGGCTGTATCATCCGACAGAAAGCCCGCATCTTCCTCATCAGACGGATTGCGGCTTGCGTTTTGCGAAGACTTGGGGGAGTTGGTAACCGATCCTGCGCGAGAGGCGGCGCGAGAGGCATCACGGGAGGCTGCCTTGCGAGAGACTGTCTTGCCGCTCTCAAAGATCTGACGACGCAGGTCAGGCATTTTGAAGTAGTAAAGAGGAGATATTTGAGCTCGGAAGTAAAAAGTAGTGGGATAGGGTCTATCCTAAAGGAATGGAGCTATCGTAAAGAGAAATCTCGAGATTGAGAAGGTAAAAATGTACATCATTTATCAAGAAAATCATATGGAATCGGGGTCAACCAAAAGAGGAATAAGAAAAAAAAGTCGAAGTGGAAGTAAGTCTGAATCAGGGCTGGTTCTCAGGGCCTCACCGCCTTTAGACCGCCTTATATCGCCGAATGAACCGTGGTCATCATATGAGTATTCATTGGTGCTCAGGTGACCACTGAATACTGAAAGTACAAAGTTTCTGATGATTCTTCTATGCTTTTGTTTTTTTTTTTCATTTTTTTTTTCATTTTTTTTTTTTTTCAAATTATATCCATATTAACTATGGCCATGAAGTAGCTTTGATAGTTATCATTATGATCCGATTTTCTTTTTTCTTTTTTTTGGCGAGATTTATCGCCTATCGTGCATCTATTCCTTAGGCTGCTTCCGTTGCATCTCAGGTAGCAACTCAAGAATTCGCTGGCTCTTTGCTCCTTCGAGATATGTCCGACCCTCGCGCGACTCATCCTCGTCTTCGTCGTCGCTCAACTCCAAGTCCACCTCCAAACTGGCCTCGTAAGCTCCCTGCACAGTTTCCTGTTCCACCCGTATGCCGTTTCGGAAAAGGACCTGAATGCATTGTACAAGTCGAGAAATTTCTCGTCGAGTCTGCGGCGTAATCTCATCGTTCTGGCTAGAATAGATGGAGCTAGATACCATCTCCTCCATGCGCGTAATAGACACGCTGTCCGTAGTTGACGGCGCAGCTGCTCCATTGGCGGGCTGGTAGATGAAGATATATCCATTCACGCCGAGAATAATGCAAACATCACCACCACCATTAGAAGTGTTAATTGTGAGCCACTGTCGCCGAGACCGCACAACACCGCCGGTTACTTTGGCTGAACCGGACTGTCCTTTCTTATTACAGCTAGGCTTGCCGCTGCCTCCAGTCCCGGTCACAGCGAGAAAAACACCATTCCGAAGCTTTCCATACTTGAGAGATCGAGTATGGAGCGTTGCTGAGCCATCCTGATTCACACCCTGTACTTCAGCCATCACAAGATCTCCCTCACTAAAGAAATTTCGAATCTGAAGTTCATCCGAGCTAGTTCGCCGACGCAGAATACCACCCGGTAGGTTAATCGAAGAGAGAGGAAGATTTGCTAGTAGCGGAGCGGCAACATCGACCTTCCACCGCCGCGCCTGCACCTCGACAATGCGACCCACAACTAGATCACCGATCTCGGGTTGGTAGCGGGCGCGCAACGGGGTGACTGAGAGTAGTTTGTTCGTTGCCTGGACAGTACCTGCGACAGTGGCGATAATGGTAGTGGAGAGGGGATTTGAGAATGTGCCGTGACCTCTAGATACTTTGTTAATAGCTGATTTTGTTAACTTGCGCCCCGCGCTCTCGTTGTGCGGTCCTTTGGAACTTGGGTTGTATACCTCATCCATTGAGGATCGTCCGCTACAAGTCCACCCGGAGTCACAAATCGCTCCTCAAATCCGTTCTCCCCTAGGCGGGCCCGCTTGTGTGGTCGTGAGACGCTGTCGCCGTCCATTTCGACGTCGGAGTCCGATACATTTGACATGGATTCATCAGAATCAGACTGGTATGGACCAAGGTCCTCAATCGTTGGTGGTAGAATTGTAATAGCCATAATTTATGAAGTTTGACTGATCGGTTAAGATGTCAAAGCGATCAAGCAAGAAGCTCAAATATCGAAGCACCGAGACTTTCTTTTATCACGTGATTATCCACAGTTCCATTTGTAGGGACATCTGTGTCCGACATTTTGACTACTTCGTTACTATCGACTGGTACATTAATTTAGTGGTTTATCTAGAATTTCTCGTAGAGATCTTACTATTAAATCTAGAAACTTGAAGAAAATTGTATTGAGGTTTGCAATATTCAGGTTCCTTACCTCGAGCGCAAAAACCAGTCCAACGCCTAAGTAATACATAGTTGAAAGTGAAGCAAAGTATTAGATCATACTCCGACCCGTCAGGTCTTCTTGACGTTTCGATTGGAAGGAGGCGTCGCATCATCTTTCTTCTTTTTGGATCTGTTATTACCACCCTTTGGTCTGTATCCAGTATCTTCATCACGCTTACGCTTGTTCTTGGGTGTTGGCTCCACGTCCATTCCATCTTCGTCAACCTCCTCCTCTTTCTTCTGTACTGGTGCTCGTTTGGATCGACTGTTCGACGGTCTTGATGCAGACTTATCGGAGGCCGCCTCGTGATCCTGCATGCTTTGAGGTTGATTACGACGCAACCAGTTGGCAACTGACGCCGGGTTCCGAGCCGAAGCTTCCTTTTCGCGCTCAGCAAATGTAGGAGGATCAGGAATCCGCGCGAGTTGTATGGCTGCTGCCTCATCGCCCAGCTTAGCATCCAAGGCCAAGTAGTACTCTGTCTCATGCTCCGGAGTAAAGTATCCCAGTGTCCGCTCAACTCCAGTGGGCAATTTCTCTTGTTCCAGCGAGCTCCCGGGGGTATGTGACAGTTTAGCTAGAGTGCTATACTGCTGGGCTGGGAGAAATGCTTTGTTCCGTTTGATGCTGTCTTCAACCTGGCGGTAGGCATTCGTTGGGAAGCTGCCATTGGCCAGCCTAGCTTTGGCCTCTTTCAACGCGCTTCGGGCGAGCGTTTCATCATTTATAAGAGATGCAATACCAGAGTTTTCGCCCGGCGGCAAAAAGGAGGTGTCGTCTGGCATGGCCAAATCGTAACGGAGAGTGGGAGACACATGAAGACTGTCATTGAATTCAAGAAGCACCTCAAGAAGTTGACTATTCTGGCAGTTAGATATATCGATTCAAGGGAGACTCGGTGTACGTCATACTCATTCTGTTCTTGAATGCGCTTGGAAAGGTCCTCGATACGTAGCTCCTCGCGGATCAGACTCTCATTCTCTCTAATTCCTAATTCGAATTTGACCTTCATCTTTGCATATTTCTTCCTGTATCACCATTAGCTCAAATTGCATTAACCTTTTCGAGGACGACATACTTGAAAGACCGCACCGACTGCTTCATAGGAGGAGCGTCTGGCAAGTTCATTGCCAATTCGACATCTTGCTTTTCATGCGCCATAATGAAGGCTGACAGTGTTGGTAGATGTTGGCGGAAAGGAAGGAGAACGGCTCTTGAAAGATGGAGGTGGAAGGGCTCCGCGCCAAGCAATAGGAACTGCGTGAATGGAAGTTCTGGTCGGCCGTAAAAAAATTATTATCGTAGATTAAATCTAGAGAAAAAACGATACACTTGGAACTTTTCGTTTCAACCAATTTTTGCAGAAATTAATTTTTATCGAGCCTATAGATAAGCCTACATCATGACTGAAGTCGTTGAAGGTATTCAAAAGAAGCGAAAGCTTCAGGACGGCCCCGAACTCGAGATTGATATTGCTGCCCCCGAACCACAATCCAAGAAAGCTCTACGCAAAGCGAAAAAAACCAAGACTGAGGCTCCTGCTGCTGATTTTGAAGAGGCACCGACTCCAAAGGCCAAATCTAAGGACATTTCCGAAAAAGACAAGCGCTCCAACTACGGAATCTGGATCGGCAACTTGGCTTTCTCCACAACCAAGGACGATCTACGCCGATTTTTTACCAATGATGGCTCTATTGCCGATGACACTATCACTCGCATCAATCTCCCCAAGGGCGGAGAGCGATTTGGAAAGATCCAGAACAAAGGTTTCGCCTACGTGGATTTCACTACCGACAAGGCCCTGCAAGAAGCATTAGGCTTCAGTGAGCAACTCCTCACTGGTCGCCGGGTATTAATCAAGAATGCAAACAGCTACGCCGGTCGACCTGAGAAAACTCAAGAACAGCTGAATGCAAGCGCCGCCGCTGCTAATTCCGGCAATCCTCCTTCCCGTCGTATCTTCGTCGGTAATCTGGGATTCGATGTCACCAAAGAAGCCATTGAAGAGAATTTCGGCAAATGCGGTGCGATAACAAACGTGCATATGGCAACTTTCCAGGATACAGGAAAATGTAAGGGATATGGATGGGTGGAGTTTGAGGACATTGCTTCTGCGGAAGCAGCGGTGAGAGGCTATGTGATGGTTGCCGAAGACGAGGAAGAGGAAGAGGAGGAGTCCAGTGATAGCTCAGACCCTGAGACTGAGAAGAAGCCTAAGAAGAAGTTCAAGAAAATCCCGAAGCAAAAAGTTTGGGTCAACATGCTTCTGGGCCGCCGTATGCGCATGGAATTTGCAGAGGATGCGGGCACCCGCTACAAGAAACGCTTCGGCAAAGACAGCGAGAGCAGAAAGGACGAGGATGGCTCAGAGGAGCGTCCCCGAGCCAGGAAGCCTAGGCAACCGGTTATCGATGAGTCACGGTATTCTAAAGAAACCGTGCATCGACTTAGCGGTGCAATTGTTGAAGCAACTGGCAAAAAGACCACCTTTAACTAAATCCATGCAGTGTTGACATCTCTGTTCTCACAATGTGGTTAGTCTAATTCGATTTGTTGGGCCGACAAATAACTGGTCCAATGGCGTTGGGGATATTTGGGGTTTTCTCATGAAGCAAGGATTTGATCGGCAATATGTAGTATGCAGTGGCATTGACGTGGCATGTTGTGTATAATCTGGCCACTTTCCTCGCTCAAACATCAAATTTTGCCATAAACAGCTGTTGTGGTGCTGGTGCGGAAGAAGTAAGCGTTATCAATCAAGGGTACTCCGTACTAAATTAACCGTACAATATGTGCCGAGGTATATGACCCAATGTTCCAGGTACCTGAGATAAATCTCAGGTGAGTTTTACCTAGATAAATGAGGTTTCACGTAATCTAAAGTAATTCTCAATAAACTCCCAAGGGGATCGCACTTAGAACTGAGTATAGGACTGTTTACCTCGTTTTATACCCCATAATCATGAGAAACCTTATCTACATTGAAAAAGCGGCAAAACAAGCACACCGCCTAGCACTAAGCCTCATTGGGCTTGACGTCTACTGGCGATGTCATGGGCTTTGCTGGATCTCAATAACTATCTTCTTCAACATCTTCTCTTCTTCTTCTTCCACCCCACTTGCTCTCTTTTTTGCCCTCTTCAAATTCTTTTCCACTTTGGCTTTCTTTCCCCCGAAGTGCTCTTTAACTCCCTTTTTTCATCTTGCATATCATTGTTTATCTTGTTTTTGTGTTGTGATTCCTTGGTCCGGTTCCACGCCTTTGCAGCATTCCAGCCCTTTCGTCTCCGTCACCCACACCTCCCCGATTGGCTGATACGTCAATTTCTTTTCACATACATTTGTCAATTCTCTCTGGAGCTATCGTCATGCCTGCTCGTCATCAAATTGGGGCTAGCCGCAGACAGAGAAAAGATGACGACGGTGAAGATGAAGACTCGTTGGTGGGCGATTTGGAGGATGAATCCATGAGTGAACAAGGCTCGTTAGACAGCGAGGATGCCGATGCTGAAGGTAGCGATAGTAGCAGCTCTACGTCACCTACCAAACATGAACCCAACTCTACTGTGTTAGAAACGGAGGCGATGCTGAATGAACTGAATATATCCGATCCCGAGGAAATCCATCGGTTCAGTCAGACCGAGGAAGATCGAATGACAATCCGAACCGGGCGAGCTCCATCCGCTCCATCCACTGGGCCTAATCGTGACACTTTTGCGGCACGCAAGCGACGTGAACATGAGAAATATATGACGGAGCGAGACCAGAATCCTGCTTTTGTTCCTACGCGCGGTAGCTTCTTTTTACATGACAAGCGGACAGCGGAGTCTAACAAGGGGAAATCTCGACCTTATGGCCTCATAGTGGATGGAAACACACGTCGGTAGGCACACAACACATCTATGCACATCGTCAATACCCCGTTAACACCGCTTTAGAAACTTGTCCAAGCCCGATGCTAGTGCAGGACAGTGGACTCACGACCTTCATGAAACAGTCGCTGGAGCTAATCCTCCAGCTTCTAAGGCCTCCATTTTCCCTCCTTCCGCGACTATTCCTTCTGCTCCTCAATCTGTACCACCAAATCGATCCTTTTCCAGCACCACGCTCATTGGAAATGTGCCCGTTGTTGTCTCGTTGCCGGGCATGACCAAGCCCGTTACCTTCCCTGCAGTACCCAAAAAACAACACACCCGACTCCCTCAGCATAGACCCCCCTTGCGCCGCGATAAACCAGTACGCATCTCATTGCCTAACAGCCCCCCTCGGTATCACTACCCATCGCCTGATCGTTCATTCATTTTCATTCCCCGTGCATTGCGCCCGAACCAGTATCGTGGCCGGGGTCGTGGTGGTAGCTACTATCCTCCACGACGTCCTAGCTCCTTTGGTGGTTCGTTTGGCGGTGGTAGTACATACGCACCTAGTGTCGTTAGTCCACGGTCGTCTCTTGGGATGCCTCCATCTCAAGACGGATACCCATCGCCTGCTGGGTCTCGAATTGAGCCTTACCTTATCAACCCCGTTGCTCGTCTCCCATATCCACCATTCCTCCCCGGTGGTTCATACCTCCAAGGCCCTCCTCAAGGACCTCCGATGATGCCTTTGCCAATGAATATGCCACCTGTGCCATACCGTGAAAGTCGGCCAGCGCACATTCCTATGCAACACCCACGTCCCCAGAAAGCCGTACCTTTGGAGAACATCGAGAACCCCGCAACTTTCCCGTTGAATCCTCCGCAGCCTCAGCAGGAGCAACCCTTCCATCAGCAAGTCCCTTCAGCTAATGATATTGGCTCTGGTGGTACTACTCTGCATGGCCCACCAAGTCATGCCTCGGGGACTCCTCTCTCTCAGATCCCCGAACGGGCGGTGCATGCACCACCGTTCATGCCTTGGAACAACAACCCTGGGATTTATGGATATCCTCCAGGCTACTCTACTGGATACCCCCCAGGGTATCCGATCTACTATCCTGTCCCTGGACCTGAGTATGGATACCATGGGCCGATGAGTGGTATGTCAATACCAAACTTCAGTCCCCAGCAGCCCTACTTCCCCAACTCTGGTGATCAATCACATCCGGGGATAGTCTACCATGAGTCCGGTGGCACGCACTTCTACGACGTTTCTCATATGCATACGAATTCCGATAACGGTTCGGGACCTGGGGGAGTTGTAGGCATGGGCGGCATGATGACACCGCCGGGGATGACATACTCCGGTTACAGAGGTCACAGCTCTGGTCGCCAATGATTGGATCTTGATTTCATTATGTTACTTGGATGTTACTTGGATGTTACTTTGAATGACCCATGTTATTTTCCTTTTCTCTTCCTTTCTTTTCTCTTCTTTCCTTTCTTCTTGCCCACTTTGGCCATGATTTCCATTTCCTTTGCGTCGCTGAATTCCTTGCATTTTTTTTCTCTCTTTCCAAGTCTTTCTAATCTTTTCGATTTGGAAAACTTCTCTAACGCTAGACTTGGATTCAGATGGTGCATTTGAGCGTTATTATCCCCTCAGCCTCCCCACAAAGTTCAACCCCATATCTTACTGATCAGCATGATCTAGGCCATGACCTCATCTTTCTTGTGTTTCTCAACAGAGATATGAAATTACACAAAAGTTCCAATATGTGCCAGTTAAATAGTAGTTTCATTGTAATCTATAGTCTTGTCAACAGCTCTCAAGGTAATCTGACTTTACTTGGAATATTTCATTATACTCACTTCTATGATTCATTCCGTGAGGGGTTTATCGTAATTTATAGTTATCTTGTAAAATACAGGTATTTGACTAATAATACAGTCATCCTTGTTATATAATCATACACCGCCTCAAGCAGCTGACCCCCAAATCCGTACAACTATTGCCCGCTCTTCTTCTTCAACTCTACTTCTTCTTTTCCCAATCATATCTTCCAACCATCTTTCTTATTTCATCATCGTTTTTCTATCTTCACTTTGCTTCTCACTTGGATCATTCAATAACTTGATCACATTCGACATTACCCCGATTCCCCAACCCTCTGCTTCTCTGTACTTCTTATCTTTCCCTACTCACACTTTCGCCTCGGCTTTAACGTCATGTCTACTCCGGCCCTCCCCTCACATCCGGGCCCGGAGCACTTGGTTACAGTCAAGGTCCTCTTTAATGAGAATAATCGCCGCTTCAAATTTCCCTTGAGAGATCTTCGTGCTCAGGTGCTACCACTGAAGGTATGTCTCCACTCTAGTTCATCGAACTTCCGGTCCCATACTCTTATCAACGATAAGTATATCAGCCATCCTATGATAGGAGAACTAATATATCTTCAACGTTTCATTACGATAAATTACAACAATAAACAGATTTGAATTTGTTACTAATGATGTGTGATATAGCTTCGAACACTTCTTGGCGTTTCAGCGGATGAAAACGTCATCCTTGAACGTTATTCCGACAGCGCCGGTGCCTACATTCGGCTGGACAGCGACAACATCCCTGTCTACAAGCAACTCTACCGAGCTGCCAAAGCTAAATCTAAGCTCCGTATCAAGGTTACCACAGTCGGTTCATGGGCACCGCTACCTGCAGGTTCCCCCATGCCGACTGAGCAAGTGAATCAGAACCCCCCGAGACACAGCTATCTCGAAACTGTTCTGAGCTCCCCCATTCTGCCTTCTGCCCTTCAAGTAACACCCTCCTCCACATCTGACTCAACCTCTCTCACCACATCCGCTATCCCGCCGGCCTTGCTAGACACTACCGTGCCTGAGCCTCGCATGCGAAATTTCAAGGCGGAAGAGGACAGTAGCCACTTCCCTATCATCTCTCACAGCTCAGCCAGTGGGATTTATTGCATCGACTGCAATAATTGTCATCGATCCATCGCTAATCAGCACTATCACTGCAGCATCTGCGAGGATGGTGACTATGATCTATGCCCACAGTGTGTTGACGATGGTGTTTCGTGCGGTGACGAGAATCATTGGTTGATCAAGAGAGTTGTTGTGAATGGTGAGGTAACCAACAGTACTACCGAGACTATTGCTCCTCGCCTCTACAAATCGTGTGCCAAGTCACATGCAGACTTGAACGAACAGACGAAGCCTACCGTTCTTCCCGTTAAAGTTGAGGAAATCTCCAAGAAATCTGGCACACAGTCGGCAGAGCCTACTTTAGTATCTTCGCAAATCTCTCAAATGATCAGCCATGTGTATGATGAGCTCGATCTGAACGAGGAGAGAGCTTCGTGCAACGGATGCTGCCATGGTAGGTTTCTACATCATCGTTCTCCATTTTTTTCTCCATTACAGTAGCTAATATCGCATTTCAGAGTACAATGACCGCAACTTGGTGACTTGCAACGAGTGCGAAGACTTTGATCTTTGTGTTCAATGCATCTTCAGAAACAAGCACGGTCATCACCCAGCTCACACCTTCTACCCTGCGTCGGAGCGCAATTCGAATTTGAAAACCATTATCAAGACTCATTGTCTTCCTGGTCGTAAGTTCGAGCACCCGGCTATCTGCGATGGCTGTGAAAAGGTAAATTTTCCCTTCCTGTATACTGGATATAAAGAGAGACTCGCTGACAACTATCTGCTAGAGCATTGTCGGCACGCGTAACAAGTGTCTGGCCTGTCCCGACTGGGACTACTGCTCTAAGTGCATCGAAAATGCTTCTCAGACCCACCCTGGGCACCGATTCGCTCCTATCTATGAAGCTCTTGCCGAGCAGCGTCAGGAATTGGATATCCATTATGGTATCTTCTGCGATGGACCTCTGTGCAAGGACAAGCCAGCTCAGAGCTATATTAATGGCATTCGTTACAAGTGTGCTGTCTGCGCTGATGTTGATTTCTGTGCAAGCTGCGAAGCACTTCCAATTGATCATCATAACCGCACTCACCCCTTAGTCAAGTTCAAGACCCCCGTTCGTGCGGTCACAATTAGCACTTTGTCTGATGGTGCCTTCGGTAGCACGGCCGTCTTGGGTGATACATCAAAGGATATCTTAGCCATCTTGGGTAATAATCCAAGTGAGGCCTCGGTCGGGGCCGTCATCGGTAATAATTCAACCGAGACCTCGCTCTCCAAGAGTATGACCTTTGGGAAGAAATCCGTGGCCGAACCGGTCCTTGTGGAGGTAGAGGCAAACCAGCCGGAGAAGACCATGGAAGTGGAGACTTCGGCTGAGCCCGAGGAGGACTACCGGGCCTTCTTCATGCATGACACTGTCGCTGATGGAACCAAAGTGACTGCCAACGCCGTATTCCAGCAGACATGGACGCTTTACAACCCCGGTCCTTGCGCCTGGCCCGTGGGAAGTGATGTCCGCTTCGTTGGCGGTGATACCATGTTCGACGTGGATGCCGACCACCCATCTAATGTGGATCTTATCCGCCACGCGATGGAAAGCAACAAGCTGGAAGCTCCCCTGGAAGCTGGGCATACCGCTCAGTTCACTGTGTCCCTGCGGGCTCCTTCGCGCGAGGGTACTGCTATCTCTTACTGGCGTCTGAAGCTTCCTACTGGCATGCCTATTGGTCACCGACTCTGGTGTGATGTTCAGGTTACGTCGAACCTTTCTGAAGAGGCCCACACCCCTGACCCCGTGGAGGTGGCTGATGAATCTGTCAAGTCTGACGCTACTGTCCCAAGCAACGTTGACATTACCGAGAGCGGGATGATCTTCCCCAAGTTGGAGAAGGAGTCCCCTGAGACCAGCACCTATGAGACTGCGACCCCTGTCCAGGCCCCTACTGTGTCGAATGCGTCGGATGCCGATATTCTTGAGGATGTCGAGAGCCTTACCTTGGAAGATGATATTGAAACCGATGCTGGCTTCCTAACCGATGAGGAATACGATGTCCTGGATGCCAGCGACCAGGAGTACTTGGAGGCCAAGTCTATCCACTGATCAAATTCTTAGGCTTCAATTCCAATAACGACATGAAACGAGAATGGGAATTTGCGCGATAGGGGATCATTTGGACTGCTTGTTTTCTATTTTTCTTTTTTCTGACTACTTCCGCGATGGCTATTTCTGGATTATGGATCTATTTATCTGAATACTTCAATTTGATTTGCACGGTCACTTTCGCCTTTCACTCCTGCCAAGGGACACTCAAAGCGCCAGAATAACGGTATCATGCATTCATTGATTTAAAGATAGTTCCAATGCATGGCTGATTTGTTCTGGCTATTACAGTACCACGTAGTAGCCCCACTTTAGTGCATACATGGAGATATTTCCCTTTTAAACACAAAGTCCAGTAATGTTCTCAGTGAGGAGAAGATGATACTCCATTACCGAGGTCGAGGACAATGGAGGAGGAGACTCGGTTCCTTCCAGAGGCTCCTTACGTTGTTTGCTCTACTCTATTCATACATCATTTCGACGCCATGATATTCCCCCATGTATTCGGCATAATCCTGATTGCTATTTTAGCAACGTTCTTTCTTCCGATTGGAACTCATATTTCAACAACTTTAGGTGCTTTTTACACCCCGGTTCCGACGGTTCTGGGTGAAGGTCAGGGTCCGTTCTACATTAAAGATACCGTCCATTGCGAGGATGTACACCACTACCATCCTGCGAACTTGCTTTTCACTGCATGCGAGGATTCCAAGGATACACGCTTGGGCTGGTTTCCTGCCGTGGGTCATCTAAAGCCCCAAATGCCAGCTCGTGGATCCATCCACGTTGTTGATCCAAAGGTATGTATGAACCGGTAGTGATTCCGAACACACATAAACGTTTAATAGACAATGCAATCAACTCGATTGGCGTTCGAAGGCTTCTATGGTTCATTTGTGACGCATGGAATCGATGTCATTGAAGACCCTTCACAGAAAGATGCTGTTTACATCTTTGCCGTCAACCATCTGCCCAACCCGGAATACTTCGAGGCAGCTAATCCTTCTGAGGAGATCCCCAAAGCCCGTTCTCAGATAGAGCTATTCCATCATATCCTGCAGTCGGAAACTGTGCAACATGTCCGTTCAATTCTGAATCCGCTCATCACCACCCCGAATGACATCTATGCCGTCAGCCCAACGTCTTTCTACGTTACCAATGACCATTTCTACCGCGAGGGAGCCATGCGTTTGGTCGAAGATGTATATCCCTCCGCAAAATGGTCTAGCATCACCCACGTCCAGCTCACAGATCTGAAATCAACAGATTCAACAGCCGGCCTAGAGGCATCAGTTGCGCTGGACGGACTATGGAACAATAACGGTCTCGGCCACGGCCGTACAGAGCAGGAAGTAGTCATCTCTAGCGCTATAGGTGGTCAGCTATACATTTCCCAATGGCACGAGACCAACAACACTATCTCCGTTCAGACTACTCTCGCCTTTGATTGCGTCGCCGACAACCCAAGCTACTATTCGGATCCGTACCGTACTACGGAAGATGACGCTAGCGGCTTTGTGGTTACCGGCATTACGAGAGCCTTTTACATAGGTCTAGGGGAGAAGTATAGGACTCATCTGAACTCGATTAAGGTTTGGTATGCCCGGCTGAATGGGCAGGGAAATTGGGAGAAGAAGGTGCTTTTTGAGGATGATGGAGAGAGGATTCAGACTGCTAGTACTGTTGTATTGGTTCCTATTGAGTCTGTGGATGGTCAGAAGTTGGCTTGGTGCTTTGTTACTGGATTTATGTCGGAGAGTATGATTGCGGTGAAGGTTGAGCTGTAGTTCTATGTGCTGGACTCCAGCTTGATTTGCTCAACGCTTGCCGCCCGGTGTGGGATATTGCTGGCACTTGACTAGGGGTGGTTTCATATGGTATTATTGCTTTATTATTTGTAGCCTAATAATAAGACTATCAATCAATCGCCTTTTAATTATATATAATTACTTTGGCATCACATAAAGGATATCGATACCGAACTTCGTCATAGTAGAGAATCGCAAATCCCTCCTAGATACTGTTAATACTAGTAACATAGTAAATACCTCATCTACTTCTAGTGGCGAAAGTCGATATTGTTCGGTCGGGGGTTTGGAGATAGCGCTAGAAGCTAGTCTATATAGAGTTAGTTATTCATTAAAACAAAATAATAAATAGGCATTCTGAATCCTTTAGACTCCGCATTTTTGAATTCAATAATTCAAATTTCAAGAGTTGTAGAAGGCAAAGTGGGTCATGTGTTCTGGACTATTTACCTAAGTAGGAATTCATGCCTAAGGTGTCAGTCAATCTTGCGGAGTCAACTTTCGGAGTCAACTTTCGAGGTCAATATTTGAATTTCTTAATTGACCATGTCATCTTTCACACGGGGCTCCCAAGCCCTCATACCCTCTATTAGAGCCCAACACCACATCCACCACCCTCTCACAAAAACACAAACAACCCTCTTCTCAACCACACGCGCATACAATGCAAAGCCACAACCGCCAACCTCAGACAACCACAAAATAAACCCTCCAACAAGCACTCTCCCAGCCCCAATAAACCTACCCACATCCCTCCCCACTTCAGCCAGCACCCCCGAAAAGCTCAAAAACCTCATAAACCACGGCCGCGCATATATAACCTTCTACAAAACAGGCCTGAAAAATGTCTGGCACAACTACCGCGCCTCGCTGCCACACCGCAAAACTCTAGGACTGAGCACCTACATCCCTACCTCGCCGCACAAGTCGCCACATAGTGATAAACTCCATCGCGGCCAGTACCAGCTCGTCCACCGCTCTGCACGCGACGTCCGCCGTATGATCCCCTTCACGCTTGTGCTGGTTATCTGTGGCGAGTTCACGCCGTTGATCATTCCGTTCTTTGGGACGACGATTACACCCGCTACTTGTCGGGTGCCGAAGCAATTGACTAAAGAGCGGGATGCGCTGTCTGAAAGTAAGTGGCGCGCCTTAAGCGCTGTTGCGCAATTGGAGTCTGCGAAGGATGGGTCTATGCCGACGGCTACACCTGCTCTTGGCTCTAGTGATGAGTTGGGGCTTTTGGTTCAATTTGCTGATTTGAATCGTGCGCGCGAGGCGGATGCTGCTGGGGTGTTGAGGGCTTGTGCGGGTCTTGGTCTTGCGAAGAGTGTTGAGAGGGCTGGAGCGCCTTTGCTTGTTACGCTGGTTTATCGGAGACGCTTATTGGGGTATTTGGATTATTTGAGGATTGATGACCGGTTGATTAGGACCTGTGGGGGTGTTGAGGCTTTGAGTGGTGATGAGGTGCGGATTGCTCTTGGAGAACGGGGGGCTATGGATTTTGCGGCGGTTGAACAGAATGAGAAGGAGTTGAGGGTGTGGTTGAAGAAGTGGTTGGATGCTAGGAAAGAGTAGGGCTCAGGTTTGAGTGAGGAATTGTACCACTATAATATTTCGGGATATCTAAATTAGATCTACGGATTTCTGGATTTTAGACTAGAATGTCTTCCAGCCAGTTTGTTCAATCTGTTGATGAAAAAAAAAAACAAAAAAAAGTCATAAAGAAAAATAAGAGATGCCGAAGTTTCACTCCAGCATTAACTTGCGCATCGCTTTCAAAGGTATCGAGTCAATGCAATTCCATCAACAACAGTTGAGCCATATAAATCCGAGTACTCCAAAAAGAAGATGATGAAGAAGATGAAGAAGAATTTTCGTTTGTTGAACCCCAAATTCGTTCTCAGATTTTATCCCCGCTGATTGAGACTGAGATTGGCTTGGGCTTCTCTACTTCGTCGTTCCTTTGCATATTTCAATCCACATTTATTGCACATGTTCCGCTCCCCACTTGGACCACGTCGCCACTCTGGCGTGTTCTTGGTGTGGCAGATGGCGCACGATATTTTAACGTTCGGCTTGCGCTTATTACGCTTCTTACTCCGGGCTTGTAGACGAGCGAGGTCGTCGTTCAGTGCCATGTTCTGTTTCTGTAGCTCCCGTAGCTCGGCCTGCCAGCTCGATCCACGGGTTGGAATTAACTCGTTGAACAAGGTGGCAGGTGCATCATAGGGGGATATGCAGCGGTTTCCAGGTGGCAGTGCGTTTGAGCCGAGGCTTGGCACGTTGGATCTACGTTGTCCTAGAGTACCCTGTCGACGAGGTGGGCGGGAATCTTCGAGGACAACAGTTGCTGTCCTAGAGCTACCAGGAACCTGACCGATGATTTCGTCTGCTGCGGCTGCGACGGCCGTTGCAGATGGTGTGAAAGTACTTGCAAATCGGATTTGCGCGACAAGGAATGACGGTCTACACTCGGTGAGATCTCCGGCGTGAATAGTAGTTTGCGCGGAAAGGAGATTGCCCTTTTTGTCACGCATCTGATGTCGGAACGAGGGGGGGTCACTTGATTTTGCACGGGTGTACATGTCTAGGCCAAGAGCTGCAGCCTCTAGAGCCTGTGATATTATGTTGCCGTCAGACTCCATTTCCATCAGTTCGTGAAGACCTTTTCCGACTAGATCATCCGTCGAGCGACCTAGCACTTTCTTCACTGAAGTCACGAACAATATGATACCAGATAGAGAGATCTTGGCCCAGATGTCGTTCTCCGCCAGTGCAGCTGATGATCCCAATTTGGCAATCTGGTTTAGTGAGTACACAGGTCGTGGACGGCCAGTCATGACAAGCCATTTGCGACCCTCACTGGGATCGATATGCCAAGACCCGTGGCTCTCAAACCATATATACCCCTTATATTTTTGACGGATGCGGTGTATGATACTGATTGGGGCGGAGGTCGTGGTGGCTCTTAGATCCCTCATCACTGGACCGATATCGCTGGGATGGCAGATGGTCGATAGTGGTTTGCCCACCAGCTCGATGGGATCGTATTCAAGAATGTGTTTGCAAGCCTGTGAGAGATATAAGAATTCACCGCTGTTTGAAAGCACATGAATCAGGTCGTCCGAGTTTTCCACCAAGATGCGGTCCATATACTGTCGCGATATTGGGGCGCCGGGGACAGCCGCAGCGCTCAGAATGGCAGTCACTTCATCGTGAGAGAATTGAGTCGGTCGGGCCCTATACAAGTCTGGCGGTGGGACCATGTATATTAATTGTTGGTCTCGTTGGTAATTAATACTATAGGTGCCATCTAAAGACGGTTAGAAAGGGAAAGACAAGTCCTGATATCTCTGAAACTTACCAGGATTTCTCCCAGTCACTGCATCAGGCTTCTCAACCAAATCGACTTGAAAGCCAACATAGTATCGATACTCATTTGAATCCCATTGAATGGGAATCATAGTAATTAAGTTGATGAAGGGCTGGCCGCCCTTGCGATAGTTGATAATACTTGTCTGTATCTCACTACGATCGTCGATGGTTGAGCGTAGGCGATAGACAGTCTGTCCATCGACAAAGACCCGCTTCGCACCAGACTGGACAGCACCACTGGGGGATTGGAGGAACCGACAGTTGCGACCGACAATTTCGGTTTTGTTATAGCCAGTCAATCTTTCAAAGGCTTCTGAGACGTATATAATTGGTTGGTCCTGCTGTAGAATGTCGCAGAGCACAAAAGCACAGGACAAGTCGACGGAACCGATATTTATTTTGGGATGAGGGCGCATAGCGACGCGACTCTATAAAGACCTGAGCCAATGGTCCAAATGAAGAGAGGAACCAAGAAAGACTTACCAGGACTCCGAGAACATCGAGACCACTCGACGAGTAGATGCCAGTGTGGTCCGTTGTACCGGCCTCGGGTGAACTCAGTCCTGGCGATTGGGCTTGAGAGGGTTAGTAATAGAGGTGCAAAGCCTGTGGTGTAACTGACATTTGACGGCAACGGCCCTCTTGGGCTGAATTGCAACTGGGAGTGCGGCACGAGACGACGTATGCTGGTTGTCCTGGCGCCTTCGTTCTTGGGTCTGTCTTGGCGCGCGTGTCTGTGACGGGTCACTAGTCCTTGAAAAGTCCGAGTCCCCAAAGCTGGATGTAGAGTTGGAGCTGGTATTATATTCGGTGAATTGAGGGACATGTTGTTGTTGTTGTTGTGGTGGTGGTGGTGGTGGTGGTGGTTGATGTTGCGGCTGTGGTGGCGGCTGATGTTGTTGCTGTGGTGGATGTTGCTGTGGTGGTGGCTGATGTTGTTGCTGTTGTTGCTGGGGCTGTTGTTGTTGTGGCTGTGGTTGCTGCTGCTGCTGTTGCTGCTTTTGCTGAGGGTGGAGATAATGAGGATTTTGCTGTTGCTGCTGTTGTGGGAAAGGTGAATATGCCTGAAGTTGTTGGTTCATCGAAGCCATGGGCGTTGGTAGATAGTTAGGAGGCATATGGTAAGCGAAGGCGTTTGTGGGATCGGCATTCATAGGCATAGTCACCACACCCACACCCACACCCTGGTTCGCAGGGTCATAGGCAAGCATCACATTGGGAGGACGATCGTAGGGAATAGCCATTTGCCCATCGTGTGGCAACATGGAAAAGGAGTAGTCGACATTATTGTAGGATATCAAAGAGGGGTCATTCGGGAGGGGCAACTGCATATCCTCGCTCTCATCTTCATAGTCAAAAGTGTAGGAAGACATAGCCCTCCCCCAAATATATCATATATCCCTTGAGCAAAATAAGGTCTCGGCCTACGTGGGGTCCAGAATGCGGATGTTCCAGAGCCTCGGGAAAAGATGAACCAGTGGGATGGAATCCGCAAGCCCTAATCCCCACTTAAGATAGGATTGAAATTAAGAAAAGGAATACCCGTGGACCCTTTTGAGTATACCTGAATGAAGGAGTGTTGGTGGTTGAGAGTGAAAATATGAGAAATATGGAAACTATGGCAAATATGAAAAATATGAAAATGGAACTCCTCGTTTTCCTCCAAAAGTACTAGTGTGGACCCTTGTGGCCTCTTCTTCCTTTCCGCCAATCGTTCTTTTTCAATTCTATGATCTCGGCATATTTTCTATTATTATGTTCTATTCTAGGATCCTTTTTCTATTTGATCTGATCTATAGACTACCTAGGCATACACTAGGTATCTAACAGTGTACCCCTTTTATTTCGTCTGATCTAGGAATATTATCAAATTCATTATCGATATCTATACGATATACTACGCGCAATATGATATATCACATGTAGAAATGAACACCTCTTGTCTAAAGGAATATGAGAAGGATGGAAATGGATGGAAAGGGTGTTTGAAGATGAAATTAAACTAAATAATAGAGTAAATTAAAGATCTCAATCTGGGGGCCAAGGAAGCCTATTTTCTATATTTATTTCCCCTATTTCATCTCTTTCTCCCTTCTGTTCTCTACCCCCCACTCCAGGGTTGTATTCTTTCTTTTCTTTTATTTCTAATACTTGCTTTTTTATAAACTCTATTTTCCCAGCCTTACAAACCAGGATATCTTGATATTGACAAGTACCGCTTTTCACTCCCCGGGGCCATGACCGATATCTCAATCACAATATGTGGCGACGGTGGATGTGGTATGTTCTTTGACCTTTCTCTTTAAAATATCGACCCTAAATACCGGGAATATTCCACTCTCTTGATTCGGTGCCAATACCCTGGAAATGAGTTTATCGAGATCTGATATGATCCAATCTGATGCCTGTTTCAATCTATAGGTAAATCATCTGTGGCTTTACGGCTGGTCCGTAGTCAATTCATTCACGAGTACATATCTTCTTCCCTTGTAACTGAAATTAGTCGCTCATCTTCTCTAGATATGACCCAACCGTTGGTAATCGATATTCTTCCGTCACTCGTCATATACTCGACCTAAATTCATCCAGAGGACTCTTACTCCGCGACCCGAACCGTTGACGGTCTCCCCTATTTCCTTTCTATTACCGATACTGCTGGTCAGGAGGAATATCGCGGTCTATGGACCAAATCAACTCTCCAGTCCGATGCGTTCTTGCTCATTTACGATATGACCAACCCCAAAAGCCTCGATACGCTCAACCCGTTCATGGAGTTGATTCACACGGAGGCTGAACAGCGGATTGAGAGCAACCAGCGCATTCGAAAGGAACTCGGTGATGAATGTGTCGGGGTGGAGATGGGCATGCCACCCCCCGTCATCATCGTTGCCGGGAACAAATGTGACTTGAAGAATGAGCGTGTGGTGACTTCGCGTGATGGACTGGAATATGCCCGTAAGAACAATTGTGGATTCCTGGAAACAAGTGCACGGGAGATGGTCAATATTGAGGAAACCTTTGCCTGTGGGTTATATCCCCTCCTCTCTCTCTCTCTCTCTCTTCTTAGTCTTGTTCTGGCTTATGTGGATGAAAAGAAGGAAGAAAAACAAGACTCAGGATCTGGGCTAATGGGCTAATGAGATGACAGTACTAGTCCGTCGTGTTGTTACAGCACGACGTCTTCACTCTCAGCAGAACTCTGCACCCGTTCGTCGACCTCCATCAACGGGGCCCGGGCAGTTGCAAACTACGTTGCCGCTAACTACAGCCGATGGGCAAAGTGGATCAGCTGAAACAAAGTTGCGTAGTCGATGGTGGTCAAGGAAAAACCGAAAAATCTCCGACGCCGAAATAGCGGATGCCCGTGACACACAGGGTGAAGAAGTTGAAGCGCGGGGTTTTATACTCCGACTACTCTGTTTTTGGAAGAGATGACAGGTAGATCATTCCAAGGTTGTTCCCTTCGTTTTTAGATTATATACCATACCCAAATACCCATTTGTTTGTACCTGGCAATATGCCGTGTACCATGTATAGTTGGCTTTAAAGACAGACTCATTTAATTACCTAGTACCTAGTACCTAGTACCAGTACTGTTTATAGACTACCTGTTCCTATGAAACCAATTTCGGAATAGAATCCCGAGATACGGGTTCAGTATGCTTGGGGTAGAAAGTCTAGAACTCCGGTCAAATACCTCGAAATGGTAAAAGGTTGATTACTAATGAAAATCAAAGCTTGTTCGGGTCGATCATTCAGGACAAGTATAATAGCTCTACTTAGATGAGGTCATGACTTCCTGTTTTGATATCTTACCTACCTAGGTACCTGGGTACCCAGGTACCTTGACGCTGAAGAAGTCTAAGTCTAAATTGAAAATAAATTGAATAACCTCCTGACACTGTACACAGTAGCTACTGTACATCCCATGATACTCATAGTTAATTTATCTAATTCCATGAATCCACATTCAAATTCCTTAAATTTAGGTTGGTCACATGACTTGGCGGTGTAACAGAATCGCCGATGATCGCAGAATCCAATATCTAGTAAGAGTAATATATAGTACTTGAGGGAGCATACTCCTTGATTTACCTACGTGGGGCTGTTTGATGGCGCCATGGCGCTATGGCGGCCACGAGGGGTAGATTATAGATACAGATGATAGAGAACTACTGTACGGAGTATTTATACTCCGTAATGGATGATAATACATCTGAACTAGTGATAGTCTATAAATGAAAACGTCATAGATGACTGTCAGCTATACGAACATCTATTAATCATTACTTGACTCTTCTCAATGTCTCTCTCCTATTAGACTTGGACCCTCACCCTGAGTCACCCTGTAATAAACTATAGCGCACCGTTACTAATATATTATCTCCATCATTTCTAAAGCTAGTAGTATAATAACTGTGTTATGGAGCCATGAAACTTGAAACTTCTTTGGGACTTTTTTTAGTTTATTGCCCAAATTAGCTTAGTGGATATTCTGGATTTGTCCAGGTCTGTCTAAGTCGGCAGAGCCTTGCCGAGTGAATTCTTAGTACATTACTTACACTTAGGAGAAGCACATTTTATGCATTCCTAACATTCCTTTAAATTACTTTCTCAATTAGACCATGCTCATAGGTTAAACTATATACTTCCTCAATCTACTCGCTCGGAATTATACTCCCTCTCGGAATCGGATATACGTCAGGGAAATGGAAACCAAAGTCTCCGAGGGATGCTCCGACTTCCGGGCTATTGAACTCTCCAACAAAGTGCCGACTCTTCCTTGATCCACCGATCGAGTAATCCCAAATAAAATAAATGAAAAAAAAAAAAAATGTAAAATTTCAATTAAATAGTAATACCCAAATAACACTTGCCCTGTGATTATTGTGGATCCTTCTACTTCGTTTATGATTCGATCCCCCGATCAACTGTAGGGGAAGAATGCTATATGCGCCTTTAGCTAAAATAAAATAAAGGCTGGTCCCCCCCCCCCCTCTCTGGAATGACTATTACATGACGGTTAATTGAAGGGAGAAACTTCATACCCAAAGAAAAACACACCTTCACTCTACCACTGCACCGTTATTAGATCGTTGACGTCGATACCCGGATATAGAAGTATAGCCCTACGATTATTTTCACTTTTCGACACTGTCACCTGGAATATCACTTCCTTACCTTTCTCCACCTCATTTCTATCATTTTGATACCTTTTTTTCCCCCCTTCTTCAAATCACACAATGGCTGCACGACAATCAACACCATCTTCTGAGCACTCTCATTCTGATGGAGGTGTACGCAAGCGTGTATGCAAGGCGTGCGATCGTTGCCGTCTCAAGAAATCAAAGGTATGTTTTTTAACGAATACGAGGTCATAGGCCTAAGCCTAAAGCTCCTGGTTTCAGAATACTGACTCTCCCATAAGTGCGACGGAGCCAGCCCATGTTCTCGTTGTCGGGCAGACAATGCCATCTGCGTCTTTGGAGAGCGAAAGAAAGCGCATGATAAAGTGTATCCCAAGGGGTGAGCATCATAACACCCGTAAATTAAGAATTAATACTAACATTATATAGATACGTTGAAATGCTCGAACAGCAACAAGTTTGGCTAGTACACGGTCTCCAAGAACTGTATCGTCGCTCGATAGAAGGCGAAGGATGGCCTGGCGACCGTTTGAAACACGAACCGAATGGACACCCACTCACCCACGACCTGCTTACTCGTCTCGGCGCCCTCGACCACGCAAAGGGTGAGCGCTTTGAAGAGAATCCAGAGCTGATGCAGCAGGACCTTTGGCGCCACGGTATGCAGCGCCAGGAATCGTCTGACGGCAGCTCGGAGAGTGCTCAGTCCCCCGTCGCTCGATCTCGCTTCTCTTCCGATGTCTTATCTCAGCAGACTCTGCCTCCTACCCCTCCCGCATATAACAGCCCTTCGACACGTGTGGCCATTAAGTTGGAAGAGCCACTGGCTGTGACCCCTCAATATAACGCCGCCATGTCGATGCAGGGTGTAGTCAACCCGTTGGTTTTGCAGGATAGTTCCCAGCAGTGGTCTACTGGGAATGGATTCATTTCTTTCGACGATATGGATTTGATGAATTCAACCGATTATTCAAATATTAACTTTGAGGACGCCATTCCTTCGCCAATGTTCAGTCGCCAGATGCCTATGAGTTGTGTTTCGTCAGATTATGATGATTTCAACCAGTTCTTGAATCCTAATCCGACAGAGATTACATCGATTTAAAGGACCCTGATCTTTTGGAAAAAATTCTTTTTTTTTTCTCTCTCTCTCTCTCTCTCTTTCGTTTCTCTTGGAATGTTAACGCCGTATGACGTGCATGTATATGCTATACATGTTTTTTTTTTTCCTTCTCCATCTTCTATTTTTGTCAGGGCTACTATTACCCAAATGGTTTGAGATCAGCAATTGGGTTTCTAATTCATGTACAGTGTTGGGCTTGGGGGGTTTTGGAGTTTGGGTAAAAGGTTTCAGCGCTTACTCCTTCTTTACTTTTACAATTCATTTTCACAATATTCAATGGTGATTATTCTATGATCTAGGTACTATATAATACTATTATAGATCTAACTGAGAGATGGGAAGAATGGGAACATTAGAATATTAACGAGGGAATCTAACTCCACAGTCTAAACTTCCAAGCGAAAATCGGAAAATCAGACGGAATTATAATTTAAACCCCTATATATCCTCAAGTTTTGATACGGTATGGAATCTGAATCTAAATCATGCAATGAATCTTATTTCGCTAATGATTTATCATCTAGTATTGATGATCAATAATCCTACCAAGATACTGCTTAACTAAACTTCATTCGGAATGAGTAAGCAAAATCTCCAAATATCCACAATTTCCTCCTTTCTACTCTTTTTTTTACCTTTTGTTTGAAATATCTGACAGCCCTAGTCGTCAGTGGAAAATAACCAGTTGCCCCGACTTACCAACTTTGGTGAATTTTTCCGGACACATCTAAGTATCAGGTAGGAACTAAGCATGAACTAAAGTAGTTCAGACTCAATAATCATCAATGATTATGATGTCTTCGTACTATGTAACCTTCCAAAAGTAATAACTCATATTCTTACTGGACTTAACTCGGCTTTTGATCCCTTGTGGGCTAAAGTTAAAGTCCGGGGTATGAAATATTCGGGACTCCGTTTACTCCGAAGCCGAAAGATAAACCCGTTCAAGGTCCGAGCTAATACCTACTTTGTATTTTTTAGCAGTGCGCGATTTGTGTAAGCACTAGCACTACGGAGAGTGGCCCTTCCGAGTTCAACCCTAATTATTTATTTTATTTATGCGCTAAGTGGAACAAGTATAGTTATGCTGGACGCACACATCATAACTTAGGGCACTTAGGGCACTTGGAACAAACTTGCCTTGACCTTGAACTTGAACCTCGGTCTTTATCACCTTGCCTAGAGTACCTAGGTAGCTATCATAGTTGGCGATGCTGCCGTTCTATAGGTACCCAATACATGGGTGAGCATGTTAGGGCAGGATATACCCGTATAGATCAACGTGGCCGGAGAGAACAAACCTTAGTAATAATTCGAGTTCCCAAGATTCAATAGTTTTTTATACATAGTTATCATACATCATATATTTAATATATGCGTATTAGTTTAAGTGTTAGAAATATATTTCATTCCCTAGGTAACGATATTCCAAGGTTCCAACCTCGGAATTATGGATTACACTAGTTATGCCTTAGCATAATTTAGAGACAGCTAGCTACTAAGTAGTTACCCATTAGCCTAATTTCCCTTTTATTCAAGCTTCGCATTTATCCTGATGGCTGAATTCCGCCTATTGCGGGGTTAACAACGTCATACGAGACCTTGCAAGACTAAAACTACCCAACACCCGGTTCAATATCAGGATATCTCATTGAAAAAAACTTGATCGCCTTAATCATGTCTACTGAACAAGATGCCTTCACCTTTCTTGCTCTGGGTGCCATCATTCAGGAATTCCGCGTCGGTAGTCAGAATATTGTTCTAGGCTTCCCCACTCAGGACCACTACGTCAAGCACAATACCCCACACTATGGCGCCACCATCGGTCGCGTCGCCAATCGAATCAAGGATGGATTTATTCGTGAACTGAATGGTCGTGATTATCAGTTGGCCAAGAATGACGGTCCTAACGCTCTACATGGCGGTGAGCTGGGCTGGGGAAAGCGTGTCTTCGACGGTCCACAGACTGTTACCCGGAATGGTCACAATGCTTTGCTTTTCACACGCCTCTCTCGGGACGGAGAGGAGGGTTACCCGGGTACTGTCGAAGTGCGGGTTTGGTATACAGCTAGTAAAGAGGGCGAGGCGTCTGTTCTGACGACCGAGTACGAGATTGAATTCGTGGGCAACGAGTGCGAGGAGACTGTGGTCAACATTACTAACCACAGGTGAGAAACGTACGTCCCGTCAAACTAGTCCCAAGCTTATCATTCTAGCTACTTTAATCTCGGTGACAACCCTACTATCACTGGGACTACGGCCCAGCTCTCTACAGCCGAATACCTCCCTCTCGACTCAACTGGTATTCCCGAGGGAAAAATAGCCAATTTTCCACTCGATGTGACACAGCCATTCGAATTAAATGCGGCCGGGCCTCATATCGACGATGTCTTCGTCGTGGAAACTGATCCCTCCAAGATTCCGCTCGACACGCGCACTCTGCCGCTCCGCCAGCTCGCTCAGTTCCATAACGAAGGTACCGGTCTTCATCTAGAAGTACACAGCACTGAGCCCGCGTTCCAGTTTTATACTGGCGAGTATGTTGATGTGCCTTCGATTGACGGTGCCCCGGGTCATACTATGGGTGCTGGATTCTGTGTGGAGCCGAGTCGTTATGTCAATGCAATCAATGTGCCGGAGTGGCGTGATACGGTGCTTTTGAAGAAGGGACAGATCTTTGGATGTAAGAATGTGTATAAGGCCTGGAAGGCTTGAGGTGGAATTTTAAGTTCGATCAGTGAGATATCAATATGAAATACCATTGAAGTGAAGAAGGTGGTCTAGATATGATGTAATAGAGGAGTTGAGATTAAGTTACGGCTAGTATCCCCGCTTCAGACCCGCAATCATGAATCGTACATCCGAAGTATTGAGCAAACCCTGCGAACTTATCAACCTATCAATCCCGGCGACGATACCGTCAGCTTCCTCAAACTCACCTGTCAGTGTCTAACCCCTAGAAGACCAGAAAACCTAGCACAGGATATCATCGATTGTAGGGATGGCAATGCTCTTTGATGGGTTTATCGCTACGATTTATAACGGCTTACTTCGCTGAACGAAGGCTCTTGGATGAAAAACAGCCCTGATAACCCCATCTCCCCACCCCCACAATGCCCCAATATCAGCATCACGAAATGGCCCGGCATCATTGACCAAGCAGTATAGAGTAAGAGATGACTATCGTTGTGTTATTTCACAAGTTTACGATGCTGAACTGAATTGTTCGGTGTTCGCATCCTCCCATTCTCTCTGGGCTCATTCCAAAACGATGATAAATGACAGAACGTCAGCATCGTCTGGAAAAACCTATATCAATTCTTCCCTGCTCTTCCTTCGCAGCTCGACACTAACCGCATAGGCAATATGATTACTATGTTCGATGACTAGTCCTGATCAATCCCTTACTTAATTCGATTTCCTTGGCAAGTCATGCAGCTATTGTAAATATTCTGCACGACACTAGCCACCCCGAACATATCTACAAGCTTCTCAAAGAGTTTAGGGATAGTGGATGTGTGGCTCCCGTAACACCAATATTGGGGATCTATTATTATCAGTCAGTAAGTTATCTTTGTTACCCTCTGATCGAAGAGGGTAAATGTGGATATGGGGACTATCATTCATAAACATTGAACATCGATACCCATGGACCTTCCCGTAGACCAACCCGATATCCCGAATTCTCGGCCCGATAAAAGTCTAGAATATTTGGAAACTTGTGGACTTGATGGGATATGTCGATCAAACATCAAACAAGTAATTCTCACGGAACCTATCACGAGACCTATCAAAGCTCAACAAAAGGTACAATCCGTGAATATAGTTGGTCGAACCCCTAACCAATTCTAAGCCGCCAACCCTAATCTAGTTAGAAGTGGTGGATATTGTCAGGTAAACTAGTTTGATGGTGTCTGTATCAGATCCCGATCCATTCTCCTTTTTTTGTTTTCGTGATTACCCAAACTTACGACGTACTCTCATTTGCATTTTCAGGTCCCTGGCTCCATTCCAGGGCGGATCCATCTATCGGAGCCATTCCCGTCCTTACAGAGTATAACCCTACGAGGAATATTCAAAAACTCGGTAATGCGGATCGGCCCACAATGCGCCATACTTTTCCTTCTTCTCTTGTTCTATTCCCCTTCTCTCCCTTCCATTCCCCATCCCCTTGCCACACTACCCACATTATTCACTCATTACCCACACATTATCTCCTTTCTAAGTTAGACAAAGTGGAAATTACTCGACTATCATTGGTACCAAGTAACCATTCCGTAATGTGCTGGTTTCAAACAACTGCATGGGTCCGTGCCGCTTTCCGATGTCGTTAATTCTTTTCTCTACTCTTTTGTGCCGACTACGGAGGTTTTACAGTTACCCAGTTCGTCCATTGTTTTGTAGATCAATGGGAGCAAGTAGGAAGGAAGGGTCAACTTTATTTGATTTTCTTCTTCTATTCTCACTCTTTTTGGTTTATTTTTGGTTTTCGGTTTTTTTTTTCTCTCTGCTTCACTGATGATCATATATCTTAGATTTGTCATATTTCAGTCAACTGTTCTTAATTCGTTTGATTCCAGCATTACGAGATTTATTCTAGATAACAGGTATTGCGGATATGAATGGATATAAACGGATCCATATGGATATATGGATATATGGATATAGGATATAGCCCTAGGAGCATACTTCCGTACGGAGCTAGATTACCAACAAGGTTACCGGTGAATACACCCCACGTGGTTTGCGTTCTGTAGACTTTTTATTTCTCTTTCTTGGGATGTTTTTAGGATCTAGACAGAGCTTTGCGGGGCTGATGTCTCTTTATTTTTGACCCTAGTTAGCCTCCTGCGTCATGGTTCCAAAATTCGTCCCCAAAAAGCTTAGGAAGCTTGACAGCAAATGCTTTCATTCTAGTTATGCTGTCATTATGTATATCCACATGCTATCTCTTACTTCAAAACATCACTAATCTTGGAAGGTTTTAAGATTTACGACATACAAACTAGTTGTGCAGCCTTGTACTTTGGTAACATGAATGGTCTAGACTCTTTATGAGATCCGTTGCTTATTCTCACCGTAAAGCAACCTTGGAATCTATCTACGCCCTGGCAACTAATGACTGACTAACTTAACTTGGTACCCAGATAGGTACGTAGTATGGTTGTCTTAGAAAAATATTTATGAAAGGTACGCTACATGGCAACGTTGATACTTTGTACATCCGGTCTCCATGTATATACATAGGGGATTGATCCTACCACTCCCTGCCTTATATTTCAGTTTTTTTCTCTTTTACCACTGCCCCTGCCTTATTTATTAGGTGTAAAGAGCGATTCATAAGTTAGTCATCTGGAAGAATAGCTATTCCGGGTAAAATCTTGATTTCACAACGAGCTACTCTTACCGCTAAACCGTCCCAGAAAAGGCAAAAATCTAGAAAAACGGCAGAAAAGTGGCAGAAAGCTGAAATAATTCGGATGAACTAATTACTCGAGCTTAAAGGCGAGATTTTTGCTGGAATTACTATTATTCTGGATGACTTAGCACTATTTTGGCCTTAATACCTGAAGACACCTAATAAATTAGGCAGGGGTAGTGGTAGGAGAGAAAAAACCTGAAATCTAAGGTAGAGGGGAGTGGTAGGATCAATCCCCTATATATATATACCTAGATACGTACTTAACTAGGCTCGGAATACCGAGGTTAAAGATACGTACATTAAGAGTGGGGGCGGAGTACAAGGAGACATGCTAGCCAGTAAGATCTGATACTCCATATAAATCATAATCAGATCAGATCAGATCTATAAGATCAAACGTTATTTATCAAATTAACCTCGAATTAAATCAATGTCCACGTGATTCCGCATCTCCGAATCTCTCCGACCCCGTGCGGGGAAGGATCTTTCCCCGGCTGAATCTACAATCTTTCAATTCTACCATCTTCACCATGGCTGCCACTTATGGGGACCTACGGCATCTACTTCCTGGAAATTACAAGCGCTTGATCTCGGCCTGGTTGGAAGAGGACTGTCCTAGTCTGGATTATGGCGGCTTTGTCGTTGGCGAGACGGAGGGTGAGGCGCGTTTGCTGGGGAAGAGTCAAGTTCGTGTTCAAACTGTCCATGGATGCGTGTGACTGAAAGTCGGTCTAATGCGTTCATTTTAGGGTATCGTTGCTGGTGTTCCATTCTTCGACGAGGTCTTCTCGCAATTGGGTTGCTCGTATGTTTAAACGTTTACTTCCATCTGCGCATATAATGCCGATACTGATACTGATACTGATACTGATTGATATGACAGGATTGAATGGCATGTCAAAGAGGGAGAATCCATCACCCCAATCACCACCTGTGCTACAGTCCGCGGCCCAGTCCGCAAAATCCTCCTGGGCGAACGCGTAGCCCTAAATATCCTTGCCCGCTGCTCGGGCATCGCCACAAAATCCGCCAGACTAGTCGCCGCCGTACGGGCACAGGGCTGGACTGGCACCCTGGCTGGAACCCGTAAGACAACGCCCGGCTTCCGCGTTGTAGAAAAATACGGAATCCTGGTCGGTGGGGCTGATCCTCATCGGCATGATTTGAGCCATATGACTATGTTGAAGGATAATCATGTTTGGGCTTGTGCTAACAATAGCGCTGCTGCTGATGGCGGTGGTGGTGCTGCTGCTGGTCAGAAGGGGGCGCCTTCTATCGAGGCTATTGCTGCTGCTATTCCTCGTGCTGTGGTTGCTGCTAAGGCTGCTGGTGGGTTTGCGACTAAGGTTGAAGTTGAGTGTCGGAGTGTTGAGGAAGCTAATGCTGCTATTGGGGCTGGGGCTGATATTATTATGCTTGATAATTTCACGCCTGAGGGTGTGCGCGAGGCTGCGAGGGTGTTGAAGGAGGAGTGGGTGGGTAAGCAGCGCTCTTTCTTGATCGAGGTTAGTGGCGGCTTGACTGAGGAGAATGCGGCGGCCTATGCCTGTCCAGACGTGGATATATTGTCCACGAGTTCCATCCACCAAGGTACGGGCATTGTGGACTTTTCGCTTAAGGTGTCATTGCGGTGATAGTTATCTTTATGAACTGGTTATAAAGAATGAAAAAAAAAAAAAAAAAATAGGTTTCACATTTGATATAGGTAAAGAATATAGTAGGAGTTGAAAAAGAAAGGAAAAGGAAAGGAAAGGTCCAACGCCTCATGATCATTATCATCGCAACATCCATGACGCACAGGTCGAAACACCCGAAAGAAAATAATAAAAAACGAAGGGAAGTGAACATAGTCAAGAACTGGATCAAGAACTGGGTATCGCAACAAACATAAAAATCAATCATGCTAAACCAAAATCACACCTCAATATCCACAGTGATACCACCCTCTCCTTCACTTGAACTTTGTCGCTCAGAGTTAGGCAAACGTCGGGTCTTGACTTCTTCCAATGATGACCGTACGCGCTCTCGGCCAAGTTCACCTTCGAGTCTCTCAATTGCAGAATCGCGCTCCTTGAGTTTCTGTCGCATTCCATGACGGTCCTTGATATTTTGGGCGCGCTCAGATTTCAGCAGCTTTTCCAAATACTGTATTCGATACGCCCATGCTGCAGACGTCTGTGGTGACACCTGTAGAGACGAAGATGAATTGAGGGCGAGCTGCCTCTCGGTACGGTTTTCGCTGCCGCTAGACGAGTTAGCCCTTGTGAGCCCTCGTTCTTCAGCTGCTGAGCTAAAGGATGGGGACCGTGAGCCTAAGGCTAGGACGGTTGCGGAAGCCGCAGAAGAAGAGCCAGGCCTATCACCAAGCGAGTCACTGGCCTTGCTCTTTCGAGACTCCTCTCTGAGGTTATTATTCTCCACTTTCAATCTCACCAATTGAGTCTGCTCAGCACGTAGTTTTTTGACAGCCTCCTCGATAATCTCAAGTCTCCGTACACGATTGCTATACGCTTTCTCAAGTTGGTTATACTGCTTCGATAGCGAATGGTCCACACTTTTGATTCGGCCCTTGAACTCGGCGATCACATTTTCAATGGTCTTGACAGCAAGCATTAGGTTGCGGCCAAACCCTGGCCAGAACAGAACATTGCCAATGACCTCCTGACTGGGAAGGTTGCCATTGATCAGACTGTTGTTATGAGACCATTCAGCACCGCATATCAACGCCAGTTGTTTCCATATCTTGAGGAACATCCCGTTACGCTCCGCTAGTTGATCTTCTAGCTGCTGCTTAGCTGAGTTGAACTTCTTGCGGTCCTGGTTGCGAGCATTTTCCAGCTCTGTAATCCGAGAGGAGTTTTGGGTGAGCGTGCGGGATGCCTGCTGGTGCGATTTGAGTGATTGTTCGAATGACACCTTATCTGCCCGACGGGCTTGTCGCTCGCGGTCCAGGTACTCAGTGAGCTTGCGAACTTCGAGAGCCGAGGATTCAAGAAGAGCATCACGGGTTTTAAGTAATGACTCCTTGTCATTGAACTGGGAGCGCATAGTCTCCAATTCAAGAGCCGTGGTCTCGAGCTCTTTTTGGAGCTTCGTGACGTTGGATATAAGACTAATCCGGCTGCCGCTGAGATCGCCCAGAGTCTCTCGGAGACTGTTCTCGAGATCCATCAGTCGCTCACGCCAGGTGGAAGTCTCAATCTCTTGAGCCTGCAGGCTCTTCTTCAATCGTCGGACATCCTCCTTCGCTGATGAAGCCTCACGATTCAGATCGTTCATCATGCGCTGAACCTCTTGCTTCTCCTTACCACCCACGACTTCACGTTGGTGGCGCTCATCTGCCAGGCGCTTCTCGAGCTCTCTGGTCTTTTCCCTCTCACTGCGGAGGCCGACCTCGCACACCTTCAACTCAGATTCTAAGTCTCCGATGCGAATCTTGTCGCCCTCTTGGTCTTCTCGAAGGAACGCAATCTCGTTCTGCCCAGACTCAAGCTGTACAGTCAACCGTTGTACCGTGGCGTTGGCCTCGAAGAGACTCTTTTCCAAGGATTCCATTTCCTCAACGGTGTCTTCGAGGTCTCGCTGCACCGACTTATATCGCTCCAAGTTCTTCACAGAATCCTCTTCGAGGTGCAGGATCCCCTCCGTGGCCGAACGCATTTCTGCTTTCAGGACCTTTAGACTCTCCTCCTGGGAAGCCAGCTTCTCATTTAGACACTTAATTTCGTCTAGCTTTCCTTCAAGCACATTGTCCAAAGCATCCAACTCGTCCTGCGCCTCCTCACGAAGGTTCTTAAAATTAGTGGCGGTATCTTCGGCGACTTCAACCGCTGTGTCGCGTTCTTCAACGAGCTTGTCGTTCAACATCTCAAGGTTCTCACGATCTTGAACAAGTTGATCACGCTCCTCTAGAAGTTGGTCACGCTCTTTTAGGGTTTCTTCAAGATCACGATTCAGGTTCTTTAAGTCCTCATTGGCCTGGTCGACATCACGTTGGTAAGCCTCATCAAGAGTCTCTAATTCCGAAACAGCTTCACTGAGTTGAGTTTGGAAGCTTTGGTTTTCGAGTCTCAAAGATGACAATTGATCACGAAGTTTTCCATTTATTTCTTCCAACTCATCACGCTCCTCGTCGCTGCGTGATGCGCTGGTTTCATTGCTGCCTCGACGCCCTTGAGCGCGAGATGCAGACCGGTCAAGAATGCTGTCTCCCGCCACTGATCGACTGCCATGGCGTCCGTGGACAAGCTTCAGTTCTTCGATCTCCTGGTAAAGACGTTCCTTTTCGCGGTTACGAGAAGTGAGCATCGAAGTCTGTGCGCTGACCTCCTTCCTTAGTTCAGCATTCTCTTGCTTCAAAAGGTCAAGTTCGACAAAGGCTTTCTTGTCAAAGGAGCTCATTGATTGACGGCCATCTCTTTCATGCGAGATTGTCGAGCCACGCTCACGTCCTGACCTCTGTTGGCCACTGGACATGAGCAGTTCACTTCGAAGACGGATTGCCTCGTCTCGTAGCCTACGGTTTTCGTCCTCGGCTTGCTCGCGGGCTGCTGTCTCGCCGTCTAGCATGTCCTTCCACATGTCCTGCATGAGTTAGTTTACCCAGGTCATAAGAAAAGGAAGAAAATGTCTTACTCGTTCCTCTCTCTCAGATCCAGTGGCTCGATTTTTGGTTAGCGAACTGACCATTTCCGCTAGGCGTCTCTTCTCGCTTTCTTTGGTGATGCTTTCCGATCTCATTCGCTCAATCTCAAGCTCGTAGCTTTCAATTCGTTCTCGCAAATAAATGATCTCTCCTTCTTGGACCGAGACTCGGTCCGCATCATCCGATGCCTCGGGATCGTGGTTCAGCATCGAGCCCTTGTCGGATTTGTTCTGGCGCACTTGCTTCTCCAGGTCACGGATTGTACGTTTCAGGAGTTGATTTTCCTTTTGCAACGAAAGCTTAGCTGACTGGAGCTCAATATTTTCTGAAATCATTTCTGTCACATTGTGATCGGAGCGTTTAGACAAGGCCTCATTGAGGAAGTGAACACGCATCTTCAGGTCGAAGTTTTCCTTCGCAAACCGATCAATGCTGCTGCTCTGTTCCTTTAGTGTCATACTACGGCCACTTTTTGCGAATGCTGGGGTTACAACCCCCGATCGCTTCTCTGGAGATTGCCCTGATTTGCGATAGCTAGTGGAAGCCATACCCTTCACTCGGTCTGCGGCGACTGTATTGCTTTGATTATCAACTTCCTTGGGCTTGGCCTTTGGAGTTTGAGGGGTTGGAGGGTCCTCGTGCTCTGGTTGCTGCTGCTGTGGCGATCCTTCTTCTTTCAATGGCTGCAGTCCTCCGTCCATCTGGCCGACAATAGTTCGTCTCTCCATCATGACGTCCTCGCTATAACCTGAGACGCCTGATGCCATACTTCCTAAGCTAATTGTTCGTGCAACTTGGGCGCGCTTTGTGGGCTGATAGGTGTCCCATTGGTCTGATACACCCGATTGGAGCGTAAAGTCCGCACCAAGAGTAGCATCGCTGCGCGTGGTACTTGTGCCGTCAGTGTTGTTGCTGACAAGGGAAGTACGCGAGAGGCGCTTGGAAGAATGGTTAGGGGATAAGGGGGGGATTGTGCGGAGGAATTGCGACTCGACAGGAATTTAGGTCGCCCGTCACTGGTACCGAAGCTTTGTTCGCCGAAAAGCCGAGGCGACAAACTACGGGATGATTTTCGTAGTTCAGATGGCATGAGTTGTGATTCATCGGCCTGGGACAGCTCGGAAAGTTCGCGACTGTGGAAGATCTTACTATGATCCTTGCCACTTTCAGACGTACTAGATTGATTGCGGTGGGTGTCGCGAAAGATTGCTGACGCTGCGAGGGGCGACGAAGCTGTTGAATCAATAGTGGTGTCGTTATCTGCGCGCATAGATGGGTTGGAGTCAACACGGACGCTTTCGCTGGCATCGGCAACGAAGGTGCTACGAGAACGGATTGATTCGGTGATGGGCTGAATGAAAGACAGCTGAGAAGAGTCTGTCTGTTGGGCGGGGTCGGCATCACCAACGCCGACAAGGTAGGTGTCATCGGCACCAGCACCATCTGTGGCGACGTTAATGGTGGAAGGCGGTTCGGGCATGAAGCTAGATTCTATCTCTGACAGCTTGCGGCGCATTTCATTCTCCTCCATCAGGGTTTGATTGTTGTCGCGTTGGCCATTTTCGCTCGAAGGGGGGAAGAGATAACTATCATCGTAATCAATCAGAGGAGCAGCGCTTGTGTCCTCGACGTCAAGATCAGACATTGTGACTGGCGCGTGGACGGGGGAAAGCACCGAATCTTCTTCAGTACAATAATAACCGTCAATGTCGGATTCGTATTCATCTAGAAATGCACGATGGTTGGCACTCAGGCCGGTTAACTCTAGAGACTCTACAGAATAGGAGTAGTCTGAGTCTGACTCGCAGTAGTCGAGGGAGCTGGAGGATGAATGCAAGATGGGAAGTGGCCCAGGGACCGACATGGCGGCCTGTGTTCCTATGTTTGGGATCCACCACGGAGCAAGGTCAACGAATCAGAACTAGGAAACAAGGTTCTTGTTTTAAGATCAATCGAATTTAGAATTTTGAGTCAACAAAGTGAATAGCAAAGTGATAGTTGAATCAGTAACAATGTAGGAATTAGGGGGGAATACTTAGAAGATTGACAACAATAGCGTCTGTGGGAAGAAATGTCAACGATATCTGGTCTTGTACTCGTGTACTTTATGGATTCAATTTACAAGTGAATGTATTGACTAGAACTCTATTACTTCTATTAATTGAGTCCGAACTGCTACCAAAGTTCAGGTATTCGCATTCAAAAGAGAAAAATCATAGTCTTCGTAGTTCCTCCAAATCATTAAACAATGTAAGTCAAACCCGTATAGAAAAGAAAAGAGGGGGAGGGGAAATAGAGAATAATAGTGGAAATATAAGGATGAAGAGAAAAATAGACAGTGGAGATAAAGGGGATATACAGAAGGGAAATTCAACCAGTCGCTTTCAAAAGTATGTGACGTTCTCTGTGTTCCCTCAGCCTGGAGGGGATCTTTATACAGCACAGGGAGAATAATTGTTAAAACACAGTCTGACAGATTAACGAAGATGGGGAGTAGGAAAATCAGGTCGAAACAGTCAGTGGCTCCGATTCTGGGTTGTTGATCTCGTCGGGAGTAAGATGATAATTGTTGGAAGATGCATAGATCTTTTCTTTCTGGCTGATTGCATTGCGCAGAGAATCAATGTAGGTTCGGAACTTGACAATCTCACGCAGCAGATACGATGACTTGCGCTCCCAGTTAGCCATAGCCTTGTTTGCGTTAGGATGTCGTAGTGTAAATGCGAGGTTCATGGCACCGCGCAGCTCGTTGTGTCTCTGGAGGTCATCTTCGACGTTCTTCACATATGCCTGCAGGGCCTTCAACTGGTCCTCTTCGGTCAGATGAGATGCCACCATACTCTGCTGTGGAGGACTCCAGTCACTGATGTTAACACGATCTGCGGGTAGCTTGGATCGCACACCTTGTTGATCCAGTGAGCTTCGAATAGAGCTCTGTATGCTCGGACGAGAATGGTGATGAGGCCCCGAAGGCGGCGGTGATCGGCTTTCATTACTTCCCAGAGCGCTATTTATGACGGCATCACTCCATCCATACTCAATGTTGCTGATACCTCCAACCAGAGGCTCCTTGGACAATCGAGCACTCCAGTAATTGGCGGTAGATACGAATTCTCGCACAATCTCGGGCGTACCTGCCTGGAAAAGATGTACTGCACCCGTGGGTAGGCTCAAGGCCCACACATGCGGACGTGACTTGGAATACCCAGGTGGTGGAAGGGCACTGGCAATAGTCTGGCGAAGCATGAACTTCCAGATCTCCTCGGCATTTTCTGTCCAGTTTCCACCTCCAACCACAACACCGCCACGCTGCTTCGCTTTCTGTCGCATGGTTTTGGTGGTATTAGAGAAGGAGAACAACCGCATCCAGCCCTGTTGAATGACGGCAAAACACTCGTTCCAATTGCGATCCTTGGCACGCTTGTCGACCGCATCCAAGTGATGCTTGTGTTTGACGCTTCCTTCCTTGGCCCAGGGAGCACCTGCCAAGGCCAACGTCTCGTCTTCCAAGAGTGGAGTGGTTCGTTCAGGCTCATCAAAGCTGTAGATAGACGGGGCGGAATCCTCACGAATGATGGCTTGGCTCAGGGCATTGGCAAATCCAATGGACTGCTGGTAGTCACCGCGAGGGTAATCTGAGCCAAAAGAATCGACAGAGGCAGAGGTGAACTTGCCCAATGAATACTTGCTCCAGGTGCTTGAGGCAGTTGGACTCAAGACAGAAGATTGATCATCCAGGCTGGTTCGGCTGGATCCCATCATAGATGCGGGGTATAGTCGGGTGTTACCGCCCCGAGAGCGAGGTTTGGACGACCATCTTGCGGCGCCATGACGAGAATCGGCTGATCTGCCACGAGGGTAGATGTCCGAGCCGCTTTTACTGATGGTGCTAGGACTCCTGCGAAGAATTCCCGTGGATGGAGTCAGGAAGCTGGTGGTGGATGTCATACGAGTTACCTCGCGCTCGGGCTGGGCACCGTGTAGAGGAAGACGTTCCTTTTGAATTGAGGTGTAGAAATCCTTCAAGATAGCCTCCACCTGCTGCTCCCATACTCGAACATTTCCAATAAAGGGGGTGTTGACCAATGGACCCGCGTCACTGTCGGCCGTATTTCGGTCAGAGTTGTCCATCTCCAGAGAATTACGGCGGGCGGGGTCAATGCTAGAGCGGGTGATGTTAGGTGCCTGAGAGGGTTCAAATAGTAGAGATGCGGTCTTGGAGCGATTGTTCGGTCGCAATGTCTCGAAACCATCTGGGGCTGCATCCATAGCAACTCGATGGATGGTAGGCATAGTGTTTCGAACGAACTGGGATTTGGTCATCTTTTGGTCTATATCGGCCAAATGCAGGTCGGTATTCAACAGGAGAAGGGAATAGCAGATGGTGTGAACAACATCTGTGTAGAAAGTCAGAACACATCGCAAGACAGAAACATATAGAAGAAAGACATACCAGTAGCTTTGAAGCCATGACTTGGATTAGAGTCACACCATCGGGTGGAAAAAGCATCCAAGACTCGATCCACTTGCTGACTTTCTCCCTTCAATACTAAGCGCACACACAGACTTCGAAGAGCAGCCAGGATATTCATATTGGACCAGTTATACAATCTCATGTAAGCTTCGCGAATCATAGCTCGATCAGGGCCACCGAGCCATGCAGCGGCCGGCTCATTGCCCACCACCTGATCTTGACTTTCGTAGAGTTTCAGAGCCTGCTCGCGATCACTTGCCGTAGGTCCATCCTCAATAGCGTCGCCAGGTCCGTCCATCGGGCTCTCAGTCGTTTCATCGAATGGTTTCGCCATATCGTCAATGATCGGGGTATTAGCCGCAGTTTGATAACGCGAGGCCTCAGATGTGGAAGGCGATTCAGGAATTTGGGGTTGGGACTCTTCTTTTACGCTGCTGTCGGGGGCTTCCTGTGTTATTGACATAGAGGAAGACTGAATGCCGCGTGAGGGTTTATCTGAGGGCTTTGGAGCGATAGACGGAGCTGCGCTCGAGCGCTTCCCCTGCAAGGGGGCATCTGCAGATGCGAAGCCGACATCTTCGCCCCTCACGGGTCGATCATCACCGCCACGGCTGTCTGCGAGTGGTGAGCGGTCTTGGCGGAAAGAGCTAGGAGGTTGGAGAGCTTTATTCGTCGCCGAATTTCCTCCAAGTGGAATGAAATCTCGTGGCTTGTCTAAAAGAGTAGGCTCGCGAAGTCTTTTACTTCCTTGACTCGTCTGTACATCATCTGCGAGGTAATCATTCATGACCTTCCGCAGGCTACTCACTGGGCTTGGCTGAGGCTTCAACGAGTCAAAAGCCTGAGGAGCAAGATCTTGAGGGAGTACAATTGGCGGCGGGATACCACTATCAGTGACAGACTTCTTCCGTCTGCGAAAGAAAGATGGTTTCTTATTGATAACCTGTGGAGGTCCCTTGCGAGTAGCGGAGGAAGGTGTCGGCGGACCTGTTGGTGTTTTGAAGACCACAGAGTCTCGTTCCTTCAAATTGACGGTCGCCCCGGTGGGGTCCTTTGCTTCATTATCTTGCAAATATGCCAAATCGTTCACATTCACAATCCCTGTCACATTTGAATTCGGAGAGTCCAAAAGGACTGGTGTAGAGTTCCTTCCTGAGCCGAAAACCCGCCGAAAAAAGCTGGGTTTTTCTTTCAAACCCATAGCGCTAACGCTATTTGTCGTAGTGATGGTCGTGGAAGTGATTTTTGCCGCAGGATCTGGCGATGGGAAAGCGGGCTTATTATAGGAAATTGTTGGACTGGGCGCAGGCAACTCTGAGGAAGAGGGAATTAAAGTGGGAGGATCAAGGTCTGTGTCGCCCGATAGTTGAAAATCATTGTCTCGACTTCTGAGAATGCCAGTGCCAAGGTTATCTGCGCGAGCTTTTCGGATCTGGTGCCCCTGTGCTGATTTCAGACTATTTCGACGTGACGCTGCTAGAGTTCGTGATGTATAGGCAGATGGAATAGTAGAGTTCTCAGGAATCTTGTGAGGTCCAGATGGAATGCCGGGAGTCGGTGCCGCCTCGTCGCCATCATCATCCTCCAGCAAGGATTCTTGGCCTCGGTGATCGGCGTAGGGGACATATTTCCTCGGTCCGCAGTCGAAACTTGGCGAGCGCCGACCCATGCCATCAGAGTCTGCTCGCGTTCGGGGTACGTTGTATCCAAAGTCGGCAGACGAGCTTCCCTTACTGCCCTGCCAAGAATCACTGCTCCTGGGTTTTCTACCACTGCCCCGAGAGCCCATTGTATCGCCACGAGCACTATCTAACCTTCTGGTCAATGTTTGATAACTTGAACTGCTAGTGCTTTGTCGGCTTCTAGTTGCGATGGTAGCAAAACGGGAGCTATTGTTATTAACGTCGTAGTCGTAGTCTGGTTCTGAGGATGTTGAGAAAGAAGAGGCATGGCTGCGATAGCGGCCATGCATTTCCGATCCAAAAGCCGAGTTATACAGTCGATAGTCATCTAGTACAGATGCCTCTGGGGCAGCAAATTGGTCCAACGATAGCAGCATATTGTCCACAATTGATGTACGAGCGGCATGTTGAGGAGAAAGGGACAAGTCGTGGGGATCTCTATCGTCCCCTAACTCGCTCGCTGTCGGCGCATTCTCAATAGATGCGGCGTCCGGGAAGGCATCGCGCAAAGGTGCTTGACCTGGGTACCCGCGTTTTGATCGGTACTTTGCAGTCTGAGAGGGAGGGGTGCGAGGAGGGGAGCTAGAAGCGTAGATATCGCGCAGTTGGGACATTGTTACGACTACCTGGACCCAAGTCAATAGGGTTTCCTAATAATGTAATGAGCATTGAATATTCAGGAGAAATAGAATTCGGTGCATCAATTTATAAGAGGGTACTTTTGCAATACCAACTGATCTCGGTTGACACCCGAGAGATGTCTTGAATGAGCTGTCAGACGTACCTGTGATGCCCAATGCTCTTTTAATGAGCTTTTTTTTTTTTTTTTTTGTTGCCCACAAGGCGATTCTTGAAAGAGACAGGCTATCAAGCAGCTAGGTGGATTTGGATAGAATTGAAGCACGGACTATATTCAAGTCATGGCATATCCGTAAGGGGGTTCAGGGGTGAACGGCAACATGCAGCCCTGAAGTGTGTTGAATTGAGGCGAAGTTGTATGTGAGTTGTAGATTGGGGGATGAACTCCTGAGAAATCGGGGGGAAAGAGAACTAAGAAGGTTAAGAACTAATTCAGACGCAAAATTCCCGAACCACTCAAAATTGGAAAATATATTAGCTGTTCCAGCAGAAGTTACAGATCAAATGATTGAACACAAAACAGACAAAAGACGAAACAGGGGAAGTTTTCATGTATCTACTCTTATCCCTGATTAGCCTCGGTACCGAGAAACACGAACTACGCCGTACGAAGGATTAAACCATCGACTACTAGGGGATATTCAAGGAAGTAGAATCCGGTAATAGATAGATAATATGGCAAGGTGATGTATCTAACAGCCCGAAGTGGATCATCGCGGACTTGATATATATAAATAGTTAGCTAGTATTTCTATACACGGAGCACCTCATGCCCATGTCTTTGCATACATAAATAATTAATCCCTTACTTCATACATGCAGTCCATTACTTACTATGTAGGTACAATGAGCCCTATATTTCAGGTTACCTGTCATTCAAGCCTAATATTTAGTGCCTAAGACGTAGATACTTCCTCCCCTCAATAAAAGTCTCCAGATAGATATAAAGATAGTTACACCAATAGGCTCAGAATAGAACAATACCGGTATAATGGATTTATTACAATATTAGGTAGAAATGTAGAAACCTGGAATTATTACTCTGTGTACAAGAATGAAACAGGCGTTATTTAATAATCGTTTCATCTTATACTCTGGGTTCACGTGACCTGACATAATCCAACACGTCGACCCCAACTCGTTTATTGATCCTTATTTCAAGCTCTCGACTAGAGCTCATTGACCATGAACCCCCACATCTCTGTCCCTCGCCAAAATGCTGGTTCTTCCAATTTTGGCTCCATGCCCAGTCGCGGGTCGACTGTGCGCATGCCGCGTTTCTTCAAGAGGTAATCCATATTCACTTGCATATGAGAGCCTAACTAACATCTGGTAGACTCTTCAAATTTCCCCAGATGGACTTTGAAATGGCAATCTGGGAGATGACTTCTTTATTGATCGCCCCGAAGAAGGTCTTCAAATCCATATACTATCATGTAAGTTTGGCTCCTTACCCGTTGGAAGCTGCAATACTAATGCTGCTCTGATCTAGAAACGTGAGTCTTATCTTCAGTCAAACTACCGATATCCCGAGGATCCCCTCGGGACATCACATTGACGCCCAATTTAAATCGCTTCATTGACGCAATTCATTCAGAAACTAAAAACACCTGGCATCGCCCTGACCCGTCTTTCGCATACCTCCTCTCCTTCTTTCTTCTCCTCACAGCTCTGGCCTGGGGCCTCGCATACACCCCATCTTTTGGCTCTATTGTGCGCTTATCATTCCTCTTCATATTCGTGCACTTCATCGGCTCCTCCCTCCTAGTCTCAACTATCGGCTACTTCATCATCGGCCGATTGTTCGGTCCCAATGGTGCCGCCGCTTCTCTGGCCGGTCTTCGTGGTTCGAGGAGCCGCCGACGAGGCGCTGCTCAGGGCCTGTTTGTACAACCGGGCGAGAAAGATCAATTGGAATTTGGATACTGTTTCGACGTAGGACCGACCCCTCTTCTCGTCACTAAATCCTTCTGACTTGCTTTACCTAGGTCTCCAATCGCGCCTTCTTCCCACTCTATCTTCACCTCTATGTGGTGCAATTTGTGCTTCTTCCCATCCTTACCCGCAGTCCGAGTAACTTCTTGGCTACCTTCTTGGGCAACACACTCTACCTCTCCGCCCTGATATACTACACCTACATCACATTTTTGGGCTACAACGCCCTGCCATTTCTACATAACACAGAATTGCTTCTTATCCCTATTGTCATCTTCGCTGTCTTATGGCTTGTCAGTCTGATTGTCGGTTGGGGCGTTGTCATGCAAGGCAGAAGTGTTGTAGGCCTGTTCTGGGGTGTGTAATTATGTCATAAAGTCTGAACTTGTCATATGAACCCTTCACCCATGTATGAGACCTGATTTTCTATGTATGCATTGGGAAGAGTAATTACCTTTGTTTTGAACTGCATTAGCGCGTTGATGTACATGATTTCTCCTTTTCTGCTTCATCTATCGCATCAGGCTTCCTCAAATCCTGATCTATCTATACACCATCATTATAGATCTCTCGCTTCAAAAGAGCGAGTATTTGTTCTCGGAACAAAGCAACGTAGCCAGGTAATATTTCCATGTAACCATTGAATTTCAGCTTAAGATAGATCGCTAAATCACTTCTTTCTACCCTTTATGGGCTTTCCCATAGCAGCAGCACGCATCTTGTCCTCGCGCTCCTTGATCAACGCAGCCTTCTCCTTCGCTTGCTCGTCCTTCTCCTCCTTTTCAGCCTGCTTCCGGGCCCGTTCAGCCTCACGCTGCTCACGGATGATTGATAGACGTGCGAGATCAGCCCGCGCTTCATCGGTCTTACCCTCCGCGTGCATCTTCAGATACCGCTCACGCGCCTGTTGTGCCTGAATAGCTTCCCGTTCCCGCCGGGAGAGCTGCGACGGGTCTTTCACGACCTTCTTCGGCTTAGCGCCCTCCTCATCCTCGTCAACCTTCACCAACTGTTCCCGAGATTTGGCAGTGTGGTTGGGGTTCGCGGGGAGGCCAGTGTCGGACTCCTCAGAGTCTGATGGGGGCAAATCACCAGGCTGAGCGGGTGTTTGGCCCCGCTTGGCTTGCGCAGCTTGCTTCTTCGCCTTTGCAGCTGCACGACGAGCCTCGCGAGTCACCTCCGCGGAGGCCGCCTGGCCGCTAGGACCAGCTTCATCGCCACTCTCTTCGGAGCCTGACTCTTCGGACGAGTCTTCATCACCACTCGATGGGACTAAGTCGGCTGGGTCCTGAATTGTAGAAAGGAAAAAAAAACATTAGAGCCCTGTTATGTGAAGGCTGAGTCGCTTGGTAGTTTCCAACATACGCGCCATAGACCAACTGAGTTTCCATCTTTGTCAATCTGTTGAATATCTCTGCTGAAGTGCTTGCCTCCTGTTTTTCTAGGTGAGTTTCTCATCACTCCCTTAAGATGGGGTGTTTTGTGTGTGCATACCTCCTCGGGAAGGCTTAGAGAACTTTCCTCCACGACCGCGGGGAGCCATTATGGATATGTGACGTGTGAAATCCGGAAAGGTGGTTGATTGTAGGGAAGGTTTTGCTTCTTCCTTCTATTTAAATCGTCTTATGTCAGTATTCTTCGAGTTTGAGTCGTGTTGAGTCACGTTGTGGAAGTAGCACAGGCATACACCGACAAATAGAGGGGCAATTTGACAAGGCGGGGAAGGGATACAGAACAATTAGAGCAAAGCGAATCACCTCAGAATAAGTGAATATTGAACTTACTTGGGCAGATCGGAAATGTGGAGGAAGTTGAATCTGGAGAAAAAGCGCAACGAATCTACGAATCCAGATTAATCAGTCACATGTTGTTGGATCCACTTCAGTTTCTTATCAATTTTATCAGCATTCGAAGCCCTAAAAAGTTCCATTTTTGATTTCTTTACATAACAGTCAAGCTTAATATCACTTTTATAATTTTTATTCAATTTCGTATAGGATAGGATAAGCATCATACATAATAGATCTAGGAACTGTGAACATAGTGTATGATATCTTTGTTAAGCTTAAGGTGGGATGAGGGCTGATGCTTCTTTCCTCTATGCTCTCCTTGTAGTGTCAGCTGCTGTGTTGCTGAATTGAGAGGCCTGAAAGCATTCATACTTTATGAATACTACCAGGTGTAGTGGTCCTTACTACACTGTATTTGTCTCTGTACTTCCCCATAGGGAGAATTGTTCCTCGCAATATTGAAGTTTTGGAATATTGGTAGCATTCATTAACCGTCGTTGTCTAAAATTCTTTACAGTTCAAGACTCAACAGCTCCTCTAATAGTTTTTCTTTTAAAAAGACAAGCAGAAAGGGAAAATGAACCCGTGACGCCCGTTGGATAGAGAATTTTAAAGAAGATACCAGGGCTCACAAAAACACCGTTTCAGCATTGAATAGGTCCGTGTTTATCAATCCATACTTGGAGCAATGGTCATAAGGAGATACTACCAAGCTAATCATACCTTAAATCTTGTTGACTCAGTAAAAGGTGACCGGAACTCTGCCGACGATATTGGCATGATTTAGTGATCGTGGCTGGCGCTGCTGTTAAGCATCTGGATGGTGTTAATGACATCGGCGGGCTCGAGAAGATGCCAGCTGGCATCAGTTTGTTTTGAGCTGGCACCAACTGTCACCGAGTAGACGTGGTTTTGGGGCAGGTCGAATTTCTGCAGTGCCCGGAACATGTCTGCAAGTTGTTTGTTAGCCAATTCTTATGGCGGAAAATGGCTAGATGAGCAACCGTACCTTCGTCGGTGAAGTCATCTCCTAGGCACAAGATGAATTCGGGTGCCTGGCCCGGCTCATGGCCATACTCATCCACTAATCGTGTGGCAATGAAGCCCTTGTTGACGAACGTGGGTCGAACCTCCAGATTGGCCTTGCCTGCCATGACCTCCACATCCCATCGTTTAGCAACGGTATCCTCGAGTGCCTTCCGGCACTCACGAGCCTGGAAAGCTCCATATTCCGGGTCTGCACGGCGGTAGTGCCATGTCAATGCTACCCGTTTCCGCTCGATGAACGAGCCTTGGGTTCGTTCGGTGTAATGTTGGAACACATCCACAACCTCCTTCTGCCAGCCCATATTTGACTGCTCAGCCAAGTTCTCCCATTCGTCCTCACCAGGCTTACGAATAAAGCAACCGTGTTCAGCACTTAGTCCAAGCTCAGGAATGTGGCCCATCCATTCATCCAAAAAGGCCTGATCCCGTCCACTGATGATCCATACAGCGTTACGTGGGTCTGCCGACAAGGTCTTGAGTGTGCGCAGAACCCTATCTGATGGAATAGCAGCCTGAGGGTCTTTAACAATGGGGGTCAGTGTGCCGTCATAATCAAACATGAACAGTCTCTTGTGGGCCTTGCGGTACTGCTTGACGAGCTTCAACCGATCCAGCGCCGGAGTGGCAACGGATTGATCAAAAGACGAGAGATTGGTTAGAAGACGATGGAGGAATTGGCGCGACCATGTGTCCACTGTGTTTGTAATAACGTGTTTGTAAAGCTTCATATGCTGCTCTTTCCGCTCGTCGGCTGGCATCTGCAGAGCTTGATCAATGGCGCCGGCGACGCCGACCAAGTCCCATGGGTTGATATGAATGGCACTAGGGAGGGTTCCTGCAGTACCAGAAAACTCAGAGAGAATAAGGGGACTGTGATTCATGTGCTGACAGACGATGTACTCGAGGCTCGTGGTGTTCATGCCATCTCGCACAGTGGTGATCAGTCCAAGATCAGCCACGCGCAACAAAGCAAAGTACTCGGCTGGGGTCAAATACTGCGGATAATACTGAACCGGGGAGAAGCTCAACGACCCGAAGCGGCCGTTGATGGTTGAGACTAGATTAGAAATCTGACTGGCCATCTTATTCTCGGGGTCCTCTTTCTCCTCTTCCACGCTAGTTGGACTGGTCACTTGGATAAGAACAACCTTGTCGCGCCACTCAGGATATCTTTCGAGGAAGATTTCGAATGCTTGCAGCTTCTGTGCCACTCCCCGGACACTGTCTAGCCGGTCCCGCCCAACGATGATCTTCCGACCCGCATACAATTTGCGAATACCTGCTACAGTTTTCTCGATATCTGGGGCTCCAAATGCCGCTTGCTGGATAGCACGGGCATCAATTCCAATGGGGAAGACATCCACAGCAACATGGGCACCATATGCATCCACACCTGCGGAGTTTGATTCAAATCCCAAAACACGGGTACAACAGGAAGAGAAGTGGCGAGAGTAGGAAAATGTTTGGAAGCCAATCATGTTGGCACCGAGAACTCCAGTCAACACCTCCTTGCGCTTTGCAAGACAGCGTACAAACTCACTGCTAGGGAATGGGGAGTGTAAAAAGAATCCCAAATAGATGTTCGGAATGCGCTGTCGGAGCATACTGGGCAGAAGGAACAGGTGGTAGTCATGTATCCATACGACGTCACCTTCCTGGTACTCTTCCGCAATGCGGTCCGCGAACAGCTGGTTCAGCCGAATATAATCAGCCCATGCCTGTCGCTCTGCGCGACCATCTGTTGGGCCATGCTGCTTGTAATGCAGCAGCGGATACAGTTCACGTTCGGCATATCGCCGCCATCGCCCTTGGTCTTGTAGTAAAATTGTATCACCCGGTTCCTCCAATTCACTAGATAGCCAAACCGGTAGAACGCGGCCATAGCGCCCAGAGGACAATTGATTATCAAGTCGCTCTCGATCCTCACGTCCAACCTTCAGGCCCTCCACCAGAGGATGTGTTGGCTGCGGTTGTTTCGCATTTACCGGGACCGGTGCAGCCGCTTTGTTGACAGGGGAAGCGTTACTAGTAGGCGGCGACTTGACAGCCACGTTGGCAGACACCTGCTGTAGAGGAGGCTTTGTGTCCACAACGGGTTCAACTTCTCCGGTCCACCCCACTAGGGTGTGGGACCATGGAGTCTCGTTTGATGTCAGATGGGCAAACGAATCGAACAATGCGGAACTGCCGGAGCGTGGCTTGATGGTCTGTTGACGAAATTAGTTAGTAGGCGGTTCTCATATGAAACTACAGATATGAACTTGGTGACGTACCCAGTTCGACCCTGATTGAAATTGGAGCTTATATGGGATGCAGAAGGCAGCGCTGATCAAGCGCCCGCTCAGTTTCAGTCCTGGATGCTGTATGCGCGGGTCAGATTCAGGTGACATGGGTGATGCCTCTCCAATCAAGCTCAAGCGACGCAATAAATCCTGGCCTGCTCCTGGGCTCTTTCCAGCTTCTTCTGATATTGACTGATCAGAAGGACCCACAGGCTCGAATTTGGCTCCCTGGAGGTTGCTGAAGTATGACGGCGCATTGTTTTCCAGTTGACCTTTGTTATTGGTATCCAAATTTGGAATCGTACTGCTAGTATCAGGATTGGCGACCTCTATGGGGTTCGACTGGCCATCAGGTACAGATGCGGGGTTGTCTGCCGGTCCAGACATGGCAAATATGTCTGGATATATGGAATTCGCAAAAGGTGTTCGGATAATTTAAACTACAGAGAAAAATTCAGAATGATAACTGCAATTGCCCTGAATAGTGTTTGTACTGACATGGATGGAGAAACTGGTCGCGTGTATCCTAGAAGCGGAAGCGGGGGGGCGGAGGCAGGCGGGGGAGACCGAAAGGATGGGGGAGTAGAAACGAGGGGTTAGGATGAAGCCATGAATGAATCAGCAAGAAAAAAAGATATGAAAGCACAAGGTTGATAGAGAAGATAAGTTGGAAAGGAGAGGGGGTGGAAAGTTGGAGGGGCAAGCGGTGAGATTAGAGAAGCCACAAGCCCAAACAGGAACTGGTCCGGTATGGATTGGAGTTAAATCGAGTTAAATCGAGTTAAATCGGTACTTGAGATTTTACGTCATGAATATTCTATTCGATCTTTCCTTCCTCCACTCCACATTTTCTCACTTCCCCTTCCACTATTCCACTTTTCAAGTTTCATATTACTACCTATTCAATTACATTCTGCTTCGCCTTTTCTTCCTGCAAGGCCTAATTATATGGCCTTAGGCACCAAAATATACTCAAATTTTCCAGCTAGCGCCCCGTCGGTTGTAAATTCCTTCTGTCACAGACCCCTCGTCATGTCCCAGTGATTGTACATTTGATATGCGGCTTTCCGGCCTCCAATCCTCGCGCTTTTCTCTCCATGTACCCAGGCGACTGCACGTCCCTGGCCCTGCTCAAGACTCGGATGTCTTCGCCGACAGTCTTCGCAAGACCCTAGAGGCCCATCGCTCCTCGAATAGGGCTCGACTCATTCGCAAAGTATATCCGCGAGCCCCTGCATTGGGTTTGTTTCGCCCTTACATACTTCCCAAAAATCGTGCTGGATATCAGCCGCCTGAGCCGCCAGTTGCGATATCAGAAATATCGGCACCGGAATCAACGAAACCGGCAAAAAGGCGCATGCGCGGACACGTGCAAGAAAAAGAGCCATTAAAGAATAGACCCAATGCCATTCGGAGCGCCAATGCGTTGTATAGGCGAACCCATCAACAATGTCCTTGGCTGAGGCACATGGCTGCACCTCCGGCTTTTGGCGATGCGTCCACATTCCTGGATGCGGAGATCCAAGCTCTGGACCGTTACCTTACACCAAGCCCTGATGAGCAAACCCAGATCACTAAGTTCACTACCGAACTCAAGTCGCTGCTAGAAACAGTGGTTTCACAGCCACCTCAGATCATCGGGTCTCGCTGTACAGGTCTGGCGCTTCCGCATTCAAACCTTCATTTCCTCCTGCCTTTCGAAGACATCCCGCGATCTCTAGATCGAGCCCGGCGGCCAAGCCCTACACGACCGCAGATCAGAGATGCCCACATTAACCTACTCCACCAAGTTAAATCGACTCTACAAAGTAGTCCGGCCTTCAAGATCCAGGCCCAGCTATCTGGGAAACGTAAAACTGTCCTGGAGGCCCAACACCTGCCAACGGGCTTACAGCTGCTCTTTCACTGTGGCGAGAGTGTGCCCGCTATCACCGAATATATCCAGGACTACTTAGTCGAATATCCACACCTCCGGCCTCTGTATGTTGGAACGAGGGCTTTGCTTGAGGCACATGGCCTTTTCGGATCTTCTCATTCAAGTATCAGCCCCGTCGCCTTAGCTCTACTCTTGGTCGCCTTTCTCAAGATGAATCACGGCCGCTTTCAAGGTCCTCACCGCCTCGGCGATGAGTTCCTAGCTCTTCTTCAGTTCTATGGCACTGGCGTGGATCTTCAGACCGTCGTGGTTGCAGTCGACCCTCCCGGATTCTTCGACATGGAAACTTTGCGTGCTACCGTGGATGATCATGTCAATGCTGCATCTGTGCGCGGCCAGAAATCTATTCTCAGCGCTAAACGCACAGCTGCTGCGAGGGGGAATCACCCTGCTAATCGAAGACTGTGTATTCAGGACCCGACTCATTATATGAATGATCTCGGTCGGTCCTGTACATGCGCCCCGGAGTTGCAAGGTGTGTTTGCAGCTGCTTACAAGCATCTTCGTCATGCATGTGATGAGTGGAAGGGCCCGTCCGAGAACAGTTCTTCTCTTCTCACAACTGCCCTGCGGGCTAATTTTGATCAGCTGGAGAAAGACCGCCACCAGATCGTGCGTCCAGTAGATCTTGATATAGAGGCCGAGCGTGATGCGGTCCTTGTTAAATAGATAGTCCATGTAAATAAGTTACTTAAATCTCTACTCAGGAACATTATAGAAGCCAAATTATCAGTTCTCTAAAGGTATTTCTTGCTTAAATAGGAACACCAAGAAACACCCTAGCCCATAAAGAAAAGAGACTGTCCACCTTAGAGTCAGGGAATGACAATACACCAATCACAATGATAGCGCTCAAAAACGGAAATATGAAATATCAAGAAACAAGAAATAAGAAGCAAGAATCAAAAGATGCGGTGTGCAGAGATGATGTTCAGTTGCTGGAGGTTTATTAGTATTGAGACACGATCCATAATATAATTCAAAAGACTTACTAGATTTCGAGAGGGGAAATTTGATCCAGGGCGTAAAGCCAGTTTCCACCCTGTTCTTCTTTCTCAAGCCTGAAATTGGTTAGTGGTGGTCTAATAATGTAACCGGACATATAGAAACGTACCAGTCATATGGCCAGAGGATGAGGTGACCTTGGGTCCTGTTCAGCATGTCCTCTGCGCGTTGGTTATCAATAATCTCGTCTGCAGCATGGAATTCTCTTTTGGATCCAATGGTCGTTCCTCTCCGTCGGCGCCTCCGAGGTTGAGATGCAGGAGGGTTTACTATCTCCGGTTCAACCTGCGTCGAGTTTGAGCGGGGCTTTTCTGCATCCTTTTCTGCATCAGTGTTATCATCAACGTTGCCGTTCGCTCCTGACAAATTCGGAACCGATGCTGACTTCTCGCCAATGGCGGAATGTGGTCGATCGGACTCAGTTGTAGTAAAATCAACGGTCCTTAGCCCAGTCTTTTCATCGTTCGACTGTGGGGATTTTTCTGTCGCTGCACCTTCTGTCTTGGGACCGAGGAGGGATATCGGTGAGCTGAGGATAGGCGAACTGAGGAGTGAAGCCACAGCTGATGAACCGGTTCCTGGGGGACCCGCTGGTTTTTGGTTATGGGCAGGAGGCTTCGGGCTAGAAGCAGTATGACCATGGGCGCTTTTCTGGCTCTGCAATTCCGCAAAGCGTTCTCCATATGCAGCATACTCTTTGTATTCCTTCCAGTTCTTCACCTCGTTGTCAGGCATACATCGGAAAACGGACCGGTAGATTTTTGTGTTCTTGTCAGCAACGGCTTGCCAGGTGTCCAAATAGAAACCATCCTTCAGGGGATCTTTCATGCAATCCTTGTCAATAGGGATCTGTTGGCTGAAGCTATCCGTGAACACCCCATTACTGTCCGTCTCTGATTCACGGCTTGATGAGCCGGATGCCTCATGGCCCTGTGACGGTGTATCAGAGCTTGTTTTGGCCTCCGAGTCACGCGGTGCGTCGGCTACGGATGCTGACAAGTTCCGAGGCAGCTTTTGTGACGATACTTTTTTCGGCTGCTCAACAGTGCCTTTGCCTTCTGGAGCGATTGGGGAAAGAAGTCTTTCTTTGCCATCTGGTGTCATCTGCGAGTCTCGACCCACGATTAAGCCGGCTTGTTGGGCGGCTTTCTTCTTATCAAATCCTTCCCCATCCACATCCATTTTGTGATCGTGGTTATCCGTGACACGCGGGTCGGTGGTGAGTCTTCGGTTGCTTTTGAGGTTGGGGTTGTTGCCCTGCTCCCAGTCAACGTCATGATTGAAACTGTATATGCCCTCTGAACGCGAGAGGAACTCGTCCTGGATGCGGTGCCGACGTTCAACCATCTCACGCTCATCCTGTCGCTCATTGACTGAGAATTCCGAATCTGGTGGGTCTCTCGTGCCCGCGGGTCGAGATCCCTCTTCGGCAGCCTGAATCTTACGCAGCTCTTCTTCAGTTTCAATGTCATGCTCCATGAGCTCATCAACATCGATTCCAAGGTGCTCTCGCATCAGGCGCATACGAAGAGTATGCGGGAATCGCCCAACCAGATAGGGCTTGCCGTTCATGGTAGACGAGATCATGTCGGTATCTCGCACAATGGCTGCTACTTCCGAGTCGCGCGATCCCAACATGGATCGTTCATTGATGTTTGCGGATCCAATGATGGCAGCACGATCGTCCACGACCATACATTTTGCATGGATGTAGAGCTGCTCTGTTACCAGTTGATTTCTCGGTCCAATCTTTCCCCATGTTCGTAAGCTGAAGAATTGGATATAGTCCTCTGGATCGATACCCAATGCACCTAGACGACCGAAGATGGAAGTCTCGCCACGGCAAATACTGCGATATTGACATTGCATGATCAGACGCACGCTGGTGCCGCCCTCGCTGTCCACAGTGTTTTGGAAGCCTGGCATCAAGGGAATAACTATGACAGCCCTCCATGCCTCGCCATTCTTGGCTGCTCGAACGATACGTTCCACAAGCGCATCTCCGATCAAGTTCTCAATCTTCCGGCCTTCGATTTCGCAAGTAGTGATGAAGAACTGATTTTCAATGTAGACGAAGTGTTCGGATTCCTCAATCAGTTTGACATAGGCATTCATGATGCTATGTTCCGTGACATCGGGTGTACCGGTCGACCAAATACTGCTGGATCGCAGAACCTGAACCTCGCAAGTTCCATCCAGACCCAGAGCCTCCAGATCGCCTGGAATAAAGTCCGGGGGTGGCAGGAGGAACGGTGTTGGTCGGGTTGGCTTCCGTTGGCGCAAGATGTAATTCCAGCGTTGGACGAAGTGTCTGGCAAGGTCTCGTGCAGGTTGACCCACCACTTGCATTGAAATGTCATGCCAGGGCATTCGAGGCACAACGTTGCGGTCATACATTTCTTCATATGGCTTGTCTAAATCGTAGAAATCTTGAATACGTGGGTTCGAATAGTCCTTGCCCGGCCAGAGCTGGCAATTATCTGCGTCTTTGGGCATATCTGTGGTTTCAAAGCCAGTAGGTTTATCATCCGTCAGCAAGTGCTGAGGTGTATCCCAACGTCCGAAGCACAGATCGATTCCTCCAACAAAAGCCAAAGTGTGATCAATAAGGCAAAGCTTCTCGTGATGAGCCCAGAAGAAGGTGTTTTGACGGAACTGATTTGGTGATCTCTGGACAAAAACGTTTGGATGGAGTTCGAGAAGCGAAAACTTTGAGTATTCTGAATCAATGGGGATGGCGGAGTTGATGTTTCGGTACATAATGATAAAGATCTTCACTCCTTCGCGAGCCTTCTGCTGTAAGAGACGATCCAATCGCCACTTTTGACTGATAGCAGCAGGTCGTCGCATGTATAACTCCGGACTCAACCACCAGTCATGAATGTAAATGACGTCCTTTGCCTGGTTTATCGCTCTTGACACAACCCACATGTAGTCTCGTGCGTCGACCAGCCATTGCGCAAAGCACTTTTGTCGCACTGGGGCAAAGCTATCAAACCGATTGGGATGTATCCAGGGGGTGTTTTCAGCCATGAGGCGAATTGAGTCTTCAAACTGCTGAAGATGGCGTTCGTTTCGGGCTAGTAGCTTCAACTTGCGCTCAGAGTTCTCGAGCCGCAACTGATGATGCTTGGGATGTCTCGCTGACTCCTTTGCTGACTTGGCCAGCTGTTTTGTCTTTTGGTTGCCGATGCTCATCTTGTGGGTTTGGATCTTGAACCAGGGATCCACGAGGAACACATCATAGATATTCATCTCCTCAGGTGAGTCAACGCAGACCACATAGCTGTGCCGTACAAGGAACCACTTGGGCCAGTGTCTCTTCTTGACGAGCGAAGGAGTCAGGGCTCTTCGGAAGTCAAGACCCTTGGATGATTGAATGATCAAAAAGCCCTCCTTTCCATGGTAGCTACCTTCCGCTGCAAGACGGACTCCAAGTGCAGAGAGTTCCAGGAACTTGCAGAGACGGTTGCTGTCTGCTCGGAAGATTAAAAAGCGAATCATCTTTTGCAAGTACATTTCGAGCTTTTTTCGCTGTCTTTCTGGATAAGTTTCTCTCTTGCTGCTCATCCCTTCACCACCCACAACGGCCTCCCCCTCTTGGTTGGTGATGCTGGATTTTCTGCGAGTGAGAGCAGCAGAAGGCCGACGCTGCTTCTTCTTTCCTGGTCTTTCTGTGCCACTCAATGGCTCTGGGCCAGTCTCATATGCCCCATCTTCGTCCTCATCCTCAAACTCGCTTTCCAGGCCACGGACACCTCTCAAATACGGGAAAGCACTCCTAGGGAAGCGAGGAATATCGGGACTATTCTCGCTCGTCCGCAGCTGGATGTACTTTTGAGTTCCAAGATGAAGCTTGTACTTCAAGTGTAGATTGGCAAAATCCTTCAGAGTTCGGAAGATGATCCACTTCATTCGAGTGATGCCACTACCATACTCTAGCTCGACCCTGAACACCAGATGACGATCGCCCGAATGAGAGTCGATGCGGCTGTCTGTGACACGAACCTTCAGCTGTTCTAGGAGAATCGGAATACGTTTACTTCCGTGTTCGTCCCGCTGGAAGAAACTAGCTAGAATCAACGCTGCGGGCACTCCTGAGGCCAGCTCAGCTAGCAATTCTGCCGACTTTTTATTGTCAATTGCACTCTCGCCCTTGCGCCGCCCAATCAGCTTCAAGCCAGCTTTGATCTGTCTCCATCGCTGACCGCTAGTGCTAGTTCCTCGTTCTCCACGGTGACGTTTCCATGCGAACGCTAGACTTTCCGGGTTCTCGGAGGGCCCAGCGAGGCCAGTCAGTCGTCTCAAATTGCTCGGTCGTCGCTCGTCCTGATTCTGTTCATGTGGCCTTCCCGAGTATGTCAAGCCACGGTTCCCAGCCCAAGCAGCACTCCTTTTCCATCGATTGAGTCTTTCGCGGCCCTCGTCCTCAGAGACACCTTCTCGCTGTGGCTGAGGCGCGAAGTCTGTAGTGCTAGCTCTTCGAGGGAAGATATTTGCACGATAGTTTTCAAAAGGGGCGAAAGACGAGGAAAAGTGGAATGAAGGTCTGCGTGGAGTTTTGGGTGTCGTAGGAGCAGTGCGATTCCCAGTCTCTTCTTCCTGGGTCTGTCGACGCCGCAGGATCCTTTTCTTTTTGGGGCGATCACGCTGTTCGCCGCCACTCTCCTCCGCATCAGCATCAATGTCGCTCCCTTCTTCCGGCAATGGCTCAGGGAAGGGAAATTCACCCCGTTCAGAGCCCGGAGTCATCAGATCAGCAGGGGGTGTCCGAAAGTCGCCCATCGCTAGTCCGTTGGTGGAACCGGAATATGAGTGTGACACAAATGAGGACTTAATCTTGTTCATAAAGGACTGTTTCCCCTTAGTATTATGGACCCCATCATCACCATTTAGGGACGCAGGTCGGGAATGCGCACGTGTTTGTGTCACTTCAGGAGCTTCATTATCGGTATCTCGAAATTGAACGCTGGCGGCACGGGATGTAGGGGATTGTACAGGACTGAACGATTGATGTTTCTGGTTACTAGCTGATCGAATGCTCAGGGATGGTGGCTTCTTCGGAGGCAAAGCATCTTGGACTGTGGGTAAAAGTTGTTTCTCCTTGGTTCCTGGAACACATTGGGCTTCTTTTGGTAGATTCTGTGCTTCTGGATCCTTATTCTCCTCCGTCATGTCTGAGCTGATCTGTTTGGGCGAAGTAGGTTGTTTGGCGTCGGTAGGAGATAGAATCAGTGATGCCAGCTTCGTCGGCACATTTGACGAGGAGATAGAGTTGGGCTTCTTGGATTTACTTTCCTTAGAGGCAATATCAGCCCCCTTTTGAGTGGAAGAGGTCAAAGTAGCGTCAGCCATGCTACTATTCTCGATTGGGGATGTCAGTAGTAGCTCATAAAGAGGCGTCTGGAATCCGGTTACGTACGCTCGCTCAATAATTATATGGGATCAATTGGAAGCCTGTCGCGAAAGATGAAAACCTCTACTTATCATTTCTATCAAGCGGATTGAAGAGTTATTAATCCAAATAGTGGACTAACATGGTCCTCTGTTAAAATAAAGGAGAGTTGAATCAGTTAGGAACCGTGGTGGAGTCAGCCCCGTTCCAAAAATGGCTCTGACTGGAGAGAAGGACAAGCTAGCCAAAAAGTGGGCGGTCAAGGGGTGAAACAGCAATATTGGAGTGAAGTCCAATCACCAATATATTTCAGGTACTAGGTGGATATCAAGATTTAATGTAGAAACAATAACCCGAATGCATGAGAGGTTCGGTTGTCAAAAGGAAACAGGTCCCAACATTCCGAGTTCAGTTTGGATTTCTCCATTTTGAGACTTTACTGATGCCTGGTGTCTGAGGTGTCCATATCACGTGCTATAATATATTTTCAAGGTTACTGTTCAATGTTAATACATAGGTATGCCGTAAGTACTTATAGTAGTAGAGTGGATTTTATATGTATAATTTTTAGTTAGTGCTCCGTAGATTTGACTAAGTGGATTCCTGCAGTCTTCCATCAATTGTGGAGAAAAACGAACTGTCGGCCCCTTCTCTGTATATACCCGAATTCCCCCACATATACCCAGGTAATTCCTTGAATCTCATCACGTAGATGTCATATATTTACACATCTGGACAGTCTTTTCCCACCACATGAGGGTCAGCTAATTAGAAACCAAGCCCACAATGACCGATCCGATGAAGACCCTCGACATAGGCCGCCCGAAACCAGCCCCGGTATCACGGAAGGTCTATGCTATTGCTGGTATCACAGTGACAGTCTTTGGACTAGAAGAGCTTCAGTTGGAAGCATCCGATGTCGCATGTCTCTGGCTTCTCCATCCTCGACTCGCGACGCAGGACCGCATGGCCGATGTTGCTGCGTCTACTATCATTGACTGGAATATAAAAAGCAAGGATAACCTATCATCTAAAGGCCTGATTGCAGTCTCGTTTGATCAGCGCAACCATGGCCCCAGAATGGTTGACCCGCTTGCTAATGAGGCTTGGCGACAGGGAAATCCTCGCCATGCCCAAGACATGTTTTCGATCTATCGTAAGTACTATGAACTTGGTGAAGTACCTTAATCTAACCTTATCTATCATATTCTAGAAGGAACTGCACGGGATACATCTTTGTTGATGGATTATCTTGCTGCATATGTCTTCCCTGATGGGAAACATGAAATCTCTCAAAATTTAGTATTAGGGGTTTCCCTTGGCGGGCATGCTGCATGGAGCCTCCTCCTGCACGAGCCTCGCATGAGTGCTGGTGTCGTCATTATTGGTGCCCCTGACTTTCTAAACGTTATGGTAGACCGTGCAAGGTTATCCAAGCTGCCATCTTGGACTAGAAGTACACCTCCTGGCTCAGAGATCATCGGCTCAGAGGCATTCCCGACCTCGTTTGTGGAGACCGTCAAACAGTATGACCCTGCCGGTTTATTTCTCAGCCACGTGGAAGGCGCATCTGGTCTCTTAAGGATTGATACTCTTCCAGAGCCGACAGAGAAAGAAAAGCAGGCCCTTCGACCTCTTCTGACAAAGTGTCTGGCGGGTAAGCACATTCTAAACTTGTCTGGCGGAAAAGACAAGCTTGTGCCTTATCACCGGGGTGAAGCTTTCTTGAAATGGCTCAAGAACGCTATTTCATCAGATGGCTGGTTTGGTGATGGTGGTGTGAACTTTGAGGATATTATCGACGAATCAGCCGGCCATGAGGTAACACGTCAGATGGAAATTGAAGCTATTCGGTTTGTGAGCGAGACGCTAGCGCTAAGTGCAGATAATAAGGGACGAAGAGGTTCAGTTCGCGAATCAAAGATCTAGTTATCCATGTATGTGGGGGTCAGTGCACTATATACCAATACCACACTTTCAAAGCCAATCAATCGATCTGGGTAGAAAAATGCATAAATTTCTTGTCTTAAAACTTCAGACTAACGTCTCAGATATCTACTGAGATCCAGATATAAAGTTCCTCATTCTCAGCATATCATCTACCTAGGTATGGCAGGCGGATAACTCGCTCCATTGTCTCTGCAAACCAGATTCTACGCAGTAGATATTACGAGTCTTATGTGGACCCCAATGACTTTTCTTTTCTCACAAGAGTTTCCGCTCTGCAAAGCCAAATTTTGAAATGCGAGAACGTTATGCATTACTGAAGCTGGAGGGGTGCTAGAATCCTTCATATTTTTTTTAGACCGAACGCAGCTAGGGGTTGTTGGTATTTCCCCGATTCACCCGCCTTCTCTCCGAAAACACCGAATCAACGCTTATGCGACAAGCTCAATGACACCACCAGCGGCCTTGATCTTCTCCTCGGCATCACGGCTGACGTAGCGGGCACGGATAACAACGGGAATCTGGGGGAGGCGGCCCTTGCCGAGGACCTTGGAGTAGCCGAGGGGCAGGAGGTCGATGACGGGAGCAGTGTCCTTCTTGGCGCCGCTCAGGTAGGCATCGCGCTGCTCAGCGGGAATGAGAGACCACAGCTATTGAAAAGAGAAGAAAATCCATGTTAGTCATGCCATTCGGTTCAACAATAAAAATAAAAAGGCGAATTCGGTCCTCCTCCGTAGAATGGGGAATCATTCGGCAATCATTCTTGCACTGCATTGTCGTTCCATGCCCCCAATATGAAATCTTTGCTCCTTTGCCGCAAATTTCCCCTCCATGATTACCAATGGACCGAATTCACTTTGCCTAGTTTCACGTACCTTGTCGACATTGATGGTTGGCTTCCAGAACTGCTGCTTGGTCTTGTGGAAGTAGCGCATACCAACCTTACCAAAGTAACCGGGATGGTACTTGTCCAAGTTGGTACGGTGGTGGTGCTGACCACCGGCCATACCACGACCACCGGGGGACTTGCGGTGCTTGCCGACACGACCGTAACCGGCGGACACATGACCGCGGCTATGAAGAAAGTAGAGATTAGTGATTGTTTCGGCGATTGGGGATATTATAGATGCGCTTTATCGAATTCGATGTCGATCACGACAGTGGAAATTCGAATAGCTAGACAGGAGAGAGCGACTCACTGCTTCCGGGTGTTGGAGAAACGGGTAGGCATCTTGTCGGTGGTGTGTTCGACAAAAATTGGGCGTTGAAGGGGAGAAGGGGCGTGGATACTTCCCAACCAAGATGTTGAATTCCACCCTCGCGGCCCGGCTAGAGTGTGCGCTAGCCACTTCGCTTGTCATGTGATAGGGTCAAGCCCTGTCTTTGGGGCTGAGCTGTGGCTGAATTATCATGTGACTTGTATACACCGCCTTTACTTAACAATTATTCTGCCACTGGTTATCTTATCTCGATCTTAAACTTAACAGTAGCAGTGCGCTCTTGGCACTGCTAGCGCACTGCTACTGCGTCATTATTTAGTTCCACATCATTTTCGACTATGCGTCATCAAAAATGAATTTGTCAATTTGAAACAATAGGAATGAGGCAACGGTGTAAGTCACTTCACAGTTGTCAGGCTGGTTGCTGATTGCAATGGTCACTGGTATCGAATATTGAAACCAATCTCTTTCTATAATCTAAACTCTGAATCTGCTATACTTCTTAGTTGAAAAACAGTTCCATGAGTTTATCATAAATTCGTGTTAATGCTGCTATGATCCGTGAAACGATGATAATTCTAGCGACGTTGTAAATGCATTAGGCCTTTTCTGCAAAAAACTTGGTCAACCTTTGGATAGTCCCCTGGACTGGCCGTGGGGAGGAAGAAACCAGACTGCTCTGAATCCATCCAGGTAATTTTCCTTGAATACGAGGCGTATCATACCGCCGATCGATCATGATAATGGCTGCATAGTCATTGACATGCCGGATTGCCCGACCAATACATTGATTCACAGCCCGCATGCACGAGTTCTCGTAGAAATCTCTGGCTGCTGCGGAAGCGCCTTTGCGCTTCTCTGTCTCTGACCCAGAGCTTAGCTTGTAAGTCTTCTCCTCGATGTATTTCATCTTGGCCTGCCACACAGTACTGCGAATGTTGGGGAAAGGTAGGCCAATGACCAATACAGCCCGTCCCAGTCTATCAGAAAAGTTGATACCTTCAGACAATTTTCCGCCAACCACAGAGAGAAGTAAAGCTCCTGATTTAGAATCAACAGCTTCAGTATATTCTTGCAGAAGAGCATCGGTCGTAACCGTTACCTCGCGTGTTTCATAGAGAATCTTCTTCTTTTGTCTAATTAGACCAAGGATTGTTTGGCCGTTACCATTCTCAATGGGCTTCTTCCACACAGTCAATACCTGGCTCAAATAGTCGTAACTTGGAAAGAATGCCACAACGCCATCTGGGATTACTTGACAAAGTGTCGCTATAGTTCGTCCAAGATCATTGATCTATGTTAAAGCGTCAGCAACCGGACGTCCTCATGAATGCAACCCACATAGTACAGTGTATGCTTACCATCTTCTCAGATCCACGAGCCTCATAGGTAAAGTCAAACTCCGAACCCAAAACTCCCCGAGTCAGCGACTGCGCAACCAAGTTTGAACGTGGAATAACGTGGCCATAGCTGTATGTATCGAGTCGCTCAGGTGGCACGTAGTTGAATAGATAATTGGCATAGTCCGACATCTATATAGTAGTCAGTTAGTTATATATCCACGATGTCGGGAAATATAAATTTACAGGAGACATTGTTCCACCAGCTAGTATCACAGCTCGAGCATCTTCGACGACCTCTCGAAAGTGATTTGTGGGATCGAGAAGCATATATTTCAACAGCACATCTTCTGGGCTCTTTTGGTAGAAGAGCCTCCCCTCCTCTGAAGGGTTCATCAATGGCAAGAGGAAGCTTTGTATATGAAATAGAACAGGCCCAGTTGTCCTGTCTCTGGGTTGACTAGGCTGTGGTTTCTCCGAAGATTCAACATACCCATCCACCTTCCGTGCCAGCTTGCTCTCTTGCAAGTACCGAGATAGTTTGTATGGGTTAATTTGGTCCACTCCTTTTCCTGCCATCAGTTCTGATGCCTTGACCGGGCCTTCTGACGAATTTTGTTGAGAAATTACATGGAGGTGATTGGCAATAGAGCTAACCAGTCTAATTACCTGCGCGACATAGCTGCGATTTTTCCCCTTCAATCTAGTTTTGAATTTGCGTGCATATGTCGTTAGTTGTGAAATGGCTGTCTGTAGTTGCTGCAAGGAGACTGTCACGGAGTGAATGCCAGAAATTGCGTCCATCAGGTTGTGAGCCTCGTCGATGATGACTACATGACCCTTGACGGACAGATTGAGAGCTTCACGAGCGGATTTTTGAAGTAACAGTGGATATGGCAAAGTCACAATCTATTTTCAAAAAGACGTCAGTGTTGAGTTGATTGCAGAGTAAGCGACAGCACTGACTTCACTGTGCTTAATGACGGAACGGGACGCATAGTAGGGACATATCCCCATCTTTTGCCCAACTTTCCCAATGTCCTCAATATCTTTCACAGTGGCTAGAGCATGATCTCTGAACTTGAGAATTAAGGCCTCATCATCCTTGGAAGGTAAATATGGACATTTCTTCTCAGTAGCCACTCCACTTTGCTGTAGATCTAAACACCGCTCATTGATTGCGGTGCCATTTTCTAGGGCTTTGACTTTGGGGTTAATGCAAAGGTTCTTTCTTGAACCAAGGCTGAGATGCTTTACTCGCTCCTCAAGAGTTGGGAGACCACTATCCTTTTCCTCTTCAGGGTCATTCGGGATGCTTGATGGAAATGAAACCCGCCGCAGCTCTCCAGCAAACTGGCTGAGCTGGGAATGGGTTCGAGAGCAATAGAAAATCTTGACTGTATCATCATCTAGATCTTCATCACTCTTACTTTCTGAGAACTGACCCTTGAATCGATCTAACAGGGCCAGAGTGCTGGCAGACAGGCTATCAAAGCCCGAGTTGCTGGGTTTATTCCTCTCATCATCACTATTATAGTCATCTAAGACAAATTGAGACTCATCATCCGGATCAATTCGCGAATCAACCTCATCCACTCGCTAATGGAACTTTAAGTTAGTAGTGGTACATGATGATGACAGAGCTATATTTGGGTTCAGTTGGGTTGACATGCCTGCTTTTTACGTGGCTGGTTGTGGGTATTCTGTGCCTGTTTTAGCCGCTCTTCCTCCAGTTTAATTTTAGCCAGTCGACTTTCAAATTCCTGTTTCTTTTCTGAAATTGCGCGACGAGAATCCTTTTTGGCAAATTCAACCATCCAATCTGGCTCATCGTCGTCGCCTGCAATTCAAGTACTAAGTCAATACAATATAGAGCCCAGTGGCTGTAAACATAGACATTTTATACATACATGCTGCCTGGTTGAGAGTTTCTTGGAAAGCCTTGCGCTTATGATCTCTTAACCAAGTCAAAGAGCCGCAAATCAAGCTTAATGATTTGCCCTAATAGAGTGGCTTAGCAGGTACCTAAGTGGTGTGGCGTATAAGCCGATTGACCCGATGTGGAGTAAATCAACGTACAGTGCCTGTGCCCGTCAGATCGGAACAAACCAGGGGCTGCATTTATTACTTACCAGTGGGGGATTCAAATACTGCCACCTTTCCATCTTCTAGACAACCATACAAGGCCTGCATAAATTGCAGCTGAATGTCATAAGGGGTAAAAGGATGATGGAAATCTTGATCCATGTTTGGGTAGAGTGAGAGTGCCAGGAGGATAAAAATAAATAAACGGTGGAAGTGGAGACCGGGCTTACTTTACCATTATGTACTAAAGTCAAGAGAAAAACCCTGAAAACCCACACCCCATTGGAAACACACTTTATTATTTGGTACAAAAGTAGAAACAATATAGGGGTAATAGTTGTTGGCCATTAGATCTAGTGTCTAGTGTCAACTTCTATAGAACTAGACTAGTGTTATTATTATCTTAGATTTACAACTAAATATTTACAATGTACTATGTAGTGAAAGCGGTGAGATGTCACATGATATGCAACCCCCGCCAAAAAAATAGAATCATCCAGGCATCAATCAGGCATCACTAAGGGTGTTTCCGGACTTTGAGGGGATGTGTCTCTCTGGAATGGTTAATCTAATTATAAATTTATAAATTTCAATAATTTCAATAATATCAATTTCGTCTAAATACTCCCTAATTCTTCTTAATTCCTCGTAAATCATCACATCAGTTACACAGTAATTTCAACTTGGGGCGTGTTCATAAGCCTCGAGCGCAAAGTGGGCTGTGATTCCCTTATTACCCACTAGGTAATATTTAGTATTGCAACTCCCCTTCCCTTCCTTCTTATTCATCTCCACTTCATGCTTTCTACAAACCCTTCCAAAGGCTCCGGTCCTTTTTTCGCTTAAATTAAACACGTATTCTGAACGCGGGAATGAATAGACCGCCGCAGAATAGACCGCCACAGGGCCCTGGACGTGGTCAGACACAGGTGGGTGCGACTTGGTATCCAGGGGGCCAAGACGACTTCTACATGCCAGAGGTCATCTCCCCTGCCCCTCAAAGGTGTGTACTTCTTTCATATGTTCGCCTTAAAACATGATGCCCAAGGTTAGAGTCCTAATTAAGCCTGGCAGGGTCATGCCCGAAGTCCCTGAGAACATGCAAGACAACATTGCGCAAATGGAGTACAGCACTCGTGATCCGCGCCGCGCCCAGCAATCCCCATCGCAGCAGTATCACCAACAGTTTCCCGAGCGCTCTTCCTCCACTGTACAGGGCCAACCGCTACAGGCGCATACTCAAGACCACGGAGCTTACGCGCAATCTGCCACCTACGATACTATGGACCATCCAAACTTCTCTCCTTTCCCCGTTCTGCGGAACCCCCCGCCTAATGTTCCTCCCACGGATGAGCAGCGAGAAGCTAACCTGGAGCGCGCCCGCATCGGTGTCTTGTCTACCACAGACCCGGAAATGCAATTGGCCTGGGCACAGGATGCTCTCGCCTACGTAGAGGTGGCCGCACAGAATGATTCTCGATTGTCTTTGACTCAACCTCCGCGCCCGCATACTCCTCAGGTGGAACGTCAATTGAAAACTGACGCCATGAACATCGTGAGCTTTTTGGCAGAGCAGCGCCATCCTAAGGCTGAATTCATCAAAGGCATGTGGCTTGAATTTGGCAAATTTGGCCATCGGGTTGACCGGAAGGAGGCCTTCCGATGCTATTCCAGAGCTGTAGAGAAGGGGTACGCGCGCGCCGAGTACCGCATCGGAATGCAGTTTGAGAGCTCAGGAGAACCTGAGAAAGCGATCAAGCACTACGAGCGGGGTGTGGCTATGTCAGACTCCGCTTCGTATTACGTATGTCTCTTTTCACGATATTTGCAATTTTTACCTCACATATTCTAATTATTCTCTAGCGTCTGGGTATGATGGTTCTCCTCGGACAGCACGGCCAACCCCAGGACTTCCACCGAGGGTTGGAATATATACGATTGGCAGCTCAATCGTGCGACCAGAATGCACCGCAGGGCGCTTATGTTAGTATTCTTCCCACTCGTGTATCTTGAAAATGTGGGGTATCAGTACTAATTCGAAGCCAGGTCTATGGCATGCTGCTTGCCCGAGAGCTTCCCCAAGTCAGCGTTCCTGAAGATTTTCTCCCTCTTGATCTTAATACCTCTCGTGTCAACATTGAGAAGGCTGCCTACCATGGATTTGCCAAAGCTCAAGTGAAAATGGGTGCTGCCTATGAACTTTGCCAGCTTGGCTGCGACTTCAACCCAGCACTGTCCTTGCACTACAATGCGCTGGCAGCACGCCAGGGTGAACCAGAGGCAGAAATGGCCATTAGCAAATGGTTCCTCTGCGGACACGAAGGTGTTTTCGAAAAAAATGATGAGTTGGCATTCACCTATGCTCAGCGTGCTGCTCAGAGCGGCCTGCCCACTGCTGAATTTGCCCTGGGTTACTTCTATGAAGTCGGTATTTTTGTCCCAGTGGATATCAAAGAAGCCCGAAGCTGGTACGCCAAAGCAGCAGCTAGCGGCAATAAGGATGCCTCTAGTCGCATTGACAGCATTTCCCGTTCCAAGACGCTGTCCAGGAAGGACCACGAGAAAGTTGCTATTTCCCGTATTAAGTCGACCCGGTATGTTGCTCACCAACGCGGAAGCTCTATCGACGCACAATCGGAGAATATTGAGATGCCTGACCCCTCCCGGATGACACTCTCCGATAACCCTCCGTCCTCTCCTTACCCTGATCGACCTGCTTCTCGTACCCGACCTCGACCGCCCGGTCAGCCTAATAGTTACCAAATGCCTGATCATCGACCTAGCTCAGCGTTTGGGGTCAACCCGAATCTTCGCACAAATGGGTCGGGCTATGGTGGTGCACCTAGCCCAGCTATGCATCGCAACCCGTCCTATGGACGCCCACCCTCTGGGCCTGGTGGACCTGGCGGACCTGGCTCAATGGGTTATCGTCAGCCTAGCAATGGTCCGCCCATGACCCCTGTCAGTGCACCAGGTGGACCAATGAGTCCACATGCGAACATGGTCAGTCCTGGTGGAACACCTCGATTGGATATCGGATATTCTGCACCCATTCCACCACCAGGTCAACGACGTCCGCAACCCGGACGATTTGACTCCATGCCTGCCGATATGAGACCAGTCCGGACACCCGTTTCTGCACCCGGTTCAACTATGACCTCGCCTCAAGGAATTATGCCTCCTCCCGGAGTGATGCCTCACGCCGGGCCATCTTCTCGCCCTGGATCATCTCCCCGACCACCCATATCCCCTGCCTCTTCAAACTTCCCTCCTCGGCAGTCATCAACGCCACAGCCACCCAGCGGTCCACCATCCAAGCCACCACAACAGAAACCCGCTCAAAAGCCCCCAGCTAAAGGCCCCAAGACTTTTGAAGAAATGGGAGTTCCAAGTGCAAAGAACGACAGTGACTGCGTAAGTAACTCTGAGGTTTTCCTTCTGTTGGAATTCAAGCTAACTCAAAACAACAGCTGGTCATGTGATACCCTGCAAGTCTGAATTTCATGAGGCTATTCAGAACTTCGCATCTGTCCTTTTTAATATAATACTGGGGACCCAAAAAATACATTATCGCCTGGAAGGCGAATTCCTTCATTTTAACCTACTCAATTTTTTCCACCCTTTTTTCTTCTTTTTTTTCACATTTGCGCTCATGATTGTCTGGCTAGGGGGGCCTTTGAACATATGGTTATTTGGCTGTTTTGATAATTTTAGATGAGGCGTAACGTTTATGAATACATTGATTTGCGTATTAGCATGGTTTCTTTGTATTGGTAATTTTACGTCAAGGCGGCGTCGATTCTCCTCATGCCCGTCAACTCCCCTCATTAATCTTTTGATTGCCACATTCTGATCACTCGCAGTCCCATTTCCACTTGGAGAACGGATCAAGATGGCTCCACGCAAACCCAAAGACGATTCAGGTGGAATAGAGGGTCAGTTTTACCCAAGGTTGGCGTTGAAGAGAGCAGCAACGAAAGCTAACAGCAACAAGATACTAAGATGATACTAGATTATCTGCGTGAGTTTCAGCAGAACTTCCACAATCCTTAGTACAGAGCTAATTTCCTTTTTTCTTGAAAGTTGCCCAAAAGTGTGATTTCTTGGTGGAAGAGAGGCATCATTGCTAACATCCATGGTTCAGTCGTCCTTATTCAGTATGAACATGCCCAGTTGTTCCGCTACAATTCAGTAACGATGTTCACTAACTTCAATTCAAGGCCATCGAAGTCTCCGCAAACCTGCGCAACAAGGTTTCCAAGAGTAAATATATTCTGGATCAACTCCAACTCCATGACGTGCTGACAACAAGTCCAGTCCAAGCTGCCAAGCTTCTACGAGACTTGCATCAGAATGGCGAGATTGAAGGAAAGACTGCAGGTATGGTATATTTCTTTCCTTTAGATAATCATCTACTAAGCACAACTATAGGAAAACAAGTTGTCTATCATGCCATACAGGATCCATCCCAAAGTGCAACTCCTGAGACGATTGCAGCTATCAACCAGGAAATCAAAACGCTCCAAGATGAACTTGTGACTATCAAGACAGGTGAAAAGAAGGTTCGAGCAGCTCTTACAGCTCTCGAGGCCAAACCAAGAATATGTGACCTTCAACAGGAGGTCCACCAACTGAAAGAGCAATGGGATACTATCCAAGCACGGGTATCGAAAGCACAAGGTGATACCCTTCAGATACCGGTTGAGGAGAGAGACAAGTTGGAGAAAGAATGGAAACAGTGGCAACGTCATGCCACGGTACGACGACGTCTTTGCCGTGACCTGTGGGGAAAGTGTACCGAGTATCTACCGGATGACCTGGCGGCCTCTGATCTATGGGTGAGTTGAGAATGAGATCAGCCTTAATAAACTTGTGAATGATGAATACTAAGAAAGACTAGGAGTCACTGGGGCTTGAAGGAGTTCTCCAATGAGAGAAGATCGGGTATTCACGCTGATCACGTCCGTTTCCAGTCACATCATTTGACATGATTTGTGGCTCAGGAGAGCTCGGAGCTCTATGAGATAAGGAGGAAGGGGAGAAGGCAAGGGATTACTGATGAGGCCTCAATGGTTGGATAACATAGCTATTCACATAATAATCACTATTCGCTATCTACTCATTACTATTCTCGTTGAATGTAGGTTCTATGCGGAATGAAGGTATAGAAAGGCAACCCGACGAAGACCAAATCAGATGAGTACATAAATGAATACTTACAAGAAGAGTATATGAGCTGCAAAGGATAAGATTAAGTAGAGATTGGAATTTGCCTATAATCGTCATCTGCCCCTAAAGAGTAAATATGACCCAGTGACTTGATGATGACTTCAAGTTGATAATCTCTCCTTTCACCGCCCGCCTGTCTATTCGGATTTCCCCTCTCAATCTCCGATAAACCCCTCCAACTTCTCCTCCACATCTACCCGGGTGATGCTTTCGGCCTCTCGCTCTCCTTCTTCACAGTCCAATTCCTCCAATATGAGGGGGCGTGCCCTCCAAATGCCTTCTGGTCTCCAGAATGGTCATACGCGCAATACCTCAAGCTTGGATATGGCTCGCAGTCCACCCAACCCGAACAACAATAAAAGTATGGCCTCTCTCTCCCTCTCTCTCTCCCCCTTTTCCGATTCTAAGTCTAATTCTCTTTCTTTTGCCTTACACAGACACCAAACATGTCCCCTGTAAGTTCTTTCGCCAAGGTGCTTGCCAGGCTGGTCCCGCTTGTCCATTCCTGCATTCAACCGACTCGGCGATTGACTATGCTCCTTGTAAATACTTCGTCAAGGTAAGTGATAATCATATGATCAATTTTAATGCTGACTTTTGTGTTTTTTTTGAATACTGACTGTTACTTTTTCTTCTTTGTCCCTAGGGTAATTGCAAGTTTGGCATCAAATGTGCACTCGCGCATATCCTCCCGAATGGACAGAGAGTGAACCGACCAAACGGCGATGGCACAAATGGCAGGGGAGTTGGAAGTCACCTGAACCTGGGTGGTCGGGTTAATCCGACATTTGGAAACCAGGACTCGGCATTGACCAACTCAGTGCTTTCTCAGCAGCGCATGGGCGAACCTCAATATCCCTCGCAGCAAGACGAGTTCCCTGGCTTGCATGCGCAGCAGCCACCTTATGACTCTATCCCAACGATCGATGCGGGGTTGGCTTCCGACGCAGGCTCGAAGTATGGGTCTCCGATTGATGATTCGCGATTCCCCATGTCACCGAACCACCACCATCTGACAGCTCTCGATGCGCCGCTTCCCGCATCATTTGATAGCCAAGGTATCTCTCATGCTGCCCGCTACGGTCCTGTCGCAGCGTCAGTGCCGTCAAAGTTTGGAATAGACCTGTCTCCTCCGACCCATAGACCTGGTCAGCTCAACAACTTCCAAAATCTTCGCGACATAGGTTATGCTCCTGATCTCCGCAAGCAACTCGCTAGCATCGGATCATCTCCTCCGGCACCAGAAGATTCCGCACCCCGATACATGCACTCCCGGCGCCCTATCAAGCCTCGCATGCTCTCTGCTAGCGTTCCTCGACCAACCGCACTGGATGATTGGGATGAGAGCTTCCCAATGGAGGAAGATTATCTGCCTATGAATCTTCATGACGATGTTCTAACACCACAGGAAAAGCTGCGACGACTCTCCCGAACGGATCAAGAGTTCGGCAGTCACCGTGATATTAGTGGCCTTGGTATGACTAGCACTAGTTTCTCCAAGACGGGCTCACCACTTGCCTCGAGTCCTTCTCGATTCGGTGCCCTGTTTGCCAAACAACGCCAGAAAAAGGAAGAGGAATCTGTAGGGTCCTCCTTCCCCCATATTGGTTCCCCCCTGCGAGAATCGTCTTTGAACTTCCTCCCGAGCCCCAGCCTGGGTCCTATTGGCAGCCGTTCCTCTCACGATGGCTCGCCGTTTGTCTCTAGCCCCGGAAGGCAATCATCAATGTCGATGATATCCGAGCAGCTCGGTGGTATGTCTCTTCACCCTGGTTCTGCTCGACACTTATCCGCAGGACCTGGTCGTCTCGACCGAACCATCTCCTCTCCAGTTTTCACCAGTAAAATTGAAGAGGAAGACTCGAGCGACCTGGTCTTCTCCATGGAAGAAGAAGAGGGCAACAAGCGAAATAGCTCCTCATGGCACTCTGATGAGAAGGAGAGCACAGCCGAGGCTTAGCCTTGACATTCTCTGTCGAACAAAGAAAGCCAAAATTATTATATCACGACGACATGGTCTTAAGCGAGGTCCAGTTCCTGGACATTGTTCATATCAAAAAGAAAAAAGAAAGTCATCGGAGTTTCACATGGGTACAGCATAACGGAGCGTCAAAACATCAATCTCCAAATACGGATTCCATGAAAAAAGCGAAGCGTCGGATTCTTTGCCGGCTTAATCTGTCTTCCTCACTCCACTCTTCATAGACTGACTCTGTCATGTTCCTTCCCCTTCTTCATATTCATTTTTTCGAGATCGGTGAATTCGTTTGATTCATTAGACTCATCACAATCCTCTTCTATTGCTAGTTCGAGATTATCCCTGCGGAAAGGCCTTTTGAAATTTAACCATCTGAATCATTTGAATTATCTGTACTAATCTATCTGTCTTCTGTGTGATTTTTATGTGGTTGGCTGGGTATTCAACTCCCTCGTCTTGTTTTTTTTCCCCTTCTCGTACTCTCTTCTGGGAGTCGTTGATCCTCTGCTCCGGTTCCGGTGTTCATCGTTCGAGTGATTTAGTCTTCGTCTGGCCAAGGTGTACATATGGGGAGATGTGCAAATAAACTACAATTGCCGATTCATGAATTATCACCATTAGCACTTAAATTCATGAGTAAATTGATGTTCCATTGGCGCCTACAGCATCCTAATAGTACAAATATTCTCTTAAGAAAACGCCCCCTTATCCATAATCCATGAGACCCTAAAATAGGCGGTCAAGTAAGAACTAAAACAATAAGAAATAAGAGATAAAAAACTATGGAGACGCCTCGACCAGGGGGAATGGATTGTGCGACCAGGCACCTAAGAAATACAGAAACGAGCACACTTCACCTTACGTTGGAGACTTTAGGCATCACCAAGGTACATAGCGTTACCCTTGAGATTCACGTATCTCTCGTTGTTGGAGTTGGTCTGGATTTGTGTAAGCTGCTGGCGAACCAAGTCATCGGCCTGAATTCTGCTCTCGCGAGCCTTTGCGTCGGTAACGCGAGCAAGATCTGCTTGGTCCTGAAACATGGTCTTGTAAAGTTCATCCGTACCAGAATCAACTTGCTTCACCATGCACTCAACCGCTTTTGGGATCAAGGCATTGATCCGGGCGTCGAGAGCGGCTTCTTCATCGACACGCTGACGTTTTGCCTCTTCCTCTCGCTTATTTACTTCTTCTTTGATCTTGCGCTTTCTCTCAGCCACCTTCTTTTGGCGTTCCTGTTGGGTGGCCAGATACTTAAGTGAGTGGGACAATCTTGGTTGTGATGCGGGAATAATGTCCAGGGGCGGGGAAGCGAAGAAAAGCACGCGGCCTTGGTCATCACAGTGGAATTGTTCTCGAATGTCAGCTGGAATGCTTGCATTTGCTGCATCGCTGAGATGGAAAACTTCCACTGTACGGGGCGCATTAGGATTGTAAACTGTAGCTCCGGAATGAACGCGGTTGGCGGGGTATTGTTCGTATGTTGATAATGGCTGGGCTACTGGATATGGTCGGTAAGCCGCAGTAGGGGCTTGTTGCACAAAATTGGCCGGACGAGGGTCAATACCGCTTGGGAACATCCGTTGATTCATCTGAGCCTGGTAAATTGCCGAGGGAATGGGAACAGGCGCTGACTGGGCCATTGGGAGTGCGGCAGAAGGAGTATGAAGCTGAGTTGGTGCAATATTCATTGAACCCGGAATATTGCCTGGAATATGTTGGGTTATAGATTGACGAGGAGTTGCTACCATTGGTGCCGGAGGTATAGTTGGCGGGGGTGGAGATGGTGTTGGCTCCGGTGGGGGAGATTCCTGTGGCAGTTAATTATGGTTGAAATCATGTTTGCTGGTAAGACAACAGTATACTTACATTCTCGTCGCGAGGTCGACGGTGAACGGCTCCCACGGCAGGCGGCGCATTATCTGTTCCCCATGTTGGTCTGGGAAGATCATCTGTCTCTTGGGCATCTTCTTTGAGCAGGTGCTTGATGGGACTAGGAACCTTCTTGATCTTCCGAGGCACATCGAAGAGATCCATCTCATAATCCTTTTCGCGTACCTCATCCGGCAAGCAGCTAGCCCAAGTTTTGATTTTGTTTAGTTTATGCTTCTCCTCGTTGTAACGGGCCTCGCAGACATAGATTTCCTTGTCTGGCGCAAGGTCTCGGGGTCGGCCACGACTATAGCGAGTGAAAAACATCACGAAGCAACGATCCACAATCTCATCGATCCGATGGTCTCGATACTGACCAGTCTTGACCACTTCATTGGGATAAAAATGCTTCTCAAAGTGATGTACCGTTTGTTCGGGCCGATAATACCAGCAAGCATTGATCCATTTCTCACCCTCCGAGTCTTGCCAGGTGCGATAGATTTGGGCAACAATAGGCTTGGTCACATCGTTGGGGTTTTGAATGTGGACCCAGTCTCCTACCTTCCACAGCTCGCCCCGGTGCAAAATACCATCCGGCAAGGGGAAGCGACCGTCTTCCATCAGATACTCGCTGTCGGGTTTCTTCTTCTCCTGCTCTGCCAGTTTCCGAGATTCAATCTGCAAATCGACAGCATCCTTGTAGATTTGACTCTCGGATTCATTATATTGCTTGGCATTGTTGTACATCAGATCTAGGTCCCGCATGAAGTGATCGACGGAGTTGTACTTCTTGCGCTTCGATTTGCGCTTGATAATATCAATGGCGATGGGCTCTCTGATCTCCATGTAGTAGTCTGGATAAGACGCTTTGTCCGGGAGTCGCTCAAAATGGGAGATCTTCAGACCACTTGATCCTTTGAACTTCCGGATTCCTTTAAGAATAGTCTTGATCCGAGTCTCCATCGGAGTATCCACGCGCGGTGGGCGTCCGCGCTTTTTGCGAGGATCTGGTTCTTGCTTCAGCGAGTCTTTTCGACCACGCTTAAAGCCGGGTTTGGGGCCTGGCTTCTTTCTCCTGCGTCCATCGTCATCGGAGTCCTCTTCGTCATCTTCCTCCTCCTCTTCCTCTTCTTCATCGTCGTCAGGGAGAGGGTCAGCATCCGGAATTTCTCCGAGGTCAGGAAAGTCTGACTCGTGCGTGCTGATGATACCATCATCAACAAGCTTCTTGATCTGCTCGCGAAAAACATCCTATTTGAAGCACAATAAGCGATCAGTCGCGTTTCTTCAACTATTGAAGATGGTAATCTTTTTTCTTCTTTTTTTTTTGCTCATACCTTTATGACAAGCGCATCTTCATACGCCTGGGACTTCGGTCGATTGTATGTCTGCGCATTGTGAGGGATCTAGCGAAATAAGAGCGAACGTTAGCTCTGGTGTATGACAGAGACTAGACAAGTACGAATTGCATACCAAGGCACAGTCGCGCACAAATTCTGAAAAATGCTTGTACTCGCGCTTGTTGATCCTTTGCTTCAGAATGCTAAGCGCCATTGGATTCTTAATAATATCATAATAGTCTGGGACGATGCGCTTGTTGACACTGCGATGAAACAGGCGTGATGGGTCGTGGCCGCTGTGACATATTCGGGTTAACACTTCAGACCAAAACCAAGTTCTGCTTGGACTGTTGATACTCACTCTGGCTCACGAAATTCGTAAATAGCCATTGTGACATCCATCATAGCCTTCCATTGGTCGTCAGTGACAGATCCGTCATCCTCGATGGAGGTGACGGGCTTCTCAGGCTGAGGCTGCAAATGTTCGTCCAATTGACTCATATTTTGGTCATGTCAATTCAAGGGTGCATAAACAGAATTGGAGTCGTGAAGATGAAAGAGAAGCTGGTTGCGATCGCAGGGGAGAAGCTGGAAGGAATGTTTTGCGCGGTATTGATGAGTCAGCTGTATATCACACGTACGGTATTGTCAATTATCAGTCCTCGAGTCAGAACAATAAGGATTCTTTATGAGATGAAATATTCTACCAAATTTCAATGTTGTTGCAAACTCTTCAATATTTACCTAGAAATAACAATTGTTTGCATATTCCATCATCCAAGTCGCGCTTTGGAGATATACGGATTAAGCATATACCACTATCTAGGTATAAAGAGCTTTGTTTAAACTTGACCAGGTGAATGAACTTCTCCAAAATTTGAAACTATTCCTGGCTTTGTCTTCATCATACAGAAGACGTCTTAGTGTCTGCAGATAATAGCAAAGAAAGAATGGTATATTACTAACGTATTCTGATGCGAGCTAACTGTACCTTAATCTCCACGCTATAAACCGATACCCCACATTCTAGTCTCGTCATAGCTTCTTCTGTGGAACCACTTTCATCTCAACCTTGGAAGATTCTCTCCTGGCCTAACTGCCCTATATATTCTAGACCCTCAGTGAACATCATGCGGTTGCGAGTTCGTGGCCCTTCAGGTCAGTCAACAATCAGCTTAGACGACTCAGCGACCGTGTCCAAACTGCGAGAACAGATTACAGAGACGACTAGCCTCTCTTCATTCGATGTCAAATACGGTTATCCTGACATCAAACCGCTGGATCTCGACAGTTTTGCATCAGATCAACGGCTATCTGACCTCGGAGTCAACTTGAACGGAGAACAGCTTATAGTTGTACAGCGTGAGAGTGCTTCCCCCGTTCAGCCATCCACGCAGAATATTCCGACGTTACAAAAGCCAGAGAGCTCAGTGGATGACCCGCCAGAGTTGGCTTCCCCTGAACACAGCGGGACTTTTGTTTTACGTGTCATGCCAGATGATAATTCCTGTCTCTTCCGTGCTGTGGGCGCAGCAGTCATGGGTGATATGGACACAATGGTCGAGCTCCGATCGATAGTTGCAGAAGTCATTCAGTCCAACCCAGAAGAATACTCTACCGCAATTCTTGGAAAGAGGCCAGACGAGTATTGCCGATGGATTCAGAATGAGGACTCGTGGGGTGGTGCAATCGAACTGAAGATCCTCGGAGAATATTTCAATATCGAGATTTGCTCTGTCGATGTGCAGACGCTCCATCTGTTCCAGTTCAACGAAGGAGCACCGACTCGGTGTATTGTGGTCTACTCCGGTATCCACTACGACGTCCTTGCACTTTCTCCCTCAGAGCCTCCATACACGCGTGCCAACCCCCTTGCACATGACGACACCAAGATCTTTGATGCTGCCGATCCATTAGTATTAGAGAAAGCGAAGGAGCTATGTCTTATTTTACAAGGTAAACACTATTATACAGACACTTCTGGATTTTCAGTCCGCTGCAACACCTGCGGAGGTACTTTTACTGGTGAAAAGGGGGCAACCAAGCATGCCTCGGAAACTGGACACTATGATTTTGGAGAAGCGACTTAGGATGCTCCAACAGTTACAAAACGAGACTTGGAAGTTGATAGGTATGGCAAACTTAAGCCTTCCATGTTTTTACTTATTTTCATGCGTGACTTGAATCGATATATGGAATAATTGGACATAATATCATGATTACATTAGATAGAATGCATTCATACAATAGAGGAATATGGATCGTAATATATGAACAGCATGATGTCAATCACACAGCCTGAGTCTCATTTGGTAGCATCGTGACTTCATCAGCGGCCTCGCCTTCTCCCACCTCATCCTCGTCTGCAGAATTGTCACTAGCTGTATGACCGCCCCATTCCATATCGTGGTCAATAGGGTTGGTAAAAAGCTCGTGCTGCAAGGCTTCCTCGGCACTGAGACGCTTTGTGGGATCCAGCTCTAGTAATCCAGAAAGAAGGCGTGTTGCCTGTTCTTCACTTTCGGTTAGATCCTCCACGCAACTAGACCATTTCACTAGCTTTTCCCAGCTGTAGCCCTTCTCTCCAATGGTGGGGATGTTGGTCTCAAAAATTTGCCCGTGCATACCAGCGGCTACTTTCATGCGCCGGGTGCCGAATATGCTGGACATTTCAATCATGGCGTCAACATCGTCCGCCGAATTGAAGAAGGGGAATCGACGGCCGAGTAAGGTCAGCAGAATCACACCAACAGACCACATGTCAATCTTTGTAGTTTGTGATGTACATTTGAGAAGAACCTCTGGCGCTCGGAAACCACGCGTGCCAGCCCGGTTTGCTCGCCGTGATGGCCGGGAGTCGTTCTTGGGATACGTGGTCGCCAACCCTGTCCCTATCTGATTCTTAGAATAGTAGCTGGTGGTTATTCTATTACGGCGTATATATTGCTGATGGGTGCAAAGGCACGGGGTAGTCATCTCAGAGCCTTGACGCTAAAAGAGAGAAAGAGGTTAAATCGTCAGAATCTAAGCCTTTGCGATAAAACATGATAACTAACCTCTGCCAGACCAAAGTCAACGAGCACACCTTGTTTCAACTCTGGGTTGTAAAGGAAATTACTAGAAACACATATTAGTAACTAATCCAACAGCATTATGAAAGAGGCGAGGGGATGCTTTACGTGGGCTTGATATCTCGATGTAGGATGCCGTTTTCGTGGACTGCACACAACGCTGTTATGAGTGAATGTAGATAGTGACGCATATCTGCCACCATGAAAGTACGGTACTGGATGCGAAAATCTGTGTGTGGGAAGTAGGGAAGCACGGCAACGACTTGGTCTTGGAATCGAAATGCTGTAATAAGAGGGCATACTGATCGACAGCCACGTAAGTCGTTGAGGAGTTCCAACTCATTTTGAATTCGAATCGGACTGCTTGTGACATATATCTTCTTCAATGCCACATATCGAGCTTTCTTTCGTCCCTGTTCTCCATCCAAGCGTCGTCGTTTTGATGGGGGTTTGGCGCATGCTTCGGGTTCTGTTTGCTGGAACACATCCCAATCGTTATGATAATGATCATAGAGTAGATCCTCTGCCTTGTACACTGTAGAAAATGTGCCTGTAGACATTTCTATTAGTTAATACACAGTTGACTTGCATTGCGATTCGCCCATACCTTCTCCAATGCGATTGACTAATCGAAACCGGTCTGAGATGCCAGGGAAAGTATCCTCTAGTTTGTTCATGTCTTCCCGGACTGACTCTTCTACATCTTCTCCTTCCTCCTCATCTTCATCCTCATCCTCGTAATTATCGTCACTTTGTCCTTGGGGTTCGTCGGTAGAAGGGTGGTTCAAGTGCTCAAGGCCCTTGTCCGGCTGGTATGCGCCGACGAGGCCTTCGGCTTCGAAGAATTCATGTAGAGATGACATGGTGGTAGCAGGACCTGTCAAATCAATAAGAGATAAGAGCACGAGAAACTGACAGAGAGATCAAGATATTAGAGATAACCCCGACGCGCTGGGAATGACAATACGCGCCAATAAATTGTTATTTCCTGTAATTTACCAGGCGGTGAAACTAACAAACACCCGGAAACGGCAAAAGCCAAACACTTTGCATCAACAATCCCGCTTTCCCCTCCTTCCCCCAAACAACCAACACATCATGGAGGACAGAATACAATTTGAAATAAACGAGTCGCTCAAGTACTACTTGAGTGATCCGACTTCCATCCCAACTCCAGATGCTCACCCCGAACTACTCGACTGCGAATCGGATCCGGATCAGCTCTCGCCCGCGCTGATTGACAATGTTTTGAATCAGATCGTGGATGCCGTGGCTGAAAACCCTGAAGGATTAACCAAATCTGTGATATTTGATTCCCTCCAGTTTCTTTTAAAGTGCGCCCCGGTCCCTTCCCAAGTACCCAATGGAGGCTTTCGTCCAGCTGGAACCGACTCTGAACTTTTAAATCCTTGCAGATACACGACCGTCCTCCCCTCGAAATCCCTCAGTAAGATTCTCGACCTAGTTGTGTCTGGACTTTCTGTTGAGGCAGATATCATCCATGGCGACCTCGAATCCGACGAACAAGATGCGATTCAACAACACAAACCACTCCTGGAAATGTACGGTTTTCTCCTCCAGTGGGCCCTATCATCCGTGGAGGTGAAAGCGACCGAGAAGCCTGCGGAAACTGCCCCCGTGCGACGGGGAGGACCTAAATCCAAATCCAAATCAGCCAAGGATGGACACTGGGATTGGACCCCTCAAATACAGATTTCTATGGAGACAATGTGCAAGGTGATGAAACTCAAATTAAGCCGGATCTTTCTGACCACTTCGGATCGCGATACTTTCATTAATCTGTTTACCCGCACCATTTACTTGGTACTGGAGAGCGAACAACGAGTTAAAAGCATGACCATCCGCATGCATGCCTTCAAGGTTCTATGTATTGCGGTCAAGCACCACGGCCATGCATTCGGTATGCATCATGAAAAACCCTGCATTAGCGCATATGGGAGCTGCTACTAACTCATGTGGTAGGTGCCCAAACGTCGATTGTGCAGAGCTTGACATATTTTGAGCATTTGTCGGAACCTATGGCTGAGTTTCTCCACATCCTTGCGGAGCAATACGATTATCCCCAACTTTCAGATGAAATCCTTAAGTACTATACATCGGCTGAACCAAACCTTGATCTTTGCTTACACGGCATAGGGAGCTCGGCAATAAAGAATTCAATTCGAACGACACTCGGGGACCCAAATCGGTTTCTGCATTCATCATCAAGCTATCCGAGCTTGCTCCAAGGTTGATCATTAAGCAGATGACTCTTCTCGCTAAGCAGCTTGACAGTGAAGTAATTATACCCCTCCTCTATACTGCGATCTCGGGAACTTGAATTGACATCTTCATCAGGCTTATACACTTCGATGCGCTGTCATCGAGGTTTGCGGTAACCTCATCTCTGATTTGAGCCGACAAGTAGAACCAAGCGAAAATTACAAAACCCAGATAAATGCCTTCTTTGACGTCCTTGAAGAGAGGTTCCTTGACATCAATCCCTACTGCCGTTGCCGAGCCATTCAGGTACTAATGCGGATCTGTGACTTGGAGCAAAAATTCCCCAAGAGACGACAGCGCGCCGCTGAACTAGCTGCAAGGAGCTTGGAAGACAAGAGTAGCAATGTCCGACGTAATGCCATCAAATTGATGTCCAAACTCGTTGCGACGCACCCTTTCAGCGTCATGCATGGCGGCCAACTCTCACTCAAAGAATGGACTGAGAGGTTAGATGGAGTTGACGCCGAATTGAACGCTCTGCGACCCGCAGAGACCCCGGGATTCGAAGCAGAAATGACCCAGGTCGACCCTGAGTTGTTGGATGATGCAACCCAGTTGCCCGACGAGGAGATGCCCGACGAATCGCCTTCCAAAGCGCCCCGTATGACAGAGGAGGAGAAGTCTGTTGCTATACAAAAAGCAGCAGAACAGGCGGCCACATCTGAGTTGTTGACGAGGCTGCAGCTGACGAGGAAATACTATAACGAGGCTCTGCGCTTTATTGAAGTCCTTCACGATGGGTCTACCGTGGTCTGCCAGTTGCTCTCATCTCGGAACAAAAGCGAGGTGATTGAGGCAATGGATTTCTTCGTGGTTCTCGACGCTTACAAGGTTGAGACGGCTCGCACTGGAATTCGTCGTATGCTCCGTCTCATCTGGACTAAGGGTAATAGCGACGAGGGTAAGGGGGTTCAGACCCATCTGATCGATTGCTACAAAGGGTTGTTTTTTGATGCGCCGGATTCTTTCAGCCCCAACGATGCTGCAAACTACATCGCGCGTAATATGATCAGTTTGACGTTCGGCTCAACACCCGCAGAACTCACATGTCTTGAGCAATTAGTGAGCACTATGATGAGGGGCGGACTCATCTCAGATGCTGTTATTGCCAAGCTGTGGCAAGTCTATAGCATTCAAAAGAAGGAAATCTCAAGAACTCAGCGGCGTGGCTCGATTATTGTCCTCGGGATGCTAGCTCTGGCCGATCCTGAGGTAGTGGTCAAGGAGATAGAGGCTATGCTACGCATTGGACTGAGTGGCCACGGAAGGTCTGACCTTGTGCTTGCCAAATATACCTGCATCGCCTTGCGGCGCATGGTCCCAGGTCGTCAGGCTAAGTCTAAGGATATCGGCATCGCTAAACTTGCCAACGATCACGCCGTTTTGACAAAACTGGTTGCCGTTCTTGAAATTGTTTCCGACAGTAAAGAATGGTATGGCGTAGCTGAGCAAGCAATCAGCGCTATCTATGCTCTATCCAAGCATCCCGATGTTCTTTGCTCTGATATTCTTCGACGAAAAACTCAATTCATCTTTCAGCCTCAACCCCAACATCCTTCTTCCTACACCAATGCTAGCGGCGATGACCAAATGCAGGTAACTGCATCAACTGAGACACAGGAACTCAAACAGAGACCTGCATCAGCAGCCCTCTCGCAACTACTCTTCGTCGTTGGCCATATTGCTATTAAACAAATTGTACATCTCGAACTATGTGAGCTTGACTTCAAGCGCCGCAAGGCCGAGCAAGAGAAGACTAAAACAGCCGAAGCCATTGCTCAGAAGAAAGCTGACAATACCGAGGAGGATGAGCTCGACCTCATTGGAGGCACCACCGAGGATGATTTCCAGGATGCCATGGCTCATATTCGAGAACGTGAGCTTCTCTATGGTGAAAAATCTCTTCTCGCAAAGTTCGGGCCTTTGGTCACCGAGATTCTTGCCAATAATAACTCCTATCCCGATCGTGACCTGCAGGCGGCAGCAACATTATGCATGGCTAAGCTCATGTGCGTGTCTGCCGAATACTGTGAAAAGAACCTCCCTCTCCTGATCACCATCATGGAGCGATCTGAAGATCCGATCGTACGCAGTAATGCTGTCATTGCACTTGGTGACATGGCTGTCTGTTTCAATCACCTCATTGACGAGAACACCGACTTCTTGTACCGCCGTCTTAATGACGACGAGGTCTCAGTCAAACGTACCTGTCTCATGACTCTGACCTTCCTCATCCTTGCCGGTCAAGTCAAGGTCAAGGGTCAACTTGGTGAGATGGCGAAATGCTTGGAAGATGACGACAAGAAAATTGCAGATCTGGCACGCATGTTCTTCACAGAGCTGGCCACAAAGGACAACGCTGTGTACAACCACTTTGTCGATATGTTCAGCTTGCTCAGCGCAGAACGGAATCTGGAGGAGGCTGCTCTGCGTCGCATCATCAAATTCCTGATCGGATTTATTGAGAAGGTAAATATTCAATTTCCGCTTTCACGTTTCCAACATTGAAATACTAATGTTCTATCTCAGGAGAAACATGCGCGCCAACTGGCCGACAAGCTTGCTGCTCGACTACCCCGGTGCGAGACAGAGAGACAATGGAACGATGTCGCATATGCGCTGTCTCTGCTACCGCATAAGAATGAGGATATTTCGAAAGTTGTAACTGCTGGCTTCACCAAGGTTGTTAGCGCAACAGCATAATGGTTATTCCGTGATGTTTTAATGCTCTTCATGACTGTAATATTTTAGGTACTTCAGGGCGTCAGGCTGTCGGTGTTGTTGATTGGTTTTAGGACATATTTATTATCTATCTTGGCTTGTGTTAAGGTTGCGTGATCAAATGCTTTTGATCTTATACAAAACAAGTATTCCAAGTCTTAAATTATACCAAAGAATAGATAATGCCTAATTGTAGCTACCTAGCTAGTAGTGCTCTCCAATGACTGCTCAGGGATGCAATGAAACAAAATCTGGGTGTTCAAACAAAAAATCATATCATAAAAACGAGCATTCAATCCGCCCAGGAGGTACTATTCACAGAAATAAAGGAGCAAGTATGATGAATCCCATCTAGAAATCTAAGTATGTGTAAACAAATAGCCCGGCATAATGTACCAACCACACCAAGAACAGTAACTGACGCCGAGTTCAAATGGTCGCATTCCAGATACGCCATATGTTCTGTATTCAAACGTGAAAAAAGAACTGACATAATGAGAGTCTCTATGCACCCTGGACCTTGCTTTCCTCCAAGGTATAATCTCCAGTTCGAACACCTTGTAAGGCCTTCTGGCCGTCTTCAGTCAGCTCAGGCTTACCCAATGGGGTTACCGCTCCTGTAAAGAAGCGCGGCTTCCATTTCACGTCCTTCTCCTTTCGCTCAGCAGCCCGCTGGCGTTGTCTCTCCTCAATATCCTGTTTCGCCTTAGTCGCCTGAGTGAACTGCTTGTTCACAATGGCGTTTGTGACATCAGACCAGAACTTCAGAGATTCGTTGGATAACTGCTGATCACTAGGCGGTAGGGTCTTGGCTGCCGGGAAGAGAGGCTCAATGTCGATAAGCAGAATAGGATCTTTGCTTCCAGCTGTGGTATAATAAATCTTGCCGTGCCAGGATCCGCTGATTCGCGCGATAACGTCGCTCTCTGCTACGTCTTTCAATCGTGTGGTAGTATCGTTGTCTGGGTCATAACGGAAGATCACGCCCTCTAGGCGGTTCTGGGACCGGCCAATCCACCCTTCTTCCATATATTGCAAAATTGCCTTCAGACGTGTTTTTGGGCATGTCATGTAGCACGTATCAGCGACTGTAATTGCTAGAGCGCCTCGAAGAATACCTCCCAGGTGCGCATCAGGGTGCGTCAACTGGTACTCTTCGTTGTCCCTCTTCTCGATATTGACGAAGATACCCAGGTTGTGTTGTCCGGGGCTTACTCGAATACTAGTGCCAGTGAATTTTGCACTAATCTGATCAAATCCTCGAGCTGAAACACCACGTTCAGGGCAGTCGATGTAAAAGGCGGAAACTGGAGGATGATGGGAGGTCTGTTCGGTCAGATAGCATACTTTGACCTTTTCATCTCCATCATTCACCGTGGTGGCATCAACACCGGGGAGGTTGACTTCCTCGGGGATCGTATCTGGCACGTCCCAGCTGCACTACAACAAGACAAACCAAGACCTTTAGCGCACATCACATGTGAAGCTCTTCAGCAAGAAAACTTACTCGAAAGAATTCTCCTAGGGTTGAGTTGTATGGTTTGCACGGCTTTCCCTTTATGTATTTCTGTAACATCTGTTCAGCGCATGTTCCGTCGTTTGGCTAGTGAAGTCGAATATACCAGGTCTTTGGTAAACCAAAACCTCAACACTTCTAACATCCGCCCTAACTCATCATTTGATTTGCCAATACTGCAACTCAGGAGTCAGCATATAAACGACTTTGTTAAGTGATGTTGCTGACCTGGCAAAGGCCTCTGGCCGATCCAAGTAGTTCCAATATTCTTATCATTCTCATGTCAGCCTTGTTCCTTCAACACGAGGATACGATTGCTCGGTAATACCTAAATTGGGCCGCGGCTCCATCAACTGGGCCGGTAACGAGAAACGAACCGAGGCAATGTCTGTAACTCCTATGAACCTGAAACACAGTTGCATTAGTAAATAGGAAACGTATTCTTCTGTTCAGCTCCGGAGGACTTTCTTGGGAAATGCAGTGCTAGGGGGGAATAATATCATACTTGCGCAAGATAGACAGGAACGTCTTCAACTTGGAAGAGTCATCGGGAGTCTTTTCGGCCACAGCAGATGACATGGTGGAGGGGGGAATGGTGACTTTAATAGACGGCTTGCTTCGGCGGGACAGAGGCCCAGCACAACCAGTATGGAGACACGAGAAGCTTGACAAGGAAAGCAGAAAAGAAAGGGAGAATCAACAGAATAGGAGGAGGGGGTGGCTCGTGGAGAAAGTCAGTTCAGGTTTGGACTCCAGGCGGTGACGACTCAGTGCTATTTTGCCCCAGTGGGGCCAAGTGGTTGGTTGGATCACGGAGTATGAACGGAGTACGAAGTACTCCATAGTTATTTAGCTGTAGTAGTTACTAGTGGCTAGTTTATTTCAATTGATATACCTCTAATACAATACAAAGTCCTGTAATGGTAATTTTGTAGTATACTTGTAACAGTGCTGATAAGACATTTGTATTACGAAAGACTTAAGGTGTTAGTAGCCAATCAGTGAGCCACGAGGGTCTATCAGATTCAGTTTTTGATCATTGCCTCATTTGAAGTAAATCTGCTAGTTGCCGTTTGCGGGCTAGAAATTGCAGCCAAGTCCGTACAGCAGGTCCATAGTCATACCGTCGTCCCGTCGCATGATCTTCATCTGCACGGTGTAATTGTTGCTCCTCTCGAATGCGGATCCTCAACTGCCGTTGATCATCACGGAGTTTTTGCCAATCCTTTAGAAGCTGTTCCGTTGAATGAATTGGTAATGTTGAAGGAGAAATTGCCAAATCAATGGCTGTGCGGGTAAGTTCGAATGATAGGTCAGGCCCCATCACGGTGTCGTTAGGCTCAGAGAGCATGGATTCAAATTCAGGTCCAGAGTGCTTAAGTTGGCCATTCACGATCTCCAACCTCTTCACATTGACCGCCAATTGTTGGATCAAATCAGTTAAAGGATCTTGTACCAATCCTAAGATGGAAAATTCAATCTGATCTTCCTCATATGCAGCCATGCGGTCGAGGATATTTGGTTTGGCAATCTCGAGCCAGTCGCCCTTGAAGTATTCACCTATAACAGTCAGTAAAATATGTATAGTGAATGACACAGCAAGGAGACTTACCAAGTGCTTGAGGTTGGCGGTCCAGGCCATCGAACTTCCATACTTGGCCCATACTCGGCATAAACGCAATAAAGTGGAAAGAGTCTGAATCATCTATTTCTCCTTTCTTGGTTGACTTTTTAGAAGTTGCCTCATATTTGAGTTGAAGATCCGAATTCAAGATGTCCATTTTTCTATCACGAAGGTTAGTCCGCCAGCACAGCAAAGGAATGGAGCAGGCATACCGAGCAAATGAGTTATGCACTCGCTTGACAAACTCAAAGTTGTTGATCGCATCTCCTCGTAAGGCTGGGGTAAATGGCATGGTGAATTCTTTAAAATGCTGCAGCTTTTCTCCCAGGTCGATGTCGGGAATATTATTGACAATGTTCAGCAGCGCCACACTTGCACAGGCATTGCTAGCTGTCTGTATAGCTGTCAGTCATGATTTGATATATCCAAAAGATTGTTCCAAACCTGATTAGCGAACCAGATCCCCTCTGGGCAGCTGGCTTCTTGCTTCTTAGGATCGTCTGCCTGCCAACGGAAAAGGAAAATCAAGCCGTAAATCGGTTTGCTATAGTAAGTGTGATTAGCTTCTACGTTGCAGTTTCATCAAATATTGATTTTGTACTTGAGAAAAGCCATCATCTCTTCATCCAAAGATACCACCTCTTGGACCTTGACACCTTTCACTCCAAATTCTCGAAGCATGACATTGAATAAAGCCTGGAAGTAGTGAGTGTTATAATTTAGAGAGATGAAAGAGCCAGGATGTACACATACTGGCTCTGACTCGATTTCACAGAACCCATTCCAGCTCTCTTTCTCCAGTTTCGTTGCAGGTTGGAAGTCATATTCATCATAGCGTTTTCTTTTGGTCCGTGGAGCCATGGTGTGTTTATAAGATGCAAGCCTCTCGGAGAATGTAGAGAGACGAAAGGCGATTCATGGGGTGGGAAAAGAAGAGACAAGACATAGAATGTGTATTACATAGAGTAGCCTCGCTGACTTGCCGAGCTTCGACGCGCGCTTACCGCGTCTGGGAAACTCCAACTTTTTTGTTTTTATCTTCTTCGTTTAACTCACCAGCTCTCACCTCTCCAATTTGATTCCACTCAACACTTTCGTCAGCTTCAGCTTCTGAAGATTTACCGACCACCTTTCCCATTCCTCCCATTCTCCAGCGCCCCCGCGACCACAGCATGCCATGAACGGCACTCCCCGCCTTACGTCTGCTTTCCCTCAGACACCTCAGACAGCTCCAAGAAGAAGGAAGCTGTTTGAGACCCCTAATCGATCCCAATCTCGAGATTTTCGTGAGAGGAGATCACCTTCTAAATCGCCTGTAAAGGCGCCAGTCCAGCTTCAGACTCCTACGCCTCTCGTGTCTGTTGACTTGATTGATGCGCCCTCACAACGACGTTACGTGGTGGCCTTCTACGTCCTGATCAATGCATTGCGAGTTTATGAATCCTGGACTGCATCCGATGAATTGGACTCCACCTGGCTCTTTCTGAAATGGGTGATGGTGGATGGGATTTTCCTATTCGGCCTGCAAGCTCTGCGCATACCATGGCTCGAGTGGGCATTCCCAACTACGCTAGCATTGTTCCTGTTGCATATGGTTGGAAATATCTTCTTGATGTTCCGAATTCCGGTACGACTTCTTTCAAAAATTGCCTATTTGTTTCTTTTTCGAAAACACCTTCACTAACAGGGCCAGATCCCACTTGGTGCATGGCTTGCTGGATTTGTCAAGGTTGCTTATGATCGCGAACTCTCCATCTCCGAACGCAAGGTTAAACCTGGTGATATTATCCACAATGCCTCCTTGATTCTAGGAAAACAGATCGTGCATATTTTACCTGAAGGGTGAGTTACCGGTCTCTTGGGCACATTTATCTCTATCGAGCTCTTTAGCTAACCTGTGGAAAAGATCTGCGGTTCTCAATCCGGAGCGAGAGGCGCTCTGCCTTGATTCTCAGACCAACATCGTGAACCTTCCGATTCGAGTGAACCAGACCGACCCAATTCTCATCGAAGTGCTGCGTCTCGACCTCAACACTGGCGAAAACGAAACAATAACTATTCCCTCCAAACAATTGAAACAGATCAAGCGTCAGTCTGAAAAGAGACATACGACCCTAGATCCGGTCCCTTATCGAGATCTCTTTGTTCCGATCAAGAAGACTGGTATCTATCGTCTGCAACGAGTGGTAGATGAATCTCAGTTGGATGTCCGTACCCGAATATCTGACACTCTGGTGGTGACCTGCCCTCGTGCTTTGATCAAAAACTCACATACAAATAAATGCAAAGGAGAACTCTCGGATTTGCTGCTCGAGGTCGAAGGCACGCCCCCTTTGAAAATCAAGTACAGTCGTCAGGTGAACCACCAAGACCGTGGTTTTTCGTTCCAAAAAATTCAGCCAGATAATTTGCGCTCTCCATTGTTAAGCCAGAAGCCTAGCGGTGCTCTGTTCAGTATCAACCAGCCGGACATCTCGTGGGCCCAGGCCCAGAAAATCGAAGTCCCATTGAACGAATCAATGAACGTGGGTGGAGAATGGTTCTATGCCATAGAAGAAGTCCATGATGCTTGTGGCAATGTTGCGAACTATTCTGCCATCTTTGAAGACGGGGAACGGCCCTCTACCAAGTCTCTGTCTCAGTGGCATCAGTTCTCAATTCACGAACGCCCACAAGCGTCCTTTTCGGGTTGCAGCGATCAACGACCGCTGGAGGTTGCTCGAGGCGATAGTGTTGATTTACCGGTTGATTTCCAGAAGGTTGGAAATGGCTATGCGAATGATGGTCCCTTTACAGTTGTTTACTCCTTTAGTGGTACCGATGCTGCGCAGAAGGATGGTGAGGCATCGAAAGAAACTAAAACAGTCTCTCTTAAAAGTTTGGATCAAAAGTCAGCCATCAAAGAACCAGGATGGTACACTTTGACATCAGTGTCCAGCCAATTTTGCCCGGGTGAAGTTTTGGAGCCCTCGTCTTGCTACCTACACAACCCTCCTGAACCGGAGCTTTCCATCAAAGCCGAGAAAACCTTTGATCGCTGTGCAAATAATGCGGTTGGCTTGCTTGTTGACCTGGATTTAACAGGCTCCCCGCCATTCCGTCTCCGCTACAGTGTCGAGAACTCGAAAGGAGCATCTACAGAGACTCTCCGAATAGATGGCCTCCGGCATCAACTAGATTTTACTCCCAAGGAAGCAGGATTTTACCGTTACCGCTTCTTGGATATTGAAGATGCCGTCTACTCTCCGCGATCCCTGAAAGATAAGGTAGAAGTTTTGGAACAGGATGTCAAGCCACCGGCTGGCGCTCATTTCCTCGGTTCTACCGAAACACGCAAGGCCTGCTTTGGTGAATCTATCTCGGTGGATGTAGCTTTCCAAGGTGAAGCTCCGTGGACTTTGCAATATGAGCTCTTCCATAATGGCAAGAGAACGAAGCATGTACTGAAATCGGGTGCCGGGCTGGCTACTATCACCACGAACAAACTTGTGAACGGTGGGGAATATACCCTCGCATTGACGAGTATCACGGACAAGTCGAAGTGTAAGCAGACGCTGAAGGATACACTGCACATTTTCGCCCGGTCAAAACCACCCCATGTTGGATTCGGTCAGATCGACAAGAAGAGGAGTGTATCTGCTTTGCAAGGGACGAGGATTGAAATTCCATTGAGGTTGAGTGGTGAGCGACCATGGCTTGTCAAGTACAAGAACGTCGACCTCGACACTGCACCTCTCCAGAAAACTTTCTGGGATGAGAACGGCGATTTGACTGTGGATCGTGAAGGTCTCTATGAGCTTGTTGAAGTAATTGACAACTCTTGCTCTGGATCTGTGGATCAATCTACCAAGAATTTCGAAGTATCATGGATTCCTCGGCCTCACATTGCAGCAGTGGATGGCTCGCCTGTTGGGCCTGGCAGCCAATACATGAAACCTGAGGTTTGCCAAGGTGATGATGACAGTCTTGAGCTCCGTCTCACTGGTAACCCTCCATTTACTATTGAATACGAGCAACGGCGAAAGTCAGACCGAGGAGCGTCATCGGCACGTTCACACAAGCTGAGAACTGCTCTCAACGTCGCTTCTGCGGAGATGGATACTTCTGAGCCTGGTCTATACACGTACAAATTTACGGAGATCGGCGATAATCTCTATGATAATGACCCCAAGAGTAGTTCTCTGGTCGTGACACAGAAGGTCAACTCGCTCCCAACTGCCCGGTTTGATTCACCCGGCCACATCTACGGCTTCTGCAAGGAAGATGTGAGCGGCGAGGAGACCATTCCTATTACCCTCGAAGGTCTTCCGCCATTTTCCTTAGAGGTCACCATCAAGCACCATTCGAATGCCAAACCAGAAATTGTCTCCATCCCTAAGATCAACTCAAACCGCCACAACTTGCCTCTCCCTCGCCGCTATCTCGACCTTGGCCAACATGTGGTCAGCATTCACAAGGTCCGTGACTCGCGCGGCTGTCAAAGGACTACTGAATTCGATGCCTCCTCTGTTCGGGTATCCGTTTCTGATGTGCCTACCATAATTCCACTTGAGTCTAAGGTTGATTACTGCGTGGGTGAAAGACTTTCGTTCTCCCTATCGGGACATGCCCCCTTCGAGGTTTTCTATACCTTTGACGGCGCTCAGCGCAAGGCTCATTCGCAGAACACTAACTTCCGCCGCATTGCTGAACGCCCTGGACAATTCACCATCACTGCTGTCGGTGATGGGGCCAGTGGAAAGTGCAAGGCCCACAAGGATATCACTAAAATAATCCATGAAATGCCAAGTGTGCGCATCAGCCAGGGGCAGGTTTCAGTAGTGGACATCCACGAAGGTGGAGAGGCTGAGCTTCACTTCGAATTCTGGGGAACACCGCCATTTGAATTCACGTAAGTTACCCTGGTTCATCCCTTTTGGTCTCTTTACAAGGTTACTAACAATTCTGCAGCTACATTAGAAGCTCCAATGCCCGCAAGGGCAAGAAGTCAGAGGTCCTTGACATCAAGCATGATATCTCTTACGAACACCGCAAGAGCATCAAAACGTCCGACGAGGGCACCTACGAGGTCGTGGCGATTAAGGACAAATTCTGCTCTTTTTCCTCGCAAGTGCCGACAGGCAAGTCGGACCGGGGAGCTTCATGATTGATAAATGATCATATTCTCATCTGGCTTGGTTGGTGCTGGTACTGCTTTTTTGCTTTTGCTTTCGTTTTTATTTCTTTTTATTTGATAGTTTGGAAAGATTGCATTGCAGCGGCGCTAGCAGGTAATGTACATTCATTCGCCAGGAGGATTTTCAAAATCTAATTCAGATAAATTCCCTAAGCTTTTCTATGCCTTCTGTCTGTAGTTATCAATAGTTTCGATGAGACCTTCGCCCAGACGGGCAATCTCATTCAGGATCGCTGGCTGGTTTATCATAACCTGGTCTTGCCCCTCCTGGGACTCGGCTGGCGCGGTGGAGAACGCCGTCTTGAGGTTCCAACTACGAGGCTTCAGCGTTTGCGGATTCCACAGACCAGCAATTACTCCACAGCGCTCATCCCCGTAGAAGAGTAAGAGACTTTGATTGTAGCATGCTTGGACATCTTGGACAAACGCCTTTACGGCTGCGATCTTGCCAGCGCGACCAAACCCGCTCTCGACCAGGTTCTTATATTTGGACACTGGTGCAGAAAGGTCACCTTGGATCTTCGAGCGAAGATTGATGACAAAATCATACGGTGCAAGTGAGGTCTGAAAAAGATCAGACACATCCAAATCACCGCTATCTCTTCTAATCAGATTCACAGCTGCTTTTGCCAATGCAGACATGCGGCCAGCCACGACCTTGGAGGGCATCTCATATTGGGTCCAGGTGACTCCATCAGTGTCAACATCTGAGGCAACGAAGAGAGCAAGAGTGTTCATTGCAGGGTCAATGTTACGCCAAGCAGCGAACCGAGTGCGAATTGTCTCGGTGATCTGAGGGTTCAGGTCTCCGCTCAGATCGACGACGAAGGGTTCTTGCTGCCAATCCCAACGAGACAGGAAGTGGAGTGTTCGCAGGAATCCAGTCATGACACTAGCAGGGCAATCCCAAGGGTACGGTTGTGTGAACGTTCGGATCGTTAGAAGCTCGATTAATTCGTCACAGATTTGAGCCGAGAAGAGATGCGAGCTAAACCAGTGCTTGACCAGACGGATTGTAGACGAGAGCAGAGGCATGCGAGTGCAGAGGCTGCGAAGCGCTTGAGTCAAACGAGGAGTTTGCACGAAATACTTTTTGTATGTGAAGAGCGCATAAGCAACTTCTTCCCTTTCCCGAGGGCTGACAGTTTTATCTTTCAGCTGGCGTTCCAGAAGCGTCTGCTCGCGGTCATGATGAATTCTTAAGCGGAAAATGAAACCAGAGGTGTGGACGATATCCAGATAAGTATTGTTGAGCACCTTGCTTGATTCGTTTTCCAGGCCGACACGGCACGACGAAGCGGCACCTGATGATTCCAATGAGTCTCCAATCTTCAGCAGAAAAGCGGCTTTCGTCATTTGGATAGCGGCAAAATCATCGGGCCACTTAGACGAGCTTTCAAATTGAAGGACAATATCAGCCGGTTCATTGACTCCACCTGCGCTATGCACTCTGAGGGCGGTATATCTGAGCAATGAGCTGGCTGGAGCGAGGTGCCGGATGGTTAGAGGGACCTCCTCCATGTTCCCAATCGATCTTTCTAAGTCACTGAAGGCCTCGTTAATTGACTGGAAATGAGAGCTGGAATATAACACAATTCCATCCCCTTTATCGAATAGCTTATCATCGTACGCATCACCAGCAAATAGGAAGTCTTCCTCGGTAACCTTGAAATGCCGATGGAGCGTGTAAGCAATAATCTGGTGCACAACAGAGCCATCCGAGGGCTGATCGGACCATGCAAGACTCTCCAGAATATTACCATCTTTGAAACGTCGGAGTTCCGACTTCTCACCCCAGAATTCTCGGAATGATGCTGCCTCCTCCTTCTCCTCTGCAGGCGGACCGTGGTCAACCACACGAGATACATGGTTAGCATCAAGCAAAAGTCCCACAGATAGACCATGGCTTGCTTTCTTGTTCATGGCTTTCGAGCGGATAGACCAAGAGCCAGCACATTGGCTTGAAAAAGAAATGAGTTTGACGCGGTCCCCGAGGGCCCTCGAAAGTGTAGTGAACAATGCATTTTGATCGCGAAGAGCTCGGATTGTATCGCCATTGAACGCCTTAGGTAAAGAAAGGAGGCGGTCGAATCTCAACGCTGGCTCGTCGACCTTCACAATGAAAACTTTGTCGAAATTGTCTTCACGCGACTCATTCAGCATCTTGAGAGTGACAGTCGCCTCTTTTCGAAGGGATGCATAGGACCACGAAGTCATCTTGTAGAGCAGGTTCAAACCTCTGCGGCCATCGTATAGAACAGGTCCGCCATCAGTAACGGCGATGTCTGTGGCGAAAAGTAGAAGAGGAATTGTCAAATCTCTACCAGCAAGGAATTGCAGCGTTGCTTTGAAAATTTGATAACTGCTGTAAGACCGCAGAAGAATCGGTTGTCCAGTGGGCCCGCCACCTTCAAACAGGAGCGACACAAGTGTCGTCCACTCGAACCCCCCAAAACCTCCATTTTGGAAAGATGTACTCATCCCTCGTTGCTGGAGCCAGATGCGTCCCAAGATACACGCATCTCGGAAGGATTCGCATTTTTGAGAGGCCGAATAGAGAAACTTGTGGTATAGAGAGACAGCGGCCTCGGACCGAAGAGACGCGTTGTAGTAAGGAGTCGGCTCGCCAGTCTCCGATTTATCAACGGAAGAGCCTTGTCGAATGTTGCTCTTGGTTGGCAGTGTCCGTGTGATCGGGAACAGGGTCGGTTCGATAGCGGTCAGGATGCGAATCTGTGATCTTGATTTGCTCGAATCGGATTTCGAGGCAAGGCGAGACTCCAATAAGATGATAGGACGAAGACTGTCTCCATCTTGGAAGGTAAATTTGGTGTCTAAGCCAAGGGCATTCATCGGCTCTTGAATGCCAGCCGCCAAGCAAGCGATATAGTACGCTCTCTTGTGGAAAAATCGGTAGTTCACATAATCTTTCTCCTGGAAAATTGAGCAGGGCATAGTCACTGCTAGATCGACTGAACGAGATTCTGCTGTCTTCGCTCCATTTTTCAAAGCAAAGCTCCCCACCACGTTGATATTTGATGGCTTCGCATACGACAGGGTGTATTTGGTATCCTTAGCCGGTCGCGGTTCTGGCCATGGAACCACGATCTCAGACCCTGTACGCAGCTCTGTTTCAGCTTCGGAGATAGACTTCGGTGATCGATCAGGGAGACTTTCGATGGTCTCCTTCAATTTGTGTAGAGTGTCCTGGATCTTCGAGATTCGTCCATCATAGTCCAGTCTCAGTCCACCGAGCAACTCGTCCATCTGCAACTTGAAAAAATTGGATTTATAAAATCCACTAGCCATTGCAAGTTCAGCCGAACCATCTCCCTTTCCTTTACGACCTGAGTGGCTCTTTGTTGAATGCTCATCTTTGCGACCAACATTCAAGCTTAACGGGGTGGTAGCTGTCGGTAGCTGAGTCTGAGAAGATAAATTAGGACATGTAGGTGAGGGACTGAGCTTCCTTCTTTTCACAGTATGTGTCGACATCGTGATGTTAGGTGTCTAGTACAAGCTGGGAGGGAGTGAAGATGTGTAGACGAAAAAAGCTTTCGATAATCTCATTTTTTTTTCTGGCGATAACGGACGGATATCGTGACAACGATACTGTATTAATTACATCAATACTGTCAGAATTCTCCTTAGTACTTATAGAGTACATGATTTGTAGTATATTTTTCCACTATATGTCAGGTTCCTTTAAAGTACTCGGCACTTGCTAGCTATTCCATCGCCGAAGTCGCAACTAAATTATTTTTATGACTCGAACAGGATCACTTACTCTCTTCCACATTCATTGATTTCTCAATTGTTCAATTAATTTATCTCTCTCCTCTCTCTTTCTAGTGTCATTATTATCGCATACAATGAATCAAGTCCTCGGAGGCTCAGTGCCTCCAAACACTGATCATGTATGTCGTTTTGCAGCTCCCCGCCGTGTACCCCTCCATGCTTCTTTTCACAATTGCAGGACACTACAAAACGTAATCGAATTGAAATTTACTAATTCAATATAAAGGCTGTTAGTGTCTCACTACCCACATGGAAATCCAACATCGGTTACGAAGAAGGAGAAGCCTGGGTGGTAAGCAAGATGCAATCCGGTTATCCCCGGTTCTTCGTGCATCTTGGAATCCAAAAGCTCGCCCAAGAGATTGTCCGTCGTGTTGGTAACCCGGAGTCAGAAGCGGCAACTCTCTTCGCATCCCTCAAAACTGCGCGTATCTGCCATTCTTTTATGGTGTCCAAGATCCCCGAAGACCAGTCACAAAAGATCCGGATCGTGAACTTCATTCCCTCTCCGAATACCGAAGCCGGTTCGACCTCAGTCAAATCCTCCTTAGTATGTGTGATTTATCCAAAAGATCTTGCTTCCATTGCCAAGCAGGTTTGGCAGCACTCTGGGTGTGGTATATCCAGTCGACGGGGTGAGTTCTGCATGCGTGCTCTGCAGGATGGTTTTCTGGTAGAGGAAAATAGTACCACGACCATCGACTTAGACACTCAGCGTCCATGCAAGGGCCCTCGGAGGTATCGAGGCAAGGGATCTGTGAATGGAACTTCGCGTGGCCCCTCGACCCCCTCATCGCCAGACACCCCTTCTGCAACCGACGGCATTGAAGATGGACGAGACTACGCTCAGTTTATTGAGGAGAGGTTTGGCCGAAACTTGAGTACTTCTTACGCAAACAAGGCAAAGATTGCTGTTCGGAGACGTATTGCTGGTGTATTGACCGCTGATGTGGAGCTTCCCGAGGCCTTAGAAACCGCAACATCAGAAGGCCGCATTGCTGGTGTCTCGGAAGATGATGTTTACCTTTTCCCCACTGGTATGAGTTCCATTTTTTCCTCGCACCAAACCTTGTTGAGCGCGCGGGGTCCTCTTAAGAGCATTTGTTTTGGATTCCCATATACAGATACATTGAAAATTCTCGAGAAATGGGGCCCTGGGTGTTTATTTTATGGCCATGGCTCCTCTGAAGATTTAGATGATCTCGAAGCACGACTGAAGAACGGCGAACGATTCCTTGGGCTTTTCACTGAGGCCCCGGGAAACCCCCTACTTAGGACTCCAGATTTGGTACGCATACGCTCCCTGGCAGATCAGTACGATTTTGCTGTGGTCGCGGATGAGACCATTAGCAACTTCCTCAATATCAATGTTCTTCCTTATGCCGACATCGCCGTCAGCAGCTTGACCAAGCTTTTCAGCGGGGACAGCAACGTCATGGGAGGTAGCTTAATCGTCAACCCACATGGACAGTACTATCGACGACTGAAGGAAACCTTGAGTCATGAGTATGAGGACATCTTCTGGGCAGAGGACGCTGTCTTTATGGAACGAAACAGTCGCGACTTTGTGACAAGAATCGATAAGATCAACTCCACGTCCGAGGAAATTACCGCAATGCTGAAAGACTCTCCACTGGGTAATTAGCCACTTTTCTGCTTGATTGATCGCTCCTTATACTGACCATTCTAACAGTGAAAGAGGTATACTATCCTAAATACAGTCCCACCAGGCCCCTTTATGATAGTCTTCGTACCCCTAACGGCGGCTATGGAGGTCTCTTCTCTATCACATTTCACTCAAAAGAAGCGACCATTGCTTTCTATGATACTATAGAAGTGTTGAAGGGCCCTAGTCTTGGAACTAACTTTACTCTCTGGTAAGCTATTACCGTTTCCGATCAATCTGAATTTTACTCTGCGCGCTGTACTAACTAGTATCCTTATATAGCTCTCCATATGTTGTCCTTGCCCATTATGGTGAACTTGAATGGGTAAGTGCTTTCTCCATCTTCCCCATGCTGAAACTCGATTCGCTTCCCTATTCTTTGCAGGAATCTTTCTGAACTAACAACTTCCTCCTCAGGCGAAATCTTACGACATTGATCCCGATCTAATCAGAGTCAGCGTTGGCCTGGAAGACGTTGCAGATCTACGATCCACGTTCCAGCAGGCTCTGGATGCCGCGGAAAAGGCTAATAAATAGACAAATCAAGTTTTGGGTGGTCTTATTACTTACCTAGTTATGCTCAGAGGCATCTTTACTACGCTTTCTGCGAAAACAGCAATTTTTAAAAACACATTCAAAGTTACTACCAATCTTAAAGTGATTAGATTTATTATAATGGTTGTAATGAAAGCCCTGACTCTTGAAAAATAACACATAATCACGAATATCCACATTCGTCGGATTATCTAAAAGAATCACCAAAGCAGGACCATCGAAAGATGTGCCGTCTGTCAAACTGATAACACAAATCCAGAAGCCTACACCCTCGTCATTGTTGAGGTGCTTGGGTGCTACATCTTCACTATCCTAAAAAAACTCTCAAGTAGCCATCAACGGCACCGCGGTATAGAAAAGTAAAGTGCAAGTAAGGCTCAAGTAGTCTGTAGGGAGTGAAATGGATCGGACGGTATAATTTTTTGTGTTAGGACCCAAAATCACAGAATTTTAATGAGGAATTCATGGAGACCTGTCATATCGGGAGCGAATTCACGATGGCATTCTGCAAAGGAGGTGAGAGAAATACAAAGATATCAAAGAGTTGTCATAATTAATAACGCCGAGGTAATCCCACCATTCCATATATAAGATCGCCGCAAAGTGGGCAAGAAGAGATAACACGTAAAGTATCATCAAGGACGAGAAAGTAAGAAAGAGCGATCCAAAGAATTATCGTTGTTCGAGGTACTCGCTATTTGACTAGTCACACCATCCCTACTGCCGGTTTTTTTCAGTGCCTGGCGCATAGTTTCAACGTTTAGTTCTCCGCCGAAGCTGGAAGAAACTGGGCTCTGCGTCATTGAGAATGAACCGGCAGTACCATGAGCCCCAAGACTGGGTGACTTATCAAGTCCTTGAAAAGATGTCTCGGGGCTGGTGGGAGGGGATGTTCCTAATCCATGTGAAGAATTCGGCGACTGCATTGGGGATGGAGACCCTCGAAAGGAAAATTCCCCAGTTTCAGCATTTTCGGCATTGACAACGTCCGCAAATGAGATAAAGCTCAGGCGCCGTACATCGGGTGAGTCAAGTGCACCATGTGTAGATGAGGCCTCATCAAAGTCAAGTGTTCCTCCATGATCGAAAATACCAGATGACGCCAAAGACTCTTCGGTGGAAGACACACCGGTGGCGCCTGCAGCGGCATGTTGGTGGATTATATGTGTAACAATCTCAACCGAATCTGGGTCTAGCTGCTCATTTGTTATGGCAGCTGAGGATGCCTCGAGAACGGGTGGGATATAGTTATCTGTTCGAATATGCGCCGGGATCGATGGCGAAGTCTGAAATGGTAGCATGTCCTCCTGGACACTTCGCTCGAATATCTGAGAGGCTGGAGAGTGGAGCCTAGGCAGCTGTGAAGTCGCTACGGGGGATGCTGGGTATTTACACGAGTATTTATGTCGGTCTGCGGTGTTTGGAGTTCGTAAAGCTTCGGGAATAATAGGTGATACAGGCGAGGTAGGGCCACTGCCCGTGCCATTGGCTTCTTCAGTGGAATAGTCTGTAGAGTGGTCCTTCTCAACCTCTCGCTGAGTCCAGGTCAAAGTTGCCGGCCTGGGGGCCCGTATGTTAAGTTGAGCGGGTTTGTCCAAAGAAGAGACCTCATCTGCACCAGTCATTGACTCGCTTTCTCTGTCATTTGAAGTGATAGGACGCCGCAGTTGACCACCCGACATACTCTGAGGACCCGACATGACATAGGAGAGAATCAGGATCTGTTTAGGGCGTTTGGAGCAGCAAGTCGAAACTGAGAAAAACGGCACGGCCTAGGGCCTCTAGAAAGTATTTGCCATAACTTGGATCTGTTTGTAGTTTTCACTGATGCTTTCACGATGTACACAATGAATGGAGTAAACGGTTGAGGAGAACATGAAAGGAAGAGCTTACTTTATGGCAAGGAGATGATGACCAGGTGATCAACTATGTGATGACGGCGAAAGTACTATATACATATTTAATTGAGTAATTTAGCGTATTTATTAGGTATCTAGTACATGTATGTACGTGGTACACTTCTAAGCCAATCAGGTCAAGGTCACGAGACCAAGGAGAAAAGTTCAAGCTTTCCGCAACATCAACATGTCCTACTTGCGCGGAATTTGTCCACCCGTTATACCTGTCTTTGGTGATTTTGAAACCGTTCTTAGTCCCTTTCTCAGACTTACTTCATCAGTCTACAAATCCGAGCATGGCTACCTCAATTGTCACCCCAAAGCGGCCCTTAGTTACTTTGCCGTTTCTCCTTCCTTCTTGCACAAAATCCCTCGCACCAGCCTCCCAGCGCTATCAATCTTCATACAGGCGTACTAAGCTACGTCTCCGCGTCAAGCCTGATGCTTCATTCGGCAAATCAGACCTGAAACAAGACCACATCATCTACAATCCGCCATCCAGTGTTCCATCGGTCTATCACACCCCGACCAAGTTCCTGCCTGTTGATGATGTTCGACGGACAATGCGCACTGTCACTGCTCCAATCGATGTCAATGCTCTCCCAAACTTGCGCACACGCGAAAACAAAACGCCTCAATATAATTTGACACCAACCGAAATCGAAGAAATTCGCTCACTTCGCCTGAGCGACCCGATGATCTGGAGCCGACAAAAACTGGCCAAACGTTTCGGTTGCTCTCCATTCTTCGTTGCTATGGTCTGTGAAGCTAGCAAGGAGAAGAAGGATATTCAAAAGCAGGTGCTAGAAGCCGTTCAATCCCAATGGGGACAGAAGCGGCGGATGGCCAGAGAAGACCGACAGTTGCGCCGGGAGGGCTGGGCTCGTGATGAATGATTTTTCGGTACTTCTTGGATTATCTGTTATCTGTTTTTTCATCTATTTTGGGGCTGGACTTTGCGGTTGTCTGATCAGGATCTTCAACCCAACATCACACAGCTCTATGTACAAAATTTCCTGGGGGTTACCAATGTATTCCAAACTAGCATCAACTTGTACCATCTTGTATCATCATAGCAATTTATCTAAATTCAAAATCCGAGTTCTAAACTTCAAGTACTATCAAAGCAAAACGGGATTTATAGGGCCTTGAGATGAGGATAATTTGTAAGAAAGCATACCATGTGTAAGCTTTGGCTACAAATGATTTAGAAGTATAATCATAGATATCTACTCTTTACTCACTACTAGAATACGGAATACTTCGTTGTGATGGATTTAATATGGTAATAGAGTGGTTTTAGTACACGGTCGCTTGAAGTATGATAGGGCGGTTATAATCGGAGCATATACATAGTAGTTAAGGCTGTAAGGCTAATTACGTGATAAGACCTTCCTCCTCGACCTCTTCGAAATGCCCCTCTTTCCTCTGCATATCCCATCACTTGTCAAACCCGGATATTCTATTCATTCTATTCTTTCTAGAGTTTCTTCTGCCAGGCGACCTTTGGTTTCTCTTTACTCTCGTCGCTTATATTACGGATACATCAGCGACACCAAAATGGCACCTCACTTGGAACCTTTCTTCAAGCAGTATGCTTTCTTCTCCTGCCTTACTATTAACTATAGCTCATCGCATAATCATTTATTAGGGTCGACACTTCGGCGGAGTCTTTCATTGATCGTACGTACTTGATCCTTCGAGCCCATGCGACTTCTTTCTTGCTTTCTTTGGAGCGTCAAGCTCTGTTAGCGGTTCATTCCAATGTCTAATTATAATATTCTTCAAGGTCTCCGGAAGGCTGTTGCAATCCCCTCGGTCTCTGCCCAGGATGAGAATCGACCCGATGTGGTTCGCGTGAGTTTCATGTCAAGCTTCTCGAATCTATAACATCAATACTGATTACTTTTCTTGGCGCACCATAGATGGCTAATTTCTTAGCGACTGAGCTCGAGGCTCTTGGGGCCGAGGTAGAACAAAGACCTCTGGGCAAGCAGCCAGGCAAAGAACATCTTGAACTGCCCCCTGTCGTCATTGCGCGGTATGGTAACGACAAGAACAAGCGCACCATCCTGGTCTACGGTCACTACGATGTGCAGCCCGCTCTCAAGGAAGATGGTTGGGCTACTAAGCCCTTTGAGTTGACCATCGACGAGAAGGGTCGCATGTTTGGCCGTGGTTCCACGGATGACAAGGGTCCTGTCCTTGGCTGGCTGAATGTTATCGAGGCTCACCGAAAGGCGGGCGTCGAGCTGCCCGTCAACCTTCTCTGTTGCTTTGAGGGAATGGAGGAGTATGGCTCAGAGGGTCTTGATGATTTCATTCATGAAGAGGCAAAGAAGTTTTTCAAAGATACTGATGCAGTTTGCATCTCCGATAACTACTGGCTCGGTACCGAAAAGCCATGCTTGACTTATGGGCTGCGCGGCTGCAACTACTACTCCATTTCTATCTCAGGCCCCGCTCAAGATCTTCACAGCGGTGTCTTTGGTGGCTCTGCACACGAGCCCATGACCGATCTGGTCACTGTCCTGTCGAAATTAGTCGACTCCCAAGGCAACATCTTGATCCCTGGTCTTATGGATCTTGTGGCACCACTCACTGAGGAGGAAAAGTCTCTGTATGGTAGCATCAGCTATACCATGGAAAATCTCCACGAGTCTCTTGGCAGCGAGACCGGTATTCACCCGAACAAGGAGCGAACTCTGATGGCCCGCTGGAGATACCCATCTCTGTCGATCCACGGCGTTGAGGGTGCATTTTCTGCCCCGGGAGCCAAGACAGTCATTCCTGCAAAGGTGATAGGCAAATTTTCTATCAGAACTGTGCCGAACATGGAAAGCGAGGATGTGAACAAACTGGTGTTTGACCATGTCAAGTCTGAGTTTTCTAAGCTCAACAGCAAGAACACATTGGATGTCTCGCTGCAGCATGATGGCAAATGGTGGGTTGCCAGTCCGAAGCACTGGAACTTCACCGCCGCTAGTAAGGCTGTGGAACAGGTATTTGGAGTTGCCCCAGACATGACCCGTGAAGGTGGAAGGTAAGTTGGCTCCAATCCCGAAATCATATCTATAACTAGTTTTGAATGGAGACTGACTATTAAATAGCATTCCTGTTACTTTGACCTTTGAGCAAGCCACCGGAAAGAATGTGTTGTTGCTTCCCATGGGAAGCTCTACTGATGCTGCACACTCCGTCAACGAAAAGCTAGATCGGAGGAACTACATCGAGGGCACTAAGTTGCTCGGCGCATATCTGCATTATGTTGCAGAGGAGAAGACCTCCGCATAAATATGTTGATTCAGTGCCAATACTGGTAGAGCTAGATTTGCCGAAATCAAATGACGATTTTACAACATCAATCAAACAAATTCTCTCGCAAACAATATGAAATTTCAATATTGATAGTCCATCTTTCGCCCCCAGACTTCGAGATAGTTCTTCCCGTCTCTAATACTCCGATCTCATATGACAACATTTTTGTTCTCCTGTAGATAGATAGATGTTAGTAATTAGTTTCTCTGTTATTTATTTAGGTAACTAAAGGCTAAATACTAAGTAGTACTTACTACTTACGGAGTAAATATTTATTTAAACAGTAAACTAGTTAAATAACTATTTAAATAGTTGGTCAATTCAATGCCGGCCCCGCTGACTCATCTATCAAAGATGTTTGCTTTTAATGCAAACTATGGACGCGGAAATGGGTTTCGTTCGCGACGCGGTTTCTTTGATTTCTCAATCTCTTTGTCCATTTAAGCTGATAACACCAGAGTGACACCCGTCGCTATGTGATAGTTTCTTTCAACTTTCAATTCACCATATACTGCTCCAATGTCTTCAAAACGAACTCAGGATTCTGTCGACTCCGGCGCGAGCGGGTCTGAGGGTGCCGAGCCAGCTTCGGTACGCGCTTTGAATTGCAGATTATGGTAATTTATGATGACTGACGGTAAAGCAGAAGAAAAGGCGACGTACCTCCGATTCAGAAACCGACACACAATCCGATGACGGTGAAAATGGCTCTCGCTCCTCTTCTCCTGCCGAAGATGAAACACTAGATGATGAGGAGCTCTTGCTTCGTCAAACCCAAATCCTCCAGGAAAAATATGCCAATATTGTTGATGAAGCCAACATTCCTGCCGAGCATGGAATTCTAGAAAGTGTGGACTGCTACAACTTCATGTGCCATGATCACTTCTCCGTGGAGCTTGGACCGTTGATCAATTTTATTGTTGGCAAAAATGGCAGTGGTAAAAGTGCGATCTTGACAGCACTTACCCTTTGTCTAGGAGGCAAGGCATCTGCAACAAATAGAGGACAAAGTCTGAAAAATTTCATCAAAGAAGGCAAAGAGAACTCGAATATTGTTGTGCGGATTAAAAACCAAGGAGACGGCGCTTACCTTCCCGATGATTTTGGAAAGTCTATTATTGTCGAACGCTACTTCTCAAGAAGTGGCTCAAGTGGTTTCAAAATCAAGGCAGCTAATGGACGTACTATCTCAACCAAAAAATCCGACTTGGATTCCATTACTGACTACTTTTCCCTCCAAATTGACAACCCCATGAATGTCCTTTCACAAGACATGGCACGTCAATTCCTGAGCTCATCCACTCCTGCGGACAAGTACAGGTTTTTTGTGAAAGGTGTTCAGCTGGAGCAATTAGATCAAGACTACCGTCTGATTGAGGAGTCTGTTGATCAAATTGAGGAAAAGCTGAGAAACAAAGCTGAAGATATCCGTACCTTGGAATCGCGAAAAGATGCAGCAAAGAAGAAATTGGAACTTTCCGATAAACAAGATTCTCTGAGAGATCGTATCCGGAACCTACGAAGTCAAATGGCCTGGGCTCAGGTTGAAGAACAAGAGAGGGTAAATACGACATTATCATACTATTTATTTCCTAATATACTAACAGATCTAGACTAGGGATTCCCTTGGTGAAGAGCTTACCAAGGCCAATGAGTCAATCGCTAATGCCGAAGCTGACATGGATCAATTCAATGCTAGACTCCAGGCCGCAGAAGCTGAACATGACACAGCTTCGGAGCATGCCTTGCAAGCCGACAGGGATCGAGAGAAGGGTAATATGGACAAAGATAAGGCCCAAGAAGAGTTGGCTGAAATGATGGCCAAACGCCACGAGCTTTCTGTACATATCCCCCTTCCCCCCCCCCCCATCACCACATTCAAGTTGGCTGACACTTTACAGACTGAACAACGCACTGTCAGAGATCACTTCAAACTCGTGGAAGAAAAAGTCTCCCAGCAACAGAAAAAAATTGATGCCGAGATTCAACGTCTAGCCGAAGTGAGCGACGGGGCCTATGCTCGGAGACAAGAAGAATATGACCAGGCTACGCAACGTGCTACTGCCGCTCGTGCTGAAGAAGAGGAGCATCGCGAAGGAGAAGGTATCCTGCGCGAAGAGATCCAGAAAGCCGACAGAGAAGTCCAGTCAGTGCAAAAACTAGTTGATGCCAAGAAAAAAGATATCGAGGATGTACAAAACCGCCTTCGGACTCTTCAGAAAGAAGACGGCCAGAGGAAATCTGGTTTCCATGACAAAATGCCCCAACTTGTCCGGGCTATTCAGCAAGAAACTTCCTTCACCACACCTCCCGTTGGCCCAGTTGGAAACTACATCACCTTGCTCAAGCCAAAGTGGTCATCCATTCTCGAAAATGCATTTGGTGGTACTCTCAATAGCTTCATTGTGTCATCCAAACAAGATATGATGACCCTTTCCAGTCTCATGCGCCGGGTAGGCTGGTTAGTACTCATTCCATCCAAGTCAATGCTGTGGATTTTTACTGACTAACATCATAGCCCCTGCCCCATTCTCATCGGCAGTGATGACTATCTTGATACTTCAGCTCATGAACCTGATCCCGAATTCGACACTGCTTTAAGAATTCTACAGGTAATGCGGCCATCTCCTAAATAATAGGTTGAATATCTAATCTTACATTTTCACAGATTGATAACTCAATGGTTCGATCACAGCTTATAATCCAGCACAGTGTCGAGCAAATGCTCTTGATAGAAGATCTCATCAAGGCAACATCCGTTCTTTTCGGGGGACGGCGCCCCACAAACGTCAAACGATGCTATTCCCTCGATGTAACTGATAGACGCAGAGGCGTCACTTTATCATTTAATCGAACGGGCCTTCCGAGTCAAGCGCCAGTAGCAATGTACAATGGCCAACCACGAATGAAATCGGACCTGGCTTCCCAAATAAGGTAAGAAAGAGGAAAAGAGAACTTTTCATCTTTATACTCCTCAACATGCTAACTTGACCACTTTATTGAATAGCGCACAGCGCGAAGTTTTGGATGATTTGAAGCGGCAGCTCGCCGAATTACAGCAAGAGCTCCAGTCTGCCATATCTCGTGCTAATGACTGTAAAAAGGCTCTTGCTCAGCATGGGCGCCGACAGCGTGACCTTGTAGTCGAGGTACAGAGAATGGATGACGAAGCTGAAGGACTTCGCAATGCCTTGGACAAGGATAATGTTACCGATGGAACACTTGACACCCTCCGAATTATCCTCAAGTCCAACCAGGAAGAACTGGAAACCACACAGGGAACTGTCAATGATTGCGTAACAGCCATGGCCAGCATGATGCAAGACTTGAAACATTTGAGGACAACTCTCAAGGAGAAAACCGACAGGGTCTCGGTTCTTGTGGAGAACTCTCGTGTTGCCGAAAGTGAGCGCCATCGCGTGGACGGCGAAAAACATCAAATCATCATTGAGAAAAATGCGGCCATAGAGCGCATCAAAGAACAAAAGGAGGTAAGAAAGAAGATCGAAGAGAACTGGGCACAATATGCAGAACGGGTTTCGGATTACAACGAAAAGGCCAGCATGGTTTCTCCGAGAGTTCCAGTCGATGAAGGTGAAACTCCTACTAGTCTGGATGAGAAACTCGCGAGATTGTCCCAGGACTTAGATCGCTACAGTCAACAGTATGTTCTCGATTTGCCTAATTGGGGTTTTGCTAATAATCATCAGGCTGGGTGCAACTCGGGAAGAAATTGCTGCTGAGGCCACACGTAGAGAGACAGCTTATGTGCAAGCGATGACACAGGTTGATGAATTGAGAACACTCGCCCAGGTAAATTTGATATTCTTGTGCTCTGCCACCGAGCATGTTCTAATTATTTGCAGATCTTCAAGGACACCCTTAATAATCGCAAAAAGAGATGGGAGATCTTCAGGTCCCACATTTCTTCTCGTGCAAAGGCCCAGTTCACCTACCTTTTGAGTGAACGAAGCTTCAGAGGCCGACTACTTACTGACCACAAAGGGAAGTTATTGGACCTGCAGGTAAGTCATATCTCCCATGAACGGACCATTTGAGCTTTACTGATACCTTATAGGTTGAACCAGATATCACAAAAGATGATAGCACCGGCCGTGGTGCTAAGACTCTTTCTGGTGGTGAAAAGTCTTTCTCTCAAATTTGCCTACTTCTGGCTCTTTGGGAGGCCATGGGGTCCCCAATCCGTTGTCTTGATGAATTGTGAGCCCCTTTTCTGTACTATGTCCCTTTTTCCCCTGTCTAACGTGATTTTAAGTGATGTTTACATGGACCACATTAATCGAAGAATGTCTATCGACATGCTGGTATGTTTCTTCTCATCAATTAGCTAATGGTCCATATACTGACCTTTCTGGCAGATGACTGCAGCTCGACGATCTATCGGACGTCAGTTCATCCTGATCACCCCTGGAACCAGAACAGATATCACCATTGCTGCAGATGTTCGAGTGAAGGAATTAGCGGAGCCTGAACGTGGCCAAAGTACTTTGACGTTCCAGCGGGCATAGTGTCGCTGAGGAGAATGTACGCTCTTCAAATTTATTATTTCTAACAGCGAAAATACCCCATTATTGCCTTGTTCAAAACAGATTTTCCAGTATAAAAGTCTCATTGAGGGTGAAATCGTAGTCACGTGGCCTGGTTCAGTCAAATTAGCTGTAGCAGTGCCAAGAGCGCACCCGAACACTTCTCCTACTTCAGTGATGCGACAGCACTGAGGGGGAATCCGAGGTGAAAGTGAGGCTAAAGTGACGTACGTTTGAGTGTAGTTTAGAACTTTCTCGCCTTAAAGCCACACTAGAAGAGATAAAGTCTGAACAAGCGATGAGTAAAGAAAAGTATCTCCTAGACTAGTCCTAAGTAGTCAATCACTGTATTTTAGTCTAATCATTGGTTAAATAGAATCCCTTTAAATATAACGCCTAGTAATAAATATGTAAATTGTAGTCACGTGACTATGCGGGACCACAGCGCCACGCTTTGGCTTCCCACTCAACCTCACTTTCTTCTGACTTCCAATCCCTTCACGCCTCTGATACTTCTCACACTCTCATCTCCCTGATCCACTACTTTTCTTTCTTTATCACAGAAGAAGGTCTCCGATAAGTCCCATATTTGCGCATCAAGCATTGGGTTACTGATTTTTCTTGTTCGTCACTTTCCGATCCCTCTGAGCAACCGCAGAACGCCAATCCCCAACCTTCTTCCTACTTTTCTTCCTCCTGTGGGATCCCAAGTCTTTGCTTTGTTCTCTTAAATATTAATTCAAGCTAATGCTTTCCTGGGCTCTCAGCTTTTATTCGACGACTTGAAGCCTATCCACCTCATTCAACTCGATTAACCACCTGCGCACATCCAACCTCATCAGCTTCTTTCAAAACCAACCGATATTCTGCTGGCCCGATAAGACACCAGTGGCACAAATAATTTTTGAACCTCAACCTCTATTGACCCGCAATCTATCATCATGGCTGACGCTCTTGCCACTCAGCTCAATAATGTCAAACTTGGGTGAGTCGATATTCATATGATGCATTGACCATAGCTCAACCTTGTCTCTAGAGATGGAAACATAGATCCCCGGCTACAGGACACTCTGAAATTACCTCCCAAAGATACACGCCCACAAACTGAGGTTCGTTCATATTTTACTTTTTTTCTTCTGGAGAACAACACTGACAGGGCTTTCAGGATGTTACCGCAACCAAGGGCCTTGAATTTGAGGACTTTTACATTAAGCGTGAACTGATGATGGGAATTTTCGAGGCAGGTTTTGAAAAACCCTCACCCATCCAAGAAGAGTCAATCCCAGTCGCTCTTACTGGTAGAGATATTCTCGCGCGAGCAAAGAATGGCACTGGTAAAACAGCTGCCTTCGTCATTCCCACTCTTGAACGAATCAATCCTAAGAGCACCAAAACCCAGGCTTTGATCCTGGTCCCCACGAGAGAGTTGGCTCTTCAAACCTCGCAAGTTTGCAAGACTCTCGGCAAACATCTCGGCATTAATGTCATGGTCACCACAGGTGGAACTCAATTGGTGGATGATGTTATGCGACTGAATGATGCTGTTCATGTCCTGGTGGGTACTCCCGGCAGAGTACTCGATCTCGCCAGTAAAGGTGTTGCTGATTTGTCTGAATGCCCGACTTTTGTAATGGATGAGGCGGACAAGCTTCTCTCTCCCGAGTTCACACCTGTTATCGAACAACTCTTGTCGTTCCATCCAAAGGACCGCCAGGTCATGCTTTTTAGTGCAACATTCCCTCTGATTGTCAAGTCCTTCAAGGACAAGCACATGCGCAATCCTTATGAGATCAACCTAATGGACGAACTGACCCTTCGTGGAATTACCCAGTACTACGCATTTGTGGAGGAAAAGCAAAAGGTCCACTGCTTGAATACCTTGTTTTCCAAGCTTCAAATCAACCAGTCAATTATTTTCTGCAACTCGACCAACCGTGTGGAACTCCTTGCCAAGAAGATCACTGAGTTGGGATACTCATGCTTCTATTCACACGCCCGTATGCTCCAGCCACACCGGAATCGGGTGTTCCACGATTTCCGTAACGGAGTGTGCCGCAACTTGGTTTGCTCTGACCTCCTGACCCGAGGTATTGATATCCAAGCAGTGAATGTTGTGATCAACTTCGATTTTCCAAAGAACGCAGAGACTTACCTCCACCGTATCGGTCGCTCTGGTCGATTTGGACACCTAGGTCTCGCAATCAACCTGATCAACTGGGAAGATCGTTTCAATCTCTACAAAATTGAGCAGGAGCTTGGTACTGAAATTCAGCCAATTCCTCAAAATATCGACAAGAAGCTCTATGTTTACGACTCACCAGAGAATATTCCTCGGCCGAACTCTGGCTCCCTCCAACCTCAAGGCACAGGTCAGCAGCCAGGTAACGGAGAGCGTACTCGTCGCCAACCCCATCACCAGAACCATCACCAGAACCACCACCAGAATGGACAATACCATAACCGTGGCCGGGGTAATGGTAACTTCCGTGGTGGCCGCGGACAAGGTCCTCGACGTGGTCACTCTTCTGATCACAACAAGGCCGCTTTTGCTACGGGTCAAGTTGAAGCAGCGGCACCACCAGCACCTGTCTCTTAAAATTGCATCTTCTTTTGAGTCTGTCCATTCGAGGCTTCTCTTTCTCTTCTCCTCGATATCACCTGGACGGACTTGATGCTCTGGGAGTGGGGGGTGCGCTGTTGATCATTTCTCGTCTTCTTTTTTCTTGACTTATGTCAATCTTTCTTGCCCGTCTCTTCATTCCTCCCACATTTTGACAGATGCCTTACCGAGTTACAATATTCTTCTCTCGTCACGACGGCCACGGAACTGATGCGACATTTGTATCATAATACTTCCTTAAACCCCTTCGAATTTTATCGCCCAGGTGGTCTGGGAATGGTGCATTTTCCGGAGCCATGGATCTTTCGTGCCCCTTTCACCTTTTTTCTTATGCGAAGGTCCGTACATAATCATTCGCCTGCCCCGGTTTTCTCCAATGATCTCGAATTCGGTGGCGTTTTTCGGGGGTCTTTCTCTGGACTTTGGCTTTATCATGAAGACTTTCAAATCCCTTTCCGTGCGGCCTCCCATGATCTCAATTACCTACCCCTCAAGAACCGCAACTATTCTCTTCAAATGACACACGACAACACAGTTATCAATCATCACCCCACGCTTTTGACCCTTGGATCTGTTTCCCTGGCTCTACCTTTGGACTGTTCTTAATAAACGAAAGTCACCCATATTATGCTCCAAATGGGCAATCTTCACTTGGTGTGGAAACAACAACAAAAAAAATACAAAAACAAAAATTTTCAGAGGAGTACAAGATGCTGGATACTTACATAGCATTTTGTGGAATGATAAGAAGTCCCTCTGAGTTGTTCATCTGTAGATTCCTTGTATTAGTTCGTCAGTATTGATCTTAGATATTTCCTAGTCTTGGTAAGCTTCAGCAAAGCTATTGAAAAGATAATACGGAGTGTAATGTTACAATACCTCGTACGGTTCGATCTGATAGTAAAACTGCGCACAGTGGAGCTGCGGTAAACCGTATGAGGGTTGATCTACCAAAAATGGAACCCGAGGTCTATTTTCATTCCAACGCACTATCTCAATTAGACTCAAATGGCTACAGCTAGCAAGGACCAGACGGCCAAGGTTTGTCCCAAAATCAAATCACTTTACTAAAAGCTTCAAGCTAACCCACCATGCAGCCGAGTGCTCTGCGCTCCGTTCTCGCTGGATCTACTGCTGGAGCTGTGGAGATTGGTAAGGATCCCAGCCTGTGTAGGTGTCATGGAGGGGAGAGCTAACCTTGGAATATTCTGTAGCTATCACCTACCCAGCTGAGTGTATGATCCTCCCTTAATCACTTAACATATGTTTTCTAACTAATTGGCATCCAGTCGCAAAGACCCGCACACAACTGAATCGCCGACTCCCCGATGGCCAGAAACTACCATGGCCGCCATTCGGCGCGCAATGGTACGCTGGATGCACAACATTGATTATTGGAAACTCCCTGAAAGCTGGAATTCGTGCGTTGATGTTCGTTCAATTCTCAGCTGGGTTTATTGACTGACATAATGCCACCCTTGATAGGATTTGTTGCGTTCGACGCTATCAAAGCCTCTCTGTCAGATGAAAACGGCAAAATCTCAGGACCAAGGACAGTCATAGCTGGTTTTGGCGCAGGCTTCACTGAGTCTTTGCTTGCTGTCACTCCCTTCGAGAGTATTAAGACTCAAATGTCGGTAGTCCTAGAACATTTTTATACTCCTGCGATGGGCACTGTTGACTGATGCACTGGCTCCAGAATTGACGACCGCAAATCCGCAAAGCCCCGGATGAACGGTTTCTTGCATGGCAGCAAGCTTATTTGGCAGGAGAGAGGTATCCGAGGTTTCTTCCAGGGCTTCGTACCCACGACGGCACGGCAGGCAGCCAATTCGGCCACGCGATTCACTGCCTATACTACCTTGAAGCAGTTTGCAGAGGGCTATGTGGCCCCAGGAGAGAAACTCGGGACACTCAGCACATTCGCCATTGGAGGAGTTGCCGGTATAATTACCGTGTACGTGTCAGAAAAGCCGTTCACTGAGAGACTACTTCGCTAACATGAATGATTCTAGTTATGTGACTCAACCGCTGGATACAGTGAAAACGCGAATGCAATCCATTGAGGCCAGTAAGAACTATCGGAACAGCTTTGCCTGTGCTGCAAGCATTTTCAAGAATGAAGGCTTCTTCACCTTGTGGTCCGGCGCCATGCCCCGACTGGCTCGGCTGATTCTGAGCGGAGGCATTGTGTTTACCATGTAAGTTGAAGTATTATTGAAAGGAGACTCTATGGTTGCTAACAGCTTTTAGGTACGAAAAATCAATTGAGCTTTTTGACGTCTTGGATCCCCAGCGAAAGTACATATAAAAGATTGGGCCATTGAAAAATCGGGATGCTATTTTGTTTTTTGTTTTTTTTTTTTTTTTTTTTTTTTTTTTTTTTTTTTGGGGGGGGGGTTTCGAATAGAATTTCAATACTACTTACTGTGAATCTTCTATCAGCATCTTTTAATACAAGTTCAGTAAACCGCTGTCGTTCCTAATTTACATTCAGGTCATGCCCTATTTCTTATTCTTTTTCTGGTCTTTTGCCAAATCCTGTGCGACCATGGCTTCAACCTCACGATCGGCCATCCAAGTGCGAACACTTTCCATCACTGTCTCCAGAGTGTCGCCTCCGCTGAGTACATCATCCAAATTATGGACTGTAACCCCACTGCGGTGATCAGTACAACGGTTCTGGCCGAAGTTGTAAGTTCGGATCTTGTCACCTCGACCCATTCGAGCAACTCCACCCAGAGCTCCTCGCCGGAGCTCTATCAGCTCTTGCTCTCGTGCTTCTTGGCGAGCTTCGGCGATCTTGGCTCGCAGAATCTGCCAGGCTTTCCGTCGATTCGCCTGCTGAGACCGCTCGTCTTGCATCGCGACTACAGTCCCCGAGGGAATATGAGTCAATCGAATGGCAGACTCGGTTTTGTTCACATGCTGTCCGCCGGGGCCTGAAGCCCTCATCCTATCCACTCGCACCTCCTGTGGATCAATATAGTAGTCGCTGTTTGGGTCTTCGAAGTTCAAGGCATTGTCCATGCCACTTGCACTCTCTGGGAAACTTGGGAGCACCATCACGCTGACGGCGCTGGTATGAGTGCGGCCCTTGGTCTCAGTTGCTGGCACTCTCTGGACACGATGTACCCCCGATTCAGTCCGCAGCAAATCATATCCTCCCTCTGCTTCAATCTCGATTACCCCCTCGCTAAGGCGATCATCTGATGATGTATCATCGACGTCGTGCTTCAAAATCGTTGTCCGGAGACCTAACCGGGCACAGAAGGCTATATACATCCGCAACATCTCATATGCAAAGAGTCCGGCTTCATCCCCTCCAGCGCCAGGTCGAATCTCTACTAAACATGGCAGATCCGCGAATGGGTGTCGAGGAATCAACGACTTCTTCAATCGGTCTGATATTGAAGGGAGGGTATCTGTGGTTGAATTCAAGTCTTCCTTCGCGAGCGATCGAAGTTCCTCATCGGTTTCTTTATCCTCCAGCAGGGCGTTCAATTCAACAATAGACTTCCATACCATGTTAGCGATCAGTTCGTGTAGAGGAGACGAGGTACACACCTCATTCGCAGCGTCCCATTCCTTCAGGGCATTTGTCACTAGGGCTAGCTCTCCAGATCGCTTGGCTAGTGTAGCATCAAACGATTCAGCAAGACGATCCGAAAGATCTGTATGTTCAACGGCGAGTAATCGGGCTCTTGTCAACAAAACTGGGGATAAGTTGGAATCTGCATATGGATATCAGCGAGCGGTATTGGAGTGGGAAGGGAAAATCGTAGCACATACCAGTATGGGCTGTTCGTATAAATTGTCTAGGGCCAAATGTTAAAGGCCGTAGCAAGCGGCCGCATCGTAGCATCCTTAGTGAGACGCAAGTTGAATATTTCGGTGATTAAGGAAGTTGGTAATTTATGTTACGTACGATACAGTAAAGGCCACGAACAGTTTCCTAGTTGGATTCTCAAACACTCTCACCCCCAGACTTTCGTTAGAGTATCCCCTCATCCTCCTTTTCCTTTTTCCCCTTCCATTGATCATGTCCATTCAGTTTTAAACAAAAATGCGCATCTCGTTTGAATCCCTGACGGTCGTCCTGGCCTGTCTGTCTACTGGTTATGCCTTCCAGGTTCCCCATGATACGCCACTCTCTGAATTAATCTCCTCCGCGAAGGCGCATCTGGCCAAGGGCGAGGCACGCGATGCCCTGGTCTACTTCGATGCGGCAGTCTTACGCGATCCCAATAATTACATAACACTGTTCCAGCGAGGCGCGGCTTACCTCTCCATCGGCAAAAACTCACTGGCATCCGAGGATTTTGATCGAGTGTTAGAATTAAAGCCCGATTTCGAAGGCGCCCTTCTGCAACGATCTCGTCTCAAGGCTAGGACCGCACATTGGAAGGAGGCACTGCAGGATCTTGAACGTGCAGGGAAGAAGCCGTCGGTCGAATATCAAGAAATTGAGGAGGCACGGGATGCGGCAACCCTAGCGGCTACAGCGGAGGCCAATGGTGACTGGGAAGGCTGTATCATACAGGCCGGTGTGGCGATTTTGAAGGCGAACACAGATCTTTCGTTGCGGAAGACTCGAGCACACTGTCGGTTTGAGAGAGGAGAGGTGGAAGAAGGTGTGAGCGACCTGGCTCACGTTATACAAATTTCCCCCAACTTGGTAGAGCCACAGTTGCAGATGTCTTCAATATTGTTCTATGCGCTTGGAGATAGTGATCGTGGCCTAACACAGATCCGCAGATGTCTCCATACAGACCCAGACTCCAACCCTTGCAACCGTCTTTATAAGCGGGAACGGCAGCTATCGAAACTCTTGGTGAAGCTGAACAGTGCCCTGGAGACGCGCAAGTTTAGTAACGCAGTGAACATTTTAATTGGCACCGGCGACGAAAGTGGTATGATTGCAGATGTGAAGACTGATGTGGCAGAGGCCCGCGAGGCGGGCCATATTCCTCCCGCAGCATCTAATAACCTTTATGTCTCCCTTGTCGAGAGGGCATGTGAAGCCTACAGGGAGGTTAGTGAACCCAATCAACGCTTTAATGTTCTGCCACCCGTCTCCTTGCGCTAACATTGAATTACTAGATGAATATGGTCAAGAAAGCTGGTCCTTATTGTTCCGAATCCCTCCAACTTGTCCCAACCTCCCTCCACGGTCTCTTGTACGAGGCTCAATCCGCATTGGATGGGGATCGGCTGGAGGAAGCTGTGCGCATTCTTAATACAGCTAAGGAGCATCATCCGCACTCTCAGGGTGTTCAATCCCTCCTCCAGAAGGCGCAAGTACTTCTTAAACGCTCAAAACAGAAGGATTACTACAAGGTTCTAGGTGTTAGCCGCGATGCAGACGATCGGACTATCAAACGAGCCTATCGCCAGTTGATAAAACAGCATCATCCTGATAAGGCTTTGTCCCAAGGTGTGGCTAAGGAGGATGCAGAGAGGAAGATGGCATCCATCAACGAGGCATATGAAGTGCTATCAGACTCCGAGCTCCGATCTCAATACGACAATGGTCATGATCCTAATGACCCTGAAGCACAGAGAGGCAATCCACACCAGGGTGGCTTCAATCACGGCCAAGGCGGTCATCAATTCTTCTTCCAACAAGGTGGGCCGCAGTTCAAGTTTTCCGGACAAGGCTTCCCTTTCCGTTGATTTCGCCCCTCTTTGTCATTTTCACACAGCACATACCATGAGGGGTTTTGGGGGGTTTCTTATAGGAGTAGACAACACCAGGTACCTGCCTATCCGTGGCAGTAGTTTGCGGCATTATTTATTGTTTTTGCGTTTTGGGTTCTTTTACAGTAATGGGACAGTAGTGAGAGCAAAATGAATATATATATTTCACTTTTTAGTACTCGCCACTTGACATTAGACCTTGTCCTGGTATTCAACCTCGAGGAGCATCGGTCAGAGGTACGTATTTAACCTGAAAGACCTTCTCTCTATGGATCGATCCGTCGATCTTTTTGTCAATGACCCATATGTACTGTCCTCCACGAGCTACCACACTTGTTCCCTCTTCCTCTGACTCAATTGGAATGAACAGTCGCCCTGGTGCACGTAACTGCTCCATCAATGCAGGATGAAGACTTTCGGCTGCTGCACCGACGTGAATAGCATCATACGGAGCTCCATCTTTCCAACCTAGGCGTCCATCGGCGGTGATCATCTTGACAATTCCAGATTCCTGAAGATTGCGACCTTCTTCGGACTTGTTAATGTTGGTACGGGACATATCAATCAGATCAGATATGTGATCAATGCCAATCACCTGGCCTTGTTCTGGCGCATCTGGACCCGCCACTAGATTGGCCAGAACGTGAGTGAGGTAACCAGAGCCAGATCCGATATCCAGTACTCGGGAACCAGGTTGAAGATGATCGATAAGATACTCACACGCTTGTGCGTGCATATGCGGGGCAGAGATGGTAGCTTTATGTCCAATAGACTGCGGGGAATCCGAGTAAGGCCGCGATGGAGCGTAGTGGGCTCGATCAACCTTAGTTTGATATCAGACTAATAATTCCATATTGGGGAGATATAATGACTCACACGTAACATGGCTTCCTTCACCCGCTTGTTCTTGATCAAGCCACTCTTGAACAGGTTCTCGATGAGCTCAGTATTGGTAGACCCACTACAATACCATGCCATGACCAAGGCCCCTATCAGTCACCTCTTTGGTAATTTAAGTGTGACGTGTCTTTAAGCAGCTGAGCATGAAGTCCTGATGCCAGGAACTTTGGAATGTAGAAGGAATGTTACCATGGAAGCTGTCCACGTGATGAGGCCATCTCCAATCATATATATATATATATATGTATATATAATTTATATTAGTTATGGAAGATCATATTATTAATTATACAACATGTAAAGCCATGTCGATGTCTGGCCCCTGCATGATCATGGTTATTTCGATGTTTCCAATCTTGAAGTGTCTGGATGGATTATGGTAAAGCTATAGATATATCTAACTGCATGTGATTTTCTTTCCCACTTCTTGGCTTTCCCCTTCTGCTTTAGTGCTGAGTGCTTGCCGCTTTTTGCTCACTGAGTAGAACCGAGCACGCTATGAACACAACTAATAGCTAGAAAATATATTTATTTAGTTCCAAATTCAGTAGATTACCTTGGGCACGTGCGGAGTACGATCCACTTCTGCGGGGAAATTATCTTCCTCAACCTCTTCCATTTGCCATTACCATTTTGCATCAGCCCTGGAGATATTTTAAGGCTCTGATTTCATTTTGCATATGGGAAGATATTCAAATCCCTGAATTTTTCCGCAATGCCAGCTGAGCCTGACGCTGTGACTGACTTGGACGAAGCAGCTTGTGCCGACCCCGACACTCAAGCCGATGTGGATTTTATGATACTTGACTACCTAACGTGCATAGCCGTTAGCTCGATATTTAGCAAAAATGACCTGGAAAAGTTAGACTGGACAGTGGATATAGTGAGAGGTAGACACCCACACATCCCTCCACTGCTACACTGGGCTTACAAAATAGCTTTTCACAAAAATTCCACGGCCACGCTTGAAATTCCTCTACCTCAGGACATAGAAATTAAGCTGCAAACGTTGGAGGTGGCTTATGAGCTCTTCAACCATGACACCTCACCAGAAACTTGCTCTCACAGGAGTCATATACAGTTGTCGAAGATCGGTATTGATTTCATGGATCTTTGCACCGCTGCAGCATCCATTGTCTCTGAAACGAGTTGGTTGGACATCTGCGCTCGATTCCAAGTACAGGCTCTCCTGGAAGAAATTAAATCTGGACATGATCTCTCAGAGGATACTTGCAAGCTGCTTGCATGGGCACCAGCCGACCCAGATCTCAACTCAAAATGGTTACACATTCGTCAGAGATACTCAAGCCAGCTTCCACGGCCCGGGGAAGTGTCAACTGGCCATAAAATGGCCTCGGAATCTCCCATCGATGAGTTCAAGGCCATTGTGACAAATTTTCTTATAAATCTCATGACAAAGCTTGATGCTCCCGTCCTTATACAGCTTGAGCGTGGAAAACTATTCGATCTCAGCCGCGAAGAAACCCGTGCGCTCAAAGAGCGAGTTGGTTTGCGCTGAGTGAATTGCAGTTGCAAGAGACATCGGCTTCTGAAAGCAAACAAAGGCTACGATTCAACGTGTCAAACCATGATCCATACACGACAAACCCAGAAACTAGGAATAATAATCAAAAAGAGACCTGCCTATAAACAACAGGTATATTTTAACATCCGATAATCTACAAGGGTGCCAAGGGCTGCTCTAAACACAACGAACATCAATCAACCGAGAAATCGACAGTACAATTGCTTAACCGAGCAGCATGCGACGGGGGTCCTCGATATACTCCTTGACCTAAAATGAAGTTAGAGTGTGACTCGGTGAAAGAAAGATAAAAGGCAACATACCTTAACAAGGAAAGTGACAGCCTCGCGACCATCCAGGAGACGGTGGTCATAAGTGAGAGCCAAATACATCATCTATACATAGGTCTCATTAGCATCTTTTTTTGTAACCGTGAACGAAGGGAAAAAACCCACAGGGCGAATTTCAATCTTGCCATTCACCACGACCGGCTTGTCCTTGATCGCATGGAGACCCAACACCGCTGCAGGAAAGAGTTAGTTCATTCAGAAGTAGAATAAATCGGGTTAGGGATGCAAGTGCTTACCCGTCTGAGGCAAGTTGATGATGGGAGTGCCCATCAAAGAACCGAAAACACCACCCTACATTTTCAAGTTAGCATTTACTTCTAGTTCCCCCACATATGGGCTCATAATATTTCTTACGTTGCTGATGGTGAAAGTACCACCGGCCATATCCTCAATGGTCAGCTTGTTGTCGCGAGCCTATTACAAAACAGATTAGAACCATGGATTATAGACAATTCTGCAGAGGCTTACCTTTTTGCCGAGCTCAGCAATAGATTTCTCAATGGTGACTAGGTCCATGTCCTCGGTATTGCGGACAACTGGTGTGACTAGACCCTTGGGGGTGGCAACAGCAACGCTAATGTCGACGTAGTCACGGTAAACGATGGTGTCACCACCATTGGGGCCCTCAATGGAGGCATTGACGGCAGGGATATCCCGCATGGCCAGAACACATGCGCGCGAGAAGGCGCTCATGAAACCCAGCTTCACTCCAGTCTTCTTGAGCACATCATCTTTGTAAAGCTTGCGGAACTCCATCAACGAGGACATGTCAACTTCGTTAAAGGTGGTGAGAGAAGCAGCAGTGTTCTGAGACTGCTTCAGGCGCTCCGCAATACGCAGGCGCATGCGGTTCATTTTTACCTTTATTTATAGACAAGGTTAGCTTCCAGCAAGAGAAAATTCGGAAATTGGATCAACACGTACCCGACGCTCCTCACGGTTACCCTGAGCGGGCTTCGCCTCAGGTGCGGGGGCCTCCTTGGGCTTTTCGGGAGCAGCAGGCTTCGAGGCCTGGGTTGGCTTAGGCTTCTCAGGCTCAGGAGCGGTCTCCTTGGGCTTCTCAGAAGAAGTCTCCTTCTCCTTGGGCTCGGGAGCAGCCTCCTTCTTGCCACCCTCGGGGGCCTCCCCAAGCTCAATTACGAGGAGATCTTGTCCAACGGTAACGGTATCTTCCTCATTCACGAGAAGCTCTTTGATAGTACCGGATTCCGGGGCATTGACCGAAACATCAATCTAATGCGCAAAGACTAAGTTAAATTTGAGACAGTGTATTCCTTGTTCATAGATCACTCTACCTTATCGGTCTCAATGGTGGCAATCTCTTCATCGCGCTCAACAAAGTCGCCAACCTCTAAAGAAATAAGATGACACAAGTCAGTAATCTGGAGATGCCGAGAATAGTTAGATTCGAGTTACATACGTTTAGAGAATTGCTTCAGAGTACCCTCTGTGATCGATTCAGCCATCTGTGGAACCTGGATCACCTTGTCGGCTGATTCAAATAGTATTAGTACCACTTCTTGATTGATAAAGCAGAATGGAAGGTGCATGATTTACCGTAGGTGCGAATCTGGGAGCCGACGAAAGGCGCGATGTTGCGCGAAACATTGATGCTAGTGACGTCTATTAGTTCTTGGAAGCGACATTTTTGAGATAGACAGGGCATGTCATTACCCTGATGAGACCTGGAGCAAGCCAGAGGTATTGGACGAGATATTAGAACGGGTCAGTGTGGAAAGGCCCTGAATACCACGGAGCCGACTGGGGGCCCGAATGGCCCGGGACAAAGTCGTCAACCGCTGGGCGGAAAGGCGCGCGAGAGGAAGTCGAGCAGCCATGATGTAAAGAATAGGGGGTACTAGATAGATGAAAAAGCTCTGAGAGTTCAATTAAGAGGGGAGAGGGTTTGGAGGAAACAAGTAAAGAGAAAAAAAGTAAGAGGCGGTACGCCCTGCTGTTACTGTAGCCGAAGTCCAATAGCTCCCGAAATTCCGAGAGAAGATACGGATGCTCGGTAACCGGAATAATGTTTTTACTCTCTCTACGGTTATCCATAACCATCTTAAATGCAATTTGTAACGAATGAGGACGTCGAGAATAGTCAACCCAAGAAGCAATCACCTATTCCGGACTGACGCGGATTGTCTAGGAGACTCTTCGCGCTCACACTACTACTTAATTGACTCTATTCATTCTGGTTTCAATTGAATTTGAGTATCATGTCCTCCTTCGCCTTGTCAGTTTGCTTCACCCTCTGAATCCATCCCCCATCCTAGTATTAACACATTCTAGGTCGCTGTATCGGCGGTCATTGAAGCTATCTCTTGACTGGTCTGTAGACCGTCGAGTCTGGCGCGGACAAGCTGGTTATATACGTTCGCTGTTCGAGGCCAACAAGAACATCAGCGACCCTCGTCTGCAAAAGGTACGCTTACCGTATTTCACAGCTTGAAAGCCAAAGTCACTCATAAAGCGAAAAACTTAGGTACTGTTCCGTGAAACAGAAAAATTACTTCAATCATGGAAACACCCTGATCCTTACAGGGCCCCGACCGCCCCCGGAGGTTTGTCTCCAAGATACTCGTTGCAACAGGAGCATACTTCTAATCATTATCATAGGAAACAAATGGGAGAGAAACTTGCCCGCTCGCATTCTTCCCTGTATGTTTCTCACTACACCGAGAATTTCTCCGTTAATATATACTAATGTTTGGTCATAGACGCGGAGCCACCTACTGCCCATTGATAAAAGACAATAAGATTGACGGGCATCTTTTTTATTTGGCTACTCGATAGGACATTGTTTGAACTATCCTAGCAGGAACTTATGTAGACTATAAATTAAGTCGATTGATCGAACACCTCCCAGCTACATTGCAATATGCGTAAATTGATCCTCTGGAATACGAAAGTAAATCTAATGCTCTAATGAGGTAAATGCTGAATCCTTATAGATGGTATACAGAGAATCATACGTGACTATGAAAACGATGATATCTCATGGACCTAGAATCTTTTGATTGATGCGAGCATAAGCTCGTTCTAGTTATCCGTAAAACAGAAATTCTCGAACTAGCTGCAGCTAGAGTTCGTCGGTATCATTCCATGTCCGCAGACATAATGTACAACCTGGAAACTAGTAGAAAATAGAAAACGCAGAGCCATAACGTGCCCGTCCCATAACCCCATTATCGTGAATGAACCAACCCACGCCGGAAAAAAGCAAATCAAAACCGCGAAAGAAAAGTCATCGCTTAAAGCTCCTGGCTACCCTTGCCGGCCTTGGGGGTCTTCTTGGGGAGGAGGTCTGGTGGGTGGTATATTAGTAACAATGCAAATATAACTGTGGTATTGGAGAACATACTCTGATGAATGTTGGGGAGGACACCGCCCTGGGCGATGGTAACGTGACCGAGAAGCTTGTTCAACTCCTCATCGTTACGGATGGCGAGCTGCAGGTGACGAGGAATGATACGAGTCTTCTTGTTGTCACGGGCGGCATTACCAGCCAACTCGAGGATCTCAGCAGCGAGGTACTCGAGGACGGCGGCGAGGTAGACGGGGGCACCGGCACCAACACGCTGGGCGTAGTTACCCTTACGGAGCAGACGGTGGACACGACCAACAGGGAAGGCCAGACCAGCCTTGGAAGAACGGCTATGAAGATTAAAAGTTAGAAAGGTTTCACAGCACTCGACGCGTAGAGTCGAGTTCATATTACAAGTACTTACGACTGAGCGTTCTTGGCACCGCTAGCCTTACCGCCGGACTTTCCTCCAGTCATTTTGATGGTTGGTTGGGTTTTGAAGAAAAGGGAGTTTTAGAGACCGGGAAAGTCGAAGATGAAAGAGAATTGTCGTGGATGGGTAGAAGCAAGAATGGGTGGGATGCGTGGTGAGGGCAGAAGGACTTTATATGGACGTGATGAGGGTGACGTTAGGCTGCATCAAACAATCATTAGATCACGCACTCGCTTAATAAGATCAGCCAATCAAGATTAAGATCACTCCGTTCTTGGTACACTTGATTCGGACTAGCGTGGTACTTTACAGCCCTTACCATTTAATACAGCATTTCCCGCTGGACCCACATACCCATTTCCCAGCTTGAAACGCGTTCCATTCCGTTTAATCATACAGATCATACCATCCTGTTACTGTATTGAAATTCTGGCTCCTTTTCATTTCCAGGATCAACTGTCCTTTGGGCGGTCGAGTATAAAGACCGCGTTCCCCTCACTACCGCGTTCACTCTTTCTCCTTTTCCCTTCCCATTCCATCTCTCCTCGGTCCATCATCCATCTCCTTTTTTCCACACTTCTCTTTAACCACCAACTTTCCCACCTTTATTAAAAATGGCTCCCAAGGCTGCTGAGAAGAAGCCCTCCACCGGAGGCAAGGCCCCTGTTGGTGGCAAGGCTCCCGCTGAGAAGAAGGAGGCCGGCAAGAAGACTTCTGCTGCCACTGGTGAGAAGAAGAAGCGCGGCAAGACCCGCAAGGAGACCTACTCTTCTTACATCTACAAGGGTGAGTTCATCCTTCCATGATGACGCGACTTTATGACGCGAACATCGATGACATGGATATTGAACGCGTTTGCTAATATTTTTTTCCTACTTCTAGTCCTCAAGCAGGTCCACCCCGACACCGGTATCTCTACCCGTGCTATGTCCATCTTGAACTCCTTTGTCAACGGTATGTTTTTACCTTTTGGTCCTAATCTCATAGTCAATGTCCAGTGGTCTAATTCATCTGCAGATATCTTTGAGCGCGTTGCCACCGAGGCCTCCAAGTTGGCCGCTTACAACAAGAAGTCCACTATCTCTTCCCGAGAGATCCAGACCTCTGTTCGTCTCATCCTCCCCGGTGAGCTTGCTAAGCACGCCGTCTCTGAGGGTACCAAGGCTGTTACCAAGTACTCCTCGTCCGCCAAATAAGCGGTCTCTGGGTTTTTCATTTTGCGGGATTGCTTCTTTGTTTGTTTTTTTCCTTACTGCCTCCTGATCTTTGGGCTCTAAGGTGGATGGTTATGGGTGTTTTGCGGGTTTTCTAATGTGTCATGGGATGGTATCGATTTTCTTTTCCCCGATGGGCGAACGTTTTCTGATGGTTACTACTCGATGCGCGCGGTTTGTAACATAACTCCGGTCTGGGGCCGTATTTTTACGGTTTAACCTCCCCTTACTAGAACGCGAAATTCCAAATGCTTGATCGCATTTTCAAAAAATACTTTCTACATTTCTTCTCTAACTTGTAGCAATATTTCTCTTAACTCTCTGATTCAGAATCATCCAGCACTTCCACCTCGTCCAGTGCTCCCTCGCGACCAACTATCTCATTTGACTGCGGAGCCCCCGCAAGGATATGGATGATGGGTTTGCCTGGTGAGGACTGTACTCGTTGTTTCCAGTCGGCCCAGTCGGCTTCATCTTTGATAAGGAATCCGATCAGCATGCTCGGATCCATGTCCTTGATATGTATTCGCCTAAGCCGGTTGGTATGATACGTATCCAGCTCTTCGGTCGTATACGCTTCGCCTGGGTCTCGATGAGGAAGGGTGGGGCGTGTGAGATGAGGGTCCAAGAAGAACAGGTATGAATCCTGAACTCCTACAAAGTAATGCGATGCCGATGGACGTCCACTTGATATTTGATTAGCGGTCTTCAATTTGGTATGTTGGGTCACTGATATATTCACACGTACCCAGCTACTCCCACCGCTTGTGGGTATTCTAAAGCAGCACGTAGTCCATCCCAGTATACCGAGGTGATACGCTCAATCCCAAGTCTGAGCCCAAGCAGAACCAGTGTTGGTTGAATGCGTCCAGAATCACCGCAGGCTATTTTCTTGAATTGATCCTCGTATACATCGGGTGTATCATTCGTTAAATATACCTTCAACTTTGGATCCTCACATTGAATGGACATGGACCTGTTATACTATCAGCATCCACTTAGAAGCCTTCGAAGGGACAACGTACTGGATACATCGCGCAGTGGCTGACGGTCCAAACCATTCCCCGGGGTACTTGCCACACGATTCAGCTCCTCGCTGGACAAACCGATGTATGGAGAAAGGGGCATCGGGGTGATCTGCAAACATCGCCAGTAGCTTTGATTCCTCTTCCGGGTTATTACCTCGGCGCCAGTCTATTTAGTATTTTAGCTGTTGGCCCTTTGAGTTGCTTCATAGTTAACTATCATTACCTCTCCCAAACAGTAGTATACAGAGTGTATTTGCCAACAGACTCTGACCGGATCGAATCATGCAGCCCCATCCTGTATCAGACGTGAAGCCGTTAGAATCCATCAGCTGACTCCGGAGCCGTACGCCCAGCGACATCGATGACGTTGCTTCCACTGTATTGTTTCGTGGGATGGGAGGAAAGCCGGATCGATATGTCATCCATATTCTTGATTCGAAGTCGGCCAAGAAAGTCGCTGGCCAAGCACTTCCGCGAGTATCATTTATTGTTTCCTCCGAGCTTTCAGTGCTATTGTGCACTTCTATCATGGAGTTAGTTTTCCTCTCTGACTTGATAGGTATTGTGGGGTGGTTTATCATGTACCTATCTCGGTTTGTTGCGAGGATTGAGAGTGAGGGGTATATTGTTGACCTAAGCACCAAATCGTAGCCTGTGGCGAAGTGTCATTTTTGGGCTCTGGATCCCAAAAGTATTGCACTATACGCTTGCATTTTTCCAGATCCACCGTCATGATGAGTCCCTTGTATTGTTGTTCAGGGAGGGGAAAGAATGTTGAAGGTTGGAAGGACCGAAGGGTGAAACGGAGATATATATAATAAGGCAGAGTAGAAATGACATACACTAAGTAATCATAGATATGTAAACCTAAAGCAGATTAGACAATAAATAGAATAACTGCCATAGTCACGACTCAATAAAGCCCATATAAGAAAGAAGGTAAGAAGACTAGGTATATGAGCAATAAATAGGTATCTAGGCAGTAGATAGTTTGTAAGTTGTTGGAGTCCACGGGATTGGAATTGGAATTGGTCATCTGGATGTGAAGCTTGCCCTTCAACTTACCTAATTATTTGATGGTTTTGTACTCAATATGTACTCTATTATTTGATAAATACCTATGGTGGTCTCTATAATAATTCATAACTTTTTCATTTTTATTAAATTAGCTATTATTATTTCCGTTGTATTGGTCACCGCCTCCCGCTGTGTAATCCAAGTTGCAGAATGTCCATAATTTCTGCCTACAACTCTCAATGGCCCGCCATAGTAAATCAAAGGCCAAGGCCAAGGCCAAACCAGCCAGAAGGCCTTCTCCAAGTAAAATATTTCCCTATACCCTTGTGCTATGAAGTACTAACTCTTTTGAAGAACCATCGCCTCGACTTTCGATGCAGCAAGAAGCCCGCAACACTGAAACATACAGACGAGGTTTGTCGAGCAGAAAGCTCGGAAACCTCCGGAACATGCCTGTGCAGTTTGTGAGCGCAGGTCAACTGAAGCCGAATAAACTCCAAATTACCACGAATGAAGAGTTAGACCAGGAGAGTGCGATTGAATCGGACGAGCAAACCTCAGGGGTAAAAAACCCAGAAATTGCAAAAATACCGGGAATTCAAGAAGAGCCAGAGCAAGAAGAGCCAGAGCAAGAAGAGCCAGAGCCAGAAGAGCCAGAGCCAGAAGAGCCAGAGCCAGAAGAGCCAGAGCCAGAAGAGCCAGAGCCAGAAGAGCCAGAGCCAGAAGAACCAGAGTCAGAAGAGCCAGAGCCAGAAGAACCAGAGTCAGAAGAGCCAGTGCCAATACCAGAATTGTTAGAAATGCCAGAACCGTCTAGAGTGGATGGTGACAACCTCTTTTTTATCGACACAATAGGACAAAGTGTCCATACGGGACTCCCCGACCCAGTGGTGTGCCCCCACACCGATAGCGAGGAATCGAGCGAGGATGAAATTGTCTTCACCGGTCGAAATCATCCGAGGCCTACAGTCATGGAAACCGATCCGGGTGAGCTCTGGAACTGCTTAGAGCCTCCTGCCTCGCGAAGGGTCAAAAGACCGATTACATCGGAAAGGGAGTATTCACGGCTGGAACAGGTGGAAACTCGCGTCAAACCCCAGGCCCGACAGAGGCAACAACAAAGACATAAATGGTCACCGGATGATCATGATATGTTGGCAGACTACATTGCCAATATAGACCATGAATATTCCGAAGACACTCATCCAGATGGTGGCATTGGCGTGAGTAAATACTCCGGACAGTCAGAGTTATCGACTACAGGATCCCAGAGTTTTCAAGCTCCAACATCACAAATGCCGTATACAGAGTCCAGCGTAGAGGAAACTGCAATGAATGGTACGTTATTCAAAGGCTTTTCCTTACATCGTCTATAGATTTCCCGCTCGCTAGGCGAAACTAACTCAAGAGCAAGCAGTATTATCGAAAATGCACCTGGATATTGAATCAAACCTGTATTCAAGCTCGGAGGACGAAGATCTTGAATCGGATTTTCCAGAGCAATCCGATGTGGACGATAAGGACATAGAAGTGGAGACCGGTGACCTTGAGCTTCTCCAACAACAGGAAATCGGATATTCCACATCAAACAAAAGCAGCCGTAACAGGAACCCATCATTTCCATCAGCTGCAGCATTCGCAGACGCTCTCGAATCTGACCCCTACTATGGCTTCGATATTATGGACTTTGATCGACCAAGTCTACGGAAAAAGAGCAAGGGCAAAAAATCGTTTACGATAGAGGATCTCATAAATTCCGATAGTGAACTTGAACTGCGACTACAAATGGCATGGCAAACGGACCGCAACAAGAAAAAAGGCAGGAAGAAGGAGCGAGAGGAATTGCGCGCGCAGGGATTGTTAGGCAGAAATCCTGGGAATGCAGATTTAAATATCAAGTATTCGAAGGGAATGAATCTGGAGGAACTGATCACAGAGATACGATCATTCCTCCTGTCGCCAAACACCAGGTATGCTGTGATGATACATGTTCTTTTATCCTTGATTTAGCTCACGCCTAATCAGCCTATCCCTGCCACCCATGACCAAGAACCATCGCAAAGCGGTTCATGAATTGGCAACCCTCTTGAATTTGAAATCGAAGTCCACTGGCAACGGTGCTACCCGGTTCACCATGCTGATCAAAACCGTTCGCACTCCCAAGCACAGTCGGAAAACGATTTCCCAGGTCGACAACCTGCTAGCTGGGAAGAAGCTGAATCGTCGTATCTATGGATCCTGGGGATCGGATGCGCTTAAATCAGCGAAGACCACCAGGACGAAACGGGGAGCTTCGGGTGGTGGGGGTGCTTTCTCCTATGCGGACGGAGACGTGGTCGGTGGCTCCGCACCAGAAATTGGTGTTGGCAATCGAGGACGAGCTATGTTGGAAAAAATGGGTTGGAGTAGCGGTACAGCGCTTGGTGCTATCAATAACAAGGGTATTCTCCTGCCTGTTACGCACGTTGTAAAGAACTCGCGGACTGGTCTTGGATAAGATTTCATATGCTCAGTGTGTATGCACCCGATAGAATGACATCCAACTTGATTAGACTACTCTCGTGATAGGCCCTCGGAAAAACGTAAACCTCTGTTGAAAGTCATCGTTTGCTTTTCGTAGTTTTTAATGGTTGCGCATGCTTCTCCCTGATATGGGCGAACAATTTTGTTCTCGACATGAAGGAAGCCTTGCAATTAGTGCACACAATTCCATCAGTTTGCTCAGCGTCCCGGGCGGCCTTCTTTGCTCGTTTCTGCTTGGCTTTTCCAACATGAGGGACAGGTTGTTGGTCACTAAGTCCCATAGTGGTCAGTTGCTCAACCAGGGGAGCTATAAGATCCCCCTGAGCAGTATCAGACTCCGAGAGAAGTCTTGCCTCAATAGATTCCCTCGAAGCATAGTCTTCGTTCTCATCCGAGCCTGATTCTGGTGTTTGTTTTTCAGTGTCAAGGTAAGATCCATGGTCTGAATCTTCCATTTTCTCACTGATCGTGGCTTCTTCTTGTCTGCCAAACGAGGTCGTAACAGTGTTATTATCATGATCGCTGTCTTCCATGATGACGTAATCGGGGGTATCAACACTGGTCGTCGGCTCCAAATCTAAGTCTTCGTTCTCCATTCGCATCTCACGACACATTTGTTTAACAGCCTTGATGTGTTTTTTGCTCCGTTCATGAGCCTCGAATTGCTTCTGACTCTTGAAGCTCTTGTTACATACCACGCATTCAAAGCTCTCGACTTCACTTTCAGAACTCTCTTGATCTTCACTGAAGTCAAGTTCCCGTGATTGCGCCCAGTCTGGAACGATATGATCACGTAGTTTGGCATTATTCATGGCCCGTGACCTTGCCGCCTGGGCAGCAACAGACTGACGGAGAGACTCTTGGCGCTGGGCTTCATTCTGAGCATTGGCCTGGTATCTTGGGTCGCGCTTCTTCACAAAGGCTACTAAAGAACGCACAGCCTCATTGAACTCGCGGATTCCGTCTTCTCGAAGACGACGATTCTCCTTTTCCATTAAGCGTCGGACTCGACGATCTGGCGCTTCAGCGTAACGATAGGTATCTTTCCAAGCGAACGACTTCTTTGTAGCAAACCCACTCCATGAGGCATAGAAGGGGCGTACTACAGACTCAAACCCGTCGTTTTGAGCTCCAAAGGATGGATATTCCGCAAATTCTTGACCTTCCCATTGACACGCTAGTCGCTCCTCCAATGCCAATTGTGTAAACTGCTCACGAAGGCCACCAAAGAAACCAGTGGGTGCATCCGAAAAGTCCATCCGAGGGCTGAATTTGGAAAAGAACTTCAAAACCTCATCGGAAGTTGTGACTCGAATATTATAGGAGTGTTGACCCTCTTCTGGGTCTCCGCTGGAGCCCAAAAATGCGTCACTATGGGAGTCGTACCAGGCACGTTCCTGAGGATCGGCAAGCACCTCGTACGCAGATTGAATTTCGGCAAAAAGCCTTGTGGTCTCTTCAACGTTGCCATAATTTCGATCAGGGTGTAATTCGAGCGCTTTTCTCCTGTAAGCTTTTTTTATTCTGCAAGACGTTTTAGTTTCACAGTTGCGTCGTAGGAGGAAGAGCGCCTACTCGTCGTCAGTTGCAGCGCGAGTCACATCTAGCAGTTCATAGTAATCTGTTTTCTGAGCCGATGGCTGCTCAGTAGAATTTGCAGCATTTGGCTCAGTTGATTGAGATTGACCCATCGTGGTCGTGAGAAGAAGGAAGAGAAGAGAAAGGCGGGGAAGGAAAGAAGAAAAATGGGCAAAATGATGCGGAGCTTCTTAACGCCTTCAACGCGGGCGGGGGCTTCTTTTTGCTTGGCATATTCAACTCTCCTCACTTTCGCACTTTTCAACAGTAAGAAATATTTTCTCTATAATAGGATGCCAGTTTATCAACTTCCAGACGAATGACAGTTCAACACTGGTGTGGATTTCACCCCGTGTGCTCGACTAGCTAACTTGATTGCCCACCATCGACTTTTCTTCCCATTCGGACGACGATCAACTCAGAAACTTCTCACAGCAGAAGAACTCTTCCCTTTCCATTCAGATTATTCAATATCGTTTACAGGAGATGGTTCTGTCTCTAAATCATCTACCGGAAGAAATCCTCCATTCGATTTTATGCTCCTTGCATCCTTGCTCCACCGCTGCTCTAGAACAGACCAGTCGCTATTTCAGAGATGTAGCCCAGAAACGCTTTCTCTGGCGCTACTACTGCAAAAGATATTATACTGCCTGGGATAATAAACATAGGATTCTTCACAAGTTCGCGACTCCTGTGTCTGAGGTCGATTGGAAGGCCCTCTTTGTGCTGCGATACAGAACTGATCGCGCGGTCACGGCGAATCTGGACAGTATTCTAGTTTGTCAAACAGGGCGCATCGAGAAGTTCCGGTGTGTGATTGGGTTTGGTTATGATGCAAAAGATACACTCTTGCGCCATAGTACAATAGAGACTGGGGAAGATCACCTCGCAAGAAGGTAGTTTCTTGGTTCCATATATATCTTGCCTTGTGGCGTGTTCCTCGCTAACTTTGTCAGGTACTACGCTCGAGCGCTTCTGACTTGTCTTTATCGAAATATCGCAATTCCCGAATGGGCCAAGCTCAAGCGCGGAGAGCCCATAGCGCTCGAGTGTGGCTTAGGTGCATTTGATCTTTTTATTCCAGAGAGCGGCTGTGGTAACTTTGATGAGGTAAGGGATTGTTTACAAGTCCCATTCTACAGTTGTTCTGACGCTTATTCAGATTCGGAACAGGCTGACTGAAATTGTCATCCAATTCAACGCATCTCATCCCGATATTGAGCATCTCAGTCCTCGGGAAGAGGCTCTTCTGCTTGCTTCCTGGTTACGAGAGAACAATCTCACCGGTATTGAACAAGGACGGGAGTACCACTCCCTTGAGCATAATTTCTTGGGGCTGGCCCTGAAGAGCTCGGGGCATAATTCTCTCCCGTTAATCTCCGCCGCGATCTATTGTTATGTGGCGCAAAATTTGGGGCTAAATGCCGAACTTTGCCGAATTCCATTCCATGTATATGTCACAGTTACCCCACAGGTGGGCTTTGATATGGATGGGAATTCTCTACGAGACCTTGAGCCAGGCTCTCCTATGTACATCGACCCATCTCGAGAGGCACGTGAGATTCCGGCGTCTGACCTCCGCGATCAATTGATTTTCTTTGGGGCCTCAAATACTGAGCAGGCCGAGGTACTGAGTGGGTCAGTGACCTCTGAGATTATCTTGCGTTGCAGCAGAAATATCTTGAATTCTGTCGATTGGGCGGTTCAACATCCGGATATTCCCTCGGCTGTGGATGTTGTGAGTGCCAAATACGCCGCTCTGTGGTCTTCGATGCTTCTTTCTGGTGTTTCGCGGCCAGTAGACCTACGACATCAATTGCCATGGTTGATGGAACTATTCGCTACCGACTTTCCGTGTGATATCTTCCTGGTGGAAAAGTATATTGCGCCACTTTTTCAAGGTCATTTTGAATATGAACACATTCTGGAAAGCCTTCAGGTGATGCGGTCAGCGGATATGATCCCCAAGCAGGTACACAGACGATCTGCAAAGAATAAGAATATTCGGTACAAGGTCGGGCAGGTATTTCGCCATCGTCGGTACCACTACCAGGCTATTATCACTGGTTGGGATTCCGAATACGGCGCAGGGGATGAATGGATGAGACGAATGGGAATTGATAATCTGCAAGCAGGCAGGCATCAGAGCTTCTACCATGTTTTGTATGCTGTTCCATTTCATTTTTCGTAATTCCATGGCTAACAGACAATCAGGGTCGAGGATCGTACTGTACGGTATGTGGCAGAAGAAAACATCGAGCCTTTTTTCCCTGATGTGACCGAGTTACCTCGTAACCTGCTGAGTCTTGCGGGAAAGCATTTTAGGCGCTGGGATGAAGTTACTGGGGCGTTTGTTAGCAATGTGCGTGATGAGTATCCAGACGACTAGACTAACCAACAAATCTCAAATATCATTATGATCATAATATGATAAAAAATAAAAGAAATTATAGATAGGGCTGTAAGAGCCTACCCAAAGCACCGAATCAGGATCATTGTACAGTTTTGTTGCGAAAAAAGTAGAACATTGTAAAAGCCCACTATTTATTCTGCTGGCAGAAAACTCCAATATCAAATTTCCCAATTTAATAAATAATTAAAAGCCTTTCATAGATTACCAATTTTATCCAACACTCATATGAAAAGGAACACCCAAATGAAAATTTTTCTACTTCTCGATCTTCATATTTAAATTTATCAACCAACCTTTAGAATAAATGGTAATGATATTATAATAGTCAAATTTAATGATTCAAATCTAATTTAAAGCTAAATTTAGCGCTTTAACCTTCGTCCCTGCTGTCTAGATATTATCATAAGCTCGCGCATCATCACCTTTTTCCAACGTGGTCTTAACTTCTCTAAAACTGCTCTAGCATTGAATTTATGCTCGAATCGCTTCATTCTTTTCACCTCTGAAGAGGTAATGATTCCAGGTCGACGATAAGATCTGCGTGAGATCTCATAGCATGCTTAACGCGCTGTAACTAGCCCCCTAACATCGTTAAGCTCCTGTCGAGTAGCTTCTAGCTCATAGTAAAGACTTACAAGCGCCTCTTGTAAGCTTTCCAGCAATAAAAGCTTGCTTCGTAAGGCTATCAGAAGCTCGAAGTAGCTTAAGACCAGCTGTTTTGAAGCGTTCATCAGTTTTTGGAGTGCTGAGCTCTGGTGAATTGCTCTTATCAGATGGGGTAGATGGTCGTCTAGTATCATCATAACTAGGAAGCCCATCACATACCAAAGATGAATTAATAGGCTAGATTCCAGATAATCGAAAACCTAATCGAATAGTTGATATTCTAAAGGTCTTTTGTCGAATTGAATGAAGCGCAGCCAAATAAATCATCTTTAGTAAATTTTGTTGTTCTAGACTCTGTCGCATCTTCGAATGCCAATGTTTATAGATATTGAACACACCAACATCTAAAGGCTGGATGACTTGAATGAGGAGGGATAAAGAATGTAAAATCTTGTGTTTTTCACAAAATTCTATCAACTCCATTGTCTGATGTGATCGAAAGTTATCATATAATAAGAATCGCCAGGCGCCTTTAAGTACGTGACCGTGTAAATTTTGCACAGTGTTGAATCCATTGAAATGCTAATGCATCGGTCATATAACCATTTTCAGAAATGGTTAAGGCCGATATCATCATCATTTAAGGTTATTATTAAACCAGCGTAAAAATAATTGTTTAGCTGAGAGAATGACCACTGGACGCTAAAACCATCACTTGATATAGCTTCAACCGCAATAATAGACTCTCGATTAGTGTTCGTCCCAGAAATAATCTTCTTTAGTTCTCGAGCAATGATCCATTGGTCTTTCCAAACCCAATTTGGAAGCTAGTCTCATCGAAGTTATAGATATCAGATGGTTCAATACCATGATCTTCAATCACTTTTTCATAGCTTCTAAACCAATCTTCAATGGCTGATTTATCAAAGGCTCGCTGACGTTCAATATCAAGAGCTTTTCAGCGCCTCTTTCGATACCCAGGGTTGCGTTTTAGGACACGTTTGACCCATTCTTGGCTTAAAGGTGGTGAAGAAGGATCTAGAGCCTTAAAGATGTTTTCATCAGCTGCGTAGAGCTGTTTAAACTTTGGAGGCATTCCAATTTGATCACGATAATCAGTCCAGTTCTCAAGAGACATTTCCTGAGCTTCATCAAGTCTGCGTCCATTTGGTGGCCTCTCAAATAGCGATTTACCACCCTGGACGCGTCATCGAAACCGTTGATAATTTACATCAAAAGCTCGCGCAGTTGATGACATTGAAGGGTAATCTCCATTTTGAAGGCGCTTATAGCTTCAATAATATGTTTCTCTTGGTCCAAATTCTTAGAAACCATGGTGGGTAATGGTGGGTGATACTAGAATCATTACCTATCATTACCTCTTCAGAGGTAAAGGAAAATTAAGCAATTTGAGCATAAATTAAATTCTAGAGAAGCTTTAGAGAAGTTCAGACCACATATTTAGCTTTGAATTACATTTCAATCATAGAATTTGACTATTATAATATCATTATCAAAGGTTATGTATGGTTGATATGGTTGATAAATTTAAATATGAAGATCAAGAAGCAGGAATTTTTTCATTTGGTGTTCCTTTTCATATGGGTGTTGAACCGCTAAAGTTTATTCAACGAAATCCCTGCGGTAGTGATTGTGTTGATAGATATATTGAGGGACGTGCTAAATAAAACCACTATACACTTTACTTCTACCACTACAATGCCTCAAACCTAAGGCCTATGTAGTAGTTTTAGCAAAATAATCATTCCATAATCTGTACCTCCTTATAGTAGTTATAGGAAAATAATGATTAGCAGAATAAATATTAGCAAGTAGCGTAACCAGATTGAATGATTGTACTAAATTGTTTTTGTCGCTCGAAAGGGTGATATTCGAATATTGTACTGAGAATAGTAAACGTTGTGAGCTCCAACAAACCGCTACTCAACACCGTAGAAAATCCACCGGGTGTAGTGGATGCTAAGATACTGAATACTGCGATTGTTGTGAAGTGCTTTTTCATTGATGAAAGAACTAGCTACTTATAGTATATGGGTGCCCCTCTGCCCTGGACGAATGTCAACATTCGTCCGAGAAAGAAGAGACGGTGAAGACGGGATATTACTGTCGCGAATACACATCGCTCAAGGGTGTCGTTTGCGATGAATGCATATCGTTCAAGGATGCCGTGATATACTAATCTAGTTCCAGAGTTACTGTCTTGGAAGAAGCTTTTTCGGCCGAAATACTTTTCGTCTGTTGATGGCCTTGTTTCTCGGCTGTCGCAACAGTTTTCCCACATCGTCAAAATTATTCTTTCTTCAACGTCTTAGTTACCATGGAGCCTAATACTGACATCGAAAATGGCCTACTGCCCGATGACCTTCCCACAGAGCGCCTTGACCTCTTATTTCCAAATACGTTATGCATTTTATACCGCAACAAACAATCAGCTTTACAAGCGATTTATGACTTCGCTAAACCCACGGCTACCTACGGTAGCTTCAGTTCTTTCATCAGTCAAGATGAATAATGAGTAGTGATTTAGGTCGATGCTTGATTATTCTTCTTTGCTGCACTCATGAAAGGGTTTACTGAGGCATGAGGAAGGTTAAGTCGTGTAATTGAATTTCCATTTAGTGGCGCCAGGATGAGATCTCTGAGAGGGTTTCGAAATTATGGACGATGAGACTGATGAGTCTCAGTTATTTGAAGGGGGTTCAGATCCAAATTAGTTCACGATTAAATAAGTAAATGACTAGCTATTAACATTATCAATAAGGGGAAATGACGAATCTGTAATGATAATAACCCTAATATCTATTTTTGAACGTGGTTGAATGAATGACCTTGGTAATTATTTTATTATTTTGCTGTAACCACTCATTAATAAGGGCGCTTAAATGCCATAGAAGTACTATTTTGCTAAAAACACTATATAGGCCTGAGGTTGAAGACCTTCTGATAGTTGTAGCACTTTTTAGTGGTATAAATCGTGAGGTGGTTTTAAAATGTCCCTATATTAATATATCTAGATTCTATAAATATAGGTAAAAGTTATTCAAAAGTTTTTGTTGCGACAGCCGAGAAACAAGGCTACGGAAAGTATTTCGGCCGAAAAGCTTGTGCCAAGGCAGAGTGACTCTCGGCTCGGAATAACTACTTGGGGGAACTACAGTAGTATATCACAGCATCCTTGAACGAATGCATTCATCGCAAAAGACACCCTTGAGCGATGCGCATTCGCGACAGTAATGTCCCGTCTTCACCGTCTCTTCTGTCTCGGACGAATGTTGACATTCGTCCAGGGCAGAGGGGCACCCATATACTATAAGTAGCTAGTTCTCTCCATCAATGAAAAGACAGACTTCCCAACAACCACGATATTCAGTATTGTAGAGACCACTACACTTGGTGGTTTGTCTACGGTGTTGAGTAGTGGTTTGTTGGAGCTCACAACATTTACTATTCGAATATTGCCCTTTCGAGCGACAGATACTGCTTTAAAAGTATTCAGATAATTTTACTTGTTTTTCTTCTATACCAATAGTAATTTAACCCCTTATCATAACAATTATCCTCTTTTTTGGGGAAAGAAATTATATACGGTACTGTATGTGAATAACCTTGTGGGAGTAATTTACTAAAATAAATTGAGCTTTATATTATCAACGTTATAAATACGATGATATGTGTTTTTGATTTTATTCTTATTTTTGAGAAATTGATGTGTGCTAAAAAAATTAGGCCAGACAATCTCCTATCGCTAGCCAAATATATTCTCTTACTTCTAAAGAGGTAATCAATAATTCTATGTCGGATGATGAAGATAATTTTAGCTCTCATATTGCTCAACTGAGTATAGTGGATTAGATTAGTAATACCCATGGAGTTGAGAACCTTGATTTGGGGCAAGCCGTGTGAGGGGCTAAATCCAATCTTATTCAGAACTAGCTAGACACAAACTGTCACGGCGAACAGCATCTATAGAACTATTACTGTAGAGTAAATTCTGCGTATAGCGATCAACGATGTTCCCTATATAGATCCAGTTAGGCTTTATAGGGCTTATAGCGATGTGCCTGCCTTAATCAGTGCTTTCTTAGTATGGTGTGTGAAGTTGAGCTCTGGGTCGAGCTAATACCCGAGATATCGTTCAGCTGTCTTAGTCGGTTGCATAGTCGCTCTAGGTAAGTATAGTGGGAGCTGTTATGTGTTCTGATCTTGCTGGTGGTCTTTTGGGTTGCGAAAGTATATCAATGCATAAGTTTTTGGGTCGAAAACTGAGGCATGGCGCTTGGCCCATTGATCGGCCTTGCCGCATACCCGTTGGAGCTTGCGCAGGTTGTCCCGAGTTGAGCTTCCAACGA